GATTGACCTCATCATTTTAGGTTATTGTCCTCAAAAAATATCAATGCAGATCATAAAAGATGTGATTGCTGATGACTTGTCTGGTTGAAAAAAAAAAAAGGGTTTACAGACTGACGATATGAGCGCAAGGAGTATTGGTGCAAGGTAAGTATTCTAGGATAGATGGGTTGAACGTAGTCGCGAATAGGTGAACTGGAGGAAGGGTTTGAGTGTAAAGAGTTGTAGTACAAAATAAATATCCTAGGATGGATAAACTGAAACAGTTGTGGAGTAGGTAAATCCGAGAAGTGACTCATGCTTAATCATTGTTTGAATATTCTCCACAGCTCCGTTAAATGAGGTTTCTTGACTGAGGTGTCTTGGAGCTTGATGCCACCGACGATTTGTCTGAAGAGGGGTTATTCTTGGGATGACGACTCTGTCGGTAGTGTAGATACATTCTGTAAATATGAGAGGATTTAATAAGGGAATCTAGTGGGCAGTCTATGAAGTTTAATGGGATGATGAAGCAGCTCGCCACACTCTTCTTGAAGAGCTGATGTAGAACTAGTGGCATACTTGCCAGTTATCTGTGGCCATAGTAGAGTGTTCAAGTGGTGGATGAAATTAGAAGAGGGATGGGTGGGTATTTGAAGTTCGATGACTGGAAGGTAACTGAGTGTAGTGACTTTTGACAACTTCGTCCAAAAAAGATATTGAGAGAATGGGATTTGGGGGGGATCGTTTTCTTGGTTCTTCAGTGAACGGCTTGTTCGAACTAACCTAGAGTCAGCCTCTATCTTGTGCTGTCGGGCCTTTGATAAGATGGTGGATGAGCTAGCGAGTGAGAATCATTAGGGCAACTTGACGTCTGTTTTGGAGACATAATGGTGAAAATGATGACGATGACGATGATGATGGTACGGAGTTGAAGATTCTGTGCTCCTAAGTGTGCAAATAAAATCACGGGAGTGCGACAATGACGTCAAAGTTTGGTGTTGGAAGTACCTGCCAAAGAGAAATATGGAAGTTTTTATTCCATTGTACAGTGAAAATATTTATGTTCCTGACTCTCTGTGTGTTTGTGACTGCTTTCTTGTGATAATTTCCTTTGAAGTGTAAGTTGTTTGGGAAGGTAGGCGAACTGGTAACGTAGTTTGTCGTCTTGATGGTGTGTGAACAGAGAGTCTAATACTGCCCTCGGGACATCGCGAGAAGACGGCGGAGCAACAGATCACGATCTGTGAAGTCAAAGTCGATTTTTCCATCATGCTTCGGTGCTCTGAGAAAGCATGGTTAGCTCAACTTATTATGTTCATGCTGCTTGAATAGTGGGCATACCTGAACGGAAGATGTTTGACCTGTTGATTGTGCCAGCAAGAAGATGGTGATGATGAAGTCTGTGTGGTAAGTCCATCTTGAGTGCCATTTGATTACAGAAGGGCCTTCTTGATGGGTGCATAAAAGTGAAAGATGTTTAGCATCTCGCCGGTCCGAGTAGTTACTTGGCCAGGAAGTTGCTTGAATTGATGATTGTGCTCTTCGAATAGCTTATTTATATGAAGACGAAGTTTTAGCACATCAATATCAATTTGACGCCCCTCTTTGTTGATGTCAATCTACTCTTGTGTATTTGAGCATTTGTTTTTGCTTCAAGAACCAATGTGGGGGTGCCATCTTGGGGTCGTCGTCGTTTAGAGCTTTGGAAAGCTGATGTGAAGTTGGCTTGATTAGAATCATGGTAATAACGTCAGGAAGAATGCTGTAGAACAAGAGTGATTTCAATGGAGCTTTGATCGTCAAACGTAGCCTATTTTGACGTGAAATAGGCCATCACGGCCATGGCTGACCGCTGTGATTCTTTCTATCAGCATTCTTGTTGGCGTGGTTAGCTTTGGTCTTGTCTTGAAACGGAGAATGGGTGAAGCAAGATAGAAAATATTAATAGAAGTCCGAAAGCCCGCACAGAAGTACATTCCGGTATTTAATGGAAGGTGTCGGAATTCTCAAACGTTGAAAGTAGTGAGGATAATAGTGTGGTAGTCTCAAAAGAAGCACCGGAGAAAACACCCATAGGCAACGATCGCGATATAGGTAGACGAATTCGTGAATGCCTCACCTTCTATTGTCTTGACTTTGGAGCTGTGAATGGAAATTAATGCCAATTGTTACACAAAACAACTATTTTGACAGTAACTTCGGCGACATGGTAGAATATGGGCACACATGAGTATGAGTTCGGCGATAGGGGTAATTCACACAAGAGCTCGCCGAAAGGGGTTAGTCAAGTAGTAACTCGGCGATAGGTGTAGAGCAAGTAGGAGCTCACCAAAAAGGGTAAGCAAAGCAGAAACTCGGCGATAGGGTTAGGTCATGGGCTACAGTCATTGCTGCATCGCCCAATAGAAAACATGGTAGGTAGCAACAACTGTCTACATGGAACTGTCTAACAAATTTTATTATAGTGACTGTTTTCATCATAATTTCGATTCGATCGGTACGGCCACCAGAATGTGTGTACGCATATCATCAATGAGAAGGTAGACACAGAGTAGAGGAGCGAGCTATAGTGCTGCACACTGTGTTTGTACATTTACTGAAGTGTTGGAGTTCCAATTAATCATTAATCACCATTAGTTTCAAAACAGAGCGAAGATCAATGAGTTCACAAGAGTCATTGAAACTTCAGCTCATTTTTAATACCTCATTTGGTTTGCTTTATAGGGGCGGTGATATCCAGAGATATGGTCGGTCATAGTATGCGTATACCTATAGGAGAATGATCGGGTATCTCAGATACTACAGCACGCTTGACCACACCTGACTTATCGCAAAATTGTAATTGTGGAAGCACCCTTAAGTATCATGGGAGTTAAGGGCTCGATGCCATGAGTTATGAGCAAGAGATCTGCAGAACCGGAAACACCTCTGTAAACTTGTGTTGTGCGGCTCTGCTTGTAGAATACAATTGGAAGAAGTCCGGATCCGAATCTTTAGTAATCAAAAGCAGCCTCACTTCCGATTCTTGGCTTGAAGCCTGCGCTATCAGTCACCAACCGATCTGTGGTGGAACACGAATTACCGCTGATACAATTATAGAGCATGGGGTTCTAGTAGATTGGAAGGCTGTAGGCATCTAAATGTTCTACGACGTTCTCACTGGTCGATCGTCTGATAGAACGAACGCTCGGCGATCAACAGCGTCGGAAGAAAGCTTCTCATGCGTCCTCAAGGCGACACAACGAAACGTTTTACTATGTACTATGCATAATGCTGTCTCACGGACGGCAGGAAGAGGCGACACATTGCTACTTCTAGTGAGCTGTGGCCGATAGGCCACATTGCGAAGGACAGAAAAAGAATCGAGTCTCGTTGCTGCCGAGGCGGCCGCTGGATGATGACCGAGACACGACTAAACATGCCGCATCGACCAAACGCTCCATTGGGCAGGCCAATACTTCTGTCTCGTCGCGTGGGCGAATAACAGCTCCCTACGCGAGGGCGGGATCAAATATTGGTGAGAATATATACATCTCCAAGCGATGAACGATCCTTGCCAGGCTAAAGACAGTTGGGGGCCAAGCCCCACAAGTAGCGGAGTGCCGTTTGCGACAATTTTGAGCTGATAAACACCAAGGCGAACCAATCCGGGCCAAAGGCAGCTGGATATCCACGCCTCAAAGTATCTATACCTACTTGAGATCACGCTACAGTCAGGCGCAGGGGTATCCGCATGCGTAGCCAAGACATGCGCCAAGGCCGCTGCTTCGCGATAGGGCTACTTGAAGAAGGATCAAGCGTGCATTTATACGGACACACCACAACTAACTATCGCCTTGCCTCTGCGGGCCCAAAAACTTGCTCAATCAGCAGGCATCTGCATCTGCCGGTGCAACGGTTTGTCGGCGCCACAGATTCGTGTAGCGGTCCTATGGCAGGTTGGCAGGCTGACAGTCTCATGGTTGATTCACCACACCACATAAGCGCTTATCTCGGTTAAAAAGACAGCAAAATATGCGTGACCCCATCTTACCGCGTCAGCTTCGGCCGCAGAACAGTGGAACTAATATGCATGAGCGTGGTATTGCGCGATCCTTCAGAAATCTACTACGTACATATGTAACCCTGCAGGCTCTCAGTGCGCAAGACATGGCCTGCCCATGATATGATAGATGCATTATCATCAGATCAGGGGCTTAAGAGAAAACAATGGCAAAATGGTGTCACCCAATCACCCACTCTTCGTGTAGCGATCTGGACCCATTCAGCCATTTGACTGATATGCCTGGACTCAACTTTCGCCGATCAGAATTACTGCGACTCCACAGTAAGAAACGATCAAAGCCATCCATGTGCAATTGTAGGCTTGGAGCAATGGGACGCGATGATTCACGGAAGTCTCTGGCCTGGAAAGTAAGTACGGTAGGTAGAGAGAAGAGAAGGCTGTGGCTGTCTGTTGATGTGCTGGGGAAGTTGAAGTGTACGCTTTAACGTTGCTTAGCGTTGAGAGGCAAGCGCTGTAACGGCTGCTCCAGAGTCTCTCCCCTTGGGGCATGTAAGCAAGCTGCTGGACGAGGGCACAAAGCTTACTGCTCCTTCCGATTCCACTCTCAAGGTATATCGTACTGTTGACACTCATTCCAGCAATTCAAAGCCGTAGGATTTACCGCAATGCCAGTTCTGATTCGTTTCCAGATGCCCACGCCAAGAAGTGTAGCCCTGGGCGCGCATGCATGCATTGGAACCAACGGGCCGGAACACCAATGAAGCGAAGGCCGCTTTTTGTCGATGCAACTTTCACCTCAAGGATACCGTGTCCAATCCACAAGAGCCATGGAAATGGATGACGCGCTGACTGTCCGTTCTTAGCCCATGACATCATGACGCCCGAAAGAAGGTGGAAATCAAGGTCAATGAGCTATAGCCTTTGATGAAATCTCAAAGGCTGCCTATTAGCATTACTATCTAATTGTTGAACAAGTGGAACAAGAATGAAGGCGTATGAAGCTGCAAGATTCTGACTAAGACACGATTTGCTTCAGCCATCTTTCCAGGTCGCTCAGCAAACGTTCCCCCAGGCTTGCATCAACCACACAGTCCTGCCAGCTGCACGTAACACACATCTGACTATCTTTGACTGTCATGATCGAGACTGACAATGCAGCGGAAGGCACCTCAGCGCTCAAGACTAGCTCTGCTCGGCGTATTGACCAGCTTTGTTCTTGTTCCCGTGCCACTTCAATAGCTCCGTCGAGGACGCCAAGATTCGTGACAAGCCATGATAAGTATCTCGGCTTGTGTGCCTCGCTTTCCTGCTGGGGTCGCCAGTCCGAGACAAACCTCATAATACCTATCATGTCGTTTTTGTTGGCCGAGTCTAATCTGGCTTGAATCTCTTTCCGGACACGAGACGACACAGACCAGACAATGTCCACGACATCAGCAGGCAGGCTTGCTTCCAAGGCCCCGGACGGCATTTTATCTCGGATTGAGGCGACCAATTCGGCGTCGAATTCATGATCTAGGACAGAAACATAATTACACATCGACTCTTTTGGTTTTAGATGAGGGTATTTCGGAGCGTTCGACGGTAAGAAGTGCCGCAAATCGTACGGAGTTCTGCTTGCAAACCCCTTCATACCCTCAAGCGCGGATGTGAGCGAAACCAGAACGAGACCGTGTAGAAGGCCTGTAAGTGTAGTTTGATGCTGGTGACACGCGCTTACTACTTTTGTAAGAACGTCATTGTCGACCGTGAAAGTGTGAAATCTGGTCGCAAAAGGGGTGACCTGTACTGGGGCCCACGTCGCGTGTGTGTTACTCGGTCCAAAGATCGACAAGGGCTTCAACTCTTTCCAGAGGGCTTTCACCAGGAACACTGGTGTCATAGGCCACCAGATTAAGACTTCGGGCGGCGGCGGAAGCAGCTGAGAAGAATCGGGAAGGTTTAGAACCCAATTGTCCGAGCCCTGCTGAGTCTCGAGTACAGATTCTTTGTTTTGGCTCGAGTTTTCATTTAAAATCTGAAGCAACTGATGGTGGAATATCTTGCCGCTCATCCCATCGTGATGTGGATGGTTCCAAACGTATAACACCTCTAAGTTTTGGGCCGCAATATCATGCAATATAATTACCCTCCAGCCAGGCTGACTTGAGAGATGACTGTACCTGGCATCGAGCTGAGATTGCATCAACTTCAGGTACTGCTGCTCGAGATTGCTCGAGCTCTCCAATGTGATCCATTTAACGTGGTTACGAAAGTCAAGTCGATCAAGGCGAACAAACTCTGGATTCTTGGAGTTCTCGCCTATAATACCGGTTTGTAGATGTGGTTGGGCGAGGACTACTTGTGCGATTGCGTTGTAGAAAACGCCCTTGAGTGTCTCGAGGGATTCCAGACGCGTGAGACTTGCCGGCAAGTTGTAGCGGCAGGCTACAATAGTGCCTCGATACTGATCAAGTGTATGCATCGCTAGCTGGTAAGCCTCACTGCGTTCCATTAGACGGCACATCTAATGATTGGGAGCAGATATCTAGACTTACTGGCAGCCGAGGCCGCGTATCTTCTTGGGAGCCGCATCACCGTTGGTGGCACTTGCATTCTGAAGATGGTCGGCCATGGCAGAGGATGTGGCATGAATAAGGACCAAAATAACAAACTCTGGTTCGTGGTGACACCCTAAGCCTCGAGAGAATTTGCGATGACCTCACAAAGGTGGAAGTTGCATCCGTCATGTAGAGCACTAGCTGCTCACATGAGAATCGAACGTGTAGGTGAGAGTTTGAGGCAAGTGTACAAGGAAGCTCCAGAGCTCCAGAGCCCTAGAGTCCCCCGGGTCCTATCAAACGAACCTAGCCGCACGGACCATCTATGGTTAGTCTGTAGCTACGTGGAGTTTTAAGGTACAAATCTCCTTCCTCCTTGCAGTGTTCTAATGTTTGCCTGCCTCAAGGCCTGCTTCTAGAGAAGGGAGTCAATTGTATCTGCAACAGCCTCAGTGCCGGCGTAGCAAGACCTTGTCAGGGGCGGTAAAACATACCTGGCAGCCAAGCGAGCCAAGGCAAGGTACGGGTCCGTACTGGTACCTAGTCAAAGAGGTGGAGTGGATCGTTTCCGAAAACGAAAAGCCCTAACCGTAGCCGTTGGCCGGTATCTGCCGGCGAATGGCTGGGGGCTTTCCAGCTTTGAGACACCTGAGCAAGAAGCCTGAAATTACTTACATGACGTTCAGAAGTGCTGCCGGGGAGGCGCACAAAAGTCCTCGAGTCCCACGATCTTCAGCTTGGTGCGTGCTGGCTACATGTGAATGTCATAATAAGATTAGCCTCTAGCTCCATGGACGAGCAACGGCCCGTCGGGCCACATTCCAAATTAATGTTAGTTGTGTTAGGTCCCGATGGTGGACACTATTATTGGTACATTTTCCCTCCCATTGCCCAGCAGCCAGCAGCTAGCAGCCTAGCAGCCACGGCGATACATAACATGCCTCTAATAGCGTGCTACATAATACATACAGCACACAACCACTATACCGTAGGTGGGAAAACATCACAACGATCAGTGGGGTGATTATACCTTCCTACCTTCCCCTCGCACAAGCAATAAAATGTGATGACTAGTTCCTTTTTCCTCTAGTGCTTACATGAGGGTGGCAACTATTGACTCCGCCGCTCGGCATTGTCTCGAAGCCGTTGTGCTAGACTGTTAGGTGATGGTTACAGGAGGACGTGGCATGTACTAGACAGAGGCTAGTCATACGTTCATGTACGGCACTTCTGTGTAGATCCACGGCAAACAGCATTCATGAGTGTTTTTAAGTTTAAGGCTGAAGAACTTCGATGCAATACAGCATATTCCAGGTTGCATGGCTGTGATCTCAGAACTCCAGGTCACACACGTCGGCACTGCAAAAGAATCAGTTCTATTTCTTTTCCAGCCACGCCCAGCCTAGTTAGCCTCCTTGTGAGGAAACTTGTTCTCAAATTAACAATGCCCAGCGAGTGGCGCTGTTGGCAAAAGATCGAAACATCGAACTGGCTGTGGAAAACGGCAACCCACAGATGGGTAGGGGGGCCCCCAGTATGGATCCGCTTGCAATGCATCACCAAACGGAACCCAAAGTGCATTGCACATGATTAGCTGCAGATTTCCTTTTAGGGACAATTTCTCATGGGAATTGCACTCATAATCCTAGTCTGTTCCGCAGCCGCACGCTTTTTCCTGCGCGGGTAACATGTCCAGGTAGGTAAAGTTTACATTCCATAAACTTGTCCCCTCTTTTAGCCAGGTATACGGAGTAGAGACCATCTTCACCATCACTTTTTAGCTGTTCCATATCCCAAGTGGACCGATAGAACGTGCAAATGCGTTGGTTTGATTGACACAGAAACAAACCCTACAACGTTTCATAGCGTGATTGAGCTTGGGCATGATAATTCACCAACTTTTGCTTGGCCCTTGCAACAGACTAAGTTGCTCAAACAGTCTGCTGTTTGCTAGGTTGATCACCGGCCAATTCTACACGTAGATGAGTAACATCATTGTTGGCGCCATCAACGCTGCTCATCGAAACCAAGTCATGGGTATCGAGGTCAGTGATTTCCCAAAGACCGCGACGTCGGGATGTCGGCTTGTAGAATTGTCGTGGGGGAGCTGCGGGCGATTCACCACTTGGTTGACTCCCACGCGATGTCAACGAGCGGAAGAACGAAACGATTGAATCCGACTTGGGTATAGTCTTGACAACCCTAGGGATAGCAGGAATACCCATGATGAGGAATCCAGTGGTTATTTCCCATATGGTCCAAATGGCGACGCCAGACATTTGATAAGTTACATCCTCGGATGACAACAACTTGACGAAATATACTGTACGAACCACACCGAAAACCCAAGCACTTGGCGCGCGAAAATGTCAGTATAATATTTGGAGATACTGGGAGATCATGTACGAACCCGACTCCAATGACGAAGAGTAGCGACAAGCCCCATTTCCTGCTTGCTGACAGCTGGAGTTTCCAGATGATCCACTGCGGCATAGCCAGGATAGTGGTGTCGGATATGAAGTTGAGAACGCTCGTGGCAATGTTTTGGGCCTCAACGTCAACTGGGCAATGAACCGGTTCAAACCAAGGATCCCAAATCGCTTGGCGCGGCCAGCAACGAAAGATCTCGGTCAATGTCGTAATGATATAGAAGACCACGTTGGTCCAGATCAAAATTTGGAGTATCCACCAAATATGATTCCTTTGATCTCTCGGGACGAAGACGCGAAGCCAATTGACGAGGATAGCAACTTTTATACACATTGCGCATGGGCCGTAGAATACCGCGCCGAGGTGAATGTTCTTAGCAGAGTATATGTAAGCCTCCAAACGATAAATACAGCATAGTGAACGGTACTCACATATAAAAAATGTGGCAGAAACCCATTCTGGATGTTCCATTGATGCGTCCACATTCCCGGATAGATTGTGAGGTCGTATGTGATGTATTGATTTCCCGCGAAGACACCCTGGAAAAATGTTCAGCTCACAACTACTATTCCTTGCTTCGGCGTACGGATTATTGCGCCCAAAGAAAGTGCCTACCAATGCTGCGACCATCAAGAAATCCTCGATCACAAATTTCTTCGCGATGGCACTGCTAACCAAACGTGCTACCACTGCGAGAGTTGAGATGAGAGAACTCGCAATGATGATGCCATATCCAACTGCGTGATCGCCACCCGTGTCAATAAAGTTGGGTGTCACTCCAGGTGGCGGATCCAGTGCGGGTTCCTCCATAAGACTGCTCATGTTCACCACTCGTCCTGCAATTGATTTCGCGATTTTAATGTTGAGTATCCCATACGGTTTGGAGAACCAAGAGCCAGCATTCAAGGATGTGACTAGAAGTGATACACGAGTCGCCAAATGCAAAGTAAGTGAAACGTGGAAGATAGGCGGTATGTATGTAATGTATTACACAGGTGAGATTCGATGTATATATGTGGAAGGACCCGGTTTCTGCGATTGCTGCAGCTTACATGCAGCAGTATAGAGACCCTCGGGGTGGTCATAGAACTGTACGGAGCATCTAGACTGAAAGGATTTAGAGACATGTTATGTAACCCAATTGAAAGAAGCTGTCTCCACTCTTATGAAAATAGCAAGGCACACAGGGGGATGATATCGTACGCCAATGAGAGAGCATTCCCTGATAGTAGTTCATGTAGGCTAGAATCGCGTTGGTCCTGCTTTGATCGAGCTGGAGGACACATTCGGAAGCGAATGTAACGTAATGCACTATATTTGTATAGCTAACGTGTTACAGCCACTCTTTCCAGCGGTCCAACAGGCAACACCTGGGTCAGGGCCGCAACTATTTGGACAAAAAAAGTATCAATCTAAGTTCACAAACTAGAAACCTGCGTGCCAGAGTTAGCGTCGCTTGACACGGGCTCCAATACAGTCGTCGCCAATATCAATTCCAACAACCACGGCATCATGGATCAGAAATATGAAGGATCGCTGGTGAAACAGATCAAATCGCAGCAGGTTCAACCCAATTCGACGAAGGACCTGCCGACTTTCTATCGCAACATTGGTGAAGCCCTCGACGTGCGTCGCTCGACCCAAAGCCTGTTCTCCATCGTCCAGAACAACTGGCAAAGCAAAAATGCCGTGGACTTCTGCTCCAACGATTACCTCTCCTGGAACACAACGGGGCTAATTCGTTCGAGTTTCCTCGAAGAAATCAATCGCTATCCTGACTTTAGCGTCGCCGCCGGTGGTTCGAGGGTCATGGAGGGAAACTACCCATATATCGAGGAGACCGAGCAGGAAATTGCGTCCTTTCATGGAGCTGAAGCAGGATTGATTACGAGTTCTGCATTTGACGCCAATGTCATGGTTTGGACTGCACTTCCCCGACCAGGAGATGCGATTGTGTACGACGCCTTGGTGCACGCGAGCACTCACGAAGGCATGGAACGCAGTCTCGCGATTCAAAGGACTGAATTTCAACACAATGATGTCAAGGCATTCCGCAAGACATTAATTTCAATTCTGGACGCTCAGCCGATGATTAAACAAGGCAGACGCTCTATACTTGTCGCAGTAGAATCAGTGTATAGCATGGAAGGCGACGTATGCCCCCTGCTTGAACTGGTTGAAGTGGCAGAAGAGGTTTCAGAAGGACTTGGGAATATACAGTTCGTTATAGACGAAACACACAGCGGCGGATTGTTTGGGCCGAATGGTGCAGGCCTTGTGTGCGAGATGGGCTTGGAATCGGATATTGCGGTGCGGGTACATACCTATTCGAAAGCGATGGGCGCTTGTGGAGGTAAGAGTTCCTTCTTGATGTTGCAACTTGGGCTAATGCATTATTCTAGGAATTATATTCTGCAACGAAATGATCAAGTCCGCATTGATCAACTTTGCACGTCCCAGCATATATTCTACGTCATTACCCTTCCCATTTGTGGCAGCGATTCGCGCTGGACACAGGCTACTTGGAACACCGGAGGCACAGAGGGTAAGTATCGTGTTGGTGGGACTTCTATGGATAATGAATGCTGATCAATAACTCAGGGCCAAGACAATGTGCAACTCCTTGCTCGAACTTTCTTCAAGTCTTTGACATCACATGCACTCTGGCCAATAGCCCAAGAGAAAGGTCTTCTTTCCGTGCCACTTGCTGACGGATGGGAAGAACGACCGTTTCTTACCCATATCGTCACTATCTGGACTCGTCAAAAGTACATCTACTGGATATACATGCATCTACTCTCGGCCTCGTTCTACGTCTTGCCTGTTAAACACCCTGTAGTGCCAAGCGGTGAAAGCCGTCTTCGGGTCACGTTCCACGCGGGAAACACGGCCGCACAGGTGGAGGCCCTAGTTGAACAGGTCTTTATGTGGGTAGAAGAGATTACGACCATTGAGGACGGAAAGACGGATCAGAAAGTCACGAAGGCCGCCCAGAAAGTCTACACATGGATGAAGCGGGAAGGATTGAAAGGGTTTGGAATGCTTTAGTTCTCGGTACGTTATGGAGCTAGAAAATAATCCTTGACAGAGGCTTAGCGTTCCATAATATCCCATGTATGTTGAGCGGGGAGAGGGGGATGATCCATATCTGTAGTAGAATCGAGTGGAGACGTGGGGCGATAAAGTGGAAAGATGCTGTAACTAGACGGCCAACTCCTGTTATCCTGGATACCTTGACATAACTAGAGACTTGGAACATTAATGGAGTCATAGTACTCACGCTACTCACCTGTCTTACCCTTCAGGCCCTTTGTACATAGGTTTCCGCGATCCTATTGTAGTTATAACTACCGATCGCCCCCAAGTCTCCATCTTGGGCACGCTAATCAGCCGCTCGGCCCCGTCATCCATTTGGGACACACTAGCCCTGTCCCATGTGTGGTACTTTCAGTACCAGACGACCGGGAATGGATTGTTCCATTTGTTGCTGCGCCTCGGCTGCACAAACCGGCCAATGCTCCGAAAGAGGGTGGCGTGGACGACCTCATAGGCGGGAGTAAGCCTATCGCATCCGACTATTAGATACGTACCGGCTCAGCCTTATACCACTTGTGCGAAATTCAACCTTGCAAAGTAGGTGGATCCAGACACATAGGTATCTGAAAGGCCATTACCTCGGCGCTCAAGGGTGTCAGACATGCATACCCTGCGAGACATTTCTCTTGCGGCGCGACGGAGGACATTAAGCAAAGCATACAATTGGTTGGAAACCCGGCCGGAGCTGAGGCGACATTCTGTTTACCATCGCTGTAATATTCACTTCATTTGACCACTCAATGCACATTGTCCGTTGGTTGCAAATGAAAGCGCCTCGTACACTCTTCAGTCTTTGGGTCTACTTCATATGAGCCAGATGTGTGTATTTTTCTTTTTTGAGAACTGTCTGAACTACCTAATTACTTCCAACTGAGCCAGCTTCATATATGCTTGGTTGAGGCATACATCTTTCCCACAGCAGAGGAGATTCTCTCTTTTCCTCTTGCTCTTTCGTTTGCATATCAGACATCATGGAGCCAATAGCTATTGTCGGATTGTCGTTCAAGCTGCCGCAAGGGGCAGAGGATGAACACAGCTTTTGGGATATACTCGAGAACGGCAAAAACGTCATGACATCATGGCCGGACTCAAGAGCAAACCTCAACGCATTCTCTCAACCACAAGCTGCTAGCAACAACACGGTAAGGCGCCGACAATGTCCTGGGGAGGTTACATCTCTGATATAATGATTAGCTACAAGCAAAGGGCGCGCATTTCCTCAAGGAAGATCCCGATGCCTTCGACGCGCCATTCTTTTCCATTTCCTCCAAGGAAGCTGCTGCTATGGACCCACAACAGCGTCTGTTACTAGAAGCGGCATATCACGCCATGGAAAACGGTATGTTGAGAATCAAGTACTCCAGTGACTCCGTTTCGATGGCTCACACTTAACAGCTGGTATTCGTGTTGAAGATGTCGCAGGGACTGAGACGGGAGTTTTCGCAGGATCTATGGAGAGCGATTACCACAGGTCAATATCCAAAGATCCTGACACAGCACCTCCGAATACCGCAACGGGTGCTTCTGTTTCTATCTTGGCTAATAGGTTGAGCTGGTATTTCGACCTCAAAGGCCCTAGTATGCAACTGAATACCGCTTGCTCCTCGAGCATGGTTGCCATGGATCTTGCCTGTCAGTCGTTGCGAGTTGGGCAAAGCTCCATGGTAAAATAGCCCTGAAAACAGACACGTTCCAAAATCTCGAGGCTAACATTCTCAATAGGCACTTGTCACCGGATCTAATTTGATTCTCAGCCCCGAGCTGTCTCTGTATCTAGCGAATTTGAACATGCTCTCACCGGACGGTCTCTGCTACAGCTTTGATCATCGTGCAAACGGATACAGTAGGGGAGAAGGCGTGATCGTTTTGGTGCTGAAAACACTATCAACTGCAATCAGAGATCAAGACCCCATTCGTGCGGTAATCCGGGGGACTGGATCAAACCAAGACGGTCGTACCCCCAGTATCACCCAGCCGAGTTCCACATCTCAAGAAAGTCTCATACGCCAGGTTTATGCTAATTGTAAGCTCGGGTTCGAGTCCACACGATACGTGGAGGCTCATGGTAAGTAAAGTCTTTGACATGAAAGCGACCGAATGTATATTCTTACTAAAAGCCTTAGGAACCGGAACACAAATCGGTGATGCGACAGAAATGAAAGCAATTGGTGCTGTTTTCAGAACCAGTCGTTCACCGAAAGCGCCTCTTTACGTGTAAGCTCTCCCCAATACCATATACTGTGCATGCCTCTGTGCATATGTGGCTGATCGTGGTTACAGCGGTTCTGTGAAAACCAATGTGGGGCATCTTGAAGGCGGAAGTGGCCTTGCAGGAATTCTCAAATGCACGATGATGCTCGAAAAGGGTGTCATTCCACCGAACGCGTTGTTTGAGAAAATGAATCCAAAAATTAACGCCAAGCGGAATAATATCCAGGTAGAATAGTTCCGTGCACAATGGAGGCCCGCTGCTGACAGATCCTAGATCCCAACATCGTGCATCCCGTGGCCCGGTAGTGGCTTACGGCGAATTTCGATCAATTCATTTGGTTTTGGTGGATCTAACGCGCACGTCGTCATGGACGATGCATACCATACACTGGAAGAACTTAGCCTTAAATCCGGGCTGCACAGCGTCCATTCTTCAGCACTCGCACATTCAGCGGGGTATCAAACGACTAACGGAGAAGACAAGGATGAAACTGAAGGACTTCCTATTCTGACAGAAGCTGAGAATCGAGCAGTCCATCAAACTATAGAAACACTCAATCAGTCAGTAGATAACACCGCTAGCGGCGCCGCGGATACCTCGATTTCAAGTGACGTTAGCTCTGTTCCCACAGTCAATGACACTACCCCATCGGGCTCGTCAACGGCAGATTCCAAGTACCAACTTCTCGTATACTCGGCACGAGACGAAGCAGCTCTCAAACGAGTTCTTCAACAGTACAGCAAGTATTATGACGATTCTGTGCTGGGGTCAACCAGCAGACTTCAGAGACTCGCTTATACACTTTCTGCAAGACGGAGCATGATGACACTTAGATCGTTCAGTGTGGGCCACGCAAAGCTGAGCTCTGAGACTATCGGCTTGTCAGGTTCCGACTGCGTCCGTTCATCCTTAGACACGCAACTCTGTTTCGTGTTTACCGGTCAGGGTGCCCAATATGCTAAGATGGGACTGGAACTCATTCAGTATCCTGTTTTTATGTCTGCCCTGGACAAAGCGGATAGGGTATTCCTCTCTTTAGGGGCTGATTGGTCTTTATTCGGTGTGTAACTCAACGATTATATTCCTTCAATGATCTCGGGACATGACTGATCAAAAACAACAGACAAGATCGAAAGTGGAGAAAGCATAAACTTGCCACAATTTAGCCAGCCACTTTGCACTGCTCTTCAAATAGCGCTCGTTGAGTTACTAAAAAGCTTCAACGTCTCACCAACGGCCGTCGTGGGTCATTCTTCAGGGGAGATCGCAGCTGCGTATGCTGTCGGTGCTCTGTCACTTGAATCTGCATGCAAGATTGCATATCATAGGGGCAGGCTGAGCGGGCAACTGGCTGCGTCATCCAAGCCAGGGGCCATGATGTCTGTTAACCTCCAGGAAGGAAACTTCCATGCTTACGTGGAAAAGGTGCTCCCAGGAGGAGATGTCCATGTCGCCTGTGTCAACAGCCCAACAAATATCACACTTGCTGGGTCTGAAGTTGATATTGATGTTTTGAAGACTCACTTGGATGATGATGGAGTATTCGCACAGAAAATAAAGACAGGACTAGCCTATCATACGCCCGTCATGCGACAAATAGCCTCGGAGTATCTGTCCTGCATGGACACCCTCAGCGACTCGGTCTCGGAAAACAGCAAAGTTTTGATGGTATCCTCACTTACTGGACAGAAAGTCGCCCCAAGCGAACTGGCATCTGGCCAATATTGGGTCGACAACCTTACTTCCCCTGTGCGCTTCGTTGATGCATTACAATATCTCACACAAGCGGCACCCAAGCTAGATGGGATCAAAACCATAACTGATTTCATTGAAATTGGCCCTCATGGTGCTCTGCGTCGACCTGTACTTGAGACATTGGGCCAGGTTTCCAACGGGAAAGCATCCAGATATGCTTCTGTTCTTTCGAAACTTGATTCGCCGTTGAAGACTACAATGGAGGTTGCTGGCCGACTTTTCACACGTGGCTACCCAATATCTATTACAGCAGTAAACCAGCAAGGAGCGGAAACTTCTTCCATACTGATTGACACGCCTCAGTATCCGTTCGATCATTCCCAACGATATTGGCATGAGAGCCGGTTGAGCCGTGATTGGCGCCTACGAGGAGATGCGCCAAGAGAGGTGCTTGGCATACGCTCAACGGACTGGAATCCACTGGAACCGAGGTGGCGCAAGATGCTCAGCATTGAAGAAGCACCTTGGATTGCCGACCATGTTGTCGATGGTGCTATTCTTTTCCCAGCAGCGGGAACACTCGCTATGGCCCTCGAAGCTGTCAAGCAAACAGTTCAAGCACCTCAAGTCATCTCAGGATATCTTGTCAAGGAGGCTACATTCAAGAGCCCCATATTCGTCGAACCAGAGAAGAAGACCGAGGTCTTAACACAATTGCGTGCCCTTCAAAATGCCTATGAGAAAACATCGTTGCGTTTCGAGGTTGTGGTTTTCTCTGTTGACGGGAGCAATTGGAATGAATGTTTCAAGGCCATAATACACGCCAAGATCAAAGATGAGATTACCACAGAGGTCGACGGAGGGCTCGAGTCTCGTGCAACTGGGCAAGCATTCTCTAAGAGCTACGAAGAGGCAAAAGCTGCATGCAAAAGTCATGTTACTAAGCAGAACTTCTACGAGGGACTTGACAAGCAGAACTTATCATATGGGGAGGCGTTTGCCCTCGCAGAAGATATCTTTTGGGATGGCGATGAACTCTGTGTAGCGCGCGTTGACGTTGGTGATTCTGTGGAATCTTATGAGGGTGCGTTCCACCCAGCGGTCTTGGACAATTGTCTTCAAGTCTGTTCCACAGCGCCATCAGGGGGTATGTCGAAGACACTTTCAACATTCATTCCACACCGGCTGCACGACACCTGGATATCCGCATCAGGATGGCAATATCCACAAACAAATTCAATAAGGATACAGACCAAATCCAAACTCAACGCATCCTCCACTGGTCTGGACTGTTCTTTCACAGTGTTAGCCGATGATGGATCACTGCTTTGTCATGCCAAACAATTCCACATGTCAAGTGTCGCCGACAAATCGTCCTCAAGCGAGGCTCAGAAAACACTTCTCCATGGCATCGATTGGAAACCACAACTGTCTTTGCTCACCGCAGATCAGCTATCTGATCACTGTGACGCAAACAAGTTCGTAGAGGATGAGACTTTCGCGTCCGACTATTGTGTTCGGTTGGAACGAGCTCTTCGCACTTATCTCCAGCGAAATTTAACCCAGCTCCAGGTGTTACAGGGTCCTGAGACACCAGCACATCTCAAGCACTTTGTGTCGTGGATCGAGAGGCAACTCCTAAAGAAGCCTGGCCAGTCCGTGGAAGAGATAAACGATGAAACGCTTAGTGCTGAGCTCAAAAATCTGCGAGAGATTCGGCCATCTTGGAGAATCTTCATTGATGTCGCGCATGCCCTCAACTCCATAGTTAAGGGAGAGACAGATGCTCTCGAGCTTCTTTTCTCAACACCATTGGCTCAAGACTTATACGACGAGTTTTTTCAACGCACATGCAACCAGAAACTTTTTTCTTATCTCGAATTGGCGACTCATCAAACACCCGACCAAAGAATCCTCGAGGTTGGCGCTGGTACAGGTGGCATGACGAATCAGGTTCTCTCGATTCTGAGCCAGATTGAACGCCGCACCGGAGGTACTGCTTTCTCCGAATACATTTATACCGATATCTCAACAGGTTACTTCGAAGAAGCACGTGAGCGCTTTTCAGCTTATCGTGACCGAATGACATACAAGACTTTCGACCTAGAGCGGGATGTAATTACGCAAGATATCGAGCCCGGCTCGTGCGACATCATTCTTGCCGGTAGCGTATTGCATGCCACCAAGAATCTATCCCATACCTTACGCAACCTCCGGCGTGCGCTGAAACCTGGTGGCCAGCTGATTATTCTTGAGGTTACCGCTCCGGATTGCTTTGTGACGAGCTTTGGATTTGGCATTTTGCCTGGCTGGTGGATTGGCGAGGAGGAGTCTCGCGCCTGGTGCCCAACCATTGCTGAACCTGAGTGGGATACATTGCTGAAAGACAACGGATTCTCTGGTAATGACCTGGTCATCAAAGATTACAAAGATGACAGTGCTCATTACGTCAGCATTCTTGTTTCCTCCGCTGACAGACCGTCCGAAACAACGACCAGTGGCTCGAGGATACTGATAGTTGTTGAAGACCATAATGAAGATCAGAAACGCTTAGCGTCGAATCTGGTGGAGAGCGGCTTTGAGTCTTCAAATAGTCGCCCAATAATCTTTGGACTTTCTCAGGTCGCAGATGCGGAAGTGTCTACAACCGATACCGTGGTTTTCCTTGCCGACGCGGGAGAATCCCTGCTGGCTAAGCCTTCCGAAGATACATTCAAACAGATGCAGGACTGGGTCCAGCAATCGAAGCAATTACTTTGGGTGACCGCGTCGACTATCTCGCAACACTCTTACCCATACGCAAGCCTCAAAGATGGATTCCTGCGAGTCTTTCGGTCGGAGAACGACAGCAAGAGAATTGTCTCTCTGTCCCTAGAGAGTGAATTGTCAGATGGCGCTGGTTGCGTACAACAGATCACGCAGGTCTTCCGCTCAGCCTTTGAGACTGCATCCCCGGACTCTGAGTACATCATACGTAATGGAAAGGCATTGACTGGTCGTCTCATTCAAGAAGTTGATCTCAACAAGGACTTGAACTCGTCTATTTCTCCCCAAATACTAACCGAGGCCTGGCTACCAGGCCCACCATTGAAGTTCGACGTCGGAACCCGTGGGTCGCTTGAAACGCTCCGTTTCATAGAAGACCCAGACCATTTCATCCCGCTTGGTCCGACAGATATCGAAATCGAGAACAAAGCCTGGGCACTTGGCTTCCGTGACATTTTCGGTGCCCTGGGCCGTTTGGACGAGAATGAGTTCGGTACAGATTGCGCTGGTGTGGTGAAGAGAGTTGGTTCGCAATGCACGCAGCTTCAGCCGGGCGATCGTGTTTGCACGTCGACCTTCGGTTGCATGCGGACGTACGTTCGCTGCGATGAGGCCGATGCCATCAAGATCGCCGACTCTCTCTCCATGGAGGAGGCTTGTGGTGTGATCAACCCCGGAATGACTGCTTGGCACTCTTTAGTCAACGTTGCCCGCTTGCAGAAGGGGGAAAAGATCCTCATTCATTCAGCTTCCGGCGCGACGGGACAGGTGGCTATCCAGATCGCCAAAAAGATTGGCGCTGAGGTGTTTGCAACTGTGGGATACGACTACAAGAAGCAGTTACTTATCGATGAGTATGGTATACCCGCAGACCACATCTTTTACAGCAGAGACCTGAGCTTTGTTGAGGGCATTATGCGCGTAAGTGAGGGTTATGGAGTGGATGTTGTTTTGAATTCACTAGTGGGCGAGGGCTTGCGCGCATCTTGGGAGTGTGTTGCTCCGTACGGACGATTCATCGAGATAGGAAAGGCCGATATTCACGCGAACGCGCCATTGCCAATGGCATGTTTTGCCAAGAACGTAACCTTCTCCGCGGTCGACCTCCGCCATCTCAGTTTCTACCGGATCGACCAGGCGAGAGAATTGTTTCGTAAAACCGTCAGCCTTGTCGGAGAACAGGTCATTCATTGCCCGAGGCCATGGCACACCTACTCTGTATCCGACATCGAGGAGGCATTCCGATACCTGCAGAGCGGAAAGAATACCGGTCGAGTTGTCGTTCGAGTCGAGCATTCTGCCAAGGTTCAGGTAAGTGACAATTCCTTTGTGATGCCAGTACTTTCCAGCTAACATGTTGTAATGCAGAAATACCTTATCCACCGCAGGACCTGGAGTTTCAATGAGAATGCCACATATCTCGTTGCAGCAGGTCTAGGAGGAGTTGGTCGTTCGGTCCTTAGGTGGATGGCATCAAAAGGTGCAAAGCAGTTGATAGTCCCATCGCGATCGGGCGCCGCATCCCAAGAAGCGATCCAGGTTGTTAAAGAACTTACCAGCCAAGGTGTGAAGATTGTCACGCCAAAGTGTGATGTTTCCGAGGAAAGCTCTCTCCAACAAGTACTCGAAGAGTATGGACAAACGATGAGTCCCATCCGCGGATGCATCAACGCGACTATGGTTCTTCAGGACTCCGTTTTTGAGAACATGACACATGCACAATGGGAGGGCACCATCCGCTCCAAAGTCCAAACTTCGTGGAACCTTCACGCCCTTCTTCCTAAAGACCTTGATTTCTTCTTACTACTCTCGTCTGCAGCTGGCATAATTGGGAATGCAGGCCAATCGAATTACGCAGCAGGCTGCACATTTCAAGACTCACTATCCCGGTACCGCGTCTCCCATGGTCAGAAAGCGGTGTCTATCGATCTTGGGCCCATGCGCACTGTTGGTGTTGTTGCCGAAAACGAAGGTTTGAAGAGGACTTTTGAGAAGTACCCAGGCCTCACTCGGATTGAGGAGGAGGAATTCCTTACGCTGTTAGACATCCTCTGCGAGCCTGAAAGTAGCTCGCCTTCATCTGCAACGAGGAGCCAAGTTACTATGGGTATCGTCACCCCAGCTGATCTTCTCCTCGAAGGTAGCGATTTCCCACTCGAGCACATGCAGCGATCACTCTTTGCCCATTTTAGCCAGGCCAAAGCTATTTCAAGCAACTCGGCCACGGCAAACGGCCCTAACGCGGCAGTATTGTTTCGGCAAGCGGAGACTGAAGAAGAGATGACCGACGTGGTTGTCGAATCGTTGGTAAGGAAGCTAGCACGTGCACTGTCTATACAACCAGAGGACGTGGATGTGGAAAAACCCCTGCATCTCTACGGAGTAGATTCTCTTGTCGCGGTGGAACTTCGCAATTGGATCACAAAAGAGTTTGCGGCAGAAGTGCCTGTGTTCGAGTTGATGAGTGGAAGAACGATCGTGGCAATTGGCCAGCTGGTCACGAAGACTAGCCAGGTTAAGAAAGCAGCCTGACCGTAGGGCAGGATTTAAGGGGGGGGGGGGGGGGGGGGGCAAGCTACCATGGCAAGACTATTGGCAGACTATTTAAAATACGGACTTGTTTACAATATAAATTTACTACTATTTAAACAAGTGGCCCTGTAGTGATTGATCTAGACTAGGGTGTAATGTTACACATCAAACCATGTATAATGTGATTGAGAGGACCTGGCATGCTTATCCCATTTAGATATCGCCCACTTCGAATAGAATTCAATGTCTCAAACCGCAATGCAATTGAAATTGACCATTTTGTAGTCCATGTTTTCCTGAATATTCACGGCGCCTAATAATCATGCATAAACAATGACAAAGTTGTTGCGTTGCCAACTCTGGTCTTAATGTCCTTGAATCCATATTGGTGCAAATCAACGGCTTTGGCCACATCGTTCATTGCCACCGCCACGCAACCAAGCAACGAGACTCTGGCGAGGCTTTGTTCACTACTGTAATTGATGCGTAGATCGGTGCATAGTCCATGTGTGTTTGTACGGGCTGGCCAAGCATAGGACATAAGATACAACGCCCGAGGGGATGCTGACCGTTTCAATGATGGTAGCATAGGGCGACGTACATGATGACTACTGATCATGATATAGGCGTGTCATAAACGATTCGAAAACATGATGTCATGGGGATTTGGACTTGGTATAGGTTGAACAGTTAGTATATTTAACAGTTTTTGACTTATAACGTATGGACATACGTAGTGCAGACACAACATGTCAGGTGTACTGAGAGACCCTATAACCAATCAGGACCATGTCATAGCTAGATTGCCATGCAGTTCACAGACCAATCGTTCATCGAAGTGGTGTGTCGACAACTTTTTCACTGCTAAACAAGAACTCGGGATCGTTCTGACAACTCTTGTCTGAGACTATAAGAGCTTTGAATAACTTTTAGCTAGTTGTATTTTTTTCATTTGAATCTCCTACTTTGGGCGTCTTGAACCATGATCATTTCAATGCCTAGATTTTCGATCACGCCCACCATCAGGTGAAAACGAGTGAACTAAAGTCATGATTGGAAGACTCTCCCGTACCGAGCTTTGTATAGCGCTAGTGACCTGTGTGGGTACGGAGCACACGACAATCCTAACATTGTAACATCCGCCAACCGACAGTATCACTGTAGCCTTGGAACAAGCAAGGGAATTGAATTAGGCATCCAAGTGAGAAATAACTTTCAAGAAAAGCCCAGAGGCATGGTCGATCAAGTTACTCGAAGCGATTACTCGGGGCGAACGAGCCTGCTTAGCGCTTCCTTGTCAGACCGAAACTTATTTGACCATCATGATATGCCGCATTTGTGCCGTCTGAGTCGGAAACAATCCCGGAATAGGAAGTCAGCCTTAAAAACCCACTTCGTAGGTATACGGCTCGATTCCTTGGCGCTTTCTCGCACCAAACTTACGTCATGCTGGTCATATTGGGTACAAATTAATAACCATAAACGGTTACAGTCAGTGCAATTGACAATGCTAGGTTAGTAAAAGTCTTAAGTTGCTAAAAATCCAAGGACTCTCTCATAACTACTAAGACTGCTATCTCGGACTCTTAAACATAATAGCGAAAACGACATTCAGTAGGTAGTAGAGAGCTGTGCCCTGCTTAGGTGGAAGTGATCAAAGCATTATAAATTATGTAGATTTGCCGTTTCTTCCATAATTTACGGTTTGAATTAATTACAGAATCAGTTTTATGCAGATGGAATGTAATGGTATTATCTTGTTCGACCTTGAGCTCGAACCATGGCCAGGCCGATATAACAGCGAAGGCTAGTCTCCTTTCAAAAATCCTGATCCTTCAGGATCCACATATTGAGTATAGGCAACCGAATGAAGAGCCAGCCACAACGAATATCTGGACAAATCTGTCATATCATGTAGAAACGGTAATAAGGTTCACTATTGTGGTAGCAGGCGAAAAAAAAAACCGCAGTAGGGCAGGTGTTCGCCCAGGGGGTGGTACATCTGTTCCTGTGCACAGAAGCATGTTGGAAAGAACTTGAGAACTGATACTTGCCCTGTAGCGGTTATCAACCCTCTATACTATAGTATATTTCAAGACTGCTGACTAGCGTCCTAGCTCTATAAGAGGCACCTGGGACCTGACCGGGTGTCAAGCCGATCGGACCGACCGTCCCTTTTGGTATCTCGCCTCCTCATTAGCCCGCCCGCTTTTTGGAAATGCCTCTACATCTTTATGGAACCACTGCGCAAACGTTCCTGTTGGTTATGCCATGCGGAAGTTCTTGTATTTTTTGCATGCCAAGTTCACTAGTCTGGTAGCAGCATGTCATCCGATCATAGCGTGGTGCGTTAGCTGTCTTGTCCAAGCACACCCGCCAGTGACTATGCGATCAATTCTATCAACAATCAGGATTTCTGGAGTGCTTCGAGCGGGACTGGAAAATAATTTCAGGAGCCTGTGCAGTACGTATAATATAAATTGTGTACGAGAAAGATAAGTTTCACGGACTTGCTTTTGTGCCCAGATGTAGGAGAAAGTAAAGGTCCTGGCTTATCCCCTCGCAGGTTGACGTGTTTGCTTTGTATAAATGGTACTCACGATGTTACTGTTAGTGACCTTCAAGCTGGCAACTTATGCGCTGGGATAATTAAAAAAAAAATCGAGAATTTCAATGGTCCCGGTCTCAACTGTCTGAGATAGATACATTTCATAGCGTGTGATGCGATTGGCTTGACCCTACCCTGTAATGGTTTCGCCACTAAACTTCTCTCACGTTCTATCTACTTCTACGGCCATTATAAATCCACCACGATTTATAATCCAAGTAATTAGTAGTCCAATGGATTAATAAGATTAAATTACAGTCACAGTAAGACGTGCGATTCGGACGAAGTCTGTGTATAAGTGGTCTACCTTCGAGTATTACTTCGAATCAAGTGCTTCCGCCTAATCAACGTTATATAATATACACATAACCTAACAGCAATAAACTATTTGTTGATTAGAATAAGTTTAAACGTAAACTTAAAACAATCTTTAATAACTGTTGTTAGTAATGACTGTCTATATAGAGTAGGAAATCTAATCATTATTATATTGAAGTAGTGAGTGTTGGCTGTACTATTATAGCAGGAAGGCTAAGTGGGTTATACGGCCTTTGTCGGAGTTGTTCTCGGCCTGATCGTTATGAGGTTTGAGAGATGGGACTTGTAAATAGTTTTCCTCACCATGCTTTTCACATTTTCGGCACAGTTAGTCGTTGGTTTTTGCAACGGTGCATTCAAAAGATGACAAGAATGGCTCATCATCGCTAAATAATAATATTTTGGTTGTCAAACTCATCCTTCCCACTCTTTACTTATTGATCAATCCACGAGCGACCCTGTGAGCTTATCGTGAGGCCTATAACTAACGGACAAGACAGTGGTCCTGGTTCAATATTCATTCATTCCTTCACTGATATTCCTTGGAGCGTTGGGAGCGCGATGCTCCTATCGCTCTTAGAGCGCTTGGAGCGCGGCACCTTTATCGCTCCTAGAGTCGCATGAAGCGCTGTGCCTGTGTTGCTCCTTTGTTACGTGACCCGGGGTCCTGTGCTGTCATTGTCCAATAGAATCCTAGTAGTGGTGATTAGTTGTCTAAGCTCCCTCTCTCCACTTCAGGCCTGGCTCCTGGCCTTCATTCGTAACATATACGCGTTATATATATAATTTATCGTAACTTATTATAACTTTAATAATCTTTAAATGATTTTAACGATTTTTAATAGCGTAAATCAAGGAATAAGTGGACTACAGGAGTCACCATACTCATCTCCTCGGCTGACAGTGCTGGTTTTTGGTGATTAGTTATCAAAAAGTCTTGTGATCCACGGCGGCTTATTACCCCGAGATTTCACGTGTTTACACTTCGTAAGAGAGCTGGTGGACATATATAAACCATCACTATCTTGCTTCAAAAACGGTATGAGTTGTACATCCAAACGAATCATGGCAAGCAGTAATTCAGTGATCATCTTCGGTGCTAGCGGCAACGTAGGCCAGTACGTCGTACCCGCCTTGCTTAAAACCGGCGTTGAGGTCACCGTCGTCACACGCAAGGGCTCAAAGACTGCGCTCTCATATGGGAATGCCACTGTAGCCACAACAGACTATAGCTCCCAGTCGGAACTCGTTTCCATCATCCATGGTCACGCCTCAGTAATCTCGTTCCTCAGCGCCGGGGCACTACCACTGCAAAAAAACCTCATCGATGCCGCCATCGAGGCAGGAGCCACCTTCTTCATCCCCAGCGAATTTGGCCATGACACCACGAACGAGGATGTGACGTCGTTACTACCCATCCTTAGTGTCAAATCCGGGATCATCACGTACTTGCAGGAGAGAGAGAAAGATGGGCTGAGCTGGACAGGCATTATTACTGCGCTGTTCTTTGACTGGGTAGGCTATTATTTTCTCTCCCATAACTGTTTCGCAGGAAACACTCAATAAAAGCTAACACAGTATTCCCAGGGCCTGCCTCAAGGCAACTTCGGCGTCGACTTGAAAACGGGCAAGGCGACTATCTGGGATGGCGGTGACATCTCCTTCTCAGCAGCCAACATGGACGACATCTTGGCCTCTATCGTAACACTCATCATCGATCCGTCCGCGCGCGAGCGCTACAAGAACCAGCACGTCTACGTCTCGTCCGTGCAGACGACACAGAATGAGATCCTGGCCGCGGCCGAGGACGTTATGGCCAAGAAATTCGAGGTGACCCAGTTTGACTCAGAGGAGGCTTTCGCGTACACAAAGAAGCCGCTGCCTATGGCCTACTCACCCCAGCTCCTGGCCGTTCTTGCGGCATTACAGCTGTCGAAGCGCAGGCTGAGCGATTACCAGGCTCGGGTTAACGCTGGGCACAACCGGTTCATTATCAACGCGAAGAGGGATGTGAGGGATGTCTTGAAAGCTGTACTGGAAGAAATAAAGCATTAAAGGAAATTAGAGAATTTAGATTTATAGAATGTTTGATGTCAGCTCTTATTAGATATGACTATGCTTACTCAAACTGTGAATTTCCTATAAGCTCTTCCTGCTCTCATATGCTAGTATTTTCTCCTCACCCGTTCTTCTCTCCTCTTAGTCTCAGTCTTGAATCTCATTCCGTATAGCTTATAGACTGTTATGTGCTCGGTGCGTCCGTTAGGTAAACGCTCGAGGCGCCTAGTACGGCTCGGGCGTTCGAGCTGGATGCATGCATGTCGCGATTAACCGCCGCAGGGGCCTCCCCACAGTGTGTGGATCATAGGAATCAAAATACTGCTATTCATTGATTGATGTATAGTATCTCCCTAACCTACGATGCCCCAGCTTAATTCCTCTCCTCCAGATTTGCAAAATGTCGCAAGTGATGTACTCCGTTTAGCTCCTCAATCTGCACGAACCAGGCACCTAAGCCCTCCATGACTTCTCTACTCGCCTTCAGGCTACGATACCAGTAGGGTTCCCATTCGAGCAGGTTGCCCGAGTGTAAAGTGCAGGAAGGGAGTTCGAAGAGCCCACCCAGGTGACGAGGTGGTGTTGTTGGTCAGAAGGAGAACTCTTGCATGAGGGAGGTGTGTTTGGTGTTGATCAGGGCTTAGAGTTTGTGGTCGAAGGCGGAGAAATCGGGGTGGGCTTGGATGGCGTGGATGGAGCCACAAAGGAGACAGGGAAAGCAGACTACAATACGCGTAATCAAATGCTCAGTGTCAGAGGATAGAGTACTACAAGGCTGCAAATTTGTACAAGTTTTCCCCAAGTTGGCCAAGAGCCGGTTAGTGAAGAATAAGTGTGCGTTATGGTGAGGTCCCATGCGCTTTCAAAGGCAGTCTCCGCCCGCGTTTACCGAGGTTGCTGCCTGGAGAAGTAAAGCTGATTATTCAACATCGGATGATATTAAACCGTCTGTAACACGCAACATAAGTGAGCGCAATTGCACCTTGGAGGCTAAGACTATAAATTCTTTTGCGACAACAAGTCGGACCATATTCCTGAAAGTCTATATAAAGCCTTGCTCGTTTTTCATCCTTCGAAATTAGAATTGTATATATTACAACTGCTTGAATATTTCATATCCAGTAGAAGAAAGCTAATCGATACCAGCCTCAATAGTGATGGATGAAGTAGTGCTCTTTGACATCCCTAGTACACCACGCTGCCATGGCTGGTCGCTTAATCCATGGAAAACGCGTATGGCTCTCAATTACAAGAATGTACCATACAAGACGGAGTGGACAGAGTTTCCAGACTTAGAGCCAAAATTTAAGGAACTGTATTTGTACCCTTTCCTTCAGCTCTTACGTCGTACTGCTTAGTTGAGCCGGCAAAATTTGCTAAAAGCATCGCTAGCTAATACAAGAAATAGCGGAATTGCCCCTAATGAACAAGGCCGCGCATATACTTCGCCCGCAATCAAGCTAGACCGCTCAACCTACATCCAGGACTCCGCCAAAATTGCCCTAGAGCTGGAAAAACGGTATCCTCACCCGTCGCTCTACTTGGACTCATCCTTACTACCCATGGCCTACGAGGCCGTTACCGCCATCTTGGTCATCTACCGTCCTATTTCAATGTGCAAAGTACTTCCCAAACTACTTAACAGGAGAAGCGCGGACTACATTTCCCGCACGAGAACTGAGGCACTTAAAAAGTCGCTTGAAGAGCAAGCGAAGGGTCCTGATGCCGAAGAAGCATGGAAGAAGATGAAAGGACCGCTAGAGGATTTGGCGGCGCTTATTAAAGGGAAAGGGGGCCCATTTATGATGGGGAAGACTCGTAAGCAGTTTTCATTTCTTTCTAGCTATACTCAACACAGAATCAGCGTGACGAAAATGGCAAAGGCTAATGAGAGGAATGTAGCATCGTACGCAGATTTCGTGATCACGAGTTTCCTCTATTATATTCGAAGGATTGATCAGAACGACTTTGACGGGATGATTGCTATAGACTCTGCGCTCTCTGATATCTTTGAAGCATGCGAACCATGGTTCTTGAAAGATGATTAAGACCAATGAAGAATACTTAGGCATCTGTCTAAGTTATTGTTTTTCAATTGCTTGATTGAAGCTATGCACATGATGACTGGACTTTAGGACAATTTAATATCAGAATGTGGAACTGTGATACGGCTATGAATTTTCACTTGGGTGCAAGAGAATAACCCATCATGCCCATGTAGGGACGCCATGATGCGCCTGCTGAAGCGCTTACCAAACGACAGCTTGGTGCTGACTTTTTCAGCGATGGCGACACCCTCCATATGCCATCCTATCGCACACCTGTGACCGGCCAAGAAGTCACGTATAATGAGCTGGTGTCCGGTATAGGCAAAGACAAGACTGACTACGCTAAAATCTGCTTCTGTGTAAATAGAGCTGCCGAGGACGGGTTAGAGTATTCCTGGGTGGATACCTGCTCTATCGACAAGTCTACCAGCAATGAGCTCGGCACAGCTATCAACTCTATCTTTCACGGGTATCAGCGCGCAAGGAAGTGTTGCGTGTATCTGTCAGATGTCAAGGTGCCAGATGAGGTCATTGGTGCCCAAGCGTTCCGCGTAAAGTGGATGGAACCCTTTCGACGAAGCCGATGGTTTAGACGAGGCTGGACATTGCAAGAATCGTGCCCGCGGATAAACCAGAAAACGGTCATTTGCTGCCGTTAGGGAAACACTGCGCGGCTTTTGGATTTGCATAGGTACTAACTTCTCTTCTCTCTAATCGCAAACGATCCAATTTTGGCTCCCACCTAAAAATCTACCACGAGTACTCTTTCAGACTATGCCAGTTCTGAACTCAGGATCATGAGATGTAACCACAACAGCGACGAGCCAAATGCAGCTCAAAGATGACACACCTGCCGCGAGCGACGAAAGCTGCGTTGTGGTCCAAGATGCGTCCCAAGAACGAGTAATTTGGTCTGTGACGAGATCTGCTGCGAATACACTTTTGTCGCTCTCTACGACAGCCTGTTTCTGATCCCTTTTCAGTGGAAGCCTGGTTGGTAAGAACCGACCATTAGAGTCTCTGGCTGAACATGGTCCACAAACAACGCTGAAAGCTAACGCAACCCTGAATCCCCAGTCCCCAGTCCTCGGTCATCATATCATTACAAACAGGGGTGGCCATTGACCGGCCGACCGACCATTTTAGTCAGGTCACCGATACCGATTTCGATCGCTTCACAAGCCTACCGATTGATCCCGAACGGATGAATTGATTCGAACCTGACTATCTGAGCGGTCGTCTGGAGTAGAAGGTGGCTCTGGATATGGCATCCGACCGGTGCATGGTTGTCCCGAAATAATCCGCAACAATGGAGGAAAATACGGGCGGTGCGATACACAATCATAACCATGGCCCTCGTCCAGAAAGTCTCGACCAGATGCCCCGTAAGATGTTTGAGCAGCTATTTGAAAACCTCCTCTGATTGTTGATCCAACTCCTGTACGGTCTAAGCAGTAGTGTTTATCTCCTAGATGATTCGCAAGGCTTTGCATCTTGACTCCCCCAGCTGTCAACCTGTCAGAAGTACGCACGTTACGATACGTTCTGGCGAACTGCTATTGTATCTTAATGAAGCACAGCCTCATAACATGCCTAGCAACAGGGGATAACATCCCAGCGCTTCGAGACCGGCGAAAAGTCTTCAGGTAAGAAAGAACCAGGGTCTAATTCGATCAGCTCACCTTTGATCGAACGGCAGGCCAACTGTCGCATAGCCGTAGCCGATGGTGCGCAGTCCTGGCTATGGGACAAGAGAGGTGGCATAGCAACAAGAATGCCGAGGCATCTTCAATCATTCCTCGATTGTGTTTGGTCGTCAGGAGACATCCTCAGGCACCCCAATGGTTGTCTGATCATCGGTAGTATTGCGCGTCAAACGACTGGGCACGACTTTGTTGTGAAATAAGTTCCCACTCGACTTTCTTCTGATTCGACCGTATGAAAGTTCTCTTAGACACCCCTTGTCCTTGATCACTATTTTGTCGTCATAAGGCGAAGAACATCTTCAATTCCGGCAGACTTAGGGAATCCGTCATACAATCTTGAAATCATTGAATTACCTGACTATATTGTAACTAGGGGCTCGGCCGTTGAGATCGACCAGCAGGTGTGTCGCCTCCGATCGTCATATGATACCCGCGCCCAATAAAGTACAGGTATTTGGGACAGAGATGATGATTTGCACATGGAATCACCATCATATCATCTGAACGGCTGGAGCGCGTTGGGGGAAATCGGCATCCATCACAAGCGCTGCACACTCCGAGAATGGCTTGACCGTCCAGACCCAATATCGGTTCTTGTAACCCAGTGGATAGCCAGAGTATGTATTTTAAGCAGGGTTTTTATTATTCGTTTATCAAGGAGTCATCCGGTGCATGACGCTACCAGAAGTTGGTTTTCGTTGTCCGAAGTCGCAATTCTAAGCTCAAATGTCATTTCTATCTGAAGGGGTACATGGGTGATACGAGTCATCACAAAACGATTCATCCTACCAATACACCGAAACTATTCCATTTCTCAAAGCTACCAACACCATGCACACAAGACACAAGACGGCAGCAATAATCCAGGATAAAACCCTCTTGTTATGTCGTCCAGAAATCCTTTAAGGAGTTTCCAAGAAGGCGACATTATCCCAAGTAGTTTCGAATATTCGTGGGGTAATATGGATCATCCGGCAAGGTGTCAGTAGTATCCCATGATCCTGCATAACCTGTGGATATAGTGAATTTGCAGCTGACTGTTGTGCTATCGTCCGTGCTGCCGCAGATGTTTTGGACAAAGTTTGCATCTAGATCAAGCATCTTGGTGGACTGGACCCAGTCAGGTGTGATGGCAGAATTTGCAACACTCAAAACTTCAGCCCCATTTTCTGGCGCTGTCCCTGGAGCCTCCATGGTAAAATTGACAATGCTACTACCGGTCTTACCGGAAGATGGAACACTCGCTAGGAATGTCCGAATCGAAATGAAGTAGGTAGAACCAGTATTAACATTGATCGTCTGAGACCATTGAGTCGGCGGGTACCAGTAATGGCATGTGCTGCCGTCCTGGCTGGCGAAGGCAGAACTGGCCGCATACTTTATTCCACACCAAAAGTTAGTGCAGCCATTTTCCACCCATCTATCCTCTTCGTATATGCGAACAGCGTTTATCACAATATCATGGTTATTCACAAGTAAGCTCTGTACCAAAACTGTCTGTTGACTGCAAACAGGTGCTCGATCTACTTACCCCGATCATCAATATTGTGTAATTCTCAAAAGATGGATTTCCAAGTAAGTTGGTGCCGGCAGTTGGGGTGGCGGTTGCATTGTAAGTTTGTGTAACCACATAGTTGCTAGTCGTAGTTGCTCGAGGTGTTCTCTTACATACGTTTCTCAGGTACGCAACCGCATCACTTCCTGGAGGTGGGGAGACCTGCTGAATGCAAATCTGGTCCATATACCACAAGAAGTCTGCTCCATCGATACCATCGTCCACTCCAGGCCACGGTTGTGAGGCTGATCCTTCCACGAAGACTCGGTAATTGAGAGACCCGTCCGGTGAGATCTCGCTGGCAAAGGGGACATAGTCGCAGGTAACCCTACTATTCCCCATAGTCTCGAGAGCCCAGCAGGCCCTGAGTCTTCTGCGCCGCCGGACTCAAAGCCGTCGGAGGCGAAATAATATAGAAACTGCCTGCTGTACCGATCATGTTGACTGATGTAGGTGTTGCCCAGGCTGACTCTATGATCCATGTGCTCTTTGACGAAGCTTGAATCCATTCCGTTGTTATTCGCCGACACAATCTTCCAATAGAAGGTAAAGTTGTAAGTAGTCCCAGCAAGTAATTGGATACCATCCTGGTAAAGAACTCCACTACGTCTTCCAGAAAAGGCCTAAGTCCTGTCGACTGCATCGTAATTTTGGAAGACGCAATCCGAGAGGTTTTTCGGTGCCGCACGATGAGATGGTCCAGCCTTCCGCGGCTGGAGCGATCTGGAATGCCGATTGCCGCTTTGCGCGCTTGGATGAAGAGCCATCCCTGGAGATCTCCTCGAAAGATGGGTTATAAATAGCCACTGGTGTTCCGGCAGTGGACGGTAAGACCGTTCCAGAAAAGGTGTTCGTCGGCACTTGTTGGCCTGGGGTTGGAATTTGAAAGGTCACACCACTTGAGGTGGCGATTGACGCAATACTGCTGACAGGAGTGGGAGATGTAGTGCTCTCAAATGGTGTGATGGAGGCCGAGCTTGAAGTGGTAATAGGAAAAGTGCCACTCCGGGAGGCAGTTGTGGTTGCTGGAATGTATCCAGAAACGGTCGTCAAAGTCGGTGGGTGCCCCGCACTAATTTCATACTGATCAGGGACATCATCACCCTCGCTGAAATCGTAACACAGATCACCATTGTCAGCGGCATCATCGCCATCCACGATGCTGAGCCACACATTCACAAGAACCACGAGGGGTAATAGTCCTTTGCAGCCCATCTTAGAGGTCAATGACAATCGTGTCCTAGTTTTAGCATAGGTATAGTACAGCGACAATCCCAATGATCTCGATCTTGAAAGCCAAATGCTTCATAAGTACATAAGCCGAAGACTGTCACCGCACGTGGGTATAGAGTGGTTATAGCATTGGTCGGTTTTATTAGGCTTTTGGAATTAGTCACGAAGGACTTCCACGCATCTAGCTTGATAGCGCTCCACTATCCCCCGAGCTCAAGAACCTGACCGAACCTCGAACCCTAATTTACCTGAGGTTCACTGGCCTGTAATAATTATCAGTGAATCTGCATAGAAGACGTGGGTAATTATCGTGGTTTCATGAACGAGCAAAATGTTACAGCCATTCATCGGCCGTCCGCTGCAAGTCAATCTTAAATACTTGAATATAGCAGGGAGTATATGCCTCTAGAATGTCGATTTTCATCGGCGGTTCTTGAATGTAACTTGAAAAGATAACTAGTATTTTTTATCAGCGGAATGTCGTTGTAAGTACCCAATCACTTCAACACGCCCCTGTTCCATAGCTAGCTGCAAAGGTGTTTGCCATGATTTATCGAAAGCTGAAATATCAGCCCCGCTCTTGATTAGCAATTCAACCACCCGAACATGTCCATACCAAGATGCTAGATGTAAGGGTGCCCGACCTGACATATCGATAGCAGAAACATCGGCGTCGTGCTTAAGAAGCAGCTCAGTCATCTCAACAAGGCCATACCCCGAAGCCAGATGCAAAGGCGTTCGTCCATCATTGCCTTTGATAGACACTTTGACACCAGGCTTAATAAGCATTTTAGCTACCTCAAAATTCCTTTTGCATAAGGCCAGATGTAACGGTGTCTGCCCTGATTTATCGGTAGCTGAAATATCAGCCCCACCTTCAATCAGCAATTCAGCGACCTGAATATGACCATGCCATGATGCTAGATGCAAGGGTGCCCGCTCCAAACCATCCGCTGCAGAAACGTTGGCTCCTTCATCAATAAGGAGCTTGGCTACCGTGACATGACCTACTCTTGAAGCCTGGTGCAATGGTGTCATTCCATCTTTGTCGGCGGCTGAAATATCGGCACCACGACCAATAAGCAATGTGACTATGTTAACTCGCCCGGAGGATGAAGCATGGTGTAATGGTGTCTTTCCATCTTTGTCGGTGGATGAAATATCGGCATTGCAATACATAAGCAATATGGCGACCCCATCTCGCTCTAAGGATAAAGCATGGTGCAACGGTGTCTTTCCATCTTTGTCAGTGGTGGAGATATCAGCACCACGATCAATAAGCAATGTGGCGACGTCAACTCGCCCGGAGGAGGAAGCATGGTGCAACGGTGTCCTTCCATCTTTGTCGGTGGTGGAGATATCAGCACCACGATCGATAAACAATGTGGCGACTTTAGCTTGCCCAGAGGATGAAGCATGGTGCAATGGTGTCCTTCCATCTTTGTCGGCGGCGGAGATATCAGCACCACGATCGATAAACAATGTGGCGACTTTAGCTTGCCCAGAGGATGAAGCATGGTGCAATGGTGTCTTTCCATCTTTGTCGGCGGCGGAGATATCGGCACCACGATCAATAAGCAACATGGCGACGTCAACTTGCTCAAAGGATGAAGCATGGTGCAATGGTGTCTTTCCGTCTTTGTCGGCGGCGGAGATATCGGCACCATGATCAATAAGCAACATGGCGACATCAACTTGCTCAAAGGATAAAGCATGGTGCAATGGTGTCTTTCCATCTTTGTCGGTGATGGAGATATCAGCACCACGATCAATAAGCAACATGGCGACATCAACTTGCCCTAAGGATAAAGCATGGTGCAATGGTGTCTTTCCGTCTTTGTCGGTGGTGGAGATATCAGCACCACGATCAATAAGCAACAAAGCGACATCAACTTGCCCTAAGGATAAAGCATGGTACAATGGTGTCTTTCCGTCTTTGTCGGTGGTGGAGATATCAGCACCACGATCAATAAGCAACAAAGCGACATCAACTTGCCCTAAGGATAAAGCATGGTACAATGGTGTCTTTCCATCTTTGTCGGTGGTGGAGATATCAGCACCACGATCAATAAGCAACATGGCGACATCAACTTGCCCTAAGGATAAAGCATGGTACAATGGTGTCTTTCCGTCTTTGTCGGTGGTGGAGATATCAGCACCACGATCAATAAGCAACAAAGCGACATCAACTTGCCCTAAGGATAAAGCATGGTACAATGGTGTCTTTCCATCTTTGTCGGTGGTGGAGATATCAGCACCACGATCAATAAGCAATGTGGCGACTTTAGCTTGCCCAAAGGATGAAGCATGATGCAACGGTGTCCTTCCATCTTTGTCGGTGGTGGAAATATCGGCACCACGATCAATAAGCAATGTGGCGACTTTAGCTTGCCCAGAGGATGAAGCATGGTGCAATGGTGTCTTTCCATCATTGTCGGCGGCGGAGATATCGGCACCTTTTTGGACGAGCTCTTCCGAAACGGCGCGATATCCTCTCTCTATCGCATGCATGAGTACTGACTTTCCTTGTTTATCTCTCAAATCGAAATCACAATTCTCTGTGACAAGAAAGAAAAGCGATACTGCCTCGTTCCCGTTCTCAACAAGCTGAGGCAGAATCCCTCTCTTTTTACTAAAAGTGAAATTTCGACTAGAGACATGTTTATTACTAGAAGTTGACGGCAACAGGCTGCAAAAATGTGCGAAAGAGAACTCCGGCATTTGCTCAGCCCGGAGTTCTAACATGGCCTGAACTGTAGCGCTACTCTTCATGGCCACTGCTGCAAGAATCGGAAGCCCGTAGCGTTCGTCTTCTACCTCGAAATAGGACTGACGAGGCCGGTAGGCACGAACAAGCGCTGGCGTATCAGACTCAGCTAGGATATATAAGAGACTAGCTTTGGGCGTATAACGACGGGTGTCATGTTTTTGAAGCGCATTGTAATGCCTTATCCATTCAGGGAGCGGAAAGTGGGCCAAGAAGTCTCCCTGGCTTACGCCATAGCTCTCTGCTTGATCGGCGTGATAAAAGATGCTGTGATTGGCATATTCAAGGAACGGAAATTTGAGATTTGTAGCTTCGCGGGACGATTCTCCAAGCCTAATCACCGCTTCCATGCCCATGTACCTGAGGCAGCAATGCTTGAGTGCTTCGTGACTCCGACCAGGGATGTTCGTTCCGAGATGGGGGAAGACTCTGTCCAGTCCACCCTCCTTTAGCAAAAAGTCCCTGACCGATTCGTGTATGAACTGGATGGTTGCCATCTTGGACTTGGTCAATTCAACTAAACCCTTCGAGTTATTGAGGATATACCTCTGCACATCGTCGTCCGAGATATCATCTGAATGACAGTCGGGCAAGTACTGGGGTTCGAAGCCAGATAAAATTGCAAAGTACAACTGCTTTGATGTAAGGGATTGTTTGGCGAATAGCACCCATTGGATGCACAGTAGAAGCGCATCCTGGTGATTAGTATCACGAGTGAGGATATCGCGGAATAGTTCATGGAGGTCACCGGGAAGTTGTCGGAGCCGTTCACGTAGGGTGTGATTACAGCCAGCATCATATTCCTTGTTCAAGATATCCACCACGAGTACAACCCACATGAAGACACCAGAGGCCTTCTCCTGAAGGTCAGAACGAATTTCCTCGGCGAGCTTGCTATGGCCAATACGCAATGCACTGTTCAAGTACGTGGCTATATCGGTTTGATGTTCGTCTCGCTCCTCAAGAATGATGCTTAGTCCCGTATTGACGGTGATATGCGGATAATGTCTGCTTGCGAAACAGATATACAGTCGCTTTCCGATGTGCACCATATCACTCAAGAAATCGACCATTGCTCGAACCTCGACTTCTTCACACTCGTCGAGTGCATCGATCAAGCAAATAACTGGTATTTCGCCCAGGTGTTGTACAACTTTCTCAAACAGAGATTTCAGAGACCCAATATCCCATCGGCGACCTGGTCGGGATGTATCTAGTAGGTGTTGCAGTTCGGGCCGAGTTTCGAGTAACTGTAGCAAGAGCGATCTGTACAAGCCGACGGTGGACTTCTCCAAGTCATCGCCCCTGGCATTGAAGAAGAAGGAGACAACAACATCATTGCTTCTCTTCTTGTGAATCCGAATCTGTGATTGCCCAAGCAGAAACTTCATCAACGTCGACTTGCCGGCTCCAGGCTTCCCCTTGATCCACAAAAAATTGTTGCCATTATGCTCTGGATCCTTCTCTTCCCATGTCTTGTATATTGGGGTTTGCAGAAACCACCGACACGTAGTGGCATGCGCATTCTTGATGCTCAAATGCCGGGCATCTATCTGATCGAAGCGTAACGTCTCGAGTAATGATCGTCTATGGTCGTTTGGTTCGTTCGTCGTTGCAAAATTGTTGACAATCAAGTCACGCCCGACATCGACGCTACCATTCTGAACCTGAACACCCGAACCGTGGAATGTACTCGACTCGCTGCGATTATATCGTTGACTCCATAGTACATCGTTGGGGAGCTCGGCTTGGTGGCCTGTGATGGTCACATCAAGTCGTGGTTTCTTAGCCAGTGGCTCCATGCCTTGAACATTATGCAAAGGGTCGCATCGTTGAATCGAGGCTGTGCTGTGCAGAGCTATCGTGTGGTTGATCCCGCATCAGGGTCATGCGGGATTGACGGTGAGTTTGGTCTGAAGGGGCTGAGCTACGTGGCGACTGGATGGTCAGGCTACGCTCGACTAAAAATGCAGTGAAAATGCGGACCACAGCTCTGGAGGCGGATGTCCCATCATATGACCGTTTTAGCAGCAAGACTGTCCGCATTCATGAAGTGCGCCAGGGCTGCAATGCGACTGCCGTCATTTTGGTTGTAGCGAGGAACGGATATGGCGTCGTAGAATTAGTCGGGGTCACTTGTGTGTGCGGGCCGCGCCGTACTTCATATTTAATTGCTTGACCTTAATCTCGGTCATTGTCATAGACGCTCTAAACGCGACACTAGCGCGCGTCGTTAGGCCTGGTTAGTGCCAATCTAGCTCTACCGCTTCCAAGCGTTCGTCAAGAGCAGACCATGTACCAAACGAGGTCAACAAGTACAGTCAGACCCTTACGGTTTGGGAGAGATCTGAGCTTGCCGTAGACTGTAATCCAGTCAGAAAGCCGGAAATATGGAGGAGCAAAATGCACGGTCGGGTAAATGCTGCTTGATCTGCATTCGAGCACTCGCGCCCGATTCGAGGAAGCATACAGAGGCATTGCAGACCGTCTCGAGCTTCCAGGACGATCCGATCCCAAGGCTAATATCCTTCAGCTTGTGTTTAACTGGCTTTCGGACGAGGGAAATGGCAGATGGGTTATGGTCCTGGACAATGTCGACGACGACAGGGTCTTCTTTCCTAATGTGGGAAACCCACAGCAAGCCGAGGATGAGTCTACACCGTTGGCCAACTATCTCCCACAAACTTCGAACGGATCCATTCTAGTAACTTCGCGCAACAAAGACGCCGCATTTAGATTGACCGGCGACTCGAGAAACATCCGAGAAACTAAGAAGATGGACGAACACCTGGCACTCCATCTCTTTCGCAAGAAACTACAAGCTGTCCCAGCCCAGGCTGAGGCCGGTGCTCTCATACGTGCACTCGAGTGCATACCCCTAGCGATTACGCAAGCTGCAGAGAAGAGTCTCTCGTACTCAGCGCTCATAGGCTGAACGGTGAGAAAGCCTAGGGCCATTTCAGATAAACGAGGGTATTTGACGCGAAGAACATGCTAGTACTGCAAAGGGTTAGGGCAATATGCTATGTCTTGTGACTCGTTGGTACACCAAGCAGCGTATTCGTCCATCCCCTCCGTGATACGCACAGCCTGCGCTTGGTTTTGGATTGCGATAGCACGCTTTTTGAAGACATCCTGCTCGAAGGGATCGTAGTAGGTACACTTATCTCCTACAGCTGGTGTCGATAGGGAGGCTGGCGAGAGAGGCATACGCTCCTTGTTTTATATACTCAGTCCCAGATATCTTGAACCTTTTTCTTCGCAACCTTGACACAATCATGGTGTTCTTTCCATTTATCTTGAAACCAGCTCCATCGTAGCGGTTTCGTCTAGTTCTGTCGATAAGAAGTCAGTGAGAAAAGTTTATAAGAAGGCGTTGGCGGAGTATGGGAAGATTATAAAAGCAGCAATTAATAACCCACTTTTATAGTGTTTATCCAGCTTGTCCCAAGCCAAATTGACGCCAATACGGAACTGCTCCGGGTCACAACTGCTTCGGGTCAGGTAATGACTCCGCCTCTTTCTTCTCCTTCTCGAGTATTTCTAGTAGCTTTTCCATGCCCAGAATTACGTCCCATACGTTACCGTATGAACCCTCATAGCCACGGTGGCGACGGCGGACCTGACCGTCACCCTCAAGAGTCTTGATGACCTTCTCGTACTGCAAAAGAATATGCTCAAAACACTCAAGGGCTACCCAGTCATTATCACTTAATCTGATTTTCTTAAGAAGGAAGCGAGGCCATTTCTTACCATCCTTAAGGTTGCCCTTCTTCGTAAAGTTCCAACATCAACCTCTACAACTATTTTTCTTGGCGCCCCGCTGTTAGGGCGCAACCAGGAAATCAGGCTATTTAGTGACGCGCTTAAAGTATATCCCTAGTATCTCTTGGCATTTGAAAATCTTTTCGATCTGAATGACAACGTCTATAGGTAAGCCGTCTGGCACCCCCGCTTCCGCCCCGCGGGCTATATGCGAGCGGGCTATATGCGATAGAGCTTCTTCCTTTCGCGCTCCGAGGAAGCCAAGCGGCCCCACCACCCCGAGCAGGCTCCGCCAAGTCCTGCTGAGTGACATCGCGAGCAGAGCAAGATTATCGACATCCTCAAAGCAGAGAAAATTGAGGAGTATGTTGTGTAGCACCATTACAAGCTGCGGGGCTGTCCACAAAAAGTCATGACAGCCGAGGGCCTCGCCGTCGATATCGACGAAACGGCCGTCGTCAATGAGGCGGAAGTTCAGACAGGCGTGAGGCCGGTGAGGTGTGTCCTATCTAAGCATACATCTGATAGCGACGCAGAGACAAACTGGCTCGTCTCCTTTACCGAGGATATCAAACGGCCATTCAGGCTTTTTGCATACTCCATGACCTCGTATCTTCTACGCTAGGATCCTCGGGTTCCCCAGTGCGGAGACTGCTTCTTCTTTCATGGCCGAAATTACCGGTGCTGGAGGAGAATTTGCGGAACCTACGCCCGACCAATGCACGAAGGCACCTGTAACAAGCTAATCCCCAAATGTGTCAACTGCCGCGGCCCGCATGCTGCCAAGTTTGAGAAGTGCCCGGCACGGCCGAAAGTGGTGAGAGGGGTTCTCCGCAGGCCGTCTGCGGAGCAGCTACGCGAAATACGCCTGGCAGGTGATCGGGCGAGGTCGCAGGCATTTAGTTCTGCGAAGGAGAGTACTGCCACTCCGGGCACTGGCATGATGGAGGCCGTGGGCGATAGGGAAAGCGCTGATGCGATGCAAGTCGAAGCCGAAACATGCACGGCTCACGAGAGCCAACAGGGCAACAATGAGGATACCATTATCGTATGCCCATGAGTGCAACTAGGAATCAGACACAGACACGACGCGGACACCTTGTTGTGCACTGCGTGAATGCGGCAGGGGGGCAGCGGAGCATTGATCCGACTGAATTAGCTCTTAACCTGGCCATGATCTAATGCCTCACTTCTTTGCGGGTTGGTAGAATGATGAATAATCCAGTGCGAGACAATTGTCAGGCTCGGCATGGCTGTTATAGGCTGTCGCAATGTTATAGACTCGAACAAGATGGAGGAGATCACCTGTGGGCTAACTCCTCAGGGACAGCGAGGCTGAAGATTGCTTTAGAATTGACGAATTCTTTATTTTTTGGTGTTCGCGCAGCTGACTCGCGAGTCAGCTATAACTTGCACAAACTCGTCCAACTGATGGCCGCCACACGAGTCGACCTTGCTGTATGATCCGCTGCGTACAAGTCAATGGGATTTTGTCACAAGTCTGACGAGTTGGGGTAGCAACTTGCACAACCTTGCCGGTGTCCGTCCCTGATATGCAGGACAAATGTAGTATGAATCAGTGAAGTTCAAACATGTTCATGCTGGTGAAATGTTGTGAACTTTCACTGAACGGCACCCAGAGGTTTGAGATCTGCCATAAGAGCATTGCATATCTCAACAACTTCGCCTTGGCATTGCTGCATTCCCTCGTTGCTGATCTGCTGTGGTGATCCTGCTGTAACTTTCTTCCCCTTATGATCGGCCAAAATTGCCGCGAAATACCAGGCGAGAAATCGTTGCCAGTGTAAAAGCTTGGCACGTGATACAGATGGCAGAACCGCAGGCTTCCAAGATACCGTCGTTGAAATTTTTTTTTCCGCAGTGGTCCAAAATGTTGTAGTTAGGTTCCTTTTGGAGAATCGCGAAGCTACATTCTTGAAAAGGAGCACGCGTGCGAAAAGAGCTTTTTGTAATATAATTGACTGAAGCACATATCTCCGTCAGTGCGAATCCCGCCCGAAAGAGGGGCAGGAGCGCAACGAATTCAGCTCACCTTTTATTACGCCTCTATAGGATTATGTCCCGAAGCGCGTCCCATGGTGACTTTCCTGATCCGGGGCCGCTCCATTGAGAAACCACCTCTCTTCATCATCCTTCGTCCGTGATCGCCCGCTCCGGCTATCTCGGGCCAAGCCATCCGTCCCGCCTCCCCTCCCTCGAGGACACGGAGTTAGCCCATCCATTGAACAAGTGATCATAGTCGGTCTCTTTTGTCTCATCTCTGGTTATCTGCCCTGGATGCCTAGACAATATGGCGGGCTCGACCTCGAAATTCACTGGTGGGCTCCTCATCGTAGACATAGGAGAAGAAATGGTTGCTCTTGTCTCGTTGGGTCCCCATCCTCTCCAGCTGGAGCGTGGACAATTGGGGCGGACCGATGGCCGCGTTGGCCAGCAATGTCTTATGAGAATGCTCGCGGCGGGGATACACGAGCATATTAGCCCGATCGTAACCTCGATCATACTACCGTAGAGCCACGTTAGCCCGCTCATATCATGTTTTGCCAGTCTTCAAAAGCTCACACAGTTATGTTTTGGGCCACAAAGTCTGATGTAACGTCAGTTGAGTGTACGAAATTGATGGCCAAGTAAAGACGGAAGACCGTCACAGCAGTGGCAATCCCTCCAGCGCTGAGCAGCGCAACAATCTTGATCTTCTTCCGTATAGGCGTGCGTAGCGACCAAGTTAAGGGAACGGGTATGAGCAGGATGATAAAGTCGGTGAAGATGGCAAGAGATATGTCTGAGAGGAAGATCTTGCGCTGGTTGAGGCATGTACCGTGCACAGAGCTGTCCCAGTAGGCTCTGACGGGTGTGCAGACGACCGTTTTGGCAATCTGAATCGGGAGGTAGGCGACCAGGAGTGCGAAAATGAAGATGTGGATACTATTAGCGACGCACTCCCTGACCGCAAACACCCGGGCAATGAGCAACAGGAGAGTGACTTTGGTAAAGTACGCAGTCGGGCAGTAAACGATCGATCCGGCGTAGAGCCACTGCACAAAAGGCGCTGTGTAAATACTACTAAGGGTTCTTATCGAAGAGTCAACAGGACCGACCTTCAAAATCTGCGAGTACGCCTCTCGCGATACGTCCCATGCATGGTGGCCTTCTCCATGGTGCGCCACTTCATCCCAAAAACGTAAGCACTTCTGGCAGCCCCGCGGGAGGACGATTGTTCTTACTCAGATAGACGGTTGCCGAGTACAGGAGCATCAAGGCCTGTCGCTGCTTATGAGTGTTCGAGTGTGATACCAATGCTGGTCGGTCATACCCAAGCTATTGTACACGTTCCTTGAATAACAAGTCAGCCACTCTTTTTCCGTCAGAGATGCAGGGTCTGCTCGATCGTACCATCTTCAATCAGGATTTTGCGCGTCACCCAGATCTTCACGTATACGCGGGTAAGGAAGAAGACGGTCGCGAGGACATCGCACACAGTGACCCAAACCAAGAGCAGCGCCCGCCCGGCATCCGGTGGGTGCGCCAGGTCTGGGATGACACCAGATGGAGGTGGAGCAACCCCTGGATAGCTCGGCTCAGCGCTCATTCTTTCAGCTACCTACTACGACGTGGGACATAGAAAATAATCCCGCATGATTGTTGCTCGTTCCAATCGAGCGCTTCAGATGAACGAGAAGGAAAACTCGCCACTCAATTGCCTCGAGTGCTACCTTACCCTATTCATGAAATCTCCAATGTGCCATAGCACCCCATCTTCCATACATCATCTGAACGTGGCGACTAGAATGAAAGTCTCAGTAAGCAACATCCAGATCTCTCAGTCCTCTCGGTCTCCCCAGCAGAGGACCAACAGAGCGTGGCGGACGGTTGTATGTCATCGCCAATGAGGGGACAGTTTCGGTAGAACTGGTCAAGGACTAGCACTACCAAGGTTTTGGCTAAGCGTTTGCGCTGCGTCATACATCCACCACATTCAAAGAGTTGAGTGCTGGGCCACCCTAAGTGCCGTTGAGCGATTGGCAAGCTAAACTGACTTTGAAAGTCCCACTTTCGTGAATCCGGACGGATCAGAAGTTAGACAGACCTATCATGAATTGGAAACCGGACCTAGAAAGTAGTAAAATAAGGTTATTAAGTTCGCTATTCAAACCGGGAGACCAATACTTTTGTCAAGTACTATCGCTTGAGCGTACACAGTGAAGTAGAGGAATGTAGTTAGTGAGGTGTCCGAGTCTCGGGCCTTCTCGGATCTGGAAACGTAGTTGGTCTTTGCAATAGCAGCGGCCTCAGCGCGAGCCCGCATGCGCTTCTGAGCCCTACGGTCGTGGCAGCATGGAAGACAATGAATGCAATAATCGCGATCAGGACGATGGCGAAGATGATGGCGACGATATTGCAGGAAAGCGTCATGCCGTCTTGTCGATACATGCATAGCTTGTTGCCTGACGAATCCTCGTCGCAGTATAGGAAGGAGGCGCACACCATGGTGGTGGTTTCGACCATGAGCAGTCATACTGATTTGTCGCGTTACAAGATGAGACCGTGGTCACGGAAGCGGTCGAGCCTGGCCAGCGACGTATTGGTGGTTGCGGCTGAAGTTGTGGCGGCGGTCGTACCAGCGGTTTGACTGGCAGCACACAACTTCTACAACTATTTTTCTTGGCGCTCCGCTACTAGGGCGGAACCAGGGAATAAGCGGTTTAAAATTAACATCCCTAATTCTCTTGGCATTTGAAATCTTCTCGACCCGAATGACAGCGTCTATAGAAAAGCCGCCTGACACCCCCGCTTCCACCCCGGGGGCTATATGCGATAGAACTTCTTTCTTCCGCGCTCCGAAGAAGCCAAGCGGCCCCACTACCCCAGCAGGCATGCTTCAAACATGTCGTGCGGCAGTAGACCCAATTTGCAAAACTGTCAACTTTTTGCGAGCCAACATGTACGGCTGCTGCGCGCGCCTATTTCCTGGCTTTTTTTATACAGCTACGGAACCAAGCGCTGCGTCATGAGTTCTTCTCGTGGGTGTTGGACTTGTAAAGGTGCTGCTGCTACGGACACACTCTATAGTCCCGTGTGTCCATTGGCTAGTGTAATGTTCTAACGGCAATCTTTAGACGCGTCTCCGTCGATTGTTGGAATTCAAAACTAGTGACCAGCTTGAGATCCACATCCTCAACCTTGACCCAGGTACTCTTCGTCTTTGGAGAGCCCTACCACTTCATCAAGTACCATATCGTCCCCGTCTTATAGTTAGACGCCACAAGCTTCTCTACTGCTTATTAATTGTCCTCTAAATTCACTTGAGACGGTCGATCAAAACTCGACTCACACCTTAAGCTACATGTCCTTATTCTATCCGGTAAGGCGCTTCGGAGCGAGCTAAAGAAATAAGATAACCTATAACTTTGTGCGCGACAATGTACTATAAATAGACATTATCCTTTGTTTCTCTATCACGTGTATAAGTCATTGTATTCTGCCACTGCTAAATCGATAACTATATCCAATGGGCTTTTGTAAGACATTGCGATGGAGTCTTTCACGCAGTGCCGATAGTAATGCAAAAGACACTCGCGTAAAACAGATACTCCTAATGAGAAAAGGTTTGATGCGATTGATCACTTTCGGTGCGCTTCCGTAAGAGTAGTTACAGGTAATATAATTGCCGATATAGGCTTTGGCGTATCGGATTGCGTTTACGTTGTCCTGTTTACTATTAGCTCGGAAATGTTTAGCGGTTAGTAAAACAACTTTTAAGTACTTATCAGATTCGGTCTTAGAACAGCCGAGAGACGAGCACTCGATATTTGATGCGCGGATCTTCACGTGACAAAAAACATACTATTTTAACATCTTTTCTCCATTATTAACCCTTGAACAGAGAATAATCATGTTAATCTCATATAACCGCGATAGAACATGTCCTACTCTTACGCTGTTAGAAGAGATATATCTTTATCGTGGACACTGATTTTTTCGCTTAGAAACCATGCGTAATTGCGGAAGTGTGCTAGAATTCGCGATTTTATGAATCAATACGCTCCGACCTCTCATCGTTTCTGGCACCCAAACCTAATCACTATCTTGTAGTCAATGCTAAAGAAGCGCATGTTTTCTTCTGAATTTGTGGCTCAAGATAAATTTCCTGATATCTTCGAAGCGCGCAAAGTGGCTAACTCCAAGTATGCCAAGGCAAGGCACATCACTGAGACCTCCAGTCCAACCCAGTTTAGCGAGCCAATGGCCAATGCTAGACTTATGACTCATGCTTAAGTGTATGCGCTTGCCGAGAAGTACAATATAAAGGATCTCAAGTCCCTCGCCCTAAAGAAGTTCAAAGTTGCAACTATGTGTGAGCATGACAAGGACTAGGTAGAGAATTATCTCATTACTACGGAGGAGACATCTACATGTACAGTTGACACGGATAGGGAGTTGCGGCAAATTGTATTAGAGACTTTTAACCAACAGCATAAACTGTTAGATGAGGACAGAGCGTAGGCTCTTCTCAGAGCTTGGTAGTTTGACATTTGACCTTCTCATATACAAGCACCATCAAAAGAACCCGAGCTTCAGCTGGTAATGTTAATAAAAGACCACCCGAGCAAGCGAGAGGAAAAAAACTAGTAGTAGAACTTGCAAATTTAGGTAATGTAGGACACATCGTCGGAATTATCCTCTAATTAGAATTGTACACCGGTAGGCCAATTTATTCAACGCCCGGGCGTGGACCTGATGAATCTAACACTCATTACCCCTTATGTCCATGAAGGGTAAGCCAATTGATCCGATTCGTAATTTGAGTTGTCCATTTCCACTCTCTCTGCCGTAACTGAAGCGAAATCTGGATTCCTCGTTGTTTCTAGAGCCTAAAAGCTGCCTCTTGATTTGTGAAATCATGGATTAAACCAAGGAAACAGCATCATCCATGATATACTTTTGTGGTCGACCACGCTTCCGCTTATTCAAAGCTTTCGAAATGTCGTTATGAGCTACGTATATATCGTATGCTTCTACATTTTCTAGCTTCTCTGATGGTTCCTAAGTAGACTACGGGTTACCATTCTATTTGACGCGTAATTGAAGTCCTTGATTGTTGCATTTGGTGATTTTATGGTCCAAGATACACTCCACATGATACTCTTCATCTTCTGTTGAATCTCTTACTTGGAATTGGGCATTAGTTGCCGTTCCCAGTTTCGCAGAAGGGTCTTCATTGGTCTATAACCCGTATCGTAGCTTTGCAGTTGCACGGTCTTTGTGTCTATGAGTTGCGTGTGAATCCCAAGTGAATTGAAGTTGAAAAGTCGTCTGGCCGTTCACCGTTATACGTTTGAAAACTGCATCCTTAAGCGGCCATTTCTCAAATCTCGCTGTAGGTATCTCTGTAGTCTCTTCGTCCTCACCAGAACTTTGTGAGGATGGTGGGCTGGTAATGCTGCGCCGGTTAGAGTGCTTTCTGGACGCAGCGCCGGCCGAGCGATTCAGCCGTCGGGTAGGTATTCCTAGGGTTGCATGTGCTAGAGGCCTTAATTTGCGGCGCTTGTGTTGAATTGGCTGGAACTCGTCGTCATCATTATTGCCCTGGCATTCATCCGCGTCCTCGTCGTCGGAATCGACGACGGAAGTGATGGGAGAATGGTGATTTTTGTAGTGAAGTACCGCCGTCCTCACTCTTAACTGCCGCTTGGTTGTTGGCTACTCTTTGCGACCACTGTCGTCTTCCGTAGCCAAATCACAGTTAGGCGTGTTAAGTCGACTAGGATCGTCTTTCAGCCGTGGTGAAGAAGGCGTGGAAAAGCCGCGCGAGTTGCGCGGAGACTGAAAATCAACTCCGATCGATGATTCCTTAGCAGTCTCGTAGTATGTGGCCCGGCCAGTAGATGCCTGCAAAGTCTCACAGGGAACGCTGTTAGTGAGACCTGGCAGGTCAAGGCTCGGCCAGTACTGCTCCGGCTGCGGCCTCGGTGAGGCAGGTGAAATTTACAGTGGCACTTCTGGAGAACTCTGTAGACCACCTGGATGTTAATATTGGCTTAATGCAATTGATACAATATCATCGAGAGCTTCTTCTGCGGGGTCCGACTCTGCGGGGTCAATAACGGTGTCTCTATCGTCACCAGCATCGATGTCTTTGGGACTCTTGTCTATGGCCGTGTTAGCCTTGATGTCCATCCAGGCACAAGGAGTATGTGTACGAACCGGAATTGATCATATTGTTATCTTCGACTCTATCGCGTTCAGGACTTAGAGGGAGCTTTTCAACGCGTGGGAACATGGCATCGGCTTGGCTGTTATCAGAGTCGCCATAATCAGACCCCTTATCGCTTGAGATCAGGATTGCATCAACTTGGGAGACTTTGGTTGCGGCAGATCGAGGATCGCCTGTCCTGTCCTGTTGACGGCTTGATTTCATACCTTTAGGAGCTGTAGACGGAAGGAGGTTAAAAAAAAACTGGCTATCCAAAGAGATACCTGCTATCGTTCTTAGGGGACATGTTAAGTGAGAGTTCTACTTATGCTGCGGTACGGCGCGATACCACTTTGGGCGTGCCGCGAAACCCGGCGGAGCCAACACCGCGTCCTCTACTTTTCTCAAATAAATACCTTGGTTTTAAAAGGCTTAAGATAATAATTTTTTTTATTAATAATTATTATTAAAGGAGACTAATTTAGTGACGCTTTATATTTAGTTTATTTCTTAGCTACGAAATAAAGTAAGGGTTATTTATTACGTATATTTTTTAACGAAATAATAAAGATAATATAAAGCTTTTATTATGTTATTAAGCCCTTTTTAACGCTTTATCTAAAACTAATTAAAAGCTTATTATTCTCTTTTAATTAAATATAAGCTTAGTCTTAAAAATATTTATCTAAGCTTTATTAACCTTATCTGTGGCAATATGGATGACTATAGATGGCCACAGTATACGGGGAGCACTCCGTACACTAAGGCGACGAGCTCGCGGATCACCGAACTTGGGAAGTGGTGATCACGTGCCTAAGCCAGTGGGTATATGCCCACTTTCTATACACCGATATTCTCTTTTGTAAACTCAGACTTCTATATACTACTTGACAGTACCTATACTATCATTTCACGCTTAGAGCGTTACACATGCGATCCCACGCTCATGCGAGCACCGTATTCACTATCCTATGCTCGAGTAGATTTAGGCTCTTCCTTCCAGTGCACTATACCAGACCTTCACTACAACAGATCTCTATATCAACTGTAGAAACTGTCATATTACCTTTTATTAATACGACTTTATTATAATATTAAGGATAGTTATTGAACCAGGACCACTGCCTTGTCCCTTGGTTAGGGGCCTCACGACGAACTCACAGGCTCGTTCGTGGACTGATCAATAAGTAATGAGTGGAAAGGATGAGTTCGATAACCAAAATAGTATTAATTAGCAACAACGAGCCATTCTCGTTGTCTTCCGAATGTACCACTGCAAAAACTAACGACTGACTGTTCAAAAGTGTGAAAATCATGATGAAGAAAACTATCTATAAGTCCCGTCTCTCAGACCTTATAATCAGGCCGAGAACAACCCCGAAAAAGGCCGTATGACCCACTTAGCCTTCCTGCTGTAATAGTGCAGCCAATACTCACTACTTCATTATACTCTTAACAGAAGAGACGCCTGAAGAGCTAATTATAATAATAATAATAATAATAATAATAATTACTTAGTTAAATGTAAAATAATCGCAAAAGTAATATGAAGATTTTAGTCTAAGTAAAACAGAGTGAAAGACGAGTTTTTATAACCTTTAAACCTGGTGTGAGAGTATGGGTGCGGATAGCACTAAGCAGTGAGAGTTGACAACACTGGTGTGAGACAACAAGCCTACAACGTCACGAACTGTAAAGTTGATATGGGCTTGTAATATGTCTTGTCTTGAAAGCTATTCTAGGTACAGGTCAGAGAGATCTGTCTATATACCTGTCATATCCCACAGCCCCGCTGTGGGTACTGTAACACCTGGTAATAAGAGTAAATGTGGAATGGCTTCTCCATTCATTTCTTTCCGTACAGTGCGGGCGACAAATAGATCTATTCAGCGCTATCGTACGAAAGGAAGAAGGGATTCTTCCCATCGTACGCGATCTACAGATAGGGGTTTGGCCTATACGGCTGCAAGCTGCCGACAGCCACGGTGTGGCTGTAGTGGCTTGCCGTCAGTACGCCGGTAACTAGCTAGACTATATGGTCGTGCGAGACCGCGGATAACCATATTCCAACAGAAAATATATTTTAAACACGAATTACTAATAATAATATTAACTTTAATAATCTCTAAACATAACTTAGTATTTTGCCTTCGGCCTAACACATATAATAGTAAAAGGTTAACAGTCTTAGTTTATATAAATAAAAGCCTTCTTAGAGAACTATTATAGAAGATAAAATATTATAACTATTATAGATTATGAGCTCGAGGACCAAGTTTAACTCTAACATAGAACTGTCTGTCCAAACCTTGAGCTGTCTCTCATATTCGCCGTGAGGCTGTATTTAATGGACCGAAAGAGCTTCGATGGTTAAGAAGGTAATAATATGGTTAGAGCTTTGTAAATAAGCTAACAATTCTGGTTATAGACCAATGAGTGCCGTGCTCTCGTAGTTGCTTCCGACCATGAGTTCTAAGGGGTACACGTGACGTTGACTTAACTCTAAAAGCCAACACTTCATTTTCGCTTTGTATTAGCTAAACCTGAGTGTGAAAATAACCCACATTTGCAAGTCAGAGCCACACCCGCTGACGAACACCAATGGAGGCGTCTACGCAGTGAATAGACTCATTTCCTGACTGTACGCATTGAGCATATGAACCCAAATGTGGGTCTGCATTCCACTTCGACCGCCCTAGCGTTACAGAACGATAGGCGAAAAAAGACGTGTGGGGATGTTGAACCTATAGAGTGGACCGTAGGCCGCGTGTAGCATTACGCTTGCAGAAGATCGGCTCTAGAAACCCTCTAGAAAAGCACGACTGTACGGTGGTCCAATAATACGGACCCGGCACGATGCAAACCTTATAGACATGAAGAAGTTGAGCGTCAAATTCTGAATCTGAAATCTCTTTCAAGCATTTTCATTCGTTATACCGTCTCTCGCTGTCTCTCATTCATCGATTTGCATTTAGTCTATCTACGCCATGTCTTGCGCTGATAGTTACACCCCCAAACCACTCACGGATATCTTTACAAATGATACTGATATTGACCGAAGACAATGTGTGCGTACAGTACCCATGAAGGTCCTCATCTTAGGCCTAGGTCGGACAGGAACTGCCTGTAGGAACCTCACAACCCACCCACAATCAATGTTCTAAACGCTAAACGACTTCAGCATTACAAACTGCCATGAAACAACTGGGCTACGTCGATACGTATCACATGTATAACTGTTCTATCCAAAATCCTCCAGACGCCCTGCTCTGGATGGACGCGATGCGAGCCAAATACGATGGTGTAGGCGAGCCGTTCACCCGGCAAGACTGGGATAAACTCCTGGGAAACTGCCAAGCAGTGTGCGACTGGCCAGCTGTGGCGTTTGCGAAAGAGCTCATAGAGGCGTACCCTGAGGCTAAGGTGGTGCTGAACTGTCGCGATGTCGACTCCTGGCATGCGTCGACCCTGAAGACCGTCTGGTGGCGGGCCACCGACCCCGAGCTTAGGATGCTGTCGTACGTGAGCTGGGCTGCTCGCATGTATCAGCCCATGTTGAAGAAGTTCTTCGACACCTTCTTCGAGGGCGATTTTCCCAATCGCGGCAAAGATATCTTCCTGCGGCACTATGAGGAAGTCCGGAGCTTGGTGCCCAAGGAGAGATTGCTCGAGTACAGAGTGAAGGAGGGCTGGGCACCTTTGTGCGAGTTCCTTGGAGAGCCCATACCCGGCAAGGGGCTCATTCCTTTCCCCAACAGCAACGATAACTCGGATTTTGTCGCGCGTTCACGCAGGAGGAATCGGATGCAGATGTATAATGTTGCATTGTACTATGCCAAGAACTTGTTGGTGATTGGACTGCTTTTGTATATATTATGGTCCTTGTTCGTTTAAGCCGTGACACTGGGCTGCAATTTGTAATGGCGCACAGCCTGGGAAAACTTTTCGGAGATTTATAGAGATAGAGAAACGATACCCATTGATTATGAAAGTCAACAAAGCTTCTTGAAAGTACGTCTTGCATGAGAATTTGCAGGAAAGCTGCAGGTGAACAAGTCTGGTTGCGGGATGCGATTCCCCCTCGCCTCCATCTCAAGCAGGCACTCGATGCGCCAGTATATCAGCATTCACGCTTATGGAATTAATATACACTACGGTTGGTGATGTGGAGAAATACATAAAAGACATCTGGTCCACAAATAAGAACTACATTCACCAATATATCAGATTGAATGCCTTGTACCCCTTGAACGCTTGGATACTATCTTTTCCATGATCTGCTCGAAAAGAAATGTTGCAATGTCAGTTCGTCATGTTGTGATTTTGGAGCTAATGAGAAATTACTCTAGTCTAACCTTAGTGTAGTGTAGAACTTTACGGATACTTTTTTCTAACAACTCTGATTGGCTTGCCAGATATACCGAGAGATGTAGAGGGTAGATTGGTCGGGGATAGGGCTTCTGTCAACCAACTTGCCTGCCAGACGTCGTGCGCCTCGCCCTGCGTAATGGGGTGACGAACTAGGTGGAGTATCGTCGGAAAATCTGATGCAAAACCGAAATGATAGAAGGAGACAAAATGATTGGAATTAAGTGGGCAAGTGATCGCGTGGCCTGGTGGGCGCTGCGGGCTTAGTGACCAACTAAAGGCTTGGCAACGGACGTTCCTCAGCTTAGTCTGGATGCTGCCAACGTAAGTGTACGATATAGCAGGTCGAGGAGAAAACATCTTGGCGATCTTTGTCGAGACAGTGAGACAGGTTGAAATTCAACTTTCACAACTTCTTCTCGTGTTTTTTTTTTGCCTGCTTCCCTACACTCGGTACACCCTCGCTTATTCCATCAACGTCTTCATCCAAACCAGCTAATCGTCCAGACCCCACCAAGAGCATAGTCTGGGCCAAAAGCGAGATCTGCGTGCGGATTTGATTTCCAAAATGACGGGCGAAAAGGCGGCAAGTGATTTCGTACTACCTCGCCCTGAATACTACATGTTGGACGAACTCTCGAGCCACTCTGATGCGGACGAGCTCCTGACACAAACCACCGACACCGAGTCATTACGGTCGCAATCAACAAATGGTGATGGACCAGTGTCTTGGATGTCGCTTCCCCGAAAGGACCAACTAGCTATCCTTTTTCTATGCCGACTCGTTGACTTCTTGCAAGTAGCATCGCTGCAGGCCTATGTTTTCTATCAATTGAAGAGCCTCGATGAGACGAAATCTGATGCCCAGATTTCTGGTCAAGCCGGTATCCTGCAAGGGTCATTTACAGGCGCACAGGTCTTGACCGCAATCCTATGGGGGAAAGCTGCTGATGCTAGTTGGTGTGGGCGGAAGACGGTCTTGATTGTTGGGTTGTTCGGAACCGCTGTATCTTGTTTAGGGTATGGCTTCGCGAGCAGCTTCTGCTGGGCCGTCTTCTGGCGCGCTTTTGGAGGCGCGGTCAATGGCTTAGTAGGAATAATGTGAGTGTCGTGATTTTAATGCTGGATTGTCACTAATCAGTCATCAGTCGCACAATGATTGCTGAGATTACTGTGGAGAGGAAATATCAATCTCGTGCATTCCTGATATTGCCAATGAGTTTCAATGTGGCGGGCATCCTTGGGCCATGTAAGTCTCATCTAGCATGTTCATGTCTTCAAAGCCACAGCTGCTCACCACATCTAGTACTCGGTGGCTATCTCGCAAATCCTGTTCATACCATGCCTTACCTATTTGCCGAGGGAGGTGTGTTTGCATCTAGATTGGTGCAACAATATCCGTTCGCACTACCAAGCGCCATTAACGCAATCTTCCTTACCATTACCGGCACTATTGTCTATTTTGGACTGGAAGAGACTCTTATTGCAAGAAGGGGTCGTTTTGATAGAGGACTATACATTGTCGATCGTGTCAAGCAGTTCATTTTTGGACGACCAATGCCAACCCATCAAGGCTATTCCCAAATCGGAAGACGAGATGAATCCCAGGATGGAAGCGTCGATCTGGAGGAGAAATCTTACACAGTCTCTGTCTCCGAGAAACCTCGTGTCCTTCCTTTCAACCGCATCTGGACGCGCAACGTCATCCTGACCCTCGTCACCGGTGCCTTTTACGATTTCCATCTCGGCGCTTTCACCAACCTCTGGACATTGTTTCTATCCACTCCCCGAACGCTCGAAAGTCTCGGCCACATTTCCTTGTTCTTCACCGGCGGTCTGGGGATGCCTGCATCCATGGTAGGCGGCGCTACGTCCATCCTCGGGATGCTCGGGATGCTGCTGCAGGTCTTCCTTTATCCACCTGTTCACGCCCGCCTGGGCACTCTGCGATCATTTCAGTGGTTCTTGTTTCTGTTTCCTATCGCTTACTTTCTGGCGCCGTTCCTGGTCGTGCTGCCATCATCTTCCGCGGCACCGGAAGCGGCGTCGGGTTTATTCGTTTGGGTCGGCATTGTCTTGGTGCTATTTTTTCAGGTCCTGGCCCGCACCATGACGCTACCGGCGAGCATCATACTACTGAACAACTGCAGTCCACACCCGAGTGTGCTGGGCACAGTACATGGACTGGGCCAGAGTGTATCCGCGGGTTTTCGGACTGTTGGGCCAGTGGTCGGCGGATGGTGGTATGGTGCTGGGTTGGATGTTGGCATGGTTGGCGCAAGTTGGTGGGGCGTCACTGGCATGTCTGCGTTGGGATGCGCGGCAGCTATGTTCATCTACGAGGGTAGTGGACATGAGCTTGATTTGGATTAAAGCTAGAGAAGTATAGTTCATCATTTTTCACATCACAGCATTTTCACAGCCACTCTCTTGAGCCAATTCGTTGCTGTCTTAGCTATGTAGTATAGCCCAGTGCTTATAAAAGATCTAGTCTAAGCCAAGCTCAATGTTGTTGGCGCTACGTAAGCTAGCGGGCATTTCCTCAGGGCTGGGGCAACTGAAATTCATGTAAAGTCAGTAACACATCCGCCTTTCGTGGCGTACTTTAAGCTACCGTGTTAGCGCATGATGATCTCGATATGTCCAGAGGGCCATTTCCATATTAAACCCCTTACTGGTTGTAAAGTTTTCGTCCTGATAGTGACGCGTCCCCAGATCTGGGGCCCAAGTGGATAATTGCGGCGGCCACGGGCCCGGCTGACGCGTAATTTGGGCCCGCGTCGTGGGCTGCTTGTGCTGCGGCTCCAGCGTCGGAGCTACAAGTTCAGGGGCCGGACTTAAGGATATTCGCCTCGAGTGAGTTCAAACGATTGGAAGGTCGGTATCGAGTGTTTCTCATTTTTTAACAATCATGTCGAATTTATCACTGCTCGGAGGTGTCTAGTTCTGGTCGGCGCGCATTTCATGTACCGCATCTCGACCCCCAGCACCACTCGATCGATATAGGACCCCGCGTTTCGCGCCTTTGATCCGGATCGAGGGCCAAGGGCGGAAGTCGGTCTTCGGGTCGGCATGTTTGGCAGATGGCTTGGGCTACTGGTCCGAATTGTCACTGTCTCCAGACTTGCCCTAGCAGACGAGTTCAAGGCAGACTATGAGGCCTACAACAATGCTCGCTATGGCGTCTATCCGAGCAACCACTACAAGGGCACCAATGAAAGGTCGCCTATACTCCAGATCACCACCTGGGAAAAGGAAGCCCTTTCCAAATTCGGGTCACATATCTTCATCCGTCACAATGGAGCACAGGAAATCTGGGGCCATCAACAGGCGTCTCCGTTGATCCTGGATGTCGAGGACCTGAGCGCTGTATACGTGAATAGGAGTTTCCCTGTAGTTTTCAACGTCAATGTACAGGAAAACTTCGGCAAGAAATATCTCACTTTCTATGGCGACAAGCTCGTTGGCCAGGGTCTAGGAGATGGATTTTGCCATGCGTACGACACCTCGTATCGCGAGGTGTACAAGATTTCTGCGCAGGGCTTGAAAGTCGGGGCCGACCTACACGAGTGCGAGTTTACGGGACATGGCACTGTCATCGTCAGCGCTTATGAGACGGGTTATTCGAGAAAATCTGCCAGTCTGAAGGACAAACAAAAGCCGACACTGATCAGGGAAAGCATCTTCCAGGAACTGGAGCTGGGAACGAACAAGGTCTTGTTCACATGGAGGGCTTCCGAGCATGTTGACGTATACGATTCATTTGAGGGGCATAACAGTCCCTGGGATTTCTTTCATATTAACACGATCGAAAAGACGGAAGATGGGAATTATCTTGTCTCAGGGCGACATATGCACTCGATATATCTTGTTAATGGCCAGACAGGAGATATCATGTGGACGCTAGGTGGCCAAAAGAACGAGTTCGTGGAGCTGCCACCGGAAAGTGGTGTGTACCCCGGCGATGACGTTCTCACGTTCGCCTGGCAGCATCATACACGATTCTATTTTGGTAACAACGGAAACAAAACTGAAATAACATTCTTTGATAATCATGTCAAGGAATACTCCGAATATGGCTGCAAAGCAAACTGTTCGAGGGGACTGCATATTGCCTTGGACACCGCCTCGAATCCAAAAACAGTTCAGCTCGTGCAGGAGTACCGGCATCCTGCCGGCTTGGCAAGCCAGAGCCAAGGAAGCATGCAGATATTGGATGACGGAAACGTATTCATAGGCTGGGGGCGGATGCCGAGTTTCACCGAGCACACACCAGATGGAAAGGCAGTCCTAGACGTTCAGTTCTCGCCATGGCTTTCGAAGGCAACTGCCGATCATGCGCTGGATAACTACAGAGCGTTCAGACAGGACTGGAAAGCTTCGCCGTATTGGCCGCCTGACCTCACCGTCAAACATCCGAAAGGAGTACCCACGGCGTATCTCAGTTGGAATGGAGCGACCGAGGTCAAAGAATGGGTCCTGGTAAGTAACAATGTTACCAAGAAGCTACTCACACTCTTTGAGGGATGGCGCTAACTTCCTTGGTCACAGTTCGCCAGTGATCTCGAGGACAAACTGAATGATACCGAAAACGTGATAGCCCGTGTTCCTCGGGGTGGCTTTGAGACTGAGATGTCTCTTGCCAGTTCGAACGCCTCCTACCTCAGAGCAGAAGCGATTAACAAGATCGATAGAGTTATTGGATCCACAGGAATCATAGACTTTAGGTCCGGCAAGATGAAGTCAGCGGACACAGCTTTCTCGATTGAGATAGATGCCATGTACGAGACGGAAACTGAGACCGAGACCGAGCAAGACGGCGGGTCGACAATGGTAAACTGGGATTTCTCAAAGGGGGGAAGGGAATGGGACATCATCCTGGGGGTGTTCATGTTACTAGGAATGGGGTTGAGTGTTTGCTGCATGGGATATGCAATAAATCTGAGATCGAAGCGTGGCAGTCAGTTACATCAATACAGTTCATTATGACGCTTAAATATATTGGTCACAGAAAAAGGTACAAAGGTGCGACTTAAACCACCCGTTTCTGCTCCACGGTATAACTTGCGGGCTTCTCATCATCAAAGCGTTCGCTTTTTTGTTGGACACTTGTCGCAACGTTAGAATCAATGCTTGCTTTCCATCCCATCCACCAGTGTCCAGAGAATAACTCCTCCATTCTTTCCATCGGGACACCCTTGGTCTCTGGTGCTATCAACCATAACAAGACCAGACCCACGGCGCAGACGCATGCCCAGAACACATATGCGCCCCATATATTCAACGCTACGAACATGGTGGGCGTGACCAACACGACTGCGAACTGGAAGAACCAATGCAGCATCATGTTTGTGGCGTAACATACAGTTCGAATTCTTGTCGGGTAGATTTCCGTTCCATAAAGGTATTGAACAGTGCAGAGTCCGATTGACCATCCTACTGCGTAGATGAAGACACTCGCGATGGCGGCATCAGACGCTGACTTGTTCTCCGTGTCCTTGAAGATAGCCATGTAAATAGCCATGTATATATGGGTGACGCATTGAAGGCCAAGGCCAGCAATGAAGCATTTTCGCCTACCAAAGACATCGACCAGGCCCCATGTAAATATCATGGTGAAGAAAAGCTTGACAGCGCCGTAAGCGCCGCTTGTGATAAGAGAGGAGTTGTCTCCTGTGATACCGGCATACTGAAAGATGTCCACTATATAATAGGTAATACCATTACCGCCTGACCACTGTGCAACAGTTTGCATGATAGTACCAAGCAAAAACCTTTTGCGGAATGTTGGAATCGTTACGATCTCTTTCACAATAGTAAATATCGATGCGCCGGCAAGGGCTTGCTCTTTGCTGCGTATCTGAAGCTGTATATCTTCGAACTCTTGCGCTAGCTCACCGTCCTTGCCGTTAACGCTTCGGAGCCTTGTCAAAACGGCAAGAGCTTCTTCTGTTCTGTCTTGGGACGCAAGCCAACGTGGTGTATCCGACAGGAAAAAAGACACCATGAGGGCAATTCCAACCGGAATGAGTGGAATTGAGATGACGATCCGGTATTGTTCCCGGGTTGACGGCATTGTAGCATTCACAGCATAGTTTATGAAGAAGCCTGAAGAGTATAAGCTTTGATCCAACAGCAAATTGGCTTTCAAATGGGAACACTCTTACCTAACATGAGAAAGGTTAGTAGAAAGACCATATAAATGCTCACAATCATTCCTCTCGACTTCGCGGGCGCAATCTCAGTGAGATACAGTGGCGCAACTACGGTCAGCCCACCTGCGCCAAGTCCACCCCAGATCCTCGCAAAAAGCAGGAAACCGAGAATGCCACTTGAGAAGATTGTCATGAGATAACCACTCATCCAAATCACAGAGCAGATCTGCCATGCTCGCAAGCGGCCTAGTCGGTCTGTAACCAGCACAGCGAGAATGGAGCCAATTGCGGCCCCCAGAACACCGAATGAGGAAATGTTTGCCTTGCGGCTAGCGAGACCTGCTGCATCTCCTACCCATAACTTGCTGCTGAGTCCAAAGTCCGCAACGAACGAAGGGAGTTTTGTCGCCGCACTGAAGCCGCCCTCATCATAACCTGCCGAATTTTATGGTCAGCACACCGCTCCCCGCCCAGTTCAGTTGGCGGGCCACCAACGTACCTTTGGGAATAGATCCACAGGCTATGACGAGCACAGTGATGAAAAAATAGGGGCTATATTTCGACATGGTGCAGGAGTTGCGACCTCAGAGCAACGATGTCGTTTGTCTTGTATTGCATCTCGTGACGCATTGAGACTCTTCTTGAGCCAAGTTCTTATATCGGCGACGTAAAGCTTTAGTGGGAACGCAACCCCGCTGGGCATGGCGCCACGAATACTCCGTAATGCCCATGGGGAAACTCTACCCCAGAGCTTTCATTTATGAGAGCGCACCACTTTTGACGTAGCGTTGTGAGTGGAGTTCGGAAGTTGACCGAGCCCTATGGCGAGGTCCAAAAATTGTCGCTCAAACGATGGCTATCGGCTTTGACTTGATGGCGGGTTTAGTTCTGTTTGCTCTGGCGTCACGTGTCGCAGATAGTCCGGCAGATGGCCTATTTTTGACGCCTGGTCACACTTCGGTCAACTTCCGACTGCATATCCGTTTCCAGCAAAGGAGGAAGAATTGATTGTAAGTCCACTCCCAACTTGGGGACGAATTATCCCACCTCAGTGCACTGAGCCAAGACTATTCCATAAATACTATATACTTAACTCGGTGGACTTGGCGGCCAATTCGCTGACATACGCCGGAAACGCTGCTCCACATATCGTAGTTCAAGTGTAAGTAAATTGAATCATCCTAATTCCTCTTGTTGTGCTGTTTCTTCCATCGTTTCCAAAGTTGGCCAGTCCATTGTGATTCTGAAAAAGATGTACAGCTACGTTTTTAACCGATTGACCAATCTTGTCATGTTCGTTCGGCGGCTCTTATCGCAGTCTTTCAAACACGCCAGAGGAACCTCACTGCAGTTGAATAATTCCGCAACACGACATTATCGAATACCACTTACGAAACAGATACCTCGAGGATCATGGGACTCGCATATGCATATCATCGATCCAAGCAGATATAGCGTAAGCCGCGATGCGCAGTACCGTCCACAGACACACACTCTTGCCGAGGCCAAGGTCTTTGAGGCATCTGTCGGTATCGATAATATCGTTCTCGTGCAACCTTCCATATACGGTTTCGATAATTCCTGCCTCCTTGAAGCTTTGAAACAAATCGGTACACATCATGCAAGAGGTGTCGTTGTCTTTGATCCTCACACAACTCCCCAGGATACACTTCTCGAGTGGCACAACTTAGGTGTTCGTGGAGTGCGCGTCAATCTGCAGTCGGTGGGCAAATCGATGAGTCCAAAAGAGCTGCGCAAAACGCTCAGTCAATATGCTACGGCTGTTAAACACCTCGGATGGGTAATCCAGATATATGTGCCGATGCATGTCATTGAACAGTTAGAGCACATTGTGCCTACGTTGGGAACGCGCGTGTGCATCGATCACATAGGATGTCCCGATCTGAACGGCCAAGCTCTTCGAACCCCTTACGAAATTCCAGGATTCAGGTCGCTTGTTAAGCTATTAGAGCTTGGGGATACTTTCGTGAAGTTATCGGCTCCTTATCGTATGAGCCAAACGACAGACTATGGTGACCTAGAGCAGGTTGCTAGAGAGCTCATCAGACTGAAAGGCTTCAGTAGGGTCGTCTTTGCAACAGACTGGCCTCATACGAGGTTCGAAGGGTTAGATATCCAGCCTTGGGTACATGAAGTCATAGATTGGTGCAAAGACGACACCCACCTGGTGGAGAGGTTGTTCAAGGGTAATGCTGAAGAGCTATGGGATGTTCCTGCAGTATAATATTTAGACATTTTTGGTAGTTTCCAAGAGCCATGAGCGTAAAGCTCGGGCAGGTGCCGGTCAAGGCGTGTGCCAAATAAAATGACTTGCCAGAATCCAACTGTGTTCAATCCCCATCACGAATTGTCCCGAGATGCATCGTTTGCTCCTACTCGGCTCGACCGAAACTAGGGGCGCAGAAAAAACCAATATTCTAGGTGGGTTTTCACTGAGCATGCGACCATAGCTCTTCATATCAGCCCCCAAGAACCTGAACATCCACTGCGTCGAAAGTGGGTCGGAAAGTGACGAATACTTATCCCCCGTCAGAAATTTAGCATCGTACAGTGGAGTGTAATCCGTTCGGAAGTTGACCGAGCCAGTCCATGTGTTAGCTCATTCAGTGATATGTCGACACCTTCGATTCGCCGCCCATGAATGCCGATATGCTGTTATTGTCTCCCTTCAAGCAGAAACCGTGTGATGTCCCGTGGTTCGAACAAGCCAGCAGATATGCCATCCGAGACCTTTGGAGTGGCAACAAAGATTGTAGCAGGAGGTGTTGCAGGTGTATCAGAAACCATTATTACGGTAATCCAAAATAATGAATCGCAGGGCGACCCATGACGACTGACAAACTCAATCATAGTATCCAGCAGAGTTTGTGAAGACCCGGCGGCAACTTTACACACAGTCCGGCGGTCAGCACGGAGCACCTCGCTCTTTCACTATCCTAAGGAGTACTCTGGCGCAATCAGGGTTTTCTGGAGTTTACTCTGGATGTCAGGCGCTGGCCACTTCGAACGCATTCAAAGCGGGTGTCCGATTCCTAACTTTCGAGACAAGTCGTGACCAAATTGATCGACTCATCGGGCTTCGTGCAGGCGAAAGGCGTAGCCCTTGGGTCAATGTGCTGAGTGGACTCAGCGCAGGCGCAGTGGAAAGTGTGTTTGTAGTAACCCCTGGTGAAGCGCTAAAGACGAGGATGATACATGCCGCCTCAACTGCCAAAGAAACCAATCAGGCCCAGAGCATCTCTGATGCTGTGAAGTCCCTTTTACGAGAGAGGGGCATTGGGGGTCTTTGGAGTGGTCTGGGTCCTGTGCTATGTAAGCAAGCTACGAACAGTGCAGTAAGGTTTACAACTTTTGCCACACTTCAAGAAAAGGTAGTGGCACATTGGCCGAAGCTTGAAGGCAATATTGGAAGCACTTTGGTACTTGGTGGCATCAGTGGAATCTTCACAGTGTTGGTCTGTCTTCCCCGGCGTTTAACATCATGGCTAACCCCCTTTGACATAGGTACGCCTCGATGCCTTTCGACACCACCAAAACCAAGATGCAGGGTACCAGCACGCCGTATGGAGGCATGTTCAATTGCATGAAGCAAATGCTCATAAATGATGGCGTAATATCCTTCTGGAGAGGGACGTCGCCTAGGCTGGTGCGATTGATAGTACGTGGCAGTTCTCTTAACATGCTTTCCAGACGCTGACCGAAACAGCTCTCTAGTGGAATTACATTTACCGTGTACGATCAAATGATCCGCCTCATGAGACCAAGCGCACCCCCAAGAACTTCAATTCTGTAGTGTGGTAAATAACGATATCATGCTGTCTGATTGGAATAATCAAAATCAGATATAGCCGCAACCGATACGCTGAGTGGTTCAATGGTCGACAGCGCTTCCAGTAGTCCCGGATCCAAAACCATATGTGCTGGGTCAAAGTCGATATTCCAAGCATTCTCAGACATGAGTTCTGGTTCGATATCCGTAGAGGTGCCTATTGTATCCGCTAGATCCGACTGTGCTGTCGTACCCTCGGATGTTAACACATCATAGGCGGGTCGGTTTGGCTGTGATGAAGTATCATGTGATCGAAAAGACTGTAGCTCGATACCTGAAGCATGCAATTCTTCGGATATGACGCTCAAAGCACTGGAGATTACTGCAAAATACTCAGCTAAGACGATAAGATCATATCGAAAGAAATCATACCGTTGTTGGTGTCTTTGGCTTTGTCCAGCGCATTCAGACAGAACTCGAGCCTTCCTAAAGCCTGACTGTCGTGAGGGGTGGCTTGGATCTGTAGCAGGAATATGGTTGCTGCGATATAGACACTGTACAATTGAGACAGCACACAGTGCCCAATTCCGAATGTCTTGCAGAATAAATCAAACGCGGCAATAATGGAAGTCGCTGAAGTCACACACTCCTGTAGGTGGTGTGGCATCGCACTCGATTCTTCGTCAACTGTTTTTCCTCGGAAGGGTAACATACGTCGATGTAGTAATATCTTCAACGCATGATACAGAAAGCTGAGTACAACTAATTAGTGGCCGCAAGAAGTAAGCTTGATCGTCACTCACTTCAGTGTAACAATATGCGAAGGCGGTGCTAATGGAGGTAAGGCGAAAACATCAATTTTCAAGGATGGCGGAAGGTTATCCCACCAGAGTAGTAGTGCAGTGCCCTGGCTGCGAAGGCAATCGATGATTTCTTTCGGGGTGTTTTGTTGTAGTGGATCATACATGTGGATAAGAATTTCGTTCAGTATGACCGAGAGCTGGCATATCTTCGTGAAGCAGGATGTCGAATGGGCAGCACATGGTGGATACTGCCATGTATTTTGAGATTTTGATCCGAATGGAAACCAGAGGTCATTGTCCGTGGAGTCGTCAGCTGGTAAGTATTAGCAATGAACCATTAAGCAACGGTTCACTTTATTGCTGCTGTATGGCCCTCGAACTTACACATGGCTAACGAAGGTGACACCCCGGAGCAGTGCACCGACGGTGAGCGACCCAAATACAAGCTAATCATTTTGTCCCAGAAATAGCAGCTCCAGAACAGGCGGCGTCTTATTTCCACGTCCTCATCTGTCAGTTGTATGGATCCAGGAAACCGGGTACCGTCTACACAAATACCAAGGTGGTCAATCATACGAAAGGCAATGCCACTGTACATCCATGCCTGGCCGCTGTTGCCACTGCTGCACTCCCGCGCACTGAGCAGTAGCAAGGTCTGCGCGGTTGGAATGGAACACACGCCTTGCCTCAGCTCCTCAAATAGCATAGTGCGTGCGCATTCGGCGAGATTGGTGCCGCCGCCATAGATTGCGTCGATCTGTCGCATAGTTAAATCGTCGTTCTTAGCCCACCGAATCGAATGTGACAGGATTGTAGTTAGGAGTGTTTGAGAAAAGTAGGGACCATTCATTTGCATGTCGCCTAGCACACTGAGTTATATTCGTCAGGCTTTGAGGTGATGGTAACTCACGACTGAAAGCTGGTCTATAGATGAAGTTAAACACTGGTTGAACCCAGCACCAATGAATGTTGAGTAGATGGTGGAAAGGCGCCTTTGGTTGATCAGTATTGTACATATTGGCCGGAGAAAGCAGCGCAGAATGGCGACTAACCGGAGTGCTGGATAGGTTCTCGAAGGATCGTTCTTGCCATGCATTGACCACCAACCGCTCTCTTCTCTGAGCATTGCCTTCGTCCAGCGACACATCACTCGCAGTAGTTGCTGGGTTTCTTGGGAGGTTAAAGAAGCTCGTCGGCCCATGATAAGTGATGCCGCCGCTGTTATCCACTTTGAGCCCGTTTAGGGGCTGTGACGGTTGCTTTGGATTTTGCTGATTTGAAGCTTGATTGTCCGCTGAAATGGGCGCCAGCGATGGCTGGCCATTGTCGTCGGGACGAGCCGAGAGTGTTTTTTCCAACTCCACGATCCGCTTCTCAAGTCGCTGGGTATACGACAAAGTTGGGTTCCTTACGCAGTTAGCACATGAAGAGATTTGTTTGCATAGGAGGTCGGCTCTCACAAACTATATCCGCACTCGACCCCTCGAGAAGCGCATCGCTTGCATATTGGCTGCTCCCCCCCGCATTTCACCTGTTGATCTCTTACGTTAGCGGCGGCATAGTTACACAGCGAGTCTCTTCCGTCGTACCTTTCTTTGTCTGCAAATATCACACGAGAAGGCGCTCTTCTTCGTGGCCTTCGCATTCGACATAATTTACATGAGTTGTGAATGAATTAATATCCAGTGGTGCATGATGTACTGTGCGTGAACGGCATCGCAATTACTGGACAGAAGGTTAGTGTCTTGATTGAAATCCGGCGTCTTCCAAGTGGTCATAAAACTCTCTGATTAACCTGCCAATGCCCGTTGAAGCGCCCTGGCTAGCGCCTCCTATTAGGTTAGTGAGATCCCTATGGGCAGCACCCGGACCGCCGGGCAGACCGGGTTGTCGGGTGGAAACGGCGGCAACAGCAGCTGGACAAGCAGCAGTAACTTAACCTTAGTATGATTGAATTTTACACAACTCACTTATTATTATATTCTTCTCACCAACCATACCATATACCAAACACAATATTTGGATGTCTGAGCATATCGCACCGTGCCATTCAATCTAAGGTCAGTAGTCTAGGTTAGTTAGTATGCAACTTACGAGCTCGAGTCCCATGGGGCGCAGGCCCTGGAACATGGGCGCTAAACTCAGAAAGTCCCCAACACAGTATGTGCCATACCCCGAAAAGAAGCTGTCATGCTACTCCAAACGTTACGAGACTCATAGTAGGACGGTTTGCGTTGATGAGCAACTTGATGAGACCAATATGTGTCAGGATTCACTTGCCAACATGTGCATGGCGCAATGCAACTCATTTGTTTTGATTTATTCGCCCACCGCATGGGAGCCCTCAGGCACCTATGTCGGCCTTGCAGGTAAGTTAGAGATTTGTGTCTGACGGAGTAAGACTTCCGCTTTCTCTATACTTGGTAAAAACTGGCTCTACTCAGCAAGTATTCGTGTTTCTCTCTATCTATTCATTTTGCACTTCGGTCAAAATGGAGGCAAGAAGTTACAGTATCTTCTATTTGTAATGGTTCTTGCCCGCCGCCGCGGTTGTTGCGACTCTTCGGCAGTCGAACATAGTTGTGTATGAAATATAGTCGCCAACACCGTTGCGCATATTTCGATACCAAATGAAGACAACGAACCATTCAGTGGATTCTCATATAGAATTCAAGCCACCATGTATTTGTTCAAGGAGCTGGTACTTCACCTCGATACCCGTCGCGCGGACCTTGCCTTTGTCTCCCAAGCACGCAGCTCGTAGTGTATTCAACCAAGCTCAGGCTCTTTGTTCAATACATAGAAATATGTTAAAAAATTTTTTTTTTTGGAAATGGCCAACACCAACATAGCCCGGCTTCCAACTTTCACGCACATGCGGACGATCACGAGACGCTGTGAAGCTAACACGCGAGGTCTGCTTTGTCGACATGTAATAGAAAACCATGGCCGTGAGTCAGCTTTGTATTAAAAGTGATGTGAATAAGATTGAGCCCTTATTCAATTCCAACGGCATCCAATCATCATCCGCGAACATCACACGGGGGAGAACATGCTCTATAAAATCTCGTACGGTTGAACCGACTTTGCTTCTCCCATCACAACGACTCGTGCACTCCTGGTAGATAGACCAAGTATCGACGAGCATAAGCAGCACCATGGGAGGATGTTTTAGCTCGCAGCCTCCTCACAGCGAGGAGGGCGAGGACCCAGCGACCGAGCTCCCCCAATATACAGGGCCTCCTGAGCCTCATCGGACATCGAACGCCTCGAACCCCTACAACCCATATGGCGACCCTGGGTCTGCCGCCTATGATACACAGAACCAAGGTGCGAGGAGCAGCCGCTGGGAGCAGACTGGTAACAACAGGAGGCCCGATCGTCTTGGCCTGCCTGCAAACAACAGGGGCCCTATCACCTACAATCCGGCCGGTCGAGACGGCCGGTCTTCAAGCAGTAGGGAGACTGTCCCCCATGATCCGCAGAGCCGGGGACCGAGGCCCAGTCGCAAGGATCGACATACTCAGAATGCGAGGAGTAATCAGGGTGGTGGATCTTCAAGCAGCAGGGATATTGTCCCCTATGATCAGCAGAATCGGGGTGCAAGGCCCGGTCGCAGGGACCGACATGATCAGAACATGAGGCCCAATCAGAGCGGTGGTGAATCTTCAGGCAGCAAGGAGATTGTGCGCCATAACCAGCGGACCCGGGGTCCGATGCCTGCCCTCAGGGAACAATATAATCAAAACGAGATGCCCTATCAAGGCGGAGAGCCTCCACGCCAAGGCGAGTCTTCACGCACAGGAGAGTCTTCAAGAAGAGGGAAGCCTCCAGGCGGAAGAAGGGAGTCTTCACGCAGACGGAAGCTCTACCAACACACCGGACCCCATCAACTTCCATACGGGGAGTCTAGTAGCAGCCAACCGGGGCCGTCCCAGGCTGAGAGCGAGAGCCAAGGCGAGTAGACATCTGGCCCGTCGATCGTAGCTCCGCACAGGCGGCACTGACTTTTCATTCAGATTGGACCACTCCAAACGATGGGATGGAGCCAATACACAGGGGAGCAGAAAGGAAGGTGAAGATTGCACCTATAGATACAGCAATACTACTTCCCTCGAGCGGTGAAATTGTGGCTCCAAGCCCACAAAGCCCTCTCGTTCCTGGGTATGATCGGCTGGTAGCTGATCCGGCTTCAGTGAGCCCCGATACACCGACAGGACCTAGCGATTATCGTGGTTAGACAGGGCGAAGAATACAAGAAGAGTTCTCAGTCTCCTGAGAAGGCACGAGGGAGGGAAGCATGCGTACTTTGGGAACACACACGTGATGCTCAGGAGGACTGATGGGAAGTCTTAAGTAAGGGTATGACGTCGTACAGAACGCTCAAACACGACTCCTAAGGGACGGTAGTACATCTTATTAAAATTTGTTTTGCTCAATTTAACATATTATCGTACTTGCACCATGAGGCCGAGGTAGACAGGCAAAAACCGAAAGCATATTAATTCCATGCTTAAAACATGTCCTTGAAGTGGCTGTATAAACTCGTGCCTCCGACTTGTCCTGCACCCGGACCCGCCATACCGAACTGTCCCATTGGTGCTCCATCATCAACAGGGATAGGTTGCGTCAACTGAGTACCAGCTCGTGTGGGATCCGCAAGAGTATCTACTGACGTCGGCCCAAAGGCGCTCATGCCTGCATAGCCTTCGAAAAGCCTTGCCATCTCATTGGCTATCTGCTGACCGTTCTGAGCGCCATCTGCGGTGGGAATGGCGTTTCCGGGCGCACTGGTGGGCACAGGTTGGGCGAAGGTAGCGCCGGTGCTGGTGGGAGTTGGTCCCATATGGCCAGTTGCCAGCCCTGCCATGGTCAACGCCGCACTAGAATGCGGGTCATCGGCCTCGGCCAATCCAAGCTTTGGCGCAACTTCCTTCAAGGACTTGATGCTGCGCCAAAGGCGCTTCGAGACCCAAGACTTGGTGCTCAAGTCGCGTACAAGCTCGAGGCCCATGTGGAACTCATCGCGACAGGCGGCGCTGAAGTTGACAGGGGCGTGGCATGACGCGAGGAACAAGACAACAATGGCTGACGTCAAGAATTGGTGGTAGAAAACCTGGATCTTACGGTAGATGTTCGTTGTGTTGTTGATGTGGTTCAGGTATTTGATTGTATTCTGAGCAAGCTTGACAGCTCGCTCGGCACCGCGGAGGTTTTCCATTATGCTGCTGAGGGTGTGCAGAATGGGCATGTGAAGCCAGGTTCGAATTTGGTTCAGTCGAAGATAAGTCCAAATCTGTAGGCGATGAATATTGTAGCCTACATTCGAGTTCGTGGGCGTGTCAATCGAAGGCGGCATCGATTCCCAGTCGGCCAGTTCAAGCTGCACCTCGGCCGGGACTTCGGTATACCACTGCTTGATCTGACGGTCAAGATCGTCAATGTCGTTCTGTCGCAGGTCCATCGCCATGTTAGGCTCAAAATGCCTCACGAGGCGCCAGACCTTGGCGCTGAGCTTCGAATATGATATCATGGCCACCAAATACGGATGTTGGTCCTAGGCGTGTTAATGGGACGTCATACCTTCGGGTCAGGAGCATACTGCACTCACAGGCAAGGGTAGGTCAGGATCAATCTCATCGTCCGACACGGCATAAGGCAGGCCTGTACCGAAGCTCCAGCGCCTGTCCAGGACATAGCAACTCCAAAAGGTGTGAATTGCGTTTCGACGGTCCTCCTCATCGGGGATTCGCGAGATGGCTTCGCGACGGTGAAGACCGAGCTCCATGCAGTGGCGCAGGCCTATACCGATGACTCGCCAAGCCAGTATTTCATTGTTAGCAAGGAACTCGTAGCCGCCCAGGAGAGCCAGCAATGGCAGGTTGGCGACATCGCTCGGGTCAGTCATAGTCATCTTATCGAGGATTGGCTGGATGCTGGCCAGAATCCTGAAAGCCTTGTCGCTGTCACCGTGCTCCTCTACAATAAGCGCATTAATCATGACAAGCTTGAGTATGATGGTCTTGTGGTCCGTGATTCCGCTGCCCTGAGACGTGGGTGGCCCGCCATTGAGGAAGTGCTTCTTCGCTGCCTCCATCCAAGTTGCGAGGATCTTGGCATGGTTTACGACGGATTCCACTCGGACGACAGGGTACATGATGCCGACTTCCTCTTCGTAAACCCGACAGAGCCTCACTATTTCGTCCTTGTCGAATTCCCACAGTGGATCTGCAGGAACATGTTGCGATTCAGGCCCGGGTGGCGCCGGCATGGAGGGTGTGCCAGGCATTGGTTCTTGAGACACGGCATTGCCATATGGGGCATCTTCCAGATTGCTGTAGCCCATCTTGTGCAGAGTGTTCTTGGCGACGTCGAGGCTGAAGTTGGTATTGGTGGGCCCTCGGAAGCCAGACGGCCGGACGTTTCCCAGCTCTGCACGCTGCAGTGGTGTGCCGGAAGCCGAGGGAGATGGCGTGCCTGCACTGGCCGCAGGCGGGAGGGAAAGCCCCCGATCTTGACCTTGATGAGGGGCTAGACGTAGGGACTCGGAACGGAGTGCATTAAGATTGTTGAACAGAGTCTCGACCTGTTCCTGGAGACGAGACACGGTGTTGTTCATGTGTTTGAACTCGTCCGAGTCTTTGAAGTTGTTGGTACAGCAGTTGGGAGCGTAGAGGCATTGCAAGTTGAGGTTGCCGCATCGTTGGCATGGTGTCTCGCCGTTGCACTTGATCTTGCGTCGCTTGCATTCGTTACTGGAGGGAGTGTGATGTTAGCTAGTGAGACAAGCAACCACCCGGCGAGAGATGGGGCCGGAGCTCAAAGGACTTCGCATGGAGCGGGAGGCTGCTGTGGAGCCCGGAAGCAGCACAAAACACCATGAGCACTCGACGATGATGATGATGGCGGCGGCGACGACGACGAACACCACTGCGGGTTTCTCAACCGAGCCGGGCGACAAGGCCATGCGAGACTTACCAGGCGATTGATATGTACCGGTTGCGCTTGCTCCTTTGCTGCTTGCTGCTGTTGGGGCTCTCGTCGTGGGTGTCCTTCCTCTTGCCTCCGGTCTCGTTTGCGCTGGAAGCTTGGGCTGGGTGGTGATGCTGTGCGGAATTATGGCCGGCAGCGGAAAGAGGAGATGCAGCGCTCGTGGGCGTAAAGCCAGTCGGCTCGGCCAGGGGGGTAATTGCGTTCTGGCTAAGGTATTTCAGGTCGTTGACCTGGTCGTTCAGGAGGTCCATCTTCCCTCCCTCCTTGGTTTCACTCGCGAGACCTCGATCGTTTTCGTCGCTTGTCAGTCTGCCAAACCGACAACAAAACAGCTCGGTCCCTCGCGCTCTTCGCTCCTCCTGAGATTTGCAACGAGGTCCGCGAAGGCCGCCAAGGACAGGGGAGTTACCGCTAACGGGATTGCCGCCGTCATCACGTGATCTCCTGTTTTTTTTTTCCTTCTGGTTTCATTCCCAAACCATGATCGAGTACTAGGTTAATACGGTGCACATACGTCACAAGACCAAAAAGAACCCAAAGGCAGTATTTCCGTGACCTCCCGTGCGCATGTTCAACGTCGCTCAGAGCTTTGCATTTTCGATGCATTGAGAAACCCCGGGTCCCATCCATGGTAAGATAAATATGTAAAGCATGCTTTTATTATTGCATATACAACGGCATTTCATGACCAAATCGCCTTTGCACATGACCTACCTACCTCTGGATGGCAGAGTATATAGTGCCTGTGCATTCGCCGAAGCCGACGTATTCACCCTGCCTCCCGCAAGTCCCACGCAACGTGACCGTGTCGCCGTCTTTCAAGAACTTCCGCACATCCATGCCCTTAATCATAATGTCCCTCTTCCCGCCCTCGCTCATCTCGAGCAGGCTACCCCGTTCTGAGGGCTCCTTTCCACTGATGGTACCAGACCCCAGCAAGTCGCCTGTGTTGAGATTGCAGCCTCCTAGCGTGTGATGGGCAATCATTTGCGGGAACGACCACATCAGTTGATTTGAGTTGGTCACGCCGATCGTGGTGGTGTCGCCCTCAGGTGCTATACATCGTTAACATCACGCTGTGCTAGTCTTACCAGCCGCGGAACTTACTTATCAGATCGATCTCAAGCTTGATGTCGAATGCTGTCTCCTCCTTGCTCTCCTTCAAGTAATCTTGTACCGGCTGTGCCTTGTGCTCTAGGCCCTTCGTGCGGAATGGTTCCAGCGCGTCTGCGAGGACGACCCAGGGACTTATCGTCGAACCAAAATTCTTGCCGTTGAAGGGGCCCAGAGGCACGTATTCCCATGCCTGGATATCACGTGCGCTCCAATCGTTGAGCAGCACATAGCCGAAGATGTGATTTTCTGCGTCTTCCACCTTGACAGGTTCTCCGAGGTCGTTCGACTTGCAGACGAAGCATCCCAGCTCCAGCTCAATATCCAGTCTCCGCGAGGGAGCTGTCGTCGGCTGCTTAGGTTCAGCGGTAGGATCCAGCAAGATCTGTCCCCATGGCCGACGGATGGGCGTTCCTGAAACTACGATACTGGAGGCACGACCATGGTAGCCCACAGGCAGGTGTGTGTAATTGGGCTGCAGGGCGTTGGCAGGTCCACGAAACAGAACACCGACGTTGTATGCATGGTTGTATCCGACATAGAAATCCGTGTAATCACGAATCGCCATGGGTAGGTGCAGCCTGACTTTACTTTGTGGAATCAGGGCCTTTGTTCGTAGCTCCTCGTTGTCCTTGAAAGCCTCTGGGTGCGTGGTCCCGGACGACAGGATATCTCGTAGCAGCTCACGCACTTCCCGGTGCACGGGTCTGCCTAGGGCGGCAAATGCGTTCAACGTCGGCTGGCTGAAAACCTCGTCCTTGCCCTCAATGAGGCTCTTTGACTGAGACAGAGCCTTGAGATCCACCACGTAGGAACCAATAGCCACTGCTGCGCGCCGTGTGGAGTCGTGCTCCGTTGTGATGATGCCGAAAGGGATGTTGGCCAACGAGAACGGGCTCTCGGGCGATACATCAGGTACCCAGGTCGTCATTTTGGCTGTTATGGTAGCTCTTGGAAGCGCGGTGTAATATTCAATTAATTCTTTAGACCCAAACTGTCTCTTTTCCTTGATATAATGTCTTATGGACTTCAGTTATAAGAGCCGTGGACGGAATCCCTTGCGCGGGGCTAAGTGCCGGCGTTATCCGCCCCCACTAACCCACTGATTTCCGATTCCGCTACGACCGGCTTTGAAATTCGGCTCCATGTCAGAAGGTTTTAAGTTGTTTCGAAAAGGACATGTGCATATCTAGGCCATCGAATCTCGGTAGCTTTATCCATCAATGGCTTAATTTTGTTGTACAGCATAGCTCTACAATTGGCGATTGTCGTGCATGAAAGCAAGGCGCTAAAACAGCCGCCGGCGAGTCGCCAGCGGTTCTTACCAAAGCCCATGCAACGAACAAGGGATCGGACAATGAATGACAGTGCTGGCTTGATATAAACCATGGGAAGGGGTATTGCCTTGTTTGCCATGCGCAGCTTCCTTGGTGGTCAGCGAGCTTGGGGGGATCTCAACCCATACTTACCCGAATACACACAACGCCGTCATTCATTGCCAGAACCCAGTTTTCAGTGATATTATCGGTAAGAACGTCAATGCATCACGGGGTACGAACTATACCGCTGCAGAATGGTACCAATGTCCATACCCTGCAGACTTCTTTCCATACATTGCTCGTTGTAATTTGCATCAGTCTTCTTGGGTCATTGTTCTCGCAACCTTTACCGCAAAGTCGTAGCCGTCTCGAGCATCTCCGGCCATGTCTCATCCCAGTACACCCATTCGATCAGGATGGAATTGCGGTGTTATCATCATCGGTGCAGGTATGGCTGGCCTGGGTGCCGCAATTGCACTCGCCGGACGTGGCGGCGTCACCTCCGTCCTAGTGTTTGAGGCTGATGACGAGCTAAACAAGACAGGGAGAGGCCTTCAGCTCACCCCCAATTGTATCAGAATCCTCGATTCTTGGGGAGTAGCTAATGAACTCGCCTCATATGCTACGGAACTGGACTCAATCAACTTCTGCCGTTACGCCACTGGCCAAATTATAGGACAGACAGATATTCAGAAGGAGATGCTCGAACAATATGGATATCCTTATTGACTCGTTCGGCGAGCGGACTTCCAGAAGGTTCTCTACAAGCGCGCAAAACGTGTCGGTGCTCTATTCGAGTTTAGAAGACGAGCGACTCGCATCCACATTCACTATGACTGGTCGTTGGTCGAGCTAGATGATGGGCAGAGACATATCGCCGACCTTGTGATAGGAGCAGATGGAATCAGAAGCAATTCCCGGTAGTCCATCTTTCCGGACTCCCTGCTCGACCATATTCCCGCGAATTCATGTGCTCACTGCGCAGTTATTGAAGCGAAATTGTCAGGGAGAATCCAGTCACAAGGCACTTACTAGAGAGTACAGACTCAAACGCATGGTTGGAACCTCGTCGACAATTCCTCTGCTATCCCACGAAACGTGGTCAGGACTTGAATATTATGGGCATTCATCTTGGCAGAGTAACACCAAATACGTCAAGTGAAATAGTTGATGATCTTGATGGGATGCGTCGTGACTTTCAAGACTATGACCCAGTCGTTCAGGAAATACTCAAAATGGTTCAGTCAGCTAAGTGCCGGCAACTCCATAAGCTGCCCACACTGGAAAAGTGGTCTTCTCCATATGGACATTGTGTCCTCATTGGCGGTACAGCACATACAACGGTACCTTTTCCTGGCGCAAGGGCCATCTAGCGCCATTGAAGACACAGCCGTTTTGAAAGAATGTCTTCATGGTATGGATGACTACTAAAAAAATCACGAATGGCAGTCGGTTATTCGAAGTGATTCGTCAAGGCAGAGTTAACGGACTGAGGCATGGCGCATACTATAACAGACATACTTTGCACATTCCAGTTGGACCACGACAAGTGAGGCGCGATCGGGACATGAAATACAAAGAGGGCCGTATATGTTACAATCTTTGGTCAGACCGTGTATTTTCCCACTGGGTGTTCGGGTACGATACATCAACGCTGTGAGTCCAGTCATAAGATTGCTGCCAGACTGATCGAGCTAACGTGTTCATCAGACTCCACGACTGGCGACGCATGATCCCAGGCGTTCGAACACCTTCGAATTTGTTATCTGGGGATATTTAGCTTTCGTTGGCTCGAAGATCAATAGGACTTTTCTTGTACCGGAACAGCCAATCGTTTTGCGTACACGCTACGGTTCAGTCAGGTCAACTGAGTTTCCCACCCAAAGTGCACTCAGTAATAGTGAATACGGCGGCAATTATGGTTCAAAACATGGGCATAGAATCATTTCATGGGTCTACCGGCGTGTTTCTCGTATTTGAAAGTCTCTATACTAAAACTGTTCAGCGCCAAGCGTCTAGGTACGAGAATATGGAACGTCAAATCGGTCCACCTTCCAAACTGGGCGTATCGGGACCCACTGCCGAAATTGGCCCAAGACGTGATCACCACAACTCCAGGAAAGAGATCGTGTATGCAGTGTGATAATCATGCAGGTCTACTGCTCTTGTTGATAACAGTATGGATTACCATAGATATAGGCCACGACCCTGCTGCTTTTTGAAGGACGTGTTCTCCATGCTCCAGGCCTTCGCCCAGTCTCTCGTTCAACATTCGTGAGAATGAAGTTTGCTCAAACCCTTGCCCTTCTGGGAGCTTTGGCTCCAGTGATTACTGCTGTTGCACCACCTATTGCTTCGGCAGATGCAGCCGCCAACGCCGCGACTGATGACAACATCGTCTCGGGTGCGTACATCGTGGAGTTTGAGGACGACGGCGAAGATACCGATGTTTTCTACAAAGGTCTCAGCACAGATGGAATTGATGTCACTCACCGCATGGACCTCCGGTACAATCTCTTCAAAGGCGTATCCTTCAATGTGAAGAACGGGTCGAGCCTCAATGAAACGGTTGAGGCAATCGCCGGGCACCAGAAAGTCAAGAACATCTGGCCTGTCAGGAGATTGTCCTTCCCAAAGCTCACCCCGGTCTCAGTGGGAAACAATCTCACCACGCTAGCTGCCCTTACAAAGCGACAGGACGATTCCGGGGATTCCTTCTCTCCGCATATCATGACGCAGGTTGATAAGCTTCATGCCGAGGGAATCACCGGAGGTGGTATAAGGATTGGCCTTGTCGATACTGGTGTGGACTACTTGCATCCAGCTTTGGGTGGCTGCTTCGGTGAGGGATGTCTAGTTGGATACGGCTATGATCTGAACGGCGACGATTCAAGCTCGCCTGTCCCAATTCCGGACGACGACCCATATGATGACTGTTTGGGCCATGGTGAGCATCCGGGATGGTACTCGTCATTAACCTCAGCTGATAAATCATAGGTACGCATGTGGCCGGAATCATTGCCGCGCAAGCAAATGACCAGGGCTTTCTCGGCGCAGCCCCAAATGTCACGCTTGGAATGTTCAAGGCCTCGGGATGCGGAGGATACACGACCAACGATATCCTGATCGCCGGATTTAATATGGCCTACGAAGCAGGAAGCGATATTATCTCGTGCTCCGCCGGCGACGACTCGGGCTGGTCCTCCGACCCTTGGGCTATCGCTGCCTCCCGCATTGCCGATGCGGGCGTCCCTGTCATCGTTGCGCTGGGCAACTCAGGGGACCAAGGCCTGTGGCAGGCGGCATCCCCAGCCAGCGGGATCAAAGTCACTGCGGTTGGCAACGTAGAGAACACCCTGGCACCTGTGATTCAGGCAGCGGGATCGTTTATCGACGGCGAGGGGAAATCAGAGAGTTTTGGCATCTACTGGGGGTCACCTTCTTTCACAGATAATGTGACACTGCCACTCTGGTCCGTCTCCAGTACCATTGGGGCAGCGGCTTGCAGTGCACTACCGGATGACACCCCTGACTTGTCCGACAAGATCGTGCTTGTTGGGGTTTCTTATGAGAGCGGATGCGGCCCAGAAGCACAGGCAACAAACATCGCCGCCAAGGGCGGCCAGTACATCCTTTATTATAGCCTCCGTAATAGGTAAGGATGAATTGTTTTAATCCTTACCAGAAAACCCTTACTAACTTCATTGAAGCAGCACCGATCAACTCTATATAAGTAATACCGCAGTCAAGGGTGTGGCTTCGATCAGCCTTGACCAGGGTGTTCAGTTTCTCGACTTGTTGAGCAATGGTGGAAACGTCACTGTGGACGTAACTGATGCTTTCCATGCCGGCATATATGTCCAAAACTGGCCGAACACACAAGCAGGAGGATACATGAGCCGGTCGTCCAGCTGGGGCCCGACCTATGAACTCAATGTCAAACCACAGATGAGCGCACCCGGAGGCATGATTCTTTCGACTTATCCCGTGAGACTGGGAAGCTACGCCGTGCTCTCCGGTACGTCCATGGCCACGCCACTCGTCGCTGCAATCTTCGCACTTGTGGGTCAGGTCCGCGGCACGCTCGATCCGGTGGTTCTTCGCAATGCACTATCAGCTACTGCTGCACCATTGAACTGGAACAACTATACAGCCGTCGCGAATATCCTAGCTCCAGTCGCGCAGCAGGGAGGTGGTATCGTCCAGGCATACGACGCAGCCTTCACTACGACAATTCTGAGCGTCAGCAGCCTCGCGCTCAATGATAGCGACCACTTTATCAGTGACCAATCATTCACGGTTGAGAATCTCGGGGCCGTTGATGCCACATATGACCTGGGTCACACTAAAGCCGCAACCATGTATTCGCTGTATCAAGATGTTGAAATACTGCAAAACGTTGCTTTCCCGAATGGTATGGTCGACGCATGGGCCGAAGTCACTTTTGAGAGCGAGACCATTACCGTTCCCGCTGGGGGTAAGGCAGAAGTCAAGCTAGCTGTGACGCTGCCTATTGGTGTCAATGCAACCTTACTACCAGTATATAGCGGGTACATCACGCTGAACAGCTCAACCGGCGAGAGCCTGTCGCTGCCCTACCTCGGAGTAAAAGGAAGCGTACACGACACACCTGTCATCCAGAAGGGAGGCTATGGCTTGGGTGGTGTGTACCTGACTGATACTAATGGGCATTTTAATATCCCAGCCGTGGCCAATCGAACATTTACGATCCCCCGGCCAGACGCCGATGTCACAGGTCCGACTCCGGTCTACCCTAAACTCCGCGCAGGTTTAACCCTAGGAACTTACGAACTACGCGCAGATGTTGTGCCGCTTTCCAACACCACCTTGTCCACAACCAATGTGTTTGGGTACAAAAGCGTGGGATTAGTCCCCGGCTTTCCCTATCAGTGGGTCTACCGGGGTGGTGTATCACAATATTTCTGGGGACAGACGGCAGATGGGACCATTGTGCCAGAGGGTGAATACATCTTCGTTATAAGCGCGCTTAGGGTATTTGGTGACTCGGATAATGAGGATGACTGGCTTACTGTGGAGACAGTGCCGTTCCATATTGAGTATACTAGCTAGACGATTTTGTAGGAGATCTAACATCAACGTGCGATACAACTCCAAACCCATAAATACTAGGCGTTGCCCAAGCAGTGTGCTTTTGTGATCAGCATCGTGGCAAGTCCTATAACATCATTTCGGAATGAACCTCAGGCCACATTTGGTTCGTGATGGATGTGTCGTCCATGGAACCGTGCTAGCCACGATCTCGCCATTGCCTGTCGGATTTTCTTGCCCCAGATCATAAAGACTATCAACACGATGTTGTTCAGAATCAAGACAGCAGCAAATATTCCGGAGATCACCACTGCGTAACCCGTCTCCAGTACCCAGTCGAGCAAATTGACGGAAAGGCCGAAACTGATAGCTTGCTTCCCAAGGTTCATCGCGATCAGCATCTCCGACACGTTCGAGTTGTACGAATCTACGGCATACGCCAGCGCGAATGAAAAGTAGAAGTATGCGGACCATTGCTCCATGCCCACGCCGAAAAAGTATCCAAGCCAGTGTAGGTTGTACTGCGCGGTCAAGCCAAACAAAATTAAGCCAGCCGGCGCAACGATCATGGCGGGAATCATGACGCCCAGGCGCATCTCGGCCTCTCGAACTCCGTTGTTGCGTCGCGTCAGTCGGGCGGCGAGGCGGTCGGATGTAGGCGCGAAAGGAACGGCAAGAAGGAAACCGATCAACGTTGCCAATGCAATGAGACCGGAATCTGCCTATTTGGGTTTTGGTCAACGGCTGGCCCTGAAGCACGCGTCACGTAGTGCAAGAAAGGACCACTAACCTCACTCCAGTTATACGGAGGCCCCATGATCTTGATCGGGAATGTGTAGTTGAAAGCGAAAGCTCCTAGTCCGATATATATCCCAAACGAGGTAATAACCCAGAAGACCTGCGGCACGAGAAAGTAGGTGAACGACCTAGCAATGGTCATAAAAAATGGTGATTGGGGATCATAATGTCCTAGTGGGCTCAAAGTCTTGAAAAAGGGAATGCGTTCTGGAACAGGGGCAGCTCTTCGTTCATAGGTCTCTTGGGCGGGCTTTTCGGCATCTTCTGGAGCCCGCAGGTCTTCAGATGGCGTCTCGGACAGTTTATGAGCCTTCCTGTCGTATGAGGTCTCTTCCACGAACAGAAAGGCCAAGACTAGCAGTGCTGACGCGAATGCCAAGATGACATAGAAGAACAACCTCCATGAGTAGGGCTCAATGAGCATATGTGCTGATGGTAATGGAGCGATGGAGCCCAAGCAAATCGCGACTGAACAAGTTACTAGACTTTCGTAGCCAAATGCTAAATAGACATTTCAATGAGCTGAGATAGACTTACAAGAGTAAAATGCCAAATGCTTGCCACGCTCGTGTAGAAAGAAGATATCATTGACCAACTGTACAGGAATTGCTTCGCATATACCAGACCCAAATGCAGCGAAGACTCGCGCGACCATTAGTCCTGTAAAATTGTGAGCTTGAGATGCTCCGATAATTCCTGCGACGAACTTGTCGAGATCAGCTCATGTTATTTCCATACAAGCAAGACACAGGGTACATACGAATAGCATTGATCCCAGCATCACAGGTCGTCGGCCGAACTTGAGGTACAAAGGAACCAGCACCAACGACCCAAAGCCATAAGCTAGGTTTGGGTACGAGATCAGCCCAGACGCCTGCGCTGGGGTGATGTCAAATATTTCGGAGAATAGCGTGATGTACGGCGCTGGTCCGAGCAGAAATGCATTACCGAGAAACGAGTAGGCACAGCAGATGACGAGTATTATTGTTTTCTTAGATGAAGACCACTATAAACGGTCAGCTGCGCCACTTGCTTGGCATTTCGGCCTAAAGCCACTCACTTGAAGAGGGTCATTGGGATCTTCCGCCGGCACCGGAAACAGCGCCTGACCCAACGCTGTATCATCGCCCTCTGTTCCGGATACATCAGCTATTGAGCTTTTTGGCTTCAATCCCTTTTACCTTACCAGCAGCTCGAAGATCAACGGTTCCGGGGACGGCACCTTCGTGTGCGTGGCTTCATCGACTCTTAGTAAAATCTTCCCCGCATTAGAGTTTGGGGTTGTCCTCACCTATGCACTAAGTGCCGCCGGGGAACTGAGGACTGGTTCCCGGGGCCAATAACCATGATTAAAATATCTTGAGTTTCAAAAATCCCAGACTTTTTAGGTATTGCAAGAGGTTCAATGGATTAGAAAAGTTCAATCGTCGGTGGACAGCCAACGTGTTTTGTAAGATACCTTCCCTCGACCCCTGTTGTCGCTTCCTACTATTCCTGCAGATATTTCCCTGTAATACGCCCATGGCTAAGGTCAATGGATAGCTCTATGCGGAGTCATTGGAGCAACGGAGACGGCAGATTTGGCCTGGGGGGTGAGCTGCGCCTTTGAGGGTAGTGTCGACCACTCAACCCTGTCTTTCGTGTCCATTGCTGGCGTATCATTGGTCTGGTATTGGTACGATGATACATCGTTCTTCGGCACTTATGCAGTCAGTCTATGCATGTAACAACACCTCATATTATTCTTACGATATTTGCATTAATAATTGCACCTCATCCGCTGTTATTATCCGACTACCTTCGCCGTCGTTGACGGAGGTACTGTGCTTTGCAAAGTGCTGTTCAAAAACCTCGCATCACTAACAGCACTAGAAGCCGGAAGTACCAACGTCGCTGCCACATAGCGCAGGACGCCATGCGTTTCTACTTCTGCTCTAATTGACCGGATGTTTGAGTTTATGACAATGGTTTGTTCAAGAGTGCGGGTATTTGTGACAGCAGAATGGGCAGCAGTAGAATCTGTGATAAGCAGAATGTCTGAGAGTCACTTTGGTTGTTTATTTGTTGATTAGCATGAATATCAATCAATTTCGCTGCAGTTCTTTGGCTTAGGGTAATTAAAGAAAGAAAGTCAAACGAAATATAAACATAAAAGATCCAAACGTTAAACTTTTTGAAAGTTTAAGAATAAATTTATATGCAGTAACGGTCGGTATCCCACATCCATTTATGCATTATCTATCATTTTACTTTCGCTCTGTCAGCTCTAGTATGATAACGTGCATGGCTGCTAGGCGACCTGTTGCAGTAGCGGTGATATATGAATCGCTGACCAGCACGTTGTTGCCTTAACGCATAGATGAGGGTTGGAAATTCGAGGCTATGTGTGGCGCTTGCGAGACAGAAGATAACCATTTTATGAACCACCTTCTGCACCAAGCATAAGCCCATGGTTCTCGGAGATCGATATATACACAACCTTGAGTATAAAGGTGTGTGAGTGACCCACAACCGCACACTTTCCAACACCGACAGCTCACGATGAATCCGTTTTAGGCAATGATCGAAGACAGCACATTGCAAATGCCAGGAGCAAACATCAAAGAAATTGCACACAACTCACCAAAGCTAAAACGTTGATACTTGAATAACTTTACGAAAAAAGTGTCGCAAAGCAATTGAAATAATTATTAATGGCTTCAGCTATCTGTTCCAATAATTTTGGTTTTAGGTATATTATGTATTGTGATAGTGGTGCTGTCACAGGTTGGTGGTCACTTAGCGTGCAATTTCTTGATTTTGCTCCTGATGCTTGTGCATACGCGGCATATTCCAGCCTTCAAAAGTAAGTGACCTAGTCTATTTCATGTATTGAAGGCCAGTCACATGATCTCTAATCTCGCACCTCTGTAAGCGATCTATGTGTTTATGCAAGCATTGTCTGTAGTGTGTTGACACGTAACATCCATAACCATAGTCCAATCCAGGGGTGCAATGAATGACGACGTTAGAGAGCTTCATGTCGGCTTATATTCTGATAGGCGTCACTACTCTGTAGGGCCATGGTACCGATCAGGTGTGTGTATTGATCCTCAGTAGAGTGTTGTTCTGTTGTGAAGTTCCTCAGCTATTCTGAGGGATTCCTGAAGGCTATCTATTAAGGGTGGACTGTGCACCTCAGGCATCTACCTAACTGGTGGCCCCAGGCAACTATAATATGCAATTCCTTTCATGAAAGCTGCTGTATTTCCCGGGAAATTCGCTACCTACCTTGCGATTACAACAAGGCGGTATATGGTATACCTTATTGCTGCCGTGCCGAAGTGGAGAGCACCAAACTAACGAACCTAACCAACCGTGTTTCGCAAGGATATAAAGCACGAACAATCACGGAACTTTAGAAAAGTAGAAGCCAGATCCAGGGTGATGTGGAAGTATGACGGTATGACGGTCTAGCTGAAGTCTACTTTGTCTAGCTTGTTTTCTGGGCGGTAAGCTCTAAAATTTGTAAACAAAAAAAAAACTGATAAAACGATGGATACAGCCACAGAGAGCTGAATCCTCCTTGGTCTTGTAGGCTCTCTGACATTGGGCATAAATTCCTTCACGGCGAAAGATCTGTGGAGAGTCTTGGAGAACGGAGCTTGTCTGGTAAAGGTATAGTTAAATCACTTTATTGTGACAGATTCAACTGTTAGGATTCTTTCTGCAGAGTCATTTCTGATTGGAACTACATACATGCGTGGGTTGATAAAATTGTGGATATCCAGATGGTAGTGCCTTGTGTTACCTCTTTATACCCTAACTCACCGCAGTAGCTTCCCACGTTGCTTAGCGTAAGCCCGATGTCTATAAGATGAGCTAGAAAGTGGACTAAGTTGCTACTACGAACTTGTCCATATGGAGGGCAACTGAACAACCCACTCCTGGTGAGGCATCTGCGGCAAGTGGAGTATCTACTGGAGTATGGATGTTCAAGTTTGAATTTAGCAACGTGCAAATCAAAAGTTGGTTTTTACTCGCCTCCTAACAGACGAAAATAACATTGAGGGACAACGACGTCAATAGTACGAAGAGATATGATATGCACATGTTTTCGGGGGTTGCTACATAACCACTATGTTTCAAGACTTGTCCGAAACATAACTGAATACCTCAAAGTAGCACCAATGTTACTTTGCGCCTACCTCACTGGTTGCTACTTCTTGTTCTGCTCGTAGTGTGCCTCGTTCAAGCCATGTTCGATAGCCGCAATTTGTAGAGCAAGTACAAGAGAATACTGGCGGCACCAAATGAAGCTGCCCGTCATATACCAAAAACCTGGTGTACCAGTCGGTCTCCAAGTCTGTTCACCCATTCGTTAGTACATTCTCGTTGAGTCTCACTTGATATCCTAGATCACACTTACACCTTTTCTCTCCTGCTCTCCATCGAGAAATCCGATCGTCCCGACCTTATCAGCAACCTCCTCGCCCATTATATCTCGGATATCTACAATGCTTCGGTGGAAGCCAGTGGCCAGCACAACCACATCAGCATCTATGTTAGTACCGTCTGCCAGAATGAGTCCAGTTGTATTGAACTCCTTCACTCCACCCTCACTCCTACGGATCTTGATTCGTCCATCGATTATCATTTCATTTGCGCCCTGGTCAATGTAAAATTGTCCACCTCGGACAATTTGGTGTTCCGCAATGCTAATCCCGTCCTCACCTGTCCTGACTGCCAAACCCGCCCGTTTGAGGCCGTCAATCATTTCTTTATCGTGTGCACACATCATCTGCGTTAGACCAACACTCATAGTCCTGACCACGGGAGTTGGAAATGAGTTCCCAATCACATCAGCCTCTTCGGTACTGATGCCGTCGGTGTCCCAGAGACTAAACAAGAAGAGTTCCTGGCTCTTTTCGGATATGGAGACAATGGCACCTCGCTGGATCATCGTGATGTCTTGGGCTCCATGGGAAACGAAGTCGTGGGCAAGGTCGTGTGCACTTGAGCCCGCACCAATGATGACCACCTTCTTGCTGTGAAGGTCTGGTATGTGGCTTGCCGATCGGTGCGCCTTCGAATGATATAGCTGACCCTGGAATAAGTCCCGGCCGGAGAATTCAGGGATATTTGGCTTCTCACTAAACAAGCCTGTAGCAAGTACGACATGTCGTGGGGTGAACACTTGTAGCCCGGATGGTGTTTGCGCTTCGACATGATACTTTCTCGAATCCTCGTTGTATTCAACCTTTGTCACTGTGCTCTGCAGCATAATGTCAAGTTCCATGAGCTGGCTGTAATGCTCCATAAAGCTTGCGATCTTATCCTGGGGAATATACCGGGGCCAGGATTCCGGCGTCTTGAGAAAGGGGTAGTAATCGGTATACCTCGGGGTGTGGAGAGCGACACTGGTATATCTGTTTCGCCATGAGTCTCCAACACGGGTTGCTTTGTCTACCAATAATGAATTGATACCCATATTCTTCAAATGCGCACCTAGTGCAAGTCCAGCCTGTCCTGAAACAGAAGTCAGCATTGAAACGCTCGAGCAGTATGATAAATGTTACCTGCGCCCACCACCAGGACTTGTAACGCCAAATTCTCTTCGGCAGGTTTGCTGATACCGTTAGTTGCCGGAGTTCGCAGCGTCTTCTTGGCATCCACCTCTTTCTGGAAATCCAACTCAAATAACTGGGTAAAGACAGTCCAGGCTTTCCATTCGCCGTTTCCTTCTTTAGTGAGCCGCACGAACCCTTTGCCTTCCCCGTAGGGGTGTTTGAACACAAAGCCTCCTTGGATCCAGAACAAGTCGCCGGCGTCCATGCATGTTGGCTGTAAACCTCCAGTCTTGGCGCATTGGATGTCTCGGAGGGGGTTAGGGGAGGCGGAGAGATAACTACTGATCGCGTCCTGACCATGCTTTGTAGTCCAGTCCCAAGATAGGCCGACTATATCTCGCCACCAGCAGTCATCAATGAACAGGTCCGATAGACGGTCAAATGCCTTGACCTGGAAGCAGGCCTCCAGTCTCGCAAGCCAGTCGCTGATAATCTGAACCGGATTGATCTGCTCTTTCTTCAACCCATCATGGAGCAATAGGGTTGGAAGAGATGCAAGAGGCAGATTACCTTCCATGAGGAGAATAGTGAGAAGGATACGTGGATGCAGTTCTGGTCTGCTACGTGGAAGGATATATGAACAAATATGCCAGGAATCTGCACGGGAAGAATTGATCAAGTTAGAAGCACGTCTTATGGTACAGCAGATATTGTAAAATTAAAGGAGAAGTGCTGATAGCTGATGGTGTTCAACCTCTTTACATGTCAATGGCGACGTCTTTATAGTTTACCAAAGGTTACTTCTGAGGTCCGCATTCTTCTTGAACCGGGACCGGTTAACTTCCTGAAAAGGCTCCAGTTGCTGATTATACCCCATAATATTGCTGATGGTTTTCTGCGACAGGCTGCATACAAGTCTAGTAGACAGTTGACGATGAGGTCCGTAGAGCCGCGGTATGAGTACGTGATCTAATTTCACCAGTGGATGATTATGCATGTAAGCTTACGGCACTAGTCCTAGTTAGGCTAAGCGAGATTTAAACGATTGGGACCTGGCTATTGCAAGGGCTGATTATATTTCTTGAAATGGACTAAGTTAAGTAGCCTCAGGCTCAAGAAGCATGAAATATGTTATCCACTTGTGCCCCACCAAGACTAGAACAACATAAGGCAATGCTCCCCAATCCTAGTCTCTGAGTGCGGCCGCTGGTGATCGGTATCTCAGATCCCATGTGTGGCATTGCATTTTTTGCTAGAATGTAAAGCCTGTGATTTAATCATTTTTGGTTTACGGCACCGCATAATGATCATCTGAGGGTTCCGAACAAGTGCAAAAAAAGGCACTAGGTTGGTCAAAGCAAAGCTAGGTGCCTGACATGCAGAAACCGTCATATGAGACGTGATGAGGCACACGCCAGAGTGGTAACTTAAGTGAATGGTATCCGATTTGCGTTACAGTCGGGGGAAAATGGGGCACATCGGGTACAGCCGTGATGTTTACCTGCTCTTAATCACTTCCAAGTTTCTGCTGTGTGGCGATGATCATATCTCATACTCATGGTTGACCTGGTAGCACAAACTGTCTCAATAGTAAAAGGAAGTGCGACTACCTGTTGAATGAGCACCCAATCCTGGAACGGACACTGCAAGGTAAGCGGCCGTTGCGGTCAGGCCGGCAGAACCCATAGCTAGCCCGGAATAATTCCAAAACTTGCTTTGCGAGCCAATTGGCCCGAGCCGCGGCTGTGGATTCTTTTGACGTTCTGCCTATCAAGATGCCATATGCATCAAATGAGCTGTTCAATTGTTGTAATATATGAGCCCTTATCAACTGGTGTTGACTGGTGTTGAGAAGTATATGCTAATCACCTGTTTCCGATCTAGTCCATCAATTTAGTCTTCTGCAGGGAGGAAATCTCAACACTCAAGTCGCAGATTAGTCTACCCGCCTGCATCACCTGATTTATTTCTAGCCCTGCGAGCTCTGACATGACACTCCGGAGTACGCTTCTCATTGCTGGCTTGCACTACTCTAGGCACAGAGGTCACTTGGAAACTCTCCGGGCTGCGTTCTTCTTTCATATGCTAAAGAGAACTCATAACATGAGCAGCTAGCTCAACACCATCAGTTATGAAACAGTGGCGCTCTACCTAAGGCTGAAATATACACTTTGTGTGTAAGCGGTACGGCAGCCACGGCGTGTCCCCACTTTCACCGTCCGTTTACAATAGCTGATATCAAGATTTGCCTCGGAAACATAGCAGCCGCGGAAGCCCATCTTGACGGGGTACTAAAAACTCTTAGACACCACAAAGAAGTGAAATTTCGCGTTATTGGCTACTGAAGATATAGACATGTAATTGTATGATCGTTGCGTTATTCTGTAAGTACTTAGGAACACCTGGCGGCCGTCAAAGCAAATTCTACCTGGAACCTATTTCTCCAGAACATGCAACTTTTTGCAACTTCTCAAACGCCCACTCAAGACAACTTTATTTTTTTCTCGCTGTAAGTACGCTACCAGGAATATTTGGGACAAATCTTCCCTCCACGCCCTGAACCTCATGCACAACTGGCACATGATAAAATACCGTGGCCTCGACAACAAGCTCAAGGCTATGCACATAACACCCCAGTTATTTTGTCTCACTCCCCCAATCAGAAATGCAAAGGACAATGATGTAGCGCTAGCTAGAATTAACTTGAGGCTTATGATGGATATGGTGAATAGGAGAAACGATCATCCACAGTCCAAGTACGACAATTCGGTCTACAAGGGAGGGGCTCTTTACCAGATGTTCGTTGACTTAGTCCATTCCCACATGACATCCTTCTCGGAAGAAAGAAACCCCACCTTACTCTATATCGAGGGGCAAGGCTGGACAGAATTGTCTGCCATCTTCCTGTGGCTGCAAGGCTGCGCCAGGGAGTGTGTACATGCGTAACGTTCACTGTATTGCCAATATCGAAGACCCAATCGACACGGGCCACATTCGTCGGTTGGCGATGAATTTAAAGCAAGACAATGAGCTTACCATTGACGACTTAAGAATAGAGCCTGGCCGCAATGTGCAAGACTACTGGATCTGGAAGAATTTTGTCACGTCTCTGGCGTTGGCTATCAACCAGAGAGATGTCCAACACAACAAATTTACCTGGGCATCTGTTTCTACGGAGGGGCCTTGTAACTTGAAGTCAGTACCAAGACAATGGTACACAGCATCACAACGTATAGTAAGCTCGCCGGGATTAAGTATTGGCGGGATGCCAAGAGTGCACTGAGCAGTGTAGCTGGTCTGTCGTGTGGTCTGTGGAGAAAGAGACTGTTGCTGTAGCTTTGTAGTATCGTCCTATTTCCACGTCAAAGACGCTTAGATTCAATCTGTGTTAGGCACAACCAAGAGGGAGGTTGTAAAACTTCGGACATGAGATCGAAGTACCACCAATCATGAGACCTGCTAGCAATTCTTCAATCGAAATGCGTGTGCCATGAGCTCTGTTAAATTGGATCTCGTACTAGCATTTTATTACGGTAATGTCACAGCGGAGACTTATTATTAGTGAAAAGACCATCGATTTTTGGGGTCCTCCTTGTTCTTCCATTTTTCATCATAGCTTTATAATACGTATATTATCTCTGGAGACTAATGACGCTAAACTAGTGCTCACTAAAGCCCGGTGCGTTGTTCTATACGCTAATAGAATCGATTGCGTTCATTCTGCTGTGTTTTCCTGTGTAGCGTGCAATTGGACTATGGTTGGCCAAAGTTTACAGGCTCCAATCTTGCCCGCAGCCATGCACCATATGCAGCAAACATACCAACGGATTTCCACTTGTCACAAAGCTCGATCAATGCCTCGTAACGTTTTGTGATATAATTCTGCTTGAGTTCCTCGTCGAGACCTTGCAATTCCCACGCGACGGCGTGCGTGATCTTGCTAAGGCATACTGGACACAAATAAGGAGGCTGTCGCAGGTCCTCTGCCATGCCAGCTGTTCCCTGCATGACACAGGCGTAATAGCTACAGTGGCCCATCCCCAAGCAATGCCCAAGCTCGTGGGATACTGTTCGCACCAGGCGAGACAGCCACAGCCCGCGCTGATATTGTAGGCTCCCTGATGTGGTGTCACCATTCGCTTCGTCAATCGCTGAGCGCAGATGTGATAATCTAGTCAACGGCATTTGGGGCTTCTGCTTGGATGTGGTCATGCCTCCCATCCTGCAGATTTTATCTACATAGGACTTGCAGTGCGATGCTGGCCACATGTGATTGTAGTCGATATTTTCAAACTGGTCGAGCACAGGCTGGTATCTTGCCGATGAGACAACACATACACGACTGCCTCCGTATGCTCGGCCACAGCAGAAGTCGTCGTCTTCGTCTTCGTACATATCGTGGTCTATCAACAGCACGAGGGCATACGCATCTGTGGGAAGCATTTCAATTGCAGCGTCTAGTATATCTTCGAGGTTCAATTGCCCTGAGAATATGCCGTCCGGTGATGGTCTTGCGCGTATGCGGACGCATTTCTGTTCAATCGTAAGACCGACATGATTCTCCTTGGCGCCGCTAGTCCTCTTCTCTGCCCAAGGGACAAACTGTAGGCGTTGTGGGAATGGCTTCACGCTCATACCGTGATAGAACGCGCCGAGGTAGTCGACAAAGTCCTTGGCGAGGAGAGGCTCCATTGCAGAAGCAGGGGCTTGGGACTGCTTGTTGTGGCCGCCATCCGCGATATTTGGCTTTAACCACGAGCTCATGTGCTGCATCTGTTTCGTGATCTCGGGCACTGATGCTACATATAGCGTCTTCCGCCTCTTCGTCGGCTTATTGCGTTCTCCTTCCAGTAGCCAGGATCGAAAGCTTTGGGGCGGATCCTTGGGGTCCAAGGCCAGATGATCGTTTGGCAAGACTAACGGAGCGGGAAACGCAACTGCAAGCTCTTGGGCCGACTTGAGTATTTCTGACTCAATGGTGGTGTCTCTGATGCCTTTGACTTTCCACGGGTTTCGCCCGGACTTGGTCGTTGCAGCAAGTCGACGGTCAGCATCTGGACGATGGAAGCCCGCAATATTCGCGTACGCTGATGTCTCGTGCTGGAGATGTGTATGTGCACATGGCTTAGAGCTTGACATCATTACGGAAGGGGCAGTTGTCGCATAGAGCGGCAATCTTCACGTGCGAAACGCCGCAGCAGAGGCCGCGAAAGACTTTCCCGGCTCATCGTCGCGGAGGTCTCTTAAGTACGTCCTCAAAACCGCCGCGAAAGGCAACCCGTCAGTTGAAGCTAGTACTAATGGGAACTCATTCTAGGCAGAAGTTCTTCTTGTTGACCAAAACGTTACACAACAATCGCGGGGTTGTGCGCTAAGAATAGGCTTTTCTATGTGGCTGGTATAAGCACCGCCGCCTCATCATGTCAAGCAACCTCAACATGGTTTTGCTTGATATTTTCGTTAGAGAAAGACAGATCGATTCAGATCTCTAGGATGGTTATTTGATCATACCGAAATCTGGAGGAATACTGTGATTAGAGGAGGAGGTCAGCAAGGAATCGGGGGACAAGATCGCACGGACGCTGAATATGGCAGATGACCAGCGCTGAGAGGAGGATCCCGCCCAGCGCATTAGTGATGCTGCGAATGACTAACCTAACCGGATGCCAGGGGAGGCTGATCACCCATTCTGAATACAACGCTCTTAGAGCCCTCAATTAGACCTAACCCCCAACGAAACCCTGTTCACAATGCTGCATGTATATAGGGAATGGGCCGAGAGCAGGGTAGAAGAAGTAGTTATGATCATTTCTTGAAATCTGCATATATTATAGGATGCCACAATCTAGAGCCGCATACCTTATGGTATTTGTACGGTCAGATAAGCATTTTACTGTTCACCACATGAAGGTAGTGCTTCGCGGCCAGAGAAAGTAGCAAAGATCCTTGTCGCAAGTAAACAAATGGCAAAAGAACGACTGGAGAAACGAAGAGCATAACAAATGAACTCCCCTCCAGCAAAAAGTGACCTTCGAGATAAGCTAAATAATCGCATCAGAACATTAGAGTATATCTAAACCTCCATACCGTTCAAAACTGGTTTATCGAAAATTATGTATTATGGCTTGTCTGCAGTCTGAGATGTTAAAGGTTGCGTTACTCGGCAAGCTAGTGGATCTTTTACCTTTTTTTTCCAGTTGATGAAAGACCATGGTTTGTCTCAGTAGACCTTGGGGTACTATTCGGTTGCCTCCACAGCGGTATCGTCAGCCTCAACGTCGATAACCCAATTCCATCTGGGTTCGAGATTGGCGGCATCCTCGCGCCCGTTCACAGTTAAATTTGCGGTGCGATCTTGGATAAGAGGTACAGCCGAGACGGCGGTACCAAGGAAAGTTGCGATCAAGATATTGCATACAAATGTTGTGCAGTTGGCATAGAAGTGTCTAGAACTTGAAGTTTGGGAGTCGAAAATTGAGGTCCTTAAGTTGAACTCAGATCTCTAAGTATAATATAGAGAGTTTACTACACCCACATATGGATGGCCAACATAATCCAAAATAAAGTCCCGATACTCCGATAGCTTGCGTTTGACACCCTAAGGCCATGCGGGTGATTTCGATTCCCACAGTGAAGTATATTTTTCAACTTTCCTACAAACCATGTGGCATGTTTTCCTTGTTTAGTCTAAGCATGTTTTGCCTTCAGCCGGCTTGCGAGACCGTATTTTCTTCCGGCATAGTGTAGAGCTGGCACATATGTGCCAGACGCTGGATTATGCTTTTTATCCAGCAATTTACTACGAACCCTCACTACCATCATCCCATGACTGTGTTCCGTTGTACTTTATCGACGAACCTATTTCTCAAATACTGCTATGGCTACCGCCATCGTAATGCCATGCTCAATGATGAAGTCATCTTATGGACACCTTTCTGACCACGGTGATGAAGTCTGACCTGATCCATGCCCGATTCAGGGTAAGGAGCATGGAAACCGTTTAGTATGATCAATGGGGATATTGACGCCGCTACATTGGGAGTTTCCCTAGCAGTTTCCCACGAGGAAGAAGGTTATATTGACTTCGTTGCTACTCGGAATTTTAATAACGATTTACCTTCTTGGCTGTGAGCATACTAACACGCGACTGGGGTGGAGCTTTACAATTATCTATTGGAACGGTCTAACAAGCGAACGCAGGTCATTTGATAGTCAACAGAGATGACTCATGCGAATGAAATAACCTCACGCTAGACATCACTCACTATTCTGCATTTGTATTTTTTGATTAGGAACGCATAGCCTACTATGACTATTCTTGTAATTTCCCATCGGTTCAATTCTTCATCCAATGTTTATCTAGCACGACGCCCATTCGCCGTGCTGTGGCGGCATCAGAGCTCAACCTGGCTTATATTAGACAAAAAGTCCCTCATGGCTGTATTTAATTCCACAAATACTGCGATGCCGTCAATCTTTCATTCCATGACTCCACTTCCAACTTCAAAGAATTCCGTTAGTCACTTGCATTGAATCGGCCGGTTACTTATCCCTTCATGATTTACAAATACCTGCCCTGGCTCCAGATTCTTCCATGCTTGCCTCTAGATCTCACCAGGTTCAATCTCGAATTCGATATCAATACGCTGAGGGCACTTGGCCAGCTCAATATTAGAGGAGGTCATCTTAGACTCCGTTACCTCTAATTCTCCACGCTTACGCAGCAGAAACTCAATTATCAGCCTTGCGTATACGCAAAGTCTTGCCATATTCGGTTGTTGCCGTGCACCGTTGAGACTAGACTAGTCAAACTTTAGTCTAGAGAAAACGCAAGGCTCCGTCATATTTGCTGTCAAGTAATGCACCCTACCGGATAGACAACTCCTTCGGATTGAGCGACTATATAGTTTCTGGCGCGCGTCATCGCAATCATTCAATACGTTGTCCCAGATTTGGAAGTGAAACACAAAATCTTTTTCAAATCAATTAACGAGAGAATTACGTATTAGGCATTCCAAGAATGTCCTTCGTCATAAACAGAGAACTGGATTTATCTCTTCCTGCCTGTAGGACGACGTCTCATATTACTGAGCTGTGTCTGTTACGGCCACGTGCAGCTCTCGAGAAAAGCTTCGATGGGTATGTTCCCTGCCAATAGTAATATATGACGGAAGTTAAAAGAGTTAACGGGAGAGCAAAAGCCCAATACATCCAGAACTGACTGGAAACGGCCCAACCAGAGTCAGGATCGAAGTTAAAAAAGGACATGCTGAATATCGCAGAAATGAACGTCGGTGGCAAGAACGCCAGTGTCAATACCGATACGGTCTTCATCGCAGCACTGTCCGTCTGGGTGGCCCGGCCCATCTGCAGAGCCACTATGTTGAAAGCAAGCTGGATTTCGTTTTGGAGTCTCTTCTCGTTGGAAATGGATCGACCCCGTAGACTTTCGATCATAGTCTTCGCTGCCACAAATCTCTGGTGGACACTCCACCAAACAACCGAGTCGGGTGTATCGCATTTGATCTCTTGGTGCCGTGCAATAATGTTGTCCAGCGTCTTCTTCGACACATCAAGTGTCTCATTGACGTGGATAGCGTGACGCGCTATGTCGTGAAGACGTCGATAATCAGGTTCGCACTTTTCCGTCGGAGTTTCCTCCAGTTCTATCGTGCGTACTTGATCACGTATAGACCATACGGCAGCATCCTCGAGGCGGACAAGCTCGTCCAGTATCGTAAGATAGGGCCACATGGAATCAATATACTGCTTCGGTTTCACATCCATGAACGAGCTTTTGAGCCGTTCGAAGACGGACGGGTTGGTGTCAAATAGAAGTATGTATATCTGTTTTTGGGACGACAGATATCGTGTGAAAATGTTCATCCTGAGCCATTTATATCGTTTGTCGTCTTGAATTTGCTTGGTCTCGAAAAATGCCCATGTGTCTACTTCGTAAGTGCGTGTTCAAGTTGCTCCTGAGGGCATACGTACTTAGACCGGAAACGCCTGCAGCGTCCTCCTCTTCGGCACATCCGAAATAGCCGTTCGAATTGCGATACTGGTCTGACCACCAATGTTCGGGAATCGCATACGTGTCGGTCAAAGCCTGGCGGCATCGATAACAAACGCGAATGCTATTGGCAGCAGCGAGTCTTTCACAAGTTTAACATGGATCGAAATTTCCGGAGTATTCAAGAGTATGACGAACATGATGCAAATGGATGAAGTGGACCACCTCTGGCGCCAATGTCTACCTTTGTCGAGGTGAAGGTCTTCCGAACTTAAGTACTGCTTTTCCCAACTGTTGTCATCTACGAAAATGGGTATCCTACTCAGCTCCCCAGCTTGGAGTACTCACCTGTACCCCGTTGCAGCACAGAAATGCTCGACGAGCTCTGGCACCGCGCCGATTGCATGCGGTCGTTCGAGAGTTGAAAAGCTTGGAAGATAGAGGGAGGGGCTGACCTTACAGCGGGGGCAGTGATTATGAGGGGGTTAGGACCGAATTTAGGTGCTTCATCATAGGCGCTGGAGTTTCTACGCCAACTGGATGCAGCTATTTGACTGGTCAACGTGCCGTACCTGGAGCTAGGCTAGCGCGAGGTTGTCTATGAGGCACACTGCCAGAACTGCAAGCCAGAACATGCCGACTCCACCTACGGCCCGCTTGAATGCAACCAAAGCCACATATCGCCCAGCTTGTTCACAACGACCTGTCCAATCAAACGGCAATTGATATTTGTTAGAATAAAAGAGAAGATGAGCGCGGCTACTACTACAAGCAACAAGGCCTGTAATCACGTCATTTCAAGCAGTGGATTACTTTCGGGCGGCGACTCAATGTATTCTTCGGGTAATCAACTTGTGGTTTGTTGGGAAATAGCCGGCGAGCCAGTGCTACTCTATTCTCGCGACTCCCCACATATCTCTGTGGCAAGTATTACCACGTAAAGTCAAGAGGCTTTGTTTGTAAGGCTCCATGGAGACTGGTAACCTTACATGCGAATTGAATCCTAACTTCGTGTGGCGCGCTCAGGTTAGAAAAGCAACTCTGTTGCCATTGACTTTGCTCGGGATTCGAATCCAACGTTTCCTTGGCCGGTTGAAAGTAACATGTGGAACAGTTGACCTAAATGCCAACTCGTCCTGGTAGTGTCAATTTGTCCGCATTCCCTTCGAATTCTCCAAAGATTCTACTTGGGAACTAAAAATGCATCTAGAAACCGTTATATGTGGTGCAGCTCTGCATTTCATATAACAATATTGAATCGAAGCCTTGTAAGCGCGGCACGAAGAGGTGGGTCACTGTATCAACCGCGTATTCATGCTGAGCGTCGCTAACAGGTTCTTGAAGTCCAATTGTGTCGTGAGCTAACTATCCTGTGCTGTGGGGCAAATTCATTGACAGGCCAAACCCGGTTCTATTCGCGCAGTGCTTTCTACGGTGTGGATGCGTCATTTGATTTCGGCGGAGCGCATTCAAGCTCAACGTCAAATGTGCTGCCGGTCGTTATGTGCTTGTATTGATCAAGGACCGTCGCAGTCGCAGTGCATTAGACACTGGGCTTTCGAAAGCCAACATGAGGTTAGGCAGATTCGGCTTCACGCCAATCAATTCGTGAGCATCTTGATCATGCAGTCGGGCTCGAGGTGACCACTCACTTCTCCACTTCTCGCACAGCCTTGCCATGTTACTGCTATCTTATGGTGTATATGCAGCGCACTGCCTCCTTTCCTCAACGAGGCGATGACATAATTATACTTGCCAAGAGCTGTTGTATTTCACGTCAATCTAGCTAACCAGTTTGACTTCCTTTCCCAAAACTTGCTGATTTATCACGAGGGTGATCATGTCGAAACAACCACATGCAAAGACGCACGAAGACTACACAGTGGCGATAGTATGTGCGATCGAGTTCGAAATGAGCGCCGTCCGGTATATGCTTGATGAAGAACACGGTCGGTTGCCAAGTACACAGGGAGATTCGAATGACTACATTCTCGGTCAGCTATGCGGTCACAACGTGGTGCTGGCGTGGCTCCCTGGGAACCAAGGCAAAAGTGCAGCGGCGATCGTTGCGACAAACCTCGACCGAACCTTCCCATTCATCAAATGGCGCTTCATCGCCGGCATCGGTGGAGGCATTCCAAGTGCCAGAAATGATATTCGTCTAGGCGATGTGGTCGTGAGCATGCCAGAGGGACAGTACGGCGGTGTGGTGCAATATGACCTAGGCAAGGACACTGATGCTGGCTTCAAATTGAAAGGTTTCTTGTCAGCCCCACCTTCTCGGTTGAGGGCCGCCGTGGGAAGGATGCGGTCAGACCATCGGTTCAGCGATAACAAAGTAGAGGAGTTTATTTCGTCCATGTTACAGCGAAGCCGACGTCTCAATGCTTATCGGCGACCACCGGCTGAGACAGATGTGATTTATGATGCAGATTATCCACACGCCGCCGCCCAAGCTACCTGTGAGCAGTGCGACGGAGCACAGATAGTGGGCAGAATACCCCGCGAACATGATGCTCCAGAGGTCCACTACGGCTTAATAGCCTCGGGGGACCGTGTCATGCGTAGTGCCGTGCAGAGGGGCATCCAGACTCAGAATATAGGCGACATTCTTTGCTTTGAGATGGAAGCGGCCGGTCTTATGACAGAGTTCCCTTACGTTGTCATACGCGGCATCTCCCACTACGCCGACTCTCACGAGAATGACGTGTGGCAGTACTATGCAGCCGCGGCAGCAGCCGCCTGCACCAAGGAACTCTTATCATACTTAGATCCGGAAATGCCTACCGAGGATAAGCTGTTAGCGAGCATTACATCACGAAACCACCCCTACGGCTCAGCGGTCCATTCCACTTTTACAGGTCGAGGGGTGCACCAAACAGGCAATGGAAGTTTCTCAGTCGGAGGGAACATGTATATAAATTAGCCTTTGCTTACATATATAGTAATGTGCTTGGGGCGATCCAATTGACCTGTTTTATGACTTGGCGTCAAAGTACTCGGCATTCCCATCTGATTTGGGAGGGGTGCAGTTTGTGATAGACTTTTGACAGTAACCAACACGGACAACGGATCAGTGCTTCGTGTGTTTTACGAAGTAGAGGTGCATGTTCCCCCACTTGGCGTTGGACGATTCAAATGTTGCAAATCGCCCGCACTACGTAGTTATAAATGGGACGCAATGCCGGCGCGCCTTGGGTCGCTTCTATCTCTTATTGTCATGAATGTATAGAACTAAGGTTAGGCTATCAATTCATCAATTCCCATCTCACCTGATGATCTGTTGCCTAGAGCTGCGAAGTAAGACCTGTACTAGTCTAGCAGTACAACTCTGTGAAGAGCTAGGCCAGCGGCTATCCATTTTGTTGGCGTCTATAGATCTTAGCAGACGCGGTACTATGCATTCAATACATTCAACAAACCCTAATTTTTTAACCGTCAGTTGTCCGCTTTTGGGCGACACTGTATAGCTTTGCATTCCGAGATCTGTGGTCATATTAATTGCCGATAACTACGACGCTGGAGGAATAGGAGCAAGGTCCACATTATTGGGCAGAAATTGCAAGTCATATCTGCACTGCATTTTTAGTGGGATATGGCCTGGTATCTCAGCCTCACCTCAATTTTTAACCACGAAATACTTGTGTTTAGCCTTTCAATCTATCATCACTTGTAATGGCTCCCAAAACGCCATCCCGTCGTTGACCGATTCGAACTCTCAACAGCCTGTTGCGACCTCCCGAGCGATCGATATTACCCACCCCCGACACAACGACATGAGGCGCGCAGCAAAGAGACGAAAGGTTGATAGTGGAGCCACGAACTTTGATGCAGAAGGCCCAAATGGAGCATTGCAGAAACAGCATCACAACAACCGTGGATCAAGTAGTTTTGATGGTACTGGAATTGCAATGCGCGATGGGAATTTCCATGTTCAAGGCGATCTTCACTTGAATTCCCCTGTTCCCACCACAGCAGGCAGCAAGAGCACTACGAGGGAACAACTTCTTGAATCTTTACAATTCGATCAGATAGATGCCCGGCAACTGAGCGTTAAGAAAGCCCATGCCAAAACATGTCGCTGGTTTTTAAAGACTTCATTATACCAAAAATGGGAAAACAAGAACATACCAGCTGTTGATAACCAATTCTTATGGATCAAGGGCAAACCGGGAGCGGGAAAATCGACGCTGATGAAGTTTTTGCTTGAGCATATACGAAGTCGCATCCGCCAACAGAAAAATACCGACGTCATTATCTCGTTCTTTTTCAATGCTAGAGGCAACGACCTAGAAAAGTCAACGATCGGCTTGTATCGTTCTCTTTTGTTCCAGCTTCTAGATGGACGCCCAGAGTTACAACATGTGCTGGACGCCGTAAGGCCAGGTCGCCAGTGGGATCTTGATTTGCTTAAGAGTCTATTCGAACGAGCTATACAAGCCTTAGAGAATGCGTCAGTCGTCTGTCTTATCGATGCATTAGATGAATGCGAAGAGGCACAAATCCGAGACATGGTCGATGTCCTGAATGGACTTGTCAATGAAGAAAACCGGCTACAAATTTGCTTTGCGAGCAGACACTATCCACATATCACAATCCAAACAGGGCTTAGCGTCATTCTTGAGAACCAAAGCGAACATGAAAATGATATAGCCAACTACTTGAGCACTACATTGCGAATTGGACAAGGCAGGCTGGCTGAGCAAATACGTACGGATCTCCAAAAGAAAGCTTCTGGCGTTTTCATGTGGGTAGTCCTTGTGGTGGACATCTTGAACAAAGAATACGATGAAGGTGGCAAGCATCATTTAAAAGAACGTTTGCAACAGCTTCCCAGCGATCTCCACAACTTGTTCCAGAGTATTCTCCTTCGTGACAGCAAGCATCAGGCCGGACTCCTTCTTTGCATCCAGTGGGTTCTGTTTGCCAAACAGCCTCTGACAACAAAGCAGCTATACTTTGCAATCTTATCTGGCTTCGAATCTCAGTATTTAGCAGACTGTCACTCCGAGGATTATTCAGAAGACGATGCTCGAAAGTATATACTTGACAAATCAAAAGGACTAGCAGAAGCGACCAAGTCCAAGAATCCTACTATTCAATTCATCCACGAATCAGTCCGAGACTTTTTGCTCAAAGGGGATGGGTTCAGTAAAGTATTTCCTCAATTAGGAACGAACATCCAAGGGCAGAGTCATGAAGCCCTCAAGCAGTGCTGCCTCACGTACATGAGCATGCAAAGTCTGTCCGACCTCAACGAGTCCACGTGCGAATCAGTCAATGCGCAATTCCCATTTTTAAACTATGCCAACGGGGGACTCCTCTACCATGCTAACCAAGCACAAGTTTACAAAATTTGTCAGCAACATTTCTTGACCACTTTTCCACACCTTGAATGGGTGGAACATTTCAACATTCTTGAACCTCACAAACTGCGTCGATATACATCCAAGGTCAGCCTTTTATACATATTAGCTGAGGCCGATACGCCAGCTTTGATCTCTATCCAAGCAGGTCGCCAATCCTGCTTTGAAGTCGAAGATGAGCGATATGGACTTCCGATTCTTGCAGCAGCGGCTGCTAAGAGCCATACCACAACCCTGGCTATGCTAGAGCTTGAAGCGCAGCGAGTGTCAGGTTTTTCGTTCGAAAAATTCTGCACTCAACTGCGGCCGATTCCTGATAACTTGAACGCCGATAGTCGGTCATTTTCTTTTAACGGGAAGCAGGAATTATTCCATCAACTCGTCGAGCATGGAAGTGAGACAGTGTCGCTCTTCTTCCTCTCAGCAAACCCTTACGTTGTTGATTCAAAAAACAAGAATGGAAAGACAGCGCTCATGATTGCCGCGGCGAACGGACATACCATTTTGATGGAAGAGCTGTTTCGTAGGGGCGCGAACGTCTCGGAGAAAAATCGTAAAGGGCGGACAGCGTTGCATTCCGCCTCAAGCGAAGGAGTTTTAGCCGCTGCCACACTCCTAATCGACCACGGCGCTGATGTCTCTGCGCCTGCGCAAGGTGGAGGCAGGCCATTACATATAGCCGCTCATAATGGGAGGATCGAAGTAGCAAAATACCTTGTCGATCATGGTGCTGATATTTCGGCCACGGATAATTTTGGAGAGACGCCACTACATAAATCTAAGAGTATCGAAGTAGCCAAATACTTTGTCGATCATGGTGCCGATATTTCGGCTACGGATAATTCTGGAGAGACGCCACTACATAAATTTACTTACGAATGGAGCATCGAAGTAACCAAATACCTTGTCGATCATGGTGCCGATATTTCGGCTACGGATAATTCTGGGCAGACGCCACTACATAAATCTGCTGACAGAGGGAGCATCGAAGTAACCAAATACCTTGTCGATCATGGTGCCGATATTTCGGCTACGGATAATTATGGACAAACGCCACTACATAAATCTGCCGACAGAGGGAGCATCGAAGTAACCAAATACCTTGTCGATCATGGTGCCGATATTTCAGCCATAGATAATTCTGGACAGACGCCACTGCATAAATCTAGGAGTATCGAAGTAGCTAAATACCTTGTCGATCATGGTGCCGATATTTCGGCTACGGATAATTCTGGACAGACGCCATTACATAAATCTGCCGACAGAGGGAGCATCGAAGTAGCTAAATACCTTGTCGATCATGGTGCCGATATTTCGGTCAAAGACAATTCTGGAGACACGCCATTACATAAATCTGCGTATGAATGGAGCATCGGAGTAGCCAAATATCTTGTCGATCATGGTGCCGATATTTCGGTCACAGATAATTCTCGAGACACGCCACTTCATAAATCTACTTATGAATGGAGTATCAGAGTAGCCAAATACCTTGTCGATCATGATGTCGATATTTCGGCCACGGATAATTCTGGAGAGACACCACTACAGCTGGCTCGCTTAAGAAGAAATTTCAAGCTAGTTAGACTTTTAAGTTGAGCCGAACGCTTTCGCAGCCGGTATTTCAGTCCGGGGTCTGATATTCAAGTTCATGATGTAGCCACAATTAACTAGTGTCGTCAACTGCTTGGAGGGAATGCTGGTGGCTGAAGCTCTCCATTCACTAGAACAATAGCAGTAGTCCATAGCTGAGAACTAGTAAAACTACTTTTTATAAAGATAAGTGTTGTAAACCTTTCCAGGTCCCTGTTAGAAAGTGTGCGGATTAAAAAAGTTTTGTCGAAACATCGGCTCCTCCTGGCTGAATGGCTGTGTAGATCCCAACGAAAACCACGAATGATCGCCATTCCGTGCGATGGTTGCATGCTGGGATCACATCATTGCATAAAAGTATATCAACGAAACCTATCGACAAAAGTTGATTGGAACGTATGCTATCAGACGCGATGTTTTAGTTCTTGTTAATGATTAATATAATCTACAAGTCGAAAGTCGTATTTGAGAGCCAATGGGGCATACTGACGAATGCTGTTCATCGATCAGGTGGCCGTCTTCTTGTGCAACTTGGAAAAAACGACCCCCAAACCATGTTCATTCTTTTATCGATCTTGTGTCAGACATGTTACATGAAGCGTTGCTCATATAGCTACGTTCACCATTACCCCAGCACACTCACCGTCTACATTGGAATCCCACTTCATACTCAAATTGTTGTTCCGCTGTCTTCACATCTGGCATGATATCACCGGAAAATGTGGTTTTGCTGCGCGGTCGACCACACTGGATCGGATATCATCTGTACATCGCCAGTGATTACTTAGTATATAAATAAAGGGACAGTATGCTGAGAAACTCTCCATCAAGATAGAGCGTTTCTAATTCTGCGTCAACAGGCGTCTCAAAAGATTGTTGTTTATTGGTAGGTCCGAGATTAAACTTAGCTTGCCAGCGATCGTACATACCAAAATGCAACGACCAGCCGTTGTAAATAACCCCAGTCAAGTGCAGGAAGTATAGACCAGTTCAAAATAAGTAAGTTTCGTTATAACAAATACGTATCTAAGAATAGTCCATTGCTGCTGTGTGTAAGAAATGTTCAGAGGCAGTGATAATGCTGAGGAGTAGTCATACGAAGATGCGGCGAGAGCCAAACTTTGACTAAGCAAAGTTAGTAGTGCACCACTAATGGACGGGTTCTTTTGCCGAATAACGAGTATTTCAGAGTGATTTCCGTCCTTGCGAAGGAATACAGCTTACTAGTTTACCATTGACTAGTACTGGTGAAGACTAGGACATTTCGCACTCGTGCAAGTAGCAGGAGTTCCAGTCTGGTAACTAACTTAGAGAAGAAGCTCGGTTCACCTATAGTTACAAGTTGATACAAAGACGTAAATTTGAGCGATGTCAGTGACGACAGTTTGAAGTGACGTCAGACCAAAAAAATCAGGCTATCATTTGAAACAAGAAAATTGATGATATAAGAGTTAGGCACGCTGGTTTTCACACATGCTAATCGAGCTGGAGATTTTGGAATCATTCATGGTTCTAAAGAGTTGGGTATGAGAACTTGAGTGACGCACTACTAACATCTCACCAACTCAACGATGCAATGGGCCAGGAAAGCGCTCATTTGTTTGTATGAGTTCATGAGGCACTTCTAATCCCATGACTAGTGGGAATCTTCGCGTGCAGCTGTATAGATATTGTTGTCTCCAAGGATATCAACTTTCCCTTTTTGCTAGCTGGGTGGGTATCGTGTAGATCAGCTATTCATTGCCAAGCCTCGGTACTACTTGCTCCACCTCTCGAGTCGATCACCTTCCAATAGAGATACACTTTTACCAAACGTGTCCAGTCTATGGTTCGCATCCGTGAGTCGTTCTTTCTTGACGAGATCGCATCCAGCGCTGGCAATCTACCAGCCGAATTCTAATGAGCCTTCTACATACAGCTCTTCTTCAATACCTCCACCACAAGCACCTTGGTCACCTAATGCTTCTCATTATCCGGGTCGTTCAGTTGGGTAGTGAAGAGCTTGACCTACTTGTTGCCTATGAAACACGTTCCGATAGCGCTGAGAACGCTATTGTATAGATCCTCTACCTTGAACATCCTGTTCTCGCAGAATTCTCTCCCGCTCCATCCCATGCTGACATCAGGCAGATTCTGTGTGCGATCACTAATGAGCATACACGCCACATAAGCTCGTATCTCGCTCACCTTATGTCCAAGATGAAAACAGCACTACCCTACACAACACCGATCCCCTTGATCGTGGAGATTCTATCGAAGTCATTGCCATTAGGCTGACCCGTTCACAGCTCCTTGTAGCCATCGTGCCATTTCTATAAAAAAAAAAAATAAACCGTGCAGTCCTTCCTCGCGGCAAATATAAAGTTACCAAAGCCGCCCCACTACGTCCAAACCTAGCTGGGGATGATCTTGGCGGCTTTCCTCATAGGCGAATTCGGCGCTAGTAACTCATCTCAGAATGGGGTTTCGAGTTGGGTGTGTAGCATGTTTATGACATCTATCCACGCGCCGCTGTACTCAGATAGCAGCCGTTCTGCGCTGCGTGGGGGACATGGATCTGTGGTCTTCTCAACAAAGTACTCGAGGAACCCACTCCCTACCGACAAAGACACAGATATTGTTCGGTGAATGTTTCGTGAGATATACAATCCGGACGGTCCACGATCGGGCAAGCTACACACCGAGCTCGACACCGTGCACTGGTAGCTTGGGTATATTCTGTTTTAGGCTATTGGGTTGAAATGCTGAGACGTTCTTTTTTTTAATAATACTGGTATGAACGAGGGAGGGTCTGTGACAATCTCTGACCTCGGCGCGTATGTACAATTCGGAGTGAGCCACCTCATGCAACATAGTGGCGGGCTCGGTACTGCGAACTGCGTGATTACGGCGTATAGATTAGTCGCGCGACTGGTACGATTGTGGGTGGTGTTTGCAGCAACACTAGAGACGCTGTTTGTATGCCGTAGTATACCAACACTAGCCATAGCTCTCATGACAGCTAGTGTCGTTTCTTGGCATAACTCCACACCCTTGGCTCTACTCAGCAGTTAAGTTTCAGGGTTTGATTTAAGACAAAGGACTTGCCCAAACAATGCTGATACGGTTTACCAGTTCTCCAACTCGCAATTATTTCATCACGTCACCAGTCGTCCACTTGTATACATAATATAGTTATCACCACTTTGCCGATCATCGAACAGTCCAGGTGATGGAGGGTTTTTGTTCTACAGCCTGGGAAACTCGTACAAAGATTGGAAACTCATGTGCTCGTCTAAAGTGGTAGCATAGAGTACTTTTTGTAAAGATGAGGGCTTATTTGTTGATAGAAACACATTGATGAACAGAATATGGGCGCATGCATTCTATCTACTCTTTGCTCGTCCACCATCTTGGTTTATCGAGGTCCGACTGATTCATGTATGCTGCTGACTCGGTGTCCTTCCGTCGTCTTCGTTTCTCGAGGAACTGTTTGATATATGCTCCATAGCTGTTTGCCAATCATCTTCGAACTCGCTCTCAGGCTTGCGTGGTCTAATCTTCATCTCAGTGCTTTCCGAACGCATTCTTCTCCTGATTGCAGCCCACCAAAAAGGGCCATGCCCAGTTTCAACGTTGCCCTGGGCGTCCATGTACTGTATCACCTCATTTTGGAGCGTGAACGTGTAATAAAAGTCAATTTGATGAGCGCCGTCTTGAGGTCCCATGTGGCCCACCGATATTTTGATAACACCCGACCCGTGGATCTCTGGTTGTTCGGGAAACCCCAACAACCAGCGGACCTTGTTCATATGAGAGAAAACGAACCGGTACTGTTCCTTTACTTGTCTGAAAACTGTGGTCATGTAGTAAATGTAACTCCAGCCGGTGTGTATATCTTGGGAGAACAACAGCTCTGAGTCTTCGTGTAAGCTGAATTCAACTACGGTGAGACTTGCCTGACTGCACGAAGACCAAGGAGAAGTGGGAGGCAGATTAAGACATTTGCAGCTGGCGCCGCTGTGATTATGAGCCGCAGCTATGCTGTATTTAGGAACGTCGATATGATCCATGGCGACACAAACGCTTCCTGGAAGGTGATAGTCGGCCCGATCAGTTGTGCCGGAAACAGTCGCCTCAAAAGGAACGGAGGTTTTGTGCCACAATATGAGGAAGGATACTGAACATCCACCCTGGTCTTTTTGGAAGACTATCTCGTCGGCAAATAAAATTCCGGAGTGTTGCTCCCTGCGGGGAATGCATCTCACTATCAAGCCATCGAAGATGGATGCAGAAGAACACCGCTCTTGACTAGCATTCGACATGATGACTAAAAGAGTTTGTGTTGTTTTGGTGTCGAAGAATGCCAATGTGAGAAAGATTATGGGTTTTGATTGACGTTATATATAATCTAATTCGGTGATTATGTGAATGGATTTCATGATGGTATTGCTCTCAAGCATTTCGGTCCGGCCTCGATCCGTGAGTAACATCAGGGGGAAACCCGACTTTTGAACGATGTTGGTGACTAGAAGGTGTGCGACAAACGCCACTGCCAAGATGAAGCATTTCATCGACCATACGGATGACTACGTATGCATTACCGAATCGAAGCTGCGAACCAGTCACCCAACAGACGCAAATCATGCCATGCCGCAACGACCATTTTACTACCATGGCAGGAGAGAATACCCCCGCCCAACTCATATAATGGCATCAAACTTTTGCTTGATAAGTCTGAACCTCTTGTTGAGAGTTACTCATCTTTTCCAGGTGCTCTGTACGAGGTAATTAGGAGGAAGCTGACTAATTGAAAGCTCGATGACGAACCGCCCTCAAGTTCTTCATTCTGCAGCCGGTACCTATCGTTATTTCCATCTACTAAGAAAAGAGCAGCAATCCACAGCGGCCTAGACCATGCCTGATGGGACTGGTAGCCTCGTACTTCGCAGTGATTATTCACCTTTTGCTGGTCCTCATGTTGGGAATCCGATAGTCCTATCGATTGGTTTTCGCTCAGCGGGTTTTGACTATTTCAACTAAACCTCAGGAACTCATCATGTTCAATGCGTCTAATCCACCGAACTCGATGTCAACACTCGCCACGGTGGCGGCACTGCAATGTGAACAGGCGAGTGTGACGTCAGACCATGTTTGATAAGAAAATGCGCTGCGCCTTTGAATATGGTTAGTCATCGGTCCCGGCCCGGATTTCAGCATCCTACCGAATTTGGCACAGTTAAATAAGGAGTGAAGGTGCATCACATGTAGGTTGACATCCCGCGTGATTGCCCATTTGCAGCGGTCACAGTACTACAAGAACAACCGAGATGCCAGCTCCAGCACGAGATAATTGTTACCATGTGGCATATAGGTAGTGTGAAGGGAGAAAAGATAGGGTGCAGTTGCAAAAGGCAAAACGAGTGTCTAATAAGTTACCACGTGGCACGGCGCGACAGAAACACAACATCGAGGGTATTGCAGTAGGCAAGAGTAACAATCTAACCTATCCGACAGTCCCAATGGTTAAATAGGAAGTGGGCCACGGTTACCTTCCATGGAACTGGGAAGCTGAATGCGCATCCCCACTAAACAATGCACAATGAAGCCGTTCTCACCCACTAAAAACGCACCAAGTACCTGCCCCTGTTAGATGCTGTATGTTATCCTGGCCATCTTGATCCTGAATCTGGCCAGGTCCCCCAGCAAACTCAGCCCCCTGATGCAACGTCGGCGCATAGCAAAACACGATCCAAATTCGTAGGATTGCGCTTGGCATTTGTGACTGTGCCGCTCTGGGTGACCTTTAAGTAGCTAAGACGCAGTTCTGTAAATCATGACTGCAACATGCCTCCCGTCTCACTCTTGCTATTTGACGACTTGCATTCCGGCGAAGGACGGCAGGCTTCTTTCGCCTCCCCGGACTGACCGACCATGAAGACCACACGCAGCACACGAGACCGCACCGCCGTTCTACTGCTCACGAGCCTGCTTTGTGCGACCCCGGCTGCGGCACAGACGTGTTACGCCCCGAACGGGACGGCGGTCACGTACTCGTCCATATCGCCCAACGGGACGGTATACCAGTACTCGACGCCCAGCTCGGGCGCGCGGCTCTACGCCTGCCCGCCCGGCGCCGACGGGTTCGCGACCTGCTGCGCCGAGGGCGACTTTTGCCACCCGGACGGCCTGTGTTATGGGCCCAACGCCGGGCAGCCGACGGTGCGGAGGCAGTACTGCACGGATGAGAGCTGGCGCTCGTCCAACTGCAGCCCGCTCTGCCGGCATGATGCCGATGCCAACTCGCCCTCGAGCGGCGGTGTAAGTTTTTGAGCCCATATTCAATTGCACTACACCATCGTCGGAGCTGTACTGATTCTTAAAATTAGGCAGTACTCACCCCTTGCATGGATGGCAAGATCTGTTGCGGCGCTTTCCAGTCTGACTGCTGTGACGACCATAAAGGCCAATACGCGATTCAGGGCTACGAAGTTGGGCCGGGCATCAGCTACAACACCAATTCGACCACGACACAGGAGGTGGTGTCCGCAACTAGTGTTACATCAGCGACGGCATCCAGCTCGTCCTTGTCTCAGAGCGATGCCAGCACAACTCTTAGCGGCGGCGTGATCGCAGGTATCGTAGTTGGCGCAAGTGTGGGACTCGGCTTGATATGCATTGCGGCAGCGCTGGTATATCGGAAGCGAAAGCCGATACAAACACAACCGGGGGAGCCGCCGAAGGAGGCGTGGAGTGATACAACTGCTATTCAGAGCTACGGTCATAACTTCTACGGCGGCCATTCGCAGTACGAGCTATCCTCAGCCACGCAACCTGGAGAGCTTCCCAGTTCTCGCCTTCGCCACGAGCTGAGCTAAGCCCATCTAAATCTTGAAAACAGCATTTGTGTAGGAGATGAGGAGCTTGTTGACCGTCAGCATCGAAGCTGGGCTTAAAAACGATGCTCTTGGTACACGCTTCAGAACCTGCGCCGGAACCTATAGACCCAGGAAGTTGCCCAGAAAGTCCGCCTTGCCCAGTGGTACGCCCTTGGCTCTGAGGATTGAGTAGCCCGTGGTGAGATGGAAGTAGAAGTTGGGCACGCCCTGGGTCAACACAGCAGCCTTGACGGTGATCTTATGCGTCTGGCCAGCCCATGAACTGCATGACGACATTAGTGTCGAGGCCCACAAAGACATTATCAAAAGCAAAATGAGAACTCACAAGTCGAGCGTCTCGAGGTCTCGGCCCGTTGCCTTCACCACATCAAAAGCCCTCACCGCATCCAGGGTCTTGGCGATCCTCTGCTGCAAGTCCTCAAAAGTGGTCTCATTGTTGGGAAATAGTGTCGGCTCAATGCCGCTAAGACGGCCGAGAGATATTTGTACGGCCTTGGTGGCGTTCTGAACCTGGAATGCCAATGGAAGCTGGTCCTCGATCAGACGGGCCTGAACGAATGTGTTCGGATCGATACCCTTCTCCTTCGCAAACTCTTGCGTCTTCTTGAGAATGTGAGAGTATGTCTCGAGGCCCTTGGTAAAGGTCGAGACGGCAAGCTCGGGGAGGTCAAGGGAGGACATTTTGAATGAGGTGGAAGTAGGCTTTTGCTTTTGCTTGTGCTTGTGCTTGTGCTGGTGACCACGCGCGTGTTGTAGTAGGCTGGGGGGGGGTAGGCTGCTGGTTTCTAAACTATAATGAGTATGATCAGGGGAGTAATTGAGATACTTATACTTCGGATCCGAGATGCTGGTGACACGCCAATCACCAATTACGCAATATGAGAAAGTGGTTTCGTGATTCATAGGTGTGACAATGTCAGAAGTCTCGTTGGTGACGTCTTGTTTGCTTGAGGCGGTTTGCCATGTCAGGTACACTGCCAATGGCGGGGTTGGAGGGGTTCTAGCGGTCAGGGGTTGCTGTTCCTATCGCGCAATACGCAGGCACATCGCGTGATTCTAAAAGCATCGTCAGTGCCACAAAAATGGCAATCGCGATGGATTCAATGGTAAGGAGCGACTCAGGTCAATTGTGTTCTGACTAAACTGCTGAAGGAGTGACTGCGGTCAACGACTTCTCCCCCAATAACCGACATGCTAAGATAAATGATGATGCGTGTTGATGAATGTACAAAATACAACCCAGACATTGCGAACCCCCTCCAAATGTGCATTGCGAACGAGTGAACCGAAGGAATACCCCAAAACTTGTGCCAAAAGCTGGCGGGCTTTTTTTTTTTTTTTTTTTTTTTTTTTTTTTCCCTGTGTGAAACAGCCATCATACTGTGCTCACAATAGTACGTGGTTTCATGGTTTTCCGCTTTATGGCCTTGTATCCTTCGATCAAAGCAACATAAGCCACGAAACAACCAATCACCACGCCCCACTGCCAGGAGATACCGCTATGTTTAAATCCAATCTCATTGACGTAGGGAATGTAGATTACTGGGAAGGAGGCCAAGAACCCACCGACAACCGCCCAATAGAGAACCCTGTTTCTCGAGACAGTTTTGAAGATGGCAAACGGCCCAGAGTACAATTCTGGATTCATAGCGAAGAGCGACCGAGTAAAATGCTTAACCTCCCAAGCAGTGACGAGCAACAGGAACACGAGCGTTGCGAAAGTGGTGGCGCGTGCTTGGAACACAATATCGCAGGATTTGTTGTATTCGGAATTACAATTGAAGCCGAGAACAGAGGGGTCAGTACCATACCGGCCGTAGGTCGTGGTGATGAAAGCCGTTAGGCAGAGCGAGCCCATGAAGAATCCATACACCATCTTATCTATGATGAGTTCCCACGTGAAAACACCGACGCGCAGACTGTGGGGTGGCCGGGTCATGATGTCCGGTTGAGCTTCCTCCAGACCAAGACCGATAGCAAGACCGGATGAGGTGATAAGATTCGCCCAAAGAATTTCGAGGGGTGAAAGTGGGAAAACAGAGTTGCCCCTGGTATCTTTGAATGCCAGGGCGATGAGAAGAAGGATGACCTGGGCTATGTTTGACACCAACAAATGTAGCAAGAATTTCTGGATGTTGTCGAACAGTCGGCGGCCTTCTTTAATGGCAGTCACGATGGATGCGAAATTGTCATCCGTGAGAACCATGTCCGCAGCCTCTTTAGCCACGTCGCTTCCATTCAAACCCATCGCGATACCAACGTCAGCTTTTTTGAGTGCCGGAGAGTCGTTGACGCCATCTCCAGTCATCACGCAGAAGCCACCTCGGCGGTGAAGAGCCTCCACCATTCTGACTTTGGTAGAGGGGCTGCAACGTGCGAGGACGAGAGGGAGCTTCTCCAGTTGTGTGATAGCATCGTCACTTAGTGCGTCGAACACACTAGCCTGCATTATCGCCGTGTCGAGTTCAGCCGGCGACAGTTTACCACTGAGAATCCCAACCTCTTTGGCAATGGCTGTTGCAGTCTTGATGTGATCTCCGGTGAGCATATGAACCATGATACCCGCCTGCTTGCATCGTTGCACCGCATCTGCTGTTTCCAAACGGGGAGGGTCATATAGACCAGCCAACCCAAGAGGAGAGAGTCTACACTCTGCAGTCTCTCGATTTTTTGCAATGTCTTCAAAGCCAGCAGAGTTGAGAGGCACAAGCCTTTGCGCAATACACAAAACTCGTAGTCCTTCGGAAGCTAGTGAGTCAGCCTTCTCTGTGAGTTCTGCCTTAACCTCATCTGTTGCGTCAAGCAACGGGAGAATTGCCTCCAAGGCTCCCTTGGTGTAGATACATGCTGTTCCCGAAGATGAATGCCTGTAAATGACTGTCATCCTCTTACAAGAGGAGTCAAATGGAAACTCGGCAATCAGATTTGATGCCTTTGCCTGAACGATAGTGGACTTGCTATGACCAAACCGCATGGCAAAGACGTGGAGCGCAATTTCGGTAGGCTCACCGGTAGCATCCCAATTGGCAGGGCCGACAGTAGATATAGTAGAGGTCTCAACCATGTCGTCAGAGGCACCGGCCTTGCCATCACTGATAACAGAGTTGTTGCACAGAGAAATGCAGTCGACAAAAGCTTCAGCCTTCGCGGGTAGCCTGGAGAGCAATTTGGGTTCGTCGATCACCCCATCAGAACCCCACGCAATTCTACCGCTGGTAGGATCAAACGGGTGTGTGCACTCTTCTACTGTAGCCATTGACCCATCACGGAGCCAGATCTTCCTTGTAATCATCTTGCCCTGTGTTAGAGTACCAGTTTTGTCTGTGCAAATATTGGTGACGCCACCAACAGCTTCCAGAGCAGCCATTTTCCGCACAATAACGTTGCCGCGAGCCATCGCTTTCGTGCCAACGGCAATACTGATCGTAAGCACAGCGATGAGCGATTCTGGAATGACTGCAACGCCGACACAAATGCCGTAAATAAGTACTTCGTCACTGATTTTGAATATACTTGCCGAGAACACGATAATTACCAAAAGTATGGCAAGTGCGAATAAAAGCAGGGCAAACTTGCTTAGCTTAACCTGCAATGGTGTGCCGTCAAGACCAAGGATACTTGTTGAAGTGGCTTTGAATCGGTGCAATAATCGTGTGATCTGGGCCACTTCTTGACCAGCGAAAGGGTTGGCTCTAAGCATTTCTGCGATCTTGCCAACTTCTGTAGTCATGCCTGTGGCCACAACAACTGCCATTCCTCTGCCCCTTGTGATCTTGCTCGCCTGGTAAAGCACTGCGAATGTCAGTGTATTGCGCGACAGATATATCAAGATAGTGTGAATAGTATGTAACTGATTCAGTATCGCACGGGATTACCTACTGTTGATTCGGTCACCGAGAGGAACATCCGGGTCATCGAGGATGGCATCAGCATGCTTGCTCACAGGCAATGATTCTCCGGTTAGATGGGCTTCCTGAAAATAATTAGCTTAGGATAGAATGAACGGCACGATCTGTTAGGCATTAACGCACGTCAGTTGTCATGTTAAGACTGCTAACGAGACGGAGGTCGGCAGGGACAATATCCCCAACGTGAAGAACCACGATATCACCCTTGACAAGTTCCTCGGCCTTAATGTTGATCGTGCGTCCCTGACGGATAACCTTGCAAGTAGGGGCTGAAAGGGCAAAAAGTGACTGGATTGCTTTTTCTGCTTTGAAGTCTTGCCAGAACCTACATGTTGTTAGATGTTGTGCAGAATTTCTGGAGACTCTACAGCTATGGCCAAAACAGTTTTGATCTGGCGGCGGTTGATATAGTCCTCTTTTCGACAATAGTGCCGAGTCCGGAAGAAAGTTAAAACTTTGAGAAGAGAGGTGATCAAAACTCACCCGACGACGATGTTGAGACAGATAACAAAGGCAATGATACCACCTTCGATATAATCATGGATGGCAAAGGAAATCGCCATGACGGCGACGAGAACGAGTGTCAAGCTGTTTGAAATCTGCCTCAAGAAAATCTTCCACGGGGATAACCCTTTAGCTCCTTCAACCTTGTTAGGCCCATCCTGCTCCAGGCGAGCAGCGGCTTCGCCTGCGTCGAGTCCATTCTGGAAGCTTGTCTTTAACAGAGACCGCTCTAGTTGCTCAAGTTGGACCGTATGAGCGGAGTCGACGGAAGCAGGGGGAGGTTCACCCATTCAGTTGTGTTGATAAAGCTCAGCAAATGGTTGCTGTCGCTGATATAAAATACGGGATGCTTTCTAAGAGATGTGTGAACTTCTGGTGTTCCGAAGGGGAAGTGGGATAAATGGGAAAGAGCTAGAGGTCATAGAATTAATCACCATGGGGCACGTGCTTGCATAGGGAAAGAGTGAGGCAGTCGGAGCCATGGAACCCACCCCGCCATTGCTGCTGTTTGGTACGTGATCATGTGGCCAAGCGCCAAGGCTTGAAGTCAAGATGAGAAGTTGACGTGGGTAATGGTCAGCGTTGCTTGGCCGATTGAAAACTGTCGAACCACATCACTGGCGATGCTGCGGGGACGGTGCAATGAGTGGGACTGGGTCAGGTCCAGTGCATACGCCGGGATCCGCTAAGAGTAAGGTGCCCCGACGAAATGCGGGCGTGGTCGCCACTTTGCTTTTGACACGGCGCCGAATGGATCCAGCGCTCACCGTTTGGACGCTGTACGACAGAAGGACGCTTGCAGAGGCGACTGTTTGCCGTCTACCATTCAAGAAATCAATCAATTGCTTGTGTGTCTCAATACCTCACTGCAAGCAAACGGGTTGTTGTCTCTCGAGAGGCGAGCCTACCCGGTAGGGTCGCCTGTCCAAAGTAGCAGAATTCATGTTGTGTGCCAAGCTGGTTGGTGCATGTCTACGGGCAGCCAAGCACCTAAAAGAAACACACAGCCACCCATGGCAAACGATTACGACAATCCCAACACTACTGGTGTCTTGTCCCTGGCGATAAACCTTGGGCCTTCCTATTCAGACAAAGCACGTTTCCCGGCTTGACAGGCTGTTCATAATAACTGGCCGCATTGCAATTATGTCTTCGGTCGTGATCCGAAGATAGGCCATACAGCGACCCGATACGGATCCGTACTCTGACACTAGACCTCCTTGGCGCAGTGCGGCTCTCCTCTCATTCTGACATTAGTCTAGGTTAGCAAGAACTTGGAAGACCTCATAGTTAACCTACCCCCCCGACATAACTTCCGACAGTCGCCATCTCTACACAGAATAAGGTTGCACTAGCACAGGTGCCAGCGTCCGGACCGGCAAATTCAATAAACATGTCGCGAATGCACGCTCGCCTCGTTCTGATCGCCTTATCTTGTCATTGGTGAGGAATCCAGTTCTTTTGAGATGCTAACCTCATTCAAACAATACACATGGGCAAGACGCAAGCACAACTGCATATAATTCTGTATGTCTGGTCACGCACCAACCCAATCTGAGAGCGTATGGGCAGCTGGCAGGCTGCAGCTAGTTTAGTATGCCGCTTGCCATTCTTGCCTCAAGCGATTATTGGCTCGATATGACTACCCTTAGCGCATGCTTGGAACCGGATTCCCACTTTGCTTATCAAGCTATTCTGCTTCAAACACCTTCTTTCCTTTGAACCACGTTTGCTTGACCTTTGCCCGCAGCAAGCTCTCGGCGTTCCATTCCATATCCACAACAGCAAAATCTGCGGAGAGACCAACATCCAGCTTGCCTGCCCGATCATCCGCAAAACAGCTGTAAGCCGAGCCAGAAGTAGCGCCAGCGACTGAAGCGGACAGCTCAAGGGCGAATTGAGGATTCACTGCCGTCTGCAAATCAGGCTCCCGGGCCGACCGCCGTGTTGTCGCCGTGTAAATGTTCTGAAAAGGGCCGTGTGGAGCAGTTGGTGCGTCCGTGCCGAGGGCCAGCACAGCTCCACCATCGGCAAAGTCCTTGTAGGCGAATGCGCGTCCGCATCGGTCCTCCCCTAGCAGTGTTGGCCATGCTCGGAGGATGGCTGGGTCGGAGTGCACGGGTTGGATTGATGCAGTGATGCCCAGCTTTCCTAGACGTGCGGCATCTTCCGGCGCTGTGAGCTCGAGGTGTTCAATGCGATGTCTTCGGTCCCGGCTTCCATTCTGCTCCAGTGCATCTATGGCCATACGAGCTGTGTAATCGCCAATCGCATGGAGAGCGCATTGCAGTCCAGCTTCATCTGCCCTTTTGACGATGGGGGCGAGCTCTTCCGGTGTCCAGAGTGCCTCACAATCGACGCCATTAGAACTGTAGGGCTCCGTCAATGCTGCCGTACACGCATCTATGATGCCGTCGCAAATAATCTTGATGCCTGCGATGAAGAAGTCTGGGCTTGTCTCGCTATTCAATTCTCTGTGCAGCTCGATTGCTCTGTCCACCTGCGCTAATGTCTCTGCTGGGTCGTTCTTTGGTGCGATGAGCCAATATGCGCCTAGTCGAAAAGGTACCTCTTCCCTCTGTCGCAACGTTTGTATTGCCCTCAATGAATTCTCGTCGAGGGCCATGTCGACTGCTCCAGTGTAACCTTCTGCGTTGAAGAGATCTACGGCTCCTCTTATCGCTCCAAGCTTGTCATCCATGGACGCGACTTTTGCAATGTGAGGCCAGATGATAAGCATGACACAGGACTCCAGTAACAAACCAGTCGCTTTACCGTCTGCATCCCTCTCAATCGTGCCTCCCACTGGGTCGGGCAAGTCCGCTATCTTGAGTTCCTCCAGTGCAGCTGTGTTGCACCACGTTGCATGTAAGCTCTTCTCGTCGATAAAGATCGGTCTCGGGTCCAAATCATCAAGCATGCTTGACGTGACCTTGCCAGGTGTCATGGAGATCATCCAGCCCTTGCACACAATCCTGGGCACCTGCGGGTTTGCTTGAGCATATTCCTTGATGGCAGCTCTGATATCGTCTAAATTCGTGCAATGGCTGAGCGGCACGCTCTTGAGTGACTGGCCGAGGCTCAGCAGGTGGATATGCCCATCGAAAAATCCGGGCAGCACTATACGGCCTTGCATGTCTTGTCGTGTTGCGCCATCTTCGCCAGCTCGTGCGACTTGCGCATCGCCAAGTTGGCCGACATGCGTGATATTTCCTGCCGCATCCGCAACGATGCACTCCGCGAAATGGTGGTCTTGGCCGTTTACACCGGTACTCCGGAAGAACTTTCCATTGTAAAAAATCGTTGCCGTTTGCGATGCCATTTTAAAGGATTATCTTGCGCAAAAAGGGTTGTTTGTTGAAAGAAGTGGTGAACTTGCGTCGGCTGAGGCAGAACAAGTCCCTTTGACCCAAGCACTTTCCTAATAAGAATGGGTCGGGTTCCGATTGCGGCCCATTATATCGACAACCTCACAAATGCAGCACCACCTCCCACCTTTTTAAATGCAGTGCAGTCGATGCATAAATGGCCCTACGAAACTTTCCAAATTCCGAAGATTGTTTGATGCGATTTTATCTTTGCCATGAAAAAAGCACACTCCTTGCACAAGTCCCAATAAATGCAACCATGATCTGTCATTGCAGGGTGTCCAGGTGTACTTCCGCATCGCACGGTTTGCCCCACTAAAGTAAGTAGCTATTGTAGGGATTCCACCTATTCGCTGGTTGGCTAGTTAGAGAGAGTTATAAGCTAAAGTTTATACAATCCGATTACGAACGAGACGACCACAATTATCTTGTTTCGGAACTCGCTTGCAGCAAGACGACACTAAATATGAGAGCATGATTTGAGTATATCATCACAACCACATGACTGATCCAAGCACTCTGGATCTACTTCATTGCGCTCTAGCTCTGCATAGGTGGCCAGAGGAACCATAGCCTGTGGCTATGGTTGCACGCTAAAGGACACCCAACACGTATTTAAAAATTATCAGATCCAGCTAAAAGTCCTCGTGATCGTCTACGCATTGTATATTATGTACAAGATGTTGATGATCCGGTCTAATCATTAGAGAAAAAGGATTGCAAGCGATGTGTAGGCTTTTTCCCCCCTCCTTTGAAGTCCCATTACAGAGATAGACTCTTGGAATGTGACTCTGTTTCTAGTAATTTATTCCATCTGATAACCAATTTCTCTACTTCTTTTTGTGCATATCAACAATATTTTCTGCCAGTACTAATTACTATAAATCTATACTATATCGCGAAATGTGGCGGAACATTTATTTATGTTGTATTGCAAGATGAACTGACTATATAGCCACTGATGTGCACTTCCTTCCTGCCCCTAGATCCTAGCCGCAATGCGATGTCGAGCGGGTATGTCGCGAGGCCCTGGCATCTCATGATAGCAAAGTGATGGGGCACCTTGGCAAACCGCTTGCATCGGGACAGCGGATGCGCACCTCGGGATAGACGACATGACGTTCTCGACACTGATCCACCTCTCCTGGAATACCATATGCAGGTGCGGACCAAGATTTATGACGTGTGCCAACCCACAGTCTGCTCTGTCGACGCGGTTTCCCCCCTCGCCAGAAAACCCACCGCGACTCTATGCATGAGCTTGCTCAAGCTCTAGGTGCTCGGTGGCTTAGACTCTGGCGCCATTCCATGAGCTTGCGGACCCGAGTCTCTCCTGGGTTTCACCGTAGCATTGAGGAACTGCACAAATCTAGGAAGATTTCATAAACACCATCACGCAGCTCAATATTGGCGATTTTTTGGTCCGAGCATTCATACGTGAAACGGCTGAGACGAACCCACTTGATCACAAAGGACGAAGGAGCGGGCGACATGACCATAACATTGAATTAAGGCGTTTGTATATATTTCTGGAGGTATTTGCTCGCGCTGGGTTATCACCTCAGAGTTTATCGAACCAAGGGGTCTGGATGGCTAATTCCAGGTTGTGTTCGGAGAGGCTACCCGAGCGTAGTGAGAGTCTTTGTTGTGATCCACATGGCAACGACATAGACGTTCGAACTGACTCACGACAGTGCTGGTCCCGCCGTAGCCATAACGAGGATGACCATCAAGTCGAGTCTCGGATCTCACTGCGCCCCGAAATGTCCACATGCGAAACGTCGTCACGATGCCTGATTTGCATGTTGTACATAACACGGATTTTTACTCAAGCTACACCAATTGCCAATTCCAACGGCTTACCCCATACCAGAATCCGCGATACCGCCAGATACCAAAAAAAAAATAGAAGATGGCTGTTCCCTCCCATCGCTCAAGAGACGCCCCTCCAGATTAGGCGTCGGCCGCGCATTCATTTCGTCTAGCAGCGACGTCCTCTACGACCACCATAGCCCATCCCGCGCCTGCCGCCATATCCGACCACGGGCGGCCGCCCGTAGACGGGGCGAGGCTGCACCACGACGACGGGTCGTGGTGCCATCATCATGGGTGGACCTCTCCTCCGCGAGCTGAATCCGAAGCACATTCTTGTCCGGTGCGGGACCCTGTTGATCTGGTCCAATGTTCACTGGCTGGAGTTGAGTTTTTCTGGGTGGCTTTTGTGTGTGAGCCACTGATAGTGTGGGTGTGTGGGTTCGATTTGTCGCGAGTCGGAATCGATATAGAAGAGTCGATGATGGAAATGCCGATATGACTTGGAAGTTGTGTAGAAAGAAGACGTTAGTTACTTCCGATTCACCCGGAACTAATCGTGGGAATATTATTATTTAAATACACAACGACACTCGGTAACCATTCGTCCATGCTGCTTTATAGTTCACGCGAGCCACGTGCGTGCGCCAGCCCACTATAGCAAGGTTAACGTTGCGAACGAGCGTCTGTCGGGTGGCTGATTGGTTGTTGACGGGTTGCCGGCACGCAGAAGGTTTTCTTGGCGGGCTCTAGTATACAACCGCCCATACCTTACCACCTCACGGCAGATGGAACCGTCTGGGCGAAGTCGTGGTCCACAACGTTCATGACGCAGGACCGCGTTTGAGATAGGCCAAGGTGATTAGATTCGTCTGTAGTGTGGCTGTTGCGGGCCCTCGCGCAAGATATCGCAAGCAGTGTAAATGAGATATAGCGAGGGGTATCGAATGATTCGTTGTGTTACTGGGTGGGCTGCTGCTCATCTTGAGGTCTGCAATGATGCTATCAGTTGGTGCGTTTAGACACGATGTAAGTTAGTGTGCCCACGCCGTCGGGCTGCGCGACCGTTTAGTTGAAGTTTATGTGATGTCACGACGCTTGATTGTCAGCAAGCCAAGTACATCGAGGCAAAGCTTGTAGCCGTCGTGCTGCAGGTTCCAAGCATATGTGGTGGTGCGGACAAACCTCGAAACCTGCCAGCAACGGGATCCTGAGATACGCGGTTATATTCCGCGCAGTGCAACTGTGTGAAGGTTTATGGCTACGGGGCTATGCGACACGATCAATAGAAGTCGAATCGGACCTTTCAGTGCCCAACCAGAGGTGTGATGGAGGGATCTCTAGTATCGTAGCCACGGTTTGTTGACGTTTCAACCTGATCTAGACGTGGGAACAGAAGTGGATATGGAAATGGTAATGGAAGTGAAAATGGAAATGAAAATGGAAATGAAAACGGCAATGAAAACATGGGGGAAATTAACAAGAGCAAGAGATCCCCCATCCCCCAGCTTCCCCACAATGCACAACATCCTACCCAAGTAACCTGACCTAGGTTAGGTTAGTGGATACGCAGATGTCGGAGCGCTTTTCTGCAGTGAACGGAAGCCAATTACGGTTAGGTTAATTGATTAACGTAGCCAAGGTCACGTCAACTTCTTGCTCAGTAACTACGTCGCTGGGCTGCCGAGGGGTCAGATTCAGGACTCGCTCACATGTAATTTCGGCCTCGGCAACCCGAACAAAAAAAGTAAGATTGCAGCTTCATGCCAAAACGCGAATCGCGTGTAATTAACTGTCGGCTTTCGCATTTCCTTTTTCATTTGTTCAATGTCTGAATCGCTCGACACCCTTCCCTTGTAATCAGGGGGTACGCACATCCAAACGCGAATTCGCATCTGACACTGGCTCTTCAGCTGGATGATATGAGACCTGAGCTGCAAGAAAGCTAAGCTCCAGCTCCAGCTCAGCTCAGATCAGACCAGCTCAGCAGTTCTACAGTTAGCTCCTCAACAACAACAACAACAACAACAACAACAACAAAGTGCGGACATCACCCATCAACCGCAGGCGGCGCGGCACAGCTCATCGCTCACCATCAACATGGCGTCTGGAGCTGGACCCTCCAAGCTCCCTCCAATCGACATACCGGAACCTGTTGCGTTGTCGCGGCCGCCGGCTTCGTCCAAGTCGCAAGCCAGAACATCGGCAGCAGACCCTGTACTGCGCAATGCCCTCCGATACACAATCTCCGCCCGAGAATACGAGTCGCTCCACAAGTATGTCTTGTCCCGGTCAAGGCTGTTAAAGCGACGGGCACCGAGTGCCAATACCGTCGAAAGGTACATGGACGGAGGGGCCAAGGATGGCGGGAAGGGTAAGGGCAAGGCAAAAGAAGGGTCTGCCAGCGGTGGTGGAGGCGATACCTACAATGCTCGAGCGATTCGACACGCGCTTCGCGTATTCATAGCGACTGGGTTGGGAATGAAGGCATATAACGTATTGATGGCGAGGCTCAAGGGCCAAAAAGAGTATGTCATGCATCCGAAGGAACCTGCCATCGATCTACTGTCCGGATCAAACTGACACCGTCTAGCTTGACTGGTCAGAAGAAGAACGAGCCCTTCTATAAATCACCGACGTTGCGCTTGTCACTGTCGCTTTCCACCATACTGCTTCTGTACCGCCTCCTTTTCCGGTTCATGAGCCGCCTACGAGCCCATTTGCTGGACGCATCCGCCGCGCCGTTCCGAAACCGCAACCCGAGGACGACACAGACACTAACTTCGCCTTATGCCCCTGCTCTCGGTGCCAGCCTAGCAGGTCTCGCGCTTGGTATCTATCCCGCCCAACAGCTGCGCGTGTCAGTGGCCATCTACACCATGTTCAGGGCGCTAGAGTTTGGCTGGAACCTTCTTGAGGACGACGGCATGGTCTGGGGCTGGAAATCCAAAGTCGGCGGGAGCGGTCTTCTGAAGCGCGAAAGACCCTGGTGGTTCGGCAGTTGGATGTTGCAGCCCTTCGCCTTCGGCCAGCTGCTTCATGCCACCATCTTCGACAAGGACTGTATTCCGGCCCAGTTTGTCGATCTGCTGTGGAAGGGGAGCTCGGAATATCTCCACAGTGCACCCAAGAACCTACCTACGGGAGTCAAGTGGCCGACCCCTCGGGAAGTTGCCGACTGTCTTGCCCAGATGGCCAAGCTTAATTGGCCGTACGTGCATTCAATTCATCTGCCACCAGGCGAGAGTACAGCTAACAGACATAGGCCATACATCAGTCCAACATTGTTCCCAAACCAGGAAACCCTGCCGCCCACCTTGACCTCAATTGCGCCTCTGACATCACGGGCACACCCGCTCATTACTTCCCTCAGCTGCGCGACACTGCATCCATCGGATCCCTCTTGCAGCCGGACGTACCTGTCATTCTGGCTACAGTCATTCCCGAGGGTAGGCCGCTTGTTCCTCGTCTTTTACTCCCTCACCATGCTGCCGCGGTACAAAGCTCTCTACAATGCGCCGTTGACTGTCCTTACCAACATACTGGGACGCAGCCTTCGACTCTCAACCTTTGTAACAGGCGCCATCTCGACTGCATGGGCGAGTATCTGCTTCTTCCAGACTTGGCTGCCACGAAACTTCCTGCCGACACAGCGGTTCTTCCTCGGCGGATTTCTTGCTGGTCTCTGGGGCTTCGTAGAGCGCAAGCAGGGTCGCGGCATATTCCTCTATAGTGCTCGCACCAGCATAGACAGTCTGTGGAAGGTAGGCGTCAAACGGCGTTGGTGGAAGGCCATGCGAGGTGGTGATTTGTGGCTTTTCGTACTAGCGCTGGCCATTACGGGCGCTGTGTACGAGAAGGATGCCCGGGCTATCAAAGAGGGCAACTGGAGGAAAGGTGTCAGCTGGGTCAGAGGAACAAGCTGGAGGGACTGGGAAGTGGAAGAGGAAGAAGAAGACGAGGCGAGGGAGAAGTTCGAGTGAGGTGCCCACGACCTGCTATGCAGTCGTACAGGGGCTCGAGTTTTGTAGGATGGAAACCTGGTGAGGCTTGAACATAGGCCGACCAGTTTCGGCCAGCTTGAGACACTGGTGTGTCTCATGCTTGATGATTACGATGATTCCCACCAATTATCTACCGCTCATGGCGTATAATGTATAAACCTTTTTCGACCACGCAGTGTTTTGACCCTGTCTTCAACTGGGCCGTGTTTCCAATACATGTTCCCACCGCCGACGTGATGAGTCATTTCGTTTGTCGTGCCTTTGGTCTTGACAACTTTGCCCGCCCAACTACTAATCCAGCGCTGCTAAAACATAGCTACTTGGCGAGGAGGGATCGCTTGCCCCGTAGCTTGTGACACGGAAACCTGTAACGCATGCGTCATGTAAAAGGTGACTTCCAACAACGCTCCCAAACGTGGTCGGTTATGTCGTATCAGCCTGGAGGCTTTACTGTTGTTCTCTTTATCAAAAGAATGCAACCAAGAGCAAGTCCAATTTAGCGCAAGGCATGCTACTATACCCCATCTGCTTGACTGCATTCACCGCCCAGCAAAGCTACACCAGTCCGCCACAGGATTTTGTAAACAAGGCTCAACGCTGCTAATGGACTTCGGCCGTGTCGATACGAGTCATCTCTGACCTTTACCTGGAGGCGCCTGGAGCACGCAATGTCTTCGAACTTGCTGCCAGGGCGCCATATCTGGCATTGCTTGCCGATATCGGGAATATTGTGTCGCAAAGGGATGACTGCCTCTTCCGCTCGGTATTGTTGTCCCCGAAAACTACGAGGCATATCATTCGGAATGCCCAGCCCCTGAGAGATGTTGTAAAACAAAAGGGTTGTGTGCATCGACGACTCTGAACTTTAGGAGCCAGATCAAAATCACAACTTAAATAGGCCTAGCTGTTGTCGTTGTGGAAAATACTGCAATAGTATAGTTGTAATGTAGAGACCTCGCGAACCGCCTCGACTAATCTTAAGCAGCGGGTACTAGTGCCAATATGATAAGCTCAAAAGTCAAGATCGTGATACGGTTCTCAATGGGCTCGAAAACGACTAGGACCCCCCAAAAAAGAAGAAGAAAAAAAAGGGACAATCGACAGCCAGAAGACCTTTTGAACCCAACATGAACGGCACAGCACATCTCGATCGGACCACTTTGCAGCTCTTGCAACTAAGTGGGCTCATATAGACGACTGTAGCTAACTATATCACAGCTCAGCAGTCTCCCAAGAAGAAATTTGAAGGATCTCTGCCTTTTAAAACTCTTGTGAGACGCAAAGAACTCTCCTCGCAGCTGCGGGTCTGTTCACGGAATTGGTCAGCGATCCATCTAGCCGCATTATCGAGGTTGTTCTGCAACAATTTGAGGCCAGAGCACTGCACTTGCAGCCGCTCGGATGCCAGAGATCCTAGCCAAGTATGAGGAAAAGGACTACAGTATTGATATTCTATCAAGCTAGATTGGTGTAGAGAAAAAGAAGCTGTGTGCGCCTGCATTCCTGCGCTGATTCAAAGTGACCAAATATACTTGTAGGTATTGCAGTTCGTGTCATGCGATGTCTCTGATCCATTCACCTATCCAGTGAAGCAGAGGAAGACTTCTTCGTTAACGGCAGGATCCCTGCTTCGTTGGCTGGAATACTATCCCCAGCGCGCTTACGTGTTGACTTGTGGACAAGTTGCCTCTACTGCCTCTGACCACTTGCTACGGTACCTGCGAGACCCCTTCAAGGGTCCTTCCTACAACATTGAGGTGAAACCATTCCAAGACACTGTAGGCACCAAAGCGCCACGTTGGACATGGCTAGAGGAGAAGTCTACGATTCGAGATCTTCTCGACGGGCCGCAATGGTCCGGACAGCGAGTCTAGTGGATATCCTGGTAACTTTGGAACAAAGATTCAGGACTTCGCCGAGAAAGTGAACGCGGGAGAGGATGACTAAACAGAGGTACTCCGCCCAGAATATGGACGGTTCAGTCTTGCCGTGGTGGGAGACAGAAGAGTTTTCGGAGAAGCTCATTCATGTAGTAAGATGCTTTGATGTTTTTTTCGACGATGCTCCTATGCTAATGTTTCTAGACTTGCCGTGGGCCTCACTTGGGTCTGCCACCGTAGTGGGTCATTGCGGAGGAATGGGTATATTACACTTCTGCAGGGCGATGACCAACGGCGAGTGTATTTCGTTCTAACAATTTTGTAGGCGGTTTCAGTCTACAACTTTCGCATATCTACCCAAAGCTGAACTTCGTCATTGAGGATCGCGCACCGGTGCTTAAACTTGGCGAAACCGAAGTCTGGCCGCGCGAGAATCCAACTGCTCTTCAAGAGGGCCGCGTGAAATTTGTTCAGCGCGATTTCTTCTAAGATAACCCCGTGTAGAATGTCGATTTGTACTGGCTGCGCTATATCATGCATGACTGTCAGATGACTGCTGCGTTTAGATCTTGAAGGGTATCAAATCAGCCATGGGGCCTCGAAGGAGAATTCACATCTGGTGAGTCTCATTCAAACCTTCGTGTTCAGCAGGATACTGGCCACAGCAGACGCTGATAAATTGCATATGGTGATCAAGTCATGAACACCACAAGAAGTCACTCCGAGCTACCCTCGGCGCCAGGACCACTTCCGGCCAACTACGGCTACTTTACGCGTTACTCGCATACACGAGACTTGCTCGTCTTGTCAGTAATCAACGGTATTGAACGTAACAAACCGAGCGAGTTCCGCGAGCTTGTCGAGAGAGCAGGGTTGTGCTTGAACAGATTTTAGAACTGCCGTAGTCAAGTCGGCTTAGTTGAGTCGATGCTGCAAGACTCTGAGCTTCGTTGGCCATTGCTTGAAGCGAAGCCCTTTCTAAAAATAAAAAAAAGCGCGCAGTTCTAGATAATTGTTATTTATTTGATTTCAAGATTGTTAGGACCGCGGCTTTTTGCACTCTCTATTTCTCTCAATCGCGTGTAATGAATACGCTCCCCAATACTAAAAAAAAAAAAGAAAGGAAAAAAAAAGCAATTGTATGAATCAAATCGAGTCTAACAGATTTTTGTGCTAGACTCTAGTATCTGTAACATCGAAAGGTGAATCAAAGATAACCAGAAACTGAAAAGCCTTCGGCTGGACCTCATGTAATCACAGTGAGAACAGAATGTAACGACGCAACTATGTCTGTCTGGCATGTACGGGCATGTTGCGTCTAGAATGAAAGCACTGGTCTAAGAAACTTTGCAGTTACTTCGATTGGGCAGGTGTTAACCGTCGCTCGTCATTCTTTCGCTTGTTCACGAAATCTGGATAGGTGAGCGTCAACTCTACTCCCCCGCTGAGGACATGGTCGACCGCTTCGACGCCCTGCATGAAACTGCGGCCAAAAGGTCAGTACGATTGCTCAAAGATGCGGGCAGGGAAATCGTAGTACCTATGATCTTGATTTCCAACTTCATACTTCCACGCTCCAAATCGACCACGTGACAGGATGTCTTTATTCTTCAGGTAGGGCAGAATCTCTGCTAATGCCCCATCCCGCTCCACACTTGGCGTCGGGTATCCATGGTCAAAGCGACGAACATATGTGCTCACGATCTCATCCTTGGGCAGCACAAGTTCCGTGGCAATAAGCCCTTTGATGCAGTCATCTAGCAATGTCTTCTGATTCACGGGCTTGTAGGAAGACTCGGACACTTCCAGCATGAGTGACCAATAGGGTCCAGGCTCAGGGCTCGAGGAGGACGGCTTCGTGCCATCAGCCAACTGTTGAGTTGGAAGCTTGACCTCTTTGTTCGGTTGGTTGAAAGGTGAATAGTTGGAGAAGATTGTAGCACGATAAAAGGGGCAGTCATCCTGGACGAAGTATAGCTATGAGGTGTTAGTTGAAGTAATCCTACCTAGTGCTATAATCGTCACTTACCCAGCATTTGTCGCCAATACGCTCGGGACGCTCGCCGCGGATCCCGACGCCGATGACATTGGTGGAGGAATAGAACAAGGGTTTGCACAATTCCTGGAGCTTCACATCACTTGCAAGCTTTGCTAGTTGGTCCACAGCCATTGTGTTAATGAGTTGGTTGTAGCGAATGGTCGTACCTACACAGAATTGTCATTAGTATAGGAGGTATGAGAACTTTCGATAGAGCACTTACCATCCTGGAGATGGACCTTCTTTGCATTTGCGTCAACTTTGACCACGGTGCTATCTCCCCCAAACTTAGTCTTGTCCTTCGGCAGAGTGTCGGCCACTGCCTTCCAGATGCCTCCCGTGCCGCCATGGGCAGGGAAAAGGAATGTAGCATTAGGACCCCAATTTCCCGCTACCTTGTTCAAGATTACGTTGCGCATGAGCAGCTTGACATCGGGAGCTGCAACGCGCTCTCCGAGCCAGGTTGCGTTCATCTATATTTGTCAGATTCAACTCGGGTCGAGGATGGCTTTGGGGACATTCTGATCTAGCCGTGTACGCTACTTACCTTGGTGGTAGGCACAGCCCAGACCTTGAAATTGTATGGCCTCATGAAGATCTCTGTCAGTCGCTCCCCAACGTTGCGAATATTCCACTCATCGAAATCTTTAGGCTTGTCATCCGGGGATCGAACGCGAGCCTCGAGTGAAGCAGTGATTAGGTCCTCCATGCATTTCACCTTTTCCTCGGCTGGCAGGACAGCGATATTGTTTTGAAACGGATACGGAACCCACTGCCCACCGAAGCGTACGTAGGATACACGCTGGTGCTCGAACCAATCTTCGGGCTTCGGAAGAGCTTCGTGAAGGACGTCGTCGAAATAACGGTAATGGGAGAATATGACATGCCCGCCTACGTCGAACAGCTATTCATCATGGCATGAGAACCAGAATCAAAAATGAATTGATCAGGGGAAACAAATACAAGTAACTCACAAAGCCTTCAGGGGTCACATCTGTGGAAGCAAGTCCGCCCGGTATGGCATTGGAATCGACGATAAGCCACGACGCATCGTTCTGAGATAGGTCAGTACTGAAAGTCTCAATGGGTATAAGGTCAATTGTACCAGCTGGTTAAGTCTCTTCGCCGCCCCAAGACCTACGCTCTACTTTAGTCGTTTCTCCAAAGTTTTAACAATTTTGAATTCTATTCACCTGTCGGCCCCGCGCCAATGATGAGAACATCAACACTGCTTAAGAACAGTTCATGTCAGCGCGTTACATGTTTTGTGACCGAAAGCTTGAAGACTTACTGACTGTTTTCACCCATACTCAATTCACTTTGGGCTTGTCGCTGTTGCAGGTCTGTTACTTGGGGCCTCTTTGGGATATTGCGAATACACAATTGTTCAAACAACAAGCGCAGGGGATGTAAGAAATGAATCTGAGTCTTGACTAGTTTGTTCATTCAACAGATGAAGGTTCATTGTTGTTTCTAACAATCTACGTCAATTGGTCCACTCTGCATGTCACGACGAGGTGGGCTTATCACGCCATGCGGAATAAAATGAATATCGTGGCGCAGTGCATAAACCCCTGAATCTTGCTTGTGATGACCCCCAAAACCCCACGTTTCAGCTAGGACTAAAGTTGGGCAATTGCATTGGCAGGGGCTTTTGAGGGTGAATTGGAACTTTTAAGAATTTGTCACAAATAATAAACACCCTTGATGGAGATACAGATCCGTAGACGATATGAAGGCTCCTGACTCTTCCGTATACCACGGCGACAATAAGACGTAGGCATCGCCGTTCGGTAGTAGTTAGGTACGGGCGTCTCCACAACCATCCGACCTCCTAATAATGGGGAAGTGGAAGAAAAAGACGGTGAAGTCAATGGAAGCATCGTTCGATGTCGTTTTTATATAGAGAGTTACTCAAATAGAGACTGGGTCACATTGATAATCTCCAAATGGTCAAAGGGCTAAACGGTAGTTATGTGTGTCCTGGTTGCTTCATCAGCTGAGACGAATGTCAGGTTATCCGCGGTCATCATTTGGCCCCTCAATCAACTTTCCAGATTGGTCTGCCCATTCCCAGTCATTGAATTTCTGCATCAGATATTCGGCTTGGTGGCTCCATTGTAAAGCATCAACCCCCGTTTTTGATCTTCTGTATCGCTGCCACGCGATAAGCTTTGATATAACAGATAATTCTGGGTCGGAAACCTAAATATGATATCATTATTGTCATTAATGACCTACACACGGGCGGGTGATATGTGAAGAATCCAAGTCATTTCGCGTGTGGTGGGCACATATGACCATTTGCTGAGCCCGCAGCGCTTGTTGAGATCCCAGATCAGGGCCTTGAAGTTCTGTTTCTCCATTCCAAGTGCTTGTTGAAAATACGGACGGTTGAGATGGTGTAAAGGTTTCCATCAAGCCTACACAGAGGTATTCTCCATTTCGCAGCGCATGTTCGTCGTACAGTAAACGCCACCATCTTCTACTAAATCTATTAATTTCTAGCAATATACGGATGTAGCCTCGCATATGTTTTTCATGTAGCAAGTTTCAATGAATTGATTGTTGAGTCTCTGGCATTCTGGGCCGCGAGTTCGATGGTGCGGCAGCTCGATTCATTAATGCTTAGCTTTAGTTTGTTAATTCCGTTCTTGTCAAATAGGCACATGTGATAACATCAACCGAGAGGTCCGCACCCATTTTGTCAGTTACAGCGTCGACCATCTTGATGGACTGAACTATAATTTGGAAGACCCCACTAACCCCGAGTTGCTGCTGCTTACCGATTTAATCTACAAATGCTGGAATACAGGTCAAAGGATTCACCAGTGATGTGGGATGGGCCATTTAGAAAGCCGGGAAAGACTTTCATTAAGAGATTTGACAAGAATTCGTTGAAGTCATCAGCTGGTTCCACGATGATATCTGGACCACCGAATGTGTTCCCATTCATTGACGACAAACTGACACCTGCAGGCTGGCCGAAAAACACGTCAATTGCAAAGAATCACACGTGTGGATGAGACTCACTTGACAGAGAGAAGATTGGCCAAATTCTACCAGCTGTGCTTATTGAGATAAGTCCAGTGATTTCCGGTTGTATTCTCGCTTCTTTGGCAAGGGCCCATCTCTGTAAAGAGCCCTATCATTGAAGAACCGCCCGGTCCTCTACGAAACTTAGTTCTACTATTCTTCCTCAAGAAGAAATGATTTTTACATGTTTAGCCATTGAGCAATGAGACCGGTTGCCGGCTTTGAGAGACTGGCAAAACCCCTTTTCAAATAGGTAGCAACGACACGCTAGCTATAGCAAATATCAGCCGTACAGAAAGATAAACTTTCTTTTCTGAAACATCGACCCAGCTGGTCCATTGACGCCCTCTAGTATGCGAGGTATATCATGTTGTTCAATGACATTAATCTCAAGTCTGCAGTCAGTGAGGTCGAACTTAGAGGCATTTGACCTTCATAGTAGTTGAATGGGGTAGTAAGTCCCGCCACCAAGCTGGTAGTTGTGCTGGACTTGATGAGCTTGCTGGTAGCCTTCGACTAAACATTCTTCAATGGTGGTTAGAAGTTCGGAGAATTCTCAAGTTATGCTTCTATTCAGACTCTTTTTCTTTCTTCTTTTCAGTCAAACATTATCTGTCCAACCCTGATACTGCAATGATGTCAACTTCGTGGACCAAGCACCTACACATTCCGTTCAGTAACTTTTTTTACTACAGATTTCGATGCTCAGGACAAGAACATAACGATTATGTGTCCTCTATCTCCTGAAGTTTCTTCACCATCTAAATTTTCTCGCACTAACCGATGGCTTGGCACAAGCACAACATCAAATCCCGAGGGCCAGATTATTGCCTGACGGTATATGAAACCAACATACAGTTTTATGACACCAATCGCGATATACATGTCATTAGGACGTATTTTTTCATGTTTCTTTGCATTAAAAATCGTGGATTAATTATGTATTGTTGAATGTTACCGTAAAGTTCAAAATACTCTTTACCATACCACCATTGATTATAGTATCAGCATTGTACTTTAGTGTTGATTTTGTATCCATTCACTCTGTCGTAGTATTTGAGACGAGTCATACTTCATCCGTGGGGCGACATATATCATCAATCTGTCAAATCGAGAGAGTGAGGGTACGTTTATTATAGCCAATATCAGTATATTAAAATTATCACATCACTTCCATTCCTTCTTTATATCTAAACTAGTTTCAAATGCTGCCAAGTCTAATAGAAAGTCACCGCCAAACAGTTGTTCTTCGACGCCACGTCAGGGACACCCGTGCCCCCAAGGATGTAAACCTTGCCCTGGCCCAGAGTATTGGTAAGATAATCGATAGTAGCCTGGTTGGGCCCGCCATTCCAGTTGCCGACGGTAGTATCTAGAGCAACTTCGCCATTAGGCTTGCGTCGAATGGCAGCCTCCGGGGCGCCTTGGAGTATTTCATTCGAAAATCCGTTAGAAACATTCGATCCATCAGTGGAAGCAATCTCGGCAGCGCAGTCGCAACCTTGTTGGAGACTAATGTCACCATGTGCAGCTTGGTCGTCGTCGGCTCTGATTTGAAATTCGACCCATGTGGCTGGCAGTTCCGTGCCCTTCTGGACACGGCCCTTGAACTGAAGATCAAGGGGAACATGAGTGGAGGCGCCTGGTGCAAGGGTTACGTTCTTGAGTGGGTTGTCAAAGTTCGCACCGGCAGTGCCGTTTCCGTTCCAATAGTTGTCGTAGAAGTAGTAGGTGTGCTCATTGCTCCCCCTATTGGTGAGAACAATACCTGGAGCGTAAGACTGTTCCTCAGGAGCAGAGGCAATGGAAAAGCCACCGGAGGAAGGCTCCTCGACTGACTGGGCCCCGAAGTTCCCCCCTTCAGGAGAAGCATCGCCATCGCTATACGTAATCAGAATATCCTTGCTACCAACACCGGCGGAGCTCTGGGCATTGTCACCAGCGTCGCCTGCGCTGTCGCCCCAAGCACCTACGCCGATATATGTTCTACCCTGCGCAAAAGTTCGGACAAATCTCTCAAGAGCCTGGTTTTCCTTCGGCGCGCCGATTCGCTTTACATTACCGTTGTCATCCAGAAAAACATGACTCTGGATCTGGTTCCGGGTGTCCTGATCCGCTCCATGCCAGGCGTTGTTGCAAGCCTGCATAAAGGTCTCATGACCCTTATACTGCCTAGGATCGTCACCAACCTGCTGGACGGTCATGTTACCGCCGCCACCGCAGATATTGCTAATATCAACGACGTCGTTACCATTCCAACCACACTTGGTAATTTCAGCCTGCTCGGCAACTTGCCCATCGTATACAGCGATGACGGCCCCAGACTGGCCGTCGGGAGCATCAATGCTAACCTCGGTACCGGCATTTACCGTAACATTCTGGTTGTTATTGAAGCCATGAACTTGAAACTCCTGTCAATATGTATTAGTGGTTTCTTTTTCTGCCATAGTTATATGCATGCAGACTGAAAGCCTCAACAGCAGCACCACCGGTGTACTATCTCCAATACCCAATCGTTGATAGTAAGATCTAATGGGGGAGATGTCAACTGACCTGTGAGCGTCCACCTCTGTTACGAATAATGATGCACGGCATTCTGGCGGAGTGGGGGTATGAGCTTTGCGTCGGATTTCGATTTCAATGTCTGTGTTATGATATAGTTCGTAGGTCTGTTGTTAACGGAATACTTGAGTCTAATTGACGAGGAAGAATACATGGTCGCCAAGTGGAAATATATAGTTTCAGAACCGAAAGGATGGACAATTCGACAGGCAAGAAAACACACCAGGTCAATTCACGTGCACGCAATCTTATCCATTTACGGGTTGCACAGCTCAACAAGCTTGTCAGCTGAGAAGAACAAGATGTAAGTCGGCCGGATTACATCTTGTTTGCGCTCCCAAAATGGTCAGTGCAGGATATAGGCGACCTAAACTAGTTGTATGAATTATCTGACACACGATCTTCAAGCTTCCAGCACCCAGCTAAAGATGTACTATAGGTCTTCTTTCAGTGCTCCACAGGCTAGGCATAGGACGAATCTCACGTCCCTGTACAGCCTTCTGCAAGAAATCGAAGCACGTGAATGAAATGGCTGGGCAAGACAGTGCCCTCAGCCTTGCATCGTCTGTCAGCTTACGTTGTAGCCACAATCGCTTTAGGGTGAAATATTCAGTGTCTAGCTTTTCCGGGCTTAGTTTCACATGCATTGCCAATTGTATGAAGCATCGCACGCGGCTCATTCTAAACGACGAAGATGCGTATCAACGATATTGAGTTGGCAGCTGACGGGCGTCTTGAGCAGCCTTTGTAAAAGCTGTACCTGCATCTACGCCCAGAAAAACCATGTGGGCATACGTGGTCTATAGTTCATGTCAGAGACCCCGGATCTTCTCGATGGTAAGCTGACGCAAGCTTTATTGCTCACGTTATCAATGACCCTGATCTTATCATACCACTAGTTTAATTTAGCCAGCAGAGCCCCAAAAGCATGGGTGCATGCAACCTTTCGCATTTTCTTCCTCATTGAATCCATGTAAATTTTCAAATCTGATACTAATGTTACTTGCTTACATACGATCTTTTTCAGATCGTGCGGTGAACATGTGAGCAGTCTTGAGCAGTCTTGGTGAATGAACCCTAGCACCACCGAACACATAAGACGACTCAACCAACATCGTGTCGGTGCAAACTATAAAGACTCTCTCAGTTCACCATGATGATAATAGTTGTAGACAAACAAAAACTAAGGATACTCGATAAACGCAGAAGATCGAGGTTCCCCGTCTAGCTTTTTAATACAGATCCATTCGGAACGTTCCAACATTATTCCCTTGATATCACGACACAATGCCCAGCAAGCGTACACTGCTCTGGGATTATACCCTCACCAGGGACTTCCAAAACACTCCAGCTCTCAGAGATACTGTCGGCACACTATCCGATAATGGACCGCTGACCACAGTCATCAACTGGAACGCGTGGAGGCCATCAGAATTACCCGAGTTCTTCCGATTCCAGCCTATGGTGCGGACTCCGGCCCAGCTAGAGGGTGGAGAGTGGGACTTGATCAACGGTAGCATCAATGCCGAAATTCAGAAGCCCGGAGATGACGAGGTCATTGTTTTCACGTTCAACGAGCCCGAGCGGATCCCTCTAAGCCCAGGCGACGCAGCAGGGCTTTGGCGTGCGAGACTTTTCCCTTTGCGAAACCAGTATGGTTCTCGGCTCAAGCTTGTGTCTCCCTCCTGCGCCTCAGACCCTGCTGGAAATCAATGGCTCGAAGATTTCATGGGGATGCTGGGCGATGACGAGAAGCCAGACTATGTCGGCGCCCACTTTTACACCAGTCAAGACCAGTCCGCTGAAGACGGAATTGCAGCTGCTAAGGACCACTTGGCATTCTTATGCAACAAGTTCGGCAAAGCTCTCATTGTTTCCGAGATTGCTAGCACTAGCCGCGATGGAGGTAATGTGGAAAGGTTCAGTCACGAGATTGTGGACTGGATGGACGCGCAAGGCTGGATCCACGCATACGCTCTTTTCGCCGCTATGCGTGAAATAGCGGATGGATTTGTAAGTCCTGCTGCCCAGTTGATGGACAATGAAGGGCGTTGGACGAGTTTGGGCCGTTGGTGGGCCGGATCATCATAAGTAAATGACGAGACCACGGATAAAATCATGATGAGCTATCGGAGGGACATGTTTGATACGTTAGGCTTCATTTTTCCAATCTAGATTGAAGGTTTTTGATGTCATGGTCATTGTCCTACTGGGCCAGAAGTCTTAGTCTCGGCCGAATGTGGAAGTCTTGGACACACATATATTTATCCTAAGAGGAATCTTAGCAGCGGCTTCACTAGTATGTCGATCATGGTCTTTTGTAACTGGCGGTGTGATCAAATTTGGGTCGTTCTCAAATCTCATAGATCAGCGAGTACCACCGATTATTGTTTGTAAAGGTACACATGCGCACAAAAGATTTTGATTTACTTAATATAAATAAACACCTATGAGGTTTTGGATTAGACATGTGCGTTAAGGATAGAGTTGGTAATCAGCCCTGTAATGATAAGCATGAGTATAAACAACCATAAGAGACTAATCAGAGTGTTCAATATCAATCGTTGATTGTTGTTCATAGAATGACCCCCCGATTTGCCCTGTATCTGTGCATATATGCGATTACTTCTTTCTATCGTTGTTCTCATCTACGAACAAGATTTCACAGAAAACAAACATACCAGCACCCGATTAAATCCCCATTGTCTTCCACATTGTTGATAGTTTACAACATTGCCATAGCGCCAAGGAATCCTGCTACGGCAACGGCACCAGCGGCCAACCCAATCTGCGTTGGTGCACCATTAGAGGAGGAGCCCCCAGTTGACGATCCGGTAGCGCCGGCGCCGCTCGCGCTAGTTCCTGAAGATGAACCCCCTGAAGTGGTGGTGGCATTGCAGCCACTAGCATAGGCTGCCAGACCTGATGTCCTTGATGCTAGGCTCTGTACCGCAGAATCATTGGAGCAGGCTGATACGAGAGAGTTGATCCGGGAGCTTTCGGTGCCAAACCATGATACCAATACATTGTCGTAGGATGAAGCTTCGGATTCAAGGGAGGACGGAAGCGCCGAAATGATTTGGCAAACCCGTGTGGGGCTGACAGCGCCAGTTATAGAAGCGAGGAAGCTGGCGAAGGCCCCAGTACCAGTTGGGATTGAGCTGAGCACTGATGAAGCTGCTGTGTCACAAGCTTGCTGTTGTCGGGGAGTGAGACCGGGTTCAGCATCAATGATAGCTCGTGGTTGCTCCGCAATGACGATTGTTGTGCAGAGGAGGCCGGCAAAGGTGAAAATGATGGTATGGGCGTGCATGTTGGCTTCAGTGTTTATTTGCAGGTGATGGAAAGAAGTATGGAACACGGGAAGCTTCTTAGCATGCAATTTGAATTGAGGGTGGAAGGTCTGGGAAGTCTAGTTGTTAAAGATTTACTTTTTGGCATTGGCAAAGTCTGTGTAGCATCTTGTATTATAAGCAACATTCATATGTCATAAGCTACGCCATGATGATGGAGATTGTATCACTTGCCAAGAAAAAGCTGTGGGTCTGCATGGGGCCAACTCAACCTGGTCACTATCCAGCTAGGCAATGGCCGGCTGGAACCTTCTTTGAGTAACATCCATCGTTAGTTTCAGCGTTTTCCCGGTCAGACAGTTGTTGAAATATGGTATCTAGCTAGTGTGTTTTACCAGAAGCAGCATGGTGAATCACGATTACCATATATGGTAAGTATATGATTAGATTAGTGATCCTGAGAGGTATGTAAGACGTTCCGCTGAACTTTGACATGCGTCCACTTGTCAATACTAGTGAATATTAAGCACCTAACTAATCGCCGATCGTCTAGCCGCGCGACTTCCCCACCCCCAAAAGCTAAATCCATTTCACGTCTGCTCAATTATGTGCACACAAACATCATGCATGAAATTGAAAAGTTCCCATAGTTGTAGAGAAGAGCCTAGACTAGGAGCTTGTTTATGTTTCAGCATACTGGTGAGGAAGAACATGCCTCAAAGACTATTTCTGTTGCCAAAGCCATTAAATGCCGCCTTCATGCCGAATTTTGTGAAGCACTGAACCCATTCAAATAATTATCTTTGGGTACACCTTGTTTATTGAAATGTTGTTCGGTCGTCATTCTTTTGCTCGTATAGCACACAACGGACGTTCCACACAAATAAAACATGGACTGTGCTTACGGTCGATATAGTCTGCTTACGTTTTGGTTTCTCACCGTTACTAATTTCCTTAACGGACCATCATCCTCATGATTCTTTCATTGTCGCTACTGTAAGCAGATATATTATCAGTATTATGCCTAGTCTACGTACATGCTTCGTAGATCCAGCCTGGTATGTTGTTCTTCGCTTAGTGTCGCTGCATGGTCTTGGCCCATACTTGAGAAACGATCTTCGCACCACTCCTCGCATGTGACAATCCCAAACTCGATTGCACAAAGTTTGTGTTAAAATGGTATACAAAAAACACGATTTGATCTGCTCTTTGCAATGTGAGAACGCTTCCGTGCATCATGCATTCGCTCATATAAATAGCTCGCAGTCCCGAGTCGTAAAGTACGGTGAGCGGTCAATATGATTTTAGGGGTAAGCGGCAATTAAGATGGGAAGGGCTGGGGTAACATGGCCTTGGCATATTGTCTAAAGCGCCACCAACCACTGAATAAAATTATCTAATGCAATATTATCATTAACTAACATGCACAGTGATGTAGAATTTGGTTTCGAAGCTGCAAGGACGCTAGCAAGATATATTTTATAATAGTTTAGATGTGACTAAACGAATCCATGTATCTGTAAACCCCTGCAGCAAAATAGATTATAGTGAACCTAGACTTCTCGGACCCACGGTCGAACCACTATAGAGCTCTCTCCTTGATTCCCCCTTTGCTAAAATTGAAACTCAAGTAACCCATTGGAGTATCTTCAACGGACGTAGAAAATCCTTTCGAAAGTGGTTGTTCTTCTCGTCCTTATCATCCTTATATTTCAGTAATCAAGAAGAACACATTTTAGAGTGGCAATGTTTTCAATTGAAAAAAAAAACATTTCAGTCTATTCACTAAATCTTGAAAGTAGAACAACTATCTCGCTTAAGATATCGTTGTCCACGTCGTGGATCAAATAGTTGGCTATTCTTTCCAACTGCCTCATGGCTGTTTGGAGCTTTTCATATCATTTAGAACTCCTTTGTTTGCTTCTCAACAGGTAACGGTACCCATAACGCATTTTCGGATATATCCGTTTTGGAGAGTAGGCCCGAGGAAAGTTACGAATCATGCCCGTTTAAACTGATCTAAATTCATACGTCCGGTGAGGACATCGCTGGTGCCTATCGTTGCTAAACCCCCTTATAAAATATAATTTATCTTTGCCAGGTTGTTTTGAATTCCTGTAGTACTTGACAATGGACTGTCAAAGTATCACAAATACATTGCCGCTTTGTGACTTCAGTCTCATTACGAACTACTTGAACACTATATTTTTCATAGACCTTTAAGGATCGATGGTCCCCTATCATGTTTATGGACCAGAAATTCGACTTTTAATCCAAAGTTTTAGGAGGCTTCTTATTCCTTTGACTGGTGCGAATTAGAAATCGTTTCACGCCGCCTGAATATACAGTGAATTGGAATCCCGTTAATACAAAATTTTAGTAATGAAGCATTTGGGATATGAAATAATCAGTCATGTTCGAGATGTCATTCAAAGCATTTGCGGGCCAAAACGCTGTTGAGAGACGGGGTGCGCATACTTAAACCCAAAGTCACCACCACATGCTGGCGCCAAGCGAACCAGAACAAGCGTCAATGCGCCGATTCTCCTCAGTACAGTAGTCGGCTCTATGGATTAATTATATGATTTCCCTATATAAGGGCGTGTCAGATGAGGCTAATTCTGCGAGCAAATTATTTTGATAGCACGACTCAACCCTGGGACTTTTGTAGATTAGCTCCTAGGTAGCTTCTTCCCGGTTTCTAGCCGTTGCTGTTGAGCAAGTACTGAGTTCTACAGGCTCTACTCCCATCAGTTCCGAAGCAAACTCGGCAAAGATTGCCATATTTAGTGCTGTAGATAATATAGACATACATCCACAGTTTTCAAGACTTTTCTGTTACAATAAAAAACAGTGCCTCATAACGTGCGAGAGTCAGAAGCCGGGGTATCGCAACATAGAGGACTTAGACTAGATGGCGTGGTTGTTGCCTATTTTTACTGGATGTAAGCACAACTCTTCGCTATCTTTTGTCCACCACAGTACTTATGTGTTTTGCCAGAGCGTCAACCAAAGAGTGTAAAATAAAAAGAAAAGAAATAGAGCAGCTCCACTTACATCTTCATCTGCAGGGACATTCTGTTTTGGGCTTCAGTTATGCTTAACAGAGACCACGATGTTTTTCCTGGTGGAATTTCCGCGTTGGCGCCTCAGGCCGAAAGGAAGTCTCCTTGTTCGTAGGCATGATTTCAGTGTAGGCTATGAATGACCTGGTCTGACCCCCAAAAAAACAAGCAGTCAGCAATAGTCCTAAAATTTGACCCTCGGCGTTGCTTGTAAATTGCCCCACTTTGATTACAGGGGCCATTTCCAGAATTGTACAAACCCAAAACACAGTCCTATGTAACTGTGTAAGCGAGCTGCGTGCCTAGTATGCACTCACTCGGATTAGCTGGTTCACTTACTTACAGCCAGGCTCTTCGTTTGGCTGGTTGAACTGACCCTTATTTGATCTCTAGGATGCAACCTGACAAACGTGCATTGTACAACGAGGCTCGCTTTTGCTTAGACTAGCTTTCAGCCACACATACGTAAGCAGAGATATACCTTTTGGCGACGCTGTAAGCAGGAGATAAATATCCTCGACCTTGCCAAAAACAGATTTGGAAGGTTTGAAGGATGGTTAAGGATCGGCCCCATGGCCTCTTAACTGTAATTACAAGGATAATTTGGTCCGAAACAGACCAGATAAAGATCACACACCTAGTATTCTAGGATCAATCCGAAAAGCGGCGTTAACCACGCTTTGTTCAGCTTAGTATATCGTCTTGTACATCCTATGGTGCTATGTTGTCCAATACTAATCATCCTGATTTTTTGCACTTACCAAATGGGTAAGTTAAATAATGTGCATATCTGTCTGAATGCTAGTCAAAGGGTACGGCGAGATTGGCTATGAATCAAACCGCCCATATGGACAATTGCACGATTTTGCAAAAAATTGAAAGACCCATTATAGTACTCACTTGGCCCGGACCTGCATTTTGACTTGATGATATCGCAAACCGAAATCAAGAGGCCAATTTACGGTTCAAGTCCTGTGAAGACAAGGACCAGCGGGCTTCCGGATTTGGCGGACTGCGTCACCGAAAGTTTATGTGCTGTGCCCCAGTCCCCCTGTGTATAGTACGTACCTTTGCTCGCACTGGATTGGCACAAAACAAACTAACCTGGTCATCCGCACGCATCCTTACGCTGTCGAATATAATAGTTAGGTACCGCATGATACTAAATCCTACAGTCTGCTCCTTGTGTTCAACAGTCGTTCTTAGTCAGAATCAAAACAAAAGTTAGAGGATTCCTGCATTGAGTCTATATTCAGAGTCCATAATGTGTAGTTGGTTGTCATAATCGCCGTATACCTAGGGTTCTCTGCCCCAATTTTCGGCCAAATTGAGCCTAGCAGATTGGTCGCTTTACCTGGGGCCAGGCCTAGTCACTCACCAGTCAGTCACGTTCTGCATAGCCTGAGTAGCTGTAGTCAATAGTAACTTGTGACCCTAGTTGATGCTCGCCATGAGGCTATGATAGACTCGACCCACTGGTGGTAATTGGTTGGTAGGAACTGCGGAGAAATGGGTTTTGTCGACCCACTCGTATTGGCTACCAATCATTTGATGCGAATAGACAAAAATATCCCCATTTCAATATTGCGACGCTGACTGTCGAAAAGGTCTCATGCAGCTTACCTTTGTTTCCTGATTGGCCAATACCACGATGTAAGGAACAGTTCAAGTACGTAAAGAAATCTTTTCTAAATTGCAGATAGTCTACAATTGAGTCTCAATGCAATGTCATGTTCAAAACACTTGGCATTTTTACTGCAGTTTATTAAGCAAAGCGCTTGTTTGCTTGTGTATATATATTATCTATAGCTACCGATGTTCCACGAAGTTTGAAAAGATCTTAACATCTATCAAGACTCACAGCATTGCCCTTTTAAACTCATCATTCATCATGGTTTATTTTCCCATCCTAGAGGCAGTCGTGCTGTTTGCCATCAGCTCCCCTGTCGTTGCAACCGCTATTAAAAGGGACTTTGATGATCTGCTTTACCACGTTACCTTCCCTGCCACTCCCGCCGCTGACCTCGTTAAGCCGGACTGGATACCGGTTCCAGCTGATTTTGTCACCTCTGCTAATAAGCGAGAGGCTTACCCGGGTTTCAACACCACCCGCGGCTACCAACCTGGGGTAGAGGAGAGAAATGTTCTCGGTGACGATAACCGATTCCTCTGGGAGGGCACCGACTATCCTTTTAAAACTCAGGGAAGGGTCACTTTTAACTCGAGCCCTACTTCGGGTGTGATTTGCAGCGGCGTCCTGATTGGCCCGCGTCATGTACTGACTGCCCGTCACTGCGTCGGCGATGGAACTTGGACGAACGGTCGCTTCGGTAGGTTTCCTCTTCAATTCCACTGGCCTGCTCTCGCCATCTTTAGGAACTGTCTCCCACCGGAGACCATCCTGGTTGTAATACAAATGGCCCAACGGAAACTGAATTCGTAAGCTGACATCTTATAATTAGCACCAAGCTATGATAACGGTGAACGTTTTGGCTCTGCAGGGGTGACCGGAGTCATAACCGACCCTGATTACAATTATGGTTACCTTAGCCCCTGTTGGATTAAAAACGACTATGCCATTTTGATTTTGGATCGACGCATCGGCGATGAGGTTGGCTACATGTTTCTGTTCGACGTCCCCAATCCGGCCTATTTCAACCAGCCTATTCTTAATTCCTGTGGTTACCCAGGAGACAAGGGTGCTACCCAGTTGTGGTGTCAGTAGTAAGTAGTCCCCTGTCCCTCATGCAATGCATTCTTCTCTATCGCCTATCTCAAAAGCGTAGGCTATCCGTTCAGCCACTATGCCGTAGAGACATGACCTTAGGCCTTTGTTAGATTGCCAAAGTCTATTGGACTGATTACTGATTTATCTTGCTGTAGTGGAAGAACCCCTTGGGGATACGGAGGCTGCGATACCACCGGACCTGTGACCACGGATATTGACGCTATAAGTGGACAGTCGGGTTCGGCGGTATGGCAGCAAAGACCCGATGGGTCCCTTTGGCTTGTAAGTAAAATCACTCAGCTATTTTCCCGCCTACTCCCGGAGCATCCCATCCGGGCAGGATACCGTTCGATGAGAACTCTGATCTCCTTGCCTATGCCATGACCGCTGTGTACCGATTGGACACTGACTCAAGGCGTCTTAGTGGGGAGTTGTGTCTGTAGTCAGCTCTGCCTCGACTGTGATCGCATCGGGTGATGTGATGTTGCTTGGTTTCAAGTTCGCTATCGCCGCGTTTCCATAGGCTGGATTAACTTGCCCCGAATCTTCTTTATGCTTGGCTCAGCTTATAGATCGGACAAAAAGATGGAGTAGACTTCGGCAACGAAATGGAATTATCCTACGGCCTGCGGTTCAACCGTGGAAAATACAGTAAGATTATTCTGGTTAGCGAGAGACTGAGCGGGGAAGTTTTCCCTACTAACCTAGAGTTTTTCTTCCTCCAGCACCATGCGGTGCAACGCCGTACTAGTGAAATTACAAGCGAAGGAAAATGATCACCTATTTAGCGTAAATAGTTAATTATATACTTCATATAACTAAACTGTCACATAATTGTTCGTAAGATTTAATGTCACCCCTAACAACTACAACAAGAGCAAAGCTTTATAAGCAAATGATGCTATAGCTATGACGAGCTCATAATGAAAGCTTTCAAACTCTTATACGTTACTGAAGGGTGGCGTAAAGAAAACATTTATGCAGTCAATTAGCTCAATCTATCGATGATTTGAGTACAGCATTACCAAGAAGAAAAAACTCGTAGTACGGGCGGGACTTAAACTCTCGATTAAGCTTAGATAAATTTGTTCCTCCTATGTCATAATATATGCGAACAAGTGAGATAATTTTCACACTTCGGAATATACCTCATTGTCTTGTTCAGTGCCTTCCATTCAAGGATAGTGAAAGGTTATATTAAGTTGTTGCTGAATCTACTTATTCGCCGCATTCAGCACCTTCTGAGCACCCTTGCGGTCCTTGTAACCTGGGCTAGCAATAGAAGGCTCGCCGCGCCCGACGAGCAATTCTTTTCAAATGCCGTCCTCAGGACCATGGTAAGCCTCACACCCGGTGTCATATTATTCGACGCACCTAAGGTCGCCGCATTACTGTTGCTCACGCGTATCATGAACCCTAGTTGTCGACATTGCTTAAGTTGCTGTGGTAACCATCTATAACGCAACGCGAGTATCCACGCTTGCGAGCGTTGAACTTACTTTGGAGTGGGAAGCATGTAAGAGGGAGAGTGCGCTGACAGAATAGACGGCGCCTGAGACCTCATGAGTTGCTTGACAGAATATCAAACCTGGCAATGCGAATAATAGAGAAGGGCTAACGATTATAGTTGGTTTGCATTATGTACAAGAACTATAGAAAGTGATTTAATATGAGACTTTACGGTAAGATCCAAGTGACCACACTTTGAGCGTAGATGTTGCCACTCCATGTCTGTCCACTCTGTGTGGTCAGTGTGAGGTAGACATCGTTGGAAAATGTGTTTTCAATGACAACAGTTCTTGTACCGTCAGGGTTGAGCGAAGCCACTGACTGAATACCGTTGCCACCGTCGTATGTGTAACTTCCAGAACCGCTAAGGATAGTGGCGCCCTGAGGGATGAATTTGGAATACTGAGCCATCATGTAGTAGTCAACCTGAAACTCGTACGTCTTGGTGTCAGTGTTGACGACGACCAATCCACGGCAGGTGTCACAGCCTCCGGTTGAAAGATGAGGTCCGTCATTCTGATCAGTAGCAAGAGTCCAAGCCAATGCACCTTGAGCCCAGTTCTGCAGGGGTCCAAGAGTGAAGCTCGAGGCATCGTTCCAGCCGGTGCCAGAAGAAGACGTCCAGCACTCGGTCATAACTTGATTGACGTTCGGGTTGGAGTTGTGGAAATCTGTGAGCACAGACCATTGGTTGTTGGAGGCATAGCACTAAGTATCAGTTAGAAGGGGCATTTGGAAGTGCTATTAAGGGAACACGTATTCGACAATCACAAGGGCGAAATTTATGGTCTTTACTTACGTGCCATGCAACAGTGTTGACATACTCAGAAGCCAGGTCAATGACCGTCTGAGGATAACTAGGGACATCGGTGTTGTGGTCGTATGCCCAAACTTCTGTATTCAAGCCAGCATTTCTCAGGGCGGGGCCGACATTGTCCCGGATGAGTGCGCCAGACTCGTCGGCGTAGACATACATGGTAGGGTACGTGGCTTGGCTGTTCAAGGGTTCATTCTGAATGGTAATGGCATCAACGTTGGCGCCTTTGTCTGCATATGCCTGAATATACTTGACGAAGTATTGTGCGTATGCGTCGACGTAGTCATGGTTCAAATTGTTCTATGTACCGTTAATAAGTCGTCACATTTCGCTCAACAGTTGGCAATCTCACATTGACAGTCGTGCCGGATAAGGCATTATCAAGCTGCATCCACGCAGGCGGGGCCCAGACAGAACCCAGCAACTTGGTGTTGGAGTTTAATGCCTTCATCTCAGCCAACAATTCGGCCATGGCATTTCCACGGTCACCTAAGTAAAAGTTGCTGAGGCTAGTATCCACGTTCCCGCTCGCATCATCGTACGTGTATGCAGGGTCGTCGGATAGATCCGAGGATGCGACAGTATGGCGCAGCAGGCTAAAGTCAGCCCCTACTCCAGTCATCAACTCGTTTAGAAGTTGAGTGCGGAGGTTGGCAGGGAGCTGGTTGATGACATCGACGGTGGCATCTGTCACTGCGGCACCGAAGCCTGTGACCTTTTGCTTGTAGCCGGAAGCCGTGTCATCAATCTTGAGCGACCAAGTAGATGCAGAGCCAGGCGAACCCGCTCCGGAAACAGGCGCATCCCATGGGCTCAGATTATACTTCCGGTCGGAGGATGAGACGTATGCACTTGGCGAAGCGCGGCTTTTTAGGACAGAGGCAGAGACGACAGTCTGGCTGCTGGCCAGAAGTGCAAGGGTTGAAAACTTCATCCTGACAAAATGGGAGACACAAAGGTGGCTTGGCTTGGAGGAACGAGTTTACAATTCCTAGCAGGATGCAGGGCGGCAATCTTCTTTTCTAGTCCATGATTGTCATCAGGACGCTGACAGTTGCACGGAGAGAACGGCTTAGTTCGACGGCCTAGCAAAAAAGGCATTCGCACGTTAATCCCACATGTGCCCACAATCTCCGGAAGGCCAAGCATTTCCAGGGAAGGGCCGAGAAGCCAGACTTGATCTTGGGTCAAGGTTGGGGTTTAGATTTGTCTGCAGCCAACCCTGGCGTGCAGTACCCCTGGTGGAATGGGGAATGGGCGCATTCTCGCAGCAGCTCTGAGTGCAGATTTCTTGATGATGTCAGGCTTGGACGAGATCAGCATGGGGAATTAAGGATATAGTTAGTCTATTCCCTTAGGCGGGTCATGCTGCTAAATTTAGCGAGGCTAGAGCAGGCCAACATTCTGTGCTAACTTAGACTAGTCTAGGCTAGGGGTTTGTTTTGGGGTACTTACGGGACCATACTCAAGGTCGTAATAACTGCAAATGGTTGCCTTTGACATTTATCAATTTCACTACTCTATCAGTCACGCACGGCGACTGCATGTCATCGTGTGCGACATCGAGATGGTTAAGCTGAGGAGCTGGAGTCAGCTGTAACATGTCTTGTTGTGCGGGATGTGATGAGGCTGCAATGCAATGCGAGTACCCAGCACGCCAGCAGGCCTAGTCAAGGCCCGAAGGATCACACCACTAATGCAATGAAACGTCGATGCGCGGACCCCGTTCTCGCCATACATGAAAAGCTTTCAGCCGAGACAGCATCACGTAAATATCCATAAGTCCGTCAGAAGTGGACAAAGCGGGACAATGAAGCTTCGAACTTGAGTGCAAGTGTATTTAACCTCGAAATTTGTGCATCCTACTTTACGTTGTCGAGGCTGTTACTCGTGGGAACCCAGCCGCCAGTGATAATATATTCCTCCCACCGTTGTGTAGACGTCTTCGTTCTTTTTAACATATGAGAATGTATACATTCTGAAATCGCCGTATCAAACTAAACCATCCGTACAAGTTCTAGCCTATCCCAACAGTTGAATCCTGCTCGTATACCGCACACAGTCCCAATTTATCGATTGTTTTCGTCCCTGTTCTGCATAAACCTAGCTTTAGGCAGTTGACTATGCTGCTCTGTGATTTTCTGGATTCGGACAGGAAGAAACGCCATGGATGTGATACATAAACCTACTCAGCGCAAAGCTTCATGCACACGAAACATGTAGATCCTAGATAATTTGCTACTTGTGCCTCGGGCATCGTGATTGCTATCAGTGGTTAATGTTTCAGAACCAACGCGTGGTTGCATTCCACATTCAGGTACATAGGGCACCGTCATAATTCGAGGGACACTTTTCGGTAATCAGCCACTCTGGTTACTTCGGGGCCGACATGCTGACCTCCTCGCCACACAGTAACGATCGTCGACAGTAATGGGATTAACAGTCTTCTCATATCAAAATCAAAATCAAAATATCCTATTTGTGCATTGGTGGTTCATTGTACTGAGAAAGTCGGAAGAGCATGGCTGTTAGGTTGTCTTTATCCAGTTTAACGGGTGGCTTCTTACGTGCTTCACTTTCCCTCAGTGGTAACTTCAGCTACGAGTACTTTGATCTGAGCGCTTCCCGCTGCGCAACGTCTTTATGCACCATCCCCGCACCAAATCAATGTGTCCGATAACATTATCTTAACATAAGTACCTGCTTCCACAATTGTTGTTTTTGAAAGAAGTCAAGATAACAGATCACTCAAATTTAGCTACCCATCACCGTCAAAGTATGCACATATCGAATCTTCCCTCCCTCGACGCGGAATTCATGACTGTCGGGAAGGCTGTTCGCAAACGTCATGAACAGATCAACACTGCCCGTTGCCTCGTCAATAACGTAGCGACGGTTTGTATTGTTGACACCAGTGGGAATGCCGACATCGCATCTGTCGCTCGGTGAACCATTGCCAGTGTATGATCCGCCTTCAAGCCGCGCACATGGTTGTCCCCATGGAACGACAACGCTCTTGTTGTTGAAGATGTCGGCATAGGCGTCCGCGGCGGCTCGAATGACTTGACGACTATCTCTCTTCTCTATCGGTATCTCGTCCCAATGTTCCTGAGATGCCCAGTGCAGAGTCCCGGTCACGTTGAACAACCAATCCCCCTTGTCCGTGACGAGAGTGTCGATGTGGCTTACGGCGCCGTCAACGACACGTATCTGTGTTCCTGTCACCGAGGGATGGTTTGAGTCAGTAATGATGAGCTCAGTGTAGCTTAAGCACTCCGTCTTGTCATAGATACTGTGGTTGTGATCAACCTTCAGTGCTTGTGACACGATTCCTTTGGTGAAGTCTGCGGTCTTGAAATTCTCTGTATACTCGGTAGAACTGCCGGAAGTAATGAAGTTCGATGGTTTCCCTGCAACCTGAGCCCCGATGTAGGCGTCGGTGGCATTTTGCAGAAAAGACAAATCACAAGTGGTCTGTATAGGCGCTGGAACAGCCAGTGCACTAGCTGCAAATCCCACCGAAGCGGTCAGTTTTCGCATCATCTTATCGGTGTGTGTTGATGAAGGTAATGTTTCTGCCACGGACAAAACTTCAGCTATGTCATTAGATTTATGCTCCTTTTCAGGTCTAATCAAGCTTCTTTCACAAGACCAAACCAAATGCCGAACGAAGTCATTTAGCCAATATCCGATCAGGTGCTGCCGATTGGCCCCGCTCCCAAACCCCTATATTCAGGATATATGGATATTCTCCACTGCAGATCACCTACGTCAATCGTCTGGAATTCATTATACTTCTGCTCAACAGACTGGGGGTCAATCATCCGCAATGCATTTCTCTCGGCACTGATGGATTGGCTTTTAGATCGTGTATCATACCCTGCGCTCCAGTATTTGGTCGTAGCATTGAAGGTCCGTGTAACCAGTTCATTAAACAAGCCACAATTCGGCATTTTGCACACAGTCTATTTTGTTTACAACTGTGTAGCCAGGCTATTTTCTTTTCAACAACTGAACTTGGACACATCCTGACATGATTACATGAACAAGATGACGGAAGTTGAACGTATATTCAATGAATGATTCTATGTGATATGGACCATCACTCGCTGTTGAGGCGGAACATTCGATGGGAAGTCATCTGTAGGCATCCCATGAGGTGATAGAGGTGGGTGTCTATCATCTAGGTTGGCCCAAGTCTTCCTCACTCACTTGCCCTGCGGGAGTGCCGTTACTCTCTGTGAGTATGGGGACAATGCCTGCCCTCCTGGGCCGTCCTCTCCGCTCCCGCCTACTAAGGAAAACGATGCCGAATGTTACAACCACCTGAAGTAAGCTCAATGCAAGATTTGCCTTGAAACCTGCGACCCATCTCGGCGCGCCCGTAGCTGGATACATCACAACTTGAACACCAGCCGTAATAGCCTGCCCAATTGAATTCATGCTGGCAGTAACAACGGCCCGTTCTTCGGCATCATTCGCCATTATAACAGATGCCCAACTCATCGACATAGGCGACAACGCTAGAAATCAGATTTCAGCACTGGGGAAGTAGGAATGTAGTCTCTAGACTAGTTGGAAACTCACGACCAATAAAGCCCCCTAGCATGAATGCTGCCAAACGCGCATGCTCGCCGATATTCCATGCCACGAGCATTGCCATGCCAATCACCACAGGGACCATTGTCGCAACTATTGGCATCCAAAAGTTGCGTAGCTTATCCGCCGCAACACCAGCGGTTATGGCTGCCACGACAGATATTGCTGTGGCGATCGTGGGCAGAGTATTTACCTGCACGACAGAATATAACTTGGGACTATACGCTTTTAAGTACAACGAAAACGGTGTGCTACTCGTCTGAAAGTTGAGATCCATCAGTGTCCACTGGAGAACAAAAACATAGAAGTGCCAGCGACCAAATACGCGTTTGAAGATACTTCGCGATAGTTTTAGCTCCGGTGGAGCGGTGAATCCCGCCAGTCGCTTTTGTGCAAGTGCTTGCTCCTCGGACGACAAAAACCACGGCTTTTTCCTAGATGGTACGTCTGGAAACACGAGGTACCCGCTATGGTTTCAACTGTCAGCTCGGTTCGGAGGGAGGAGATGTTGGGGTCAGATCTCTCATACGCACAGGAACGAGATACCAAGCGTAATGATAGCATCGATTATGAACAACCATCTGCCTCATGATGTCAGTAACGTTCGGACGTCGTGAGCCTGGACTTCTCACCTCCATCCAGACAAACCGTTCACGCCATTCAGATGCGTATAGGCCGCGGCTTGAAGGTAGCCAGCAAACATGGTACCTAAGGGACTTGATACGAAGAATATTGCAACTCTTCTTGCAATCTCATGGGGCTTGTACCATGACCCTATGATATATATGGTGCCAGTGAATGAGGCGCACTCGAACAGCCCGACCAAGAAGCGCAATGCGTAGAGAGTATTGACGTTCTTCGCCCACGATAATCCGAAAGTTGCTAGACCCCATCCAAGCTCCAGTGTGGGAAGGACGAGATTCGCCGGGTATCGGGTGATGAAGTAGCATGCAGGTATCATTGCCGTACAGTATGATGCCCAAAATGTGGCAGTAAGGTAGTTGAGCTCGTTGCCATAGAGACCGATCTCCTCTTTCATGCCGCTATTGTAGTGAGCTTGGATCCGATATCTTCGGATCGGTGTATTTCTTCTTACCTCACGTAGGCGTTGGTGATAGATTGCTGATCCAGATATTTGGTGAAAAACGATAAGCACCCAAAGATGAGAATACTGAGATCCAGCTTGAGCACAAGAAGCTTCTCAGCGCTCTGCATCCCCTTATGATACCATCCTATGAACGACAAAAATTTGATCCACAGATTTTCTTTGGTGTCTCCTGGCGTTGACTCATGAATGGGAGGCGCTGGAGTCATCGCTGGGTCAAACCCCACGATTGAAACTCCCTTTTCGGCGTCCATTCTCTTAAATGCTTCCAATGCAGCGTATGATTGTAACTTATTCCTGACCAAGTGCCATTTGACTTGTAAATGTATGGAATGCGAGGTAGAGCTCTTCGCAATATTTAACTGAGAAGTTTGCAAACTTTCATTATCCCCTCCACTATAGAAGATGTCGTGATCATGTGGGTAGGTCGCGTTTTGGACAGTATTATCGCTGAGGTTCTAGCTTGGACTGCTAACTTGTTGTTGCCGTTATGCATTGACCCACAAATTCTTGAAATGGTCGTGATATCGGTGGTTGATGACAATGGCGCCATCGATACCCGGGATGGCGACGCCTGCCGAAGGCTTCAATGCGACGTTACCCAGTGTTCCACATCAATTATTAGCAACGTATCTATCTTATCCGTTGTGACAAATTCTAAACCGTTATGACGACGGTTGAAGCACCGCGGGCGACGCATCAAATGGAACTGGTATATTATGAACGCATTCTTTCGAGCATTGACATGAACCTTTTTTGGTCACCCCCCTGTTTCCTGTCAACAATCATGATATTCGATATTACCGTTCATTATCAAGGCAAATGTGAAAGGTTCACGGCCTTCCCAATTATACATACTTGATGAAGTATATTTATTTTCATCATTTCTTACAGTTTGATGCCTTCATTCAAACCGAAGACGAAATTATATAAAATATACATATAAATTCCAAAACTCATGTATTCTTTCATTTCTACTAGGTAGCTACCTTATTCATAACTTGTGGCTGCCCAAGGTACCTAAAAATATACGTATAAATAAACATGTGTTTATATGTACCTTCCTCTCTCCGAGTGAATTGGTAGCATTTATAGCTCCGTTGCTCAACAATACCGCGAACCCATTTTGCATCCAAGATACACTAGAGCAAGCTAGTCGAATGTTAATATGTAGTGGGATTACTGTGAAAACAAGGCTCGAACGCGCCGGCGATTATGGCAATACCGACCTCAGGGGAGCCTTTCGTTGAGCCAGTCTCATTATGCAGCTTTAAACTTTTACCTAGTAGTCAAAGAGCACCTTAGGTAATGCCGTATGCACCGGGACACGCAAGCTAATCGATTCCATATACAATAGGTAACTAAGCGTTGCACGACCCCACACGCAACAGATTGGCTGGTTACAACGGACGTCCTTGTAGTATAGCTGGCAGCACCGAAAGGACATACTTCCATTCACGTTCGAGGACACTATCCCGCGATAGTGGATAGTCCGAGGTTATGCAATTGGAAACGCTATAGCGAGCAACCAACAGTTGAAGCAACGGTGTTTTTGCTCGCAAGCCGGGATTCTAATTCGTTGCGGTAAGGGGGCCACCGTGGCAACAGCCTACGGCTGCGTATTGATTTAAACTTGGGGTTTATAATGAAATACTTCATGCTATGAAGTACCTTTTACGTATTTTCCAATAAAAATAAAACTTGCATGATTTTACCATTTCTCTTAGGCTTACGCTAAAAAATTGCATATGATACCGCTTGCTGTGATCGTAAAGCTGTCGATTAGTAGAAGTCTCAATCATTTTCGCGATCCTTTCTCTGCTGCCAACCATTACCAGTGCATTGGAACTTTCTAGTATTTGCTAATGATTAGCCGCGGAGAAATGCGACGTTAGTGTGGCTCCTCGTTGGTCAGTGGAGAGAATGCGATGCACATATAGCAATTTCCTTTTCCTTCCCTTTTCTCTGAGGATCTCGACCTATTATATTTGCTATCTAAGATCTCATGCACCTTTCTTCTTTAGGCAGACTCTGAGCCCCTGGCTTTACGGTTGTTCTAACGAACGTCCGTTTTTAATTATCTAGATCCCCGGGGGCCGATATTAAAGCAGCGTTGGTTCTGATGAAGACGACGATAAATAAGGGGAAACGGAAACCATGGTTGATCACCTGATTAGTGCTAATTGTAGTTCTGGTGTGGTGCAACGTTTTCAGTTTGTGTACTGCCAGTTTTGGTATGAGTGACACAACAGAGCTTCAGGGGGTAAATGCCTTCCGGAAAACTGATTTCATGAACTTGCGTGATGTGGGAGCCACCTGTCAGGGCCTGCAATATCATAAAGCTGCGGCAGATGAGAGGGCTGTGGTTTTAAAAATGGGATCATCGCCAGTATTTCCTTTTTGACAACATCGAATGAAATACTAACTAGTCCTACATATAAGGATAAACCATGTATGGAAGCATGATGACTTATCTCTAATTCTATGGTCAGACATTGCGCATCGCAAACCGCTGGTGGAGTGTGCAAAGGTCATGGTATCTGATACAAATAGTCGAAAGGAAATTCCGACGCTATTTTGAAACACCGCAGATCATTCACCTCAATCAACAGTGCTTTTGCACTGTTGATTGGAAATATTGGTGGAATATTGGCTTGGAACAGTGAAATGGGGTTTGTTGATTGCAGCATTTGAAAATTATCGAGTTAGTCACATGTGATTGTCCACAATATCACCACGAATCCAAGTTGACTGCGCCATCATGCCGGCGTCCACAAGGCAAGATATTGAGTTTAGTGTTTGTTGAGAAGTATGGAAATCTTGCCGAGCTGCAAGCAGGTTGTTAACTACGTGGAACGTGGACATGAGAGGTAACCGGCTAATGAGCGGGACCATGAACACTGGTTTTGAGACAACCTGTCCAATATCTCTCAAAAGTTCAATAATTCATGGTTCGCGAGGAAATCTTACCATTTCGTGCTTGCCCCACTGCTAAACGCCGGCCGATAATAAGTCGGCACATGTTCCCATCAATTGGTACAGCTAGATTGATGAGTTTTACGAATAGTAACTTTAAATATACTAGAAATCTTGAACTGTTTGCGGAAGTCGAAAATTTCCAGCCGGTATTTAGCCATGCTCGAAATGCTCGGGTTGAAGTCGCTGGCCAAGCATGCACAACGTCGGGAACTCTACATTTAGTCTAGACCGCGTTAGAAAGTGACCAGGCCTCTGACGACAGCACACACGCGCTCGTTTCGCAGATTGATGGGTCGAACACGTCAATAAGCCGTACCCAGATGGATGGTTAAGGATCGTACAGTGTGTACAGGCAACTTTAGGCGGCCCGGTGCGGACTGTAATGCTCCGACCGGGTCATACGGCAATTCGCAGTAAAGCATCGGAGAATGGAAAAGGCCCGGAAGTGGGCACAGATTTTGCTCTGCCTTGTGGGAAGCCATGGGGAGCTAACGCAGGACACGTAGTGTCTTTGAAGCAGAGGACTCATCAGTTAGCGCGGAAGAATCAGATACTATTGGCTGAAGTTCTGGAATCGTATAAGCGTGGGGCTTTGGATGAGAGAGATGAAGGCTCTGACAAAGAAGCTGAGTTCACTAAAGTTCGACGGGCGATTGAGATCTTGACGGTGCGCCGGAGCAGGTTAGCGTGAAAGGCTAGAGGTGGATACAAGGCGACTACCGGCACTACCAGCACTCAGCCCCAATACCAAATGGATTGAAGAACATGTCCACCTCTCAGCTCCATCATTCAGCTCCCGTGTGGAGGAGAATAAAAGCTATGGTAACATGTATGAACGGCGTTCGACATAAATCTGAAGATAGGTAGGTCTTGTATATTTCAGGGTGTATTTCAAAGTTCCAAAACGGAAAAGTGATCAAGAGGAAATTCATGTACGGTCTGATCTGGTCATTACTTAAAATTCAGAACATGAGCAGTATCACGATACAACATGATGAGATTATTTACAGTATCAAAATTAACATTTCATAAAAAACTAAGTAGAAATGCTTTGCATAGCTCATCTTTACATAGTAAAGCGCATCCAGAATAGGTTGTATGAGTTGGTGCTACCGGACATGTTTATACACTTACGCAAGAATCAGTTACCAATCTGCCCTTTCTAAGGCGACACGTCAGCACCGCACGTTCTTCTGGGTCTACCTGCAGCGGAAGTCAATACTACAATACCGGAAACAGGAGGACATCCTCTGTGCTCCACAGGGAAATAGTGGAGGTGAGCTGCAGACCCGACAAGTCAGAGGTCCCGAGCCTCATTTGTGCCTTTCTCATTCTCATGTTATGTTGGGAGAGGTGGTGGAAATGAAGCTTAGGATGAGAAGTCCATCAATATAAAAGGACCGCAGAAGACCTGAATATCATACCGTCTTCACTCATCAAACAATTCACTCTCATTCGAAACATTCACTTACAAATCCAATCTTCAACTTCCAACACCCGTTCATTCACGTCCACCATACAACATCTTTTTTTAACAACTAAGTTACCCGTATCTCTGGAATTGAACTTCAAAATGCAGTTCACCCTGTCTACCATTGCCCTCGTTGCCTCTTTGATGTCCTCCCAGGCCGCAGCTAAGCCTGTTTTCTTCGCTCGCGATCAGACTTGTGGCACTACCCCTACTGGTACTGGCTCTGCTCAACCTCTCTCTAGCCCACAGGCTTCCACAGCTGAGAATTGTAAGGAGGCATGTGAGGAAGCCAAAAACTGCCAGAGCTTTGCTTTCGGCCTGCCGGCTAACACTAAAGCTCCCATCTGCAAGCTTTACTCGGTTTCTGCTGCCCAGGTTCCTTCTCAAGACACCAACGTGGTCGTCTTCGACTTGACCTGCAACAACGTTCCCACGCAAGCTCCAACATCTGGCAACCCGGTCGGTCTCCTCAGATTGAGACGTTCTCAGACTTGCGGTGTCACACCTTCTTACTCAGGCTCTACAACTGCATTGTCTACCCCTAGCGCCTCTACTGCTGAGGATTGCCAATCCGCTGGTGAAGCCGTGAGCTCATGCCAGAGTTTTGCATTCGGTCTTCCTAAAGACGCTAGCTATCCCATCTGCCGACTCTTCTCCGTGGGTGCTTCTCAGGTTCCTGCCCAGGAGAGTCTTATTGAAGTCTTTGACATTGGCTGCTCTGATGTCCCCAACACTGAGCCAACCCAGTCGAACCCTGTCGGCCTAGTCGACGAGAGTGCCACCACCTCGACTCAGAAGTCCTCCACCAATGTTGCCACTACCACCAACAACAAGGAGACCTCCAGTACCCAGAACACCGCTAGCAATGATAACAGCAACATGTGCGGTGCCATTCCCAGCGGCACCACTAGTAACTCGGTCTCGCCTCTTCAAACAAACACTGCGATCACTTCCGCCGATGCTTGCCTGACTCTCTGCCAGGCTACTTCCGGTTGCAAGGCGGTCGAATTCGGCAAGACTTCTGCCAACGGTGCCAATCAATGCCTTCTCTTTAGTGTCGCTGCTTCTGAGCTCCCTACCCCCACCAGTGGCCAGTCGCTCGTTGTCTACGACGCTGCCTGCTAAACGCATATATGAATCACCAATCGGCTTCAGTTACTCGACAGATCAATGAATGACCTATCTAACACTATTTGGAAAGGTCTCGGTAGAAAGGAGCTCTCACGATTGCCATCATTGCAAACATTTTCTGAGACCTGAGAAGGAGACAATGGCGGGTGAGGCAACGCCCACAAACTGTACCACACATTTTCTTTTTGTATCTTGAATTCTGTCTTTCTTAAATCAAAGAAAACCCCATTATAGACTTATACATTTTCTTTAGTTTTGTAGAGTAAAAATACCATTGCGCAATGGATAAAGCAGTTCTTGCATGCAAATGTGGAGTGATAAGTCATTCACGCCTAATCGACGGGATTTCACTTCAAGATGTGTTTAGGCAGCATGGACTTGTTAATCACTATATCGCGATTGAAAATAGTGCTCTTTATCAAAGCGCAGACAACTGATAAGCTTGCAAAGTTTCGAATTTGTAGAAGGCTTTGTGAAATTCACAATTCAAGTGGCTCCAGCCAGAGTTTTAACGTGATAGCCTTTGCCTCCAGACGAAACAATCATGACCTTCAACCTTTGATCACAGAACAAAGTGATGCCATACAGGTGGGCATGAAAGAAGCTCTGTCATGCGTCTCGTAGCATTTCAATATACATACAGGTGCCATCGCATCGTCCAAGTTTATTAAAATCGAAGATTGACTTATGATATATCTCCATACAATCGAGGCTGTGTCAATTGCTTGTAAACAGGTGAAGCTTTTACATATTAAACACTCACTGTCGCTTGTTTTTCTTCAGACTGAATCGCCTGCCCGCAAAGCTGTTTCGGCGCAACTTCATTGCAAGTCGGATCAATTCATTCGAGTGTCGACAGAGCAGTCTATGAGCACTCTCATAGCAAGGTGATTGCGCAACAAACTTTGCCTACCCAATCTTCATTTATTACCTTCGGCCGAACTGTCTAGTAGCAAGCCTTTAAATACTTATAATATCAAGATTCTTTATATCTTCGATCATTATACTTATCACATCCACGAACACGACTACTCTTCTTACCATGGCGGTAAGTAAAAAGAGCAAAAACTGCCGCCACCATCGGCCCCTTTCTCAAAAGCCAGCCGCCATCAAGCTTCGGGAAATCCGCAAGAACCGCAACTCGAACGAGCGCTTGATCGAGAAAATTAACAGTCAGCGCCGCAGTGCCGTTCGTCGAGCCCGAGCCATGTTGGACAGATCGGCATGGTCGTTTCTTGGCCTCACTAAGCGCAAACATATCTGGGAGGCTGTAGAGGCGCTTCTTCGGACCACATAGTAAGTTCTCTCCCCGTCTGATATTTGAAAACTTGGAAGTTAATGGTATCATATCCTCAGCGACTCTGCCGTCAGAAATGGAAACGATGCACTCTCGACATCCGGCGAGGTTCAGAAGGCAGTTGCGAAGGCATTCGAGGAGCATGCACGGCTTTTTGTTTTACTTGGAGAGGATGATCCACTTCCCTTTGAACTTTTTGATTGTTCTTGAACGAAATGCTCCAAATCAAGTTCGAAAAACATGGCAGGCGCATGATAGCAAACCGGCATTGCTAGTTCTGGGGACTATGGCCTTGCCTCATGGTTTGTTTGCAGAATAATTCGTCCAGGACAGAGACGTATCATCTGAGACTAGATTGCACACCGATTCCTAAGGCCAATCTAATCGCATCATCCCTCCTTGCGCATGAGGAAGGCACCAACGGATAAATTGATGACGCTGGATATCATGCATTTAGACCACGAACATCGACCATCAGCAACGGCGGTCATGCATATTGGTCTGTTGTGGGCACGACAAACCCTGGTGGCAGTGTTTCTAGTACAGTTTACCTTCCTACTCATGTTGTTGCAAACAAACGTAAAAGGCACAACTCTTTGTCCGTAATTCCTAAAATGAGCTCAATTTCGTGGCATTCTAAACCCACCAGCTCAGTTTATCATCTAACTCGATATCCTCATCTAGATCAATAGTGTTGGTGTCAAAGTATGGAGGTATTTTAAGATCACAGCTGTGATATGTGAATAGAAATATGAAGGCAGCATACTCAGTATTTCTCACAAGTCTCTTCAAACGCCTCATTGATTGATCGGTGCCATCATTGAGGGCGCACGCCTTGTGTTGCCTGATCTCATCCATTTTGCAGATCGAGAAACTCTTCGAGAAAAGCTGTTTGAGGAGAATATCGGATGCTTTCCAAAGTCCGTAGTGCTCAAAATCAGCGATGGTGAGTTAATTTGAGTCCGTGACTGCGCAAGGATCAACCCCCAGCTCTATCTAGAAATTGTTTTGCAAGTTGTCCTAGGAAGCTTACTAGCAGACCTTCTGCCGGCGACAATATAGGGGCTGTAAATCCAGACATATGGCAATCGCGGAAATAAACGATAAAAATGGTTCTCCCATCATTACCATCTACTCAGACACGCCTATGAGCAACCGTTACGGCCACGAGACTTGGAGGCAACGTGCCTGCGTATGTGCTTAAGATTGGTATTTTCATCCTTGAACACAAGGCAGAAGACATCTTAGGCTACGGAAGAGCTCTGGGTGTTACCCAATAGATTCGAAAAGTTTATTCAATGCCACAAAATTTGAGACATTATCTCCCATCTCTTGGCACAGACGTACGTGAAATCCGTGTGGAATTGCGGTGCTGAGTCCTATTCGGCTAGACCCCTAGGGTCATGCTGCGTTAGCAATGGATCCATGTGCCTACAACGTATAACGGAGCTAACATTGGAAATCATCTCGGTCTGGTTAATATGGTGTATGAAATTCATGTTCGTGCAAGACTTGATAAGTGATCTGAAAGAGGAACACGTAATGCACGCAATGAGTTCTGAGCTTGACTTTCGTGAAAATCAAACAGGAAGCCTAGGACGAGTGTTTTTACAAACTGTAGAGAGTGATTCCAACATAGAATCTCAGATCTACATGTCAAAGGTAAGGAAGATAAGATTAACAGTCGACTGGTTATAAAGATTGTCTGATCAGTTGCCTTACCTTTTAGTTTGCATTGTACAGTTGACTGTTGTTCGAGCATTGAGCTCATAGAGATAAATGTGGTACAACACTGCCATTGCAACGCTGGAATGTGCAGCTTCATGTTATAAACACCAGCGAGCTACAGCGGATGGGTATGTGGGGCCCTTCGCTGTTGATGAGCGAATTACCCAATCCGGCGATCAAGCGAGTTGCTATTGGTTGGCCGTAGACGTAGCAAACAATCAACTATATTTTAACAGCAACACGATGCGGCAATAGCCAAGGTGAGTTGGGCCTGAGTTACATAGCTAAGTCAAGTTGTAACGGACGTCTTGCTGTTGGCAGCAATTTTCTTTGTGTTCAAACTTCGTCACCTGTGGTTGAGAGAAGCCAGAAGACAGATTGGCGTTGGGAATGTGTATAAAATGTAGCTTGCTATCAGTTAAGATTGATGAGTCATCCTCCAGACAGTACACCTAAGCAATTATTCAAAATACCTGCGAGTATGGATACGAAAGATTTGACCTCCGCTACTTTTGACCTGGGAAATCTGGGGAACACCCTTCCAGTAGCACTCTCCAGCGACGGATGATACATCAACAGTGATTGTAGACATTCGGCGATAGATACCGATTCCAATTCCCTAAAATACTACAGCAACCATCGCGTCGCGAACGAATGTGGTGGAGCCGCAGTGACGACCATTCCAAGCAATTCACCCGAAGGCCAATATATTATCGAATGGTTTGCACAGAGTATGCAATACATGCCATACCAGGCCCAGGGAGGATGGAAGACCTCACTGGCCGAAAGGTTCAGTGAGTACTTGTGTCATACGGCCAATAAGGGTCTACTTCGAGGATTCGAAGACGAGAGAATGACACATGTAATGGCTTTGAACTCTGGTAAGCGCTTTTGCAATCAACGCCGGAACAATTGATCTGACCAATACGTTGGGTCTGTTGCTATAGAGGCGACCATGAAGCTGATCACATAGTATTGGTATTGTCGTGCCAAGCTTGACAACAAGCAGGGGGAAAGGAGGTTGATTGTCAGCAGAACGACCTCCTACTATGACAATACGCTAGAAGCGCTGTTCGTGAGCGAATTTTCAGCGAGGCAAGACATCTATCGTGACATGTTATTGCAAACATGCCGAAGGCCAGTTGTTATTATTCTATGCGTGGGGTAAGTAATGGAGTATTAAAAGAATGTGAGGATGGATTGATCACCGAGCTCAGGGGGCTTTCCACTACGCTTGCTGTCACGAAAAACGGTGTCGCTTTCGAGACAGTGGGGGTTTTTATTCTCGGACCTGTTTCCGGTGCTGTAAGTTGTATACTTATCGTGCAGGGAAACATCGTCGGCTAACACAGCTATGGGCTCTAAGTTGCCAAGTTTCTTCTGCCCAGTACTTGAAGCTCGTAAAGCAAGTGTGTCGCGAACATGGAGTTTCGTTTACTTATGATGAAGTCATGTGCTGTATGGGCCATAGCGGAAAAATCCACTCTTGGCATGGGCGCGATGACGTTAAGGAGCAGGAGGCTTTGAGATTCAGGACTCACGAGGAAGCCAACTCCAGTGTAGAGGTTTTGAACATCACTCCAGACATTCAAATGAACGCCAAAGCCGTGGGAAGCGAATTCCAAGCAGTGGCGTCACTCATGGCAAGCCAACGGGTGGTACAAGGTCTCCAAAGAAGGTAATATCTCTCTAGTCTTGACGCGCACTCGTTGCTGACTCAGTTCCTAGTGGCGTGGAGTTTGTGAATGAGCAGACCTATCAGAACCATTAAGCTTCGATTGCAGCTGCTTTGAAGGTTACGGAAATTGGTCAGTATAGTCTGACAAGGGTTTTCGAGAAGGAGAAGAAAGAACGGGAGGGGCGTATTGAACGCAACGACTTGGCTCTTAGAGAAGATGCCCACAACAGGATGGAAAAACTGATAGAAAGGAGAGTATACTTGCCACTTGTTCGGAACGTTGAAGTACTTGGGCCGTTGCTCGGCCAGAAACTCAAAGCCGCGCTGCTGGGCAATAAACATGTGGGCGAAATACGTGGTGTGGGATTTTTCTAGGGGATGGAGCCTGTCAACCTATCTGAAGACGACAAAACCCCAAACGCTCCGTTCATCAAGAAATACGGCAATGATGCGGCGGTCTCCTCCAAGATCGTCAAATACGGAAAGAGCCATGAGTTTAAAAAACTGGATAGCTGGCCGAATGACAAACCGTTCACGAACTCAGGTATTGAGCTATATCCAGGTTCTTGGGTGTATTCGAAGCCATAATTGAGGAAAATCTATGAATATATGAGGAAGATGAAGAGGAATGGAAGAAGATGCCCGCGCCGATGGTTGAGGACGGTGCCCAGACTGGTGACCACGTCATGATCGCGCCGTTCCTCACCACCACTAAGATTGAGATCTATGAGCTTGTGGAGGAGGTTACGCAATTGTTTCAATAATTCCCAAGGCCTCAGTAAGCCGTACCGGTTATGTTTATCCCCAAAATCTCTTCTTGAGCTGGTCATATCCAAATTGGAGGCCCCTTGTGGTCCACTGTATTCGACTACGCTTCATTCCAGTATTGCTGAGTGCTCATCACATGTCAACACTCAACCTTTCCACATGCAGGCGATGCGACCCAGGCATATAATATATTCTTTCCTTTGGTTTCCTAATCTGTTCTGCCCACGTCGGTTTTCGGGCCGTTTCACTCATGATTTCGACAAAGACACTCGTTTGACTAAGCACTGTTGAATAGGCTTAAGCGGAGCAAATCAATTCAAAAGAACCTGACTAGGTAGTACAGACAGTGCAGAAATAATCAAGTAGCGACCGAACGTCCTTCGAATGCATTCCGTATGTCGGACTATACCATTAGGCCCGAGACGTGTCTCATTGATTGCCCATATAATACATCGAGGAAATATTGCCTAATGTGCAGCCGAATACAAAATAAGTACCACAAAAGCATATTTACAGACGATATTACCGGCTCCGTGGTATTAGATTTCTTGCTGGATGTAAATACCCCTTACCACTCGATCTGCCTTGCGTCCATGTCGGAGCTCTAAGAGCTAGTCCATTGGTATTTCTCTCAACTGCCTGCAAACAGATGGTGTCTATAACGAAACTGATAGATCTATTGTGGCTGATACATGTTATGATACTCGATCGTGAACTCAACAGTGAAATTCCAGGAAGGAATTCTCCATCGCCATATGTGGGCCCTTCGCTGCGACCGAGATCTGTAGACGGCGACCAGGCGAAGGACGAAGAGTGCATAATGCAGCAGGCTTGTCAAGCAAATAGACAAGTTTGATTCTCTGTATTGAAAGTCTCTCGTCCACCAACCAAATTTGTTTTTATATCTGCGACTTTCGTGAGTAAGAATGTGAGAGCCATGGAGTATCTCTACTGCATGTGAGAAGCTCGTACACCGCGGCGCATCGGACCCAGGCATGTCACAGTTCCCGCACCAGCGTGCAAGTTCCCAGTAAGTGAGCGTGTCAACCGTCTGCACGGCATACATCAGCAGCCAACACACAATCACAACATCAGCCAGGACTTTACAGAAGGCTGTGGCCTCGCTCCGGTCGTGGCACAAATACTTGTACAATTTCGCATGGAAATGAGATGAGATCACCGCCAGAGCTGACTCTCGAAACTTTAATTTATGATCTTAGCGTAGAGTGTGTAGAGGCTAGAATCATGGCGGATATCGAAATTAGAGTGCTTGTATGTAAACGCAATTCCGATGGCGACGACGACGATGAATATTACAACTGCTTGAATGAGAAAGACGACTGCCAGTACTCGTCTATTTATTGTTAGATTACCGCCTGGGTTGTCCAGCTAGGGGCTTGGAGATTCTAGATCCTTGCCATCATGACCACTGGACGCGGTGTTATCGCGACGGGCCGAAAGTAGAGGTATTTGTTCACTGGCTGTCGTTCGAGAGACGTCTGGATCAGTTGTAATAGCAGCGGGCATTTCTAACAAAGGCACGTTTGATTGGCAGCTAAGACTTGGTGTTAGATGTTACGATATTGAAAGGATGGAAATTAGCTGACGAGTTTTCAGAACTGTATTTCAGAACTGTATTTCACAGAAGTGAAGAGCTGTCCGGACATGTTGCCTTTGTGCGGTCGCATGTACCTGGAAACAACTGCGCTACCAATATTTTCAGCGTCAATTGGTTTGTGCTAGCCTAGTTGATGGTTTCACCAAAGTGCGAATAGTCATCAGCTAAATACACCCCCTTTCTTTCTTTTCTCATGGGATGGCTGTACCACGCCATTGTTTCACACGAATACGGTTCCTGTTGATACTAGTCTTTCCCGCATGATAGTGGAGTTTATTTCGACATTGAGACAACCTTGAATGAAATGACCTCCGATTACTGCGATCCGGGATTTCTAGTATGCTCGTCGTCAATCGAAATGGGCACTAACAATAAACAGATCGACGTGAGCATTGAATAGTTGTGCTCTACAAAACGAAGAGACGAAGAAATCATCACGTTATTGGTCTTGCAAATCTCAAGGACGACGATGAATTATTGCCTGGATCGACAACGCGTGATGAGGTTATTGATTTCACTGGCTCTAGCGAGGAGCCAAACTTATTTAAACGAGAAAGACTGCTATCTTTATTAATCTTACGCATGATCATGATGATTACAAAGATTTTACGCTAAAGGAAATCTGATAACACGATCATTTCTTACTCTGACTGATGATGGTTTTAATCTGTTTAATGGCGACGGCAGAATCTTCGATAAAGATGACAAAAATGAGTTAAATATGGAAGACGATGTTGATTGCATCGATTCAACGGGCTTCGATGATGTTGAGGAAGTTTTCCAAGTGACAAAGAGAAAATCATATATGTCAGACAAGGCAACATTTAAACGTAGGAAATTGTCCTACGCATAATAGTCCTCTATTATGGGGAGTTGATATATCATGCCACTAGATATTCAATTAATTTACTCACATCGAATAATTTTCAAAAACGGTTTGATTATTATGCTGACTCATTATATCTCTAGAGTGCTAGCTAATATCAACACAGAATCATCCACGGTTCCGACTCGTATCGTCACAGGTAGCCGGATATGGTTTAGAGTCTATCACCAGGAATAGTCATGGAATCTTTCCTGTACGTGCTCAACATGACAGAGTGTTCAACCCTTCCCAGTGTATATCTAAAACTTCTGCTTTACTGAGGTAGTTGAGGGGAGAGAAACAACAGCGGCAGTTGAAAAGGCGTGTCTATAATATATGAATCTATGACAAACGCAACCTTTGCACTTACTCGGATAGGTCTCCCGCATAGTTATCATTTTCTGGGAGCACTTTCCGCCGTCTCACACTTATATCGCACCACCAATCTTTCCTAGGAGGAGCACACTTACGTGGACACTTTCTTTTGACTAGGAATTCATGTCTCATTTTATCGAAAGCAATGTTATCCGCTAATCTTCGCGAATTCTTGCCCATAAGCCCACCTGATTTAACCAGGAAGTTTGAACAGTTGTGTAGAAATTCTTCCATAACAAGGTCTCCCCTGTCCGGGCCAAGACCACGGCCATAATTCACGAGTACCTCGCAGTTTTGTAGTAGCTTTCTATGCTGGCTCAACAGCTTATGGGTATCCCTTGGCATTTGCGCGTTCCAGATGTCGCTAATAAACTTGAGTATCGTTTGACTGATAAACCCGCAATAATCGCCCCGTGCTTCAAGAACAAGGCTGCGAGATCTGGGGCGCCGTGTTGAGTTGAGAGTTCCATACTAGCGCTGTCTTGCCTTGAGAATCTGTTTGATCAATGACTACGCGTCGTTTTTGGAATAGGCATTGGAGGCAAAGTATTGACTTCTGTCGGGCCAGCTTCGCGATCAGCGGTTCGCCTCCATGACCTTGACCATTAGGCTATGCCCCTTTGACAAGAAGTGCCTCGATAAGAACCCGTCTGTCTTGGCTAACCTCAGCTTTGTGATTTATTTCTCTCTAACAAGCAAAACGTAACGGACGTAGTGACCCGGGGCCTAAACCATCAAACATTACCTCTCTAGACCCTCCTACATCAGTGATATGATGCAAGAGCTCTACAGCACAATGACTAGTGCGAAACGATGTCCTCTACGGACACATTCCGGGCTGTGGGATCGTCCCTCACCCAGTTCTGCCTCGACCATTTTAGGAATTCCTAAATCGACGCTGCGCTCAAGCGTCTTTGTCTACGAATAACTTTTGATCGATTTTTTTCAGGGCCTCCAGTCAGGAATGCGTTCCGATGACGTCTGACCTCCGACTATAGAAGCTCGGACAGGTACCGGACGGTTCGCTAAAACTGTAGATCTCTAGAATCTGAGAAACATAGCCTGTTAGAAACGCATCCGAGGAGTGTGGCCCCCGGCAAAAGCGTATAGCCATATGAACCTTCACAAGCGGACCAAGTCCAATCTTAAAAAGCTATACTTGCTGAATAGAGAAAGTCCGAATATTCCATCTGCAAGTCGGCGTATTGGCCATGCCACTTTTAAATCAACCATGTTCATCGGTCCTGGTGCTCGGTGCAATATCCTCTAAGGGTGGCCTAAGCCACGGCGGCACACGAAATAGGAAATGGCCGAGCCCACCACACACTGAACCTATCCGTGGAATTTTGATCTGCATGGGTCGACTTTTAAAGCTGAGCCCATGGAATATACTCATAACTTCCTGCAAAAGATCTCATTTCACAGAATCTGCAAAGTCTACTGCCGTTGTCCTGTCATCATGTCAGAAACACTCACCTCAGTGCGACGAGAGCCCGTTCGGCTACAAACAGGCCAGCCCAGAGAACTTCGCATTCCCGATCTCTTCACCGGGGTTCTATCAGGTGAACCTGCATTGAACCCATACGAAGCCAAAGTCAGATCAGAATCCGAAACATGGACTAAAGAGTATGAATAACGCCACTTATGACAGCTGAGATTACTAAAGGAGAATAGGATTGCACAGATGAGCAATAGTATGGCCAAGATATTAACAAGAGCCAATTTCCCTTACCTGATAAGCCTTTCGGCACCTGATGCCGATGCAGAGGCGTTTCGTATGGGTTGCGATTGGTGTATTTGGGTAAGTGCCGGTACCTGTACAAGAAAATACGAGAGCAGCGGAACTAATAATGGCTAGGCTTTCGTATTTGACGACCGTAAGATGAGATGATACGGGAAGTGGAATAACTACTAATGTCGAAAAGTTTTCGATGAGGGCATCATGAAAGATAAAACCATTGTGGCGGCCGAGGAAATGATTGCCACACTAGCGATCATGGATAACACACACCCACCCGTAAATCGCAAGCAGTACCCTCTCAGGTATATGTTCCAGACGGTTTGGCAGCGATTTATGGATGCAAGTGACCCTCTCCAAAAGAAACCCTTGACGTCAGGCTAATTAGTAGATCACAGAGGCACCCTTCCTCAGGTATGCGAGCAATTTCTGGCTTTTTATGGCCTTACTATTGTACACGACGAACTAATCGCAAGTGACAGAGCTACAGCAACGCTGGAAGATGACCCATCGAAAATGTCTGTATGCAATACTACAGCAAGTTGACCTAGCCCAAAAACAGACTGGACTCGATGTTGCCATCTCTGATTACATAGATACGCGACGACAGTCGATCGGGTCTTACTGTTTGTTCGTGGTAGTAGAGTACGTGACATATTCCTTTGCAGCAAACCGATGATTGTAGTCACTCAGTTCCAATGCTTACATTTACCAGATGGGCGCACGGAATACAGTTGCCACAGGCTGTAATCGAGCATCCTTCTGTGGCTATTTGTGAACGTGCCGCTGCCGATCTGACCTGGTTGTAAGTAAATTTTTGTTCTTCATTCCTGAAATTGGAAAGATTAGCCCTGACATGTGTATCTAGAGTCAACGATATCTTGTCCTACAAGAAAGACCTCGTAAGTTACGTCTCATTGCACTAGTCGCCAGACCGCATCAGCTTGAAGTTAAGCTAATACCAACAATAGGCCTTCGGTGTGGAACACAACATCATCTGTTTGTTCAAGCGAAGGGGCTTTTCGGAGCAAGAGGCAGTTGGCAAAACTAATAATCTCATGGATGAACGACAGAGAGAATGGAAAAAAGCAGTCTCGGAATTACCATCTTGGGGGGAAAAGGTAGACCACGAGGTCCGCAAATATCTTGACGCCTGCCGCGATGTCGCCAGAGCAAATCTCTATTGGAGGTCAGTTCGATATTCATCATTTTCTTTAGTTTCTGACAAGCTCACTGTGCGCTTAGCTTCAAGAGTGGTCGATATCTGTCTCCGGAAGAATCAGACCGAGTCCGTAAAGCCCATGTATTGGACCTGGCTTGAAGCTTGACAGGAATGCAAAAGACATATCAATTATGTACGGTATTTTACTCTGGATTATTTTCAAAGTCAAGGTCCCGGCATTTGGTCTCCCATTATGTCTCTGATTATCCACGTCGTCTAAGAGTCTACATTAGAGGGGATGCTATCTCCCTCTGACCTAATTGAGACTATCTTATCTGTATTGAGCTCCCTGAGTGCACGGATGATCCACTCATAAGTTGAATGATTGGAGCTCACGGCTGTCTCAAGCTGACTGATTAGGTTACCAAGCTTCGTTATACGGACGCCGATCAGACGTCGTATGATCTGCACCTCGTCCTCGTCCTCAAGTTGCCAACCACCGGCCAACACACCCCTCGTAGCACTCGTCAATTTGTCACTGCCCCGGCGCGGCCTCTTGGAGCTCTCGCATTGAGATCTGGGCACTGTCATGGTATAAAAGTCTCCCAGGACGTTCGTCATCTCATGACACATAGAGACGACCAACATGAGATACTCAGCCCGTAACCGGCAACTGTTGCATTTCAGCAACGTTTCGCAGCTTCCCAATACATCTTTCTGACACTGCAGCATGTCATCCACACTGACGCTGGTTCCGCTTCGTAAACTTGCTCCCCAGACCAACTTGACCTGCATTGCTTTATTCGCACATAGCACATGATCTAGACATCGGCATGTACTGGACAGAGACTGCGCCGGCTGGGTACTGCTCATCTCGGGCCCAGAGCACCCCGTACCAGAAACACCACTTAACGATTTAGCCCTTGTCGCCGAAGTTGGCGCCGGAGTCGGAGTCGTACTGGACGCTCGGGGTACTTGCACGTGAATGCAATCGGTGTCTCCAGCCATGGTGGATGCAGGTTGTGGCCATGTTTTGGAACCGTTTATGGGTTCTCCTCCAGGATTGTTTTTGTCACCTTCGAGCGCACAGTCCGAGATAAAGTCTGCAGTAAAATCGGATATTTGGTTCGGGGGAAATGCTGTCGGGTCTCGATGCCAAAAGTCTACTTCAGGATCACTAATTCCAGTGCAAGTACCTAGGCCATCTATGGCCGTAGTCTTCTTAAAAAAAGTCCACAAATTATGTTCAGGAGTTCAAGTTGGAGCAAAGAAAAACTTACCAGCGTTATTCATCAGACCTGAGAAGTCGACATTTGGAAAAAAGAAGTGCAAAGAGGAATCATGATCATCATGGATGGGATCCGACAGGCTGCTATTGGCTGGCAAGTCCACTTCATTACCACTGTCGCTTGTCGGGTCCGATTGTCGTCTGTCTATTGCAGAGGTATCTGTTGGATCGGTATAATCTATAGTCATCTCCGTCGTATCGACTGTGCTATACGAGCATTGCAAGCCCTGCTTAAGGCATCTTGCGCAACTTGACTCTTGGGGAGTACACTTTAACTGTGTGAATCCCATTAGCAACGTATAGGTGGTGGAACTTTGGGGTAGCCTGTTTGAGCCTACCTTTTTCAGTTTACAGAATGTGCAGGCCTGTTGCTTTTTCGCTCTGTTTCTCTCGAAGGGAGGACTAGCTGATTGCACGACGTATTCTGAATTGCCGGAAACTCCACGCCGAGCCTTGAGGTTTTGAAACATTCGATTTAGCACACCCAGCTCGTGCTGGATAGTGACAAGAGCTGTAATAGTACTGATGAAATGCTTGTTGATTATGATGTGGGGTTACAAGCTTACTTGTCCATAAACAATCAAGCTATAGCACCTTGGCAGCTGTGTCCTAGCCCCGGACTTGTATAACCGAGTAGATTAGTGCCTCCTAATATGTACTGACCACAGTCACAAAGATGATCATCATGGAGTGCAGGCATGTGTCCAAGAAACGCTCACAATTATGTGCTGTCCGGAATACGGACCTGGAGAGACTAGTGCTAGCAGAAGAAACAAAGATTGGAACGGATATGACGTCGGTTAGACGCTGATAAGATATAAATAGAGGGTCGTATGAGGATCTACGTTGAAGAAATGCATATTAATACCTGTCGTCCTGACTTGGACCTATCTCACACGTATACGTGAATTGCAGGAATCTCACACCAAGTACACACGAGAACTGCAGAAAGTCGTAGTATGGGTATTTGTTTGTGATTGGGGCTCAAGTCTCTGCGACGAAGCGAAGGATTCAGAACGGAAGGTTTATTAAAGTGAGTGATAAATGTCGATCTCACTGAGATCTCTCTAGTAGTTAATGATCGGCCTTTGGTCTAACTGGAGAAGCAGATTTCACAATAGGTGCTGCGAATGGTGTCATATTGGTCAATTCCCGTGCAGAGGATGTAACCTATTCCAGCATGTGTCTAGGGGCCTGCCAGGTTGTGAAGCGATGTGGAAAACAAGGATCTGAATCCTTCGAGATACGATAACTACATATGTGGTCGGTGGAGCTAAGATATGCGGGTCTGATTGGGTGCTGGGATTATCTCCCGGCACATGCGAGTTTGTGTCAGCACTGACCAGGTGTTATATTAGTTATACCAAGAAGTCCCACCTTTTAATGACGCCCGTGGCACGCCCCGCCCCACAGTAGGCTGCCGGTACTACCTATTATAGTAAAAAGGCGTAGAGACCTTCGGAAGTAGCCTATTAGAGGGGCACCGCGGCCATCTCTGCCCAGAAGAGACCTACCGTAACACCAAAACATCACTGTCCACCCACGTATTTCGATTTCGAGGCCATCATATGTAACTATAGATTGAAACAATCCTCTTGGAGCTTAGGCGATATCTACAACGTTAATTCCCTAGGGTTTGCCATATGGTTCGGTCATCAAATTCGCATCGGAAAATGTCACAAAACAACCACTCGTCAGGCCCTCCGTCAGTGATTAATGCCGGTCTGTTTAAGACCGGATCGGCGTCGATGGCAGAGGCATATAAGATTCTGGGACTACGGCCGCATCACGGCCTCGATATCACGGACGTGCCCGAGCACTGGGCGCAGCTCGAGCGAGCGGCGGAGGCAAAATGGCCAGACATCCCCGGAGCGCGACCGCATAAGGCCTTCACGCGCTCTGACTGGGACAAAGTCTTCGGCGAGTACGACGCTATCACGGACTTAGGGGCCCCCTTTGCCGAGGAGCTGGCGGCGGCGTATCCAGATGCCAAGGTTGTGGTGGTACAGCGTGACGCGGACAAGTGGTTCAAGAGTTTCGACCAGCAGACGGTGACGCCGACCTGGGGCGCCCGCGCTAGTTTCAACCACTATGTCGTGTTTCCTATCCTGCGCTTCCGCGGAGTATATACCATCCGTAAGATTCTCTACGGGCAATGGCGAGCGAAGACGCCTGACGACATACGAAAAAATGCAAAGCGTGAGTACGAGGCCTACTACGCTCGCTTACGCGAAGTGATACCGCCGGAACGGAGGCTTGAGTATAAGATAGGGGATGGTTGGGTTCCTCTTTGCCAATTTCTGGGGAAGGAAGTGCCGAACGTGGATTTCCCTTGGGTCAATGAATCTGCAGCACACTCGGCTAGTAACCAGAAGAATATGGACTCACTCACTTGGAAAGCATGGGAGACAGTGAAGCCTTGGTCGTTTTCTGCCATTGCTCTCGGTATTATCAGCATAGGGTTCTTCTTCGCGCAATCCAATCATGAGGGATTTGGATATTTCTCTTCTCAGCAAAACAACTCGAGTTAGATGTATCTGGTGATTTTCGCACCCGGAAGCTATTAAGATGACGTGGTGCTTGTTGCATCAGATTAAGATTTTGTTTGAGCTACAAGCCCCAAATGTGGTCAGACAGCTGGGTGTAGCTCTATGGTCCACGATGGATTTGGGTGTTTACGATTCTGAGTTTACGACGCCTGCGATATGGTTGGTGATTAAATCAGGGCTCTGCTGCCAATCACTCGACAAGAAAGAGGAGGAAAGGAGGAGAAAAAAAGGGAAAAGCGATTAAATGTATATGGGATTAAAAGGTCGATAACTATCTAACAAATGTCGTCTTGGACTTTCTGTGATCTATAGCTCTTGGTCGAGTGAGATCGATGTCTCCGTTGCCTAAGGAAAACTTGCTGTCGGAAGTGGTTTGCTAAACGGCGACCCAGTATAAAAAGATATCCGAGGGCGTCGGGGAGCTTCTCTGGAGTTCTTCTGCTTAAAAAGTTCGAAAATATGAAATTGGAGGAGAAGAAAAGAGAGATGCAAAATTAAATACAGCCGGTTTTAGAAAAAGAGGAGCAGAGAACGTAATGACATTAAACCATCAGTCGCTTGGGGCGAGCGTGTCTCTGCAAAGACCGTATTGCGACATTTATCTAGTGTCTATTTGGCAAGACAAGCTACATATCACAGTCTATTCATGTATCTGCTGTTCTTTCTTTTTTACGATTTCAGCCCTCGTAACCCCAGCCTTCCCACACAGACTCCTAAAGATACCGCCTTGATCAAATAATTCTAGAGGTGTACCTATTTCCGCAACTTCACCATGATCCATAACACAGATGCGATCATAACCAATGACAGTCCATAGCCTGTGGGCAATGCAGAGGAGTGTTTTGCTTCGAAATGACTCCAAAGTTCGCTGAACCTTCTGGTCCGTCGCAAGATCGATCGAACTCGTCGCTTCATCGCAAATAATGATCTTAGCATCACACACGAGCGCTCGAGCAAGCGCCAGAAGTTGACGTTGACCCAGCGAGAGGTTCAACCCTTCTTCCCTGACTATTGTATCAAGACCGATTGCAACAGACCTTTCGTGACTGTGGCCGAGACCTGCTTGTCGAAGTGCCAACCATAAATCCGCATCTGTGTGCTCGCTGAAAGGGTCAAGATTCGACCTGACTGTACCTTTGAACAGGGTAGGATCTTGGGGGATAATGGTAAGTCGAGATCTAAGTTGCCGCAGACCTATAGTGCTGATATCTATTCCGTCAATCGTGATAGAGCCGCCAGAGAGTTCCACGAGTCGGAAGAGTGTGTTGATAATACTGGATTTCCCGGCGCCGGTTCGACCAATGATTCCCAATCTCTCACCCGGCAGAACATGGAGATTGAAATTTCTTAGCACGAGAGGGAGCCCTTTCCGATAGCACATTTGCACCCGGTTGAACACGATTTCGCCCCGGGCCGGCCAGTTATCTGCAACATTACCGATTTCTGAAGGAGCTTCTTGCTCAATCTGCGTCGCATAATAATGTAATCTTTCCGTATTGTTCATATCGTTCTCCACCTCCGCCATTTGCCGTACCAAGAACTGCAACGAAGCCGTGATACCGTGCATGTATGACAGAGCGAGACCGCTAATTGCAGGATCGACAAGAAAACGTGATGTGACCACAAGAATACCGAGAATAAAGATCAGAACTACTCCAATGGCGTTGAGTCGGATACTAATCCATCGCTGATTTGCAAAGGTGAGGAAGTACGCGCCGTTAAAACTGTCAATGGCATCTCGCAAAACTCCCGAGAATCGGCTTTCAATGCCATAGGCTCGGATTGTCGTTGCCCCATATACTGCCTCGCTGAACCTAGAGAACACGTGCGACCTAAGCACGGCCTCATGCCGCTTGATCTCCCTAGCTGAACTGCGGTAGTAGCTCCCAGAGAACAAAATGATAAGTACGAGAGGTATGACAGCGGCGATGAAGTAGTAGAAATACGCCACAATCAAGGCTGCGGTGCCTAGCAGCGAGCCAACAGCCATCAGGTACAGCCTTATGGAGTCACTGAGGACATTATCCATGACATCGATGTCCTTGGAGAAGCGGTTGGTGATTCGGCCTAGCGGCGTCGTGTCGAAAAAGGAGATTGGAGCTCGAAGAACTCTCGTCATAGCGCGTTTGAACATAATTTCGCTGGCTTTGGTACCAAATATGGTCAAAGAAACGGCGAAGATGAACATCAGAAATGCTTGAGATCCACCAAGCCCCGCGTAGATTCCGATCTGTAGGGCGATTAGTGGTGTTATAATACTCGCTTATGAAATGCGAAGAACGAAGAAGACTGCTGGCAACTTACCCAGGCCCTGTTACTTAGGGCGAACTTCTTAGCCGTCCACCAGGAGAGCCATATGCCTGTGATAAGGTTTGATCCTTGAGACAGAACTAGAAGAATTATCACCAGTGGGGCGACGAGTAGAGACCCAGTGGTTTCAATATATGCTCTGTATACACCCCACGAGATTGCTCTGACGGCCCGGTCTTCCACTTGCATGAGCGCCCCTGTGTTTGATGTCGGCATAACTCGCTCAGCAGCATCGTTTTCGTCCACCGTGTCAATTTCCTCATCACCATCCTGCGGCTTATCAATAACGGTGAGTTTCATTATCTCGGCAAAGTCGGGATTATTAGCCATCAGTTCCGAATAGGGACCTTGAGATCTTATTCGTCCGTCTTCCAGCCATATGATTCTATCACACCGAGGAAGCAAGTGGAGCTGGTGAGTTGCCATGATCCGACATTTGTCTGCGAGCAGTCCGCAAATGGCCTGATCCATGATCTCCTGACCGACCCGGGCATCTACAGACGACAGCGGATCGTCCATCAACACAATGTCGGAGTCAAAGTAGATAGCGCGGGCAATGCTAACGCGCTGCTTCTGTCCACCTGAGATATTGATGCCTCGCTCGCCAATCTCGGTCCTGTCGCCATCAGGAAGCATTTGGAAATCTTGGAGCAGGGCGCATGCTTCCGTTACCTGAGCATACCGTGTCGCATTGAATGTATTCCCGAAGACAATGTTGTCCTGCATACTTGCGTTTTGGATCCACGCGTCCTGGGCACAGAACGCCCGCGACGCGCCGAAGGTAACAGTTCCGGCCGTCTTGCGCATTTCTCCGGCAAGAGCGGCGAGGAAGGAGGATTTACCGGAGCCCACACCACCAATGACGGCCACCAACTCGGCACGGCCGAGAGTGAGGGTAAGATCATGGATTTGAAATGGCTCAGGAATGCTTGAAATCTCCGCTGGCCCATCATCACAGTTCTTATCCGACGACTGCACTTGCTCCCACGTGAACGTGGCGTTTCTGAGCACAACTGCCTCATTGATACTCTTGTCAAATTGTGAGTCATCGGTGGCCTCTTCGGCCAAAAGAAATTTCTCAATTCGTTTCACCGATGCGTAGGCATCTGTGACCTGGCCAAGTGCCACGGGGAACATATTGAGTGGCAATCGAAGTCCGTTGAACAAGGCTAGAGATGAGAAAATTGGGGCGGGATCAAATATGTTACTAGTGAGTGCAAAGGTAATAAAAGAAAACATCGAGGCGAGTACAGGTATGGTAAGAGCGATGGCATTGATTCCGTCCCGGGTAGCAAGTAGAATCCTAATGGATCGAAGTTCTTGCTTTCGAATCGCGTCGATTCTGTTTTGGAAGCTGCTCTCCCATCCGAAATACTTGACGAATCGAATTACTGTGAGGATCTCCTGGGTCAAGCCAACGCGCTGGTCTGTAATCTTGTTGATATCCGAACGTCTTTTGAATAAGGCCTTAATGACCAAGGAAAGTACCGGCAAGAATATGAACAGTACTCCTAGCCCTGGAAGAGCACTATAGGAAAGGTTAATTAGAAGAAGCGCTAGAGTGATGGCGATGCTCAATGGAGCCGCCCAAAGCATGTGGAGCATGCCTGATGCTTGATCGATGCGGGAGGTATCAGTGGACATCAGGTTGATGATTCTACCATTGCTCCAGCCGTCAATTATCTCAGACTCCGTTGGCAATTTGTTCTTGGTTTTGTCCTTTTCGTCCCAAGAACTCCTCTTTTCGTGCCTTTCCTTTTCTTCCTCGCTGCCAGGAGCAATGTAATTCGGCGGTATGGCAAGCCCACCAGCCTTGGCCCGCTCTGAGAGCTTCAAGGCCTTCTCAAAGATTGTGGACATCAAGACGGCGTGGGCTTCTCCGCCCACGGTCATACCTAAATATGCTGAATGATTGGTCGCGACCGATATGACTATTTGTACCACAGTCAGGATGATGACTAGGCCTATTCCATAGCCCAATGACGGCCCCGGTGACCCAGCTTTGCTGGCATTGAAGGCATCTGTGGCAAAGGCAATGAGGTACTTCAGTACCAGTGGTAGTATAACCAGTGCGATCGTGCCGAGAGCCTGGCAGAAAGCGCCAATGACCAGATCTCTCTTGAACGTGGTGAAGAGGGCAAAAAGCAGAGGAGCCTTGCTGCGTCGGTCGACAAAGGATTGCAGCGAAGTACTGAAACGCGTCTCCAGAACAGCCGTACGTCTCCTCGGATTGACGAGCCATATGTCATTCAACTCTAGCGGCCGGTGGTAACCAACCTAGAGAGTGTCTGATGAGTCTCGAGTACGCCGAGTCGCGAAGGGAATGCATAAAAGGCGATATGCCGACTGACCTTCAGTAGAGGTGTGAGCCATGAAAACAGAACCGTGCTGAGGAACCCGGCCGGTGGTTCCCTAGAAGGTTGCCTGTAGCTGGGTGCCGGGGGAATGGCTTGAGCCTTCAGTGGGTTAAGACGAGCCACCCAGCTGGTGCGCCGCGACTCCGTGCGCTCACTATTAGACACGTTACGGACGCTCTCTGCTCTCATTGCTTCAAACTCAGTCATAGGTGTTGTTGAGAAGCATCGAGTACAATTGTCTCGAGCGATGCATACTTAGTTTAGAAGAGCTCAGCGCGAGTTGTGCAACTCCGTTTTCAGACTGGGCAAGCCCGAGCATTCTTATCAATTAGGAAAGCCCGAATTTAGCAGGTCAAACGCTGAAGGATTGTTTCGCACGCCATCGGCACCAGTGACGATCTCCAGGGTTCCTCGGGGGAAGGGCGGCTGGTCCCGATAGGCTGGGTATATGATATATGTGGATATCATACGTCGCCTTGATGACCGCGAGCTCGCTTCCGGCGAGGAAGCAAAAAGGATGATGTGTAGAAGATAATTGGTCTTGAAACACTCTCCCTGTCTCTCAATATTGGGTTTCGCCCATGGCCTCATGCGAAAAGTCTCCAATCATCCGTGTCCAGCATGTCGGATGCCCTGAATAGCGCCGGTCGAGGCAAGTCCTCGTTCTCTACCAGCCTTGAAGGGTTGAGTGACTCCAGTGTTGCTCGCGCGGCGTGGCTGGTCCTATTATCCCGCTACTCGTGCGCCGACACGATAGAAGTGGCGGACATTGGGAAGCTAGGCCATGTGGAAATCGACACCGACCCATGCAACAAGACAAGCACATTTCTCGAAAGACTGGCGAAAAGTATACCTAGTAGGGGTTACTTTACCTCTGGTACTGTAAATACCTTCCCCTTAGCTGAAGGCTGCCTCAAGGGGGACCTCGTGAAGTTTGTCACCTGTTTTTTCGACGACGAGGTACCTGGCGTAGACCTGAGCTCCTGTCATATTGTTATCGGCGTTATCAATAACTCCGTTACCGTCTCAGTTCACGAGTCACTTTCTTCTCGGAATCACGATCACAGACTGGCCGAGCGCCTATGTCGTCAGCTTAGCACCGTCACAAATCGACTTCAAAACGCCGCAGCTGAATTGACCATTGGCGAGATCGATGTAATGGGGCCTTGTGACTGGGAGGACGCAAGAAGGGCTGAACTTCCATACCCGGAGTCGATGCACGAGACACTGCACGAGCTGATGCTAAGGAATTCCCTCCCAAACTCACCGGCTATAGAAGCCTGGGACGGAAGTATGACATATGGCGAGCTCGATCGAGCGTCAAATGTCCTAGCTAGAAGGCTCCTGAGGATCGGTATCAGCCAGGGCTCTTATATTTCTCTTTTTTTTGACAAGTCCCGGTGGTATCCAGTTTGCATATTTGCTTGTTCCAAAATTGGGGCTCCGTTCTTTTCGATCCCGCCTGATGTGCCCCCGAGTCGCGTACAATCTATAATCAGTCAGCTCAAAGATACAAAGGGTCGAAGAAGTCGTGTAGCCTTGAGTTCCATTCGACAAGGAGAACGGGCGGCTTCATTTGCTCCGATAGTGATTCAAGTGGATGAAGAAGCCGTAAGTGAGGACGACGGCAGCGTTCACAGCAACATCGACCTCGAGTTTCCTCGTGTCAAGCCTACGGATAACGTGTACGTGGTGTTCACCTCGGGAACCACTGGAAATCCTAAGGCCATTCCCATCACACATTCTGGCATTTGCAGCTTCATTGCAGCGTGGATCGGCCTTCGTGGTCATCCTGGTGGTTTGGGTGTACGTCATAGCCAGATCCTTTCGTACGCTTTCGATATGTCCTACGTCGAGACTCTGGTCTGCCTGGGAACTGGCTCATGTCTGTGCATTCCATCAGAAGAGGAGCGTCTGAACGACCTTTGTGGGGCGTTGGCACGTTACCGTGTTACACATCTTCACGCCACGCCGTCACTCTCTGATATCGTCGACCCTGAGAACCTACCTGTGCTCCGACACATCCATTTCAGCGGAGAGTGGATGACACATAGTCTCGCAAATAGATGGCTTCCAAGGATTGACGTCCAGCTGACATACGGCACTGCTGAGATAACGAATGAGTGTAGCGGCGCACGGGTATCTCTTGAGCCGGGGTTCAGTACTGCTAATGGCTGCATCGGTCGGCCGTTCGGGGCGCGTATGTATATCACTAATCCCGCCAACCCGCACCTGCGACTACCACGGGGTTTTGTAGGTGAAATACTTGTTGAAGGTCCAGGCGTTACTAAGGGCTACGTCGCAAACCAAGAGCAGACGGCCAGGGCTTTTGTCCAGGACTTGGAATGGGCGCCACCATTCAACGGCAGGGCTCGTCGGTTCTACCGCACTGGCGACCTTGGATACCAGGCTGACGACGGTCTCTTTTTCTGCCGTGGGCGTAGTGACCATCAAATCAAGATTCGAGGGCACCGGATCGAGCTTTCTGATGTCGAAAGCAACATCAGGGCGTTGATGCCGCAAGCAACCCGCATCGTCGCTGACGCCATTCTGCTAAGGGGAGGCACGAAAGCGCTGGTGGCTTTCCTGCAGTTCGATGCAACTTTGTCGTCAAAGGAGCAGAGAACTCTCATCAACAGTCTGAAAGAAAAACTTGTCGAGAAACTGCCCCTAGCATTCATACCATCTTCATTCGTTGTTGTCGATCACATTCCACTGGGTCGCACAGGAAAGGCCGACCGTAGGACGCTAAGAAACAGCATCGTGGCTGACAGCATGTCGGAGCTTCTCAGCATCAAGACTTTAACGATAACCACACGATCCGCGAACGAAACAAAACGCAGCAATTTTCTCAACGTGGAACCAGTAGCTGAGAGCCTCCTTGACCGTGGCCAAGAGACACGTGCGCCGCAAACTCCGGCCCAAGGTGCATTGCCCGCAATGCACAGCGAAATATTGCGCGGGTTGTGGGCGGCAGCTCTACACGTAGGTGCCGCCGAAATCCTCCCAACGTCTAATTTCTTTGCACTGGGCGGCGACTCGCTCTCTGCAATGAAGCTGGTATCGCTATCGCGGAAACAAGACGTCCAGATTCTCGTCAGTGATGTATTCAAGTACCCTAGCTTCCAGGCAATGGCCAGCAGGCTTCAAGGTACCACGAACAAGCTGAAACCGATATTTGTTGAGAAGACAGGTTCAGGTGGCGAGGCCGACCCAGAAATCATGGCTAGTTATGCAGAAGAATGTTTGAGGAAATGCCTCCCAGAGGGTGTAGAGTGCGCCATAGCTACCCTTGCGCCTCGGAACAAACCGGCGGTACTCGTCGCCTTCCTGGACTTGCACCTTGACACAATGCACGATACCTTTGATGGCCAAGTTGCGAAGATACGACGACAGTTAGAAGAGGAGCTACCTAGAAGCTGGCTTCCCAGAGCCTTTTATCCAATGCCTCGGTCTGACCAAGCTGAACCTCCGAGCCAGGTCATGAATACGTCTTGTAATCTAGTGTTGACATCTAATGATGAACAGCTCACCCAACGTGCTGTTGCTGTTGATGATGTCACAACCATCACACCATATCAGAAGCGGGCGGTAAAGCTTATGCAACGAATTCGTGGCCATGCCACTTTCATCCGCCAATTTACAATCCTGCCCGAGATGGACATCGACCGCCTTGTCACAGCGTGGGATCTGGTTTGTTCCCGATTTCCCAGCCTACGCACTCGCGTCGTTCTCGGCTTACAAGATCGGCGGCCACGACTGGTCACAATGTCGACCTGGGAGAAGCTCAAGGTCTGCCACTACAGCAATTCCGCAGCAGCTGAGGCCGATTTGGACAGCATGCGACTCGCAGCCGGTAGTTTTAACTCAACACTCGCACGAGCCGCCATTGTCCACATCGCCGACGGTGCGGGGGGTCTGCCTATCTTCGCATGCGCCATGAACCACCTCATCTACGACGCGGTCTCGATCGCGAACTTCTGGCGAGCGCTGAGCGAGTCGTATCGGACCGGTTGTGTCTCACAGATTGTCGAACTACCCTTCCGCCGGCTCACCGAGTACCTCGCTGGCCTCGATCCGAAACCGGCGCGCTATTTCTGGAAACAATACCTCGACGGTGCACCGCCCAGCCCCTTCCCTGCAGTCGTCAAGACGACCAGCACGGTAGGGCCAGGGACCCCCGCGGCCGTCCGTCCCTCCATGGCGGCCATGGAGTTTCCGTTCGCCCGTGGGGGATCGCGAATCACGACGACTACCCTAGTCCGTGCAGCATTCGGCCTCACCATCGGTAGTTACACGTGTTCTACCGATGTTACATTCCGTGAACTGCTGTGGGGGCGTAGCTTACCCATCGATGGCATAGAGAGCGTAGCAGGTCCCACCTGCAACCTCGTGGCGGTTCGCGTGCGCATCAGCGACGACGACGACATGATGACGATTTCCGACCTTCTCGCTCAGATCCAGGAAGATGGGGCTGATATCCTCGAGCATGAAACGCTCGGCTTTGATGCAATTTCAGATTTGAGCCCCGGAATCGCCCGCGTCATTGACAGTTTCAACTGCCAGCTCATTGTACGCCCGCCGGTCGATGAAAACGGGTCGGAGCCGGCACTCCCGATGAAAGCGGCGTCATGGTACGAAGACCTCACGGGCTCTCTTGCCCTAGTCCTGACATGTAGGCTTCAGGCCAATGGAATGATGGTATTCCGCGCGTTACACGACCTTGATGTTCTAGATGGTGCGGGGACAAATAGAATGCTTACTAGGTTTCGTCAATTCCTAGAAGCCTTGTCAGCGGCCGAGAGTTCCGGGACAACATTGGGTGTGCTGAGAACGACTGCTACGCAATTTGAGTAGCTTCGAGTTTGCTCAGTCGTAACTATAAGACGACTGGATGCGTATATGCGAGCAAGCAGCTTTAAGCCCCAGCGTTGACCTTTGAACAGGCAACACACTCGCTGTGGTCTCCAAATCCTCACTCCATTTTCCCTCTGAATTCTTTTAGAAGATGATTCAAACCTTGCGCTGGTGCTTCTCCCCTGCTTCTCTATCTGCAAATAAGAAGGACATAAGATGTCAGTACAGCGTGGTTCAGTCAGCGACTATCGTCGCTGACTGGCGGAGTGCAACGAAGTAGAAAGACTCGGTGATTAGCATTTGAGCAGTCAATGGAAGATCTACGACCCAGTGATATAAGTTTTGAGGTTGGAAGAAATCCAAGAATCGAGAGTAGAGGCGTCTGTCAATCCCATATAAGGAATATAGTATAGCCAAGTAATTGTATATTTTTACCACTTCGTCTAGGTTCCAAATTCGTCCAAATGGTGATTTTCTTTAATAGATTTATTAATAATGTACAGAGAGGAGGAAAATCATCCTCAAATAGACTGGCCGCCTGCGCGAGCTGGGATGCTGGTCTTAGGTACTAGCATGTAAGAATACTATAGCTTAAGCAGTTATCGATGAACATGTAACTATCCCGAGCGCCCGTCCAACTTTAAATCTGACAAGGAGCAGCCAGTATCGGACAATGATGCTTGCAGTGCTTGTTCGCACCACGTCTCCAACCAACCATCAACATCATCAGCAGTTAGTCGCTGTTGGAGTGGAAGGCTAACTTATAGCCCTGAAGGTTCACATCGCGTAGACAAAAATAGAAGGGTAAAATGAAGAATACGAGTATCAATATCGGTCTACTTAAGTTGGCTGGCATCTACTTTCTCCCAGACTTAGTCAAATGGTGCCCCAACCTCCCTGTCTAAACCTAGCGAGCTACCTCACATTTGATGTATTAGGTTCGGTCAGCTGGCTCATTCCCATTGATAGACCGGTTACCGAGCATAAAGTAAGTACTCCCATTTTAGACCACATTTGGTACACGCTGCAATTCCACACCATGCTCTGTTACAAGGCTAAGTGACTCCGCGGCCGTTTGGGCAAGCTTGACTCGCTCGGGGTTCCTGGCCTCAATCCTGTACTTCTTGTATTCGGTATATATTTTCCTGTCTTCATCCTCCTCTCGGCCTTCATCTAATGGTGGCAGAATATTGGCGGCCCATGCCAGCTTAGCGAGCATAATCGTTACCACGCGCACACCGAAGTCGTCACCGGGACAAGCGCGCCTACCATAGCCAAAGGCAGCGAAGTTCTGCGTGTTGGGGTGCACAGTCAGAGGCTCCTTGTATGTCGGGTACGAGGGATCCAGATAGCGTGCAGGATTGAAACCACCTCCGTCCGGATATATTTCTTTATCCACTAGAACCTGCCTGTTTACTGTCAGCTTGGCCCCTACTGCAGCATGTTACTGTTAATGGCTGGAAGAACGCACGAAAAGTTTGTGTGGAACACGGTACCCTTCTCAAAGAAGTATCCTTCGTAGATATCGTCCTCTTCGAGACGACGAGGAATTCCTGCTTCCCTCACGCAGCCTCGGCAACGAATCCCGTCTTTGACGATTGCCCTAAGTGTAGGAAGGTTGGGAAGATCCTCAAATGCTGGCATTCTATTCGAATCACCAACAACGCTGTCAATCTCGTGCTGTAGTTTCGTTTGCCACTCGGGATGCTTTGACAACAAATACATGGTTGTAACCAATGAGTCATGAGGATTATGTATGCCGGCACCAACCATCGCTTGATATGTGTAGACCACCTCTTCGTCCGTGATAGTGTACTCATCCCGGTTTGTGAGAAAGTGTTTGTATATGGATTCCCTCGTTGTGTTTTGAATTCTGCGTCTCACTGATATCATCTGCTCCACGTACGACTTTCGGAGGGTCTCGATCTCTGCTAAACTAGGGTGTAACCAGGAAGGCAATTTCCCCAAGATAGGAAAAGTATTGCTTGGGAAAATATCAATGCGGAAGCCATCGACAAATCTGTCCCTAAATTGCTCAAACTCACGGACATATGAATCAGAGACTGAGCCGACTGAAAACCCCATAAGTGAGCTGGTAAGAACGGAGTAGCCATATCGAACAAATATGTCGTCTGACGGCGTCGGCGTGGGTGACTGGAGCAGCTGATGAAGGGTAAGAGTTGCTTCATCATCCATCAAATCTCTGTACTTCTGATTGGCGGCGATGGAAACGGCGCTCTGCATGAAATTTCTCTCACGGCGGCATCCATCTATCTTGCCGTTAGTACAGATACTAAAACTAAGCCGCTTCGTCGAGAAATAAAGAAGGGAGTAACCTACCCTCTTTCAGTGGTCTCAGAGCAGGGTTCTGGCCCATTGTGGCTGTTGTGACGGCGTGGGGCGCGTGGCGATCCGAATACTTGCCCGATCTCTTTATGTAGAGGTCGCGTGCCACCTTGTCATCAGATAGAATCACTTGTTTCTCATTGCCGACGGTGAACTGAACGATGGGACCATGCTCCTTTGCCCACTTCCGGAAGACGGCTGTGTTTGCACCCTTGGCGGCTGCCAGCTCAGGAGCATTACCGACAATGGGCCATCCTACTCAATCAATGTCATTAGCAATTTCACAAAATTCGACTGTAATTAAATGCTGAATTACCTCTGGGACCCGGTGGTGGTTTCGCCCCTTTCATGCGCCGACGCTTCGAGATGACTCTGACAATATGGTACACCACAGCAACTGCAAGGAGTGCCAGCCACCACCTATTGGATAGTAAATCCATATTGAGTATCGAAAAGTTCATATTGGAGTAGTCTTGAAAACTCAATCCTGCTACTCTTCTGAAAAAACAAAGGGCCATATACTAATTCATGTTGCCGGGGCGAGTACTGTCTCCGCCTATCTATTAGAGGGTCGTACCTGAGGGGCCTCTTTGTAGAAAGGCCGAAATGTGTTGGCGCAGGTTGAGTATGACATTAGGCGGCAATGCATTCGGACTGCGGCGAGTTACGAGACAAGAAATTCCGAGCTCAGATACGGCAAGTTTAAAACCGAACTAGAACGGTAAGGATTTACCTTAACTAGTCGCTTAGCAACGGTAAACAAGAATCCGGCTTGAATCACATCAGAGTTGGCTCATTGAACTGATACATCTATTGGGTGTGCCTTTATTAGCGTTCCAGACTCTTGAAAATCATTCGCCGGACCCTGATAAACACTTGCTGTGAACAGAGATGCCCCTTGAGCCACAAATGAGTCAAAATTATATCGTATCAATTCTCTGTAGCCCAAACGATTATGGAGTCAAGCTCAAAGACTGCGTCTGATAGCGTTTTATTGCATTTCTGCTATCATGATTCAGATCGGCGAAGCCCTGTAAACTTCATGGTAGGACAGCTTGTGCATAGCGTGGTCTTTTGAGGTCGTTCATACACGAGACTTGCTCAGAAATTAATTTTCCACTGATTGGAAATCCTACACCTATGAAGAGGCCTTTGACCGCTGGAGGAATTGCAGGTCTACCGTCTCCGGCTTCCATATCCGTAGGGTGAAAGTAATGCCACTGTCCTCGATAACCCCACGTGTTCGTTCCCTCGCCTGCGTCAAATTTTCCCCTTGGCGCGGACTGATGGCTATCCTGTGCTTCCACAAAAGTGCTGATACGGTCGCAACAAATTCAACCTGAGAAAACTTCTTACCCGGGCAGATGCGTGATCCGTCCGCCCATGGTATATACGAGCCTCTGATCGGAGCGTTCACTAGTTCCTCGGAATCGAGAGTTTCTCTCGTCGATAAGAATGTAGATGGCCTCGAGCTCGATTGGATCCAGCGATTGGGCTTCCACAACATGCAGTCCTCGCCCCAATATTCAGTGTTGGTCTGCAGTGCGATCACATTTGGATAGATGTGAGTATGTGGAGGAATCGTGATCACCCGATCGTCTAACAGCAGTGTTGCCGGTGTGTTTCCAGTCCATTTTGGTATTTTCAGTGCTGGTGGGTAAAGCCTCAACACCTCGTACTGTTTGTCCAATTAGTCACTATAGCACCATAAGCTAAGGTCTTAGTCGTCGTGACCCACCATGACAGCACGGCAACGCTTTAGCTTTGGATACAATTCTTCGTAATCCAACGTTTCGATACTTTCGTGCGCCTTGAACACCTCGTCAATCTCGGCTCCTACCCATTCCTGCCATTCCGGAAAGGCGGCAAGGAGATATATCGCATACTCCAGTGTTGTTGCCATAGTTTCATGACCCGCAAAGCTAAACATGAATAAATTCCCGTGAATTTCAGAGTCGCTCAGACTGTTTTGTGAAAGGGTTTCGTCTTCAGAGTTTTCCATCTGCACGTCACGGGCCCTGCGCACCAAGTTGCTGAGCAGATCGGCGTCAGTCGATCCATGTTCTTTCGCTTTAACCTTTGCCGCAGCAACCATGTCTTGCAGATAGCGTTTTAAATCAGCTACCGCCATTTTGTATTTTGTTAGCTTTTTCGGGAGCCAGGGCAAAGAGAAAACACTTGCTGGAACGACAAAAACCATTAACACATCGCTCATGCAAGTTTCAAGCGCATCCCGGTAACTCATGCCAAACCCATCCTTCCTGTCGTCAAGAGAGTCGCGAAACGAGTAAGTCATGCCAAAACCAGCGCACATTAGCACATTAAGCGCTAGCTTCGCCGTGTCGCGAAGTGTAGTGGTCACATTGGTCCCCCCGATCTTCGAATTCCAGTGCTCCAGCATCTGTACTGACTGGCGCAGCGCTTCACCCCAGACGAGTTGACTATTCCGCTCGTTGAATGGTGGTGCGGTTACTCGTCGATGACGTTGCCAATCAGATCCTTCGCTCTGTTCAGATGTTAGAGATTGAGCGTTAGTTGCAAATCAGAGGATTATGGGAGCTCACCGAGATCACACTCTGTCCAAAGACATCAATCAACTCTGTTTCTAGTCAGTCAGGGATAGTCTGTTTCTAACGGAAAACATACTAGCTAGCTCAAGCGGCTTGAGAAAATCCTTCCGCCGAGAAAGTATGAAGTCAGTCGCAGCCGCATCTCCAACATGTAAATCATTTCCTGATGGTGAGACAACGATGAAGACCTTTCCCAGCTCCTTGTGTGCCTTGTTCTTGTCCGACCAATTCCATCCCCGCTTTGTGTACCTGACGAACCTTCCAAGTCCAAAGGGCAGCGTTTCAAGGAAAGACCCCAAGAATCGTTGAAGCACCAGCCATGCGAAATCATTCTCCCCGACAGGACTGATCACATACGGTAAATCCATACCCTTTGCGATGTTTCGATATTTCACGAGACAAAATGCCTTCCAAGCTACCCAAGCCAAGACGGCTAACAACATCAAAAACAACATATCTATTTGTTCGAGTAATTTTCTCGAATAACAAGAACTATCTAATACAAGTCTGGTCGTAGGCAGGGTGATGAACGGCCTGATCTAAGCCCCAGGATCGATATGCAGACAGGCTTAAGCTGCGACTGAACAAAAGAAGCAGTAGTGATACTGTTTGGTGTCTGTCACCGTAAGAATCGTATGACCACACTCACTTTCCAGTCGATTAGTCGCGGTTTTGAACAGTGCGTCAATATCGATTTTGATATTCCTTAGAATTGAGACTAAAAATCACCACGTTCTTCCCTATAGCAACATCGAGCCACGGATGATGTGAGTAGTTCCTTGTATGGATTTGGAAATTCCGAGATCTGTAGGGGTGTCCTGGATAGAGTCTAGCGCAACTCTTTTGAATGCGTAATCTAGACCAAAAGTGGTAATAACCGACTCCGAGTGCAGCAACTGTCTGTTTGCCCCATAAATAAGCGCAACAAGATGGAGAAAACCAGATAATTGATAGCAAATCGGTTGGTTAGATCTAATTTTGATCAAGCATCTTTGCAATGTTCGGACTTGCCCAGATGGGTATCAAATAGGCAGTGAGATGCAATCCTTCGCGGTCTGATTTGCCGCGCCTAGGACTAATAACAGTAACACCGCAACAAAAGCATCCTATACATTGAGTAGTATGAAGAACGTGATGTCATACTGAGAGGATGGTTGAGGTTTATCTTGAGTCATAGGTTCTTCGAGCGCTGCAGATACAGCTTAGGTAAACTGAACATGGTCCAGTTCAACGGGCCGCACGGCAAGATCAGTGACGACTACTTGCGCAATGCGCGTCTCAATCCACCAACAGAGCCCACCCAGACGTTCGAGGGAAAGACAGTGCTTGTTACGGGATGTAATACAGGTGTAGTATGAACTTAGCCAGATCCAATGAAATCACAGTCAAAGAGTAATATGGATACTAAGACAAGACTGAAAGGGTTACGAAGCTGCCCTGAGGATCGCTGCCTCGGGGTGCAATAAGTTGATTCTAGGCACTCGCACGGTTGCCAAAGGAGAGGCAACCAAGAGCAAGATTCTTGGCCAGGTCTCATCGCTGGAAAGTCATAGCATCGAGGTCTTCGCGGTCGAGTACACTTCTTTTCTGTCAGTCAATAAGTTCGTCGCGGCGGTCAAGCGGTCTACGCAGACCCTAGATTGCGCGATCTTGAGCGCCGGTGTGGTCTTCCCTGAACAGCAACTCGGCGAGGATGGTTGGGATACCGCGATCAAGGTCAACGTGCTCTCGACCGCGTTGCTCGCCATCGAGCTGCTTCCACTCCTCAAAGCGACGCCCAGCAGCGTGTTAGAGTTCGTCAGCTCCGTATCGTATTGCAACGTGACGAGCGAAGACCTCGCCGCCATTCTACGAGAACCTTCGGCAAATACCCTTCAGTTCTTCAACGATTCTCATCGGTGGACAAAGCAGAGAGGTTACTGCGAAGCAAAACTCCTCTTGATGTTGTTTATTCGACAATTAGCGACCTCTCTTGGTGGGGAAGAGGGAAGACCTGGGAATTTTAAGAGCCCGATTGTCCTGGCTTGTTGTCCTGGTCAATGTAAGACAGATCTATTCAGAAACTTTCCATCGAGCGCAAGGGCATACATTGATGCAATTGGTGCGAGGTCTGCTGAAGAGGGATCCAGGACGCTAGTGTCTGGTTTGCTACAAGGTGAAAAAGCAAATGGGAGGATGTGGGTGAATGACCAATTTGATGACTGGTCGCCGGGTTTGTCCGAAAAGGAATGGGAGGCCCTGCAGCAACGAGTATGGGTAGACTTGTTAGCTGCCTTAAGAGAGCACAGCACAGATGTTTCACTTTAATTAAGAGGGGCGATGATGAAATACTCGATATTCCCCATAATGGGTTTCCCACACCAGCGCCTTCTTGTTTCAGCGAAATTTTACGGAAGGGGACAAAAAGCGCCAGGAGAAGTCCTTCCCACTAGATTAAATATAATAACCTTTCACGAAGACCTGAGACTCGTAAATATTTCGCCCGAATCAATTGTGTGAGGTTCAATAACAGGCGTTGACATCATATAATTTCCGTACTTTGGCATTCTCTTGGACAGATGCGTGCATGAAGTGTAGTCCTGAAACAGAAAGCATTAAACCCACAAGCATAGTACTGGCATCTAGGCTACATTCTGTAACAGGCTCCTTGTTACATCGGTATATCAAAGTTTCATGTAGGCCATACAAGCAACTGACAAGAAAGTGAGTTATAAAATTAGTATATTCCTACATGACCCCTAGATATTCACCCTAGCCATATACTGATATCACAGGGCAGAGATAACCTTAACCCGTAATCCCTTTGAGTTCAGCTTAGGCGAGGGTACAAAGAAGTCATGAACCATCTCGACGTCTGAGCGGTCGGTGCCATAAAGCTCAAATGTGAAGCGCCGGAAAAGTGTCGCGAGCGCCAAGTGAAGTTCTACATATGCCAAACTGTGAGGCCGCGAGTCAGCAAACCGTACATGGGGATTAAATGAGTGAACTGACTTGATTCCGATGCAAGCTCTGGGGCCTTTGCCGAACGGGACAAAGTAATGATTGAGGCTATCGCCCTCTGCAGTTTTTGGGTTACCTAACCACCGCTCTGGGACGAATGAACGAGGCTGTGGGAAAACCTTCTCATCGTAGAGAACATCAGTTGTCGTCATTGAGACAGGCGTGCCTGTAGGAATTTCCCAGCCTTTATACCTCATTGGTGCATTTGGGGAAATACGCGGGAGCCGGACCGAGACACCAGATGAAAGTCGAATCCCTTCTTTAATACAGGCACTCAGATACGGAAGCTGTTCCAAGTGGACTGAGGTTGGTATAGCTGTGGCGTCAGGAATAGCTTCTTGGAGTTCGGCCCGCAATCTCTCTAGAGTGAGCGAATTCTCGAGAAGGTAATAGACAGTCGTGGTCAATGCCCAAGCCACCGTCTCTAGACCAGCTCCTATCATTTGCTGTGCCTCAGCACCCAGCCGGCGAGTTGTCTTCTCCTGTGATGGAAGATCGCTTTTAAGTAGCGCATCGAATATGGTCGGGTGACGAGACTTGATCTGAATCTTATCATTGTTGGTTTTGACAATTTCTTCAATCTTACCCCTCAGGTCCTTGTTCCAGTAATTTCAGCTAAGCAAGACATGGAGCGAGGGACAAATAGGCGCACCTGTTGTAGTAGCAACATACGATGTATGTTAGGTGCTACCCTCTTGACTAACCAGGTCGGACAGAGTCCCATTATCTGCCGAGGTGAGCAATGAAGTTCAATGAGATCATAACACAAGATCACTGTACTCACTATGTAGGACGCAGGAAAGTGCAAAGCGACATGCGCGAATTTGCGTACAGCCTCGTAAGCTAGGTGGAAATTATCCTTGAAGTCGGCCGAACCCAAGTGATTGTAACAAAACCCAAAGCAGTATGATGTGATAACGTCACCTGCAAACGCGTTAAACGCATTACTCAGAACTAGCACATCTGCGTTCTCTTTAGCTGTCGCAATGCACTTGCTCAAAATTTCGACCTTCTCCTGTACGACAGGCTCCACCTTGGTGATACTCCGCTTGGAAAACATGGGATTAAGGGGAGCCCGACGAATGGCATGAAGGTCGCTTTTGGCTGTCGAAGATGTCGTCGTGTTGGCCCCAAATCTTCCTAGCATCCATTCATATCTTTCAAACTCCTTGGAACGAGTATAGAGCTCGTCCCAATAGTTGCTGTCTTCGATATGTAGCTCATGTGGATTGATACGGACAATTGGACCTGCAAAAGTCAGAAACAAGACGAGCACAGTGGACATCAGGCTAATTATACCATATTCTCTATGCATCTTCTGGATCTGGAAAGTAAACTGGCCCCGCCGTATGACATCGTAGTAAAACTCATACCATTTCGAAGCCGCCGCAATTTTCGGTCCGGGGAATTTGGCAAGGGGACTAAGATACAACCGGTAGTATAAAAGACCAGCCAAGTATATGATGCAAATACAACCAACGAGAATAGCGGCAGATAAGGCAGCTGATGACTGCACGAAGCATAGATAGCCCATGACGAGGATGATAGATTCGGCGAAGGCAAATGCATGAGCTGTACGGCGATGGTAAGGGTGCATGTTAATTTCAACCGCCTTTAAAATAACTCATAACGCCCCTATAAGGAATATAGCGACATAGAATTCGGGGTAAGGTATGGTAGCGTAGTATACTCACCCCAGTTAGTTGAGCATGTGGGCCCGCCTCTCGGAAGGGACTTCATCTGGAAAATCCGGGCACCCTGCTATGTGAGGAGGCGGAGAGGCAGAAGGGCCGAGCAAGCCAACTGCCATAGATAGTTGTTCACCCTACTAACTCGTTGCTAATTGCTCCATTGATTGAACAGCATTTGGCATTGTCTCGCTGTTGACTTGAAAGCTATTTCACGCCCGCTCCATTTCTTATTCAACCAAACCAACCCCCAATGAGTTTTGTATGCGCAGCTGCCACGATGCTTTCCACAGCCCCACTTGTGCTTGGGGTAAGTATCGTGATAGTAAGTCCACTCGATGATATGCTTTAATCTATTAGCTGACGATTTCAACGATTATCTATTGGCTTTGACAATCTACAATAGATTCTTCCACCCTCTTCACGAGGTTCCCGGTCCCTTCATGTGTGCGATATCATGGCTTCCATGGTACAGGTACTGGTTTTCAGGACACATGCACCTCGAGGTTTTGAAATTACACGAAAAGTACGGTCCTGTTGTGAGGTTGGGCCCCAGTGAAGTCTCGTTCATTGATGCGGCGGCATGGAACAACATCTACAGCTTAAAGCGATGTCGGCAAATAGAACGATGCCCAAAGTCATTTCCAGCGCTCACACCCCACGGCGCAAAATTCGACTTGCTCACTTACAATCCATCTGACCATGCAAGGTATCGCAGAATTCTCAACCCGTCCTTCTCCGAGAAAGCAATACGGGAGTATGAGCCTGCCATTCATCGGAATACAGATAGAATGATATCAAGGCTCTTTGAGAGTGTTCTTGATGAGGGTCCGAATCTCAACATCACAAGATGGCTACAGTGGCTTACCTTTGATATGGTTGCTGATGTCGTCTGGGGTGAGCCATTTGACTGTATTACAGAAGGCCACAGCCATCCATGCCTAGCACTGTCCATGGACCTGGTCTCTTTATCGTCGTTCATTGTCTTCGTTGCTTGGTGGATAGCACTGAAAGACTTCTTGATCAAACTTTCGGGAGTCGAGAGAATGTTTATCGAGATGGTCCGTTCTAAGTGCGAGGCCAACTTAAATTCGGAGTCCAAGAAGAAGGGGGTTTTCTGGAATCTAGCCAAAAGTGGAGGACCATTGAATATAAACGAGCTGGACGGAAATCTGAGCGCTCTTGTCATCGCGGGGAGCGAAACAACAGGCTTCGTCTGCACGTCAGCATGCTTTTACCTGGCGAGTCACCCAGCATCCTTCCGAAAGGTGGCCACAGAAGTGAGGTCAGCATTCTCGTCCGAAAAGGAGATCAATGACGATCGCCTGAAGAAACTACCTTACCTTCGGGCCGTCCTAGAAGAGACTCTGAGAATGACTCCAGCTGAACCAAACGGTTTAGCGAGAAGAGTCGTCGCCGAAGGCATTGATATCGGGGGCAGATATATCCCTAGAGGGGTAAGAATATACCTGCAGAGATATTGTACAATGATAAGTTCGACTAACACGTTGTCAAAGACTGCCATCTACGTCTCTCAGTTCGCCGCCAACCGCTCTTCGACACACTTTCACCTTCCGCAGGAATTTCATCCTGAGCGATGGCTCAATGATCCTAGTTTCCATAACGATAAGCTCGAAGCCGTTCAACCTTTCATTATGGGTGTCAATGCATGTATAGGGAGAGGGCTGGCCTGGATGGAAATGAGATTGATCATGGCGAAGATGTTGTGGAACTTTGATTGGACCATAGATTCAAGTGAGGGCAAGGCATTCGAAAGGGCGAAGGCCTGGCATGTCTGGATGAAAAACCCATTACAAATCACGCTGTTGTCGAGGCATAATCTGCCAGATCCAATAGTTGATAGTACTGAGGAGTGCGGATGAAGTTTTGTAGTTAGATTCTTAGAGCTCAAGTGTATAGCGTGGGGGATGCCACAGAGCACTCATACGAACACAATTGCACGATCCGCGTCAGCTCTGAAACCAGCCGGTATAATTATTGATATCACGTAGAACAGACAAGCAACTATAAAACAGCATAAATTTCACAGTGTAGACAAACTAGCAATCGAACACCACTGACACTGATTAAAGAAACATTGTCATTGTTATTATTATTATTAAATACGCCGTAGGACTCTAAGTCCCTCGGTACCTCTTCGAATTACACCGTGCGGTAAACCTTGCCTTAAGGGCTGGACAAAACCCGTACGCTTCGTGTGCTCTACGCTCTAATAGCGTCTACGTTATAGTGTCTGTAATGCGACGTTGGTTCTCACCTAACCAACGTAACTACCCCTGAAAAGACTGGCTATCCCCGATATAGGATAGTCTCCCCGTTTGTAATAGCCACCGAACTAGAACCTTCGACACTTTCGGAATTAACGTGGCCGCGGCGAGGTCGCGGCGTGTATCTAGTCTTACCGGAGCTATAGAGCTCCTTAAGCGTGCTTAAGCCTCTTCTAGTAGCCCGCAATATAGGAATACGTGTACGACTGTTTCAAGGGCTTCGCCGCAGCGGTAGAGGGGTGTATACGCTCCGAACGCGTCTATTCTAAATAAAAAGGCTGCGAGTCCTATCCGTTCAGACCGGATTTGGAAGAATATCGTGGCTTCTTTCCTCTTAAACTTCTTATACTGTTTTAGACCGGTTCTAGGGGCTTCATCGGCTAATGCTCTACGTTGGCGATCATCTTGCGAAGCGTTATCGCTTTGTCTACGCTTTTGCCAGTGTCTAGAGAGAGCTTGTCGTATATCTGGTCCTTCGGCCCATCTTAGTGCTCGTTCGTACTTCTCGATCGGGTATGTTGCTAGGCGTAAGGGAAGCGGTAACGGCTTTCTCCGCCTAACCGGCTTCGCTTCTCGTAGTATATGCGTCGCCTTTGCGCAAGCGGTGCGTAATAGCTTGTCGGTCTTTTTCTTACGAATCCGTAGTTCGAACTTCGTTGTTTGAGCACTTAAATAAATGTCTAGCGGCGGGATCACTGATTTAGCTTTAAGTATCCGCGTTAGTATAGCCTTGTATACGCCGCAAATAGCGCGTAAGCACTCGTTTTGGGAGCTCGCTAATGCTTTGACCGGGCTTACGGGTCTCTCGTTGATAGTGTGCCACGTAGCCGCTCCGTATGCAAGGGCTGTTCGTATCACTACCGTATATAATAGCCTTGCTCGTAGGAAATCTATTCCCCACGCCATTCGTACGAGCTTCGTAAGGGCTAGCTTTTGTGTAGCGAACTTCGATTTTACTCTCTCTATATGGGCGTGCTAATTCAGTTTCCTATCGAACCAGACGCTAAGGAACCGCGCTAACACAACCGGCGTTATAGCTACGTTTCCGAGGCGAACTCCTAGCGTTAACGGGTCTCTGGCTCTTGTAAAGTGTATAAGCTCGCACTTTTCTGGCGCGAAGTCCATGCCATGCCTGGTTGCCCATGCCTTACACGTTGTCCACGCTACTTCTAAGTGTGTACAGGTTGTCTTTGTATCGTGGCCGACGCTAAGTAGGTTCGTGTCGTCGGCGAACCCTACTATAATTAGCGATGGGTGATTTGCTACTAGCTCTTCGTACAAGGTAGAGATATAGAGTAAGAATAATATAGGTGATAGTGGGGAGCCCTAGGGGACGCCCGCGTTTAGTGAGAAGGGCGTGGACTCTTCGCCGTCAAAGCGTAGCCTAGCCGTCCTATCCTTTACGTAGCTCGTAACCCATGCTCGGACCTATTCCGGAAATCCCTTCTAGGCTAGGATCGCGATTAACCTGGTATGATTAACTGTGTCGAACGCTCCTTTTATGTCTAGTTATAGTAACGAGGCGATGCCTCCGCGCCGCCACCTGGAAACTCTTATATTGCTATATAATTCAGATAGATATTATACTGCTTTATAGACCTATACTACTATAAATATAGGTTAGAAACGGCACAAACCAATAAGATACCTCTAGGGGCTCTTAAAGGTGCTTAATAGAGCTATTAACGCCTCTAGGTTTGCACTATAAGCTAGCCGCAACTACAGCCAGTCTATAAGCCAACCGACATGCGCATCCGTCCTCTCCAACTACGATACGGTCTCGTCTTGCTCCCGATTCCTCCACGTTCCTATACGCGATAACGTCTTACCGGCGATACCCTGGTTAACTAACGACGCCCTTTGGCGTAACCGAATGCGACTACTTTATCTAATTCCTGTTTATAGCCGGTTCCAATAACCAAACCACCCTTAGTACGAGCAAGGAGAATTCTGCTATCGTTGTCGAATCGCTTACGAATCGCCTGCTTCCCGTCACCGTATCGCACCACGGCCTAACGCTAGTTCCTAGGCGCGACCCTAGGAGCGTCTTCCCGTTGCCATTACTGTCTCCAGAGAATGGCCGACCATGTCTTGCCACGCTGCCCTCTCGAGCTACCACGCCGGCATAGCTCGAGGTATATACGTGACTAACCGACCCCGATCCACCCCGTATACACTATAAGAAGCGGTGCGCTGTAACTAAGCAGGCGGCCGGCCGTAGCCACCTCGTAGCCTTAACGACCCCGTATTTACTATCCTTAACAACTTCCTTTACTCCTTATAGGTTCGTCAGCTTGCGTTCGGCGCCCTCGCGTCGGGACTGTTACGACGCCCGGCGGCTCAGAGCCCGGCGGGGCCTAAGGGTGTCCTGTCGTTAATCGAGAACCGAATGACGTCGGATGGTTCTTAACCAGATTCCCTTGAGAAGAAGAGCGTAAATGTTCACAGTCGTGTTGTGATCGTATTGCCGTCGATTCGACACCGCGTCGACTTGCTTCCGTAATCGTCGGTCGGGCGCGTGTGAAAATTTTTTGTGCGGAGAAAATCCCTCACTTCTGACCATCTCAACTGACTCAACTTTAACGACCTCTCCACGGCTGCGTAACACCGGCGCCTCGATACACATACGTGCATCGCGTTTCTGATTTAGCAATCTTTAATTTGATACCAAATTAAAGAGGTTCCCAGCTGGCGCCGCGGGGAGGCATCAGAATCCGACTTCGCCCTTGTCATTATGATAATCCTGCCAGGTCTTGTTTAAGTGGAATAAATGGCACACAATTATTAGAAATAAACATATTCCTTATCTTCCGTTCTCGTGGCCATCTGAAGCTAGACTGAAGACACTGATCACTAATGTTGAGGTACTGTCACTAGCGTATCAAGACGCGTTTAAAAAGTTACCGTTAAGGACCGGAACAGTACGGCGTAACATCCCCCTAGGTTATTCCAATGACTCGCCATTATCCTCATTCAACTACTCTCAAGAGATACTTGCCATTCTTATAACTTAATATGTGAAGTCGTCATCGCCTGTATGACTCTACCTGTTGCTTCAAGCATGTAATCATCTTGAATACAGTTGCAACACGAAGAATGTGTGAATGGCTGGGTTAAGCCCCTTCTAGCGATACAAGCACAACTATTACGCTGCTCCGAAAACATTTCATGCCTATTAAGCCCGGCGCCGCCGGATAAACAAATTACCTTATCCCAATTCGGATGTAGAAGTTCGGACTTACCCAAGCGAGCTACGCTCTTAACCGAACCATTCCAGTTTAGGTAAACCTCAGTCCCATAATTCGGCATAGGGATGCGAAACACGCTCACTAGCTTATTATTGGTCAGCCTTTTTGTATGGCTTCCAATTCCTACGTTGCTACTCCACAGTCGGTATTTCCGGAAGAAGCGAACTAGCTCAATCCAGGTGAGGCAATACTAGGTGTCTAATCAATATATTCCTCATCTCGGTATCTCGCATGACATATTATCAATTGAGGATGAAGGCAGATGTACTGCAGCTGGAATTTAAAAAGTTGAAGTTCCGACTGAGATTGGAGGCCATTTTTGTGATTGACCGCATTTCTCGCATCGCATTTCCTGTCACAAGGAATGGTGATGTTGCACGCCATGCCTGTGTTATATGATAGACTTGATGCGGTGGTGTTCGCCTTTCGTAATTCCGACTACTGGGATATACTTTGGCGTGCCGCTACCGTCCTGGTGGTTTACAACATTGGGCTTATTGTCCACCGTCTTTTCCTTTCGCCACTTGCCAAGTTCCCAGGACCAAAACTCTTGGCAGCGACACCATGGTACGAAACATTGGTAGATATTTGGAACCATGACTTTCCTGAGAGACTGAGAAAGATCCACGAACAATATGGTAGAAACTCAGAATGAACCATAGTGACATTTCTAACATTTTAATAGGGCCCATCGTACGAGTATCGCCATGGGAGTTACATATAAACGACGCCGGCTTCATTGATACTGTCTTTGCCACTGCTGCAAAACATCGGACCGACATAATTGCACCTCAAGGTTTGGGAATGGATGGTAAGTAGAGAGGCTGGCATATCCAATGTAAACACACTGAATCTCAGCTAATCACAAAGTAGATTCTGTAGGATCTACAGCTCAGCACGATGTGCACCAGATGAGGCGGAAACCGCTCGACAAATTCTTGTCGCGCCAAAATGTTGTGCGCATCCAATCAATGATTCACGATGAAATCAGGGTCCTGGACCGCAAGGTGGCTGTGGCGAAAGGTTCGGGTTCAGCACTCCGACTAGACCACGCGTTCATGGCTTTCACTGGAGATATCGTGGGACAGCTCGCCTGTGGCGAAAGCCCTCGACTGTTAGACGGACCTGGCTTTACACCAGAATGGTGAGATGGCTTCGTTATTTAAATGATACATAGGACCAGCTGACATTCTCTGAGGTACAACATGATACGCGGTGCGGCTCGGATGATTCCGCTGTTACGGCATTTCCCCGTAGTAGGAAGGTGATTCATACAAGACAAGCCTGAAGAACATAGCACTAATAGGCCAAGGTTATCTCAATACGCACCTGTTGGCATCATTAGAGCAATCATTCCAAAATCTACAGGGTTTCGCATCCTGAAACTTGTGCGTACGGACCTAGATTAGCTAAATACCTGTATTATTTCTACTGACCTTACAAGCTGGGGGACGAAAGGATTTCTCGTATCCATGTTGAGGTTCAACGCGAGAAACAGACCCATACTGAGGAGGGCTCTTCTATGTTCCATCACCTTCTCCGGAGTGACATTCCCGAAACAGAGAAGCATCCAATCCGATTATCTGCTGAGGCAACATCCTTTCTAGGCGCTGGCACCTTTCCGACTGCTACTACCCTTACGCTTATCACGTACTATATTCTGGCACAGCCGTGCATAGAGACCCGACTCCGCAAGGAACTTGCAGCCGTCACTTCCGAATTCGACTATCAAGTAAGCTCCCGTTTCCGTTTTTATTCTTCACCGGCAGTTATCGAGACAATAAAGCACGGTACTTAACCAAGAATATCAGGTACCCAGCTGGACCGAGATAGAGCAGGTTGAGTACGTTGGAGCATGCATTAAAGAAGGCCTTCGGTGAGAACAGCAAGCCCCTCACCGCCATAGTACCGTATGAGGAGATAACTAAATCTTGAGAATACCGAAGAATCATGCGGTTATTCCGCCGGAAGTCCCGCATCTCGATTGATCGAGAACTTCAATTTAATGAGTGGACCATCCCTAAGAATGCAAGACACTGGGCCCTGCATTCCAAGACCCACGCTAACAGGTATACCACCAGACCCCGGTGAGTATGTCGCCTTACTCAATGCATATGGATCCAAGTGTGTTCCCCGAACCGTCCAAGTTCAAGCCAGAGAGGTGGCTAAGCGAAAATCTGCATCCCGCCATGGACCGCAACCTGAATCCTTTCCTTAAAGGCTCGAGGAACTGTATTGGCATGCAGTAAGAACGCCCGCTATTGCTTAATCTTTACCGACCTACGGCGCTGATCAGAGCTAATATATGAGTGTAGCGTGGCGTGGGCACAGATGTATCTCATCCTTGCCACATTGTTTCGGCCTAATAAGTCATATCGTCTGAGCCTAGGTGATAGCGACGAATCCGATATCGTGCCGATTATAGACGAGGAGTTTGGAGCCGCAAAGCATGGTGCAAGAGGGCTCAGAACAATGGTAATCTAGATTTACATGGATTGGGGATGCTTTGGACGAACCACGAATCTTACGAACAATAATTCATACATGGAGTCTTTTGATCTATTAGACCAATGCGAGTGCGAAGTAATAAATTGCTTATATCTGTGTATACCATGAAGTTTAATAGCTTAGAGGCTCTGAGTTAAGCTATTCAATAATACTATCATGTGATTGTCGGGAGAGCTCCGCTTCGATGCATCCTTTCGTTATCTTCTTCAGGTCGATGTATGACCATCATAAGGAAACCATTCATCTGTAGGACCACAGCTTACCTGATACGATACTCTACAGCTTTACATGCCACAAGTAATTATAGGAAACAATAATAGGACCCACTGCAATCTATAACTATTGTAAGAATTGAAAAGTTGAAGCAATAACATGTTATCTGCTTAGGGATGGCAAATAGGCAGTATTTGAATCAATACAATGAGATGGAGAGGAACTCTAAATACAATACCATCAATCCTCATAACATAGCTCTGTGATAATTTCCGCTGCTTCAAGTCTACCGTTTCTGTCTCGACATACCTCTCCTAGTTGCGCTGCTCTTCCTCTCATACTCTTACTTTGACCATTCTTCTCGCCAACAGCTTTGAGGAGGGCATCACCGAACTCTCCTCCATCGATCATAAGCGGCGCTACGTAATTATTCATCTTCGTAGAGCAATTTTGACTTGCTACACGATTCCCGTACACACCAATACCGAGATACTCAACGCGCGCCGCGTAGTCGAACGTGTCATACCACGTCGCAAGCACGACCTGAGGAATACCAGCCCTTAGCCATTACAGTTAGTATTTCTTTCCAGGCAAACAACAGTCCGGGAAGAGAGATACATACCAAGCTGACTCGAAATAAGAGTTTGCCCCTCCGTGATGCACAGCGCACAGGATGTGGCCACTTCTCAAGATTGCCACTGGGTCGGCCTTCAACCAGCTCTCAACCCTCACTCTCCCGCTCTCCAAGTGAGGTCCCAGGATTTCCTTCAAAACAAAGTTGCCGCGGGCTTCGGATGATGCCTCAATTTTTAGCTTCCATAACACCTGTATATCCGGCCGTGCGGTGAGGAGGACGCGCAAACCGAGAGCTAGCTCCCGGACTGTTTCTGTGTAGGCCTCAAAATGTGTCCCCAGCGCCATGAGAATGGTCTTCCTCTGCTGTAACCATTTTAGGAGGTCTGAGTCGCTAGAGGCAACAGGTTTGGAGGCGAGGAGTATTGGGCCACAGTTGTGGACATTTGGAGGAACTTTCATGGGCAAGTCAATGGCAGGGAGTGAGGGGCAGATATGGGGAACGTCCTTCACCCATGGCGTGAAGCTCCCAAGAGTCTCGTATATACCACGATCCTTTCGTGCAAGATTTAGCGCCGTGACTTTAGGGTGCCAGGCAGCTTTTCTCACTAGCCAATTACAGTACAGGTTGTCTGCTATTCGACTCCATGGGAGAGGATATGGAAACCCTGTCGAAAATCTATGATACATAGCTTGTTAGTAGGAAGAAGGAGCAAATAATCATTGAGACATACGCAGGATATCTCCAGAAAGCAGAAAACCAAGGCTGTTCAAGCATGAAACCATGGGCCAAAGTACACGGGCTCAGTACTGCGTAATTCCATTTGAAGTGCCGGGACATATCGTGGATAGGAATCAGGAAAGGGTCCAGCACGACCAGTGCCGGACCTAACTCCTTCACTAAATCTGCTGCCCAGTCAAACAGCGATAGATACTCTTCCGGCTCCCAGGTGGCCAGAGCTCTGACCGTAAGGAGGGAAATCCGTGCTGCTCCTAGACGGCCAGGTGGGTGAGGGACGTCGGCCTTTCTTCTGTCCTTGTTCTTTTCCAGGAATACGCCAAATCCGGGGAAAGATGCGAGGTTGTGGAATGTGATGGGCGAAATAGACCGCGACGGGTCGGCATCCTGAACTTCTTGGTAGAGGGTCTTCAGCCGTGATTCTAAGGCGGGCCAGGACGCAATGTGGACGTCGACTCTATTTTGGCGCAGGAGATCGTATATTACGGCTAGGACGACGTTGGACTGACCCGAGTCACTGTTCGTGAAGAACAAGACTTTTGCGCGCTTGGCCATGATCTCTCTCACGCACGAGAAGAAGTTCTTCGACAACTGTGACAGCAATAGCTGTTGGCCAGAAGTATTCCCAACAATTACCAGTCTCAGCCAGTTTCTTGCTCCGGTATAATTGTGCCAGAAACCGGATCTGTGAACATTGCTACATATATCACTAAGTTAGGCAGGTCCGAGTGGTTGGTTATTGACTTATCACCCGCTCGGTCAACCAGATCGAGTACTCTCCCTTGTGGGCACTTTTTATTCTGTGGTCTTTTTAGGAAGTGCAGCCAACGCAATTCCAAAGTGTATGTATTCTGCCATAGGAAGAACGGTAGTAGCACTGGACTTGATGAGCCAACTTATCTGAACTGTTCGATACTGGCCACCTGTACCTGTTATTTGTCGGCACATTGGCCGGCAATAGCCGACGGACCAATCACGTCCGCGAGCGAGCCTCCGGACTTACCTAAGTTGGATTTAGAAACCCAAGATCGTAATGACAGAGAGAGAGACAGGTTCACGAATTCGTTATATATCTCAAATTAGCTCCTTTTGTACTGGGTGCGTGTAGAAGTGACTTATTGCCTAGCACGTCCAAAATCTCACATGCAGTAGTGCAATCAATTCGCATTCCGTCAAGCAACCTCTTTTGCAATTGGTGTGACCCTATCCAATCAACTTCGTTTTTTCAAGTCGCCATGAGTTCTGCAGTGGTCGAGCTCTCATTCGAGAACTCTCGGAAGCCAGCGCGCGATCAGCTGCTTATTCCCGAGCGTACTCGCAAGCGATTTGAAGCAGCAGGTATTGATCTTAGCAACGGCTACCCGGCAATCCCGCCCCCATTTCAGAGCGTTCAAGAAGCCGAGAGCATTTTCTCCAAGGATCGTGACTTCGTTGATCGAGGTACATTTGCCCGCAAAGACAAAAAGGCACTTTTTGAGGCCGCTGAAAAGGTCATTCACCTCACGAATCATGTCGGAACCGAGATCGTCGGTCTACAGCTCAAAGACTTGACAGATGAACAGAAAGACGATTTGGCTCTGTTGATCGCGGAACGGTGTGTGGTGTTCTTTCGTGACCAGGAGATTAGTCCACAGGAGCAAGTCTCCTTAGCTCAATATTTGGGGGAGCTCTACGTACGTATTGTTACATTTGTGACATGGAGATGCACTCGACTAACAACCCGACCATAGCCTCAAGGTGGCCACGTACCAGGGCTTCCGGAGGTGGCGGTCATCTGGCCGGATTTCTTCGCCAAAACCATAAGGAAGCCCGACTATCGTAATCCTTTCCAGGGTTGGCACACGTAAGACAACGTCATTTGGCCCCATCCAACATGAGTCCATCTAATGTTTATGTAGGGACGTGGCGCATGAGCGCTATCCTCCTGGCATCACTCATCTACACATGGATGCCGTACCGGAGTTCGGAGGGGACCTCCTGTGGGCGAGCGGATATGACGCGTACTCCAAGCTCTCACCGAAATTCCGCAAAATGATTGATGGTTTGCACGCTGTGGTAAGATCCCGGGAATCATTTCCAGACCTTGATAAGCCAAATGCAAATCCGAGACCAGCAGAGAGGGTACATCCTCTCGTGCGCGTGCATCCTGTCACTGGGTGGAAGAGTCTGTACCTAAGTAGAGCCTGGACTGTGAGGATTGTAGGGCTGGACAAATCAGAAAGTGATCTGATACTCAGCCACTTGCTCACAGTTTATGAGAACAACGCGGATACTCAGGTCCGGTTCAAATGGACACCGGGAAGCTCCGCGCTCTGGGATAACAGGTTTGTCTCTAGCAATCCAACTTTTCAGGATGCTTTTAGGCTGATGAAGATGTAGAATCTCACTCCACACCGCTAGCTGGGACTATGAGAATAAGGTAGAGAGGCATGGGACAAGAGTTACTATTTTGGGAGAAGAACCTTACTTCGACGAGAAAGCAACGTCAAGACGGGTGGCCTTAGGTTTAGAAGATCCTCAGTAAAAGCTTCGATACTTCCCTCAGCGCGGGACTCGTTGGGGTTGGTTGTAGCGCAGTCTTTGAGAAATTATTTCCGGATCCTTGTAGGCTAAAGTGTTTAAGGATCAGGCTGATGAAAGGATGTTTTTAGTATCAAGAGTTGAAAAATCTATATTAAATCTGTTTCTGCTGTGCCTGCTCATCGCCTTACCCACTGTAGCACGGGGTGGCCATTCTCTATTTAAGTGGCGGAAAATCACATGTGATGAAGTTGGTAAATAACGTCAACCTCTGTCACATAAGTAATGTTGCCCGTATATTTGTCTTTACATTTTTACCTCTCTTACACCTTACAACGAAAGAGTCATTCAGCTCCAGCTGGATTTGAGATACACAAGTGAGTCTATTCCCCTGTTTTATGTTCACAATAAACGTGATTCTGGCGTTAGATGTAATGGCACGGTATTCGACATGACCCAGAAAATACAGTTTTCTGCCTCATCGAACAAACCCACTGCAAAGAGCCACACGTCGTGAGAGAATTTATTGGGCATGACTTAGTCACCCGATGGATCATATAAGGAGGACTGAGTTAGAATCATTACAGAAAATCAATCGATGCATGAAGCTTGATGCCGGGCTTACCAACATTGATCTCGGCTGTTCATTATCGTTCTGTATTAATTGCTTACGGTGCTTAAATACCCCCATGGGCAAACCAGATCGACTAATTGATCCCGTCGCAAGTACTATTATAACACGATCACTCTGCCTTTGATTTTAACCAACGTTTGAATCACTGGAGAAATGAGTGCTTAGCACTCCCGCGTAGAAAGCAAAAAACCGAACGGCATCTCGTTTGTAGCAAAATCTCAATCGTGAGCTCTGTAGTGCTTGAGCAAAGCAGCGAAAATCACTCGTGGGAGCCCCGCTGGTTTGTTCTAGTGCAAGAAAGAATATTTGCAAAGTGATGTGATGACAAGTAGTGTCGATGGTCTATGAGATGAACATGCGCAAGCAATCCCCAAAAGTTATCAAGTTCATTCATCTGGCACCTCCAGCTTCCTCAACAAAGAACGAAGTGGGTCGTTTTCCTTACCAGTCGTGACCTCAATTCTCCCTACTACCTTATCTATCTCCCCAATCAGTCTGCGGAGCAATGTCGCAGTATATCTCAAGCTCCCGGTTTTCTTGATGATATCGAGCATCAAGTGCTTCTGCGTTAATGACATTGCATCGGACTTGTGGCGTTGCAAAAGGACATGATTTAGAATGGAACTGTCTACATCTGACGCATTTTGGTATGCGTAAATGAGTGGCAGACTGAATTTTCCTTCGTCTAAATCATCGCAAAATCCCTTTTGGTCGGTGTACTATATTGATATCAGAATAGGATACTATATTAGAAATGACTTTCGTCTTGCACTTACTTCCTTCGATGTTAGATTCATGTAGTCGTCCCGTATCTGAAAATATCTGCCCAAGAGCGTCACAAGAAGCTTCAAGTCCCAAGTTGAAGATGATGTAGCGTGGGACTTGGTTTCCATGAGACTGACGAGCATCTTGAAAAGTGCGCCTGTTTCTTTCGAAATATTAGTCAAAAGTGTCGTTGCGTAGTTCTGAAGCTAAGTACGTACTATTATCAACCATGCTAATATACTCATTGACAGTTGGACGATGCGTATTGAATGTCCAGAATAGGTCGTGGCCTTGACCGACGTAGAGCTTTTCCATTTCCTCTGAAATTTACAGCACTTAGATAAAGTCGTACTCCAATATAAGTATTTTGGGTGTTCTAATACACGTACCACTGAATGACTTGATGCATTGGATGTCTCCGAGCTTAAGAATCTCTTTAGTTGCCAAGTTGATTTGATATCCGGCCGAATTGATCGCCTGGGGTGTTCCGAAGACCATGTGTGCTGATGGCCTTCCTCGTCGGACAGCTGAGCCATCCTCCACGTCGTCTAGTATGAGGGAAGCATTGTGCAAGAGGCCTATTATGTGCTTGATTTGATAGAGACCACCGGCTTCAATACCAAGCCAGACATTCAAAGAGTCTGCTAGTTTGTCGCGTATCTTCTTGCCCGGAAGCGACTCGATATATAGAGCCGGAGCCTCAATCACCTATGCGAGGAATTGAATTAGCACAAAGAGTAAATTAAAGACGGGTGGCAGTCCTACGTCACTTGACAGAATATGAGAGTCTGAAGAGCACAAAATGGTGATATTAGTATCATGAAAACTCGGCCCCGGCTCATCAGTACTCCCCATACTGGTATTTGGTGTGCCAGGGTCATGGCCATCGTGCCAGACAACACTGCCATTCACGCTATTGGTTATCGGAGTGGTAGGTAACTCGAAACTTTGATCGGTTTCACTAATTTGCATGTCTGTCTCCATGGTTTTGTTGTATTTATTATTGACAGGGTTACCGACGGAGTAGTTCGCAATATTCTTGGTGACACAACTCATCGCGGGGATCTGACGCGCTTGTGTAAAAGCCATGAATCATATCAACAATTTAATACCTTTAAAAACACTGTAGACAAAAACGATATGAGTTCTCCTATTCTCTATGAACAGGCGTCATTGCGAACAACTTGCCTTGTGTAGAGGCAGCGGATTGGGTCTCGGCGCTGCTGGAATAGGCAGCACCGGACACATTGCCCTATCACTACATGCAAAGAGGCATTAGCACTAGATAGCCTCAAGTCTGAGCTTCCGAAAACAAAGAAAGCTATTGAGCTACCCCGCCCTGATTCCATTGTATTGACAATCGTTCAACATCAACGCCTTCAATTTACCCCAGCAATACATAGTTGATATCACATGACAATCATGGAGACGCATTACCCGAGTTTTCTTCAAAACGTCACTGTCCATGGAAATAGTCAGGATCTCTTACTGGTAAACGAGATTGTCGATATCTTGCTGGGTCTAAAAATTTGGCAGGGACTCCTGCTGTTTGCGTGTTCTTTCTGGAGTGTCACAACATTGTTCACGCGAGGGAGTATTACAGTTGCCAATGCCCCCGTACATGGTTATCGATCATGGTTCGAGCCCACCTGGCTCTTCAAATTGAGATACGCGCGCGATGCCCACAAGATTATCGCAAGCGGCTACAAGAAGGTTCGGCCCATCGACACCTGTCATGAGAGTCAAGGTGCCAGACTGTCTGACTCTTTCTCAGTACAACACTGCCGACAAACCTTTTGTCCTTCGACGCCAGGATCATGATGTTACTATTCTTCCAAATAAATATGTGTCGGAACTTCGGTCGATTCCAAACTCAAAACTGAGCCGAGGAAAAGCCAATGCCATGGTAGGCGCTGGATTCCCTCTTTCTACTTCGTACGTGAACATATCTCATTGCTGACTATGTGATGATTGTGAATACAGGAATGGGGTGATCAATGGGCGATGAAGACAATGTGGAGCCATTCAGAACTGCCGATCCGGGCCATAGGTGACAATAGAAACGGCCGATTGGCACGATATCTTGAATCTATGAGAAAAGAATTCGATTACGCTTACGAGGTTGAGATGCCTCAAGTGGATGGTAAGATAGACTACGGCACTGAGTAACGAAGGATCATTGCTGAAAGTAATAGATTGGACAGAAGTTGACATTCAACATATCATACGCATGATCTTGGTGCGCATCATCGGCAAGATGATAATTGGTAACCCTGCATGTCGCACTCCAGAATGGCTGGAGATGGGGGAGCACTTCACGGAAGACTTCGTCGCAGCATCTATCATCATGAGGCTACTACCGCCGTGGCTCCATCCTCTGTTCACGAATCTGATTCCACAGAGGTGGAGGCTCAGACGGAGACTTCGAGAAGCCAGAAAGATTGTGGAGCCCGCCATCGCCAGACACCAGCAAGCAGTAAACAAGAAAACTACAGAACTAGATTTCGATGAGGAAGACAGCATGATGAGCTGGATGATGGAAAATGGCGAAGACAAGGATTATGTCTTGTCTAACATGGCGACGCTCGTGTTGGTCATTCTTGTTCCTGCAGCGCACACTACGGCCATGGCGATTTCCAACATCCTGTTCGATTTATGCGTCCATCCTGAGTGGGATACGGAATTAAGGAAAGAGATCCGTAATGTCACCACCGAACTTGGCCCCATTGGAAAACCAACAGCTGTAAAGGATTGGGTTTCAAGGCTGGAGCTACTCGACAGCTTCTTCAACGAGAGTCAGAGGCTCAGCCAACCAATATCGAGTAAGCTCGCAAAGCTGCATCTCTGTGCAATATACTTACCATTCTTAGTCACTCCCAATCGCTACGCGACAGAGTCTTTCACATTTTCCGACGGTCTTCATGTTCCAAAGGGCGCGTTGATTGGGTGGGTGGGTATACACAACCAGATTGACCCCGATATCACCCCTGATCCGAAGCATTTTGATCCAACGAGAAGTTATCGTAAGAGGCATTCTTCTCTAGATGAGGAAACTAAGCATCTTGCTGGACAACCTAGCAGAGAGAACCTCAGCTTTGGGTATGGGAGTCAAGCTTGCCCCGGAAGACACATTGCAGTCAGCGTGGTCAAGATGGTTGTTTCGAGACTGCTTCTGGACTATGAGTTCAAGTCCTCTGGAGAGAAAGATAAGCCGAAGAGTATTCATTTGCTGGAATTTATCTTCCCCGATCCAGCAGCGAAGCTTATGATGCGGAAGAGGCAAGCTATGTAGGTCGTGTCAGAGTAGTTTTCGTTTCACTGGCAACATCGGATGACCAATATATATCATGCATGAGGCTGCGAAGTATCACTCATGGCTTTGTGATACTCCACATGCGATAAGTATCAGTAGCACAGATTATCTAAGTCAACTCACGACGATTATAGGCATGATTGAAATAACGACTCAACTTTAAAAATGAAAAATGTCTGTGAGTTCGTAATGACAAGTCCTATTATATGTGGATGAACCACGTTAGCATCCGAATAAATCGCCACAAACCAACCTGGTTCCCAAGTTGAGAACTGTGTGTTCTTTCCATAAGCCGGCCATTTCGTGAAAGTGGGCTGCACCAAAGGCATAAAAATATCCACCCTAAAAATAATAAAATTAATAAAACATAACTTTTAATTAAACGATGGCCTTTTTATATATATGAGGCAAGGCGTGATACTTACTCGCACCAGATCCCATTTGATCGATACCCCTTTATTTAACTGACGTTTAGTCTATCACATTGAATACATAAGAACTTTGGAATTAACATAGCAAATACAGGAATATAGCGGCAAAGGTAAATGATTGTAAACGTGATACAACGCTAATATTAAATAGCTACGGACAAATTCGAGTCTTCACCATGAGAAGCAGTTGTAGATCACACCGGAGAATCACTCTTTTTTCGCCTCCTAACGCCTCGTATAAAACAGCCTGTGTTACAAAGCTCATCATAGTTGTGAATTCTAAACAGCAAACTAACTTCAAGCCATTCCCGGTAGTTTTTGTATGAATGGTATGAATGGTACACGATCTTTATGTATTGCCATGTTTTTGATTTTCCCACACTCTGGACCATCTGCCACCATTGTAAAAACACCAATCATCGGGATCGTTATTGGCGAATCGGGGTGCGCCTCAAATACTGTTGTCAATCTTCCAGAGCTGTATATCGTGCCATCGCTGGCGACATCTGGGAAAGTCAGCTTGTCCAAATATTTCAAGATGATACTAACCATTTTTATCTCTGACATGCCATGTCTTCATCGGCGGTGCAATTTGCATTTGCTTCCTCAAGCTCTACTAAAGAGTTAACCACCGTCTAATTATACTGATATCTGCACATACTTTTACAAAGTTGTCACGCCCAGTATCTTTCCACAAGCCTCCTGTAAACTCCAGGTCTGCTGAGAAGACTTCTTGGAATCGATCGTAATCATAGGAATCGAGAATCTCAAACACCTAATAGATTTGAGCTATAGCTAGATATAGTAATCAAGATACAGACCTTGGAGAGAAATTTCTCAGTTTCATCAGCTGAAGAAGTGACCTTGATTGTAGCCATGCTTGGAGCTTCGAGAGCAAAAGACTGCACCGTTATTTAGCTTGTGAATAGCAAACCTATACTTCTGGCGTTTTTAAGCCTCTTTTCACTAGGTTTAATGAGACTAATAGTTTAGTGAAGCTTCGCGACCTGCGGAATGCTCGGCACTACCTAAAATGGAAGTTCTCCGTTATTACTAGGCTTATCTGTTTGCGGCCCACTTGCCAAGGTATCACCAAAAGTAGAAGTAATCTAGAGGTACCGGCTCTACACACTACCCAACACAGCAAGCTTTTCAGCGCTTCGCCCCGACGTGTGAAATTTCCAGAATCCGCGTTAGGCCAAGATGACTGGTGGGAGGTGAAAATCGGAGTCTCTGTTTTGAGGTCGGTGCAAATTGAAGCGCGCGTTGCAATTCGCATGTGATGGATTAGTCGGCCTAGATATCAAAACCTATGGTTGGTTTTGGATCTCATTGACTATCTTTGATTATTGAATGACTCTAGTGTGACTCTCGTGGACAAGGCTGTCTTCAGTTTTCTGTGCCGTTTTGCCAGAATGTAAACATGGTGATTCGACATGCGCAGCCCTGCACCATTTAGAAACTCAATTTACCGGCAAACAATTTGGATAGGTAAGAGCTTTAAATAATATTATACTGTGGATTATTCTACGTAGATGTATGCTCACGACTTGAATTTGTCATCCCAGACTTTTATAGCCGCTGAAAGTCGATGCTTGCCAAAGTCCACACATTCTCAAGTCTTCTGACCTCCTAATAGTCTTTAACGACGACAGACAGGAGCCAAGTGGATGTTTAATCGGGGTTTGTCCCACAACAAGTAGATCTTTTGAGCCTTCAAGAAGTCTCTACTATCATCTGCTATGTGGAAATCAAAATTCCAGATCAATTTTGCGAGAATCAACCGCATCTCTGCGTATGCGATACTAGGTGTTTCGTCAGAGGATGATCAATATGTAAATCCAAAAAGAGTACTTACTTCTGGCCAATGCAATTTCGAGGGCCTAAGATAAAAGGCTGGACTGCATCCAGTTTGTCATTCACAAAGCGCGGGTCTTTTCTGAGGAAGCGTTCTGGATGAAACTCGTCTGGCTCGTAGAACAGCGTGGGACTACGGAACATCGCCCATTGCCAAATTCCGACGATGGTGTTTTCTGGGATATGTTGTCCGGCTATCAATCCTCCCCCCTTTGGCACACTCCTGGGCAATGCCCAGGCTACGGGTGGGTAGCACCTTAGAGCCTCATTCAAACATGCCAGCATGTAGGAAAGCCCATTTGTTGAAGTTATAGTGATATCCTTTTCGTCCTTGTACCTCGATCGCACCTCTTGATTCAATTTCTCGAGCACGTTCCGATGGGTAGCCAGCAAAAACATAGCCCCAGTTAGCAGCGTAGCCGTTGTTTCAGACCCAGCAATAATGATCACGCTTGCATTCGATTTCAGCTTATCAAAGCTGACATTCTGTTTCCAATGTCAGCATCCCGGGCAGAGAATCCTGAATATCCGACATCTTCATACCTGATCAATGAAACCTTGTATGAAATCTGTTTTTCCCCCACCCATTGCCAACCTTTGTTTTAATTTTTGATCTGTCAGTCTTTCGTGCATCTGTCTCTGCTCAAGCCCAAGGTTGGCCCATTTTACCACGGCCTTTAACATTGGAGCCAATCCCAAGTATGCCAGGCCATTCATCTTCCCCAAGTCCTTAACTGCCCCATTGATCAGCTTCACCCACGGATGGTAGTCGGCATTTTCTAAGCATCCAAAGTCCGAGCCAAACGACAGGTAGCCAATGATGTCGAACGTTGTGTAGTTTAGCCAAGCCGTCATGTCGACCTTTTCGTCACATCGCTCCTGCAGCCTCTGGATCAGGAGATCTACATATCCTCCAATGACGGGCTCCTGTTCACGTATCGCGCGCTCAGAGAAACCGGGTGCGATATAACGCCGCAGTCGATCGTGCTCCTCCTTCTCAGCACCCAGCATCGACGTCGAACCCTCGTCGCCGAAGTGGTAGTAGTTGTGTTCAGGAGGCATCTCATCACCGTTCGCTCTCCGGCCATAGATATCTTTCCAAGCTACAGGGTCGCGAAACGCGAGCTCGTTGGGCCCGAGACGAATAATTGTACCATAGCGGTCGTGTAGCTCGCGTACCCGGAAGGGCAGTTGGCCAGTAAGTTGCCAATACACTCTAGGGAATCGTGAGATACGGTTGAACAGAGGCCCAGGATATGACCGTAGAGGGTGAACGACAAGATTGTAAAACATCATCAATAGATTGTAGAATATGATGATGAGCGCGAGAACTCTGACTGGTGCAACGCCGCTGCCAAAGACCGCGGCTATAAGACCAGACTCGGCCATGACTGTTACTGAGTAGGGTCTGTCTTCACAAATGCTGATGTTCCGATATGAACCTCTTGTTTCTAAGTACCGATATGAATCAATAGGTCATAGCGTACCAGTTAAGGTCTAGAAGGTACGACAACGATTTGTGTTTGCTGGCGCAACGTTGATAATGGTGCCTGAGCTGTGGCAAGGAAAATTCCGAATTGTATCATGCAACCAGGAAATAAATCTACATACAAACGGGGTATACATCTCCAGCATTTCTCAATTGTCAGCTGGCGCCCAGATAGTTAATTCCGGCTATTGCGACAAGATGAGGTGGATTGATTATTCCCTATTTGGGATATAGCGGAAGGTGGAGAGGTCCGGGAGGCAGCTCAATTGGGAACAACATAGACATCGTACAGTACGAATGATAATGCGTACTGCACTGTGCAGACAGAAGTTAGAACAGCCGTAAGGACGATAAAAGGGATGAGGCAGGGGGAGATAGGCCCTGGTTGACGTAGACCGTATGCTTTCTTTGTAATTTTACTTGTTTATTTGATTTAATGAAATCTTTATCAAGGATGATTGTCTGGTTAATTGCGCTACGAAGTCTTACTGTAGCATAGCTATAGTGTGTACGCTTTAAACTAGTCCGTAAGACATCAAAAGCGTGTAACAAGCTAATTGAAAAGGCCTGCTAAGGATCACGAAATGAATAAGACTCTTGGGTATTATTTAATACATATTACATACTTTAAAAGATATTATGAAGATCTGGCTGCGACGCTGGCATTACGGCCGAGCGGCGCGCGAGTAGCGCCCGTGCGCAGCTGGCGTAAAGCCCCCGTCTCATAACTAGCCACGATAGAAGTCTTCTTCCCTCCTTAAGAATTAGCTTTTGTATACACTTACCCTTGACAGTGAGCCTATCACGTGGTGTGTTATTGTAATTGTTACAGATATTTAATATTTTGTTAAAATAGTTAAATATTCAAATTTTTATAACTGTGGAATGGCTTCTCCATTCATTTCTTTCCGTACAGTGTGGGCGACAAATAGATCTATTCAGCGCTATCGTACGAAGGAGAAGAAGGGATTCTTCCCCTCGTACGTGGTCTATAGATAGGGGTTTGGGGTTCACCCGCACGGCTGCTGGCTGCCGACAGCCACATCGTGGCTGTGGTGGCTTACTGCCAGCACGCCGGTGACTACCTATACTACGTAGTCAACCGTCGTACGAGACCGCGAATAGTATATTCCAACATTTTAAGCTTATCCAGACTTGAACATTCACTCATTCCATAGCTGTCCTAGTGATGGCAACATCGGAAGACGCAAACGCTTGGCCATTCACAAATCCGCGCGAAAAATTATGTGAGGCGGGAATTATCAACTACCAGATTATTCCTCGCAATAGAAATGAGTACTGAATTAATTCTATACGCATATAGCCGAGATAAACAACGTAGAACCGGTTGAAGAGGCTTTTGGGAGTTTGGGTTTGGGCGCCCGATATATTGCAAAGAGGAAAGACACGACCTTGGGAGGTTGATCAAAACTACCAGGTCATAGGTACCGATTATACCAACCATATCAACCATCATGCCGCTGATGCCTTGCTTGCGCCCATTGCTGAGGGGTAATTGTCAATATATTTGTGCTCCTATAGCCAAGTGATTGTGGTACTAAGATTCTTGCACTGCCCAAACTGCCCTCACCAGGAAGGGGCGAGTTGGTAAGCTGGCCAAACAAAGTCTCATCGAGGTTTCACAGCAAATCGCGCCGCAAATCTCCCAAGCAGTGCTTAGCATGAGTCCACTGATCTTCTGTGACCGAGTGCCCAGCGACAGAGCTTTGTTGGAGATAGTAATTGAACATAATATGTCGAATCGTAGTCTGCGCACGATGCTGATCAGAGGCAATGGAATGATACCAAGGCATGGGAAGTGGCCTACTAAAAATTACAGGGAGTGCTAACCCGACAGGATATAGAGCGATTTTTAGTCCTCGAACGGGTTGCGGCCAGAGGGGGCCAGCTGTACCTCGGCGATTGTTTGGTTCGTCAAAGCCACGACCCCATTGCCGTCTGATCAGGCGTCAGTGCAAAACTAACAAACAATATTGTGGCATTCACTGACCAGGGAATGCCTTTGCCCATTCTGTATCGGCAAACTCCAGGTTGTCATCATCATCGATACCAACTTCCCAAATCTAGAACGGAACCATATAGGGTCCTTCCGACACTGCACGCTGGGGATCGCGGCCTTAACAATTGAGGCCGGGTCAGTCGCAGTGAACGTATAGCAACTAGACTTGTGTCGGTACCAATACCTGGTGTTCCTTACTGTCTTTTGCTCCTGGCCCACGCCATGGCACCGACACGATCCCCCTTGCATATACAAGCAGCCATGTAGCATCAGAAAGAACGAGAAACATAAAGAGCATCCATACAAGACTTGAGGATGAAAAGTCGAAGCGAAGGACAGAAATGGTACTTCTCCATTAGCATAGGTGGCTACGGAGGGGCAAATGCAAGCTATTCAGTTCTTGCTTGGTAAGGGGGCGTACACAACCACCATGACTAATCTGATGTTGGAGTTGTTCGTGATTTTCCAATAGCCAAACGACTTCTGAGTAGCCCAGCTCAGCCGCATATATTATCGGTGAAGCATCATTATTATCCTGCGACCCAGTTAGGCAGATGTACGTACTACCTAAGGTACCTACCTAGATAGAAAAGAATAAGCAGCTGCCTCGGCAAAGGACATCTGACATCCTACGGCTCTTAGGCATCCCTCCTAACAAGACCCACATGTCATTAGGCAGCGGAATAAATTTGAGCCTTATAATAATATGCTTTGGGATGCTCAAAGTGCAAATATGAAACTCCCTAAATGTTTAATACCTACCTATGTCGATTTGAGCAATTCCCACAGCTAATTTTTCTGATTGACGACGTGGCATAGAGCACCTTAAGTAAGCGATTTGGGAGTCATGGCTACGGTATCGACGGCTCAGTTGCTCACAGCAACGGCTCATCAGTTACAGCAGAAGCTAGCAGCAGGTGAGATAACGAGCGTTCAAATCGTCGAGGCCTGCCTAGCGCAGACAAATCAGCACAATAAAAATGGCCTAGGGTTGAACGCCGTCATCTCGAGCTGCCCACATGAGCTTGCATCGTCACAGGCGAAGAAGCTTGATGTGGAACGGGATCGTGGCCAGATTCGGAGTCCGCTCCACGGACTACCCATAGTTCTTAAGGTATGGCTCTCAAACATTGGCTTCTCTGCGTACCCAGGCACACGCAGTTGTGCTCACTTACTAACATGCTGTTTTCACAAGGATGTGATCGTCACGGGTCTGGAGCTGGGAATGCCCACTACTGCAGGTGCACACGTATTTGCGTCACTGAAAGCGAAAAGGAATGCCTCGCTGGTGGATCGTGTAAGAGTGATCATGGCCCGTTTGGCGGCGGGCATCACGATCTGCGACCTCACATCTCTGACTGTCGTATTATAGCTTGTTGATGGAGGTCTGATCGTCATTGGCAAGGCTAATCTGACCGTAAGCATGTCACAATGCTGTATTACGGGCGCTAGGAGGCTAACATATTGACCAAAGGAGTTCTGTGGACTGAAGTGCGTTGCATTGCGAACCATACATCCCCAGCGATCTCATTCCGAATGGGCTGACTAGATCCATTGCAGGTCTAAAGACACGCCTGTGGGTTGGAGTGCTTGTGGGGGACAAACCCTTTCGCCTTACCGTCAGAATAGTTTAGATGAGAGCGAACAGCCCGTAAGGTTATCCTCAGCCAACTGAATGTTAGACGAGGCTTCGCTAACCACACACAAGATGGCGGGAGGATCTTCTTCAGGGTCTGGCGTGAGCGTCTCCGCTGGCTTCAGTCCACTGGCAATCGGGACAGAGACCGCGGGCTCGGTCGTTTGGCCAGCCAGCTTAAACGGCTTGTACGGTATCAAGCTAGCTCCAGGCACAGTGCCTGTCGATGGTGTGTTCAGGCTTAGCGATAGCTATGACGGTATCGGCGCCTTTTCCCGCGATCCCTGGACTTTGGCAGCGTTGGTTCATCTTCTCGCTCCGCCCCAGCCTGGAGCTGCACTTTTACCGCCTAGTACACTCGATGGACCAACATCCTGGGAAGGATTAACCATTGGTGTTACCGAGCCGCAATGGGGCGTAGGGACGGAGACAATCAAGGGGAAGTGGGATCTCGATGAAGTAGTAAGTATTTGCTGATTTCAGTATGTCTCTATTGCCGAAGTCCACTTACAAGCCATTTGATAGGTCAAGACCTACGTGGATGCTGTTGGCAAACTGAATCAAAGAGGATTGAAGGTGGTGTATCCACTTGAAGCACCGGATGCAGGAATTCTAGAGTACGAAGGCGAGAACTTTCTCTCAGTGGCATGTAAGTGGCAATTCTCCACTTCCCCTGACTAAAACTTCTGACTGATCTGAGAGAAGACCACGAGTTTCCTCAAAAAGTGGCCGAATTCATATCAGCTTTCGAGCACCAGACTGATATCTCGAACTTGGAGGGCATTATCAAGTGGAATGAGGATCATGCCGAGCTTGCACTACCGGCTCGTAAGTATCTCCTTCAGAGACCGTGGGTTCTCAGAGAATGCCTGGGAACTCTGAAGCGATCCATATAACTAAACCGCATATACCGCAGCATATACCACTCAAACGGAGCTAATTGCTTCTGTTAATAATAAGATGTCAGACGAAAAGCATAGCAAGGCTGCAGCGGAGCTTTTTCGCCTAGCTGGAGAAGATGGCATGGGCAAGATATTCGACGACTATGGCCTCGACATTGTGATTTCCGCCTCTGACGCCGTGCTTGTCGAGTTTGCGGCGTGTGCACGGTGGCCAATATGCACGGTTCCGCTGGGAAACCTCCCCAAGAACAACCAGCCATTTGGCTGGTTCGCAATGGCACGCGAAGGCAGAGAGGATGTGCTGCTGAGGTTCATGGACGGGTTCTACCAGGTCTTTCCCGGCGCTCAAAGGGCGACGGCTCCATTTTCTCAAGTTTAGCTTTTGAACATCTCTCCGTATGTTGACATGTAGTGTCCTAGAGATTTATCAATCTCTACACGGAGATCTGGAGCCAGCCTATCTTTCGACCATAGTGGCCATTTCAAAAATGGCAAGTGTTTCATCTCATGAATAGGGTCTATTCTCCAGCAGGAGTCAAAGTTACTATGTGCGTGAACTTCTCCGGGATTTAACCGGATAATCCTTATGCCACTCGGCCTCCCTTTCATGCATGTCTGTATCGTTTAACAGTTATCAGCCCACTTTAAAAGAATAGAAAGTTGGATATATTTAATAACTTATAAGTGTAACGATTTTATTATCAAAGTTAAAAAAGACACCACACAATAAAAGCCTAGTAAAATTTATATTAATAAAGGCTATCAAGTATAAACATAGAAGGTTAAAAATAAATTAGACATACAAAATAAAAGTATTTTATGAATATAATAATTAAAACTTAATGTAATAATGTCAGTGGACAGACCATTGCGCGAATAGTCAAGAGACTAGCTATATCAGCGACTACCGATATGCCCACTATCCCACTATATATGTGCGCCACAGCAGTTCCATGCTGCACTGCAGCCAACATCATTACACCACCAACATTAGGAAAGAACAGGTCTCCCACCCTGTCGCGCGACCAAGGACGGGCGTGGGAAGGCTAGAAAAGCCAGTATCTATCAATATGCCGACGAGCGCTCCCGAACGACACCGGGGGGCGCGGCGTGCAGAACCCCCAGGGATTAAGCCGAACTCCTTATTAGACTATATGAGACATCGGGTACGACCGATGATCAAACTCCAGAACACCACACGTCAAAGTTTCACACCGTAGCTCAAGCAATATCGCGGGTTGCATTTGCCCTACAGCTTCAGTTCCGATCTCGACCTCCAAGGAGTCATAACACCGCACTGCGTCGCCAGGCGCGCGCGCGCATCGGCCACATATCGGGGTTGCACAAGATATGGGATGCAAGTCCAACGATTGGACGCCACTTAAATCTGGTGTTACTGCAGGAACTGGGCACGCGCGACGGCTGCCTGGCCTTTCAGGCCGGAGTTTGACCTTTCTCCCATGGGGACTGGCAGCAACCCCACCTGCCCTGTCGCGTTTCCTCTCCGGCGAGGAGAACTGGGCAGGTGTCACATAGCATCCGAGCACAGTGACTTTCGCGTGCCATGTCTTCCGCGCGAGTAGTCGAGCACGCCTCAGACAGGGAATCGTACGTCCGAGCTCTCTTGACCGGCCATCAGACGCTGACCCGAGAGAGCCTGCAGCAGCCCGTCCCCCGCCAGGAGCCGCCGTCCGCAGGCCGATGAGATCGCCGAGGACTTCATCAGCATAGTCCTCAGCGGCCAGGCGGCGCTGAAGGACCGCCGGGTCGACGACTTCGAGTTCACGCCCGACATCCTGGGCTACGTGCACCGCGGCGCCCGCCCCGGCGAGGTGGAGGACAAGCTCAGGGGGCTGATCAGCTCCTTCGGCCGGTGCCAGGACTTCAAGTACTGGCTCGTCTGGCTGCACGGCAGCTGCCTGCTGCGCATCATGGATCTCTACAAGAACGGCTGGACCAACCTCCCGGTCCTGCGGCCCCGGTGGCACCATGTGCTTGCCCATCTCCACATGATCGTAGATCAGATAGCTGAGAGCCGTGGGCATACCACGGCGTTTGCGGTTTATCGTTATCTTGCAGGTAATCGTAGTCCAGGTTCTCCGGTCGGTTTTCGATAGGTACTAATTATGGTAGAAAGGGGACTATATCTCGGCAAGCTGGCAAATATCCGACAGAAGCACGTCGCAGATGTAGTGAGAATATCCGCGCAGGTCCTAAGCCAGAAGCTTGTGGACCTTCCTAAAGGTTACAGAGCGCCAGACCCTGCGGGTTGGATATCCTCTGTCGTCGATCTCAGGTACCGACCCCGCCGGTCACTTCGGAGGCCCCCCCTAATTTCTAACAGTCGAGATCAAATATGCAAGGAGCTGGGAATACCAAGACTGGGTGGTCTGACATTGCCGCCAGAAAGAGGCGGCCAAGCTCTGCTGCTGGGAGTTCATCTATCACGAGATTACACATCCAGTGTCACCTGTGGCGGCTTGGTGTCACCTACTACAGTGATGACCTCCAATACATCCGTGTTCTTGGATTCCTTAACTACAATAGATGCGGCCGGACTAGATCGCGAGTGGTTTTCCCATCTAGGACGGATAGACTTGCGCTGCGATTAGCTGTTTCTGAGTCTCGGGCGCACCCATATGAAATCAATTTCCCCCTCCAGGACTATAATTGTGATATTGTCATGCATGAGCGATATTGTGTTAGAATTCCACTCGATAGGATGCAAAACTTCATCTTGAGCCTCTGATCCTGCATGCCACACCACGCTTGGGGTTGGTTGCGACCGTGACTGTATCGTGCTGAGAATGTTAAGCATTCCGGGTCCAGTCCAGATGGCACCCTTCTTCAGTCTGAATGGCTGTGCGTCGATCTTGATAGTATCTAGATCGGGGTACAATCTTGATATTTCACTACGCTATAGTCGTGTCAGTAGTGACTTAGTCAGAGCAATGTTGGACATACTACGGCGTCTTTCGTTTGTTCAATCATTGTTGTATGGTGATCCTGGTACAACAATTGGTAGAGAGCTGTCGTTTGTCCCTGGGGATCTACCACCTTTTTGGTCTCAATTTCTTGAGGATATTCATATTCAGGCTGTCTAACCTGGATAGCTTGGAAGGCCGGCATGGACCGGTGAGTACACTTGGGATTGGCGTGACGACTTGGTATAGAATTGTGAGTTTGACTCTAACGCAATGTACCGAGCCGAAAGGGGTTATCTCAAAACAGATTGAGGGATACTGCTGTGGATTATCCGATCGCCCTTATTATGCGTATATTCCTGCAAAGTATTGCCATCGCCCGACAGCGAGGATATAAGCCACACCGCTCAGCAAACTTCCTTTTTTTGCCGGCCTCCAGTCAGCCAGCTGCAAGCAGTCCGCCCGGGCCGACTGCTTTCAGAAATGTGACCGTCATGTTTTCTGAGAGCCTGGTATAAACGATCAAATACTACCACTCTGGACAGCATTAATATCTACACTGTGTTGACTCCCGACCTTTAAATTCTAGTAGTTATACGACCTACAATACACCCACGACATTTGAGCATTCACTTGTTGCTCATGTTCTGTGCAAGTACCTCCATCACCGAGTCTCCAAGCGCGTACCTCTGCAGACGTTCTGGGCCCAAGCCTGAACAGGTTCGTCATTAGATGAGATTGCATAGGTGATCTTTCCGGTTGATTAGTGCGAGGCTCTCGAGCTGGCATTTGCGGAGGACAAATTCCTCCTGGGGAAGTGGTGTAATCTCGATACCAAATTTCGGGCACGATTTGGTTGAGTTATTGGGTTGGATGTGTGTAACTGAGGCTCTGGACCAAACCCGATTAGCAGTGTGTTAGCTTCAGACAGATATAGCGACTGAAAATATACTGGAAAGATGTAATTAAACAAATCGCATTAGTACCGTGACTCCAATGCCCCTTTTCATGAGTATCCGCCAAAGTACCATGGCCAAGACAACCTACTACAACGACAATGGTTGCAAATTCCGCATACATATGCTTCTTCTTGATCAAGCCTCTTCCTCAGAGTCCTCAATCTTAACGGCTACCTCCTCCTCCAAGTCCTCAATCTTGACCGCTACGTCCTTCTTGCTAGTCTCCTCGCCATTGAGCCTCTGGGCCTTGGCGGTCTCCTCACCATGATGGTTCTGGTTCTCTGGTGCCGCCCCGCCGGTATTTGTGGCCTCTTGGGTGCTGGTCGACTTCTCTGACTCTTCCTCCTTAACACTGTTGCTATGCGAATCGTCCTCCAGATCCTCCGTCTTCACGGCTGATTCCGAACCCCCGCTGCCAGACGTGCCTGCGGGCTTGAACTCAGGAGCAGAGGCACTAAGCTTGCTTCCTAGTCCAATAAAGGCGTTGCCATTGTCGACACCGGTGATCTGTGCCTGTTGGGCCAGGTGTCTCAGATGCATGGTCTGAACAGGGCTTCCCATAGCGCGCAGGATGACTTCCACAGCGCCCTTAAGCCCTAGGTTGCATCCGGTGTGGGCTTTGTGAGGTGCATGATCCTTACCGATGTAGGGTTCGTAGATTATGCTATACACAATATCCTTGAGGGTGGTGATGCTGTTGGTATACTCTTTGGCATCGGGGACTGGGAGGAGGCTAGCACGCAACAGCGTCTGGCAGACTGAGCCGAACATCATCTTGCCACATGCGCCACTGTCTGTGCTGACTTTGCAGTACTTGGACATGTCGTGCAGCGGTTTACGGATCTCGTCGAGGATGGCTTGCATGATAATTGATCGAACGTGGTCAATACCATCTGCACAGTAAATCAGATCAGCTTATGGACCTCGAATCCACCGAGAAGAGAACCCAGCTTACCGAGCAGGCCATAGGGCAAGACAAGAGTCTTAACTTGTTCGCCGCCGACGTGGATAAGGCTTCCGTTCTCGTCAACCTTGCTAGTAAGGATGAGCGAATCGGCCATCTCGCGGAAAGGACGGGCACAGCCCAAGACCCAGGCAACCCAAAGGACCTTGTAGTTCTTGATCGCGACGTCTGCACCAGTAGTGAAGTCAGCCAGAACGTGGGCCCAAGATTCAGCCCAGGGCTGAACTAGGTGGATACAGTCGTATTTGGACACAAGAATGCAAATTTCGAAAAGCTCATCGACTGTGGGCTGCTTAGGAACCTCCTTGAAGTTGTAGTGAACGATATTCATCAAAACACGGAAAGCGGTTGCATTGTCGGGCACTTGAACGACGCGGCTGGTACTATTATCCTTGTTTTGGACATTGACCTCGAGCAGAAGACGAGCGAAAGCATCGGAAGCGGCTGCAACATTGGACCAGATGACCTTGTATTTGACGTCGTCTGACTTGGAGGTGACCTTGATGACAAGGTCTGCATCCTTGTGAAAGGAGGCAACAGTCTCTTTACCGTCCGCGGCAGGTTTGCCAATTGGAGCAGCCTCATCGCGCTCGTTGATTGGTGAGAGCGACCGAGGAGGTGAGTTTGTGGGCTCGACAGTGGCATAGTTGCCCGGGTTCTCAGTAGTATCCGACATGATGATTGACAAGGTGTATGTCTAGCTTCGAGGTGAAGAAATTGTCAGTGTCAATTGACGAATGAGGCTCATGGCCAAAGATGATATAAACGAGGCGGGATGAAATGGCATCAATGACGCACATTTCAGCTGGCTAATGAACTGAAGAGGCGATCATGCAAAAGCTGGAGCTTGGCAAATGCGTCAGTCGAAAAGGTGATTTCCAAGAAGCGGCCAGTCAGTGTAGAGATAAGGAAGCGAAGGCAGACTAGGCACCGGATCTCCTGTGATGCAACTGGGGAATGCGTGATGCGTGAGGATGAGAATAGTGCTAGACGGTTGGATGAATGGTTGGCTGGATGTGTAGATGGTGAAATTTCTGGTAAGGTAATCACCAGCCAAGGTAGGTGAAGGATGAGGGTAGAGCAACTTACCAGGCTGAGAAGAGAAGAGAAGAGCTTGCCTCGTCTGGGGTATCGAAGAACCGAAGGATTGGTTTATGAAAACGGAAGATGCCAGGTGAGATCGACCTCACAAAATGGAATGAATACTGGTGATCTTGATTGTCAGCGTGAAAATGTGAGATGCAGTTGACCAAGAACGAGGTCAATGAGGCAGGACGTACGACCTGAAGCTCAAGACAGGCCTGGGAATTTGTGTCGAATGCCAAAGTTTGAATGAGAACTTTGAGGTGCGGGGTGATTTATTTATTTTTGATATTCACAGGTTCTATTAGTTGATTGCGGTTGCCTTGCAATATAAATGGCATAGATGGCTACCACGGTAACTGGTTATTCCAGCTGTGAGTGGAGGCAAGAATAGTATGAGGTGGAATAATGAATGGATCGACGACTTACCTCTGGCTAGATTATTCAACGATAATAGTGTGGAGTAGGAGAGGATGATTACTCAATACTCGCACCTAGAAACAACGTGGGCTTCACTTCACATCTTTGAGTCGACAGGCTCATGGCTCTGATAACTTTGACAAATGGTCTGAGTTGGGGATCGAGGCATAGATGCCATAAGGGGTGTAATGGGGAAGTTGATTCGTTTCCATATTGTATCGACACCGTCGACATGTTTTGATAGTCACTGTTGCGGGCCATGGTTGTGTCCATCTACACATGGAAAGCGTTCAAGAGTGAGAAGAGATACTCCTCGGAGTTTGCTGGAGTACTTGGATAATAATGGTAGACGTGATACAGCCATGTCCCCAAATGGCCATGTCTTCAAGTACAGTACATGCCAAAAGTGTGTTCAGCCATAACGCCAGACAAAGTCAGAACTCGGCTGCGACATTGAGCCGGCCCAACTAGATTAGCCAGTATCAGAAAGCCTCTGATTGAATCCGCCTGGCTTGTCCCCAAGAAACCGAAAATGACATATTACAAGCGTTGCCGGGGCTGCTGTTCAGCGTCCCAACCTAACCACCTTGCGATGGCAGTGTAAAGCACTATGACGCCTATGGCGATCCACCACCTGCTCGACATCCAGCCTCTTCCGGCGGCGTCCCGCTGTTGTACGACGGCATCCACTACAGCCTGTGTTTGACCGCTCGCATTCGCAATGCCCAGTTGTGGCACACAGTTGCTACCTCCGACGGGCTCGCCGGTGGCGGAATCGATCTTGTTCTCAGCCATCCAGGTTTTGTTCTCGGCGTCGACTTCGGGCCACTCTGCCCTGAACTTGACGCCGCCGTCGCCCGCCTTGATGTTGCCCTTTTGCGCGGCCTTGGTCTGTGAGCCTCCTCCGGTGGAGTTCCACCACCTGGAGCGCCTCGCCAAGTACTTGCGTTCTCTTTCTGTGCCGGAGATGGACCCGGTGGTCATCTCCTCGCTGGTCATAAAGGAGAGCAGACCAATGAGGATGGTGCTGACCTCCCACGCGGGGTTGAAGCTCTTGGGGTGGAAGTCGGAAATGGACAAGCATAACCTGGTGGAGGGTTGGAATCTGCCGGAAGGAGTGTGCATGCGGATGGCTGGCGGAGCGAAGGGGTAGTTTGAAGGGAAGATGAGTGTTCCCCAGTATTGACCGCCATGGTAGGGAGTGTTCTCCGGGCCGGTGATGATATAATGCCACTCGAGAATGTTTGAGTCTGAAGGGTGTGCCGTGATGTAGGGGGGTGGGTTTTGTGCGATGGTCTTGTATTCGCGGGTCAGGCGCTTGTGTGCTGCCTTGCTAGCCATGATGGTGTTGCTGGCGTCGATTCGTGGTTCGGTCTGTGGCGACGCTGGAGATTGGCAGGCAATGTATCACCGAGTCGAAAGAGATATATGTATGTATGTGCGTGTTGGACGACAGCAGGGCAAAGGAGATGTAGAAAGGATCGACGGGATCAATGACACGAATCGGTGCAGGTGGTATTACAGGTCGAAAGTGAGAAGAAGATTAAGAGAGACAGAGAACAAGAATTGGTTGAACAGGATTTTGCCTATGTTGGAAGGATGCGCAAACGCAAACACACTCGTGACAGCAGTGAAGATGTGGTGGTGCAAGTTGGGTATGTCGGGGGACGGGGATGGGGCCTGGCTCGGATGGGGGAAGTGGCATGTGCTGGTGCTGCTACTGCTGGTGCTGCATCATAGTTACTTTTGCTTACTTACATGCTCTAGTGCTGGGACTCGGCACCTAGAATTACTTACAGTCAGAACAGTCTCAGGTCGGAGATAAGCCCTGGCCGATCCACCAGCCCACCGATGCTCCACCGCTGCACAGTAACTTCACTAAATCGCTTAAGCAATAACTAAGTCAACTACGTACATAACTTATCCAGCACCGAAGAGATCGACGCCCCCCTCTCAAGCCACATGGCATATGTTGACCTACCCTGCTACCTACCTTACATTGTGCGTGCGACAGGTTTGCACCGCCACATATTGACGTCGTCACCTCACTGGCTCATCTCGGCTCTCATTCTCCCTCTTCACTGCAGTCAAAGACATGCAAAGCTCTCGGGAGCTCTCAGCTGCGTCCGGGAAAAGCCGACTCTCCTCTCGCTGAATGCTTAGCCCTCTCACACACTCCCAGCACTCTCCCAGCTCCAACAAGTCCGGAGCACAGTATTCTCTTGCTGCAATGGCCGTAAACAACTCCTTCGGAGGCAATGATGTGAGTCTGCCATTCTCTTTTGTTTTTGTTTTTGTTCTTGTTCTTCCTTTTCCTTTTCTCCTCTAGTACAACAGTCCCTCCCCGGTTCCTCGACTTCAATGGCTGATTGCGGAACCCCCTCCGAAAAACAGGCCTTCGAGAGCACCCTCCGGCGGGAGACGGCTTCGGTCGACCAGAAGCTGGCGGCAGAGCGAGAACAGGCACAGGCACAAGCACGAAACGCCGACTTGGTATGACTATGACTATCCTCGTCCTGCAATGGCATATCAGGAAAGTCGTAACTCATCTGCCCTAGTTGCAATCAAATGGCACCCTTCCCGTCTCCATTTCCTCCATCCAGGTTCACGGCGCAAAGAACACTCGGAGGTCCTTCCTGAACCCCCTCTTCCAGCCGCTCGTCGACCAGAGCAGGAACACGGGCTACACACTGGTTGAGATGCTGGACGAGGTCAGCAAAGTAGTCGGCAAGCTCCAAAAGTTCGACATCTTCCACGACCAAATACACGTCCACCTCTCCCAGCCTCAGCAGACCGACCCTTCCACTTCTCCCACCGATTACGATGTCGCCCTGCGAGTCCGCGAAAAGTCAAAGGTCTTCCTGAAGACCGGCACAGATCTGGGCAACACGGAAGGCTCCGCATATGGCACCATGCACTTGCGGAACCTGTTTGGCGGAGCAGAGTCCTTGGCACTCAACGCATCTACCGGTACGAGAACACGGTCTGCGTATAGTGCTGAATTCAGTACCCCCGTTCTCAGCAACCCTGATCTGCGACTCAGCTTCGAAGGTCTAGCGAGCAGCACGCACAAGCCGTGGGCAAGCCACGAGGAGGCTGTCAAGGGTGGAGGTGCCAAACTCAACTGGCTGAGTCCTGCCGGCGACAAGTATCAGGTCGGCTACACTGGCGCCTGGCGCCAAGTCACTGGTCTCGGAGAAAGAGCAAGCCCGACCGTGAGAGGCGATGCAGGCGACTCCGTCAAGAGCGCAATCTCCTATCTCTACACCAGGGATCGCAGAGACAACCCTATGCTGCCCCAGAGCGGTTACCTAATCAAGTCCGCCACCGAGATTGCTGGCTGGGGATCGCTGGGCGGAGATGTGGCTTTTGCCAAGAACGAGATGGAGTTTGGCGGTGCTGTACCTGTCCCGGTCCCCGGCGTCGATGGGTTTTCCGGCGTATCAGTCGGCGCCGGTTTCCGTGCAGGCCTGCTTTACCCTCTGCCACTTGGCTGGGGCTTGGACGGCGCAAAGGCAAGTCGCGTCAACGATCGGTTCAGCTTAGGCGGCCCGACAGATGTTCGTGGTTTCACCCTCGGTGGTCTCGGTCCCAGGGATGGCGGCGACGCACTCGGTGGCGATGTCTTCGCGGCAGGAAGCGTAAACGTGCTAGTCCCCCTCCCCAGAGTCGGTCCTGACAGTCCATTCCGACTTCAGTTGTTCGCCAATGGTGGCCGCTCAGTAGCCCTACAAAACAAAGCCAAAGGCAGAGAAGACCCGCTCACCAAAGCCCTCAGCTCGAGACAAGTATGGGATGGTGTGTTTGGGGCCACGAAAGACTTGGCTACCGGGCTGCCCAGCTTAGCGGTAGGTCTTGGTCTCGTTTATGCTCACCCGGTAGCACGCTTCGAGCTGAATTTTAGTCTACCTTTGGTGGTCAGACGAGAAGAAGAGAAGCGCAAGGGTTTGAGCATCGGAGTTGGCATCAACTTCTTGTAGAAAAAGAGCAGGTCCGTGTAGACAGCGCGTCCTCTTCTGTGTATATTGCCTTTACTATTTTCCGTAGATACTTGAATATCCCAACACTCTGAGTCCCCGGATCGTTTGGCTACACTAATACCGAAACCTGACTGTTCTTTATGGGGAAGTCCTTGCCGTCCGTAGCACTCTTTTCTGTTTCTGTTTTATGCACAAATTTCGACAGTCATATAGAAGGGCATCCCGCTCTATTCGTATTTTATCGGTAATCCCCAGCAATAGACAACCCCCGCTTATAAACCCATACGAAATTCGGGTACGTACAGACTTCAAATGAACTTAAAAATCTTACAAGGTTCGACCTTTACCGCTTCGGATATCCCGGTGGCACGTCGGTGTAAAGATGGGAATAGGGGCGTCTGGGGCATGAGCTATGAGATGAGGCGGGAAATAAGTAAGCGGGACTGACAACGCTTAGTGACAGGGCATCGGATTGCCTTTGTTATATCTCTGTTGCCGAGGACTTACACGACTATTTGTATGGGGCCCAAACCGTTCTTCTCTTCTTATTGTGAGCTGTCTGGTCTGAAACAAATTGAACGGCTTGCCCGCTACACAACATCAGATAGCTTCTTCGTGGGCCGTCGAGCCTCCCTCGAGGTGAAGGAGCTGCTCCGGCTCCACGACACCTCTGTATCGCCTCGCGGGCCTTTCGCGTGCTTCATCCATCTCGCGCTGTGATCGGACGTCGGATTTGCTCTGCGTCTTCGCATCACATATATAGGGCCCACGTGCTCCCCCTAAGCACGACGCTCTGTTTTGGCCGCAAGGCTGACTGCTCTTCGGCTTGGGGAAACGACCTTATGATCCTCGATAGTTCGGTGCAAACTTGATAGATTCCTCCAGCGCTCCTTGGCGTCGACGAGGAGCATGTGTTATGTCACTGGGTCCAGCATATCACGTGCAATGGGCGAGCGGTGTGTGTGAGCAAGCACCTTATCAGTCCACTGAAAAAGGTCGTCAACTCCATCTTAGTGATCATTGAAGAGCCATGAAGTCTTGCCAGGTAGCAGTAGACTAGCTTCGTACCTCTTGAACAGCAGGTTTAGCTACTGCTGTTCTCTTTCCGCTAAGACTCTCCTCAATAATGAGAAGGTTGTCTGCTACAAAGTTCAGAGCTTTGGACTTTGTCTCTACGTCTAGCTGGTTGTTCAAATCATCTGCGGGCTCTGCTCCAAGAAAGTACCAGATACAAAACGCGAAGTATACACATCCAAGGGACATATTTCGTGTTTTGACGATATATTCTGTCAGAGATCCACCCCAAAGATTTCATACTTTCGTGTAGAGCCTTCAAGTCGCAACAGCAGACTCGATATTTTGTTGATTAGGAGTGCTAACATGCAAGGCCGAGGTCGGACAGGAAGAGAAGACCGTGGTCACCCTCGTACGTGTCGGACCACAGGATGGTCCTGGCCTTGATGTCCCCGTGGCGTCCTAAGTCACGACCGCCCTCATCTGAGGGCGCCGCTAGCTTCCGCTTCTGTATCCGACATTGATTTATACAGGATGACACAGGATGCGGTAAGGCTGTATTTATGATCATTTTCTCGCACCCACGAGGCTAGGTCGTGTGTGAGAATTAGTTGTGGACTTAGCCATGTAGTAACAAAAATGTGCCTCGACAGCAACTACCATCTAATCAGGGAAGCTTACCTTTCGCCTGATGGTTAAAGCATGCCAGGATGAACATATGCACGGCAATGATCAGGCTGACAATGGTGGTAAATTCGAATCGCGGAAGGGCTATCCTCAACTGAGCCCGTCGCTGCTAGCTAGCCATCTTTTGTCAACGTGTTGTGCTCAAATCTCCAGCCTATAGTTGTGCTGCATTGCATAAGTTCAGCGTCAAACGATCCTAAGACCTCAAAGTTTTTGAAAAGATTAATATGCTTGTCGTGGGCTTCTAGTTTCAACTCAGATATCAGCGCCGCCTATAGTCGCGAGACAAGGCCATTGCCAAGGCGTGAAGCTCCAATATTATTCACGGAATGTGTATTCCAGTAAGGTCTATAGTTGAATCCGAAGTCTCAGAGGCATCGACTGATTCGCGGTCAGAAACTGAGCTGCACTTGAGGCATGTGACTACTCTAGTGATGCATAAGCTCCCCAATCATCTGTAATTGCTGCTCTGTGACTTCTTACGTCTCTATATCGCCAATACCTCTCACCAATTACCCTCTATGTGGTGGATTAAAACCATGTATAGAGGATAAAGTCTAGGGATCCGATGTCTCATCGAACCACGTATGAAATGCATCGCTCTTTCAATATATGGAAGCATACCAAGACCATCGAGGGGGTGGCTCTAGTTCGATATGTTCTCCCTTTGTGATACGCGCATTGCGTGTTTTGGCATACCTAGCAACAACTTCGTCTCCCAGATTGTGGAGGGTCGAAGAGGGATATTGGGATGGTGGCATTGGCGGCAGCTCGGCTATTGAATGCTATTGTCTGGTCGCATTGGTAGCACCGGGTGATTTGCCGCCTATCATGAGATTTCTTACAAGATGATAGGAAATGCAACCCGAACTGCGGGTCGAATTCGGTTGATAAGATGCCCGCATATGGTCTAAGGCTGCCTGCAGAAGTCCCTACTGCTATTATATACATGCATGCATAGATCAGTTTGGTTCTTGCCCCAATTCAGCCGTGGCCCCTCAACGGCCATGGCATGATCTGCGTGGCAGTCTCTGACCGGGCGAGGTTCCTCACTGAACGTCACATTATATGCATGGCGTTAGGTGCATGGTGTTACACCATGAGACGAGGCTCTTGGCTAAATAGACAAGTATTGGTCAACTTGTAATAAGCGAGCCACACCGGTTTCAACATTTCCAGCACCCACGGGATGTTTTGCTAGGGATTAAGCGACCATCACGGGATTCCTTGTCCTCCTCTCACATGGGGATGGATGACATGCAGCTGAGATGGTGTGTGTTACTACGTCACCAGCCTGCTCTACGGCCCGCAGCCTTATTATACTACAGTATAGGTGCTTCACACTCTGGTATGACCGACAAGGTGGAATATGTATTAAGTCACTCGGATTTTCTCACCGGTCCCCTTTGCCGTGCTTTCGAGCTTAATGCGCAAATCCCATCTTGTTACGCCTTCCCTGTAGGCACGGTTTTGTACACAATTCATATTGGGAGTCTACCACCAGAATAGCATGTTATGTTTCGATTTATCTTGATTCATAACTATTTGAAAATCGACCGTAAAGAGCGACCAGACTGTGAAGAGCGGCCAGACCATATAGAGCGACTAGACTATGGAGAACAACCAGACGGTGAAGAACGAGGTGACAGAGCACATTCGCACGCTGATAGAGAAAGCATCTTCAATAAATTTTCAAGGTAAATCATTTGTGCATTACGATAAGATTAACGAGCTTGTCACTCGGGAGAGGGTCACAACCGTCCTAAAGAGTCTTAAAGTCAATGATGGACGACGACAACTCCTTGAAGATTTCGTTTTTGCTGGCACAGGTGCGAGACGGTTGTTCTTAATTCTGGCCAGTACAAGACTACTGGACCATCTCAGTACATTACAACAGCAGAGATTCAACGATGACGCACTGCCAATTAAAATCGTGCATGACGGCGCCAAAACAGTGGTCATCTCCCTCAACACCCATACTCGACACGAGTTCTTCAGCCAGTGGGACATGAACGATCGGGACCTTCTATCCTTAAAACAGTGGGAACTCTTGGCCCCTAAATTTGGCGACAAATCCTTCCACTTCTCCTTCGACGCAGACCACAGATTGCCTTATCTGGAGCGAGAAGAGAGGCCGGCCAGTGATGGGTTCTTCGGAGAAGTATTCCTCACGAGGATCCACAAGGCACACCTAGCTGAGACACAGTGGCACGGAGTAAGTAGACCACTCACATCCTAAGCTTTCACAACGCTTACAACGTAGTTACCTAGACCGTTACAGGGGACAGTGTCACAATCGCTGTGAAGAAGGCCAAAGATCATAAAGAACTTGCCCAATTCTTTGATCAAGAGGCCGACAATCTACAGAAAATTAAGGTCTACAGATCGCCTCATTTGATCAAGCCCATCGCTGCGTATAGTATTGGCAACGAGAGATGTCTAATATTTCCGTGGGCAGATGGTGGCAATCTAGACAACTATTGGGCAAAACTAAAAGGTCTTAACCCAAAAGGAGCGGATACAAAGAAAGTGACGTGGTTCATAATGCAATTTGTCGGGCTCTGCTCGGCTCTCAAGGAGCTACACACGTCCGAGACGGAGAACTGCATCCACGGGGACCTGAAGCCCGAGAACATTCTCCTTTTCAACCAGGACGGATCTCAAGCTATACTACAGATCGCCGATTTGGGCCTTGCGGCATTTCATGTCGAAGCAAATACGAACATGAGGGTTGCTTCCGGTGTGCGTTCTGGGACGTCTCGATACATGCCCCCCGAGATGGACCAGCATGGAGGCGAGAAATCGCGAGGCCGAGCTTACGACATATGGTCAATGGGATGCATTCTCTTAGAACTCTTGGTCTGGTTCACCTCGGGATATGATGCGTTGACGAGGTTCAAGCAACGAACTTCCAACTACTTCTGGACCAAGCCCGTGCGCGACTACATCATCCATCCGGACGTGGAGTCCTACATGAGGCTTGCGGAACAGAAGCTCGAGTCAGATTCTTTGTTCAAGGATATTCTAGAGCTCATTCGAACAAAGCTTCTAGTCAATAAAGCCAACCGCATTATAGCACGAGAACTTCATTCCAAACTCGAGAAGATCGGGTGCAAATGTCAGAACTCGCCATCGTATACTGCTTCTGCCACATTTACCTACCCAGACACCAAAATCGACAATAGAAAGACGCCGCCCCCTACCGCCCTCATAAGTCCGAACCTGGAAGTCCCGGGACAGCAAAGCGTGGTTGGAACTCTTCCCGGGCCCAACCTAAACGACGCAGCAACTGATGAAAGGCTGGAAATCGTCGTCGTGAGACCACCAGATGAACTCAACCCGGGTTCGGGGGGCACTATGAATCGAGAAGTGAGTTCGGCCTCCCTCTATGGAGGTGTGCACGGCTGACATGTCCTGCTAGTATGTTAGTTGAATCCGTCCTTTGATCACAAAGGATTTCAGACTGACGTCGGTGCCTGCTCTTGACAGAATGCGAGTGGTAATCCTGCTTCGCGTGGCTCATAAGCTTCACTTTTCGCTGACATGACGCGCAGTTGGTTGGTTCTACGCCCCAGTCGTGCTTTACTTCGGTGCTGATGTTTCAACAGATGCAATCGAATTCTCTCCATGATCCATGGCAATCTACACCGGATGATGATTTTGCCCGCAGTTTCTTTGAAAAGGTTGGTTGGGATCGAGTGAAGCCAGAAGACCATGCCGGGAGCCCTAAACTATGTTCCCATTGCAGTACCATAGACTCATCAGCAGAGTTGCTTCCTAGAGATTGCGATCTTTCGGAACTACAGTCCTCCTCATTCACCTGCGAACTCTGCGAACTTCTCTTAGACAGGTTGCGAGAGGCCGGGGTCCAGCCCCCTAGACGGATCACTCTGCGGCATACTGGGGCTCACATTGGCATTGAGGGTGGCCCGGACCTGCTCTCCATCTACGCCGACCCAGGTAACGTCGCCCGGAGAGCTTCCTGAAGTCAACGTATTAAAGGTTTTCACAATCAGGTTCGAGTCTCCAGCAAAAAGCACCGCTTGGCATACCACGGCTCCTCGAGCCAGCTAGCCCGGAGCATTTCACACTCCTTCAACAGTGGCTGCAAATGTGCGACTCGACACACAGCATGTGCCGTCGAGGATATCAGGAGGGCCCATCTAACATGCCAACGCGCCTCCTAGACGTTGGTCATCCTCTTCGCCTGATAGACTCCGCATCCATCACCGCGGACCGCTACACCGCTCTCAGTCACTGCTGGGGAATCACATCCCAAAGATTCTGTACACTCCAAAACAATATCAACCAACTCAAGGAATCCATCGACTTCGAGAAGATCCCGCAAACCTTTCAAGACGCCATCATCGTCACCCGCGGCCTCGGCATTAAATACATATGGATCGACTCCATCTGCATCATACAAGATGACAGTGAGGATTGGTACCGCGAGGCGGCCAAGATGGAACTGGTCTTTAGCGGAGCCTACTGCACTCTTGGCGCCAGCTCATCCAAATCGTCGGTAGAGGGCTTTCTCGCTCGCGACCCGCCACGTCGCTGTTTACAGCTGTCAGTTTCCAACACCTGCACCCTCTTCGTGTGTCCGGCCATCGACGACTTCCACCGCGACGTGGAGCTCGGGCCCCTGAACCGCCGCGGCTGGGTCCTGCAGGAGAGGGCGCTCTCGCGCCGCTCCATCCACTACACCTCGACGCAGGTTTACTGGGAATGCGGCGCGGGCGTACACTGCGAGACGCTTACCCGTCTCCGAAAGTAAGCTACTCCCGTTTCTTCCAGCACCAGAAAGTAGTCGAGACAAGCCGGTTCCTGGGAAGGTAGTGAGGTACTTGAGGCCTGCTGGTGCTGAATGTTAGTTGTAGTGCCAAAGCCGGCTTTCTCGGCGATGCCAACTTCCCCAAGTTCGCGCTGGAATACTACCGGGACGGGAGACAGCTGCTTATGCAGGACCTGTTCGAGCGATACTCGGAATTAGCCTTCACGCAGCCGACAGACCGGTCTGTGGCGCTACTGGGCCTGCAGAAGCGCATGGCGCAGGCCTTCCGTACCCAGGGAGCCTACGGTATATTCTCGGCGTACTTTGCGCGTGGTCTTTTGTGGGGGCGCGCGGGCGACCCTCATCAGCGCATGGAGCCCATCGTATGGGCCCCGGGCCACCACGTACCCAGCTGGTCCTGGCTTTCTAAGCTGGGCGCTATCAAGTATATGAAGCTCGATTTCAAGAAGATCGAGTGGGCCACGGGCGACTTCAAGAACCCCCTGGTACACGGTAGCCCCGCTTGGAATGGTCAGAAGGAAGAAAATGGGGTCTTGCCGGGGTTGGCAAGACCGTTGTTGTTGGTGGAGGTATGCCACCTTGTGATCACCTTCGACGTTAGGGATGACTACGATTTCGAAAAACTGCGGTGCGTCGTCGTCGGCCGAGACAAAATGGACACTTGGACGGATGACCAGAAGCATTACGCACTTATTATCTATCCAAGGAGCGACATTAATGGTCTAGTCTATGAGAGGGTTGGTGTGGCCACCTTGAAGGCTTCACATATTGGCGATGGGGAATCTTGGGTAAATATTCGATGATGGATTTACTCTATCTTTTTTTTTAATATGATAATCAACCTAATCTTGTGTTTTAATCGTGGTCTAATGTGATTATGACGATTGGTCTATATAAGCTGCCGTTCCTGTCCACGGCGTTTGTTACGCATACCTCGCCGAGAGCTATCTGAAAATGTTCCATACTTGGCCTTCCGTCGGTATTTAGGACCTATTTCAATGTTTCCTCGCTGGCTAGGAATATAATCTCCTGCGGCATGACGATGATCCTCTGCCGCAATGTCTCGCGATCTAGTTGCCGGAGCTAAACATCGTCGATTGTCATCTTCTCGGCGCCGCAGGAACAGGAGAAGGAGAAATGGGTTTTCACTATCAAAAACTCCACCATCCGTGCGACAGGAGAGCTTTATCCGCTGATTCACGGCGTTACGATCTGATCGTGCTTACACGGCTTCTGTCTCGTGGGTTTATAATCTTCTTTTTCTTATTTTTTATTTTATTTTTTTGCTTATTATTTCTGAGCAATCTCATGGTTGATCAGATGTTTCTGTGCCGTCCGTTCATGCTTAAAAGATTCCCATTTGTGTTCTTGGTTGTTTTCGAAATGGAGCTGAACCCCTACTTGTTGCAGATCGCGGCTGAGACATGCGGGGTTGCAGGTTTTGTGGGGACCTCTAATGCCTCTAGGGATTCAGCTGAAAATGAACATTTCATACCTCTCGGAACGAAATGCCATGTTCGCAGTGTGTGGGGATATGGGTATCGCTATTGCAGCTTTTCCAAACATAGTGTGTACATTAGGCCTCTGATTGCGGTACAGATATTTGCCAACGTGAAGGGGCGAGGACTACATTCAAGTATATACCAACTTTGTACACCAACAAGAGACTCATCTGGTCTCAGCACAAGCTAAAACCCCTTGTTTCTGGTTAATCTACTTAGATTGTTTCGTTGCAGGGAAAGGAACTTGTATGACTTCTCTGACGAAGGACTCTTGTTTATGGTGACTTGATGACTCAATCGGAAATTGGTACTGTGAATTGATTCCACATATGCATATTAGGAGTTTCTTGTATCTCCCCGACAGCTCTTGTAATCGGGGGCATCGGTCGGATTGCCGAGCGAACAACCAGCCCTATATATCTACTGCCGATAATCGCTTTAAGCATGCCGGGGCCGATCAATCTACAATTGCATTGCGCATCAGATTCTAGAACAATGGGTCCTGTTCGAAAGCCCTACGAAGCCAAGACACCCAATCCAAAACGGTCTACTGCCTTCCCGAAACGGACTTGACCGCAGCTTCATCCCATCTTTCTTCCCAACTCAGGCCTCATTATGCAACACGGCAAGGGGTGCCCAGCCTTTAATCATTGCAGATCAGTCAATTGCCACTCTCCTCGATCGCGATGGTTGTCTTCTTTTCTTACTGCCGAGTGGTGACCGGCTTTTCCACCATCATCTAATGCGTTGACCTGTCAAAAATACGATCGGAAGATATATTGTCACCTAGAGATGAGACGGAGCTGAATTTTGTAAGGTCTCAGATGATAAATATGATGAAATCCGCACACTGTTCAACCTAGTGTTGTCCGTCTGTTTTCATTTCTGCAGAGCTGGACCTCTCTGTTTCACGAACATATATTAGATCTTGGCTGACGAAACTTAACAAACTACCTTCCGCTGGACGGACAATCTAATGCTTTACAACATCTCAAAAATTTAATAAAGAAGGGGCCATCTGCGGCGTACGAAAGTTGCGGTCAAGATGGACGAGAAACAAAACTACCTAGTGCGGTCCGAGACCGTGAGCAGTGTGGCAAGTGAAGCAAGGGCCGTCGGCTCGACGGACCTGGTCGACGAGAATGGGGAGATTCGTCTGATTCCGGTCAGTTCATACTCATGATTGATTCGAAGACCGTCACTTATCAGAAAGTAGATGCCCACCCCGGACCCCAAAGGTCGGTAATCTGGCTCGGGATGTTGGACAGAAGAAATGAACATTACTCACAGTCTAGACAGATCCTCTCAATATTCCAGACAAGCAGAAGTGGCTAGCAGTCGGCATCTTGTGTTTCTGTGAGCCAGTTCTCAGTCTCCACTCATCTTTCTTCTAATTTTGTACAGTTGGTTCTCTTGCTTTGAGCGCAGAGGTAATTATTGGCGCTCTCATCCCAGTATTTCTCCTGGAATACTCCGGCGTCGATCCACGGGTTCTGAACGACGTCGACTTTGTGGCAAACTCACATGGCTCAATCAACTTCAACCCGCTAGCCGTGGTACCACCCGGAGTCGTCCCAGCAGATCTAGGCAAGGTATCCCTGCTGGCCACCATCCCACTTCTCGCCAACGGCATCGCCTCGTACTTTCTCGTACCACTGTCCATCGCCATCGGCCGGCGCCCTGTACTCTTGCTGACCGGGGCCTGCGCATGGATCGGAGGTCTCTGGGCGGGCCTGAGCACCTCTCTGGAGAGCCACATGGCGGCGCGGGCGCTGCAGGGACTGGGCGCGGGAGCGGTCGAGGCGCTTATCCCGCTGATCGTGCAGGACATCATGTTTATCCACCAGCGCAACCGGGCCATGAGCGCCGTGGTGAGCAGCCAGGGCATCATCATCATCGCGCTGGGGGTCGCGGCCCCATACGTGGCCGCCAACTTCACCTGGCGCATCCTCTACTTTGCCACGTCCGGCTTCGGCATCCTGGCCTGGGGCCTGATGATCGCGTTTCTGCCCGAGACCAGGTGGACGCGGGGCAGGGAGGAGCTGAGCGGGCAGCGGATCTACGAGCTCGAGCCCGGCGAGAAGAGGCCGAGGCTGGACCCCGACACGTATGGGCCGAGGACCACCTACACGACGATAGGGTTCTTCCAGTTTGGCTTCGAGTGGAAGGAGGCGGGCATGTCGATGCTGGACACGCTGCGCACGACACTGTTCCCGGCCATCGTGTGGGCGACGCTGGCGAACTCGGCGTTCGTCATCATCAACCAGGCGGCGCAGCAATTGGGTTCCTTCGCGCTGTTGGCTCAAGGGTAAGTTTAACCTCGCTACTCTGCTGTGCTAGCTCTTAGCTATCTGGTAAAATTTTATTAACAATGATGCAGCTGGCAATTTCAGTACACCGGCCTCTCGGTCATCCCCACCGTCGCCGCCACGATCGCCGTCTACTTCCTGGGCGGGCCTCTGTCGGACAAGGTATCGCTCATGATCACGCGGCACCACAACGGGGTCCGCGAAGCCGAGTTCCACCTGCCCAACCTGCTGCTGCCCTTCGCGTGTGGGATCCTCGGCTGCTTTGTCTTCGGGTACGCCGGGCAGAACAACCTGCACTGGGCGTTCATCCTGCTCGGGGCGTTCTTCCTCATCTTCGCCTTCCTAATGGTGCTGACGGTGGTTAACGTCTTCGTGGTCGAGTCGTACCCCATATGGGCAGGGCCCGTGCTCGTCAACGTGAGCAGCCTCCGCATCATCATCGCCTTCTTCCTCAGCAGCCAGATCACCGTTTGGGTCACCGAGAAGGGCATTCTCAACACGTTCGCCATCTACGCCGAGGCCCTCATCGTGCTCAGCCTGGGCATCCCCGCCTTGTGGTTCTGGGGTCGGCGCCTCAGGATCTGGACGGCTGGGAGTGTGAACAAGGTGGACGGGGGTAAGCCCAAGCAAGTGGAACATATTGGATATGCGGTGTAAGAAAGGGAACGCGGGTAAATATGTTCCAGAGATGTGTCGGGTGGGAAAGGTTGTTGGGGTTCATCTGTCAATGTATACGTAAGATGTGGATATAGAGTCAAAACATGTCTTCCATATAATTATATATTTCAGTGCGAAAATAAGCTGAATGTCCAATTTCAATTTGCGCGAGGTGTGTTGTCCGTGTGATAGCCAGGCATCACTGTTCAAGCTGGCCAGTCAACTCGTCAATCACATGACCCAACATGTGAGATAATCGGAAAGGATGAATTGGTATATTCATCCAAACTACCAGAGTTGGTTAGGAAATCCCACCAACAGTGAAATCAATGATTTGTCCCCACCTATTGGTTCATCTTCATAAATCGCATATCAGAGCCTCAATCCCCGCCTGCTTCGCCACAAGGCAAAACCACAAATAAGTATGCATTGCCCCGTGCAAATCAAGGGGTAACCTATTTTGATATATAAAATCATCACTTCGTGCCCTGTGCGCTCTGATCTGCCTGCGTGGTCTTCGATTGTGTGCCCTGAGCCGTCTGGGCACCGCTGTTCTGCTTGGCGGCTGCGGCCTTCTCGGCCTCCCGCTTGCGAATGTATGCGTCCTCGGACGCCTTCTCGCGGTTCTGGAAGGATGGAATATTCATCCTAGACGGTTCGTTATTGGGATGGTTTTTTATTCGACTGAGGGCTTAGACCTGAGGATTGGCTTTTCAGAATTGATGCGTTGTCGAGGAGGATATATAAGGTATTCCGCATATCTTGGAGACTTGCCCGCTGAAATGCTGGGGTGGGTGACGTCACTGGCATGAAGCTGGCGGAAATGGGCGTAGTGGGGGTGAAAGTAACTTAACCTAAAGTAGTTACAGTACGTTCCGTCCTAGCGATCCCGACCTGCTGCAACGCTCATGCGGTTTAGCAGGTTCTCGGGGCCCAGTGCCCTGGGACTGCTGTGCCTAGCATCATGTCAAGCCAGAACTTAATGGCTGAGAGTTCGACGGCACCTCAATTTACAATTCCTGGCAGCACGTCCTTAATATTTCGCTTTTTGTTATGAAATTTCCATGTCATCGTTTGTTACTGTCTCTTTCATTGTATCAAGGCTGCAGTTGGCATTTCTATTTAACCAAGTGCCTGCACGCGGGCAAGGACATCGTCCTCGAAAGGATAACCCTCACCGATGATCTGGTTAGCATGTGCAGGTAAAAGCACAGCGTCGTCAATCTCCTTGTACGTGCCGCGCTCAATGTAGATAACGTTTCCATGTCTGGACTTGTCAGCAATCATGAGTGCTGCTGCACGTGCGACAACGGAGGCGGGCTGGAGGTCGACGTTGATGGCAGCCAAGAGACCCTTCAGGTTGGGGAGGACCTGGCTGTCTGTCCATGTCGGGGTCAGGGTGTTTACGCGGATGGGAAGACCTGCTGCGCTGGTGAGCGCAGTCAGACTTCGGCCGAGACCTAGAGTACCGTGCTTGGCAGTGGCTATACGATGTTAGTTGCGTAGTCACAGATCGCAAATTCGAAGTGGTAGGGTAGAGACTCACAGTAGTCCACTGCTCGCACACGTTGTAAACCTGTGGAAGAGCCGTTGATCACAATGCTACCGCCTTCTGCCTGTTGGCGAAGATAGAAGATAGCAAGTGTAGCCGTGTTGATGACACCCTTCAGACTGACGTCGAAGAGAGCATATGTTGGCTCCTTGAGATCGCCATTCTCGTCAACCTCGGTACTGAGGTAGTCAGCGCGAGGACCGAGGCCAGCGTTGGCAAACACGGCGTCGATGCGGCCATATGTCTCCTTTGCTTGCTTGAAGAGAGCGACAAGGTCTGACCACTTCGTTACATCGGTCTTGACGAATGTGAACGCGCCGGAGGGCTTCTCAGCGGGGGCTTGGATGTCACCGCTTACTACAGAGGCGCCAAGGGATAGAAGCAGTTCAACGGTCGCTAAACCAATGCCGGACGAGCCACCTGCGCGGAGAGGGCTGTTAGTTTTGTGCTGCGTGGATTATATGATCGAGGTGAACCTTCGTACCGGTAAGCACAACAACTTTTCCCTCGACGCTAGTCAGGTCCTGATCTTTGATTTGAAACTCGGCCATGGTGTATGGGAGATGTGTGTAAAGGTGCAGCTGGATGAGGGGTTGATAACGTGACAAGTCAAGTCAGGGTATGAGCTTGATAGAGTCTACTTTTACTAATTGGCCAATAATTTGTCAAAGAAAGACGAGGTTGCACGACGCTCAAATATGCAGGATATTGCAGATATGCCGTGCTTTGAGGTCCGGACGACTACATGATTCCCCATTTCTTATGGGGATGTCGGAGCTGTCATATGACACTGTGCTTGGTCTAGGGAATGCATCGTCTTCTAGCCGTGTCTAGGGTCCAATACTGAGGGTCTTTTGACAAAGTACGGAAATACTTCCTCGCGTGTTCTGTTCTGTCAAGGGTATTAGCCAGGCCGAGTCCCAAGCCGATCGACACTCATGCGAAACAATCAATCTGGCGTCGGTTGTACAAGTGCATGAATCCTCTGAACATAGTATGTGCGCTAGTGCAGGTCAGAACTGAAAAATAGCCAGCCAGATCACTCCACGTGCGGATTACAGGGTGATAAAAAGACCCTTGAACAGTGTTGAGGGGCTCTCCATTTCTGATTCACATAGGTAGCAGGGTAGTACGGATCCCATAGTAGCATGTGCCAAACGCGGCACACGCCACAAATAACGGGTAGTGCAATGAAAGCATGCTTTTACAGTACTGTGCATACTAGTAGTAGTCACAAAAGGAGGAACATTTACCTTGGAAGGCCTAATTATCCAGAGCCAAAATCCCGATCAGCTCGTCCCGAAAATGTAGCTATGTGTCAACATAGCAATTATTTGTATTACGGGAGCAATTGGCTGGCTTGAAAGAACTGGCAAAGTCCCCGCACGTGTGGAGGCTGTCAATATTCCACACGGGAAACCCACTGCAATGAAACTCGCCTTCGTACAGTATGTACATAGTTTATCACTCGATCAACCTCCTACTATGTGTGTATCGTCAACCTGTCCATTCGTGGATGTGCGGTGGCTCCAAATATGTTGAGGAAAAACAGCGCTTGTTGCCGAATTAAAGGTGCGAGTATTGCGTGCGGCGGTAAGTAATAATTCTTACCGAGTACAATCGCGGATTTCAAGCCGGGACCCAGAAACGATCAGTCTAGTCTAGGCGATAATTGATCCTACTGTGACTGCTGGATAAATCAAGATTGTCGAGTTACGTAAAACCTTTGTTGAATCAGCACCACTGAAATAACTCAAATGTTCTCTCTCATCATTGCTGCGGACTCTTCCCGCAGCTAGTCGTAGCCCTGTAGCGCGAACACCCAACTGGGCCTTGGTTAGGGGAGTTGGTCCCTGTTTCCCCCTGAAGAACGCCATAAAGCCGGATTGCGCGAGCCAATCGCAACTCGTGGCATTCTTGAACACATCTGCGTGCGAAGTCGAAGAATTTGAGTTTTCCAACGGTGAACTGGCTGACTGAGGCTCAAACACCTTCGCAGTGATGGTAGGTTGCTCTCTATATGTTCTCGACTTAAGCTAAGGAACATACGATCCCCATAAAGTGAAACGTGCGTTTTCATTTACCAGAATGCTCATTCGGCGGTATATACGCAATACTATGGTGATTTGATGCCAACTCAGCAGCACGAGGAACCCAGAACCCGACCTGACTTGCTTGGAGGGGTATGCTAGCCAGTCGGGACCCGTTTCTACATAGTACAATTAAAAGGACCGGCAATTGACTAATTGCTAGCACGACAGCAAGCGCTCCCCACTTTTGGTGGGCGACGTTTCTGCTAGCAAGGAGCATGACACTTCTCTCAAATTTCTTGCTTCTTGTTGGCTTCTTCAACGTAGCTAATATTCACTCTACCCCAGATATGGCACCATGCAGCCCGAGTCGACGGGTAATGTAATTTCCCTAAGGCGAATGTCTTAGAGTAAATAGTGTGTCTTGGTGACGCCGAGTTTTGAACGCGGGTAGGGCCTAGACGCGGGAAGAAGACGGATCCTAGTTAGAAATACCTAGAGGACGCGAACATCCACCTGTCAAATCACTTCGTTCATCTGACCAAGACCGTTGGTGCCACCGGGCAGGACACTTTCCTGATGATCTCTGGGCCTTCCCGTCTCGCTGAAATCAAACTCCCGTCCTCCCGTCCTCGTTCTCGCTCGTGAGTCGCCCATGGACTTCCCTGTCATTCTAGAATACTCGGTAGTAGGAGGTAGACGAGACTGGTTATCTAATCATTGAATACTCCTAGCGCAAACTCTATCACTATGCATCGGCTGTCGCTCGCGCTGTCAATCAGATACTATCGTCGTACGATCTTTAAGGGGTTCACTAATAAAGTCTAGTCTCTGAAATAGGTTAACAGAACCTCATCGCTTGTTTGCGATCTTAGCGTCTCACTCAATACGGCTTGAGAAGACGCAGCTGAAAGGTTCGGTGACGTCCTTCAACGCGAATGATATATTCTGACGAGCTTGGCTTTGTCAGCGAGTCAGCTACCTGGTTCCTGGCTCTCGACGGTACCGGAGAAAGAACGCAATTATACGAGTGGAGTTATGCTTGCTTTTCGACGTGGTTGGCACGTTTGGTGTAACGAACCCTAGTCCGCCTTCCCAACGTTTACTGGCTGCAGACCCTCCCAGACCCTGGTTCCTTTCAAGAAAACCACTGGCTGCAACCCCATACCTATTCAAGATCTACAGGTGCAAGACACCAGAAACCTCCTTGTGGTTGCAGGGGAGTAGATTTTGCTTCGCCCACGACAGGGCCGTTGCTACGGGGGAGACTTCTTTGCTATTGGGAATTTTCCAACAGTTTGTATCATTAAAATGTACGGCGTTCGTTGATTGAACTGACTGTTGTCTATTTTCCCCTCTTTGCATTTTGTAGTCGACAACTCTTCTTTTACGGTCGTCAACCGAAACTTTCGGTGCTGGACACGCAATATCCTGTGTGCCGGAGGACCGGATAACCGTTTTCGCGGCTCGGAAAGCGCGTCGACTGGTGCGATGATGGACAATATGACGGATCCGAAGGGAGACGGAACGATTTTACTCTATGTTACTATTGTGATGTTGACATTAAGTTGGGTGGTTGTGATAGCACGGCTCGGAGTACGAAGATGGATCAACGCTTTCGGAACAGACGATTGGCTCATGTGCATTGGATTGGTACGTCAACTGTATTCACTGCTGGCGACTAGACACTAATTTAGAGCCGCATCATAGGTCCTCTACACGGTTACAGCATCTCTAGTCATCGTCTGCTGTTACTATGGTGCCGGCCAGAAACGAGCAGATCTTGAGCCCAAAGTCATCATGCAAGGAACCAAAGTAAGGGTCTTCAACTTAATTGCTCAAACAGGATACTGACCGACCCTCAAGCTCTTCTTCATTGCCGAGTTCTTCTATGCCTCTTGCACAGTACCTATCAAATGCAGTATTTGCGTTTGTCTGCTTCGCATAGCCGATGCGCGCCGTCGGTTTGTATGGACGCTTTGGGTCATTATGGGCATGACGGCCATTGCGTCCGTTATCTTCATCATCGCAATCGGAAACTTGTGTCACCCAATAACGACTCTATGGGGAGAGACCACCTACGGAGTCTGCAATATGAGCCTAAACAGCAATGTCAGCTTCTTCTTTTCAGCCGTTTCGATCGTCACGGACTGGTCGCTTGCCATCCTACCGGGAGTGCTGTTATGGAATGTTCAAATGAAGGGTAAAGTCAAGCTGTCTGTCGCTGTCATGCTGGGTCTTGCCGCTTTGTAAGTACTCTAATGAAACGACAAACGCCGGCTCGATATGCTGACAAACCCACAGTGCAAGTTGCGCGACCATCGTTCGGCTACGTTTCCTGACTCTATACGACGACATAAATGAGTTCATGTTCAGCACTGGTGCTATTGGCTTGTGGTCCGTTGTCGAAGAAGGCATCGGCATTATTGCTGGCTCTATGCCGGCTCTCCGCCCTCTGCTCAACCTCCCTGTCTTCGGTCGCAGCACCAACCGAAGCAATCCAAACCAGCTGTCTGCTGGCCACTCTCGACTAACACCCAATCCGATGCATCGACTTGACGATCAGGCAAACGAAGGAGTCAAAATGGATACATTCCGAACAGCAACCACAACTGAGTCTGGGCGATCCCGAACTAAGCCGCGTGGTTCCTCGGACGACGACGGAGACAGTCAGAAGAATATATTGAAAGAGACGCAGTGGACCGTGACTGCCGAGAGTACATCAGCTTCGGACGACTGGGCTAGACAGCAGGTGCTTGGGTGGAATAATCGTAAATTTTAGGATAATACGGCGGATATACATACTATAAAGTCGGCACATTCTTTTCCCGGAGTTTAAAAAAAACACCATTTCAAAGCACGACTTTCTGTACAACAAGCGAACGACAGTCCTATCTCAGTACATTTCGAAAGATAGAGGGATATATTCAGTATTGACCGGCCCTGATGAATGCCGCTCCAGGTTGTTGCATTGCCAACATAGCGGCGATGCAGAAAGCTGTAAGCGGTTCATCGCAAATAGCTCGTTTGAGTCCAGCGTTCTGCAACAATTAAGCCTGTCCAAGACACAGTGGCTATAGACGTCCCCAAATACAATACGCAAGAATATCATTACGTCTTTTCCCTTCCGCACAATGGAACATAAAATTCCCAACAATCCGATTGTAAAAGGGTAGCATCAAAGCCCAGACGACATCACCAGCCTGGGCAACCCTTGTCAGAGGACCGAATAGCATCTTTTTGAAATGGATTGCATCAATACGAACACGAGTATTAAATTAAATCTAAAGTATTTTTATTGCCCATCGGCTGGCGATTTCAGATCATGTTTATCTATTAAGGCGATTACAAGTTCTCAATGTGTCGGAAATAATTCGCGTGTCGGTTCAGGATCCTTGTAAGCTAGTATCCAAGGTCTATCATGCTCAGCCGCGTTCTTCGGACCATAATTCCTATAACCAGTATGTGTTTATAAGTAATAGGTGGGTTATGTATCACATGGACGTATAAAGAGTGAAAGGTACTGACAAGTCGATCGGACAAGGTAAAAAATTGCCAGTCAACAGCATTGGGCCACTCTACCACCAATTCATTTACGTGTTTGCTGTCGATATGACATAGCACACAGAGGTGATCATAGCTCTGCCATTTACTAGCACTACACACTTTGATTGAAACACCATGTACTATTTACCCGAAGAAACTGGCAAATGAGCACGGCTTGTCATACTCAAAGCTCAACTACAAGCTTCTTGCCGCTAACGCCCTTGGCCATGGCATCGACCGCGTCCTGGATCTTTTCAAGGCCTTTTCCAACAATCTCTGGGTTCGGCTTGCACTTCATAGTTCCGTCCTCTAGGGCGCCGGTAAGCCAATCAACCCACAGGGCTCTGCCAGTCTCTGTCTGATTGAACCTAACAAGATCGTTGATTATAATCTTTACATCACCAGGCAAATCTGCGGGAAGCGGTGACCCAGGTGGCAGAACTGTTCCCACGCATTTCCTGCCTTCAAGCCGGCTTGCAATCTGAGCGCAAGCCCGAACGGTAGGCCCAAACATGACTGCGTCAAAGACACCGGTCAAGAAACCCTTACCGTCGAGCTCTCGCACAATCGCGTCGGCGACACCATCGGTGTTGTAATCAAACACATAGTCTACCCCCATCTCCTTCATCAGCCCATAATGCTTCTCACTTGCTGTCGCCGCAACCACATATCCGGCAGCCTTCACGGTTTGGATCGCGTTAGAACCAACGCTGGAGCTGCCTCCCCAGACAAGCACGATCTCGCCCTTGGAATTGGCTTTAACGCCTGCCTTGGGCAGGTCCAGACCCATCAGTTCTGGACTGAACAGCATCGCGGCCGCCGTGGTCAGGCCCAGTGGGAGTACGGCCGCCTCGGTGTAAGAAACATGGCTCGGAATCTTGGCCAGCAAAGGCTCGACACCAACCATGTATTCCTGGAAGCCACCGTACCTCGACTCGCCCAGTAGATAGCCCATGGCGGTGGCGGTTACGCGGTCGCCGGGTCTGAAGCGGGTCTGGGACGGACCGACAGACACGATCTCGCCGGAGACGTCGACGCCGTTCACATAGGGGTAGGACTCGGGCTTCACGACAACTCCGAGAGTCTGTACTGCCCAGTCGGCGGGGTTAACGGCCACGGCATGGACGCGGATGAGAACCTCGCTTTCTGTTGGGACGGGGATAGGGGAGGTGGTTACGACCATCGGATGAGCCTTGAGGTGCGGCAGGACCACAGACCGGTTGAGAGTCGCCTCAGACATATTTTCAGTGCACAAAAACTTATGGGCTATTGAGTTGACTTTATTTAATATGGTTGATGGCTTTTCTTTTTTTGAGTGCCCCGGTTGAGTTGAATTAATTCTCAATTGCTATCTGAGACGACAAAGGTCCTGGCATTTTTATACCATGATGACACGGACTTCGGAAACTTGCTTCCAACGGAGAAGCTCGTGGTATGTATACGAGCAAACGCCGCGTTTTCCTCGATTTGTAGGTGCGATGACCCTGTCTTATTATACCTCCGGATGACACCCCACTTCCCCCGGAGCTAGACGGCCTCTCGGGATTTTCGGACTACCAGATATGGCAAGTTTTCGGAGTCTTGGCTCAAAATCCGCTCTTGTTTCCGGCTCAGCAAGGTTCGCCCCAATACCAGGACATGACATTCTGGACCGGACTCTATCTCCGCACGACTGTACAAATCAATATGAGTATTCACTCTTTCAGATTGCCTTCGTGGCGAAGAGTCCATCCGCATTTTGATATGCATGGTTTTGTAACATATAGGCCACGATACTCTCTCTCAACGATGCGGAATATCTTTTCGCCGTTCACCCCACACGACTTTATTATATCTTACATTGAAGCTCTCCATTGCTTCCAATTAAAAACAACATGGCCATCTATGATGGTTTTGAGCAATGCTGACGACTTGGTCACGGATTCGTTGCTGGTTTGCACCCTGTTCGGAGACATGTGTTCAAATTAGAGACTGCTGTGCTTCATTGTGGTGTGAGATTCCGCTGACTTGTCTCTTTTCTCCTCGTCATTTATCTACTGCTTTACAATGACCACTCCTTATCAACCCATGTTGACGCTACTGAATCTTTCCAACATGTCCAGTTTAACGAGGATGTGCCCCGATTGAAACATGCTCCCTCTGTTACAAAGAACAGTGCGCCCTATCCCCTTGCAAGATGTGAGGCCTAGACCTTTTTGGACTATCGTCGAGTAACTCAGATGACTACTGCTTGGCTGGCTAGGGACTAAGTATGTTAGCGGTGAAATATGCCTTCTTTCAATTTAAGACTTTGCCAAGCCTCACGCACACGGCGATGTGGATGACATTGTTCTTAACCATTGGATGCCCGACCCTATTTGTTTTGCAGGCCGATTGTGTGCCGTCTTGGCCTCAAATTCTAGGGAACTATGCGTTCCGTTGGGGCCCGATGCCCGCAAAGGTTGCTACTTGGCAGACTTGGCGATAACCACAGCCTGCAACCCCCACAAACTTGCTGCCCAGCTACGCTTAATCTTTATAAATCGTGATGGCCGCGTCGACTTCTGCGATGTCTCTCCCCCGGGTACCTTGATCCAATACGACCAAATCGGTTCCTTGGCGATGGAAATGCATTGGATGGTCACATATACGCCCTGAAGTCGCCAACGAGCAGAATGATGTCCATATATCTGAGCCGAAGGGCCAGCTCATGTGCTAGCGTAAATGCCGAAACGGCTGTGGATGATATGCCGTTACGCATTGGGGCAGTATTCGTGATCCTCGGTGTCTCGACGCTGGCGTGCGCATTTCCGCTCCTAGCATCGGCCTTCCCGCGCTTGAAAGTACCCCAGGCCTTTTTCTTCGCGATTCGACACTTTGGCACAGGTGTACTCATTGCCACTGCGTTTTGTCATCTTCTCCCAACGGCATTCATTCTTCTGCATGACCCGTGCTTGTCGGAATGGTGGACCGAGGGCTACGCTGCCATGCCTGGAGCTATTGCGCTTGGCGCTGTCATGCTCGTTACCATAGTAGAGATGTGCATGCATCCAGGCCGGCATCACCATCGCAAACCAGAGCCAACAAGTGGTTCTGTGCAAACTCGAAAGAAAGGGCAGTTCAATGGCAGATCTAGTAGCATTGGGCGCGGCTTGTCGCTGTTTGGTGGAGAGGCTGCTAATGAAGCCGCTCAAGGCAATGGGGATGACAGGATTCCGCCTACAGCTGAGATCCAAGACGAATCTCTTGTTCCACTCAAGTTGTCCGTTGAGCAGAAAAAGCGGGTCGAGATCATGCAATGTGTACTATTGGAGCTGGGAATCTTGTTCCACAGTGTGTTCATCGGGATGGCGTTGAGTGTGTCGATTGGAGGTCGCGAATTCGTCATTCTCCTCATCGCCATTGTCTTCCACCAGACATTTGAGGGCCTGGCACTCGGAGCACGCATTGCCGCAATCGAATGGCCTCAAAGGGCAGTCAAGCCATGGCTCATGGCCCTGGCATACGGGATGACAACGCCAATAGGGCAGGCACTCGGTCTTGCGACGCGGGCGCTCTACAGCCCAGACTCTGAAGTTGGACTCATCCTCGTGGGAGTCATGAACGCCATCTCTTCAGGGTTACTGATATTCGCGTCACTCATCGAGCTTCTCTCTGAAGACTTTCTCAGCGATGAAAGCTGGCAGACTCTACGTGGCAGACGCCGTGCATACGCATTCTTACTTCTTCTCGCCGGTGCTATGGGTATGAGTCTGGTGGGCGCTTGGGCATAATGCAGCAGCACGCTGATCAGTCACGAGACTGTCCTACCCGGAGCCTCGCAGAGACAGAGACACGCCGATCCCGATAGCTAATTAAAAACCTGTATTTTTGTACACTCTTTTGAGCCCATTCGTACTGTTGTCGTTGAACCAAGCCTTGACGAACCAGGGCGCGCGACTCTGATGGTTCTGGCTTCGTCTTGTTTCCATTGGCATGCAATTTCATGCAGCTGACCACTTCGTATCGATACTGTATGACACGAGCGCTCCTGGAGCAACAAGCTTAGCATGTATTTGATTGGCGATGCACTCCAAGTTGTCCGTCAATAAGATGCCAAGGATTTGTTTTACTATGCTGAATGCTACCTAACCGCCACAGCTCAAAGCAACGCCTATGAAAAACTACCGTATGATCAACAATGGCTCCCTCAGCTGTGGAATGTCTCTCATTCTCACACAATTGGCCCCGCATTGAAAAGGTTAAGTAGGTGGTGGTACTCTCATTGAAGGATGACAGAACAAGCATATCGGTACGTGCAATCAATTGAAAACATACGGTGCTATCTGACGACTGATTTCAGATACAGTCCAAGGTACTGATACTATGGCTTATAAAGGGGGAAAGAGTGTACAAAAGAACCTTGTATGATTGGGAGTACAATTGGGCACCATTTCTAAGTCTTCAGCCAGGGTCACGTGCCACATAAATATGCAGAGACGACACTATCGAAGGATGAGACATTATGATTGAAACCAGCGCATCACACGCACGCGACGGAATGGAACTGAATCACTTCAATCAGCTTCGTGACTTGAGAGGAACTCTACACTAATTGTGGCGCATCAAGAATTCCAACTATGAAATTAATGAGAGTAATGTTTAAATCCAAGGCGATGCGCACGCATCACGCTCACTATGACCTGATTGTTTGTTTTCGTCGATCTTCCACGGCGTGCAGTTGTCAAGATGCAGATCTCCTTCTTGTCACTCGTTCAATACTCGTTACTGTCTGCATTGCCATTGATTAGGGCAACAAAATGTACCAAGATCCGCCTTTGTAAGCTTCTTCCATTGTGATGGCGATGTCCTGAATATCGCTAACCCATCCAGCGTCCGAGGAGATCCTGAGTACAAGCAGTTCTAAGATCGCCTCTACAACAACAGTTACTGTTAGAACATCAACCACCACTTCTTCTTCGTCTTCTTCCTCGTCGTCTTCTTCCTCGTCATCTTCTTCCTCACCATCTTCGTTTTCTTCTACGGTTTCTTCTACGGCTTCTGTCTCAGCATCTGGTGTTGCAACATCAGCTAGTTCAACATCCAGTTCCTCGATAACTGCTGTTCCAACATCTACTGTGTCAATATCCGTCACTCCATCCTCTGCCAGTTCGGGATTTACCACAGTTATTGATACTGAGCCAGTTTTCACGACCTTACCAACAAGCGTTTCGGGAGCTAGTACCACTTCTACAGAGGGGTCCGTGGCACCAGTAGTCACCAACAAGGCCTATATCGACACAGTGATCCGCCACCACAATGCGCATCGTTTCAACCATTCCGGTAAGTCGCAGAACCTAGAACTATCTACGAGTACATGCTAACGCTAGGAATGTAAATAGCACCTGCCGTGAGCTGGAGCTCCAGTCTCGCCGAGACGGCGCGGATCATAGCCTCATCCTGCGTGTACGCGCACGACACCAGCGTCAACGGCGGGGGCTACGGCCAGAGTATAGGCGCCGGGTTTCTGCCCACGTCCATGGGCCAGTTCATCACCGAGGGCCTCTACAACGGAGAGGTGAACGCGTACACGTACTATGGGCGCGAACCACCGCTCACCGGCGCCGAAGTCGGGAAGTGGGGGCACTTTACCCAAATCGTCTGGAGGAGCAGCATCTTGATCGGTTGCTATACTAATGACTGCTCGGCTACTGGGCTCAGGAACGCGGCTTTTACGCCGTATTTTACTGTTTGCAACTACGGGCCACCTGGTAAGTCGTTCGGAGGTAATAGACGATGGGTGAGCACGACTGCTAATTTGTTTCCAAGGTAACGTTGGTGGTGCTTTCAATGTCAATGTCCAGCCTGGTACTGGTGCGCCCTCCATAGATGCTAGCTATAGGTGCCCAAGTCGAGCTAACTGCGAGGATACGGGCAGCTAGGATGTGGGGGGTAAACTTGGGCCGGAAGATTCTATTTGTTACCATTCTCAATCTATCAGAAGGCATTAAATTTATTGTATCGTTGGTCTGTTCGATGCAACAGGTCGTATCTCTAGTCATTTATTTCATGATCATGGAATCATTTCGGAATGTGCCTTCATCTACAATTCATAGCGCGCCCCGTGCCTCCTGGTCACCTCTACCCATTATACAAAGGAAAAAATTATCTGCTTTGCATAACCGCCGGTAATGCGTTCTTTCTAAGATATTAACAATCCATTGTTTCACTTTGCTAATTACATTTCTTTCCTTGCGGAAAATTCTTTTCTAAATCCTTTGTCGAATCTTTGTCGCTTTTGCTCATGTATGCACTCACGTGCTAAACTATAAGTGCAGAAGCAGAACTCTCATGAACCATGACTTTACTGAACAGCAGCAATAAATCTAACAAGGCCAGCACTAATTCCAAAATGGTGAATACAGATATCCTCGTCGCCCACACGGCCTTCGACTGCTTCGGCAACATCTGGGTGCAACACCCGACCACGGGATGCAGCTTCATGCTCCCCGACCCGAACCGCGCGGCGCCGAGGGATGAGGATTTCCGGTTCCCCATCTTCAACCACCACCATGGGCAGGGTAGAGGGCAACGAAAGAACTGCACCTGCTCTGCGACCACATGAACCAGACGGGGCAGCCAGGGTGGCTCTTCGAGCGGGCCGTGGCCTGGGTCGCGGCGCTCCGCTACCTCGTAGTGGGCAAGGCGTGCATGGGCCTGTGGCCGCTGGCGGAGGGTAGCGAGGTGGTGGTGCGGGTGCCGCTGGTGGCGTATGCAGATCGGGAAACGAGTAAGTTGTTGTTCACGGTTCCTGATATTCCGATTTTGGAACCCTAGGTGTTTTTCTCGACCGGGACTGTTTTTTTGCCTCTTCTATTTCTTTCGGGATGCAGATCTGGACTATAGCCATCCGAACTTTTTCAGTAGTCTTGGCCGAGTGGCATCCGTCATAAAATAGCTAGAGAGGTAAGGCTGAGTTGAACTCAAGATTCATCTCAATTATATGCACTGTACAAATACATATTTATCACATCTACGATTCTTTTAGGTATTGAACCAAAACTCGCATAAGTATTGTGTCTGCCATCTGTTTATCGTCTAATTTGATATTGACTAAAGACCAAGTCGAATTCTTATGATAAGCGAATGTTTTGTAGCACACATAACAACACTATTTACCAAGGCTGGATCATGTCCCTCCGAATAGCCTTACCCACATCATCATCCCGCTTGCCTTCAACCACGTCTTTGATGAACTGCCCGCCAATCGCGGGGTCGCCGGCACCCATCTGCGCCATGAGATTAGTATCGCTATGTGCGATTCCCCAAAGTTATCGATGAAACCTTACCTGCTTGAGCTTCTCCGCACCCGCGCCGCCTAAGCCCGTGGCCAGGAAGCCGGGACTGATCGCCCATACCTTGACGCCGTCGTTGCGTAACGTTCTTTGCCATTCGCGCATGAGCATGTTGAGGCCCGTCTTCGCGCTGCGGTAGGACATGTAGCTCGGCCTAGCGCCTACGGGTTTGGGCCATCCGGCAGGCGGGGAACCGCTGTGATAAAAGCACATTAGTCCATGCAAAGGATTGATTTGCTAGGTTTCGAGCGCAGAGGAGGTGTCATAGACAAGGCCTGGTAGCTGTCGGAGACAAAAAAGACTTACTTCAGTCGCTTGTAGATGTCATTGTCTGTTCGCTCCGTCTCAGCCAGCGTCGCGGTCCCGCTTGTGATGAACAGCAGCCTCGGGTTCTTTCCTTTGAGCAACAACGGCGCCGTGAGGGTGGTCAGGACGTGCGTTCCCGTCACGTTGACGTCCCAGCTCTTGTTGAAAGCTTCCCTGATGCTCAGAGCCCCTGAAGCGATATCCTGGTCGAAGCTGGCGCCGCCATTGTTGATCAGGACGTCCAGGCGGCCAAATTTGGAAGTGAGTGTCTCGACGGCTTTCTCGAGCGAAGAGTCGGACGACAGATCGACTTGCACTGTGCTGAAAGTTGAGGTTGTGGAGGGGTATTCGGCCCTGATGGTAGAGATCGCATCCTCTCCCTTGGACAGCGTGCGACAACCAATGATTATTTCGTAAGCTGTTGAGCTGCCGCTCAAAGCACGCACGGCCTCGAGACCAATGCCGGTGTTACCTATGAGATGCCACGTGAGTTTCGAAATCAAATGCTACGGGTTGGGCTCTTACCGCCAGTAATGAGAAGGATTTCCTTTTCAGCTGCCATTGTGATGAATATTAACGTCAGACTAGAAAGAAATTTGTAAGATTGGCGAGAGTGCTGCAAAGAAGCCGATGGAAGCTCGCGATACTAGCAGCATACTGGTGCTGTAGTGATATGATATATATCTCTAAATGTCACTGACCACCCCGCACGGAGGTATCGTCAATGATACAGCTAAAGTCCGATTGTCGAACTAGGCTACGGATCCTAAACAAAGTCTCGAAAGTGCCCTAGCCCAATCTATTTAGTAGTGCCGTCTACATGGCTATTTTAGGGAATGTAGTGGGGTCTGACAAGGCCTGTGGCACCACCACTTGTGTAGTTACGGATTTAGTGATTGCTCGATCCGGCCATGAAATCATATCTGATTGGTTTGCTTTTAGCGCTGACGCCGATCCAACGGAAAATACGTACAGGCATAGATTAACGGACATTAGATATGAGCGAAGAGCGACCATCAGGATCCGGAATCTCGGAGCAATCCTTCGTCCCTACTCACCAGTAGAGATGAGTACACATATAATGCATGAATATTGGGGACATGGCTGTTAATCGTGCCAAGCTCTTGAGCATCACACGCATACGAGGGTCTACTCTGAGGAGACGGATGAATATGATACCAATTGGCGAGGGCGAAGTGTTTCACAGTCACTTCAACCCGGTGAGTGAGAGCCGGTTCGGTTAGGAGCTTTGCGTACTCCTAAGACCGGATCACAGGGCGCTTGGATCAGTGCTCACGCAGACGGCGTCTGGCGACGTGGAGCCCTTTAGGCCTTATGATATAGTCTCCAGCCATTCTCAAGTCAATTCAGATGCATTTCCATCGAGAAACTTCAAGATCGCAAGGTTGGCACGGCCGTTAGGAGCTCGAGCGATATCATGGACACCTTACTGCCACGCTACATGATAGGATCTGCCACAGAAATTATTGGGTTATCTACAACGTTGATACTTTGGTATATGATCTACTGGAGAATGAACTTCAACGATGTGGGCGGTGTTTGATAAAGGGAGTGGCGCCTGTATGGAATACATTATGTAGATATTGAGGTTGTGCTATACAACGAGAGTCATTGTAACAAAGAACGAGTCTGGGATGATTGCCCGAAGCAGATTGACTTAGAGGAGAAAGTCCTCGCCACATGACCAATGAACGGCTGAAGTCAACTACGGAAATGCAGACATGCTCGCGTGTTTAGGCTTTGGATACTGCACTAAAGTGGGGCAACGGCACACCCAGATAGAAATAGAGTTTGTTGCCGATGCAGCTCTTGGATACCGATGAGAACAGTCCGAGTGCAGCCTGCAGCACATTTGATTTTGGGCCGCTCAGAAAAATGGATACCTATTGGCGACTAGGTTTGGGAGCTCTTTGGCTGTGGCGAGTTCAACATGGATAACGACATCGAGCTCTGCCAAGCTCTGGAAGCAACGGCGGGATGGATTTGGATGAGGATTAGGATGACCCCACATTGGTGGGAGGAGGATAATTTTTCTACCGGGGCCGATGATAGCTCTAATTGGATAAAAGCTGCACTCGGAGCTGCACTAGGACTGCGGGGAAAAGCGAATCAAAGACTGAAACATACAAAAATTTGACATTTGAAAAGAGCTCCAGGGAAAAAGAGGGCTGGCGGGTATGACGCAAACGGATAGCAATTGGACTGGATTGGGAAGAGGTACTAATCATCTCAGGGAGGCTTCGGCATTGGCTGAGAATTTAAAAAACCTGCTGGCTTGAGGATGTATTTGCTGGCCGATATCAAAACGAAAGCCCCCATACTTTCTAGTTGCATTGCATTTTGTTGAAGGCGGTTGGACTCAAGCTCAACACATGAGACATAAGATCCATCACCAGCGAGCCACGGACACCGACGTGGAGTAAGACTCACGCAACTCATGCAACTCACGAAAGCCCATCCTTTTGGGTCCAGGCACGCGCATAGCATAGCACGCAAAGTTCTAAATATCCGCCGATAAGCCTTTTTATTGTTCATCTGCGGTACCATTTCCCACTGGGTTGAAGGAGGCGATCAATGACCACTAGTTTTCTTCTACGATGAGTGGCTCACAATCAGGAGCACACCCCGTTTAGTGGTTCACAGATCCTCTTTTTTTTTTTGTCTTTGGATCAAGTTTGGAGTCAGCTTCGATCACCTTCTCTTGATACCTTGTTCTTTAATTCTCCTCCAATTCCTTTCTTATCACTGTCACTTTGCGATTGGTGCCTGAGACGTACTCGACAGTGCCCACCAACAGACTTGACCGGTGTTTGCGCTTCCAGCAAGATACGGGATTCTTGAACTTTGACCTTGAAACAGGTCGGGTACTATCACTGTCCATCCGTATTTTTAGCCCCGGTTTTCCAGCTGACTACGCGGCGGCTTCGTTGAAAGCTGTTTCCCTCGCTAAAGGTCGCAAGTGGTGTGCCGGCTGGGGCTGTCAACGGTGTGGTGTGTTGTGCTGTGGTGCACTCCAGCTCCAGCTCCAGCTACAGCTACAGATGCGGCTACGGCTACAGTGGACAGTCGCACAGCTACAGTACACACACACACCCGCTACAAGCTCAAGCTCAAGGTCCGCGGCTCACGGCTCACGGCTCACAGCTGACAGCTACGGTTACAGAGCACCCTTAAGGTTGTATTCCATTCAAGTATCCGTACACAAGGTGCCTTTGATCGGCATAACTCAAGCCTAAGGAAAAGGCAGAACCGAATTTTGACGACGCTCGTGCCCCCCGAATTTCTAATCCCCGGATTTCGGACGGGCACCCTTCAAGCAAAAATCACTTTTCAATGATGCGCCCGTTTGCAAACAGATCACACCACGACTGAGAAAACTTCAACCACCTACCCAAAATGGCGCCCCAAAAGGGTGGTCAGGCCACCAAACAGCAGAAGCAGCAGCAGCAGCAGCAGCAACTACAATACCAGCAGTCTGCTGGCGCTGGCAACGTGAAGAAGCCAGTCGCCAACAACGCAACTGCAACTGCCACTGCCACTGCCACTCGTCCTGCTGTCGTGCCTGCCATACCTCTGCCCATGATGCACCGCCAGGCAAGCAGCAACGTTAGAGGAAATGGGAATGCAAATGCAAATGCAAACGCAAATACGAACACGTCCGCAAACAGCAAACCTGTCGTCGCCGTCTCGTCGAATGGTTACCCCGTGGCCTCGCTCGAAGCCGCTCTCATCGACCACCAGGCGACTGGCCATGACCACGCAATGGCTCGCAACAAAAAGCGACGCAGCAAGCACAAGCATGAGGTCAAGACCGCAAACGGTACTCATGTGGAGAAGCCCGAAGACAGCGAAACCGCCACAGCCAACCGCGACAACGAGAACGACAACGACAACGAAACCGACCGCAACAGAAACACCAACAGAAACAGCAACAGCAACGTCAAGCAGCACCACGATAAACAGCATCCCCTCAAAAACGGCATAGACAAAAAACTCTCTGCCGGTGGCGTGGCTGCTATCGCTAACGGTGTCACCAACATCACCTTTGGCGATAATGTTCGCGACCCCAATGCACCATCCCCTCTGGTTTCGGCTCAAGTTTCGACTACTCCCTCGCTTGCCGGCGACGTCGAGTCCATTGCAGGCTCTTCCGCCGTGACTGGACCTCATAATGGTAAGACGTCTCCCTCAAATACCAAGAATTCCTCAGCGCCACCCAACCGCAACCCCCCACCTCGCCTATATACCCGTTCCGGTTCCCATCATGATTCTCAGGAAGGAAGCTGACTCTCTTTTCTTCTCCTTCTAGGTGTCGCCCCCAACGCCACGTCTGTCCCAGTCCTGCAGCCCGAGCCTGCAGTTCATACCAACAATCTGACCACCCTCGACACTGGCCGACCGCATGCTCACGCCGACGAGGCCATCGTGCACCCTGTCCCGAGCCTTGCCGCCCAGCATCCCCCCGCCCCGCACCACGTTCGTCATGATGCTAATGGTGTTGTGTTTGGAGGTGCTCCCACTCCCACGTCCGATTCTCATACGCCTTCGCCATCCGCCGGTGCATTCATGCCACCGCCGCCTCGCCATGCCGTGAATGGTATTGTTAACAACAGCCGTAAGCTCGGTCATACTAATGGTCATCGCATCCACCATGGACATGCTGACAGCCACGGCACCAACTTTGGTGGTCCCGCCACACCATTCCGTCCTGCTCATGAACATGTGACCAGCATGGATTCCTACGGCAATGTGCCTGCTGCTGTCTCGATTCACCGCGCCGCCCTCGACGGTTACCCTCCGAATGCCGCCCAGTACGAACCTCCCACGCCTCACAGCTTCCACGGTTCTCAGACGTCCGGTGACTTCAACGGCTTCGACAACATGGCATCTTTCCACCCCAACGGACTTGGAGGCTTTGATCATGACCATAGGAACGGTCGCTCTCACGGCGCACCGCACATGCAGTCGTTCTTACCTCCCCCGCCTGCCCGCCGTTCGAGCTTTGAAGACGAGGTCATGGACAGTGTCATCTACTTCCAGAACCAATTCAACTCGGCTGAGCTGGCTGACTGTACTTTGGAGCTTAAATACCCCGACGGTTATTGCCACCCCGTCAAGATTCATGCTCACAAGCTCATCCTCGCTCGCAGCCCCGCGCTCAAGCATTCCATCATGATCGCCAGGGCTGCTGACCCGGGCTCCCACGTTATCACCCTCAATGCCAACGACCACTACCTGAGATCCGACGCCTGGTTCACTGCTGTCCAACGCCTCTACCTGCACCCGCTCTTCAGTCCTCCGCCGTCTGGAAACGGTGCCGACTTTGCCGGTAGTAACATGGACCAGTTCCGATTCTGTCTCGGTTACGCTGCTGCAGGCCATCTGCTCGAGATGGGAGACGTTTTGCTCCGCGGCTTGCAGGTCGCTGCAAGCATGGTCAACTGGCACACTATTGAGGAGGCACTTGGTTTTGCATTCGACGGCGCAGCCCAGCGCCACTACATTGGAGATGATGGACATGACTACTTTGACATCGATTTCACCTACGGCCGTGATACTAGGATTCTTATGGCATCAATTACGAGTTTTATCGTCAACTGTTTCCCGCCCAACTTCGAGCTCGATACTACCGTCGTCAGCCCCCCTCTTTTCGCACGCATCCCACCCAGTGCCTCTGATCATTTCCCGTCGACCAAATCGGCCCCCGCTATCGCCCGGGGCACATCCACTCGCAAGGCATCCAAGGGCAATCGCCTGTCAGTCATCAAGTTTGGCGATCTTCCTACGGCCTTTCCCGAGGAAGAGACCAGCGCTGCCCCTCGTGAACCCGCCAAGTGTTCTCCCCAGCTTTCTCGAATTCTCCTCAACCTTCCCTTTGAGGACCTCCGTTATATATTGGCCACGGAGAGCGCTACTCCTCAGGGATGGAATACAGCCCAGGATCGGTTCCACGCGTTGACTACTGTCGTTGCCGAACGCGAAGCTCGACGTTTGCGTGCCGTCGAAGCTGTCCGTGCTCATGCTGTTTCTGGTGCCCGTGAAATCCAGCACCGCCTGTCTGCACCGCGACGCTACGATATCGTTGATGCCTGGGATGTGCTCAACTGGCAGGAAGAGGTGGTCCAGCCAAATGGAGCCGGGGTCCCTTCCCTCATCCGCAAGTGGGTCCCGCAGTTTGGCGTTCCTGCTGAGCTTGTTCAGACGAGCCCTCCGTACGACCAGAACTACCAAGAGTCAATGGTTTAGGATCCCAACGGGGATCTCCTCGTACAACTTCACGACTTGATGATGGCTACCGGATTTGCGGATGATGTTCCATAGTCTATGGACGTGGTGTCACGGCGAATGGCGGTTTCTTGAGTTTTCTGCATTGCGTAGCATAACGGCTCACTGGCATCCTTCATCCTCTCCCCCCCTTTTTTTTTTCTCTCGACACAGATTCTTGCTCAAATTCGAAGCTTGAGATCTGGTTCGGTAGCATTGCGTTAGGAGCGATCAGGTGTTCTCGATACCATATCCCGAACATAGTTTGCAACAACCATCAAGTCAACAATCAAACGACTTGGTCAGGCAAAACATGACCACGGATGGGAATGAAAAGTTCTAGAGCGATCATGGTTGAGGATGGAAAGCATTAGGCTACACAAAATACCCCTTCACACTTGTAGCCTTTTCACAAAATATCCCCCATTTTGGTATGGTTCGATGATTTATTGAACTTGAATGCTTTGGGAGTTTTCAGGTCAGGAAGGCTTTGGTAGATATGACGCGAACCGAATGTCGGCAACGATGTTTTGGCACGACTGATGATTGGAAGGAAGCCTTGGGATTGGCGTCACAATTATTTACGACGGTCAGGATGGGCATGATGATCTTCGTTTGCTGTAGAGGCGGCGAGGATGGGGTTGTGGATAGATGAGACATGACAAGTCAGCCGTAAAATGGCGACTGGGAAATGCACAAGCCCCACGGTTAGAGCGGCTATAAATAAAAGGCATTTGTACCATCATTTCATGGCTATTCATTATTCGTGCCACAACTCAGCTTCGCGTGGAGGTGAGCTTCATGGTGAAGTTGGACGCTGGTGTTGCGATCCCGCCGTGTGGCACTTGTAAGACTTGTTCTTTAAAGTAGTTGCACGCCCGCTCGGGAAATCAAAGTCAGAGTTTATCGGACCATAGAATCCGAAAGTATAATGTCTTCTCGGTTGTCAAAATTCCACACCATCTATCAAGTCCCCACAACTATGGAACCATCCTAATCAAATCAACGGCTTGATGAAATCACTTGTGAAACGAGTCAAGAGTGAGACGCACAATTGACACCGAATGGACCTAGACCATCCATCCTGGTCGTTTCTAATTATTTTATTGCCGCATTGAGAGTGTTCTTCCGAGAGAAGGGGGGGGGCAGGTATGGATCTCCCCTGGTCCGGATTCGAGCCGGTATACATGCTTGCTGCCTGCCGACTTTCGCGGGCGTGGGGGACCCACCGCCCCGAATGCATGATGCGTAGCGCCTTGAAGCGGGTCCTGCTTTGCGGCCTCCCCCCCTTCTTTCGTCCGCCCCGGGGAGGCGCTGGGTTGCTTGTTGTTCTCGTGTGCGTACCACGTTCGAAGGGCCGAAGACCGCCGAGGTGTAGATACCCCGTGACCGTGATCTGAGAAGCCACGAGGACGGTTTGGGTTGCCCGTGGCTGCGATTTGGGTTGTTACGGACCTTGTTGGTCGTTGGGACAGAATCTAGGTCCCTTGGTGGCATATGAGGGACCGATACCTCGTGATTGGTAATGGTGCCTTGATAATTGCTGGCTTTGTTGAGTTTCGAGTTACGAAGAGGCATGTCAGAGAATGCTGCTAGAAGAAAATGTACAATCTCTTTTCGGTCAGTGTTGCGAATTGGAAGAAGTAGGTCGAAGCGCGGCAAAGCTGTCTACGTGTAATGAGGAACTGTTGATTTTAGGACAACTAGGCGGCCAACGAATGGAAAGTATTATTAAAGGACAGAGGGCGTTGTCCGAGATCCTTATCAATATTTGCATAATTCAAAAGCCTTACTTTGTGGCGTCTGGCATTTGACATCTACAATTTTGCCTTGACCTGCCCACTGCCTAACTCCTCCTCGGCCCTTCTTCTCTTCCTCCGCCACCCCTCGATCTTGTGGCTCACCATGGCTGGCCAGATCTCCTTCCACTCCTGTCTGAACGGCTCCAGGGCCCTCCCAGTGGTACCTTCAGCTGGTTCTCCAGCGACACCTCGCAGGAACTCGAAGTACTCCTCGTAGTTGGGGGCTATCGAGTAGTAGTCCTTGCCTCCCTTCTTCTCGGCAACGCGGGCGCGCTCCCATTCAAGTTGGTCGGGGACAGAAGGCAGAGCACGCGCCCGCCCGGCGAGATGCCGAGCCACGGCCACGGCCTGATATTCGTACACGCGGAAAGTGAAGCCGCCGCCGAGCTGCGATGTTGTGTTAGAATAATGTAGCAACGTCAAGTCATCTCGCTTCTTCGCCTTGCACCAAATTGAGATGGTAAGAACTCACCATTCCGACAAAAGTCAACGAAGGATCCTCGATATCCCACGTATGCTGCCAGACGCCCGGCAGTCTGCGGTAGGCCTTCTGCACGCGCTCCTGCACATGCGGCAGGAACGGGTAGCTGAAGGAATAGCCGGTCCCAAAGACGAGGTGGTCCACACCGTCGAGGTGCGTGCCGTCCACGAAGTGGACGCGGCCGGCCTCGGCGTCCAGGCGGCTGATCTGCTTCCTCAGCGCGATGGCGGGGTGGTTGAAGGGCTCCCACCCAAATGCCGGGATGGGGTCGCCCCTGATTGATGCGTAGACGGGCTTCTGCGCCGTGTCGAGGATCTCGTGGATGATCTCGTGCGAGGAGACCGATGCGCCCACGACTACCACGCGCTGTGTCTGAACGTTAGTCTCCGGGCCGCGAGACAGACGTGTCTGGTGGAGGAAGACTTACCTTGCCCGCGAACTGCTTGGGGCTCTTGAAGTGCTTGCTGTGCCTGTTCGTGGAAACGAGTCAGTCTCCGTACTACATCGTCGACGTCAAACGCCATAGGGGATTCGTCTCGCGGGTGCTTAAGACGAACAATGCGGCAGACGCAGCTCATGCGGTCATCCGGGGCACTCACACGACACTTCCCGGGAACTTGCGATCCCACTCCAACAGCCCGTCTACTTCCGGAAACCAGGGGACGTTGTAATGGCCCGTCGCGACCACCAGAGCATCGAACCTCTCGCGCCACCAGTAGTTCCGGCCGTTGCTCTCCTTCCGCAGCGTCAGGACCCACTCGCCGCCCTCCTTGGCGGCGCGCTCCACCGTGGTGTTGAGCTCGAGCAGCCCCTCGTGCCCGTTGGACTTGAAGATGCCCTCGACCCAGTCCCTGATGGTGGCGTGGTGGCGGAAGGGGGCGCCGGGCCCGTACTCGGCCAGCGTCCTGGGGGACAGGGTGCCGGGGAAGGGGTAGGAGGAGTACGCCATGATCTCGGGCGTGATGTTGCTGTGCAGGTTCTCGTGGATGGCCGTGTCGGAGAAGCGGTGCTGGTGGCCGTTCACCTCCTCCGACACCGCGGTCACGGCGGGGAGCTGCGCGGGGACGGCGACGGCCCTGTCCGCCGTGCCGGCGAGGACCTCGCCCAGCGAGGGGATGGACGCCGGCAGGTGCGGCGTGTGAACCCAGGTCCCGCCGATGCCCGCGCGCCGGTCGAAGACCCGGATCGTGTCGAAGGCTTGCTCCTTCACCAGAGCGTCTGTGGCGATTGCGCCGGCCGGGCCGGCGCCGATGACTGCCACGCGGCGGTGTGCTGGTGCCATTATGCTTCGCTGTGTAGGCTGGCCTGGGTGTCTATATGGCTGGCTGCAACAGGCAACTCCGGGCAATTGGGCTGGAGGGTGTTGGCCGCAAGTGATGGCGATGCCGATACGATGACGGGACGGCCCTCATATACAATGTCGCATATCACGCATTTGCGTATTCCCGAAGTCGCACAGGGATAAGGTAGTGTGATGACGCCAGATCTGCTGCGAGCACGTATGGCTCCTCCTCGGTAGCCATGCAGGGGAAGGGATAGCCGTGGATGGATATCAGTGGGCCGCGCCCAGTGAGTTGTGACTCTTGGAGCAAGTTCGAATACCGTGGCACATGTATACTTGCTATTGTGCATGGCAATAGTTTGGGGGTCCGCACCGTGACAGTGACATGGAGCCGGAGAATGGACCACACGCGGAAAGCTGAGCATGAGTTATGCTCTATGCCAAGAACCAGCGCTGTTATCGTTATACCGCCCGGGCAATGTCAGGCGCGTGCCCCGCTACCGACCGGCGCGGATGATCACGCAATTAGGTGTCATCGCACGCAAACCCGCCAATACGAGAACAGGTCTGGTGTGTGTTCAGTGACCTATCAGTATTTTCATGTTTCGTTTCGTAAACGGAGTAGACATGGATTGATCAGATTAAAACACTATGGGTTGGGTATCATGCATCAACTTATGGCAACAACTTCGAGGGCAAGCTCTCACTGCCTCTATACGGCGCCAATGAGATAGGGATTTCACCACTATAGCCCACATCACCCTGAGCCTTCTGCAGCGCTGCGGCAGTTTTGCCAACCAGCTTTGCAATCCAGCGGTCATTTATGAGACCGCCGACCATGGCCTTTTTCATACCGCGATTCGTACTCTGATGCAGCTCCTTCGCAAGCTCTTTGATTGAGCTATTGTATGTACCATCTTTGAGGTTCTGTCGAATGTTCCTAGCCATCATCTTGAAACCTGCAACGTCTTTCATACCAGGTTTGGCTTTTGTAGATGTATCGGACGCCAGTGTATTGATGCTTTCGGTTTCGGATGCAGTATCCGAAATCGGCGAAGTCGGAGCGTCGTCGATATTGGCTATGGTAGAAAATGCACTGTTTTCAGCCTTTTGTTCAACGTCCGCGAGATCTTTCTCTAGTTCGATAATCTTTGTGGCTTTAACAAGTGCAGCGATAAAATTCAGTAATGTCTGATCGAAGGCAGCGGGTAAACTGGCGTGTACGCTCATAGAAATAGCTGACTCGTCCTTCTGTATCTTCTCAAGGTCCTTCTCGGCCTGGACAGCTTGTGGGATTCCATCCGCTTCCGTAACTTCAATCTCAAATTCTTCCTTTTCGGCCCGAGTTGGTCTGGGTGGCAGAAGGTGTTCATGATGCGGCAACAGGTACGAAGGAATCGTAAAAGTTGCATCAGCACCTCCAAGGCGGACAACTTGTGTGATCTTGTTGAATTCCTGCGTGTTGCGATATGCCATGACATCTTTGAATCGTAGATATGCGATAATGTCGTAAGCCGTGGTCAGAGGGACCGATCCAAGGCCGTCTACATCGGTAAGCTGCACACAAAATGTAGCATCTGTTAGCCAGGTAGAGACTCTTCGATGAAGCCTCCGAAGCTCGGCACTCTTGTCAAGGTAATGCCTGAACACTTCCTGTTGGAGGAGTTCGGACACCCACTGGCCAGAGCCCGCTGCATTGATCGAGGCGATGCTGATGGGGTGGAAATAACTCAGCGGCGCGAGCAGGAGTCTTAGCAGAAAGGGGAGTCTGTGCATGAAGCGGCGCACGTGCGGTGGTGACAGTGTTTGGAGAGTAGTAACACGAACAGACCGTGAAGGCGCATGAGCAATTGATGGCATGCTGTGCAGCTCTGCAGAGATAGCAGCGCGGATATCTTTGTCGAACTTAAGTTTGGGCTCCAGATTCGCGGCAGCCTTGGAACGGGCTTCTTGACGCGATTGATAGATGGGACTGGTAGTCCGAATGTCGGTCAAGCGCTGACGATACTCTTTATCTGCCAGCTCGTCATCCGGGGACAGCTTCGTGACACCGTCGAACCCATCTTGTGCCGACGAATCTCTCATAAAGCTAGCGCCGCCAGTCAGAGATTCTCTAAGCTTCGGGCGGTCCCTGAAGCCTTCTGAGCCCACGGTGGCGGCGCGCAGCAATGGAGTGTCACCAAGGAAGGCGCTGTCCACGCTGGCATTGTCATCGATGAGATCATTGTCGACGTCGCCCAACGTCATCTCGAACTTTCCACCTTTGACATTTGCGTATACGTCGCCTATGTCAATGTGCCGAAACAGTTTTACCGTGACTTCATCGACACATAACGCCAGCTCAATGTCATTGGTGATTTTGATCCCTGCAGACGTCGGTCAACCTCCCGAAACAATCAAACATGCTTATGCAACATACCGACTTCTATACCATGCGCGACTATAGTCAGGGTAGAGAGACTTATTGTGACGCCCCTGATGACAAACAGTCCGTTGACCTCAGTGTCGATTTCCAGGGCGGGAAGGTTGAATAGGGCTAATTGGTCACGTATGAAATATGAGATAAAATGCGGATCTTTGCCGAGTGCTTTTCTGAGGCATTTGCGACAGAGGCTTGCCACGGCCGGGAACTGGGCCACGCTGGTGAAGAAAACGACGGGATAGATGAAAGCGATGAAAAGTCCATTTAGTAGCCATGATGTTGAGCAGATGGCATAGGTTAGGTTGAGCGTGGAGAGCAGCGTCCATAGCGGCATGGATGGCAGGATCCTCTTGGAATCGCTACCACTGGCGTGCAGAAGGAGCAGAGTTTCAACAGCTGCACCTGATAATACCCAACGACGGGCCCACGGTACTATCGCGACAAACACCGCCAGTAGGGCTGTCGCTACCAATGTGGTCGTGTAGCCAGCGCTAGTGCGCCTTGGCTCCTTGTCCTGGGATAGGGAAGACGCAACAGGTTTTCTAGGTATCATTATTGGGTTCGGCGCCATGACGAGTGCGTTTGCGGGCTGATACCCGGTCGTGTAGGTTGGAGTTGTTCAGCACCGGCGCTCAGGACATTGTTGCGGCTGGGAAGAGGCCCAGGAAATAAACGAAGGGCCATATTGTGGTGTCGCGGCACGACAAACACGGAACGATTGATCGTTGATGAGGCGCTTCAATGATGACGTATGTAGGGGCTGGATTGAATGGCCTGCCGTGCGGATTACCTACTCCGTAGGGTTGCCGTGCCTACATAGTTGGTGTAATTAGAGGCTAGCGCTCTGTTTGTTCTAGACTTCAGCTCTCATCTCTACAGAATACTCCCGCTGAAATCACGAACCACGTGGATCTGTTCTGTGTCATCTACCTAACCTAGCCATCACTCTCCAAAATCAAGCTTACTGTGACACTGCGTTGACGACAGCCAATGTGATGGTTCACTACATGAGACCATTTTAAGCTGGGAGAAAGAAAAAAAAAAAAAAAAAAAAAAAAAGGGCAAAAGCCTGCTTTGGCTGAAATCCAGATTGGTCTTTTGCGCTACGGAGCTCATCTATGCACGTACTTTGAGGACTCCGAGTCTGTAGAAAGTTGTGCATTGCGGTCTGCCTTTCGCTCGTCACAGCGCTTCACGGTGCCTTGGACTTGATTTGAGCTCGCACCCGTTACACAAATGATTTCTTTCCTCTTCTGCCAAAACTGTAGTGTCATGATCTAGGACTGACGTCATCCATCATTTGGGGTAGCGAGCTCTTTCAGCACGCGACGCCGCCTAGCCTGCACCATTTTAGCCACTCCAATGATCCCCCCTCCTGTGAAAATTGTCGCTCCCACCCACGCCCACGATGCCCCGTACCCGTGTTTATCCTGGAGCGCACCGCTTATTGGTGAGCCAAACAGTAACGCTACGGACATGACAGTGAACGCCATTCCGAAGCGCGTGCCCAGGACCCTCATGTCTTGCGTAAGTTGCACGAAGATCGTTGGCTGCAGTGCGAAGAAGGACCCCGTGAAGAAGCCGTAGAGAGCGGAAACAGCAAACACAGTCACGGCCGTCTTCGCACCCAGCAGTCCAAGTCCGCACGCTGCAAGCGCAGCACTGGTTCCGACAATCATACTCAACGCTCCAAACCGCTGAGCAAGCAGCCCAGGAATGATGCGCCCGGGAATCGAAGCAATGTTCATGGCCGTCACAATGTAGAAGGCCGCGTCAGAGGACGTTATAGCGAGCTCGATCGCATAGCTCTGCACGTAGAAGAAAGGTGTGTACATGCCCAGAAACACTGTGAAGCAGCCCAGCACGAAAAGCACATATGGCCAGTCTGTCAGAGAAGCACAGTCAATGAACCGCCGCCGGCGATTAGTCGACTCTGGGATACGGATGACAAGGTTTGCCGTTCCCAGCAAAACGAGGATGATGAGACCAATAGCTCGGACGGTCCACCCAAAACCAACTGAAGGCAGCAAGTTGCGGATCAATATTGGATATATCACTCTATGGGTCACGGTCAGTAGATACCCTCGATTGTGAGTAGAAACAGATCATACCCGCCGAGTCCACTCCCGCTCGCCGCGACAGCATTCGCAAGAGGTAACTTTGTTGTAAACCAGAGAGATGGGATGGCGACACTCAAGATGGCAAGGCAGCCACACCCAACGCCTATGCACAGACCTTGGGCAAGAATCAAATGCCACAGCTGACTGGAAAAGCTTTGGGCAATGGTCCCAGCAACAATCAGAAATGATCCGGACAGCAAAAGATATCTTGCATAGCCTGCATCGTAGACTGGGCCTGCGAGAAATCCTAGGAATACCAATAAAAAGCTTTGAAGAGATCCGATCGTTGACACCTGAAAATGAGTGCTAGACGTCAGGAGGGCTGTCTCGTAGTATGCCTGAAAGCTTCCGTAGCTGGATAACAGTCCTATCAAAGTAAGCCAGCCTCCTCTATCCCGAGCACTCGTCTACTAACCCCAAGTGTTGAAGTATATACAGAAGGCCCCCAGAACTTGGAGCCATGCCTGTGCACCGGCATTTGGAATGCTTCTCACAACTGCCATGGCTGCTGCGTCTATATCTGACTTGAAAGCAACCCAGTATCTACCTGTTTGTTGTGGGCCAAGCACCGATATGCTTTCGAGGGCAATGTGCCTGCTCAAGAATGGCCCACCGACTGGAGGTCTGACGCGTTAAATTGCTGTTTGCTGTCCTGATTATCAAGCTTAGAAGAGACTGACACTCGAACCATTATTCTTTTACAATGCTGAAATTAGAACAGGCTGACTCTTGGGCTAGGGCGGAAGTGTTTCCGCGCTGCATATGCCGTTCCCTGCAACCGATGAAGGTGTGCTCAACATTAGTCGAACAGAATCAGCAACTTTGCAGTGCAGACCTGTGAATTGATAAGGGTCGTCGTGCATGATGCATCGAAGGACTGCCGAGGGCAATTTCAATTTACTTGGCAGACGGAATTTACTTGGCAAACGGAGAGACCTTCGGTTGCACTCGAACTTTGCAAGCCAGCCGAATGCCGATATGTCAATTCTACAACTGAAAAAGCCCCGACAAGCTTAGCCCCGGGGTCTATCTCCACTGCTTAACCTTAAGCGGGAATCGCACGACGCTCAATCTACATATTACATAGTGCAGTATGTATGAAGTCCCCTGAAAACACTCTTGTGTGCAAGATCCATCCGTTTCGCTCGCAGATCCCTGCACAGAGTAGGATTGTGTAGTTGCAAGGCTTGATTACAGGTTTTAGATCTCGTATTCATTGTACTAAAGTAGATATAGTTTCGCGAAATTCTTCGAAGATCGTCGGTCGGCTCCGTTAGATCTCGATACAGTTTTCCTCACTATCTTACATAGTACAAGTAAATCATCCCTACGCCGTATGTATATCACCACTGGCGCTAACGATGTCCAGAACTCGCAAGACAATCCCTGGATTTGGCTATTCACTGGGTACCAGGTACCTGGTCAACATGGGTCTCTTTGCATTGTTGCATTCGTCAGTGTCGACGCAGTGCATTTGCCAACTAACTTAGAGTGTGTCCTCACAGAGTTGGACTTGTCGCAAAGATGCTCGACATGTAGTGGTCAGCGTCAGCCTCGGCACCCACAAAGCCGATGTACATATCTGGTCGCACAACTACGACAAACGCATCTCCATAGGTGACATGTGCCGACCGGAATTGCAGGATCGCATCTTCATCAACACCGCGCTGCTTACTCAGACTTCCGTCTTCTAACGCAACAACAGTATGATAATCTGCCACATCCTTGAAGAGGTGCTTAGGGGAATGGTTGTTGCCCACTTGTAGGATCAAAAACCTGCCGTAGCGAGTAATGGAGTAAAGCCGTTGAGGCTGTTCGGACCCTAACTCAAACAAGTCTAGGTCAGGGCAACGCTTTCCAGCCGTCCAGATACCCTTTGCGGATGCTCTTATCAAAACGGATCCTGCTCCGTCGTACGAGACACCCATGCCTAGTTAAAAGAACGAGTCAGTTGCCAGTGGAGATGAACGGGTTGACCCGCGAATGACGGACTTACCAGTAATGTATCCAGCATTCTTCTCAATGGTTGCAACATATTCTTGTGCGCTGCGCATGGTATCCCGGACTAGTCTTGCCGCAACGTTGATCACATCCTGGGCTACAGCCCGACGTTCGGTATCATAGCTCTGGATCAGCTGTGTCGCCCCATCCGGATGGCGGATTGCCGTGGCAATTCGCCAGCCGATACCAAACGCATCTGCAATTCCGGTATTCAGACCCTGGCCCCCGTTGACTGAATGAACATGGGCGGCATCCCCTGCTAAAATAACCCGACCGGTGCCTTCTTTGGAAACAAAAGACGAAGCTATTCTCTCTTTGACTGAGATAACGTAGGATTTGTCAGCTTCTCATCACGATCACGCCTGGATATCTTGCTCACTCACCCTCGAAGGTACTGAACCATTCCGTCTTCACAAAATCGATACGATGTGGAGTCATATGCTCTCGGATGGAGTCCTCAGCTTTGCTCTGCGTGATCTCGCCATCCAACAAGACATAAAATCGCGCCATACCTCGCTCGCGCGGGATCCACGAGACTCGGGACTGGCCCTTCAACTGGAATGTGATGATTTCCGAACACTCGGGAAAGTCCGTGTCAATGAAGGTATCCAGAACAGCCCACACCATTTCCGGCTTTGTCCCCTTGAAGGAAATGCCAAGCCCACCACGAACATGGGATCTAGCTCCATCAGCTGCGATGGCATACTTGCCATGGAATACCCGACCAGCATTTGTGGTTACCGTAACGCTTTGTTCATCCTCCTGTACCGCTACTACCTTCTCCTTGTAGTATACCGGAGTGTCCAAAAGGCTCAGAAAGGCGGCTTCCACATCAGGTTGACCAATCATGAGGAAGCATTTGTGCAAACAATGCTCAAGGCTGGTCCACCAGTGACTTTGCCTCGACTTGAAGACCCCATCTCCAAAGGTAGAGCTGGCTGCGAATGTTTAGCCCTGATACTAGGCGTTGTGGCATCTAACTTACTGTTGCATTCAATACCTTTCGAGCGAAGGGACTCTAGGACGCCCACAACCTCTAGATACTGCTGTGTACGAGCATTTAGAGCATCTGCTCTTCCTAGTTCAAGGGACGATGGCTTCTCATCTGCAACTATTAGTACTGCGGTATTGGATGCGCCAGAAAATAAGACATACCAATAATGCGGACGGAGAGGCCCTGCTGCCTTGCCAGTACGGCAGAAAGGAGTCCAGTCGGACCACCTGCTCCTGTCAGCATTGTTATGGGCTCAGACGACTTGCTACTCACCTCCAATGACAACCAAGTCAACGAACTCGACGTCCGGTGGCGTTGGCGAAGTAAGGCTGCCCATCTTCTAAAACTCAAGGTCTCAAAAGAGGAAAGGCATGCACTCTCTAAAGAAAGTGTGGCTGGTCTACTTCTTCGCGATTTAATAAACTTGCCCGTGATCGAAAGTTAAGGACGTCCTGAAGTCTCGCCCAAGGTCTGTAGATTGAGGAGATAGACACAATGCTGGTCAACATGAAAGGACTTATTCGTCACGACTTAAAGCGACGTCCACCAAGCAGTATGCAACGGATCGTCCGAGATACCCCACAAAAGTTCCCCCTCGGGCACAAGTGTATGTCCCGGTCATGGCTGGTTCACACCATCCACACATATCGCCTTGCCCGATGTGGGATGTGTGTTAAACGTTACATTGGTCCCTACCTGCATCAAATATACAAGGACCACTGCCACCCTCCTAGTCGGGCTCCGCATGGGATGGATTGGGCGTTTTAGTTAATTCCGCTATTGCTCGAGGCATGAATCTCCCTATCAGTGCTTAGCAAGTATCGCCGCTTGCTGACACGATAGTTGCAAATCATAATTCCGCAAGACGGAATGCGGTGTCTGATATCATCTGTCGTACCATTTCCGCATCGATGGCCGTCTAGATCTGCAAGTCTCGTTTCAACATCTCGCACTGCATCTGTACTTGGACCCCGGCGTAAGCTGACTCGATGAGGTTTCCTTTGAATGCATGACAAAGAGCCTCAGTCGTTGTACCGAACTAGGATATTCATCCTTGAGGCGGGGCCTGGAACACCTTGAGTGTAACAACAGGCAATATCAATTTTCATCTAAAATCGCGCAGACAAATATGTAGTGGCAATTCCAGGTCTTTATGAGATCCTGCAAGCCAAGCCGTTACGTGCCAAACGATCGTCGCCCTTGTCACGGCCTTAAATTGGAGTTTAGCCTAAGCTACGATTTCTTTGTTATAGGAGGCAAATTCATCCATGGTTCATTCTTTCGAAGTACTGGTGACATTCATTCAAGAAACGACTGTTATGATAATTCGCCATTGTCACACCGCCACAACTCAAATATCCAGCTTTGGACTTATGCTTGGTTCTATCTGAGGCGTCGTATGTCGGAACCCAGATCACTCTCACGTCATATGAGAGAGAGATTAACGCAGTTCTGTTACTACAGTCGGTCTCATTCCGCGTTATCACAGAACATCCCACACCAGAGTGTTTGAACCGGGATGGTAGTGCTTGAAGAAAACGCCAAGCCACGCCCCCGCCATAACAGTCAGATACTTCTATTTTCTTCGTACGACGCAACGACTTGTCACACGGGCAACCCTCGCGGACAGAGCTTCGGACATAAAAAAGGTGGTTGTTCCAGATAATCTGGTGAGCAAGTTTGAAATAAAACAGAACAACTTCGCTTGGGAGGGAACTCAACAAACCTTATAGACACAATGTCGACCACTACCATATCGACCACTGCCGAGCAGCTGTCGGTTGCCAACGCTGCTATACCTGATCATGTAAACTTGGACGCGTCTCACATCAAGACCGCCGTGCGCATCCTTGGCATTATCGAAAGATATGCCCTACCACACAAGGCTGGCCCTCTAACCAAAGCCAACGAAGACACTAAATTTCTAAGTCAAATCGCTGCCAAGGTTGCTGACAGGCGACCGATTGAGATGTGCCTTCCTGCGTTCCCGTTCAAGTCCCCAAACAACAGTACGAAGGTTCTAGGACGTCTTCCAGACAAGGCGGAAGAGTTCGCATTGGCGCACCTCAATGGACTTTGTTGTGCGATTGAGGACGAGTACAATCCAGGAGCCAAGCTCATGATTATTTCAGATGGCCTCGTGTACAATGGTATGTAAAGAAACCCCTGAACTCTAGATCCGCGCTTTATTAAAACCTTCTCAGATCTCCTGGGTGTTCCAGACAGTGATGTTTGGGCATATGGCGAAGCTCTGCGGGCACTCAGCCTAAGCAAAGGTTTTAAGCACATTGAATTCTCGCGACTAAAGGACTTGGTGAATATTGGCGTGCCCAATGAGATGGACCAGATCGTCTACGCCGCTAATGCCACGAACTTTCGGGTTGCTCTCTTGTCTCAGTTCAGTAACCCCGACTTCGATGCGTCGCTCAAGATCCGCGAGGACGAGGACACGTGTATGACATATCGTGGCTACATCAGGTTTTTATCAACAGATCTCCAAGATGTGTATCCCGTTGGAAAGGATCGAACCAAGTCACAGTTCAAGAGAGGGGTTGAGTATGTCGCAAAGCAGATGCTCTTCCGTGGTGACGTAAGATTTCGGTTCACCCCCGGCTCCCCTCGCCATGCTAACCAAATAACGATTTAGGCGTTTGCTCGTGCTGCAAAGAATACCTTTTCAGACCGCATCAGACTCTCAATTCATCCATCGAACGGCGAGAACAAGATTTCTATCAGCCCTCTGCCAACTGATACTTCTTTCACAACTCCTTGGCACTGCAGCATTGCCATCCGAATAGATGGCACCGTCACTAGCGGTCATCGTGCATTGTTCGATGCCGACGACAAATTCGAGCTCGTTTATGAAAGCGGTCGACCAAGTTTCTACAGAGAGAAGACAGATTTGCTATCCTGGGGAGACCAGCATGGTGGAATCATGTGTGAGCCCATTTACCCTGCAGGCCTCCTCATCAGACCAGCGGCTGGTGCTGGCGCGCTGTCGATCGAAGAGGTTGATGGACCCAAAGTTCGGGCTCTCGCTGAAAGAAACTCTCCGGTAATCATTCGAGACTTCTCGAAGACCAGGGATCGGGATCTGTTCGTGAAGAAGTCACACGAACTAGGGGCACCCACAGGATGGAAGTTTGGTCTGGTCCTCGAAGTGAAAGACCGGGGTGCTGATACACGCGGCTTGAATAATGTGCTCTCGGCGGAATGGATGCCGTTCCACTACGATGGTTTGTTTAAGACTGAAAAAAGAGTGCTAGTGGACGGCAGTGAGGAAGTCATCTCAACGCCACCGAGGTGAGTACAGTCGGTGGAAGATGAAAATTGCAGGAATGCAAGCTAACAAGCGTCAGATTCCAGTTCTTTACGGGAGTCACTTCATCACCAAAAGATACGGGCTTCACTCTTTTCTCCTCGTCGACACTTGTATTCAAGTATCTTCCACGCGAATTACAGCTGGAGTATCTACGTGATCTGACATGGTCTGTCTCCACTTCATCATTCAACGCCACGGTGCTCCGCGGTCTGCCTTTGGTCGTCAACCATCCGGAAACAGGCCGCCCATGCCTCCGTTTCCACGAACCATGGCCAGAGTCCAAGACCAAATTCGAGGCAACCAATGTTGAGATCGAGAATCCCGGCGAACACAGCGATAGCGCAACGATATGCGGTACTCTCACTGATCTTCTACACGACAGGCGGATAGCATATTATCATGCCTGGGAGAAGGGTGACCTGGTGATAAGCGATAACATCTTGGCGATGCATACCAGGAGCGACTTCACAGCAGGATGCGACAGAGAACTTTGGAGGATTAATTTTGATTAAAAGAAACGTTTGCGTCTAATCACTAGTAATGCTCCTTACAGAGAGCTATGGCATGTATACAACCCAATTGATCACTTCTAGCAAATTCCCCATCAACCCATAGTTTTATTGTGCATAACATGAAAGCTGGTCTGTCGAGCCTCCCCGACAGTGAAGAGCTACCGCCTATCTCTAAGCCGTAGACTGGAATGTGAGGTTGATCTCGACAGCACCAGCGGAGGCAGTGCCGCTTAGGGCGACTGAGTCATCGTTCTCCGGAACTTCACTGGCGTACCAAACCGGGCCGCCAGTTGGCGACCCACCAATGTTGGCAATAAGGTCATATGCGGTCCGCTTCAAGTTAGGTGAGTTAGCAAGGCTCCTGAAAGTGCACGTGGTATAGCAGATGACTTACACCCTGGAAGACGTGGGTTCCGACCCAGGCCGTGGACCAAGTCACCGTTGTGGTCGTGACGATGTCGGAGGAATTTAGGATGTAGAAGCCGTCAGGGCCACCGAGGCCACCCTGACCGTTGCCGCCAACGGAGGCGCATCTCCCCTGGTTCACAGTCCACTGTCCGGCGGCATCGATGCAGCCAGTAGGCTCAGTGTCGCCACGAATGCTGACGGCGATGGTACCCGAGCCACCAGGAGGATATATGGAGAGCTGGCCGGCGACGAGTGGTGCCAGGGCCAGGAGACGGGGAAGATTGGTGAACTGCATATTGTCTGATACTTGGTGGTACGAAATAATTGCTGGATAATCAGGTGAAAAGGCTGCGTGTTTATTCGAGAAATGACCGGAGGCATGGGCGTACTTATATGTCACCTGGTCGGTTCATTTTCACCATGATTCCGTCCCATCTCAGAGTTCCTCCTGATTTGCACGGTTTTATTTTTCATCATATCGGCACGACGGGACGATCTTCCACCCTCGACATCGATCACATTACAAGCTCTACGTGAAGTGATCAAGCAACAACGACGCAAGGTATCGTAATGGCGTGAATAACCACCTCACCGAAGTTCACCGACAATTCCGGCACGAACGAACACGACCATGTGGTGGAACAAGCATTCTCGTAAGCTGCAAGCCACGCTACAAGGTACAACAGAATATTGGCAGAGATTGCATGGATCCCTGGAATCTTACTGGCCTGCCTTACATGTTATCCCGATATCCGTGCTTCCGCGGCTTACCGAACGCCGGGTTCACACCTGTAAGCGAGAAGGAGCGCGCCGCGTCGCTTAAGCAACGTGAGCCCAATCAAGCTACCGGTAGGCGAGCTTTCGAATTTTGAGCTGGTTGTTGGAAACTGATTTGTTCCCAATAGCTTGGATCCGTCCTGTCAGACGATGCCGTATGTTACCATGTTTATTAAAGAAGTAGAGTTACAATGGACGGTGCATTGTTGCAGTATAAGTACGAGCAGATGATCGTATTGCTCCAAGTACCCACTTCATTACGTACTTGCTGACATCTTGATGGCGTTGAAAAGCGCGACGCTCATCTTAACAACGCCTCCTTTCCACGTTGATGAGCAAAATGACTAGGCCAATAGGGTGAGCCAAATCCGCATTATTCGGTGCAAAGCCACACTCGGTATTCAAGGGCCGGAAGCCGAAGCGTTGGGAACGCCCTGTTGACCGACATATTTGCGGCGTAGAGTCAGCTTATGGCGTGTGAGTAGATTAGCAATCACGAATAAGCGTGAATGAGTAAGTTTTGTTGAGCAAGCCATATCGTTGGACACTCTGGTGATCACAAGTCCAATACATATACGTACTTCTTATAGCTTTATTATAGAATACCTCGTCTAAGAGGTATCACAGGCTCCCACAGATCATTTTTGTTGTTATTCAGTTGTTAATTGCGAACTATGTCTAATCAAATGTGATATTGGGCAAATAACATGTACGTAATAGAACTTGGCGGTATTATTAATTGTGACAAGCCTATAGCTCTCGAACAATTCAGAAACATCTAGCACTACTTGCCAGATCTTCTGGCGATATTTCGATCTGCACCTTTTTGGAAATCGACTCTGATCTTCCTTTTGCGTATCTCTATTGCTTAAGACTTCCTTCACGGAAGTATACGCATATAACGCTCTTTCTCTGATCTATTGTGTTATCGTGTTACTAGAGATACTATGCCCGGAATAATAAAAATGTTTGTCTTACCACTTCCAAGATGCCCCCTATGCCAAATATATGAAATATTCGCCGTCTTTAACCGTGAAGCAAGAAAGAGGTGGCATGCTCGGCATTTTGGTGATCCTGAAGCGCCGGAGACCTATTAAACTCGGCCTTAGAATTTCTCTCAGAAGTCTAGTCGCGATTCCTATTGGTTGAACTAAGATACTACAAAATTTATTAATGTAAAGGAAATAGGAAAAAGGAAACAAAATGACTCTCCTAGATTGTCGTTAACTATGCTATGGATAATAGGGCACATTGGCAATCTGCCTACCGAGCCTTTCCCAATCAAATTCTTGTTCGATGATGATAGCAGACTACTATACCACTGGTGACTTGAGGCAAGATTATCCTCTCCATACATGAATGAAAGGTTTCATCTTAAAGTATTAGAATGGTATTTTGATCCAAACTGTTAGACCAGAAATGTAATTCGAGAGATCTAGTTATCGTGTTTTTACGGCACCCCCGCGCTAACGACGAATCAAAACTTAGCATTCCGCTCCTTGTCCCACTTGTCATACACGGACCCGTAGTCTAAGGTTAGTCGGGAAGTCTTGCTCTTACGGGCCGGTTTGTGTTACGTCGTCCTTCTATAATAGTGTGACGCTATAGATTGTTACACCAAACAAACCAATAATGGCACCGTCTTTAACGATGGGTTCCTCCATACACTCTAAGCCACTATTGCCAGGCCGAGCACAAAAGACACAAAATGCACTCAATTATCGAGCTCTATCTACGCAGGGGGCGTGTGTCCAAAGGGATGGGATTGCAACGAATCGGAAATGTACACACAGCGTGGTTTATGATGAAGGGAGTGATGGGACGGGGCAGGGGACGTTGAAGTGGATATGCACAATGATTACGGATCCGTACGCCTTCAGGGGCTTTAATTGGTGGGGGATGTCTACATATTATCAATATTTCCGGCCCCTCCATTGAACTTTATCATTTATATATTATTGTTTTCAAGTTGTCTTTTCTGATATTCCAAGTTCAGTACAAAATTTAATTCCAAACATACTCTGCTATAAATTTTGCAATTTTCTTTTATCATTTTTCAATAATATCCGCGACTCGGGCGCAACTCGGGACCAATCAATCCATTCGGGACCGAACTCTTAGAGCAATCCGCGCGTCTCCTTCCGAAGCTCTACAGTAACACAGCTTCTCTTCGGAACACATCAAAAACACATTACACGCTTCCGAATGCGAGCATCATGTCAACATGCCTGGTGTGCTGTAGTCAAAATTTCTCGCTGGCAGTGCTGTTCTCAAGATTGCAATAAGAGCGACAATAATACCATGACCTGGCGAATTCAGCCTCGTCGCAGCATGGCAACCACAACTACACGGTGAGCTGCAAATATGGTGAACAACACCATGGTCACAATTAATGGTCTCGAGAGCTTGCCATGAGGAATTTAAGCGATTTACACATTTCAAGCAGCGATGCGTGGCTGCAGCTTGTCAGTTTGGTTGCAGTGTGGCGGTTTGTCGGGATTCCTGGGGTTTCGGGTCCGAAGTCAACTCTTCGAAGCCGTGGTAGCTGACCCCTGGAAGCTGCCTAGTTTTATCAAACCCAACAATGACATATATATAAGATAGCAAGTGCTCGTTGTCAAGATCATGCCGAAATCCCACCATTTCCTTATTACGAGACTATTTCATCAAAGTCATAGTTCACACTTTCAACACATTTACGTCTAATTCCCACATCGTCACTTGAAACAGGCACATCTTTCTAGTCCGTGGTCCTGTCATGTCAAAACCAATTGAGACATCAGTCGTCATAGTTGGTGGCAGCATTGTCGGCCTCGCTAATGCTCTTTTTCTGGCACAGCGGCGAGTGCCTTTCATCCTCCTTGAGCGTCACACTGGCAGCGCCATCCATCCCCGCGCAATCGGCTACACTACTAGAACAATAGAAATATTGCGAACTTTAGGCATAGACAAGGAACTACCTAAGCTTCCACCTGGGGTTGACGGTAAACCAAGACGGGTCAGGGCCAAGACGTTGAATGGCGAATGGACGGAAGAAACACACTGGACCAAAACCAAACCGACAGTCCATGGCGCAAGGCAAGTAGGTCCTCAAGGGAAACCAACAGGAGCGCAAAAAAGGGGCCCTCCTGATTATGCTTCGCTTAGTCCAGTTCAAGGCACAGCAATTGCCCAGGACAAGCTCGAACCCATTATTCGCAACAAGGCCTTGGAACTAGGTGCTGATTTGCGCCTTGGGTTTACAATGACTGACTGGTCACAAGATACAAATGGCGTGTCGGTTACTGCGACTCAGCCTACTGGAGAGACTTCTTCAATAAAGGCGAAGTACATGATCGCCTGTGATGGCTCAGAAAGCCGCATTCGCAATGACCTAGGCATCGTGACCACCGGCGTCGGCTATATGCGCACCCTTCACAGCACACTCTTCCGCTCTCCTAGTATCGATCACTACTTGTCCAAAGGCGTTCATCAGTGGGAATTAAAGGACGGAGATTTTGAAGCTTTCCTTGTCACCTACTCCGATGGTCGCTGGGCGCTGATGAGCCAGAATCCTGAACAAGATACACTTGACATAGATGGTCAGAAAGCATTGATTCGAAAGGCTGTCGGCGAAGACATCAGCGATATTGAGCTGCTAGCTCAGGGCAACTGGACACTGGGTGGGTCCATAGCTGAGAAATTCTCCTCTGGTCGGGTCTTGCTGGCGGGCGACGCCGCGCATGCCCTTCCTCCGAATCGTGGAGGCTATGGCGCCAACACTGGTATCGCAGACGCGCACAATCTTGCATGGAAGCTACAAGCTGTTCTATCTGGCAAGTCTGATGTATCACTACTAGACACGTACGACCAGGAACGGAGGCAGGTTGCGCTAGTCCGACACGATCAGATATTCTCGCGCGATGACTACAAGCCCTACGTGGTCGGCACGGAGTGGGAGAAGACGCACGCGTCAGTACCTATCATTGACGACATCGCCATGGAACTGGGCCAGATCTATCGTTCTAGTGCCGTTGTTGGTTCCGAAGACAAGTCTCTGCCCGATGCCCAGACACCTGGGCAGTGGAAGGGTCAGCCAGGGACGAGGGCACCGCACATCAAGCTCACGCGCGATGGGACCGAGATCTCAAGCCTGGACCTACTCTGCCAGGGATGGGTCATACTGTCGAAAGATGAGAGCTGGAAATCCCGTGCTGCAGCTGTGTCTGATGTTGACTTTGTGCTCATCAGTGGAGATGTTGCAGAAGTAGTTGATGGATCCTTTATTGATGCTTTCGGTCTAGAAGCAACCGGCGCTGTATTAGTCAGACCTGATGGACACATTGCTGCTCGCTGGATCACTACATCATCAGTGGATGAGTTTTGTAACATATTTCGCAGAGTTACTCATTCGCAGTGATCATGGCGAGGTATGCACATATTACTGTAGGGCGAGGTGTTACAGAAGATGAGGCTTCACGGACTTGTGTATTGGCGATATTGGTGCAGCCCGTTGGTGTAGACTTTTATCACTTTATGACCTCATTATATATGAAATAAACCCCTTCCCAAAACAACCAGAACTTCAACAAATTAAATTAGTGCGTCTATCCTAGCATACCGTTGGAGATTTTCCCACTGTTTTACTTGTTATAGCGTCATTCTAACTGGTATTGTATCCTGTCTGCTTCATCGCACACTGCTATGTTTGAGTATGCCAAGGTTCGGTATTATGTGGTAGCTCATGACCGAATGGATTACCATGCTAGCCTGTAGTTCGGTTTCCTGTATGAATTATAGTGGTGGCGGAGCTTTCGCACCAAAATCAACGGCCACGTCCTTGGAAAGACAAACGAGCCACGGCTGGGGAGGTGTGTAGTGTTCCAGTGTTCTCATTATGACTATGAAGTCCTATTCGCAAGTACTTTATATCACGCGACATCTTGGAAACGTTGCTGTTGAATGAATGAGATCATAGTAGATTGTATAACCAGTTAGATGGTTAGCCTTCTGTTAAGTAGGTCAGGCGGTGGGCTTCATAAGCAATTGGCTTGTATGCTAGATATTGACACGACAAGGGCACTCGAATACATGATCGGATCATTCCATATAGTTTTTAGTCCTTTTAGCCGCACATACAAGAGTAATACAGCTTCTAGCATGGAAATACAAGTCATGTTGATTTTTACTTAGGTATGTAATAGTTGCTGCAGGTCCCGAGGTAAGCGCTCAGCGCCATCGCGCGTGTTAAGATTCTTGGTATTTGAAACCAACTATCCTTGCCTTTTGTGTTGAGCGCAGCTTTAGACCACAATAATCTGTCTAAAATGATGTAATCCATGTGAATTATATTACTGTTCGTATCCAGAGCAATATCATCTCAGACTTTCGCGTCGGAGGCACATCTGGCTCGAGGGTCTTTGCATCAGCGGTTTGGGACGACTGTCGTCGTGATTGAGGTTTGTCGAAAATTATTCCAGCGTTGATCAAACGTAACTTACCATGTGCAACAAGCTGAAGTGTAGTTTGCGACGTTTTTGTTGATCGAATCAGGTACCATTAAGTCCTAGCAACATTTCGTGTTGCATACAATGGCCTCTTTAGCGGGGTGGGATCATCTCATACAGACTCACAAGGTTATTCATGTTAGAAGTGACCGCATTTGCAATTGGTGGAATGAGCAATCGAACTCTACACGCATTCAATATTGTGACCTCGTCGCTCATTGATACGCTCTCCTCCCCTCACACAACCGCCACAAACCTCCTTTTATATGTACTCATCGTAAGGACCTGTTCAGCTTTGCACCAAGAACACTACTAATATGATAGGTCAGTGGACATGACTACACCCCTGGTAAGGTCAAATCGCAAACCGACTTTAGACTGAATGTGGCACCCGAATACCTTCCGAAGCCCGTATTATTGGTTCTTAATGAACGAACCTTCTCTTGTCGGCGCACCCTGGATTATTATGACCAATGAGCTTTGTTCGTTTGTGTCAGAAATTCCTCACGTGAGAACATTGCCGATCATTGCATTTCTCTTGCACACGCCAAGTCAGCTTTGTTTCTGTTAGCCTTAAAACGTTTGAGCTTACCCACGTAGACAGTCTGCAGTAAGTGGGGTTTCGTCACGCGTAGGATGATTTTCTGAGAATCCTCCTGAAACGGTTCTATTTAAGAAGGTGGTGATTCCGAATGGGACCGAAGTCATTACCATTCATCAAGAACCGGCCTGCACGTCGTGGCGTAACGATTCTATCCAGCTCCACTACTTTGAGCATCTATCTTGTTACAAACATGAAGCTACTCGCCTTCGAATCCGTCATCATGGCTATAATGAGCGTCGCTTTAGCCGTGCCCTCGGTGAGCTACCAGACCCGAATCGGTCGGGAGTGTTAAGACTATGAGGACTGACCATCACGTTTTGTCGCCAGCTCGAGCGGTCGTCAGAAACCAGATCTATACAGTTAAGGGATGACGGGACTTTCTACCTACCACGCAGCCCTCTTGAAAAGCGCTGCATTGAATGTATGTGTGATGGTTTCTCGGGCCCATGTTGCTGCAACCGGCCCCCAGGTCAGGATTGTTGCTGTGGCACCGCATGTGGCTTTTGTGAGAGGCCAGGATGCTAGTTTAGGCACCGGTGATGAGTTGTAGCGCCTAAGACTTGTAGATTTTATCGGTAGCTCAAACTCGGGCCGGCAACGTCTGAAATTCTCTCTTTTTTTTTTTTTTTTTTTTTGGAAAAGAAAACGAAAGAGGCTATTACTTGTCGCGCGCTTATCATGATTGTCCTCCCATTAGCGATTTCTGATCTCTGATGGTGACCTCAAAGACTGTATAATAGATTTCAACCAACAGAGTCGATGTGCTTATTGAAACACTCTCTGAGAAGTTTCGAGGTAAATTGGACGATCGCAAGATGTGCAGCATATTTGTAGACCTGCATGTGATTTTAGATGATATCCTTGTCGACAAGCTCTTAAATTTGAAGTTGTTGTGTTTCAGCTTTTGTGTTAGATTTCGGAGAATAATTGAACCGTATTCGTCCATGCTTGGCATTTTTTGTTCTAGATTTGGTGAAAAGGTCACTTATCCCATCAAAAATACTTATAAGACCGACAATTTAGAACAGACTGGCATACAACCTTTTCTTGGTTCTTAAGCGGCATCAGGGTGAGTGATGGGAAAGATGATAGAACCGAAAATTGCCCGAGTCAGCACTTCATTTAGATCCCTCAGCTTATATACAGTCTACCTCTCCTTCAATTGATTGATTACTATTTGGGACGTAGCCAGTTTCTTATGCAATTAAGCGAATATGCGATCATGATACGATTCCGAGCCGCTACAAGCAACAACCAAAGAAATTTGTTTAATGGCAATAGCCACTTTGTCATAATTGCCATTGACTCATTCAGCGGTAACGGCTCGGAAGGTTGCGCGAATATTGACAGTATATTTATTGACTTATTGTAAAATAAATTTCAACTCCTCCTGAGCCGATGCTATGAAATGCATAGCATTTGAGGATTTGTAACGCTTATACATATTCAGCATACGCGAGAAAGTCTGTCGACACAGAAATAAGCAGTGCAGTACCCAGCGGAAAGTAAGTGCAAACAAGGACATCCCATTTCTAAGACAATGCTTTAGTGAAGAAGAACAACAGGAACATACTGATACGAAGTAGAGGGCCCCTCTCCTTTTTGCCTACCGTACCTATCAAATTCAAGCAGCCTCAATGATCATGTTAGTCAGCTGCCCAGCCATGGCATAAAGTGTTGCCTGTGGATGACCTCTCAGAGGTATCAGAACAATACTTGCATCGGCAACCCTCAGTCCTTTGACGCCGAATACTTTGCTTTCGGCATAGACCACAGCTGCAGTCCCCGGAATGGTGGTGCTGCATTCCGGTCCGTCGAATTCTCTCCTTGGTTGTATCGTAATTAGAATCGGCCGTGAGAGGTGTCAAGCCATCTAGACCTTTCCCTAAGGCCGGCGTTTCACTTTCGACGATAGCTTTCATTGGCGCAGTTGCCAACATGGCCTTCAGCATTTGATGCGCGGCATGCAATAGAGAATCCTGGTCCAGCTCGCTAGAGAAATAGTTGGGCTGGATATATGGGGGGTCGGTTGGGTTGCCAGAATGAATGGACACGGTACAGCGGGAGGTGGGAATGAGTAACATTGTAGAGGTGGCGATGTGCGTACCATGTATTGGAATGCCTGGAATACTAGGTGGTACATACAGAGTAAGTACCTCGTGGAGGTTTCTGTTATGCTTCTCGACTTGGGACTCATGCTTGGTCATAATCTCTGCTGGGAGAGGCAGACTCACGACCCAGTCCCACGGAAGGCCTTTGAAGGCAGTTGGAGCTTCTAAGAGCGTAGCCAATGGATGGATCACACAAACGGAAGGCAAAGTAAACGACAAAATGATCATGGATGTTTTGGCCAATTTCTGGGTTCTCATGGACATAGAGATGCCATGTTGAGTAAGGCTATCTGAAGGGCCAATACCGGAGAGCGAAAGCACTTGGGGAGTGCGGTAAGTACCAGCGCAAATGATGGCCTCCCTTCGTACGGCAATTATGCGGCCATCGGCCAGGTCCACTCCAGTAGCAGTGTTATTGGAACATACAATCTAGTTTGCGATGGTGTTGGAAAAGACCTTCACATGGTCGAGTGGGTAGGCTGTGTCTGATGGCTGTCGCATTCCGTCGCGCGAGGTCTCGTACATCTCAGCCAAACCCGTAATCCAGCCATTCTCTTTTTGCAAGTTGGGCGATACACCAAGCTCAGCCCATGCCTTCTTCACATGATCGCGAAGCATATATTTGCATTCTCCCGACTAAGAGGCTGACACTGAAATGACCTGCATGGTTCCATCGAAGTCATGCGCATTGGCGTCTGCTGCCGAGTCATGAAAGTTCTCTGAATTGCGGAACCAAGAGAGAAGACCTCGGTATCCCCAGCGTTCGTCGTCAACCAATGAACCCCACTCATTATAGTCCGCGGCATCTGCACGTAGCCAGCCACCATAGTTGAGTATACTGCCTCCTCCTAGAGCCTTACCAGAGTTGAGGCTGTGGACACGGTTGGCTGTGTTTGTAACAGGTTCACTGTGATACGCATAGTCGAATTCGCCGCCCTGAAGAGACAAGCTGCTCAGCAGCCCAGCAGCAGCAGGGTTCGTTGACAGGTCAGACCCTGCTTCTAGCAGGATGACGCCGGGGTTCCTTTTCGCTCTGACTTAGGCGCGAGGCTACCAGGCATCCGGTTAGACCTCCGCCAATAACGATGTAGTCTGCAGTCAAGTCGGTCATGTTTGATGAGGATTCAATAGAACAGTGGATGATTCGGATGGAAATGATCAGGAAAGAGGAGAAGCGATGGGTGAAATACAATAGGGAAAAGTGTCCATAAAAGGCGTGTTGGCGGTTTTTGCGGTGAGGTTGTGTGCTACTCTTCTACATGATAGGCAGGTGAGGATTTCTAGTTGTGGTCTACAGTTGAGCTAGGAAGCATAAGTTATAGGTATCTAACTACTAGTCTAGTTGAAGTAGGAATTGCATCGGTACAACCCCATATGCAAGCCCCGCCAAAAGCAAAACTTGGGGCATTCCTGTCAGCATTTACAAAAGGCGGACGATGCGCATGTATAATACTTATAATTATGTCTTTCACTTTCTGTAGCGAAGTAACGTCCCAAATACTCGTTCGTATAATCTTTCAATTGCGCATTGCCTTGCTGCGTTTTCTTTAACTCTTTTCTGCTATTAATTGGCCGACTGTATGTAACCCCAAATCGCTTGACGACTTTCACCATAGGTCCCCTACAAAAAGACGATCCGCAGTTATGGAAGTAACACAACATTGAAGCAACTTATTGGGATGAATACATCGCCACATGGCCCGTCTACGATGAGAGAACATTTCAACGTGTTCTGGATTTCTAAGCAAAGCATTCTCGATCGCGATTAGTAACACTCGATATAGGCACAGGCTCAGGATCTGCCTTAGGACCTCTTGCAAAAATTTTTGAGCACGTTGTTGCCAGCGATAATGACCCCACGAGTTTGAGCTTTGCAAGGCGTAGATACTCAGCTCTATCGCCTGAGCGTCTTTCCTACACCCTATCTTCGGGAAAGGATCTTCTGCAGTATCACTCTCATAATTCAGTCGATCTAATTAGTTGCGTAGAGACATTTCCATTGATTGACACAGCAACAGCATTATATAATATCTTCGTACTGCTTGCGGCCCAGTGGTACTCTGGCTATCTGGTTCTACGGGCCACCCTTTTTTGTCGAGGCGGCTTTTACGTCGAAATGTCAGCCGATATTGGACTCAATCATGGACCATAACTTTCGTCCTATTGTCATTGGGGGTGGAGATGCTCGTAAACAGAGTTGGAAACGTGCTGTTGATGGAAAGTTCAGCTGGCTGGACTGTATACCCTTGGCGGCAGAGCACTGAAAAGATGTGCGTCGTCACAAGTGGAACACTCGCGCGAGATTGTCGTTTTTCACATCGGACATATGCGATTTCCCTGTGGAACCAGTGAGCAGTGTTGGGGAACATGAAACAACGAGCGAAGAGGAGGACTCTAGCTTTTGGGCAATCAGTTGGGATGTGAGGATGCTAAGGAAGTTTGTGGGAGCGAGTTTTCCAAAACCAAGTGAATTAGCCGGACCAGATAACATTATGGATGGACTCTTTGAGCGACTGACGGATGCGATGGGTGGACAACAGGCAGTGAGAAGATTCTCGTGGCCCGCTGTGTTGGTTTTAGCGGCCAAAAGCAGTTGAAAATTGTTGATAAAGACTAGCTAGCTGTACACACAGTTCCAGTGTTAGTTCCTTTTCCAAGGATACCATTCATTGAAGTCCTTGATCTCATCAATGGTTACAAAGTTGCCTGGAGTTCCTTCTCGTGTTGATTTCTCAATCTGTTTCGTATTAGCAACCGGGTCATCAATTCTTTTCGAGGTACTGCGATTCGATGCACTGCATCAACCAAAGTGTACATGTCACAACTGACCTACCCTGCCACAAAGTCGGCAGAAGTATCGGCTGGGACAAATTATTGCTCGTAGCCGAAGCGGCGTTCACCAATGCTCCCTATGTCCGTTTGAGTAAACCTTTAAGTCTCTCATTAGCGATACCTTCAAAAGAGGGTCGATTAACGGATAAGTTACTCCTGGTCTACGACGAAGGTAACCAGCCGCGGACTTTCATAACGGACTTTACCTGTGAGGTACTGCGCGGCGGATCTACCGATTCCATATGCATTGGGAACGGCGGCTTCTTTATGGCCGCAATACTGACGAATGACGTGCCAATAAGCACGAAGTGAGCTGACAGCCGGGAACAGCCGCAAAGGGTTTAATCAATCATCCCAGTTTCTTGTCGACAGACAATGTATGTGTTTACTCATCTTGTCTGAGGTACTGATTTCGGCAAGGTTCCGAACTTCGTCCGACTTTATTTGGATAGATCACCGTACACCGCACCATAGCCCGCATTGGGTACGATGACGACCAGCTGTCGATATTTTGTTGTGTCTGAAGTAGCTTAACGATATCTTGTCCATACGTATCTGACAAAGAATCGATCTTGACAATAATGGGAGTGCTGTTTGGACCCGGGGAAGTTTAGACAATGGTTGGCTAGGGGTGTGTTAAGGGTTGCGCACTGCAGCTACAACAGTAATGTTTAATTGGTGCAAGAACCGAGGGGTAAGAGCTCTTCTTAGACCTATAATAGTAAAAATATGACCATGCGAAGGTCATCTAACATGAAGAGCGATCGTTACATGGGAAGACAGGAAGCCAGCGCACCTCAGTTCCCACTTGTGATAAGCACAGTCGTGGGGGGTAGTAGAAGTTGCAACTATTTGACGATATCTGTCCGTGTTTTGACAGCGCAGAGGTAGCAACATGAACAGGATGGAGAACGATCTGAAATCAGAAATCTCACTGTTGTATTCGCATTGTGTTCATCATTACTAACAAATATCATTTATCATCCCATATGCATGTTTTAACGCTTCCGAAGAACTCTGAAATGTTGGGCATCTTGGGACATCCCGTGCAACCCCACCTGTTACACGAATAGATCTACCTTACACGCGACCCCTCATGCATTGTTGCTCGATGGATTTATACAGGTACACCCCATTCCAAGTTTTCACTTACTACTCCGCGATTTCTGTGATGCAGCCCTCATACTACTTATGGAGCAAGTGGCGCCTGTGATGAGGGTTCTGCCAAGAATTACGCATTGGATCTAGACTAGTACAACTGCAAAGCTAAGATATGCCTATTCTGTGCCCTGCCAATGTGCTTGTTTTCTGATGCTTGAGAAGACCCAAGTGAAGCGCGGGGAATTCAATCCATATTGAAAATTTGTTCTGCCGTCATCATTTACTTTGTGTGATCAATCTGAGAGAAATGACCTCGTCTCAATACTATCACCGTCTATACCCCACAGGAAAAGAGGACGACAATAATTCAGGGGTCGAGGACCTCGATAGCCGCTCACTCACATACCTCCAAAGGTTTCGGAACATTCAGGTCGTAGTCATTGCACTGCTTTTCATCTCAAATGTCGCATTCGCTGGTCTCTGGCTGAACTCCCAAATGCAGGGAACACAGCAAAAGGCTTCCGATTGCGTACGACCTCAATTGACATTTTGTAAGTCGTCACCATCAAATCTGGCCGTCGCATGAATATGCAGAACTTATGTTAAGCATTGTTTTGTGATGAAACAGCACCAGCCATCAGCGCCATTCGCTATGAGAAGAAGCGCCTATGGCGAGATATTGATGGGCCCAATCCGTTTACTGGAAAGCCCCGGCCAGAGTTTGACAAAGCATGGCGTGACATTATAGCGCGTCAGTGGCTTTCTCAGTCTATCATAATTTTCCTGACAATGGTCCCCGTAGCACTCACGATCAAGGTACATGGCGACGAACTTGAGCGCTTCAGTGAAGGTGACACCACACTAGCTTTCAAGGACGGTTCTGGATACATTGCCGAAATGGGCGTTTACCACGAATTACATTGCGTCGTAGGTTCAATCGACCACTAGCCTTGTCAACGTGATGGTATTTTCTGCTAACAGTGTTGGGCCTTCAAGAAACGTGTAAGACGGTATCTGCATCTGAATCATTACTATCCGAACATGTCAGAGTCAGATCGAGAAAGGGAAGATGCTCACATTGGTATGCTCGTCGATGCGCAACCGGAGAACCATTTTGAACACAACTGACAGTGAACAGACCACTGTCTCGAATATTGGAGAGAGTCCGCCATGTGTCGAGGCGACACAACTCTTGGAACCTTTTTCTGGAGAGATGGTGTACCGACCTCTAGAGTGTACACAGACAATGAGTGTGTGGATTGGCAGGCACTAGATCACTGGGCCAGACGGAGGAAGGTTGACATGACAGATTATTCACAATTTGTATAGCATGATTGAAACGGGCAAAGCTTCACCCCACTTTATTCTTCACATAGGCCAAGGAATTCTACGAAGCGAAAGGTGTATGAAACCTCGCCCGGTAGGAATCATCGTGCCCCAAGCTGCTTCGGATTCCAGTGACGGCCTTTGGTTGAATGTCAGATTGTGCTCCCAGGTCGTATGAACAGAACCTGGGGGCACTTTTTAAAAGTAAGTAGTGGATTTTCTTCAGGCTTTGTTCGACGTGCTTACTCGGAAGTCCAAACTGAGCCCTGTCCGTAAGCATTGCAAGACTGCAACCGAGAACATATCCTGAAATAGTCGATGCTATCACAGCACATGCAACATTAATCCATCGCGGTTTGGCGCTGGGCCGATATGTAGTATCATTCGAATCGAGCTTTTCACCCGTTGACAGGAGGGACTCATTCTGGCATCCTCGTCAGCTGTCGTAGACCCCATGGTTGGCTTGTGTGAAGCTGAAGTGTTTAAGAATTAAGGCTGTAAAAGACGGCTGACCAGTTGAGATTTGGCCATCAGGCAACCTCGCATGACCAGCATAATTCATAGTGCTGGAAGCCTGGACAGTGTTACAACGTGGATCAGGTCCGCCGCTGACTCAACATCCTTGTTTCTCCTTCTTGGGGGGGTTTCAAAAATAAATTTTTTCTTTCCGCCCTATGATTCTAAAACAACGGTATTTCTATCAAAAGGAATCCAACAAATTGCGAGGAGTGGACGTAGTGATTCCTGATATCTAGTGACACAAGATGCCCCAGGCTGATGCAGAATGGCGCGTTAGTAGTGGGGAAGGTGGGGAAATCCTACTATGTAGCCTCCAGTCGGGTCCGCCGGGAATATTGTCGCAATAGGCTGGAGACCTAGAGGACCGGTTGCATGAGAAGGAATCTAAGGTTACCACGAGAGAGGGATTTGGACAAGTGTAACGCTTGTAAGATCAGTAGTATGACAGCACCATACTAGATGCATATGAGCTGTCTGTTCGACCCTGAGTGGTGACAACCATCCGGTAAATGACGGAGGATAATCGCTACAAGCGATCAACCCCAGATCAGCCACTTAAGTACAAGAAGATGTATGTATTTAAACTTAATCCCCACGGGATAAAGATATACGTCCACCCCAACTTTGGTCAGTCGTCCACACTGTCCGAAGCACAAAATTCAAATTACACGATCATCACTCAACAACCAAAGTGAAGAAAAATGCGTCTGGCTTACTTTACGGTATTCTTGGGCATGACCCTTGCCATTCCCATGCCGCAAGGTAATTTTCTCCAACCTAATCCTCATTTCATATCAGAAACAGGCCTCATCAGAAGGACTCATACACAAATGGTTCTTTAGTATCTATTCGCAATCTTGACGCCGACGACCTTGTTCATAACTCATGGTCTGCAAGGGCCGTGGACCAAAGAGAGGCCGTAGCTGATGCCGACGGCCTCGTCCACAACTCGTGGTCTGCAAGAACCGTAGATCAGAGAGAGGCCGCACCCGATGCAGATGATCTGGTACACAATTCTTGGTCAGCCAAGAATTAAGCGTGGCTTCCCGGTGGCTGTGGTTGGAAAATATAAATGAGGAGAACGTGTTGCGAGACTGGGCTGAGGCCTGAACGAGCGGCAGCACGGGTGGAGGAACGGAGCAGGAAAAGTTTTACAAGGTCAAAACCTCTACCGAGCTTCACGAGCAAATATAAGTGGCCTATCAACCAGAAGTACCAACCAAGTAATCATGATAGCGATCCACATGTTGAAGAAATGCAGGCTGTGTTCTTAATCATCTTACTGTGACATCAGCCTTGGCATCCTGAATGTTGGCGCATTCATGCAGGCCAACTGTCGCATCCTTGTGTTGCCGAACATACGTGCATCAATCCAGGTCATGCGTGATGCGAAACTGCGTCTTAATTGGTGCAAGCATTTGGCTGTGCAAGATGGAACTGGCAATAAGTCGACTGCTAGGTGTCATTTGGTTTACCCTATCTCAAGACCCACTGTATAGTATTGAGCCGGCAATGAGAAATCTAATTGGGAATAGTCTTTCACTCTGAGCTGTTGTCGATCTATTCCTTTACGAGCAATATCGGACGTCGATTATAGTAAGTAACAGTCAAAGAATCCTTTGAACCATTAGCATAATTGGTATCTAGATCGGTCGAAGGGAACGAATTGTCGAAGAACCTAAAGAGAAAAGTCTCTGTGATAGAAATGTCACGTCTGGTGATCATAGTAGTCGACGTATTGATATGGAGTGTGATGTAACGGTGAAGAACAGAGCTATCCTCTGTTCCACTGAAGGTTACCTAAAGTGGTTGCCCTAGGTGGAGGCCTGAGGCATCCATTACCCTGTGAGTAAATCATGGCGCTGCGCACGCAATTTGAATAGCTTGGTTTTGCTTGATATCTCAGGTAGTAAGCCCAAACCGCTTTTCTCCCATAGAGTACTGTACACAATTGATTTTCCATGTATACATGGGAGTTTGAATACCGCGGTCCGGGTCAAAACACTGGAGAAGCACTGCCTGTAGGATTTATACGGATTGAAATCAAATTTGCATACATGCATGGTGAAAAGCAGTCCGAAGATACCTGAAATGAGAACCTTGCAAGTAATGTCAAGTCAACCCGGCTCGGCAAATCCTGTGGTTGCGGAGTGTCACCATCAGCCCATGGAAGCTCTACAGTTTATAATACAGGCAAGGCACCGCAATGGTAGTGCGCTGCAACCCGACAACTATCTGTGCGTCGGAGCACTATCTTTTGGAGTGATCAGCTCTACAGTCATACGGTAGGTCTTTGAGCTCACTGACACATTTTCGGGATTATTTACTGAGGAGTCACAAGCAGCTGCGATGGACGGGCAGCTAGACAACAACAAGTTTTGGGCTCGATGCTCAATCAATTCTTGACGATCCGCGTTTCCTCGTCTAAGAAAGGCTAATTAGAATGAGAATTGTGCTGTCTATTGAAAATGTTTTTTGTTATCTTATTTTAACCCTTTTCACACATGACCATGACTTACTATAGACAAAGTCGTTATCAATATCCCCGCCGTCGTTGGCTTGGGACTGGTCAACACAACGACTCTCATGTTCCACAAAAGCATATTCAACAACGTTCGTTATTTTCGATAATCGGTCTACGGGATGCTTAGTGATGTTACCGCATGAATGATATCCTATTTCTTTGCCAACTTGATCAAATACTCTCCGATGACGACTCTTGTAGAACCTTTAGAAACAACAAACGCATCAACGCCATTCCAATGTGGCTTTCGGTCGTCATTACCAATTCCATTATTTATATGGGAATCTTGGTCATGCTAAATCCCATGGTCTTGAGACTTCAGCTGCCGCGGAAAGAAATTAAGGATCGGGAGTGCTTGGAATGTTCATGTTAGACCAGGTGCTGCGTAAGCCTCTTGTCTTAATCAGGAACAGACTATTCGAGGATGAAGACTTTTAATACTGTTTGTGAACATTCAGATGAAAACATTTACGAGTGGCTTAACAATAACTAGTCGATTGCAAGTCGAAGTAAGGGACTCGGTATCTATCGTAAGTGAGTGTACAATATAATTCTGAATGAAGTCTTTAACATTCCTTTCAACCCAATTTAAAACCCTTCTCTCAAAAACGTCTCCCTGAGTCAATGCTCTTGTTATACACAAACGCCGCGAGGCTCGCTGTCATGTGAAATTTCAAGTTTAAGTCCTAACAGGCTAAGAGCCATCCAGCGGGCTCTTGCAAACATACGAGTTGGTCGTGTTGTCTCCAAAGGCGGCTTTCAGGACCTCAATAGACGAGTATGCGCCCAGAGCCGCCAGTGCCAAGGAGCCGAGGAAGTAGAAGACGTTAAAAATGTTGACGTACCACCTACGGGCGACGGAGCCACGAACCCAACGACGAATACCCGAATCGCCGTGTGTCGTGCGACCCGTTGCCGGGTTGTAGCCTTCTCCGTCAACTAGCGCATGCTTCCGGACATAGAAGGCCAGCGCCAATATCGGCGGAAATGTGTAGGTAAACTGCAAGATACACACCGCCGAGACTACCGACGTCAATCCCGAGAAGTTAGGAATGCCCGCTGCGATGGCGAAGGCGGTAGACCAGTACAAGGGCACCAGCATCCCGAAGGCCACCTTGCCGAATGGTCTCGTAAGTGTTGGGGCTCGGAACCACTCAACAAAGATAGCATTATAGATGACTAGTCATGCGTTGTCAGTTCTTGAGTGGGCGCGTTCTGTGTGACCGAAAAAAACATGCCTTTTATCCCGATATTGCCATAGAGAGCTGCTGCTATAGTAGCACTGACCATAGCCAAGACGTTACCCGCTGTTTGGAGGCTGTACTGGCTGACACCGAGGTAGCTAGGATTGATGGCATACTGGCCCTGGTAGCCGTATATAAAAAGACCGTAGAACATGTACCTGTTATGAAGTATCAGATAGTATACCTAGGCTGCTTATTGCCTTATTGCTTATAACGTACCAGAAATAGATAAATGCTTGTGCAGCCCACTAATCCATCTTGTCAGCATACAACTCTAGAAACTCTGATCTTTCAACAATCATAGAGCCAAGCCTATGATTTCGGCTTACTTCTGATTTATTATAATAGAAATTTAATACCTACCATAGCGGTGAGAAAGTCCTTCGGCCGCTTCATCTCCGCCATGAACTCAGGAAAAACCATTGCGCCACCATATGAGAAAATGGCCTGTTTGGTAAAGGCATGTTAACTGAAGAAAACCCGTAGTAAGAAGCACAAAGAGTGAACTAGGAGTAGTACTGTATGGGGATAGGTAACATCAAAATGGAAGGACTGAAGTTACTGACCTGCATGGCGCCTGACACAGAACCAGTAAAACCATCGGAGCCGGGAAGGCTACCACTCGTCTGAACCGGCGGCCAATTTCCCTCGGCATCAGGCGTGATAAGTGTGCCATTATCAATCACGGCGCCAGCGCTTTGGGATGCCCCAGCGTAGTTAGGTAGCGCATGAGCGACAGCCCCCATTGTGATAAACATACAGGCGAGGTTGATCCACACGGCGGCATTGGCGAGCCACCCGAACTTCTGCAGCGTACGAATCTGGCCGACAGCCATACCGATGAGAGCCCAGACAAGGCAGCAGACGGCAAAGCAAAGTCTGAATCTGGCAGCCTGCGAGAGTGCCTCACCATTGGAGATGACGATCAGTCCGACATTTAGCAAGAGTTGGATGGACTGTAAAAAGTTGAAGATATGACGCAACCACCGTCCGTATAGGCGGTAACCTATGTCCCCAAAGCTGCGGACTGGGTATTGGTACGAGTCCAGCCCTAGAAACATGTCCCAAAGTAGCCAACCTGAATAGCCGGCGAGGGCTGCAAACACAGTGTAGAGTGCGATGCCGGGCCTACACAGTAGTCAGCATGTATACAAAATTGCTCGGAACAATTTTGGATTCCAATCTTACCCCCAGCCCATTGTAGCGAAAGCATATGGAAGGCCAAATGGGCCCAGAATATCCGTGGTGATGAGGTAGAAGCTGGCACCTCTGGTCGCCGTTCGTAGGGCACGCGAAGCGTCAGCCCACTCATCCTTACTCACGATGGCAAGACTGTTGTGGTTCATTTCACTTGGACCATTGTTTTGAGCAACACCTACCTCCGACTTGGATGGGAAGATGAGAGACCAAAAAGACGTCTCGCGTCCAGTGCGCGGGCGAGCATCCTCTTCTGCTCGTGTTTGTTTGGCAAAGTAGAGGTACTCGTCAAAGGTCACATTTGGGTCGTGGAGCTTACGATCCTGTGGTATAGCACCCGTATCCGACGTGGTCATGTTGCCAGTGCCCACGTTACTCGTGCGGGGCTCCAAGTCCCCGGTCGTCTTCTCGGAGCTGTGCGTGTCAACCTTTGCGGCCGTCCCATTGTTTAAACCTTCCATGTTCAAATCGAGTCCTTCCTCATGTGCAAACCTATAGATAGTCATGAAAACGCAGGCGGGGAGGAGTACGAGCCCTTCAAAAGAGAGGAGGAATAGACAGAGGAAGAGAACGGCAGCCGGATCGTAAAGTGGTGGCAGGCCACTGGTATACTCCGTGTTACCCTATTCGGCCCCTGCATAGTCGTTTCAGACAGTAGATAATCAAATTCCACCCAAATCTTCCAGGTCATATCTATCAAGCGTTGCAGACTGAAGCAAGCTCCTTGGAGTCATAGCATCATCATGTAATACCGATATCTGGACTTGCCTTTTCTGGCACGCTAATCAAGCAGGGGCTGATAAGAGACGTGATCTGCCCCAATGATAGTAGTGTAACAATGTGCTATTACGACATCCCGCTTCGTGTTTCAGTATATTGCCGGCAATTGCTAGTCTATGTGGCATTCTAGGCTCTAGTTAGTCTAGATTAGCCGGTGAGCACATTTGGGCGTTGAATGATTTAATAATTTTAACTGTTTGACCCCGACCTAGACTCTACCTAGAGTCGCATTCTTTCTCTGGTCGACTCAGAAAGCGCGACACGGGCTGTCGCAGTCGTCCGCAATATTCCATATCCAATACCTCCAAACCTCCCACATAAATCGTACATCGTTATTCTTATCGCCGAGCTCGCATAGTGACCGTGGAGGCAGCCTGCTGCCACGCAGCACCCCCCGAGCCAGCAAGGCCCATTTCTCGTAGATACCTAACATTTCGCCGGATCGCTGCTTCCACCCGGCCATTTCCGATCATCTCTTCAACGTGATCTGGTGCATCACCTCCCAACGCGCCGAGGAATTGTTGCACAGGCCAAAGAGGATGTGCCTCGCGCTCCACGGCCATGCTTTCCTGAGCCAATTGAATCCACTCGTCCCAGGAGACGGGCCGCAAGACTTGTCTGATTTCGCTTTCTATTGCCGTCCAAAAGTCTTCCACCCATAAGCCATGGTTTAACTCGACAAAATGGTCAACGTCGTCGGCCGTCGCATGATGCAGTACAATGTTCGAGATGGAGGCGACATCGGAAACAGCCAGCCACGCTTTAGGGGCTTCAACCGGCCGCGTCCGGAGATGAATCGCTGTAGTAACCACCCTCCACAGGAAGTCGTCCGGGTTAGCCACGCCGCCTTCGCTGTCGCCTATGATCAGGCCGGGCTTAACAATCGAGAACCTGCTCCGCTCCTCGCCCTGCTGGGATGCGGCGGCGGTGACTAGTCTCTCCGAGATGTGTTTCGATATGTCGTATCCAGTGGCCTGCTTAGCCACGTTGCCAGAGGCCGGGCTTGCCCAATCGCCAGCATCCAAGCCGCCCGAGATGTAGACAAATCTTTTCAGGGCCTTTGAATGAATTGCCGCTTGTAGTAGCTGCAACGTAGATACTACGTTCACAGCCTTCAGCTTTTCGTAGTCTGTGCTCCAATGGACAGCCGCACCATTGTGAATGATGGCGTTGACTACGCCTTCTGAGGTAGGCACGCCGCAGAGGGACGACCACTGTAGAGCAGTAAGCCCAAGCCTGTCTGCCGAAAGGTCGCCTTCCCAAACTTCAATAGGCGATGTGAAACGTTCCTCCCACCACCCGGCCGCCACAGCCGCATCGCGTACCCGGTCGAAACAAGGGCTGTCTCTATTCGTTTTACGAACCAGCAGCACCACTCGCTCGAAGGCCCGCGATATAAGAAGATGCTGGAGGATGCGGATTCCAAGGAAACCCGTAGCCCCTGTAAGCAGGACTGTGGATTTCGACACAATTGGTGCTATGCGCAGCGGCGATCGGAGCTTGTTGGTCAGTGCTGCTAACTCGGTTTCCAAGTCCATAGGCGTGGGTCTGACAACATCTTGTCCTTTTCGCAAGTCTGACACCATTTTGGCCATGGATCCCAGTGTGTCTTGTGGCCCAAGCAGCCTAGGAACTTGTATATTCAACCGCCACTGCCTGCGTATTGCCATACTCAACGACATGACTTTGATCGAGTCACCCCCAAGTGCTGAAAAGCTGTGCCGCGGAGCAATCAGAAATCGGTCGAGGTTGAGTAGACCGGCCCAAATTTCCCTTAAATGGGCTTCTTCCTCGGTCAGCGCAGAGTCTTGCGGAGGTTGTTCGTCCAACTCCATGATGCTGGGTGGGCTGTAACTTTTGCCCAGATCTCGAAGGGCACGTCGGTCTGTCTTGCCACTCGCAGTCATGGGAAACTCGGATAGAGGTATGTAGACGGTCGGGACCATGTACGCAGGAACTAATTTGCCAAGATCTTCCCTGAAGGTTTCTGGTATGGCAGTATTTCTACTGTCCAGCCCGACGGGGCCCAAGTTCTCCGAAACAGTGTAGAACACAGCTAAAGCAGGGATCTTGGTACTCTGTGGGGTAATGACCTCTGATACAATCTGCTGAAACTCGACCGGGAGAAGCTGTCGGATATGATGCTCAACTTCTCCGAGCTCAACGCGTTGACCACGAATTTTCACTTGGGTATCCCGCCGACCGAAGTAATGAAGGGACCCATTAGGATTATACCGGACCAAATCGCCCGTCCGGTACAATCGCCCTCGGCGACCCTGGAAACCAGCTGCTCCACGCAGTAGCCATTGCGGGTTCTCAACAAACACATCGGCCGTCTTTTCCGTATTATTGAGGTACCCTTCACCAACGTTAGGTCCTTCGATCCACAGTTCGCCAGCGGTACCGACAGCTGCTAGACCATTTGCGTTGGGCTTCACGACCCATGCCACGATGCCGTATGGCTCGCCAATACTTATTTCAGCCTTTTCAAGCGGGCTCATAGTGTCAATTGTGCTAATTACAGTGCATTCTGCCGGTCCGTACACATTATAGCACATCACGTCGGGTCTGGATGCCCACCTCTCCACATCGCTCCGCTTCAGCGCCTCGCCTCCGAAGGCAATCTTCTTTAGCCCAGGCACGGCTAAAGGTTCAAGAATATTTGCGACGGTTGGCGTGATAAAAACAAAGTCGACACAGAGGCGCGCGATAGAACCGGCAACATCTGTCATTCGCTCTTCCTCCGATGGGATACAAAGACAGGCGCCGATGGTAAGGGTGTGAAGGATATTCGACCATGCAACATCAAATGCGTATGACGTGAAATCAAACACACGCGACGTAGGTTCTAGCCCTAGAGGTATCTGCTGGTGCTTTATGGCGCTGCAAAAGTTTTCATGTGTCACAACTACTCCTTTTGGCTGACCAGTGGAGCCAGAAGTAAACACGATGTAGAGCGGCGAGCTGGGTTTGACGTCAGGCAGCTGTACTCCTGCCCCGGACGGTTTCAGTTTCTCCAATGTGGACTCGCTGACTGTTATTGTGGGTGCTGTGGTAACTCGGGAAGCATCGCCGTAATGAGTAGCAGAAGTCAATAAGAGCACCGGAGAGAGCTGTCCTACGAGTCCTCGCAGGCGCTCTACCGGTAAGGTGGCGTCAAGTATTACAGCAGCTCCACCTGCTTTGAAAACGGCTAAAACTGCCACAGGAACCCAAACCGACTTCTCCAGGTAGATTGGTACGATGATTCCCGGGCCGACTCCCTCGCCGATTAAACAATGTGCAAGACGAGTTGATAAGTCATCCAGCTGGCGATAGCTTAGCTTACCATCCCAGGCGGATACGGCCGGTGCCGATGGGTTTTCGGAGACTCTTTCAGCAAAGACATGATGAACGCATCCAGATACCGTATCAGGAAGTTGCATATTCCAGTTCCAGATGGTCTCCAGATCCTGCTCTGAGGTCATGCTCAGATCCCCCATCCTTAGGTGCGATGTTACAGTCTCGGGCTGGCAGAGCTGCCGCAGTATATGCTCCAACTGCTGCAACATTCTTTGCACCTCTGATACACTGAGGACATCGGAGTCAAATTTGGCTTGTAGAATGACCCCGGAACGCTGAATATCGCAAGTAAGATTGATTGCGTATGTACTGAACGCATCAAGGTCGCCGTTAGTCTCGGTATTGGCGTTGTAATTTTTGAAAACAGTGCTCTGGAAGACTGTATCGTCGGATGTCTCTTCTGCTTGGACCACGAGTAAACTCTGAAAAAGACAGCCACGCTGTGTGTCATCATGGAAGGCAGCAATCTTCTGAAGGCCGCTTTGCTCAAATTGGATCATTTCTGTTGCTTGCTTCTGCGTCTGTCGCAGTAATTCTTGAACAGTGGAGTCATCATCCACAATGATCCGAATCGGCACCGTCGCAATTGTAGGCCCGACCAGCTTCTCGATATCTGGCACCGGCGCCTGTCTCCCAAGCACGACCGCCCCAAAAACTGTGTCCGGTGAGGCACCGTACCAGGAAAGAAGCGTTGCCCATGCGGCACGGACTACGGAAGATGGAGTGACGTTATCGCCTGACCACTCAATACCACCTATATCGTGCCTCAGGGCCTCGTTTGCCCGAGGCTGGTGGTTGCTCGGCATCGCCGGAAACTGCGGGGCATCTAGCCCTGCGAATTGTTGTTTCCAATAAGCTGCTTCATCGTCGTGATTTTGGTCAAGGACGTGCTTGATGAAAGCCTGGAAAGAAGTAAAGGCATCCCTTGCCTGTTTCTGATAAATATTCTCGAAAGCATCGTACAGCAACTGCAACGACCACCCATCGTAGGTGGCGTGGTGCTGCGTGCACGCGAAATATCTCTTATTGGACTCGGCGTCATCAATTATTCCGAAAGTAGTTAAAGGAGTCCCCGGACTCATGGACATATGATGATATTCCTCGTCCCTCTCATCAAGACGATAGCTGTCGATCGAGTAACTATGCTTCCATATAAGCGGCGTACGAACCACGGCTTGGAAGAGACCGTGACCGTCCAAGTGAACAATCCTGGTGCGCAAAATAGCAGTCTCCCTGTAGACTAGCTGCCATGCTGATCGAAATCGATCCAGATCAACGTCTGGCTGTAGCTCTAGAAGCGTGCGTTGGACGTAATCGCCAGATCGTTTTGCCGTTAGCGCTATTAGGCCCTCTTGCATCGCTGTGCAAGGTAGTAAATCTTCGATGTCGGCCACATCTCTAGAACACAGTTCGGCAGCCTGCCTTCGGAAATGATCAACATTCATACCGCCATGCAGTAACGAGAACGGCTCGATTGTACGCTCCTGCTGGCTATCTAACCGCTGGTCGGATCCCCAAGTAATCACTTGGGCTAATCTATTCAGTTGGGGGTGCTTGAGAATCTCAGTTACCGTGACGTGAACGTTGTTCTGTCGTGCTGTCGACGCAAGCCTCATGGCCGCAATGGAGTCGCCTCCCAGACGTAGAAAACTGTCGTCTGCGCTTATTTGACTTGGATCGAGTCCAAGAACGGAGCTCCACAGTAGCTGAAGCTTTTTTTCTGCCGCTGTGACGGGCTCAAGGCGTTCGCCGCAGCGATACATGCTCAACGCTGAGAAAGTTTCAGGGTCCAGGGAAGCACCGTATTCCCGAACGGCGCGTCTGTCAGTTTTACCTGTGGCTGAAATCGGAATATGCGGAATGGGAATATAAGCACCAGGTGGTATAATGACTTGTGACTGCATGGCTAGTTTTCTCTCAAGATCATCCAAAAGCGGAGAGAACTGCTCCTTGATTGCTGTCACATTTTCCTCGTCTGGAATAGTGTAGAAGATCACCAGGATAGGAGCTTTTATGCCCTGAGGCCTTACCACTTCAGCTAGAACGGAGTTTGACAGGTAGGACGGCAGCAATTGTCGAACATGCAATTCGACTTCGCTCAGGTCGACCCGCTGTCCACGAATCTTGACCTGGCTATCAATACGGCCGACAAATATCAATGACCCATCTGAATGGTAACGAACAAGATCCCCAGTGCGATAAACTCGACCGCGACGACCAGGCTCGCTGATTGCGCCGCGAGTGAGCCAATGAGGGTTATCGATAAGGCTGGCCGATGTCTTTTCGGGTTGGCCGAGATAGCCTAAGCCATTGAGCGGGCCTTCGAGGACAAGTTCTCCCACCGAACCAATAGGGACAAGTTCCTGTTTTTCCGGATGTACAATCCAAGTTGTAGAGCCACAAGCCCGACCAATAGAGCCAGCCGGAGTCTTGTGGTGTCTAACGTCAATAGCGGTTGCGGTAACCGTGCCTATACGAATTCGTGTTAGTATGTACTCGACGACAAGCTAATACCCATACAACAACACACTGCCTCACTCCCTCACAGAATAGATCTCGGGTTGAGGCCGAAAGTGAAATGGCATGTGAGCAACTTACATTCTGCTGGACCATAGGTAATGATCAAGGACTCTAGATCTTGCAGATGCTCAAACTTGTCTAATTCAACGAGCTCACCACCGACTACGACGGTCTTGAGATGTGGCGCTAGGTTCAAGTCCAACGCAGCTGCAACGGACGGCGTCAGGTCCGCGTAATTGACCTGAAATCTGGACATGAACCCAACAAAGTCGTGCTTCCGGTCATCTTCGGAGGGAATACACAGACAGCCACCTGCCATCATAGTGTTCAAAAAGTTAGCCCAAGACACGTCAAAAGCATACGATGCGAAATCGGCCACTCTAGATGTCTTTCTGAACCCCAACGCCGGCCCATGATGTCGCGAAGCGGTCGCAAAGTTGGAGTGGGTAATCATAGCACCTTTCGGAGCCCCGGTACTACCCGAGGTGAAAACGATATACAAGAGTTCAGTCGGTTTGACCAGAGGCAAAACAGTCGCTCTCTGATGGGGCATAGAATTCAATGGAAACCGTGACAATGATTCCTCATCAATTATGAGTGGTAACTTCCCAGAAATTGATGAAGCTAGGGCGGTGGTGGACGTGCCGCTTAAGATGATATCAGATCCAATTTGCTGGGCGATGTTATTGAGTCGTTCCCGGGGCTGTGTGCAGTCCATGGTAACAGAGGCACCACCGGCTTTCATAACGGCAAGTGCTGCGACCGGAACCCATTTAGACTTTTCAAAGCAGAGGGGAACGATAGCCCCGGGTTTGACCCCAACGGTCACAAGCTCAACAGCCAAAGAGGTGGAAAGGGCATCAAGTTCGCCATAAGACATCTCGCCGTCCCAAGCACATATGGCCATGGCGCTTGGGTCTTCATGTGCGCGTTGGCTGATTAGTTGGTGAACACACGCCTCTACGGGTTCAATCGGGTTGGCATTCCAGGACCATATGGTGCGAAGATCTTGGTCAGTAGTCATAGTCAGATCGCGTATGGGCGACCCGGCCGAATCCGGTTGGCAGAGCTGATGAATAGCGTGCTCCAAGTATTGAAGCAGTCTTTCAGCTTCGCCCTCGCCAATGACACTCGAATCAAAATGCATGCAGAGTCCAACATTGGTGCCATCAATTTGACAAATGATAGTAACTGCATGTGTGCTAAACGCATCAACTCCGTCTAGCTCAGCTTCAGCACTGTTATCTTCATCATCAAAAGGCCTGACAAAAACTTCAAGCGGCCGATCGAGCTGTTTGACAGGTTGGACGACCAATAGTGATTGGAAACGACAGCCGCGCTCTGTCTCCTCACTGATTCGGCGGATGTGCTGTAGCCCGGTCTGCTCATGGAGGATCATCTCCGTTGATTGATTCTGTACGCGCTCGAGCAGCTGTGTCACGGTCACCTGCTCATCTACGATTACGCGAATGGGTACTGTAGCGATTGTCGGCCCTGCTACGCGTTCAATATTCAGTACTGGGGCTTGGCGACCAAGTACAACAGCGCCAAACACAGTATCAGGCGACGAGCATTGCCTAGAAATTACAGTCGCCCAGGCTGTCCGAATGACAGTCGACGGTGTGACTTGGCCTTTACACCATTGGACATTGTTAATGACATGCTTGATTGCCTTGTCGGCTTTCGGTTGATAGATAGCGCTTGGAAGAACTGGATACTGTGGCGCTTCAAGTTTGTCAAATTGCTTCCGCCAGAAAGCTTCGCATGCCTCTTTGTCTGACTGGAGCAGGTATTGGACGAACGGCTGGAGCCCTGGCATAGGTTCCATGTCTCCCCCTCGGTACGTGTGTTCGACGGCATTTTGGAGGAGATCAAGTGACCACCCATCATAGACAGCGTGATGTTGAGTCCAAGCCAGGAAGACTTTATGTTCTGCATCATCGTACACTAAATGGAACCTCGTCAGCTCAGTGCCCAGTCCCATAGGCTCCGGTGCTCCAAGTCGATATTCTTCTATCGACTCGCTATCTGCCCACCCATTGACCCCTCGTAGCACTACCTGCACTAGACCTTGGCCTGGCAGGTCCACGATCCGGGTCCGTAGTATGGGCGCCACTACGGAGACTTTGTCCCAAGCCTCTTGGAGCCCAGTTATGTTGACTCCAGGTTGAAGCTCCACGAGTCCGTGGGAAATGTACTTATCTCCGCTCAATGCTGTCATAGCCAACAGGCCTTCCTGAAGGGGGGTGCAGGGGAAGATATCCTCAACGTCTTCGGCCTTCACTGAACAGACCGCCGCCGCAATACGACATGCCTCCACTACATCCGTGCCCGATTGGATCAGTGAAAAGGGTGGCGGTACTTCCTGGACTTCGGTGCTGTGCATCTTGAATTCCACTAACTTGGATAGGCCCTGGAGGCTGGATTGACGAAAAATGTCTGGCACTGTCAAGAGCATGCCCCTTTTACGCGCCGCAGAAACGAGACGCATGGCTTGAATGGAGTCTCCACCAAGGCCCAAGAAGCTGTCATCGACGCCAATCTGGTAGGGGTTGAGCTGAAGCACTGACGCCCAGAGCATCTGCAGCCTACGCTCAGTTTCTGTTAAAGACAATAGCTGGGTAGCTAGGGATGATTTATTAGTAAGACGCGCGTTTTTGTCGGCAGATGCGCCCATCTCACGAAGGCTGCGACGGTCTGTTTTCCCGCTTGCGGTCATGGGGAGTTTTGCCAGCGGAATGAATACAGTTGGTATCATATAGGTAGGGACTCGGTCCACTAATTTGTGCTGTAGATCTGCTACCAGTGGCGCCGCCACGTTTTCTAAATCCTGGTCTCTGACACCGCGCAAGGTGAAGAACATCGTTAGAGTCGCAGTTTGGGCATAGTCTAGTGTAATGACTTCGACGACCACTTGTTCTACCTGGTTAGGTAGTACATCGCGAACATGGTGCTCAATCTCGCCGAGCTCCACTCTCTGGCCCCGTATCTTGACCTGGTTGTCCTTTCGACCCGCGAAGAAGAGTGTACCAGCGGCATCGTACCTAACCATGTCGCCAGTCCTATATAGTCGCCCTCGCCGGCCTGGTATTCCCTTTGATGGGACGCCCCGCAAGAGCCATTCCGGATCTTCCACGAAGACCTCATTGGTCTTATCCGGCTTGGCTAGGTAACCCCCGCCGACGATTGGGCCTTCAAGCCACAACTCCCCGAGAGTCCCAATAGCCGCCAAGCAATTGGTATTAGGTCGAACAATCCAAGCTGCAGCACCGACAGCGGTGCCAATACTAGGTGGATCTAATCTTTCTGACTCGATATCAACATCTCCCGCCGTGCTGGTGACTGTACACTCCGCTGGCCCGTACGCATTGCAGATTTTGACATTGTTAGATTTCCATCGAGTGACATCAGACCTCGCCAGTACCTCTCCGGTAAATAAAACCGTTTCAATACTTGGTAGCTCCTTGGGGTCTATCATTCGCGCAACTGTTGGTGTGATGGGCAGCAGATTGGCGCGCAAGTCGATTATCGATTTCGCTATATCATCCGCGGTAGATCGACCCTCTTCCGAGGGAACGCAGACACATGCGCCGGCTGCCAGAGCATGGAGCATATTACTCCAAGTCACATCAAAGGCATATGATGTGAGATCAAAAACACGAGACCGGGGCGTGTAGCCGAGGGCCGCCTGCTGGTACTTGATTGCACTGCAAAAGTTTTTGTGCGTCACAATAGCCCCCTTAGGAGTACCCGTGCTGCCTGACGTGAAGACAACGTATAATGGAGATTCCGCATCCATGAGAGGACGTGGCTGAGAAGGCGGCCATGAGAGTTGCTGATGGGTGTCAACCGACGCCTTGCTGACAGTGAAGACCTTTCCGTTGACAAGATCGGTTGAAAGATCTTCCTTCGTTGTAGAGCATAGTATGAGACTGCATTGCAACTGTTGCACGATGTTGCGTAGGCGCTCGGTCGGCAGAGTAACATCCAGAAGAACTGACGCACCCCCGGCCTTCATTACACCCAAGACTGCCACTAACAACCACATGGACTTTTCGAAACAAAGTGGCACAATCATCCCCGGTCGGAGGCCACCCTCGTTGATGAGCAAGTTTGACAGCTTCGTGGATAACTTGTCTAGCTTTCCATATGTTAAATCGCCATCCCAGGCACACACAGCTGGTGCAGCCGGCTTTTCGCGGACTTTTTCAGCAAAGACATGATGGACGAGCATATCCACGGATTCGGGGAGCTCCGCGTTCCATTTCCATATCGTGGTCAAGTCGAGGTCGCTTGCAGCGTCAAGATCGCCCAACTTCGTCTTGGTTGCATCTTCGGTGGAAAGTTGCCGCAGAATGAGCGCGAACTGATGTGCAAGCCGTTCAACTTCTTGCTCATCCAGCAGGTTATGGTCATATCTAAAACATAGACACAGTGCACCGTCTTCAACTCGGTAGGTAAGAATGATGGCGTATGGACTGGAGGATTCCGTCCTCCTGGCCCATACGCCACTATATTGGTCGACAAGAAGCGTTTGAAATTGACAGGCTCTCCGTGCCTCTTCGCTCACACTCTCTATTTGTCGCAAGCTTATATCTGTGAATGGAAGCATCAATGAAGCTTGGTCTTGGACCCGCTCGAAGAGCCGCTCAGCCGTCGTGTGCTCATCAACCGTAATCCGCACAGGAACAACAGCAGACGTTGACCTCGTGGCATCACAGCTCCCTATCTCGGCGCCGAACGTGGTGTCAGGCGATCCACTGTGCCAAGAAAGCAGCGTTGCCCATGCTGCTCTGATTATAACAGAGCGCGTTGTATCATCTGTAGGAAGAACTATGTCTTCGCATAAATGGTCGTGAACTTTATCTGCTCGGGCATGATATCCCGGGTGAGGCAGCTGGGGAAATGGCAGCGTGTCCAAGCCGATGAACTGTTCTTTCCAGAAAGCAGTAACTAGTTCGGAGTGCACTTGCTGTGCCGCGCGGTCCAGTGACGATTTGGCATGACAAGACGGAGAGATCGAGGTCTCATTTGGTATGTCCTCCAAGTAACCCATTTCGAACACTTATTATCACGCTGTGTTGTGTACTGAACCTTCAGAACCACCCGAGTAGGCTCAATGCAGACCCTCTTATGTTGTTCGGTTTGCGACGAGCCAACGTACCAAATAGTCTCTGTGCAATTTAGATAGACGCGGACATGATGAAGCTGGCCCGAAAGGGAGTGGGGCAGGACGCAGCATAGTCACAAGAAGTCGAAACCACTAATACTCGTATAGTTCTTCTTGCACTGAAGAAATTCGTGCCTGGGTCTTCCTCGGGGGCTTCAGACTTGCCTTCTCAAATCACATGGTGGGTGCGAGACCACCCGGTCCCTGTAAGCAGAACCGGGTTCTTTCAGAGAGATATTGCTGTCGCAGCCACTCTCACCTCTTGTGGTGTCGTGTAATCGTCATCCCTGATCACTCGCTATTTCTCTTTCGTCTGGTTGCGGTGCCGATAACAGGGTTCTATGTTCCGATCTAAACTTTAGACCTCGGGCTTAAATACCAATCCATACTTGGGTTCCATCTAAACAATCTAGCCACGACCTAAATACCATCTTTGCGGAAGTGGAGTCGACTCCAGTGACCAGGATGTCTAGCATTCGAAGCAAGGTTTTACGCTTTTCCTTGCAATTTGACACCACGTCGGGGTCCGTAAGGTTTTGCTGTCTATGGTCCACCCGAGTTTTGGGGATCGTGACCAGAAATGACGCTAGTGAGCCAAGCATCATGATCCTCCTCGTTAATCCTGGCTACAAGGCTTGGCTAGATTCGGGCTGGGCGCACCAATAGCGTAGGCATCCACTAACAGTGCTAATCCACGAACCTCGCCTGTGCGTACAAACAGCTGGACCTTAGGATATCTGCTTCCTATAGGCTGAGACACATCGTGAGTCAGATTATAGCTGAATCACGTACTGGGGATTACACATGACGTTTCCTTACCCAATGAATAACGTTGCCGCCTTCTATCGGACGCTCTGTACCAGGCTACCGAGCAATGATTACACAGTTCTCACGGTATATTTTCGAAGTGCGAACCTTCGGAATATGAGAATAAATAAGAATATGGAAAGCCCACATATAATGTGAATGACACTAGGAATCGGTATTCAACGCACAAACGTATAGGCCAACATACCGGTGACTTGTGTGGGTATAGTATGTTTTCGCTGGTCCTCATGCAAATAAAGTCACGATAATAACTCTACTGCAACAACAAATGATAACGTACTTGAAGTTCACGCAGCTCACACGAATCGGTGCAGGGGCTCAATGGTATTCGTGAAAAGGCTACATCATAACGTGAAATTTGATATGGAAATGGTTCAGACGTTGTATCGTGTATTTGAATCTGTAGAGCGAAGCGAAGAACCATAGACACCGCCAACGGCAAGTTACGGAGTATCGGCTTCTGGGTCACCTTTGACTGATCGCCACTGAGTCGCCACACTGCCGATAGCCATAAGGCAGGCCAGTACGACAGCAACGTACCAGATCTGTTTGAATGACCCCGCTATGATATCCTGTGAGCCAGAGGTCAATGAGCTTCCGGGGAGGTCGATGAAGCTTAGGTTTTGGATGGCGGTCGCCGTCAAGTCAGGTAACTTATCGCGCAGATTGTCCAACAGCTTTGCCGTAAAAACCTGCTGGGCAATAGATATGAATAGGGCGCCTCCAAAGTTTTGTGCAAACAGAGTCACAGATAATCCAAGAGCGCCATCGTCTTCAGGAAGGACCGTCTGAACCGCGATTTGTGGTACTTCGAAACCCAGACCACTACCTAGCCCGATCATGCCGGAGAACACGATGAATGGCGCCAGGCTGCTCGATTTGGTCCATGTAGTAACAAGTCCCGCTCCTATTGGTAATATAACAGAAGACATAATCATAAAGGGGTTGTAGTAGCCCAGCCAAGTGGTTCCAAAGCCCTGGATCAAAAGACCAATGTTGAAACCAACCGTCACAGGTAGCATCATATATCCTGCCTTGGCCGGCGACCAGCCCAGCACAACCTGGAAATAGATGGGGATGTAGTACTCAAGTACGCCGAGAGCTCCATTGAGGCAACAGCTAAACCAAGCACCGGCCGCAACGCTCCGTTGTTTGACGATTCGAGCGGGCAGTGTTCCCTCGTTGCCTCTCCTGTATTCAACGAAGACAAATATGAAGAAGCCCACAGCAAATGTCACCAGCAACCCGATGATCGTGGCACTAGACCATTCATAATTGATACCCGCCCAAGACAGAACCATGAAAAGGCAGGTGAGTGAGCCTGTGAGAAAGATATTAGACACAATGTCCATTTTGACTAAGATCTGCTTCCAATTCAAAGTCCTCTGCTCAGCGCCTGGTGGAGGCGCATCGGTCAGAAACAAGACCAGGAACACGAGCGCCGCCCCGCCCACGGGCAGGTTGAGGTAGAAGCACCACCGCCACGTGGTATGTTGTGTCAGGACACCACCAATGATCGGCCCCGTGACCATGGCGACAGCCTCTAGGGCACTCAGCAGGCTGGTAAGTACAGGGCGGATACGCAAGGGCGCAACGACCATGATCGCGGTGAAAGTGCCGCCGAGCACACCTGCCGATCCCACACCGGAAATGGCGCGACCGACAACGAACATCACGGAGGAAGTCGCAGCCGCAGCAACAGCCGAGCCGATGAGAAATACAATGATGGCGACTGCCAACACCCGACGCACAGAGAAGATAGTGTACAGCTGACCCCATGCAAACTGGCACACGCATGCCGTGAGTCGGTAGGAGACACTGTACCATCCGACGTCGGCGATGGTATGAAACTCTTCCGTGATGGCCGGAACGGCGACGCCCACGATAGAAAAATCTAAACCACCAAGAATGATGACGAAGCTGAGGGCGGATAGTGTCAGCCAAAGCCGTGGTCCAGACTGATAGGCTGACTCAGGTGAGGCTCGACCATGCGGATCAGGAGACCTTGATGGTGACGATGGTCTGCCGCTGCTGTCATTATTGACCTCTTTGGACTCTGCGACTCCAATGTCAACAGCCTTCTCCTGTAGTGGCTCTGAAATCGGCTCGTCTGCCATATCGTGCATCTTCATGGATGGAAGGTGGAAGGATTTTTGGTTCAACGCCGCTGGCCAGGGAGCTGCAGGACTTCAGCCATGATGTGATCGATCAAGAGTCAGGGACGGATCAGCCCACTACTTGACTGACTATGAGACGTAGAAAGGGACATCTGCAGTGTCGTAAGGACCGCCAAGCCCGCTTGGCGGCGGCAGCGGGTCATCGCTCGGTTCCATTTCCAAGATGGCGGCGACAAAGAAGCAATTCTGCAAATGCTTGATCTTTGCTCCCGGGATCTTTCAGTTCAGACGTGAATCCACATAGGCACCCATTCTATGCAATCCTGCACAGTGGTAGTAACAACTTAGTGCTGACATGTTCGAAGGGCCCTGGAAAGCACAGCGGAGACGATTACAGGGATTGCTCCGCCCATTCCATCCACTGCGGGGCAAATGCGCGTTAGCTCCCCTTCTTCTTCTTTTTTCCGGGAACTCTAAGCAGACTATCCTACCTGCCTACATAACGCCCACGTGTAGGCGAGCTCTTGGCAGTAGCTCGTCCAGGGAACGGTCCTTGAAAGTAGCAGTGATGCTACTCTTGGCCACTGGTATATGCCGTGATGCGTTGAATTATCAATACGAAGGTGCCGGCTGAGGGTCATCGTCTTCTAATCAAGACGAAGACGCCGCTTCTCCAATACAATTTGCAACCTTGGATCGCCGGTAGCACATTCCCAATATCATGGTTCAGAGCCCCTTGCAGAGAAGCAGTAGTATTGTAGAGGGCCAGATACGCGAGTCTGACAACGCAGGGTCGAGAACTACTGTACTTGTCCATAGAAGGAAGGTCACAAAAGTGTAGCGGATAGTCTCAGCACGGCCCACGGTACATACGATGAAAATCTAACCACCGCCACCAATGATCAGAGGCACTTGTCCGCCAGCAATCTTCTCGCTCAACGTAGCCGTTGCAATGAGGAGTCATGGGATATGAAAAACTATCACGACTCTAGTGGTTACCGGCGGTATTACCATCATCATATGACTCAGCTTACAATATGTCATGAAGCTTGTATTTGGTCTTTACATACACCAAAATCCTTCAGACCCCACCATGCTGTGCCCCATTAAGCACGCATGACACAATGACACCCGCTGTACCGCATGCAGCACAATAGAAGCCCTTCTAGAACCACAACAAGTGCGCTGTCGCTTATCCACGAACGTGCAGAATGTACCTTGCATATTTCTTCGTACATATGTACTCCGTGGTAGTGTTACTTTTGAGTGGATGACTAAGGGCGAAGCAGTACGGCAGACGCGAAAAACGCTTCGGATTCTAATGATGCGTAACATAACGTTAAGCACCCGACCTAGCACCGTTTATATAGTACATGTGAGTAAACTTCCAGAAACAGGAACTGTTCTGCATCATTGAAAATTCCAAAATTATGCATTTATCAGCTGAACCTTTAATTTGCACGAATGCAATTGACCTGAGGCTATTACGCGCAAAACCTAACTTATAAAATTGTTATCAGAGAATCAAAGCAAATAATATCACTGGTCATATTAGATAACTAAGCGTAGTATAGCTCATGAGTTCGGACTCGGTAGGGTTGGCGGTTTATGTTCATGCACTGGGTGTGAAAACATAAGGGTGTGTGTCGTCTGGTTTAAAACAAGGCACAGTTTAGTTGCTTAGCACGGGTCATTAATCTTTTGCGGGGAGAGGTGAGTTAAAACATGCTTTTGATTGTTTGAACTTCATCTTACGAAGTGGCGGAATGTATATCTCTATATATGTGTACATGCGTATTAATCGATGCGCAATACCCAGCAGCTCGTATTCCGACAATATCTTTTCCTTGAATATGCACAGCCGACAGAATTTCATGGTAAGATATTTTGGGGGTAAATCTTGAGTCTCACGTCGGTAGATTGCAATGTTCCTTAGCCCTTTACCATTCCTCGTACATCTGTCCTGGCTCAGAACCACCCATTGGGACATCTAATTCCGCAACGCGGGTGTATTGTGATACTTGGTCTTCGTGATATGACAACGGCCGTGGCGTACCGTTCATTGCACTGTGAGCACTTTTTGGCCCTTGGTATTCATGCTCCATGTCTTATCCCTTTCTCCAGAAATACAATCCAGCGCGGACCCGGCAAGTCCAATCGCGCCAAAGCCAATACCGACGCCCAGTCCAGCTACAGCAGTCGTAGAAAGGTCAGATACTATTCAGGTAGAAGGTGTCAAGGATAGGGACGCTGCGTAGTAATCGATCAATTAAATTTCCATTTGACACGCCTTTGTAACAGTGGTTAATACGTGCTGGTGCTTATTGATGTGAATGTTATGCTGTAGGTTTTATTGTCGTTGTGATAGAAGCAATTGTCGCTAGGATAGGAGTAAGTACTGATGTTCTGGAAGCTCTGGAAGAGGTGCCAAAAACCGATGATGAAAATAGTAAGTATAATAATAAATATAGTTCCGCTAGAGATGTGAAAGACTACACTCCAAGACTTGCCTGACCTCTGGCTATCAGAACTTCCATCCGCGTCTACAACTCGAAAGCTTTACAGCTGATTGCTGTAAATAGAATCAGTTTCGACCTCACACACATGATAAGCTGCCGATGATGTAGTAGTAAGGCTCTTCGTAGGATTTGCCAAATCACATCCCGTATCAACCAGAGGGTAGACGATGCAACAGTAGTTTCCCAGGAGATGGGTATAGAGGTTCACCCGAAAAATTAGGGGTATTACCATAGGGAAAAGTAAAGTTCCTAACATTGTGAAATATCGCAGATTCGCCTGGCACGATCTTGCTGCAAGCCGCTAGACAATACGACAATGAGGCTTGATATATCACTTACGCTTCTGCCAATTTTCGCAAAGAAGACAGAGAACGGATTTCCAATTAACTTCGAGTATAACGCGATGCAGACCTACAGAGAAGGGGCTCAAACTTTGAGGCTGGGCGGAGTGATAGCCAGAAATGTTATCTGAGGGTTACGCCACACAATCAAATAGAACACAAATGGGGCCCGCCTTAACCTATGCACCATCATCGGCTTCCCTAGTTCTCGGCTCGGCTCTTAATGCGCCATTAACCCTGTCCTTCAGACTCCCTATTCTAGGTATCGCTGCTAACATTACCACACGCGCAGCTCAGGCTTTGTAGGCAAACTCCGCAATCTTCGTCACGACACATACAGATCCGTACCTTCCCTTCACTATTCGAATATCTTTTTAATTTGTTCATCTCTACATACTTCGTTTTGCTCCGTTCTGTATTTTTGGTAATTCCTCGTGTCGGTCGTCTTCCCGTCATATCGCGATTTCATGTCTCACAAAGTGGTTTCCTTCATACGTTACAGGTCATTCTCTGCGTCACACCCGCATTCATTGCTGCGCTTTATGGCCGTTGCACTCACCTGGTCGCTATTCATTTACGTCTTTAAAGTTCGTGATGCCTATATTCCTGTCGAGCAAATCTCGTCTCCATCCACAGTTGTTGAGGCCTCCCAGCAGCCGACACTACCTATACCTACCGAGGACGCGCTACCACATGTTGTTGAGTCCGCTTCCAAACGTACTCTGTCGCCATGTCAGTCTTCGCAAGGCTTGGAAGAATCCCTCATTAATACAGGAACCAACACCAGCGAAGCTCTAGACAAACTTCCGGTACATTTCAATACCACTTTGCGCTGCCAACCACAAGATTCATACGGAATTTAGTTCGATTTATGGCCATTACGTTGGTAATGCTTTGGACAAGATCAGCCTTGAAATCATCAACGAGTACCCTGATTTCGAATACTACTGGCGCTTGCGGGAAAAGGGACGGACGGCATTCTCGGCTAACAAGATGGCAACCTAGGCAACTACCCTAAACTCAGCAAGTAAGCACAATAATCCCGGCTAAAAGCTAGATAAATAGGAATTCTTACCATTATCAAAGAAAGCTTATAGTTAGCGGCCCGATGCCAAATATTTCATCGTTTCCCAACGGCGATGGATACATAAACTAAACATTATTACTATCTCACCATGACCCGTCCATGCCTTACGTAGGCCAGTTGATGGTCATTGGTGATGTTCCGTCCGCTTATAGTGGTGCCAGTTGCTTTATTTCAAACGAAGCCATCAAAGCTGTTACTGAGCTTTCACCAGCCAGCATTGGGCAGGTGATTGTGTGCTTGGGAAAATTTTGAAGAATGGTGGGATTGATTTCTCTTACAATCATTCAATTGGCACTCGCCAGAGTTGTGCTATCTCTTTCAAGTCCATCTTTCACCAAAGACGCCACCAGTTCCCAAGACGCCAAGCGCTATACCGAGGAAGGCTCTGCACCTAGCTGTTCCAAGCCCACTCTTGACAGCGGAGTCATGGCTTCCGACTCCGCTAAGCGCTCCGTTATCGAGGACGGTAGCAAATCATTTGATGTTGCCAAGCGCTACATTGAGGAAGGCTTTACTCCTAGCTGTCCAACATGCTCTCTCGACAGTGAACTCTCGACGGTGGACTCATCACTTCGGAGTGTGCTTAGCGTTCTGCTGAGGAATTGTTAATAATTTCGGATGGTGCTTGAAACGAAAGTGGTGAAAGGGGGTTAATAGCCTCTTCACAGTCGATCAACGAGGAGTCTATAGCTATGGCTATCAGATGGCTGTACGATGTGACTTGCTCTAGTTTTATTCTATTTATTCTACAATGGCTCTTGCGGTGATATTCTTCAAGATAAATCAAGCAAGAAGACACTTCATATTCAGCCCGTTTCTCTGAAATTGTTTTGATCAATCCAAACGTGTATTCTCATCACCAAAGCCGCCACCCCTGTGATGCCGATTAAGAAGTCTTAGTGAACGCCTCCAGCCCCAGGTAAGGAAATAGAGTGAACGTATCTAAGCAATAGCTTTGCATTTGTACCGTATAAGGGCCATTATCTCTTTGCGAAGTTCCGCACCTATGTTTATATCATAACTTATACTTACTCCACTGAATAATTCCAACAGCCAAGCAACGTCTCTTTCTTATACCATGTTAAAGAAAATTGGAATAGTATACAGCTAACTAGAAATACGGTACAATATTCTATTAAAGCGTATAAAGTTTTATTTAGGAATAATTCTGATAGGGATAGTCATTAGATGAAAATCACGGTAATCTTGAAGTAAATACAAACTGAATTATTCTATTGCAAGAATATTTATATCATCACGAAGGGGCGCTCTAGATTTTAATCACTATGTGTCGCCTATGTAATTGACTCACCGCATCAGACAGATAAATACACATTTGGGAGTTGCATAATGACACACAAAACTTTGGATATGCAACAAATGACAGATCTTTCTGGGCAGGGCAGAAAATCTATGATCGACATCAGAGATCCAGGCCGAATATTGACAGGATGCATGTCTCGATCTCGCTGAGAAGTATTACATAGACTACTTACTTGTCCATTTATTTGATATCTCTTTTCGAGAGCTGAAGCGATAGAAGATCACTGTTGTTGTTGTTGTTGTTGTTGTAGTTGTAGTAAAGGACGTTTTAAGTCAAGATATTGCGCATATCATGACCTTTGCGCCGGCAGCTTCTACTTCGGCATCAGCTGAGGACTAGCAGGCATTTTAAGGATACATTGCCGAGGCTAGAATCACTATGGTACAGCTGTACCTTCGAATATCAGAGCTGGAAAATTTGCAGGCTCGTTTCAGTGTTCTTTCATAAGATACGCTCCCGTCTATAGTATCGAGCCTAATCGGATATAGTGGTAGTAATGAGGTCTTTGCTATAAGGAATGACCCTTAAATACTGCTGCCTTTTGATCTCAAATCAGTGCACTAAAGAACCTGAATTTACCTTCTGGCCTTACTTCCAAGACCGGGCCGCCACCAGCGCGGGACTCTGACTGCCCGAGTCAGCTAGGAAACGCCCTCTATACATAGATCCATTCATTCCTTCGCTGATCCTCTGTGAGTCATCTGGATCATCAATAACCCCACTGATCCGTCAGTATAGGCTCTGTCGGAGCTTCACTGATCCTACTGATCCAATAGCCACGTCTTGCCGTCTATCACGTCAGCAATATCTGCTTTGTCTGTTCCACTATCGGATGCGCATTGGCACCTACCTTGGAAGAATTTATCGTGCTTCGCTTCTTTGCAGGCACATTGGGGTCTTGTATCTTGACGGTTGGTGGGGCAGTATTACCTATATGGTTCAGCAGGAACAAAGGGCTGCTGCAATGGCCAGCTGCAATATTGGGCCTCTCATAGGTCCTATCTTGGGCCCCGTGATCGGAGGCGTTATACTGACAAGAAAGGGATCGCGATGGGGTTTCTGGATCGCGGCAATTATCAGTGGATGCTTAGCTGCTCTTATGACGTTAATCATGCGCGAAACATATGCGCCTGTAATCTTGCGCCGGAAAATCGAGAGGTTGCGGAAGGAGACTGGCAATAATCGCCTCCGCTCAAAGCTAGACTCAGGTCTTTCTTGTCGGGAGTTGCTCAAGAGGTCTGGCGAGTGCCCCTTGAAGCTGTTAATATTTTCGCCGATATGTACTGTGTTCGCCTTATACATGGTCATGGTTTATGGTCACCTCTACCTACTCTTTACATATGTTTCCTTTGTGTTTCAGCAATCGTGTGGGTTTAGCACAACTACGGTTGGACTCGTCTATCTTGGTTTGGGGATTGGGTCACTCGTTGGCATAGCTGTTTACACAGTAGACAGCAACCGCTTGATGAAGTAGAACACCGACCTTGGAGAAGTTAAGCCTGGGGTCCGTCTCCGGCTGCTATCAGCTGGCGCCATAATACTTCCAAATATATTTTTTTTGTTATAGATGGACCAATTATGTAGTGCACTGGATCGCCCCGGCAATTGGTCTGGCTATCATCGGTTGTGGTTAGTATCTACCCCATTGGTCATGCTAACTTGCTCTCGCTAATCATGCCCACGGGTTATCTTATATGCTTCATGGCCATCAGTATTTATCTTATTGATGCATACTCCACGCACGCTGCATCTGCCCTTGCAGCGAACCCCGTGATGCGATCGATTGCTGGAGCAATCCTACCCTTGTGCTGGCTCAAAATCTATGCAGTGCTTGGCTTAGGTCGGGGCAATTCACTACTCGCGTTCATCGCAGTCGCGCTCATTCCTGTTCCCTTCGTCATTTTGCGGTATGGCGAGAAACTCCGCCTAGAGACTCCGCCTAAAAACGAGTATGGAGGAACTATAAGAAAGGTTACTGATAGGGCATTATATCCTGATGGGGATATCAGTCTTTTAGTGTAGCTCTTGATTATAGGCCATGATTGTCGGTTTTCTTTCAATAGCCTAGAAACCCGAATTCGATTCATCCATGTAATAATTTACCATGTTCTCCTATTTTCTGCAGTACCAGGTACTACTCGGCTACTGAGGCTCTTTTTCTCGAACTAGAGGGTGGAGACAACTATGACTCTCGACGTCCTGCTAATGAGGTATTGAATGGACCATGGCCTTGAACTGTTGAGAGCTGATAAAGCTTTCTCAAATTCTCCTGATACTTAGCTGGTGGATCCGAATAAGGGTTCAACATGAACACTGGTACTAAAGCATCTCAGAATGACGAGATCAGTAACCTAACCTAGTTGATTGGTCTAATTAGTGCAAGGGGGTACCGGTACGCGCTAAGATTAATTGCAACCAAGCGAAGGTTAGCGCGTTCATTATCGGGGTAAAGCGTTCTTGCCGAAACAACACAAATCCGATCGGTACCGAACCCTCCGCTTCTCTCAAGATTTTCAGGTGGGCGCTATGGAAAAGCGCGGGAGGCGCTATAGCATAGGAAGTCTCGGGACGGCTGCACTCGATGTAAGGCACAGCATATTAAGTTTCGTCTACAGGGTCAAACCTGCTCGACTAATCCACTAGGTTATGTTGCAGCTGTCTGTCTTGATGTGTAACAGTGCGATGAGCTTCGGCCTTGCAGTAATTGCGTACGGCATCAGACTCCTTGCAGCCCGACCACCCCTGGAATCTTACCCAGTACCTCTCAAACAAGTCCTCAGCATTTTGTTGCTTTATCAGCATCAGTAGAAAGGCGCTCTGGGTCTCCACAAAGTCCTCGTTCAAGCCTCCCAGGTACGCAATTGTAGGACACAAATATGTTACGTCCATCATAGGAATTATCACCCAGTCATCTTTGAGTTATCTCGATCAACGATTCATCATTTTATCAGGCCATCGTGGATGCGAATCATGTTCAAACAGTAGTACCGTGCATGTATACAACTAACTCTTCTCTGCAGAATGGATGCAAAGCTTACGTTTATGGCAGCATTACTGCGCGAACACCTGCTACACCTTAACCCGGACAGGCCGAACCGAAGAGCTTTGGAAAAATGTTGTACCCGTGACTGCATGTTCATATGTTTGATTCCATCCTTCATGTCGCAGATAAGTGGCACTAATAGAAGCAAGGTTTTTTTATGCACGGCTTACTAGCTATCTCCGCACTACACTATGCTCATACCCATCCACAGAGAGCTGTACACACTCATCTCGGCGAAATACCAAAATCAAGCGATCCAACTACTTTTCCACGCGGCTTGACTACATCAATGACAACAGCTGTGATGCATGATTCTTTCTTGCAACAATTATTCTTATACCGAGTTTATGCTCGATAGCTCAATGGGACAGTATCGAGTTGACTACAACTCCATCTGATGTTGCACAATCATTTTTCTTGCTTCAAGGGATCAAAGGCATCCTTGACTTCAAAGCACTTGAGACATGGCCGGCAGAGAAAAATGAACTTGCTTCACTGTTACAACATGCCACGTATCCACCACAAGAGCATGACGGTGCATTTCAACTTCGGTTGAGTGAGATAACGTGCCTTTTGGATGTACTTCCACAATCCTTTGATCCGATCAGCCCTCGATCCGTGTGTCTACTAGCACTGGACTCACTCAAGACAATTCATCATGCTTGCAAACATACGACATCAGACACGGGCTTCGTCTGGACTTGGCCATTCACCTTTCCGGCTCTATTTATCGAGACGATTAGCGAGAAACGACACGTCCCACTTATTATCCTTGCGCATTTTGCTGCTCTTTACCAACCGCACAAGCATGCTACATGGGTCAGTGAGGGATGGGGATAGAGTGTGCTGAAGATGGTAGAGAGCGCTCTGGATCCAGGTTGGCAGTCATGGATCTATTGGCCAAAACTGAGTTTGGGAAACGAGATTGATGTTGACGATATGGACGAATGAGAATATAAGCTTTGGTGATGTGGAGAGTTTGGCCCATGTAAGAGGCAGTTCTGCCCACAACTTATGCCTCGGGTGTTTCAACAAATACAAGTGAATAACGGGTCACATCAAACGCAGAAACAGCGCAAGCCGGGATCTTGAATTGGAGCATATGTTATTGTGTTTTACATCCAAGGGCTAGGCTATACTGGATTTGTTGTATACAGCCAAACCATGCATGCCTGAGCAGAAGTGGGGCTGCGTCATTGGTTGGAAATTATCATGACGGATCGGGGCGAGCGCCTCTGGTTGGCAAACTCAAGTGAAAGCTCGGGCCATCCACTTGAACGTAGACTCGCGAATGCCCACCTCTTACCGGCCGGTCTTCTATCGATATAAGGTGGGGCGGACTGTGGAAACTAATCAACGGTTGCTGTAATCGGATGATGCTACCAAAGTATAAAGACAACTTCGTTTTCTTACCTGATTCATCGCATCAACCATACCTTTCTGCGCCTCACGTCTCTCTCTTATATTCATTCTTGAGTTGTAAACAGCACTACCTTAGCGATGGATCTCTCACTTCCAATCAAGGCCCAAGAGCTATTTTCATGTGATGGTATGGTGATTGTTATCACTGGTGGTTCTAGTGGTACAGTTCAAATTTTTCTTCGCTTTGGTAATGGTGGATTGTTAATAGTTACAGGCATAGGTCTAGCCATGGCGTCTGTCGCGGCTAAGACTGGAGCCTCTAAGGTCTACATTCTTGGCCGCCGCGGCGACCGACTTGTTGCTGCTGCTGCAACGCTCAGTTCAGCAGAGAACAACGCCGTGATCCCGATAGTATGCGACGTCACTTCCCAAGAATCGATCAACGCGGCCGTATCGTTCATCGAGAAAGACTCAGGACACATAGATGTTCTTATCAATAACGCGGGGGTGGCCAATCCATTCTTCGACCCGTCAGTGGCGGAGAGCATTGATGAGCTGTCTCGTGGCTTACTTGCGGCTCACAAAGCTACACAAGATGTCATACAGACCAACACTGCCAGTATTATTGGCGTATCCTCATCATTCCTGCCCCTTCTCCACAGTGGAAATTTAAGAAGAGGCTGGCCGGGTAATAAGCTGACCGACCATTCTACTAATACGCGACAAAATCAGCGGGCCGCCAATGTCGATCAAGATGATTCCCGCACAAGCCAGATCATCACTGTATCTTCAATCTCTGGCTTTGAGCGTCACGGAATGACTGGGCTGGCGTACTCAGCCAGCAAAGCTGGGGCGACCCATTTAGGCAAAGTGTTTGCTACCATGCTGGTCCCGTGGAACATCCGCAGTAATGTCATAATACCAGGGTTGTATCCGAGCGAGATGACGGCCTTCATACCAATGGACCAGATTTTGGTCTCTAATACCCCTGCTGGTAGAGCTGGTTCATGCTCAGACATTGCTGGGGTGTTGCTTTATTTGCTCGGAAAAGCCGGAGCGTTTGTGAATGGTAGTGTCTTACTTACGGACGGGGGAAGACTCACAATCGAGGCATCTTCCTTTTGAATAATATATATACCTATCGTGGGGACGAGTTCCAGGCAGCGTTAAATACAGCTGACAAAACACTGTTTGAGTCGTGCTAAGAAGCTTCCCCCATGTCACTAGTCGTGCAGGCTCATGTCTCCGATCTTAACAGTAGCTTTATATGTTGTCCAGGATAGTTGTCTCAACACAGTTATTACCTACACCACAACCCAGGCCGTGAAATTGCAGACATGTTTGACCATCCTGAAATATACAGCAACCAGGAGGGACCGTTGGCTTTATACACGCGTAAGATGCAAGGTACAGATCGGGCCATGTACCTGATGGGCCCCGTTCTGGACAAATTCGCAAACATCAGGGCTTGTTTTCGTACCAGAGAATGTATTATGGATGTAGCTGAAAATTGTCTGAAGCTACGTGACGACTTTGAGGAAGCCTTGAAATTGGGAAATGACGTTCTTCAGTCTTTTACAATTGTTTCAGTCAAAGAACTATCACTAGTTGCTTTCGAGAGCTATAAGCATCACTATATCGATCTGATATCTGCAAGATGATGGAACACCGTACGAATCATTAACATGGCCCCAACTTCTGGGTCTATATGCGCATCAAAGCGCATCTGTTCTCCGTCGAGGAAGAGCGGATCAAATGGATACAAGCAAAAGAAGAGGGAGGGAGGAATGGCCTCAAAATACTTGCGAGTTTTGTTCATCCATTGTGCACACCATCTGCGCGTTTTATAATTATACCGCTTGGTCTGATAGCTGAAGAATTGGATAAGCCAGTCAAGACCAGACTGTATGCAAGAGAAAATCTGGAATTGATTGAAAACATGAGCCGTCCACCGCAAGCTTCCCGTGTTGTTGAGATATTGCATGGCAATCAATCTATAGAAGATTGGCAAGTCGTCACCATCACTACTTCCGAGATCGTACTGACAAGATTCGGATTTAGATTTCATCTTTCCTACTTAAGTTAGAAATATCTGTCGGGTTTCGGTGTTAGCACTTCTACGAATACAGTTGTTGCCATTTGTCTGCTTGAACTAAAGCTAGCTTGGCGCTGATCACGGTTGTGATCTTCGAGTTCCGCCATCGGAGGACGGCCTCTGTAGACTACATATTTAATTTCTGACAACGCCTTATGAAACCCATAGAATAACAGTGACGGTGTTTCTATTACACGAGTCCTCGATTGATGTCATCAATTATTGTTCTCGAAGTATTTAAGGGGGCACAAGCTCCGCTTAGGGGACTCAGGCTCAAGCGGGTTCACACAAGCAGAATACATAAATTCTGGGTGGATAATGGGTCGAGTGGAAAACTTCAGGGTGGAGATGGACGAATCCTGCCACGGAGATGGGTAGTTGTTGTCTCAATTCAATGTTTATTCAATTAACATGACAAATGTGATTTTTAATCAAATTCCAAGCTCTCACCCCAGGATCCGAAGAATATCTCGGGAGGCGTACCTCTACAGTCGTCGTCAATCAACACCCACCACCAGTACGAAACACGACGCCCATTCACCATTGAATTTACCAATTCTACTTCTTGACTTGAAGCATCTGACCCATAATATAAGAACCTCCCAACCGGTGTGATTGATCAAGTCGTCTGGAAGATTTCTTTCCTTGTGCCGCTGATCAAACATGTTTTGAAGACATAAAAGCCCAATAATAGCTTTGAATAGCTGAGAATGAACGAATCTGAAGTAGTAAATGAGACCAGCCGCTACTTGTCTTCCTTTTAAGCTGCTGATATATCCTTTTTATTCCTTTACAAAGACTGCGTACACAGTAATGCCGCTTCTTGTGACCTCGGAACTGGTCTTTCTGACCCACCATCTAGGTGACTTAAACCGGTATTGTGTTTTGCCATCATTGCCAAACAAAATCATCCACAAACAGTATCGATTGCAAAGGAGTATCTATTGATTTGAAGAATACGCCTCATATTTGTTTGCAGTGGTTAAGAAGACAAGCCTTTTATCAGAGGCTCACACACTCAGAGGTGGGTCGGTTGAGACTTCTGTATAACGCTTTACTGTGGCCATCAGTATAAGTATAAAGGTGTAGAACAAGTGCTCATCTCAAAAGCTGATCGAAATTAGCGCATGTAATTAATACTATTAAAAGCGGAGCTATAATGCTCAAATGCTGCTAACAATTCTGGAAGACTAGAACACATACTTGAATGCTTCTAGAAAGATCTTCTTATCACGTTATCCAAAGTACTTGTCAACATATCCTGGAGTGGAAAAACTGGCTCATGACACGAACCACTGAGGCAGGGCCATTAGAAGTAGTAACAACGTAATCTAAGTGGAAAAGATCAACACCAGACAATCTAACATTTCAACTGCAAGAAGACCAACAAATGTCAAAAAGCACTCTCATTCAAGCCGGTGGACATTCAAATATGTGTGAAATGCTTTCCTATGGTCCAACAATGACCAGGACCTCGATACTTTGAAGTGGTTCTCAATAAAAGCCTGTGGCTGTCACCACGAGAAGTCAGGTCTCGAAGAACATCTTCTTCGACGCCTCTTGTAGACGCTCCGCACCGGTAGCTCACGTGTGTAGTCACACACTCGACTTCCATCATATTTGCAATTCAGCGTTATAAGAGGGCGAAGAATCAAATACTTCCTAGTCCTCAAACCACCAAACGCCGTGAGATAGCTAGGGTGCATCATGAGTAGGCGCCTTTCCCATAATGAATCTCCGGTATATAGTTACTCTGCGCCATGGCTACGACATTGGGGTGGCTCGTGTCCAAATACACCTAGAAACACAGACACGGAGGATATATTGCCAACAAGGAAAAGAAGAAAGAGATAAAGGCAGTGCTAGCAAACATTACCTATGTTAAAGTAACCGAATTAAAAGGTCACAGTAAGAATTGCTAGGTGGAAAGAGTTAATCTAATATAAGTTCAATTCGATCAGAAAATATCACGTGATTAGTAAAGCACTAGTGGTTTAGTGGTAAAATCCATCGTTGCCATCGATGGGCCCCGCGTTCGATTCGCGGCTAGTGCAAAATTGTCAAGAAGTTTGTTTAGTTCGCCTGTTAGCTGGAACTTCATTTTTAATTTTTGAATCACTTATAGTTCGTCTTATTTCTTAGGAAGCAGTCGTCGAAAGTGACGAGCCACCCCATTTATGTATAATCTTGGTGCACAGCTACAGGAGCGATAACTGGCTTTGTTAGGATTGTGCTATTATGTAAAGAATGGACGATAGGTATCACTGTTTGCTGATACTTTGAAATAGGGCCCAGTTAGATCGATGCAACTCGAACGTGCGGCAACATGATGAACTCGGAAAGAATAAGTAGCTGTTGCATCCGTAGCCATAGGGATTTTTGTAAATATGAAAGCCATATAATTGAGCCTAGCCAGTAATCTAACCTAAGTTCCCTGCTAAATAACGGATGAAAGCGAATTCTGGTATACCTGTCGTGTCCTAACAAAACTGCATCGATGAAGTAAGCATTCATAATAGCAAACATAGCCCAGGAAGAGTGCAGTGTTGGCAGTATCGACCAGCATATTAGATTCCCGTCCTCACGTCGGGAAACTTTTTAGGGTGTGGAGCACCACAGCCAAGTCTGTTCTCAGTGAATCTGTCAGAAGCCATTCTTTATCACCGTATAGCGATCTCCACTTTCATGCACTCGCCTATATCTCCTCTCAAAGCCCAGAGTAGGCTTTTGTAGTGGGGCTGCAGGATACTTTCGGCGGCAGATGACCAATAATGTTGGACGCAATTCGGGCCCGCGGAGTGCCATTTCCACAGACCCGCCTATTTGCAACCTCCAATTTATTGCGCTAACGGGTTTAGTTAGTATTGGCAAAGTTTATAGTGGAGATTTCCTTTGCCAAATATGCAAAGGAGAGCGTGCGTCCGGATATTAACTTGTTGCCATGACATAAACTCCGTACTGTGCATATTTCAGGGACCAAAGTTAAGTAAATATACTGACTTGACGTCATGGTCTCTAGTACTTAGACTCAACAGAGTTGGTTTATGGTTGAAAGCCTTGCAGGTGGTGCATGGCGATTGATAACAGTCGAGGATAGACGCCGCCAAGCCGTCCACCACGAGTCATTGGGTCTGTTTAAGTAAGACTATAAGATACGTACAATAAAACCTGTTCTTCCACCATCGACAGAATTACCATTTTTATCACAGTCAGTTCAATATACCAGCAACGCCTTTTCCAAACAATTTATAACAATATGAAGCTATATGATGCGCAAGCACCGAACCCTATGGTGGTGAGAATATTTGCCCTCGAACGTGGTGGCCTTTAGTTCGACGTTCAACAAGTCGACATCATGTCTCTCGAGAACAGGAGGCTCGCCTATCGCCGGGATGTCAATCCTCGCGGTGAACTGCCCGCTTTGCGCATATCAGACAGTTTTGTCCTGACCGAGATCACGGCCATCTGCGAGTATCTCGACGAGATCGCCAAGGGTGGAAAGAGCCTCTTTGGGGAGACCCCGGAGGAAAAGGCCGAGACGCGCATGTGGCTGCGACGAATGGATCTGGAGATTGCTCAGCCCGTGATCTCATGGTACCGCAACGACCCGGCGACTATCGACTTTTACAAGGGCAACCGCATTCCCACCCCATCCGCGCAAACCAACGAGAAAGTCATCATTAATCAGTTCCTGAACCTCCTGGATGATGAGTTAGAGGGAAGAACATGGCTTTGCGGCGGTCGCTTCTCTGCAGCCGATATCCACTTTTACGGATTGTTGAAGATGATGATCATGGGCCCTGCTTCTTGGGTGCTTTCACCTGGTCGCAAGAATGTAGAAGATTATTTCGCAAGGATGGATAGTCGCAAGGCTAGCAAGGACGCTCTTACGCCATTTGGCGCCACTGTTTCGGTGTAAGCGCTTTGGCATAACAACTGCTATATATATATCGAGCTGCATAACATCTGTTGTGCATGTATACTCAATGCATGAATATAGCCACAGAAGTGTATCAAAAATGAATGATACATGTATCTTGCAAGCAGCTATAAACCATTGACCTATTGATGATATACAACATCAACGTGTTTGGGATGTAGGAAAGCAGTCGTTCTTGTTTCAATGTTATATGCTCACTGGGCATGGCTGGCTATATGATCAAGTGTGGGACGCAAAACTTCAAGAAGTTCACCATTAACTTCGAATATCTTCCACAGCAATGTCTCTCTAAAGTTTCTGGCGTTAATATATGATTTGAGTAAAACGCGAGCAGCACGATATCGGATAAGAGGGGCAATCACAGTCAGATTGGAGGAGATTAGAGCTGGTGAAAACCTTTTGTGAATCTTGGTGGAGTTACCTTGTCAGGCTTACTTAAGCAATAAATACCATATCAGTTCTTCACCTCTATAAAATACCGGCAGTATGTGACCCGTTAATCACCATCAGAACTACTGTCGGAAATGCTCTTAGAAGACTCGGATGGCGAAATACTTAGAACTCGTGCCGAGGCAGGGCTCGAGACTGCACTTGACCCCGAGTCCATTATGAGCTTATAATTCCATAGCTCTCGTCGCTTCTTGAGCTTCTCCTTCTCTTCGGAACTCAATACACTCGGAACAATATTGTGCTCCCACACCAGCGCAGCTCGGAGAGATGTATTCGGGTTGCAGCCCCAGTGATCCCTCCAACTCGATTCACAGCCGCACAGGGTGATGGATGCGAGGTTGTGGTAAATAGCATCGACACTCATGTGATGTTCGTAAACGTTGTCAAGCTCGTGGTGAGTCCATCCCACGCGTCGAAGCCACTTGACGAGTGAGCCAAGAAGCTTGTCCTCGCAGAGTTCCCGGGACTTCCGGCTGTGGCCAACCATGCAATGGAACTCATCCTTGGTGCGTGAGATTGGGAATCGGGAGAGCTCGTCGTAAATTCTGCGGTAGGGAAACAGCATTTTCTCGATAACCTGAAGACGAACAACGGGTATCGCAGCTACGAGTTGTCAGTCTTCGAAGGGATTGCACAACAACTGAATGGATGACTCACCCTCCAGATCAACCTCGTAGAGATGTTTATCTTTTGCGAATGGCTGATTGTTGTAGTTGACTAGATCACCTTGTTCGTTCAGTTTGTAGGTCTTGATGATTCCAGTTGTCGCCGTATCGATGATGTCTTGTCTGCCGAAAGCCCAAGCGACCCACAGAATGGCTGGTCTGTTGCAGAGGTCGACGTCTAGTTCGACGTTGATCTGGTAGTCCTTATCGTTCCAGGCTGTCAAGTGGCGGACACCATTGACAGCAACAAGGCAGCTTAGGTAGCTGTTCCACTTTGTCATCATGGGCTTGACTACCTTGAATAAGTCATAGTAGTCAATGAGAGTAGTGAGTTCGTACAAGAAGGTAACATCAGGTTGCTCGGGCTCGTAGTCATAGTCATAGTGAAGCCAGGCTAGAACCTGTTCCATGGCACCGACGTTGTCCTCCTCAAGCTTGACAACCCGTTCACTGCCGTTGCTAGGCTTGGAATCCACCCACTTCACACCGGTGCTGCCATAAAGCATGCGCTTCCAGACACGTGAAGCTTGGGATAATGCAAGGGAAGAAACTTGGAAGGAAGTCTTGGCGGTGCCCGTTCCCACGTGCAGCTCGAGATCACCGTCCTCATGAAAGGATCTGTGGTGCGATGGAACCTCGGTGACAGCCGCGCCTATAGCTGCGGCTGTGCTGTGCTTGTCGATGTAAATTTTCGGCGACTAGATGTGACAAGCAGTTAAGGGTGGTAATTAAACGTTACAAGGCAGGGCTGTGAAAAACTATGTTCACGATTTCTATGTTGGGATGGAGAGCTTGCTGGTGCTGAGCCACAGCAAAACACCGAAATTCACTTGTCGTTTGTAGTACTGCTGCCGGGCAACAAAAAGAGCGACGCGGCAATTGCTCAAACCATCAATCATCAATGATCCAGTGTTATTCTGTTTCCTATTTAAGCCGACTTCGACAAACACTTTCTCAATTAGCAACCAGGAAAGATCATGTGCTATCCTCATCCTATAATCAATTAGAATTAGCCTGTGTTTCCATTTCTAAATATGAGCAGGTGCTTATGTGTGATTACTATAAGCAAGGGTTGCCAGAGCAATTTCGAAGGTAACAGGCGGCAATGGAGATATGTTGGGGAGACCAATTCATCGACACCAAGGTCAGGAAGTTGCATATAAGCTCATAATTTACCAGCATATTTACTAGCTTAATGGTCTCAGCTCATAGCATCAGCATTTTGCTTGAATTAGCAACCTGTCTTCTACCATATCTCAGACTTCTTCGTAGTTTAGTGAATGCATATTACAAAGTGGCGGCCTTCACGAATTGTCCTACCCACCATTTCGACGTTTATATCGAAACATTGTTGATAGGTAAAGGCTAGATAAAGGCACCTGAAGATAAGATCGTTATTCAATGAAATGTCATGAATAATGCAAATAATTGCAAGCCGACTGCCTTCCTGTTGGGCACTCACTTGATTACTCTCCGATACGTATTGTCGTGTGTCAATTTATTTATTAGCAGATACCATATGGGTGAAAGCACACAAGAGCAGAAGGACTTTTCGATTGACAGATGAAAGTCAAAGGTAACCTATGACATGTTAACAAAGTATAGGGACCCATGAGTTATCATTGGCAGTTTTAGAAAGGTGGGCGACCCATCGACAAGCCATCAAGTCACCATTTCTGCATATCTCTGCATGCGAATCCGTGAAATGGTGGCATGAAAAATTAGAGTTGCCATAGAAACAAAGCTTCTTGATTGCTGTACAATGTACTGCGTGTTACAACTGACTAGCATTTTAAAGAACAAAAGATGTAGTGAATATCTCCTCGAAATCTTGGATATGTCTGCTGAATCTTGTTGTTGTACATGCCGGGAACTCCCACATTATAACATGATAGTGTTTCACAAAGAGGTCAGTATTGTGCTAGTTACAAATTGACCGAGGACAACCAGAAAAAGTAACTTGGTCGGAAGAGTGGTGAATAACTATCAAAGGGGAGGGGGGTCCCCCAATCCCGCTAGAGACTAAAAGATACTCTAACCTAGTGACTACACCCACTCCTCCCGTGTTATCTGAGGGGTCCAAGAGCCTGGGTAGCTCGTTGTCAGGCGGATCCTCCAGTTGCTCTGAACGAAATCAGTATCTGCAAACGGCCACGTCTGCCGAAGGAAAACAAGACAATGCGATTCGGTGTCATTTTCTTTGGTTATCACTTACTATATTCCTCTGTGAAGCTTGCCTCAACCAGTATATAGCTCATGTTACTCTATGTGTGACCAGCAAAGACTCGGGCAGTTTGTGGCAAATCTTGAGTACGAAGATATAGCAGAACTAATAGAGAGAAATAGAGACTCTAATGCGTTTCCCTAATTGAATATTTTAGCAAGCCAGGTTCTTGTCTAAGAACTTGTAGGAAGGGTGGTGATTCGGGGTGCCGTCGTTGAGCCATGAGGCTTGACCAGGACGCTCAAATCAATCTTCGCCCGTTATAGCAGCGATGGGAAGAACTATCGTGCTATGTATGGCCAATAAGTGTAAACCTTTCTTCGGTTTGGCTGATTGTGAAAGATAACCAGACTAGATGCAATCGTACCTACCTATGTCTATATCATCGAAGGGGCTTTATTTATAATGTCGTAGGTTCGATATGAAATCCGCCGAATGGGTCAACTACACAATTTTTGCGGTATGAAAACGATGACGAGCTAACGGCTCAGCTCAGAACTTCCATCGGGACACCCAGAAGCGCTTGTCGTATGTTACAGCTCTCGGTATCGTGTTAATGTGGCCGACTGTTTGTTTCTAGTCTAGATTTGGTACCCCGAGAATCGACGAGCAAACTGCCTCATGTACTTTGCAGATCGAGAATCAGGAAATTTGTTCATTCATGACAAGTGCAGGAAAAGTCCAATCGAGCTTTTAATCAGGCGAGACATATTTCATGGTCGCACGGTAGGATTATGCCTATATAAGATAATCCTAGTCGGGCTTCTTTATGCTGACTTGGAACTTCTGCGCCCATTCGGTAAACTCGTCCTTGTCTCCGTCCCAGGGCTTCATGAGCATCTCGGACGCGGCAAAAGCGTCAAAGAAACACGTGTCCATGTTCTGGTCGATTGCATCTGGCTCCAACTCGTAGAAGGCGCAAGCCAGATCGTTGAAATGATCTGGCAACTGCTTCAGGATCGCCAGAACTTCGTCCAGCCTCTTTGCCACCGATGTTGGCTCGCTGCCTGGAAGCGGTGGAAGCGTCTTGAACCGTCGCTTCACCACTGCGGTGTAGAGCAGTGTTGTAAGCCGCAACCGCTTCAAACAGCTCTCTAGCCTTTGACCGATCTTGTCCTGGTCGTCGCGGGGTATGTGGCGGGTGTTCATCAGGTCGTCGACCATATCCTGATCGGTCAGATGTGTCGTGTCGAGCTGGCTGGACACGTATTCGACCTCATCGGCGTCGTCCTCTTCTTGCTCCTCGCCCTCCTCCTTCCACTCCTTCAGCTCATCCAGCACGTCCTGGAGCGTGTCGCGGTATTGCTGGACCTTCTTGACCAGAAGACCGGCGACTCCCAGCTTCCTGAGCAGTATTACGTCGTCGCACGCGGACCATATCACACCGGTCGCAGTGAGGCTCCCCTTGTCGCCCCTCGCGCCATCCTTCTTCTCGGCCGACAGGACCCTCCCGTCGAGCGGTATTATCTCGACGAGGCCCCGCAGCTCCTTCAGCACCCGATAGCACCTCCATGCCAGATCCTGTCGCACGACGGCGGTATAGCGATCGGCCGCGCAGACCTGCACCGCGGATGCGATGCCGGGGACGGGCCCAGCAACGAGCTCCTGCAGAACTTTGGCGATGGCGGAGGGTGTGTAGGGTTCGTTGATGATCAGGAGGGAAAGCTTGGTGCTGTGGGCGCGGATCAGACTGGCAGAATCGTGAGCGAGCGAGAAGGCATCGACGGATGGTGGCGGGGCAGTCGACGGCGATGGCGGGGCGGCCGCGTCTGCTTTTCCGAGGGCGCTCTGGTGGACGACTTCCTCGAGCTGCTTGATGAGGGTCGCCGATGTCCGGACAAGCGTTCTGAGGCCATCCAGAGTGCCCGCGGCGGCCTGTGGGCTTGGCATGTTGAGTGAGATGTGGCGATCGCTGGTTGTTTTCTCAGAGTCAGAGGCAGAGGGAGAGGCAGAGGCGGGCCGTGAAGTCACTAACCGCAGTAACCAGCCAAGGAAAAAAAGAAATTTATTTTGGGAGCTGCAGGGCCGCCTCTGCCCCGCGCATCGTCCGCTGAACCTCGAACCACAGCGCTGGGCCGATTTCAGGCATGCACACACAGCTGTCCGCCAGGTGCAATGCGTTCTCCCCATGTACGCACACACGACCACCACGACAACAGCGTGTTAATCACACACGTCTTCCTGTGCAAACCGAGGTTTTATATAGAAGCAAGTCAGCATCCCCGCCGATTCGTCCCGATTTAATATACCCGATGGAAGATTGCGCTCTACGCAATTGGTCTCGTTGGTACTACCTCAGCCCCGGTACATACTGAGATAGCGTTCATATCGCACTGAGAAACGGTCACTGGCCCAAGGTCGCACAACACTGCAAGCTGCCTTTGCACGATGCAGTACGTACAATATCGTATGAGTAGTGCCTCAAAGAAGCGGTATGCGCATTCGGACCACCTAAAGCCCCAAATCCAGTTCCATTTATGGAAAGCCAAGCAGAACGGTGGTGGACCGCGGAAGGAAACCTTCAAGCAGTTAACCTAGTATCTAAACAATCACTGGTATAAATAAACTATAGGCACGCTATAGACAGCGGCAGGCGTCTGGTTAGTGCGACTTCTATAAAGGGAAACCTACCATTAGTGGGGTTAGTTTAGCGCAGATCACTTCTTATCAAGATACCATATATGAACTGTGGTATCCTAGTCACGCCATGTATCCAGTTCCGAAAGGCGTTCAATGCTCAAAGGTGCAGTCCGACCCCCACATATAGCGCAGACCTCACATCTGTGTTACTCTCGATGCCGATTCGCCATGGCCAATGCGACTTGCTTCTGTGACGAACCCACCGGTTCAGGGTTAGCTCGAGTGAGTTGTACAATCCACCCTCGACATCTTGGCTGCACGTAGCGGCGGGACGAAGATGTAAGCGCATGGCTTGTATCTCGGATGAAATGATGCCCCAACGCTTGCATCGGTTACGGTAGCCTTATCAGGTCGCGAGCCCACGCTGCTAATTACCATATACTCAAGCAGGTCAATGCCGTCTCATCGATCAGTCAAGTCCGTTTGCGACGAGTTCCTTCACGCCAGTAAGACAGAAACTTTTTAAACCACGAAGCAACCAAGTCTTGCCATTATGATCATGAATCAATGTCATGACTGTTGCCCACGCCGTTGGCCTTGCCATTTATTCTACGTCGAGCTCATATGGCGATAGCCGAAGTCCTACATGATACGCAACGAGAGTCGACTCAAGCGACTCGCTCCAGAACGAAAGTCAGCCTCCTCGTCTTATCGTCAAGATCCCACCTTCTCTTGCCGTCACCAACACCCAGCCCTTGATCCAGATCCGCCTTGACTCGAAACTTTGCGCCTGTCGCCCCTTCAACTTCCCGGATGAGCTGCTTGAAGGTGGTATCGCTGTGCTTGAAGCTGATAACACCTTCGTGGGCCGGGCTGGCCTTTCCCTCGGCATGACCGACTGCCTGGCCGACGATCAGGGCACCCGGCTCCGGCTTCAAGATCTCAACACAGCGACTGAGGGTAATCAGCTGGTCCTCGCGGCTGAACACATGCAACACCATGCCCAGGTGTATGACATCGATGCTGGCCTTCAATCTGTTCAGCTGGGTTTCCGGGTCGTCGTCGAGCGAGTCCGCCTGAAAGAAATGCGCCCCGAGAGTTTCGCGGTCTTTAAACAGATCATAGCCAACATCTACGAACGGCGCCTCGTACTCGGCGCCATATAGGTTCTCCGCCGGCACGCCGTCAACGACCAGTTTTCGAATGTCCTGGGCCAGGCAGCAGCCGAGATCTAGCAATTTGCCCCCCGCTTTTAATTTCTCGAGGATCCGCGGGTAGATGTCCAGACGCATCATGCTGAGGTCCAGGAAGCGGAACTGCCCGATGCATGGATAGGCATTGACCTCCCATGCCTGGTCGCGCTGTGCACATGATGGTGAGCTTGGCGCGACACCATCGAGACTTTTCAAGGGGGTTTCCCGGACCGCTTACAATTGCCAGTACATGCTCAACGATCTTCTCCGCGGGTATGCCGGAGTAGTTTTCGAGAAGGTCCCGAGCGGCTGGTTGTATCACAGGTTCCGTCTTGGCGAACCAACCAACGTTCTTGTTCTTGGATCCTACATGTCCCGTAGTCACACCAACCACGATCTCATGAGAAGCGACCGTCGGCGTCGAATTAGTGAAAAGACCAGCGGCGGTCATTTTCTCAGTGATTATCTACAATGACAATGTCCAGCGATGTAAGAAACTAGATTTGTTGGTAACCCTCTAGGGCAGATTTGACATTGAAGAACTGGGGGCGACGTGTTGGTGGGTAGAACGAAATTTAGCTGGGAAATTCATGAGTATCAGTGGTCGCATAGCAAGGGTCCATCAAGTAGGGTGCAGATTTCCCTCATTCCAGGGTCCATACTTGGTACATATGTCCATGTGCTATACAAGCTAATGCAAAGTCGTTAGGAAGTGGTGCAAGGATACCCTTGACCATGCATATTGAAATCGTCACAAATACTCAGGCCCTCGGGATATTTAGAGCCGGGGTTTACCATGTTATGTGTCGTTTTCAGTCTCCTGTAGTTTTCGTTCGAAAACGGGGTGGTGACTTGGAATATGCTTTTGAAATGCATCTGGGCATTATCTATACTGTAGTAGTAGTAGTAGTAGTAGTAATCAGACGGACCAAGACCTCCAGTACTTCAATAGATCTGAACAATTAACTTTTTACCTCCACTATCATCCCGTCATTGTCAGGTTCTCTGGCTTCTTCGATATGACTTTCACGCCCTCCTCGGACGCGGCAGTATGGAAAGGTGAGGTTTCACGAAGGGCGTGTCCCTTCCACATGATTATAACTAAAAAGCCAAACGATCCAGCACATAAAAATGCCATAAGCCCATAAACCCAACCGATACCCATCGCAGAAATCCACGGGTTGATGTAAAAGTTGATTGTGAGACCAAAGAACAAGCGCATTGAACTCAGCGGGATGATGGCCTCGACCGTGGACTTGCGGAATGATTCGGAAACATAATTCATCGTCACTGGAATTCCTTGAAATGCACCAAAAGTGACAAGGAAATTTCCAATAGCCATCACGACCCAATGCAGATGGTACTGCAACGAAGCACCAATGAGACCAAGACCGATAGGGGTGAGCATGAAGTTTGGAATCCAAAGGGCGTGAAGTCGAAACTCGGGTTTCCAGATACCGTTGTTGCGGGCGCATAGCCACATGGGAATTCGGTCCGATAAGAGGTGCCCATAGAGTTGACTGACAATGAGCGTCATCCAATGGACCGTAGTGACTTGTGGGCGTGTTAGCCCAGTAAAGGAAGCTGGCCTGGGGGCAACTTACATGCAGCGTTCTCGAGGACTGTAAAGCCATAGCCTCCAATCTTGGCGGGCTGCTGAAGCCACACGGGCGTAAGGGCGTTCAATGCTACCCAAAAGCCAAACGTGATTGCATCAAACCCAGCACAAAGCAGGAGCACGGGGGAAATAGCATGCTTAAACGGAACCACGAAGGCAGTAACCAATTCCTTTCCGCTTGGACGTTTAACAACTCTTGTTCCGAAAAAGAACGTCTGCAGCCTTCCTCGTAACCATGTGCCCTGGGCACGATGGTTTTGTGCGCCGGACGTACGGTCCCACGTTGTCTCCTCAACAAAGAGGAAGATCAGCACGAGCGCAAAAGCAGTACCGCCAATGGTCCACCAAAATTCGTTATACCAAGGATGGCTAACAGTGATGAAGCCAGAAAATGTCGGGCCGGCGGAAGCACCAATGTTCATGGCAATCCCGAGAAGATTAAAAGCGCGACCTCGCTGGTGGAGGAAGAACAAATCGACGACGTAGAGCGGGCCGAGAATGACCAAACTCTGTCCGAAGAAGCCCATGAAGAACTTGGCAGCCATAAAGCCGTTATAGTTGCTCGGACCTCGCATGTAGCAAGCCCAAATTTGCGTCACGAGAACAGCAGCAGTCGCCCAGAATATAACGGCGCCACGACCGATCTTCTTCGCCAGTGGCCACCATACCCAACAGCCTGCTGCGAGACCACCGGAGGTCGCTGAGTTCTGAAAGTTGAGACGTGTTAGCCAGAACATGCGGATTTTGAGAGGCGCAGCTCACAAAGTAGGTGATCTCGACCACTGCCTTATGGTAAAGAGTAGCTTGTTGGGCGATCTGGATCTGGCCGTTGAATGCGCTAGAATAGCTCATGAACAGTGCGAACCATAATGTGAAAGAAATGGTAAGCTTTCTTTTTAATGTCCAATTCAATGGATCTTGTGGATCTCCGGATGGTTTTGGGACAAGGAAAATTCCATTCTGAATTGGATCTCGTGGATTGCTTTCGCTCGACAACTCTGCGTCGTTCTTCTCTTGAGTCATTCGTGAAAGTTGCAACGTTGGTATAGGGCTGGGACCCCCGTTTGTTGGGCCCATCGTGCGCGCCTTTGACCACCTTATCTCAAAACTCAGTGAGAGATCGAGTACAGAAATTGCAGTAACATGCAGTCTGGAACGGAAGGTCAAACTTGGTCAATCGTTTGGGCAAATCGAAGAAACCAGCCAAAGGCAGCTTTTGGTGGCGTGTGTGTTGCAGAAACGAGCATGCAGCTCTGCGGGGGTTGTGCAGCAGAATGATTTAGAACTTTCATCCAAATTTCTTCCTGAACACCATCACGATTACCAGTTCAATTCTTTATGGGTTGTCAAAAGAAAGTATAGAATTTATATAACGAAAAGAACTTTTTCCATAAACTAGAAACATTGGTATAGGTTGAACGGTAGCGTACATGAGTTCTAAAGTTTCCTTCATGTCGCTATTGTACAACACGTTTCGAATCATCTTCCAACGCCTCCTAATTGACAGTCATGTATGTGGGAGGCACGCAGGGAACGTACCGTCCATCGCGGGGATGATATACGCAACGGGTCTGCACTAACCGGCTTAGTCATACCCTGGCACGGAATTTCAGGCAACTTCGCCGCTTGTCCTTTTTGCTAATGTGCATACATAGAGAAAAAGCGACCCCAGTAACACTTCTTATAATCCCTGTCATGTTTGGGGATATAGTCCAGGGGACGACCTGCCTTGTAAACTACCGGGAATCCAAAAATGCATCGAAGCCGTGCAATCTTTGCCGAATTTGAATCAAGAGATGCCAAGCTGCCAAGCTGGAGAAGAGATCCATTTAAATTTCAACCCTCATTCTTCAGACAATATATTTACTACTAATGAGGGAGAAATCCTCGACGCTACGAATCTCCCCCCGCATGGCCCAATAGTTGAAGTCGCTTGTTACCAGTAAGTCAGTAACTGATGGTGAGACAAGCATACGCAACACACGTCACCAACGTATGGGGCGTCGTACTATGTTTTTGATTAATTGCCCGAATATGGTGTCAGCAACCCCCGTTCACTCAGCGGCCCACTTACCTGTCCAGGTTGATCTCCTTCATAGCGTGAACCGGCTAGATCCGCGCGCTAAAGCCGACAGGCAGTGGGGAAACCCACCTTCAGCGGAGGGTTCCCGTCCTTCCAGTGCAGGGCGTGTAGCTGGGACTTTCATCCAAGCAGTCACTTTGTTTGGGAAGCGATATTCGAAATGCTTACTGCATCGGGAAAGCCTGAAAGAGTCTTTGAGGCGGTTTGTTATCTCGGCTGGCAATGCAGGGTGGGAGTGGATTTGACAACATCGAGCATGCCAATCTGATGTCAAGGATGGTTGGCGAAGCACTATTATTAAGGACCGATTGTTGGGAGAGCTTCAACCTAGGTATTATGTACATAGTATCACGGTATTTGAACGAAGCGAAAGTGTCAAATAAAGTCCTTTGGCTCAAAAAATCGTGTAATCTCATGTCTCATTGTCAATCAAGAGGCAGTATGTTTGCTCAAGCTGGGATGTGCTGTTCTCCGACGCCGGAGCAGTTGTAGTCTGTGATCAACCCCACGAAAGAAAACCAGAATTAGATGGCTCGAGATGGACTTAAAACTTTCTTACTCGCATATCCAGTGCGATAAGAATGGCTCTAGAAAGTTTGTTTATGCAAACTCCATACTATAGGCAAATACCTGTCAAGGGAAGAACGAGGTGCAAGAACATACGGCAACTTCATAGATAGAGATCGAGATTGAACCCCCTCGTTGACAATGATTCCATTCAACGGCAACTAGCTACGTCTCAATTATTGCTATATAGTATTCCGGGAAGCAGAGGTGTTCAATTGGTAAGATAACAGAGCAGACCTAGAATGGCAGAGCGGACGGTGGAAACTGGCTGGCCGATTGTTGTCCGAAACTTCATTGGAGAAAGTATCGGGCAGTTACATTTGATCTGCATGCTGAGATCTAGTCCTGTCATCCGGCATATATCCCTTTGAAGTCTCGAAAATGTTTATCAACGGGGCTTTTCACACATGCATAACTCCTACCAACAATTCACGAAGCTGGATCTGACCGAAAACAGCACATACATTGGTCCAATCTAGAAAACCATAAGTCTCATGTGCATCCCGTCTTCGTGCGCCGTTTCTACACAGGGGTCATTGGAAAGGAAAAAAAAAAAAGACCTGAGCATCCACGCTCATCTCAACGATTACTGCTACTGTTGGTCATCAAGTACGTGACTCAGCAAGGAAGTTGCACCAGTAGGCCGTTCCATCGATGATGGACTTGTATTCAATGGTTTGGAGGCTAAGGTGAGATACTCAAGCGGTATAGCTGGAAACAGTTGCGCAGACAGGTACCTGATAAAGTCAATAGTTCCCCAAATCGATGCTTCTCAAGCCGTTGTTAGCGCCGCATTTTGTTTGCCCGGCCTTCTTATTGCTTCCGAGGCATACATTCTGCCGCCTCCAGATCCTAAATTTTCTATTCTTGAATATCATTATGCTAAAAGCCATGATACATTTATAATCTGAACAAAGATTACTATAAAACGCGTAAGATCTAATACTCATAAGCCCGCCGAAGAGATAGAGGACGTTGGCCAAGTGAAATAGGTGGGATAGGAGCTACGCTTAGTCGTGCCGAGAAGAACTTAGCTTCAACAAATAGTAGATACCGCTTCTCTTCACTGTTGTATTGAGATACGCTAAAAGGGACGCATTGACGTGTATATTGTGCATCATTAATTGCTTAATGCACCCTTTGGTGCGCTCTTTGATCATTCAAGATAGTCTGCGATCCTTCCCATTCGAATTGCCGCCAAGCTCATATTCGTAACTATGGCCTTCAAACTGAACCCCTTGCCCATCTCATTCAAAAGTTCTCTTAATTCAGGCTCTGTTATCCAAATTTCGTTTCTGCTGCATACGCTGTTATATTGCCCTCTGCTGTGTAGCCGATGTCGTCACTAGATTCCGCCTGCCATCCCTGGACAGTGCGCGTACTCGCCATGCGTCTCCAAGGCCTGGTGTTTTTTTCCTACCGCCTCTGCCTCCAGCTAGAAGTGCCCATTTAAGGTTCCATAACGCTAAGTGCAATCTCGAATGGTGTTTCTCATCTCGGTCAACGCATTGTTCAGGCTTCTGCAAATATCGAGGATCGATGGTTTAGCCCGACCCTAATGCAAAGCCCCCGATGGGATGAAGACGAGGAAGCCCGCTGCCAGAATTGGTAGAGTGGAACTCGGAGGCTACTTCAAGCTAGTGATTCATATACTGTAACTACACGGAGTGTTGTGGCAGGTCTGGATGTCAGGCGGTGGTCGCAGATGATTACGTGAAGTGCTTCAAGTTCTTCCCAGGAATTGTTGTACACTATCACCCTGCACCACATCTTGGTAGGGCACATCTTGGACTCTGTGAGCATCAACGAAGTCACAATAGTTATGTAGAATTTGGTAAAAAATTGGAACACGTAGCACTATCTAGTCTATAGCGTGGAATGAACGGGAGATAACTTGGAGGCTCGCGTTTTCAGAGGTCTCTCGACGCCACCACAAGGAAGGTCGACACGTTCTCTCGAGCTCGTATTCCACCACCAGCCTATAAGAAATTTTGTTATTGGCAACGCAAGGACTTTTCCATCTATTGTCATGATCATATCGCAACCGCTACATATTTCACGATACATTTCCAATATCACGATATCGCAATGTTCTTCATCAGTCAACATAAAAATGACCCCAACGGTGTCTTCTCAAATCAACTAGTTAGTCTACTTCTAATGTACCATTCCCGCTTTGTGATGATGGCTTGTCTTGCACAGCTTGCTGAATATCGCGAACGAATCGTCGCTCCTCGATCCTCCACCATGTAGCCCAACCTATGAGAGTGAGTATTGTCAACGGTATTGCGACTGTCCAATAGATCCAGAAATTGGGAGACACAAAGCTCATCGGTGCACCATCCCCACTGTCGCTAGAACTGCCTCGCCAGTCAAACATCCCCATACTGAACAAGGTCTGTCTATGTTAGTGCCTCCAAGTCAAATTTCGTCAGTCTGACTTACAGCAACAAACGTTCCAGGCAAATACGCCGCAGTTATCAAGGCAATGATTTTCATGGACGTACTATCCTTACCAGCCGAAGCTGCCAAGCGAGCACTCGTCTGGCCATCGTCTTGCGCGACAGCCGTATAAAGCTAATAACGTCAGCTCGTCTCATCTTTTCACCATTATCCATGACGTACAATATTTAGCTGGAGCTTCATTCTTTCCTCGGACGTTTGTGTAACCTCGAGGCTAGCTTCACTGTAATTCTGTACATAGTCCAAGGTCTCCCGAAAAGCCTGGGCAGAAATATTTCGGTAGTTTCTCAATCTCTCGCTGCCATCTAGAATTCCACGTATAAACTTGACCGCCTCAATGTCCCAGTAAGGTGACCGTTTGGTGAAAATGATCCATGTGGAGAGATTGTTGATTGTTTGAGTCAGTTTCTTGGCGTGGTCTCTCTGAAGATGCTCACCGACAAACAGTTTTTGATCGTCACGATAAGCGGGATGCGTCCGAGGTTCGTAATATCGCCTCTGTGATTGGCCTGCGTTGGTTACACCAACAATTTGCTCGATAGCCACGATGCGCCTGCTCAAATCCTCCATGATGTAAGTCCTAACACGTTGCACATGGGCAACGAGGAACAAGCTGGGCAACAAGAGTGGACTACCCCAGAGATGTTCACACTCTTCGATCTGATCAAAAAAGGCCCCGAGCGCTGGCGATGGTTGTAGAGAGCCATCAGCGGATGCGCATTTGTCAAGCTCAAATGCAAGCCCTATGCTTAGCGCCGTCGTCATCCCCGACTCGAAATCATGAGTGACAATCAGTCCACCAGTGGACATTTCCCATTTCTGAGGTGTTCTGAGAACCAAGCCTGTAGAGTGTTAGTATCCGTGCCTCGGTCATCAGTTTGTGCTTGCACATACTAAGTCGAGAGCACTGTTCCACAGAGCAACCCTCAGGATAAGTGTGGGATGAAAAAACGCCAGAAGGTTGCTGATAGGACGCGAAAGAGCATCGCGGCAGTTGTAGTGCCTCAAGAATCTTGTCTGATACAAGAACGCTCGGGACTATTGGTCGAAAGGGTGATTTGGACTGTGCAAACAGGATTCTTAATCTAGCTCCTTCATTTGTGCTATTCACATAGCTAAGATCTGGGGTGAACTGCCCTCGTTGCCATGCCCAATCCTCCAGTTCAATTGTTTCCAAGCGCCGCTTGGAGAAGCTAGGTGTCCCATCCTTATGTTCGTATGAGTGAATCAGTTCTTGGCTGGACTTTCTTTTGACACAAACTCACATTGGGATCATGCCAAGCTTCCACGCACACGAAATCACCCCCTTCAGAGCCACCCCGCGACGACTGAAGAGGAATCCGTTCAAACGCTTTAAGCATAACTAATGCTCAGGTCTTCGCGAATTGCATTGGAAACTCTATTTGATGAAGTAAGGTTAGTGGGGGCTCGCGGCAAGGCCTGTTACGTGAGCACGTCCAGGTGTTCCCGGGCTGAGCTCTGATAACTGTCATCATTGCTGCTAGCCGGATTCTAGGACCAATCAAACCTCGATGGATCCAGCATTTATGCTGGACATGCATAAATGCAATAGGCAGCCTTGATGCACGCCTCAGCCCTATGCCCTGCTGAAGTTTACCCATCAGCAGCATGAAAAAAACAAGGGTTCTCATGTCGCTTTTGTAAAATCTTCTACTGTTGACGAGCAGGGTTACTTATAACAATAGAGCATTGAGCCGATATTGTACTAGATACCCTCGCAATGTTGCTGCCAACATTGCGATGAGAAAATAGCACCTCACTCCAACCCCAAACACCAGGCACAATGCGGGGCGAATGAACATGAGATTCTCAACATCCGCCTGCAGAACAGCTGATCTGACCTTCTCAAGTCGGCTTCAATGTCGACTTTTCTTCATTTCATGTCGTGATAATATTCTATTAAGCCAAGGGCTTTGCATTCAACATCGAGATCTGGTGCCGAGGGAACAATAAATTCGGACCAGACTTCGTTAGGCAGGTGCCGAGCCGCGGGTAGCTTGGTCCCTGGCTGCAGCGGCTCGTCGCGGCTTGCTGGCGATCACATCGGTGCTAGCCAGCCACTGTACGACGATTGCGTGCTCAGTGCTCACCATTGCGAGTGCTGTGAGCTGGTGCGGGCATTGGTTCAACCAGCAAAACTGTCGCACATCCCAACGACTTTGTGAAAACTTCTTCGGGAGCGCCGAGCATATCCAAGATCTTTTACGTACACGGGATCTTGTTCCATGTCGCCATGGTGAGACAACCTGTGACTATAACGCCTTAGACGACCTTGCCAAGACAAGTCGAATGTTGTTCACTGCTTGGCAACTATTGCGAAGTTCTCATATTCCACTTTATTGGGTTACAAGGAGCTTAGGGTTCAGCTGAGCTCTGGGTGGTCGTATTTACTCATATATATAAGTTGCGCCTTTAAAGCCGTCGAGGGCGCGGCCTTCCCCTTCGCCATGTCGTCACAGAGCGCAAGTGAGGAAACGCCGCTGTTGCGCACCATGTCCAAGGATTCCGACCACGACATCCGCGCAGTTGCGCAGGATGGGACCCAAGATGGCTCATCCGAGACCGGTCAGATTGTGCAGGCATACGATGAGTCGAGGAAGATCGGCATTACGGGAGCAGTGTTCTTAATCCTAAACAAGATGATAGGAACCGGAAGTAGGTCACATTCAGACACGGGCCAGCATGTCGCTAACAGTAGGCAGTCTTTTCGACACCGTCTGGTATTTTCGCTGCAACAGGATCTGTGGGTGTGTCTTTGATCCTTTGGTTAATTGGTAAGATAGGATTTAAATGTGCTCGATGATCGCTTACATGACTGACTCCTTACTAGGCGGCATCTTGACCTTCTGTGGGCTGAGTGTGTTTCTCGAATTTGGTCTGGCTATCCCACTATCCGGCGGAGAGAAGAACTATCTTGAACGAGTCTACAGACATCCTCGATACCTAGCAACATGTGTATTGGCCTCGCAAATGATCCTCTTGGGATTCTCCTCCGGTAATTCTCTTGCTTTCGGACGCTATATCCTATTCGCCTCTGGGAGCACTGCGCCGGACGGCTGGGCGGCACGCGGCATTGGCATTGCGTGCATTACCTTTTCTGTTGCATTGCACTCAATCTTCCCCAAATGGGGTCTGAGACTTGTCAATGTTTTGGGCGTATTCAAGGTCATTATACTGCTCTTCATAGTATTTTCCGGATTCGCTGCTTTGGCCGGTCATCGGCTTGTCCCAGACCCCCATAATTTTGACGATGCGTTCACATTCTATCGTGGTGATGGCTGGGGTGGAGGCGGTGCATACGCTTACGCACAAGCTCTCCTCCGCATCATTTACAGCTACAAAGGTTGGGAGAATGCCAACTATGTCATTGGCGAATTGCGACACCCGAAAAAGACGTTGGCAATCGCGGCCCCCATCGCCATTGGCGGTGTCACGATTCTGTATATGCTTGCGAATGTGGCATACTTTGCGGCCATCTCCAAGGAGGACCTCGTTTCGTCCGAAGTCATTGTCGCTGGCGTCTTCTTCCGCAATGTCTTTGGCGACAGTGCGGCCGCGCGCAGTTTACCCACTTTTGTGGCTTTGAGCAACTTAGGAAATGTGCTCGCCGTCAGCTTCGCCCACGCCCGTCTGAATCAGGAGTTCGGCAAAGAAGGCCTGTTGCCATTTAGCAAATTCTGGGCATCCATCAAACCGTTCAATGCACCAGCTCCCGCTGTGAGTATATTCTTATCTCTCTTCCTCGGTTGTCTCGATACTAACATTGCGGTGTGAAGCTCTTGTTGCACTGGATTGTTACAGTTATCATCTTGGTGGCGCCTCCCGCTGGTCCAGCATATAACTTCATTGTCGACTTGTACACATACCCTGGAGCGTGGATCAATGGGTTCGTCGCAGCAGGTCTCATCTACCTCCATTGGAAGAAATCCGAGAACTGGTCATCACCATGGCACTCATATCTACCGATCACGGTTCTCTACCTTCTTGCCAACATATTTCTCGCACTGGTTCCATTTATTCCTCCGGATGGGGATTGGAATGCCGAGGGATATCCGTACTTCGTGTTCCCAGTTGTCGGTGTTGGCGTCCTTCTCCTCGGTGGCGTATACTGGGTCTGCTGGACCAAGATCTGGCCAGCGATTGGTGGATACCGGATCGAGGCGCATCGTATCAGGGACGAAAATGGTACTGAGGTGATACGGTATCGGAAGGTTGATCTGAAGCACCTTTAGAAAGACCATAGGAAAGATCATTTGCCTTGTTGCACGGACCATATCCATTAATAAGGGTAAGATCTTACTTTTAATTCCCACCTGAGTATACATAGTGCAATAAGATGCTCTTTAACTCTGAAGCCTTGGAATAGTCTTACATCGTTCGCTCCATTTCATGCATCCTACGTGACATTTGCGCAATTATGTTGACTTCCCAGTGGTGTACTAAAGCCACCTAGGTTAGTAAAGTTTATTGATCTTTCAGAGATGCAAATCGACTCGCAGATCATGCTATTATGTTCCACACTAACCCGAAAATACAGGCTTAGTACCACTGATCAAGTTACAGTCCACGAGGTGCTTTTTTGAAGGTCTATATTTGTGTCGCCGGTCTTATGAATAAGCAAACTTGAAAGATGCATTTGGGTCGCTGGACATACAAACTTATGCGCATGCACTCAGCTAGTTGTATCGCTCCATAAACTCGATACTCCGCCAAGATTTCACTGTTCTGCTTGTTATCTATCCCAGCGATGCGAGCTTTTGTCTATATCCTAGAAGACGGTTCAATCAGGTCATATTCTCTACCTACTATACTGATCCTTCCAACCAACTTCTTCAACTCCATCTGATGGATGCTTCCAACATGGCTTTTCCATGTACAGGTGGCCCGGTACCAGGCTACCTCCATCATAATAATATTCTGATGCGTCGTGGAGAAACCGGCCATTTGCAGACCCACCAGTCGATCGGCTTCGATCGGCTTCTCCTACATTTACATGGTATGGTGGAAGATATAAGCGGACCGTGCTTGATTGCCGAATTGGATTCCTCCCGCAGTCATACAGGTCTGCAACTGGGTCAATTTCAGGAGCTCGCCCGCACTAGTGGCGGGGTGAGAAACGGATGTCTCAGGATGCCGGTGAAAAGCAGGGAAGGGAGCTGCACTGGGCGTCTGTCATTCATACGGCAAGTTGTGGGAGGCCCTTAATCTAGGCAAGGCCGTATGCTAGATACGTATCATCAACACAAGGCTTCGGGACTTCCGCGCGGAAGTAGAACAATATGTCAGCAGAGACACGACGGCCACACTCCACCGGTTGCTGAAGTACGCTTTGGTCAACGTAAAGTACACCGACTCATGGGCGATGCAATGAGCCGAACTGGATGTCAAGCTAGAGGACCACGGCTTGCTCACCACGGTTAAGCCTGTCGAAGCGTTTCATTCATATTCTGATCCTGATTCACGGAATTATCGCTATAGAAAGAGTGGCCATATGAAACCATTTGATATCACATTAAAAGCACCAAACCCTTCAGTGGAGATAGTGCACTCGCGTTTACGTACACGTGCGCGCAAATGTTGCAAATAATATAAGCAGAGAGCTGCCGACAAGGCTTGCGACACAGATTAGCTTACTAACAGGAATCTACTGCCCGCCCTGTGTTGGAAGATACTATTTATAGACAACTGAGGAACGGCTAGGAATATAAGTGGTGTAAAGAACCTGGAAAGGAAAAAAGAAAAAGACAAGGAAAAAAAAAAGAAGATTCATCCATAATGAACTCGACAGTGCGCTATTACGTCGAATAGTCTTGTGTCTTGACATGAACAGTTCGGGCACCATGAAGGTATTTCTTTGTCATATATGCTCATCAGCCGACTAGACTGCTGTTGCTCAGTATTCGGTGTCAATAGATTAGACTTTAGTCACTCTGCCGATGTTCTGCTACTCCACAGCTGCCTATGAAATTGGTACTACTACAAAGTAGTCACACGCGCCCATGACGTTTTCATATATGCGGTATGCATGTAACCGCAGGCATGTTCCAGTTCACGTTGGGCATGAGCGACAAATGTAGAACTTACACTTGGTGGATATTCTAGTATCTGGAAGGCGCGAAAAGATGCCGCTTCCCGTAGTACCTGGTTCGGAAACGCTACTTGGAACGTCATGAGCTGATGAGTTCCACTCGACGGGTAGGTGTATTTTAGTGGTGGTAGACGGTTTGCTGCTGCCGCCGAGAGCAACAGTCCCTACCTGGCGATCTTATCTTATCGGGTAATTTGCATTGGACGTACATCGCAGAGCTACTCGGGTTTGTTTCAAATCTTCCTTCCTACGACCCCGGCTTTCCTGATCCGTTTCCCCGATCTCTGAGCCTCATTGCATTGGCTCGCGATACAGCTATGGCGAGTCAGCCCGCAGAACCCCCTCAGTACAGCCAAGGCCTGAGTGTCAAAGACGAAGCTTCGAATTTGATCAAAACCTTGATCAAGACCAAGATCCAGCAGCTGTGTCATTCTTACGGAGCTAAATTCGAGGAAGATCACTCTCCTCGCTTACGTATTCTCTTGGAGGAGATCAAGAAGACCAGCGACGAGTTTAATACGGCCAAGCAGAACCTATTTAACGAGCTTGAAGACGTTCTGCCATCGCTTCAAGTCCAGCCAGATTTTCTTGACAACATGCCATCACCATTTCATGGTTTGGATCAAGTTCTATCTGCCGTGGAGTTGCTGAGTACCAATTTCCGAGTGGCGGCTGTATCTACAACAGGTGCCGCATTTGGCCATTGTTTGGAAAACTATAGACGTGTCTCATCTCTTAGCTCTAGTGATCTTACTCCCAGCGTCTCTCTGGCGGAAATATCCGGCACCGCGGTTGCAACCGGGACGTTACAAAACACTAGCAATCACTCAACAAGCTTGTCTCCACTTATTGATGGAATCAACAACGAAAAAGGTGATGCTTTACGCGGAAGCAAACGCCGCCACCCGGATGGCCTGGGAACCCTACAAGGTGATGCTCATCCTAAAAAAACCAAGCTAGAGGATCCTAATTATGACTACTCGATCAACCCCAAAAGCGTGAGTCTTTCAAGTTCGTCGAAATTTCACAGTGACTAGTTGTTAACCTAACGCAGTTTAGCCAATACGTAGGACTGATAGTTCCCAAGAGCACTTTTGAACCATTTCGTCAGGAACCAGAGTTATTCAACGCAGATGCACCATCCACATGTGAAGACGAGGGACTTGCTGAAGTTGATACCGGAGGTTATGAGTGTGGAATCGACGAGCCGGAGAGTGAAGCGTTGCCGCGACGAAGTTTGCGCAGACGGCCTCAACCATCATACGCAAACATGGCTAAGGGTCTGATTCAGCCCCAAACTGTTACAAGCGAGGTATGAGGCTCCCCATTATGGTTTCATCTTCCAAAGTCTTGCTTCAAGGCCAGCAGCGGCTTCAGCGTGGCGGACTAGCAACACTGACCAATCATAGTCCCACGTCAAATCATTGAAGACAACTTCTGGAGTTTCGTTCAGATCATCGGGCAGTGAATACAAGTAAGTTCAAGATCCTAATGTGGGGGATTTCGGCAGTTGACAATGACACTGAGGCCGTTTGGACATACTGGTGAATGGCCCAGACGTTCTGCACCCAAGTGAGCCAAACAGCGACTCCGCGACCATGTGATCTGGGGCTAAAATATTCTCTCTGCTTTCCTTGTTATCATTCAGCTTTAATTGAAAAATTAAAAAAACCTCTAGGGACTTCTTGTTCATCAGAAGATGTTAAAATAAAATCGGGTGTAATGCGTTCTCATGATTTATATTCTACAGTACTTGCCCGGCGTTGGAGGCAGGCAAGATCTTGCAGGTTGATATCGGTTACATTGTCACCGAAGGACTCGGGGGTATCTGAACAAAAATATCTAACAAAGTAGTACATATCCAAAAATGAATTCACAAAAAAGAGTCCAAAGCGTAATATCCCAGTGAAACAGAAACCGCTGAAATTACCAAGTCCCGGCCTCGTATCGAGATTCGACCGCTCGCATTGCCATTCTTAGCATTGTCATCCACGACTTGTCCCGTCGATGCAAGTACTTTTTCCCCGGATGGATAACGGATATTGTAGACAGGTTCCGAAGTCAGGGCGATCGGCGTACCCAGTGGGTTCTTGCAGGTCGCCTGGTTCGCATTTGGCCAGTCGAGTGTACATTCCTCGTCATATCCCCACGAACACAGCGAATCGAGAATATTGTAAAGCACGTAATTATCGCCGACCCAGTTGCCGTCACCGTCTTCAGAGTCTAGGCAGCTCGCGAGGAAATTCATGCTGTTCGATGCGCTGAGCGGCAGCTTGCTCCCATCGGTATGTATCAAGTCTGCGCAGTCCGACGCGTCCAGATCAACATACTCCATCTCCACCGCGCCCCCGGCCGCCGGCTGGTCCAGCGCCGAGTGCCCCGTGTAGAGGTAGTTCCAGGCGTCGTAGGAGATGTCGTGGGCGCCCTGCGACTGGTCCACCCGGAGCAGCCTCACGCTGCGGCCGGAATACGCGACCGACACGCAGATGTTGCTGCACGAGACCGCGTCGGGCCAGTAGGCGACCCGGTCCGTGTCGATCTTGCACCCCAGCACCCCGACTGATGACGAGAAGCTGTCGTGCGGCGTCACCCAGATCGAGGTCCCGCCGCTTGCGACGACCGCTGGCGACGCAGACGCGGCGACCAAGATTAGTCGAATGAATGTGGTTGGACGCATCGCGCCCCGCCTCAAAAAGAAACGAATGACAAGTTCAAATTACAGTGTAACGAGTGACATACCCGTGCCTTATTAGGCGGGTCTTGGATTTATGCTGAGGCTGATGCTGATGCCGATGCCGATGCCGCGGCCCTTTCACAAAGTTCGAGACATCTGGGTGCTTGAAGAGTACCCAGTCTTAAGAGTCAGGTAAGGGGGTTGTCGTGGGCTCAGGGCACAGGAAGTTCCCCCCCCCTTGCCGCCCCCACAAGTCAGCGCGTGCGGCCTGTGGGGTTGAACTGTCCAATAGCTGAGCCTTCTGAATTTAAGGTAATAAATTAAGATTAAGCCAACCTGGTACAGATCCGTACATAATCCACGAAAGTTAATCAGCATGGGCTGTGCCTGCGCCGCGGCACAGACCATGTTAAGTTAAAACACGAAGAGGAAGCCGCACCCGCGCTGAGCAACGGGTTCTCCACATATGCAAGACGGTCGTGTCAACTGCGGAGACTGCGATGTTGAGTTATAGGAGCGACTTATTATCTTCAAACCTCTCCTTTTTCTTTATGGCAATTTGGAATGGGGGAATTCCATCCTGCATTAGTCCCCCTCTCCTCCGACCTCATTAATACGCCACTCTGTCCAAGCCTCAAAACAACGTCTAAAGACCCTGTGGTGGCTCCCGGTGCGGCTCCTGCGGGCGAGACCGTATCGTGCGAACATTCTTACGCCATTTCCCATCCATACTGCCATTTAGTCTGATGAGAGTGATGTATAGTTTGTGCCTGTCCATTTCACCGGCGGCCCGAATACACCCATACCCGGCTGTCCGGTGTCCCATATTGGTATATCGAGACAGCCCAAAAAACGCGGATGAAAATTTATACATTTATCTAAAAAGGAATTTGGGGTTCTGGGCCTATTAGACCATAGTCGCCAGGGGGCGTTGCGAGATGCCAAAGCAGTGGAACACTAGTTTGTCGAATTGGCCAAATAAGACCCTGCTCGCCTGTGCTTGTACAGCATTGACTTGTTACACCGGCTCGTTCGGGCCGAGAATAGCCCAAAACTATTATCCGGCATTCTCATCCCAATCCTCGCGACCGTACGCCACTGATTGCGTAGTGTTCAAGTGAAAAACTAATAGAGCCTCGAATCTATACCAAGGAGCCGTGAGAGTGGAGCCGGCCAGGGTTGTAATTGCTATATGTTTTCGGTTGGGCAGTGAATCTTGGGTATGCCTTTTATCACACCTAGCCATTGAGAATTGAAGCGCTGGATCAGAAATTTACATGAAGCAGGCCTATGCTATCATACTTTTCCAGTACCTGCCCTGCTTTGAAATGGTCACGGCTGTGATATTCGATATACATTGCCTCTCACGTGTGTCCTCCTCGCAAATGACTTGTCCCAGATCACTCGGGGGCGAGGCAATCCATTTTCTTTTGGTTCATATGTTTCTGCTATTATCAAGGCTAGACTGAACATTATCAGCATAAAATATCAGGAATGTCGTTTTTTGATGTGACAAGCATGTGGGTGCGGTGGTTCGAAAGGATAGACAACTTGCTTCTTTATAATATGCTGAACTCGAAGGCAGGAAATCGTTGGCCGCTGGTCAACGGAAGAACTCGCGTATTGCGCCACGAAACGCATAACACTAGTCCGGTTCGATGGTCGGTTGCCTCTTGCGTCAAATTTGTTGTACTACTGCTATAATTACAATTTAGCCTTCCCGCTATTCAGGGAATCCCAGCCTTCCTGTCCATAAGGCACGTAGCTCGACCCTTTGCCGTTGTCGCTTATCCAGAAGATTGGGTCGCCGTTGACCTTGACGGGATCGATACCTTCCTTGACAAGCGGCACCTTGTTCTGCTTGTTGTTGTGTGTCGCAGATCTCTCTTTGATCCGTCTGATAAAGATTGGCACTGCATACTTGGGCAGGTGGGTACGCGCATGTCTATTCGTGTCAGCATGTATAACGGCAGTGGCGAAACAAGGAATCCTTACTTGAGCAAGCCATCATAGTCGAAATCTTTCCTCTCAGGATCAATGTAGATGGCAGCCATACCAGCTTTTCCGTCGTGGCCAGGAAGCCCAATACCATAGACTGTAGCCTCGAGAACGCCAGGGTACTGTCCAAGGACTTGAGAAACCTCTGCAGTCGATACGTTCTCGCCCTTCCATCTGAAGGTATCTCCTAATCTGGGCCAGCATTAGCAGTATGCCTCCATGGGAAATCCAAAAACCCGACTTACCTGTCCATGAAATACCAACGACCATCAGAGTCGCGCCGAAGCGCATCTCCTGACCGATAGTATACATCGCCTTTCCTGAACACATCGCGAACAAATTTCTTCTCGGTCGCTTCCTTGTTGCCGTGATAGCCACCGAATGGCGGCGTATGCACACTTGGATGCACCACGATGATCTCGCCGCCCTGGTCGTACGGCACTCTGCTTGCAAAACCGGTCTTGGGATCGCGCGCAATTTCTCCAGAGTCCGCATCTATTGCCACAGGGATGAAGGTACCATGGAAGCGGTTCCTAAGCAGCAAACCATGGTGGCCGACACTGTGAGCGTGGAAGTCGCCTCTGGCGGGGTTGTCTAGTTGGACAACACCTTCCGTGCTGTTAAAGAATTCGAAGATCTTCTCGATTCCAAAGCGATCGCGGAATTGCTTCCACACATCTGGCCGCAAGCCATTGCCGTAGATGGAGTGAACGTTGTGATCTTTGTCTCGTGGGGAGGGCGGTGCTGCCAGTAAATATCGTAGCGTCTCTCCCACGTAGACAAACCACGTGGCTTTTGAGTCGCGAATGTCGTCCCAGAAACGCGATGCACTGAACTTGGGTGCGAGACACAACGTAGTGCCGAGCTGAACACGTCATTAGTACAAGGCTCTCTACGGTGGCGAGACCACTTACTAATAGCTGGGTCATTGCACTGATACCTCCAGTACCGTGATACAGGGGCTATTTTGTTAGTTGGAGTTTCGCATAGCGGATATAAGATGAACCTTACCATACAATCATAGTACCTTTCATTTTCGCCATCGACGTAGGCCAGACCACATTGTCTCTGGTCAGTGTCAGTAGAGCCCGGTATGATCTATGTGGGTGCTAGACTCACGCTGACTCCATGGTTGAATCCTGCTACTGCGGGTATGGTGCATGCCTTGGGCATGCCGGTTGTGCCACTGTCACGGTTAACGATTGTCGTATTTGGAGTCGAATCTCTGACTAACCTCGTATAGAACAAGCCGAATGGAGAGCCAGGGTTGACATCCTCTCTCAGCTTGTCCGACGGCCTCTCTGCCTTCATACCGCCGATCTCCGCCTTGACATCTGCGAGTTTCACAACTTTCACGCCTTTCTCGCCCAGCTCAACTCTTACCTCGTCGATCCGTGCCAACAACTCCGGCCTGCCATCCGCCAAAATGAGCGGTGCATCACTGATACTCAGACAGTGCAGCAATGCCGCCTTGGTAAGGTTATGGTTGATGAGGGCCGGTGCGGCACCTATTGCCCACAGACCGAGCCAAGCGAATACGAAGTCGGGGCTGTTGGCCATGAACAGCGCCACCAAATCGCCAGGCTTAACTCCCTGACTCAGGAAGAAGTGCGCGAATTGATTTCCACGCGTGTACACTTCACTCCAAGTATAGCTGCCCTTGCGCCACCAGATACATTCCTCATTGGGCTTTTGCTGAGCGTTATGCTCGAAAAAGTACCAGGGGGACAGCCGTTTCTCCTTAACTATGCGCTGTCAGTACTTATAGGCGTAGGGGCTCAAGATGAGGAGTTCCATGTCATAGATGCTTACGGGCTTTTTGGAGAAGTTTGGCCGACTTCTTTCTGCCTCTGATGATGGCCCAGTCCTTGCGAATGTGATACTTGGCGTCGATATAGGACAATCCAGCGGCCGTGGCGGCGATGGACGCAGCTGCTATAATGGTAACACAGTTAGCGGATCCTGTATCCCGTATGCCACACCCCTCGCGTGAATTGTGAGATGGAAAGCCACATACCGACAGCGGCCATGGTGAGGTCTACGTGTCTGATTGACAAGATTTCACAAATGGTGCAGTCGTTGGAAGCAACACCCGGATAGCTGCCAGTTGAGGTTGATGTTGAGTTTCGTGGTAGCGCTGGCCGAATAATTATCCCAGCCCCTTGTCGGGCTTAGTTGGCCGGCAAAATGAACCTCGGGGAACGATTGGCAGGCAATTGCTCTAACGGCAGCGCGGACGGCAGTTCAGGGGAAAGCGTCGACAGGGATATTTTCCCGAACGTGGGGGGGTTCGGAGATGGGTGTGATCTCCACACTGCGCGTCGCTGGAGAAGCTGTACTACATAAGTAGTGAAGCATCTTCGCCAGTTCAGGGCTCCACCATTTGGCTACGTACTTATCGAAGCCATCTATACTTCACATTGATGCATCATGGCCGATTCCAAGCCTGAGAAATCAAGCGCTTCTCATTGGGACCGATCAACATTCCGCTTTCGATGAGTTGCGAAACCTTCAAGGATGCCTTAGCAATGTCGCCAGGACTACATAAGTCCCTACATCGGTAATTTGCGTTCCCCGTAGCTGTTAGCAGAACCAGCAGGCTTCATGAAAACCACAACTGCCGTGCCTGTTTAAGCTGGCCTCGGATCAGAAAAATTGGGAGCATGTAACGGTGCCTTTGAGTTAGCAGTATCGTGATGCTGTGCAAATCAAATGCTCTTGAAATACAATAGAATTTATCCAGGTTACATAACTAAGGCGGGTCTATTGTAGACTAGACTAGACTAACTTAGGCAAGTTAACCCAATCTGGTCGTTTTTGAGATGCGGGTCTGTACCTAACTTGAGTTAATGAAGCCCCAAAGCTCGGCTGTGCTCTCACCCAACCGGTCCCTAACAACAATGTGTTATCGGCCTCAACAGAACTTGTTTTGGACCCAATATGTAGGCTGTAAGCTGAGGATATGAGGCGATTGCATACATAGCCATCATGACTGGCTGGTGCTGCATATCAACGTGAATCATCTCCTGCACGACGCCCGGTTGCTGTGCATGCAACATGCTTGATGGCGCGCACGTGTTTTTCGTTTCTCCAACTGCTCTGAGTCTGACCGTAGCTTGTTGTAGCCTTGCGCGAGAACATTCGACTTCAAGAAAGTTCTCAAAAGTCAGACAGTGAAACTTCTATCTGTTAACTCTCCCGGAATCCCATTCGCGTATTGAATGACTAACCATGGCATTACCTTTGAAAAACCTGAACCAGGGGTTGAGCGTGGCTGAACTAGATGATGAGATGCAAAAGGCTAGCCGCACCATTGTCCAAACAGAGTTGGGCAGCAAAGAGCATGTGTATGCACTACATCGGATGGGCGTTATCTACAGATTCAAGTACGAGAAGACCCGCAAGCTTGCTGACATAACAGAGTCAGTGAGGCTGGGCCAAGAAGCGATCCATGGTGATGTTGAGGATGAGTTTGAAACTGACGACATATTGTCAATGTACGATGAGCTGGCCGCATCATTATCGTATCTGTTTGGTGTGAATCGCCAGGTACGCGATATTGATGCGGCCATTCATTGGCAACAAAAGGCTTTACTACTTTCCCAAGAGGACTCCTATGACATGTGGTGGGCACGAAAACGGCTAGTCCAATGCATCCATACAAAAGCCGCCCATACACGGAAGATGGAATTCATTGAGGATGCCATCAAAAGGCTGAAGACATTCATAGAGGAGCCCAATGACAGCAATCCTTACTTTGCAGACTTATTGAGTCGGTTCGCAGGGACTCTGGTGATGCGCTACAAGGAGTCAGCGTCACAAGACTTGGAGGACTTGGAGATGGCCATTCGCTATGGTTATGAAGCATCCAGCATTGAGGATTTGACGGAGCGGGATCAGATATATGCGGAGCTTGCAACTGATTTGCGCGAACACCATCAAGCTACGGGGTTATTCGGTGGTCTGGAAGAGTCGTTGAGGATTACCAAGCTCAACCTTGCAAGCCAGACCAGAGAATCACGATGGAAGTTCGATGATCTTTGCGACTATGGCAGTCGCCTCCTTGCGAAATGTCATCGAATGAACAACACACGAGCTGATCCGGATGAGTTCTTCAAACTCTTCGGGGAAGCTATCGAAGTCGCTTCCGAAGCGGAGAAAATTTGCTACGAGAGCTCAATGCCCGATGGCGACAAGATTGACCTACTCATCCTCTTTGGCGAAATATATTGCCTGCAGCAGAGTTTAGAAGATGATTTGAGTCATGGGGTGCGGGCCATTAGCTTGTTACAGCAGGCCTTGTTTCATGGACCGGAGAACCATTGGGCGATAGTCCGAGCGCTTTCGACTTTATCCAAGGTCCATGAAGCCCAGCACAATATACTAAAAAAGTTGGGGCATAATGATGAGGCTAACGAACACCTCAAACAAGCCGTTGAGCATGAAAGGCAGGTCCTTGACAGCTTTCCGGACAAGAACAACCCGATATTTGCAGAGCATTGCCAGCTTAGTGGAGAGCTCCTCATCAAGGCGTATACAGAGAACTCTGATGAGTCGCTGCTAAAACTTGCCATCAGGAACTACATGGCAGCCTTGAGGGCTGAAAATGGGTCTCCAGTTGCCCGCATAACGGCTGGAATGGCTGCATCGTTATTCATGGAAAATGACCAGGATGCTCACCAGGTACTCCAGCATGCCATGGCCATTCTCCCCCAACTCAATCCCCAGGACATGGCGATCGAGGACTTACAGTACACACTACGCCAGGTCTCAGGACTCTCCAGTATGGCTGCAGCCCGCGCGCTTGGGGTCGGACGTCCCGTTGTAGAAGCCTTGAGCTCGTTGGAAACCGCAAACTGTATCATTACAGGGACATTTATCAATACACGCGAAGACTTGTCCCAATTGCGTCTCATAAATTCACAACTCGCTGGACGGTACGAATTAGGCCGAACTGAAATGTCTACCCTCACCAAACAGCAGAACACAGCAGGCGGCTTCTTCACTGCCAGGTCTAGAGCCAGAGTACTCTCTGAAGAGCTCAAAGCAATAGAAACCCAGATTAGGGAAGTGGAAGGATTCAAGAAGTTCCAAAAGCCGTTCGATGAGGAGGACTTTCGAGCCCTAGCCTCTGAGGGTCCCATCGTTACAATCAATGTGTCGCCGCGACGCTGCGACGCGATCATCGTGACTGAAGAACACATCGACTCTATAGCTCTCCCACTGTTGACCGAAGATGAACTCGAAAAGCGGCTAGCAGAACTAGGATCCTATGGCAACGATGCTAGGAGGGATGCACGACTACGTCGAAAGAAGTCTCCAGACGGGCAAGTGAGCGGTATCTTGTCCTGGTTGTATACGGTGGCAGTGAAGCCTATCCTAGATGCCACACCGCTGAAGCCAGGAAAGCGCATATGGTGGGTAGCAGCAGGTCTCGCCGGCCGCGCACCTCTTCACGCTGCTGGAAACCACCAAGAAGGCTCTACCGACAACGCCCAAGCACGTGTGATATCTTCTTATACCCCGTCCTTCAGGGCGTTACGGCATGCGAGAAATCAACCAGCCCTGAACTCGCTTCAGCGATCCATGTTGCTTGTGACTGTGGCATCTAACCCGGCTCCCCATAGGAGCCTGAATACGCAGTACGAAGAGGAAGTCACAAAACGCATTTTCGACAAGAATCTCACTCATCTATCGCAGCCTGACCCAGAATCTGTCTTGAGAGAATTACCCCATCACCCATTCGTTCACTTTGCGTGTCATGGTGTCGTATCAGTACTAAACCCCTCGGAAAGTGGGCTCGTGCTAGTCAAGGACAACAGGCCTGCAATGGTAACGGTATCGGATCTCCAGTCTGTCCAGATCAAGGCGGGACTGGTCGCCTATCTATCGGCCTGCTCCACAGCAGAACAAAAGGATCCCTACCTTGTAGACGAGGCCCTACACTTGAGCAGTGTATTCCAGGCGCTAGGGTTTCGGCACGTGATCGGAACAGTTTGGGGCGCAGATGACTTTGCGGCCGGCGAGGTTGCAAGGAGATTCTACGAAAAGATCAGTTCAGCTCTGAGCTCGGGTCAGAGCAGCGAGTTGCACGTCGCAAAAGCTCTGCACGACGCGGTGCTGGAATACAAGGCCATGGTGGATCCGCAGAAAGATGTGCTGAAATGGGCTCCATTTGTGCATATCGGCACATGAGAGATTTGCCAGGCGTCTTTCGATTTTAACATGCCTTCGTTAAAAATTACTATAATAATATTCTTTTATTCGTTCATCTGATCTATATATATCGCAGCAAGCCCCCAGTCACGACCACAGATTCAAGAGCCTTCCCCGATGCAGTAAACCTTGACCATGCCAGTCGAATCGTTGCCTTTAAAGATATAGACCTTGCTAGATTCAATAAGGGGCCGTGCAGTCCTCAAGCGGACCATGCAGACTTCAGATTGCCCCATCCTAGCTTTGGTGAGTTAGCTGTTATGACATGATCACTTTAGTCGCTTACTGGGAAAGCATCACTGCGCTCGCTCGTATCCACCACAATAATTAGGTTGTCGACCAAAGCTTCTCTGAATTGGTCAAGAGATGGCGGGCCAAGGAATGGTTTCAAGTTCTCGTTTCATTTTGACCGTTAACTTTTGACGATTCCAAAATACTCCACTCCTCTACTTTGATTTTTACCATCCAACTATCCCACAACGTTATATATGTTTCGAATACCTTGACCTAGAGAGTGTGCGGCTGCACTCACCCAATCACAGGTTATTTGGGACAGGAGCCACTCTCATTTTCAACCAGGAAGCTTCTATACACTAAATGAAATACAGCAATCATCAAGGGCCTCAACCCACTGCCGGTGGTTCGAGCGGCACAAAGGCGAGCGCAGAAGAAATTAGAGTAAGTACCAGTGATGTATATGCCTAAGTGAATGGGCATTTTGGTTCGATAGCCACCATTCTCATTTAGTTTAGGAAGAGGAGGAGAGGGAAACAATAATAGTTGGACTATAGTCCTGCAAATGTCCCTGGCCCAGAGGTCATCCTTTATGGTGGGATCCATTCTTTTCTTCTACGGTTGTCTTGGTTGGCGTTCATTTCTTTTCCCCCGTTCGATTCGCCGTTGTTTTGATCGGGGCTTGTTTGTTCTTTCCGGACTATAGTTGTGTTAGAGAACTTTTCCATCTAACATTGCCTCAGTTGGCGTCCATTCTCTTATGTCGGGGAAATTTTGGTTCGACCATTTATTTGTTTAAGACTGTATCTTATTATACACTCGTTTGTTCTATTTCCTAAATATTTACAAGTTAATATCTTTATGATCCAAGCTTGCTGACTCTTTTAGTATAGCATTACCTCTCACAAACAGGTGGTTCATCGAGATAGACAGTAGGCGAACTTAAGCTTTTCTCCAACCTGCAAGACTTGGTCTAGCATGAATCGCCCCTTATTTCCAGACTCCATTGGTTGATCTATTCGGCTCAGACCAATCGAACCCTAATAAGTAGTCGTTAAATTAATGAAAGCTTTCTTGACCTGCCTATAGGAGCTATGGGCATTAAACAAGTAAAAAAAAAAAATTGCCTTAACAACTTTTATTAGAGACCTGATACTACAATATTGGTAGAACGGTTAGTAGTTGCTTATCTCCAACTTGGTACGCGGAAGTTAGTGGTGAGGATGGGGCTCCTGATGGACATTCACGGCGCAGACACCACAAAAGACCCCAAGGGAGGATATTACAAAAGATTGCCGATTAAGCAATTACCATGTATTAATTGCAAGCTGGGCTACTCTGGCGGTTGTCATCAAATTTAAACAACTTCTGCACGGCATTTGGGCTTACGTTAACAGCTCTACTAGTGTCTACCTAACTCAACTTACGACTCCAAGTGAGTAACTATATATAACAATATATACGTCATCATGATTTTACCTGGAGAATATGAATTTGTGGTGGCTTCTTTGACAGCTCTTGCAGTGTGATGATGCTCTTGCTCTGGTGGGTATTTGGGTAGACCCTGCCCTTCGCATTCATTACTTTAATTCAGATGGGAGAGGGGAGAGAGAGGGGAAGGGAAACAATTGGCTTCCCCTTGGAAGTAACATACGGGTGGGAATGAATTCAGATAGAACTACAGAAGAAATTGAGGTGAGTCGACACGTACTTGCTTGTAGAACAATGGCCGTATGCTCCTGCCGCGTTAATGACCAGTCCAGAAAACGAGGGAAGGAGGAAGCCAGCAGAGAGAATGGCTCAATCTCCACGCGGAGGCCGTGAGACTGACGTCTGGTCTTTTTCCCTTTCCTCTTCAGCTCAACATCGAGGTTGAGCCCAAGACCATTCGCTTTCCAGCTCTCCTAGAAGTAAGACGACGACGAGACCGACGACGATGACGATGACGATGACGATGACGATGGCGACGATGACGACGACGACGATGATAACGATGACGACGACGATGAAGGATACGGCGGGCGATGCCTGGTGGCATCACCAATACGAGAAGGCCGGCACGTTCGCTGGATGGGCAACCTTTGTGGCTGCTGTGCTGGGTGGCGCCTGGGCCATCTTCTTGTTTTATAAGAAGGCCAAAGAGATTGAGGAGGGTACGTGTCTCTGTAGCTTATTTATTTTGGTGAACTTTCTTGCTCACATCGACTTGTTTTTTACGAGATAAGGTATATGCTGACTCTATAATATTGATAGACAGCGATTCCTCAGGTCCACCGAGTCCTCCTGGCCCCCAGGTCATCCCAGTCCTCCTGGCCCCCCAGGTCCTCCCGGTCCTCCCGGTCCTCCTGGTCTCCCTGGTCACCCCGGTCCCTCCGGTCCTCCGGGCCCCTCTGGTCCCTTGTGCCGGTGCCGTTGCACTCCCGGCCCGAATACCGCGTGGATCCCTCTTCCTCCCTCACCGACTCCTTCTTCTCCTCCTTCTCTCCCTTCTCCTCCTCCTCCTCCTACTACTACTCCTTCAACCTCCGGCCACCACTCTCGCCTCCCGCGCCCATACCGTCTGACTGTAATGCCTACCTCGGCCAAGGAGCAGCAGCAGAAGCAGAAGAAGATGAAGAATAAGGAGAAAGAGAACAAGGAAAAGCGCCTCCTCCGATTTTAAAATCAGAAGTTCACTTATTAGAGTGAAAAATGTCTTTGCGCTGGTCGTCCACCCTGGACCAAGCCTTCAATTTTTATTTGAAGGTCTGATCCAGGGCCTGAACCATGGGGACCGTGGGTCAGACGCTTCAATCAATCAGAGCGACCCGTTCAGGTCTAGTAGGCACATCATCAATGCCAATGCCGTCCAGGTTTCGTTTATGGCTAGCTTTCTTGCACCACACCACTAGCTTGATTTGACTCCTTCCTGAACGAAGCAAGAAAAACTCTGATTATGAGTTCCAAACAGCGCTTCCGCAACCCGGATTTGGAGGGCAATCGTCGCTACAGCAAAGAATTCCGATAGCCCATCTCCGCCGAGGTTTGGGACACCAAAACCTACTTGTCTGTCAGGCCACTGCTACGCTCATGCGTAGTAGACCACTCGCGTGAGAACCTGGTGTGAGCAAATTGATTCTACACGCTATGGGGGTTCGGCTGCGTCCGCATTACACGCTGTTATCAACCATGATTCTGCTTGCGTGTTAGCACCTCAGTCGGCACGCCACATATGCCAAATGACTCAAATGTGGATTTATTCGACGCTGTGTTTAGCCGATGTTGTTTCATTCGTCTTCTTGCGTGTCACTGGAACTCAGACACATGGTGGGCGAAGAATTCATAGCTGGCACTCTATGTTCTTTGTCGGAACTGCTACTGGGGGTCAATCACTTTTAAGTTTATCGCAACCATGGGAAGAAGGCAATTCGTTGCCGGACTATGCATAACACCTCCAAAATATGGTCGATGGCGGGTAACCTGCGCGTCTTTCGAGCTAGCGGATCACTAAACTGACTCAAATCGCCCCAAGACATCCTGGAAGCAAGAACGTACTCAGTTTTAAATCGTAGTCTATATAAGGCTCATCACCCACTCTTTTTATAGATGGAATACTAGTCAAGCTATCCATTCCTATGAATCTCGAGGTCCGCTAAAGTACGGCAGTTGGAGATCAAGACCTCGAATCACCATACATCCTATTGTTCCAATCATCTTCCGGCCCACTACAATATCTTCATTCTTTTGTGTAGCGACAGATTCTAAACACTTGAGGGGGTCAACCAGTTACCTGGTACATCACGACGAGGGCCACTAGCTCGGCTAGAATCTTGAAATATGGACAACAGCTCGACCAAGACAAGCCTCTACTCGTCTAACACCATGGTAGAGCAGGACGACCAATGGTATGGCCACCTACCATGCGTGTTTGGTAATTACCAACGGGGCTGCCACGAGCACAATCCGACACAGTCGCTCATTTACTACAATCCTCGTCTGCCTCCGAATGAAACGCGCCTGGACTGCCTCATTAGTGGTTTATCTTCGTTCTGGCACAGTTTTTGGGGTACCCTTCGCCTCTCAGAAGCATCAGAAACTAGCTTTGAGCCGCTTCTCACTGATGCTTCTTCGGCCAAAGACCCCGTGCCTTCACCCCTGTTCTGCATGGAACGGCCCTTCGATTCCCTTTCAGTCGACACCGTTGCACCTATACACCCGACCATGCCTTACCATCTTGCTTTCTATCACCTAGACTGTGTACGTCAGAAGCTCGATCGTGACGTTCAAACTGCCTTCATCCCAGAATTGTCGTGCGGCGGTACTTCCAGTTTTTATCACAGTGGTCCCAAATATACATGGTCAAGCGAAATATACTTCCAAAATGGGACTTTTCTACAAAAACAAGAGATCTGTTGTATAATAGACGAAATCTCTGCCTGCGGAACGATCAAATTCACCGAGTGTCCTCATATTACCTTCAAGGTCAGGCCTTTATGGCTGACGGATGACGACGGTTTCTTTGTCGCGCGAGCGTGGTTGAGTTTTCCACCAATTAATGGCAGGGAAACCTTTGGGTTCAAATGGTGGACCAGTAAGACGGGCCGTTTCGCCAGGATGAGCATGTGTGGAGTATGTCAGTCTGATCATGAACAAACTTTGGAGTTGGTGGGTCGTCAGCTTCATCTACGAAATACCTGCTACAGAGACTTGGGCCCTGCTACCGATCGGTCTATACCCAGATGGATATCGCTATTGACAGGAGAGGGCTCCATGAACCGAACCCGTAGGTTTGATTTGTATGCGCGTGTTTGGAAGACCGCCCAGCAACTAGGACGGCCGAACCTGCACGTGATTCATCACAAATCGCGCAATGGGGAGTTTGTTGTTAATGCCACATGACACAGGAGATTGATCGGATTGCAATCTCGCTTGGTTGTGACTATTATGCTGAGAACATAAAAAGGTCTCCAGGAAACAAGTTTAGGAATTGAAAAATGGTTGACAGGATCTGATTAAAAGATTGCCGGAGTCGTTGACGTATTCGCGTATAGGCTGAGAGGGAAGGACTGGATGGCTGATAGCAACTTGTTGGTAGACACTTCAGGCACAGCTGCATGGTAAAGGAGGATGCGTAGGGTCTATCAAGTAAATTGCATATATTCCACCAAATCAATACTTAATTGATCATTGTTTATCCCAATCAATGCTACACTCGATGTCATGACAAAATTGAAGTTAGCAAATGAAGGGAACTGAGCGTATCTTGGGTTGTGTTTCCCACATTACAATTTCTCAACTGCGCTCCCTCGTGTAATTCGGATCGACTGTCCTTACGATGTCGAGGACGTGTCATATTAGTTTCAATCCTTCTCAACATTTGTTATTTTACGGCTGTAAACACAAGCTCGTTGGTGAGTACGATTTGGTCCGAGTGGTGGCCCTACAACAAAAACTCTCAGGAGAAGGCAAGGTGCATTTCAGAGTTAAGGTGAGCCTAAGTGCACACTGGGGATACATCTGCTAGATGAAAGCTCGGCATAAATGTGCAGCCTGAAATGGATGTCCCGCTTCCTAGAACCGTAGATTAGATCTATCGACGTATACTGTCATTAATGCACCGCCATGGCTGAAAACTACAAGTGTGTTGCGCTTGAGTATGCCTGAAGGAGCGTAATAGACTGTCATTCATATGTATTGTGACGAAGATAATAGCTAGGAGTCGCAAGTCTGATATAGACGACAGCATTCTCACTACACATGTAATCCCTAGCTATATCCTCTCCGCGCTAATAGTCCTCGGCAATGTCTTCTTTTCTTGCCATGAAATTGAAGACCTGTCTAAGAGCTAGAGAGCTTAAGCGCATACTGTGTTAACCAAGAAACTCGTAATGAGAGAAGACTTCATGATAGCGGTTGATCCTGACAAAGACAACTCGTTCTCGGAGTGAAATAATGTGACATTCAAAAACGGTAGGCCTACCGTCAATAGAACGATAGTAATCTCAAGGTATATATTCGTTGCCAGAAATAAGCATTGTAATAGCACGCAGGGCAGCACAAGAATCTTTTCAAGTCTTTAGATAAATGCCAGTGATAGTCTCATGACGATTTCGCGGTTATCCAATCCCAAACCCCGGGCTCCTCGGCTCTCAGCTGCTACTTCCTAAGACCATGACATCTCGGCTAGAGTGTTCTTAGAACTAATATGGCATTGTTCGAGTTGGCGACAAGCTTAGCGTCCCAAAACCTATCGAGAATCTAGAAACCCCGTTTTCTCTGTTTGAGGTGGATAGAATCAGCGCCAGCGAGGAAAATAGGCCACAGGAGGATTTTATTACGGCGCCTTCATCCTCCAAGCATTTCAATTCCGAAGTGAAATCATCCAGCATCCTAAGCATATCAAAAAGTAGATGCCATCTCCGATACTGGTCGGTAAACGTGTGACAAGTGACTTTATCAACGTCTCCGGTTCCACGAGCTTAAAAATAAAATGTCAAATCTGTGCGACCTTTGAACACCCGAGATAATCACATTTTGATGGTTACCAAATGTCACCAATTAGGTAGATGGCTGAGGTGCACAGTTCACTCTTAATTGATAGCCTTTAGGGATTCGTCAGAATAGCTGAGGGACCACGTCACTGAACAACACTCTACGGAGGATCAATATACATCCACTAATCAATACCACGATCCTACAGAGTGGTGAAGTCCATCATATTTTAAGACACAACTCAAATAATAAGCTAGTTAACCATATTAGTAAACAACTCCAACGTCTTCGTATGACTGATTCTCGCTAAGCATAAAAATTGGTTTAACACTTTTTAAATAGATAGTCTAAGATTTGACGCTTTTTAGAAAATTGTTTTTTTTTTTTTTTTCAAAAACAGAAACCGACTTAAAAATAATAATAAATGTTTTAATAAATATAATGAAAGTTCAACTTACGGTTTAGAATTTGAATAAAATCAATAATTCTTTATATTCGCATGGGCTAATGCTCAGAGCTAGTTGGACAGCTTGACCACAGCGTGGGGCAAGGCTACACGACCATGTAATTTTCATGTCAAAGCCTTTTCACTCTTTAGTTTTCTTATTTTGTCAATACATAGGGTAAACAGCAAGCCAGAGCGTCGTGCTCTAGCGATCGTGAGAATTATACCCTTGAAGGTAATAAGTCTATTTAAAAGAACTAATGTGCAGGGTAAAAAGAATCCTCGCAATTTTGATTTTCCCATCATTGGCAGATAAACAGAATCGACCCTAGCGTCAATGAATATATATACATGTAAACGAATGAGGATCCAGCGATCCAACAACCCACACTCTATGCGGTGGAAGAAGGAGGAGCACCGCTCAGAGCACCCGAAGGGGCTGTTCCGTTGCCCTCGCCACCATCGCCACCACCGCCACCGACCGTGTAGCCTGTAGAATGTCCGCCATCGGCAGCCAGATAGGCGGCTACGCCATAGTAATCGTCGGTCGAGTAATCGGCAGAAGCGTTGACGCCGATCTGGATCCACGCAAACAGTCCGTCGGAGATGTCGTCGCCGAGATAGACGTACCTTAACAACCTAATCAGTAAAGAGCTACCAAAACGTGCTGTGATGCTGGACTTACTCGGGGATGGGATCGTAAGAAGAATCAGCCTGCACAATGGACCACATGTCTTCGTCGTTTGTGGTGAGGTCGGCAGTGTTCGTGTTGTAGGGGTAGGTAGCTTCGACCTCAGCGCGAAGATCATCAGGATAGAAGAGTTGTCCAATGTGGGTCACGGGCGCGTTGCTAGGCGAAGTGTCAGCAGATACACGTATGATACCCGTGCTAAGAAGAGAGCTTACAAGACGGAGATGGTGCCGTTGGGCTCGAGAGTCGCGTTGGTGTGAGCCAAAAGATGAGTGTGGATGGCGCGGCCGGAATAGTGACCAGGGAAGATGGTCTCGAACTGAACAACACCTTCGTTGTCGGTCAGCTGAATACCACGCAGGAACGTGCTGTTCAAGCCAGCCTGGCCGGTAGAGTCGACTCCGGAATAGACACCTGTGGCATTGCAGTTCCACACATCGACTGCGACACTTGGGATAGCCTCGCAGGTGTTGACATCGATATACTGAACCTCAAGGAAGAGGTTGACGCCTTCGCAAGACTCGCTCTCGATGACATTTGAGCGGAAGTACTCGCCAGCGACATAGTACGGGCCGTCGGTAATCTCAGGCGCCAAAATGCAGCTGGTGTTGGCATCAAAGATGTTCGCCAGAGGCGTGAACGCATCATAGTCGTAAACACCTGTCTGGTTGTGGTTGACGGCTTCCCATGCCTGAAGGTCCTCGAGGGTTCGGCGATTCTTGCGGGCAGCTGGCAGAACGGTCAGCTGATCAAGTTCAAAATCACAGTCGGACAGAAGGACTTCAACTCACGGGCCTTGATGCCGCGCTTCTGGCGTAAGCTCTTCAGGGCCTCGGCACGGCGCTGGACGGATCGGGCTTTCAAGGCTTGCGCGCCGGCAGAGTTGCCGCAAGATGCCAAGGAGCGGGCGGCTGCGTGCGCCGCATTCTCACGGGCAACAATCTCGCGCTTTACGTGGTTGGCGCTGTGGCTCTCGCCCGGGTGAGCGGTGGCAAAGCCAACGGCAGTGGCGATGAAAACCTTGGAGAAAGCGACCATTTTCGATTAAGTACTTCGAAGGAACGAGTGGCGTGAAAGAGCGACGATTGACACAACTGGAAGGAGTCTACTGCGAATACAATATCACTTTGGACGATCGGTCATTGCCCAATCTTTATATCATCAACTGCGTGGGGTCCTATCTGAACTCGGACGCGTATGCACTCAAGATCGTAACCAGGGGCCCGAAATCTTGAGCCGCGGGCGGTGCCATAGCCAATACAGAGGCAAAGATTCGTAATGCGATCTGCGATATATGGAAAACATAAACAATCCACATGGTTGCGTAGGCCCTTGCCTCGACTACTACTCCATGCATATTGGCAACGGGTGCAGCCGAAATGACTAGGTGGACCAAGACCCAGATCCGCTTCGGTGAGGGACGAAGCATTACCATGGTATAGACGGTCAGAAAGGGCAACGCGAGCAGGTATCGCCTCGATTCCATGGGTTGTTTTCCACAATGTTGAGCTCCGAAGTAGTTGTACCTCGCTTGCGAAAAGAACTCGCCTCGTTGCGCTTCTCAGGGCCTAATACCATGATAGATGCGAAGTACTATAGAATATTGAAGTGTCGTGCGGCTCAAACGACTGCCGCGTCCTCACATGAACAAATATGGGTCTGAGGATAAAAATAAGGGGCGGCGCACTTCCCGGCGCTTGCCCGTGGGGAGATCCCACGGCATTTCGAGCTAACTTCAAGGTTAAGTGAACGGTGGGCGGAAAAGTTTCATAATAGCTAAAAGTGTCTAATAATAAATAGGCTTTATTCGTATAATACGGCATGGCCCCGAATGTCACTGGATCCAAGTAGCTATCACGAGTGTATAATAAGGGAGATCATAATGGCCAACGTCACATTAGCAGGCGTACAAGTTACCGGGGAGACTTGCATGTGCATATGTAGTACAGCTTTGCTTAGTGACGTTTTTTTGCCCCTGTAGTACCTAGCATATCGTCGTTATCGAGTTGAATAAAGGATAGTCAGGTTATGCGATATACCCTTGCCAAAAGGTATGGAGTGGAGTGGTGGAGTCCAAAGCTTACGCAAGTTCATGGATCGCCCACGTCCAGATCAGGCGCGAAACATCGCGAATGGATTCGTGAACATCGATTGGGTATTGGTCGTTGAACACTTCGGCGCAAATGTACCTAAGTGTTCCTTCTAGAAGCACTTTCACTAGCGGCGTTTTCACCTGCGCGTCTGATGCACCGTAGAACTTGCAGCGGAGCAGATCCACAAGCCGTCCAAGCCAAGGCTGGTACGTGCAAAGCAGTGACCTATATCAAATTCCATCTTGTGCTCCATGGTTCATGAGATGCAGCAATGCAGAAAGAGTTTGGTTTGGTTCGTAAGTACTACATGTGTCTGTAGCTGTCAAGTCACCCAGATATGTATCGAAGTACTCGTCCTGTCGATTATAATATGGCATTATGTAATAAGCAAAGGAATTACAGCGAACGGATTGGCTTAAGCCGAAGTGATACAATGCCACGCATTTTCGACACAGGATAATGTCCCAGGCACAGCAACAAGTTTAAAAAAAGAAAAGAAAAGAAAGACCTGCACACAGACGATGCAAAATCGAATCTCTAGCGAGAGAGAAAAAATAATAGGTCTGCCTGGGGATCGAACCCAGAATCTCCTGATGCCGTACTGATTACCCAAACGAGTAGCTCGTAGTCAGACGCAATGCCAATTCTGCCAACAGACCTTGTTGAAGACAGTATCCATAATTAAATTACATGTTGCTACTATTGTGGAGTCAACGCTAAGTTTACGCTTGTCTCGGAGGGCGCCGACACGGATTTGTGAGTGAGCTGGTGGGAATAAGACGGGGAATGTGTCTTGGCACTTTTGGAGTATGACCACTGCATATTTATTTGTAGACGCTGCAATCCTTGTGAGAGCTTGAGTCTCAACTTGCCGACTCTAGTAAGGAACTAGTGACGAATGAACGCAGTCCGATCAACCAGTGATTCTGCATTTCATTGGTCGTAATTTCACACCTATACTCAGGCCACCCTACTCGAGACTCCCAATGCAGAGTCCTAGGCCATATCAACTCAAACTCCGAGGTCACTTGCTGGTTCATGCCGTGAAACCGCAAAATATGTGGTTATAACAATCGGTATGAAGATTGGCATAAACATCTAACAACCATGATGAACTTAAAGTCGTCGCCTCAGGATTAACGTCAGGATGCTCGGGCCGGGTGGCATGAAGACGGACTGGTCTTGCTCGTGGGTGGGAATCCCGAACGTGAGTGCGGCGCATCATCAGATGGTGCGCGCCCTAAATCGAATGTTGCGCAACGACATGTCGGGTGACGCGATGTTTGATTCTGAGAACAAGAGGGCCCGGATTGTGGTCAACCTCACCAGAGAAGCCACCGGAGTCTGGGCATTTTGATTGTCACGGATGGTGTTGAGTACGGTAAAGTATATGGAATAAACTCTGGCTGGATCCGTCAAGAAGTAGTATGAAGCCAGCGTCTCCTGGGTTTGATTTATAAATAGAGGAGCAACATCGAAGTCTGAACCTTGCGATTAAATATCGTAGACTCGGGCACCAAATACTCACCATTCCATCAGAAAAGCCAAGTCAGAGCCCTCTTGAGTCTCCCCCGCCAAGTCTTTGGAACTGTTGGCTTTCCCTCGTCCGCTGTATGGGTGTCGGTGTCAAGATCCATCTCGGCCAGGCCGACCAGCTTGGTCTTCTTGAGGAACTTCCAGGCGAGATACATGACCAGCATGACGGGCAGCTCGATGTAATAGCTGACAAAGCTGACAGCGTCGAAGCTCGGGCTGAAGCAGTCCCAGCCCTGCACGAGAACGATGACTATGTTTAGGATTACGCACAGGTAGGGCCCCACCGGATACGTCCAGTTCCGGAACGGCAGCAAATGCGTCTTCCCCTGGACCTCAAGGGCGCGCCGGAAGCGGATCGAGGTGATGCCAATGGCGATCCAGCTCAGCTGGTTGGATACACCGACGATACTGCGACGAGAAGAAAAGAAACATGTCAGATCTGATACCCCGGACGCGCAAAATTCAATTGACTCACTTTTGAAGCCAACTCCAAAGCTGGCCGGCGCCGATGTAGCTGGATCCGAAACAAAGACCGCTGATTAGACTAGTGACAAGGACTGCGATCCAAGGCACTCTGTTTCTGTTCAGTTTACCCAGGGTTCGGGGAGCATGGCCCTCCATGGCAAGTGTGTACATCAGTCTGGTGCCAGCAAAAAGTGCATGGTTGCCAGCAGACAGGACACTCGTCATAATCACGGCATTAATGACACTCCCTGCAGCGTTTGCCCCCGTCATCTCAAAGACGATGGTGAACGGGGACGTGGTGGTAGTCTTGTTCGACAGATTGGGATAGTTGTATGGCACGTTCAGTCCGATTAATAGTATCGACAAGATACTAGTGCAATGTCAGCCACGCTACTTATACTAGGAGGGCCAAGCCTTGGCCTTGCTTGGAGTTGTGCCGCCGCGGAAGAGAGACCCACTAAAACAGGAGGATGCGCCAGAAAACATTCTTGACCACTCGGGGGAGGTTCTTGGTGGGATTCTTGGTTTCGCCGGCCGTGATGGCTATGGACTCCGTGCCGCCGTCTTTGGGAATGTTAGTCGAAAATTACTGGACACCTCAAAAGCTCGACTTACACGCAAAAGCAGCCGTCACAAAGACCGATGCAAAACCACCGATACCGTGCACGAATGGGGCGCCGGGAATGCGCCAGTTCTCGCCGCCGATATAGTGGCCGTCTGCATTACCTCCGCAGTTGACAACTATACCCATGACGATGAAGACCTGACATGCGTATAAGTGGTACTTCTGCAGCGGTCACAGTATATCAAGAAACTCACCAGAATAGTTATGACCTTGAGCAAGCTAAGCCAATACTCGAGCTTTTGGCAACATTAATTTGGTGAAGGCTGAAATCGGGATGACACGGAAACTGACCTCGCCATACGCAGACACCGTGATGATGTTTGCACATATCAGTACTACCCAGAAGATGAGACTCAGCGCCCACCCGGGAAAGTTGCTCTCCCAGAACGCGAAGACGAGCTGAAGAGCAACCAAGTCCGACGCCGTAGAGACGGCATCGTTAAACCAGTAGTTCCACGTGAGCGCAAAACCAAAGGCGTCGTCGACAAAACGCCTGGAAAATGGGAGGTAATGGTCAGTAAGTAAGTTTTTTGATCGAAGTGCCGGCGGCCTTGTTATTATGACGATAATGATGATGCCCAGCAGTAAAAAAGAAAATTTAGAAAAAGAAAAAGAAAAACCTAAGCTGTACCTACCCGGCAAACGTGCAGAAGCTGCCCGCTACGGGAATGAAGGCAGCCATCTCCCCGAGGCTCAGCATGGTGGTGAAGACGATGCCGCCGACGATGGCGTAGGCGATCAGCACCGAGGCAGGTCCACCGGTCGCGAGCGACTTCCCGGTGCCCAGGAAGAGCCCCGTGCCGATGGTCCCGCCGATGGCTATCATCTGGACCTGGCGAGGGGAGAGGGAGCGCTTCAGCCGGTCGGACTGGATATGGTGCTCCTGGCCGGGGATATCCTCCGGGGGCCCATAGTGGGGGTGCTTGGCCTCATCGGCTTGGGACATGGGTGTGGGTATTTCTCGGTCAACGCCGGTGCGCTTTGCTGCCTCTATCCTATGTCTTTCGAAATATGCGAGGAGATTCGGTACGACTGCTCAATCAGGAGTTTTGGACCACAATCGTCGCATGTCGATTCTTCACTTTTCTTTTTCAAGGTTTTGCAGTAACGTTACTGCGTAGGATTCCCCAGCTTGGCGGGGATCTAGGTCACGGGAAATGGCGTATACTAACTACCTTACGTAAAGAGGCCAAAAGAAATATTTCACCCATCGGAATCCGGACTAGTGCTTATACATTTCATGAGCTCTCTTCTCATTTAATCGAGATCTCTTCAGCAGCCGTGACGTAACGAAATGCCACGGCCTCGCTTTTTGCTGGCAACGATATATATTCTCGGCCATAAGTAAGCACATTCATCGATATACATCGATATCTGTCGATGTTCGTCGAGACGCACATCACGTCGATATGACACTGTCCTATCGAGAATGATCTGTACCGCAGGGTCAATCTAAGACATAATAGGACGCGACACTACACTACAATCACCCGTGTAAACTCCAAGAATATCCGGGAAAAGCCATGAACGTACCGCAGGCTTCGTCCCGCTTGGGGGCATTGTGCTGACCCTCATCTACCCCGGCAAAACGTCTTCTGTTGATGACAAGAAACGGTGACATGGGACCCCGTTTGCAACGAGTTAGGCTGCGTGCTCTTTTGCCTTTGGTGGAAGTCAAACTTATTTGCAGCACATACCCTCTGCTGTGGATAATGAGAGGCATCATAAAAGAAACAGCTGTCGAGAAGCACTATGCTGCTATAGAGCACGGAATGATGCATGGCCCAAGCTTCAACTTTGGCGTATGTATCTCATTCGGTGCATCATCTACATGACGAGACTAGGATGTCCGAGAGGGCACCGTTAATTCTGTTAATGGATTTTGTGAAGGTGCGCTCTTTGTACCATGTTCTCCAGGCTCAGATACGTGAAAACTTAAGAAGATGCGATGATGCAGACATGGTTGTAAGGGTAGATTACCGGAAATCAGAGGCTGAGTTTGTTACCATGAAATGGACAGCCAATGGCAACATTATCACTCCCAATCTTTTCGCCCAACCTCTCAATGCTCATGCTCCAAACGCCGGGTCATGCTGAAGGTCAGCACGATACAGTATAGCAACAGGTGATCCGAGCACCGTGGCTTCCCCTCACTCACTCGCTCATATATGTACAATACCAATGGTGCAATCAAGATAACACAAGCTCTAGACAGCCGTGCCTAAGTATAACAATCGCAGCGGCCCTTGTCATGGTGGATCACTCGGTCCTCGCCTTCTTAGCCCTGCCACGCTTGGCTAGAAACTGATCTCGACCACCCTTCATGGCCCAATACTCATCCAGTAGTTCCTGAGCACACTTCTTCAGCTTCGCCTCTGTCTCCCAAGAGGTATTAGTGGCATCGGCTGGATAGCCCACCCACTGGACGTGGAATCGAAAGGCCGACCGCACTCTCTCGTGATTGAGGATCTTGTAGACCCAGTACTGTTCACCCAGTAAGGGCTTGGAACCTTTCTGGAACAAAGCTCCCTCGCGCCCGCCCTGCTTCTTCCAGTAGTCAAACAGCATTTCAGAAGCGCCGTCTTGGATATTTTCCTCTGGTTCCCATGTTATCTCTGAATCGTCAACCCACTTGACCTGAATGATGATTCTGCCGGGGGCATCCTCTGAGACCTTGTGTCCGACAAGTGCTTTTATCTCGTGAATGTCATCTTCTTCCATTTTTTTACCCAACAAAACCTCGGCGCGTTGTTCGGTAGGTTGTTCTTTGGCGGGCTCTGGTGCAGGGACCTTGTCTTGAGCAATCTTGGGGGACGGCTTCTCGTGGGCAATTTCGGCTTCAGCAGGCTCGTTGACGGAGGCCTTCTTCTCCTCTGGCTCAGCTTCGGGTTCGGGTTGCCTTTCAAGCAGTTCTGCATGGATGACATATATCAGTCTAAAGGGGGTGTTGAATCAAAGTACGACTGGACATACCAGCACCACCCATATCGGCCATTGGGGCCCTCGCAGCCAGAGGCTCTTCTGCTTGGTCGTTGGACGACGCGACAGCATTTAAAGGGCTGGCAGGCGCAACACCGCCGACGGCGGAAAGTCTTTTGGCAACCGAGAAACGCTCTGCATGCAGTCAGTATTCCACTGGCTTCCCATCCTCGAGTTCGCGTCTGAATATAGGATTTCGCATCGCAAACATACTGGTCTTGCTGGCTGAGGGTCGTGATTTTGCGCTCGAAGGTGTCGCGCTGGATCGTCTCGATCTCGTGCGACTCGCTGGAGTGGCAGCTACCGATTCGACTTCTGTTTAGTTGCGCATGACGGATTAGCCACAGGTTCTATGAACAAACACTCCCCCCTTCATGCGAACACACAAACACCTGCTCCCAGCTCTCAGGTCGCAGGTCCTAAGGTTTGGAGAGCAGAGCAGAGCAGAGCAAGCAAACATTCTTTTTTTTTTTTTTTTGGCGTATGACGTACCCGCGTCATCCAGGTCATAGACGCCCTTTCGCTTGGTTCCGCGCTGCATCTTGTCAAGTGGTACTGGTTCCGGTTCTGGGGCAGCAGCTCCTATCGATCTAGTCTTGGCCTTTGCCTTTGCCGGGGAGAACTGGTCGTAGATATTTCTCATGAATCCGGGCATGCTGGTCGGTACACTCGGCAATCTCTAGTTGCGAGACATGGACTTTTTCGAAACAGACCAAAACAAGACCAGACTAGAGAAAAGAAACACGGGCCAGATTGTTTAGTAGGTGGGGAAACTCCAGTGTTACTCTGTCAGGTTATCATGGGTAAGAGAAAGATAAAAAGGTCGTCAGAGTCAAGACCTGAGGACCAAAGGAGTGCAACAAGAGGGTGGGTCGAGGCAATTGGTTGGCAAGGGAGAAAAGCTTGAGGTGCGAGAGGTAAAGACTAACCTAAGGTTAGTGCAGGAGGAGGAGAAAAACAAGGTAGTCGCGAAAAGAATGGGGGAGAGCGAGAGCGAGAGAGACAGAGGGAGAGAGACGTGACGTCGGCGAGATTCAAGATTCGAGATTCGAGATTCGAGAGTCAAAGTCGCGATCAGATATTCACTACTTACTCGGTATTCGTACATGTGTGACCTGGACTGCATAAATCTTCAACGGCAATCGCGGCGGCCATTTTTCTTGCTGCAGATTTCCCCATTTTTCATGTCCCAGATCCTTGGTTACCTGCTCCTACTAAGTCAGGCGGGATTTGTATGGAAGACAGGCATCTTCTTCCTGCACAATCGAGCCATTAGGCTCAGAGAAGGGGGAGAAAAAAAAAAAAGCCGATTGATGATGCGCCTGTCAACCGACGCGCTAGGGACCCAGTGCTTTGCTTACCTGGGCAGTTATCTCACTTGTCGTTGATAGCTCCAACTGCCGTGGCATAGTGGGACAATTCTGGGTCCGCAACGAGTAGCTCGACACCAGGGCCAAACAAACAAACAACCGAAATCTCATACCAATCAAACACAGACCTCAAAGGATCGAGACTCCAAAGAGGCAGTCTGATCGTGTCGTTACGGGTGCAATTGAACGTCCTACTATGAATTAACCTGTGTAGTGCGGTAACATATTCGTTCGGGTCTGAGCATCGCTGAGATAACCACCACCCCTTGCCTCTCGCGTGGCATTCTACATGTACATAAGTACTCTTGCTGGGGTCGCAGTTCCCCCACTTTCTTGAAGCAATATGGCAGATTGAAATTGACGATTGACAATCTGGGAGACATTCATGAACAACTCCTGCCTAAGACGGAAGGTGTCCATGGAATCACCTCATTCGGGACATTGCGGGTCTGCATATCAGCCTCAATAAAGTTTAAATCAAAGCTTGCATCCTGTCTTTTTCTTCTTCTTTTTCGTAATGCTTTCAGTGTATAGTCGCTCTTAATTGATCAATAGGCATACGAGAGCTAGACTAGGGTTGAGTAAGACCTTCCCATAATCTACAGGCCAAAGTTCCAAATATGTGCAGTTTTATAAATACCTCGACAGACATGCGACGACGACGAGATGCCAAAGCAGCAATTCTGCAAAGCAAGGGTATCAATCCGCTTGTCCGAGGAAGCAACGAACAAAAGTAATATCGACACGAAGCGAAGTAGGAAGATAGCTTCAGAGGACAGCGTAGGGGAAGTGGAGAAGAAGAAGAAGAAGAAAAAGGAAACAAGAAAAAGAAAAAGGAAACAAGAAAAGAAAGAAAATGAACATGAGAGGAGAAAAGTATAGTCAAGAACCATTCCGGATACCGTAGCTCATTTTACAGGGCACATTTCCCACGCACACCAGTGTCCGTCCAATATCGCCGTTTCCAAATATAACCTCCGGACCCAATGCCTCCGGGTTGAACAGACCAGTGTTGCAGATGCCACACCGGATGCCTATTGGCGCAATTTAGCCATGTAAGCCGCCTCATGACACCGTTTGATGACCGAAACCCCCATTGTCCGAAGAACCCCCCGAAACCCCCGCCTGTTAACGGAGAAGCCACCCTACAAAGTGTGGTAGTGCATAAGAAGGTATTGGCAGACGGCAAAGTGACTCAATTCTTCTCGAATTCAGGCCACCTCATCACATATCGCGAATGATGTTTCTACAATCGAAGACCAGAATCGATCTTTGGGGGCGCCGTCTTGGAGAACGTCTTCCAAGCAGCGCAGTTGTCTTGGTACGCCTTCAGGTCACCCGCACTGATCAGCGCCTTCTGCTCGTCGCGTCTCTCCATGAAGTCGGAAGAAAGGCCACCGCTGACGTGCCAGGCGATGTGGCAGTGGAAGAGCCAGTTGCCCGGGTTGTCCGACCTGAAAGCAATAACTAGGTATCCGCTCCCTGGCAGCATGGTAACATCTCGGCGGGTAGGGTTCTGGAAGTTGAGCGTAGGGGACAGGCTGCTGGTAAAGGTCGTGCCGGCGGCATGGCCGAGGACCAGAAAGTCGTGGCCGTGAAGATGCATCGGATGTGGGATCGGCGACTTGTTCTGCACCACCCAATAAGTCCAGGTGTCCTTCTTGTCGACAAAGATCAGGTTCTCGCTACGAGGATAGCTGGTGTTGCCCTCGAGAACGTAATCAAGCACGGGCCTGTCCCAGTTGACATTGATGGCGCTACCGTTGATGTACCAAGTGACAGGGAAGGTGAAGTTCAGGGCGATATCAAGCTCATGCGCGGGATCGTTGGCATCAGTAATCAAGGTTTTCTGGTCGGCAATGCGGCTCACAACAGGTCCATACTGTGTGTTGTCCTGGCAATTGGCGTTGGGAGGAACAGTACCGACATTGGTCGGGAGGGCATTGGAAGCACCTGCATAGCGGAAAATGGAAGCAGGGTGTGGGTTGACTGATGTCCCGCAGAGACTGGTAGAGAACATGGTGACGTTGAACCAGTAGTTGTCAACCTTCTGGTCAGCATCGATCAGAATGTCATAGCGCTGGCCAACTGCGAGGAAGATGTTGTCAGTGGTCGCAGTACTGACAGGCACGAAATCGGTGCCAATCACGGTAAACTTGTGTCCGACAAGGGAGATCTGATAGTTGTTCTCTACCGAGGGATTAATCACGCGGAGCAAGTGGCGCTTCCCAGGAGTCAAGGTAGTAACAGCGTACTTTCCTTGACTCGGGTTGAGGGGGTTGATGTTCGTGCCGTTGATCATGACGTTGTCGCTTGGAGGCGGGCCAGCACTCTGAGTGAGCAGCGTGATTTGCTCAGCAGTGTTGTAGTAGTAGTCGGCAACGGGGAAAACGCCCAGATCGATGTCGTAGTTGTTGGAAGCCGGACCTGCGATCTGGACTGTTCCCCAGATACCGTCACCGTACTGGGCAGAAGTGTGAGAGTGGTACCAGGAAGTGCCATATTGTTGCGCCTTGAAGGTGTAGGTCTTGGAGTGTCCAGGAGGAATAGGACACTCTGTAACACCGTTAACACCATCGTGGATGTTAGTCTTGAACTGACGGATCCCATGCCAGTGGAAGGATGTTCTGGATAAAGACCGTCAACAGGCTGCAAAGCATGACGAGCTGATTCAAGACTTACCCATTGTGAGGGAGACTGTTCTTGATGGTCACAGAGATCGTGTCACCCCAGTCGGCAAACAGTGTAGGTCCTGGGTATTGGCCGTTAATCAGCTGGACATAGGCCTTCTTCACGCCGTCAGGGCCAACATAGTTTGCGATCTCTGTTACTTCCCAGCTATAGGACCGAGTGGTGCCAGATGGAGTGGATGTTTCATAGTCAGTTGTGACGCTGAAGCCGTTCTGCCAGCAAGCACGATTGGTTGCCGAGTTACAAGTGCTTGCACGGGACTCCAGGTCTGTCACTGGTATAGCGGAAGCAGAAGCAAGCCCAGTGAAGAACAAGCTCGACACGAGACCCTTGAAGGACAGCAAAGACTGCATGGTGAACGAGGATCGAAGTCAAACAAGAGATGAGAAGCCAGTGGTTTGTCAATGAAGGCAAATACGATATTAACGAAAGTCAAAGGCAAAGAGAGTTTGAAGAAAACCTTCTTGGTTTGTGGCGGGATGCTGGTGCTTGGAATACAGAATTCAGGGAAAACGTTGGACTTTATACTCGGCAGTATCGAGATCAATACGACTGACAACTATGGTGGAGAGGCTTCACTAGAGACCAAAGGTCGAATATGACCATCACGAGCTTGACTTCTCTGAAGTCTGATCATCTAGGATCTAGGAGAATAGGGCCGAGGATCCCCTGGAGGCGTTCATCAGAAACCATTGGAATATCCTGACAATGCGATCGCATGCAATGGCCTTTCCTTGTACTTGTCAGGGGTGAAGAGTATCTCAAGCATGATGGAGTGAAGATGTGCCAGGATTTTTCTGCATCCGAACGCAGCCAGACACGTTATGCAGATGCTGGATAGTCGTCCTGATGCTATTCTGAGACCCGTTTGGACTCGGTGTGAACGCTTGTGGATTCTAGATATCTGGGTCCAAATCAATAGTTCTAGAGGCGCTACAGGTAATGGGCGTAAGATGGCTTGCGGCGTATCGATCTAGAGACGCTCTATCCGGAGAGGCTCACATACCCGTCATGGCGGCTGACCAAAGCTGCCTTGCCAAGTATTCAAGCTTCTAGCTGCTGACCAGAAGCGGGCAGACGAAGGTCAAAAGAGAGAACCCTAGTACCTCGCAGTGGAATACGAAAAGGAGATGAATGGTCTTGTACAGCAGCATGTACGAGTTGTCTCATATTTACTCAATGTCACGGTCAAGCCGCAGAGTCCGGGTATGGGCTTGGGGTGTGTCAGACTGTCCAGCAGATGTGGCCGCTGCAAATGCCAACAATGTGGCTGATGTGAGCTCGTTCAAGCTGGACAATAACCACATGTCCAAGCTGCGCTGGACCAGGAGTAACCCAGATCCATGGGTGGGAGTATGTGGTCGGTAAGCGCGGCTATATCGCAGGGTAGCTTGCCAGGCAACTGGGACACAAGTGTGCGCCTTACGCTGGGGAACCTTTGCCGTGCTGCACTGGAACTTGAGTATCCCGGGGACGGCTTGCATTGGGAACATTGGTTCTACAAGCGACGAGTCTGAAAAGGCATAAGCGGTTGTGAGGAGCTTACCATTCGGATTAGCGAGGCGAGCCGACTGACTAGTGCTACTTCCCACGGTGCCATCCCTTCACGGGCCGCTAAGTAGGCGGATGTTCACTACCGGTGAGTGCTACATCACTTTGAAGCGGGATGGCTTGAGGAATTCCGGTGGAAAGCGTGAAGTTTTCAGGCGACTAACTTGGCACCTATGTGCTCGCGTGCGTATACGAAGCAGCGCAGCGCTCCTACGGCGCGAACTGGACGACTGAAATCGTATTCTGACTGTCGGTCTTGGAAGAAATTGCAGGGCTAGTACAGGACTGGCCCAAGTCCCTAATGCGAGTAGACAACATACGACACGCTCCAAGCACTGCATTGAGGGAAGTCTCATTTTGGTTAAAGCTAATCAAGCTTACTTTGATGTTTAAGCTTTGCCTTAGGTGACGTATACTCCGACCAGGTTAACTTTAGCTACATACAGTACCAAGTACATGCAATCTTGGAGTCCGACGCTACATGTCAGCAAGGGTTTGGTATGGGTGGAGACTCGATCGGGTTGCATCCGCAGCGGATGGCGGGGGACATTGTCCTCGCGAACTACTACGGAGTACAGTGGGAAATGCCAGAGGTTTTCGCTTTACAGTAGCTTTGCGAAATACCAACCAGCACTGCGCGACCTTCGACTACAGCTCGCAAGCAACTCCCAAAGACAACATGCAGTTTGGCCCACATGTAACGCAAGCCACACATGGACGTAATTTTCGGAAGCGACTTTCACTTGCACATGAGACTCGCTTCTAAGCAATTTGGATTATCTCACTGGCCAAGTCTAACTCTCATCGCGTCCCATCACATTTCAGCACTGGAAACGAGTGATGCGCCATGTCTACCTGCAGGAGACCCGTTGCTACACTGCGTCCCAAGCCGCCGAAATAAGGGATTGAAGCCAATGAAGGAAGAATTCCTGCTACAACCCAGCCTCTGATGAAGACAAACAACATGCAATCGGCCAAAGCTCCAACTTCCCACCTGATCGCCAAATTCCATTCAAGTATGCTTTTCGAAAGCCTCAGTCGCTATGGGGACTATTTCATCTTCAACAATTCTGCCTAATTACTGCAGCCGTGCGCAAACTTTTCGGTCGCTAAATATAGCTGATTTCGGGCTATGTATCCGTTTTGATCCGGCCTCGCAATTTAGGATCTCATCTGGTCTTTGAGATGCAAGATCAGCTCGTTTTCGCTAACGCAGCCAATACGAACAGATCCCCAACATTGTATTCGTCGAACCCAAGGTACTAGTGAACGCACGATAATGCTAGAGCAGATTCAGTTGTCTGCAAGATAATCACACGCAACACAATCCTTCGTTTTGATTCTTGACTGCATACATTAGCTGCAAGCTGTTGTCGGCATATCATAGGCAGCCATGCTTGGGTGCAACTTGCGTCTGTCCTCGTCTGTACTTGTCTCCTAGATTTTCAACGACCTATCCCTGGCGAGACAATACCTATGGCGAAAATAACTCTACAATCTCTCTGACACACTGACGATTAGACCGGCCTACTGCAAGTACAGTGCATGTCTGCGTTATATGCACAACATTGCTTATTTCATAAGGGTCGTAGTCATTCAACCAGCTTCTAGAAAAGACGGCTGATTTACAATCAGCACTAATATCGGTGTATAGGGTGGTTGCGGTTGTAGCCTTACACCACAGGAAACCGGGAATGCTTGGCGCTGCTTTTCCGGCAGCATCCGAGAACATTAACGGTCACAACTCGAAGAGAAACTCACCATTCCGCATACCATGTGCCTTGCTAGCTTAGAGCTGGAGCTAATCTTGATAGAAATCTAGTGTATTCATGTCAAAACTTCATACAAGTAACGTCAAAACTTATTCAATCACGAAGTGGTTCGAAATACGCTGCTCGGCTTGCTATTCGGAGCTAAGACGTACTCGGAGCCACGTGCGCTTCTCGCGGATAATACAAGTCTCATATTGCATTAACCTCGCCTATGTGTGGCGTCTGCGACTGTTACGTGATACCAAGCGTTCGGCACAGGTAACGAACAAGGTTCTACAATATTGACAACCAGGGTAGCGACAGGGCCCTCATGCTAACCTTATTACCCCTGGCGCTGAAAGTTCCACGACATGGGTTGACTGATCAGCGTTACCTGGCAAGCAGGGAATAACAGTCATCTGAGCCGAAAGCTCCGAACAATCGGAAAATAAGGTGTGAACGATGTGGCGATACGACGTAGATAGGCGGGTAATCATTCTTTGAAGAGGAATCAGTCATGTTCCTCCACATAAGCTTCTTCATTTGAGCTCTCCTATGTGACACACTGGACCCCCGCACTTCAAGTTCTTGCCTTTGCCCAAGTATACGTCATGGCATGTGGCATAGCGTTAATCCATCTAGGTTCCCAATCTCCATTTCCATTTTGCTCTGGATCATTTGACATTAATGTTGCTAGAAGGCTTCCAGAATTTCGGGCCCCGACGGCACTGGGCAGAATCGCGAGCTGGATCGGCTGAAGCAGTTATCTCAATGCCACACTATGTCCTGTACCACGTGGGTTTTCGAGCACAACCTCCTTTTATATGGGCTCGAACTATCCATCACGCGCGCCCGAATCCTTGTTCGGAGTACCTACATATCAGCAATAACCTACGAACACCACTAACCTAGGAGCGATGGCCGATTATCCATTCATTCACGCTTTCATCACATAAGACATTGAACTTGAGTAACGTTGAACTTAAGGAAGATGCATCTAGCGTGAGTAGAGAAGAGAAAAGGGTTATTTGAGCGTGACTTGGCACTTGTGAGTGTCACAGACTCTCCTGAATTCGCCTGCTGTAGCTCAATATCTGCAAGCCACAATCTGCAGGCGCGGGAATGCCACACAAATTCCTTGCGAACTCCTTTTTTGTTATTATAGGTTGCAGACTCACTTTCCCAAAAGCAGAACCGACACCACCCTTTACGTTCAGTCCCGTCAGGTACCGTGCATCAATAACGCGTGGCCTTCCGGGGGTTTATTTGCGTAGAAAACTGGGCGGCAATAACACCAGTGTCACCAGACACGGGAACAATCCGACACAACCGAGGCGAACTGGCCGAGCAATCTACTAGCAAACTATACGATGCAGTTTTTCATTGCGATTATGGCCAGCTCGCATGTGTAGTCATCACGAAATGCTTCACCGGTCGGCCTTGATGGGTCGCTAGGATGCTAAACGCCTCTTCAAGGTCACAATTTAATTTCTAGATAACCCACTGAAACCAGACTGACGATACGCGCATGGTGTGTCATGCCAAGCTGGTGAATGTAGCCTTCAGCATTTTGTGATATAACTGTTGATGCGAGTGCGAGACTTGGCACTTGCTGACCTTATCTTCAAACTTCTGAGTCAGCGCGGTACCCATGACCCCGGGTTGCTATCAGTAGAACCACAGATCGCTTTGACTGGATATCCCCGGGTCACGAGTATCAGGTTACATTTCAAGTGACAGGAATGGTTGGTGATCGAGGGTTCTACAAATACTTCCAAAATCTTATTTCATGCTGTTCGACCTAATAATATACGCAGGGTAGCTACATATCGGTACTGATATGCGCAGGGCTGAGCATCGCACCAGACACTTCGTGCAATTTACGAGGTCTGAATCCTTCCCGCCTGTCATCCATATTCTCCAGTCGGATAAGATCAGCAAAGAAGGATCAGGGGTACAGTCGACGCGTTCAGCTTGTGGTTGGAAACGTGAAAGCCACTTTTCTCACCCCTATACAATCAGGGCGATTTAGGAATATGTGGCTTAACTGCGCCTTTCGAGCATGAATAATTGCAACACCAGCAGAATCCTATGCGAAGAACTCCAGACGCTGTATTTCGTAACACGAAGTTTGTACTACTCAGCCATGAACAGAGTGCAACAAGTGAGAAGATTTTGGACGACCAATGAACACCCACCCGGAGTGTCGGGCCGTTAAACTCTCAAGTACATAACGCCACGGTAACGGTCACGTCTAATTAGGAAAAGTTCCAGATTACACCTGGAAGACTAATTTTCTTGATTTGCTTTTTTTTTTCTGTTCTTCTCACAGAAGCTCACTTCTCGATCCTCAATCCTCAATCAGTACCAGTTTCTTGCTCTTTGCATTTCTTATAAGCAGCTCCACCTCGCTTATAAGTCGACTCGTCTTCCTGCCTTCTCATCACCGCCATTTGTCCGACTCTGCCGTTCTTCGTCTTGCCTTCCACTCTTATGACTCCCCACATTCGGCCTACAACTGTCTGACGCCCCCTCAACACACCAAAGGAGTGACGAATGAGAGTCCAAGATTGGCCGAGCATTTCGAACGCCCAGTAAGCAAACACATGATCCCAAATTCGTAATCCTTCCGCCACAGTCGTGTTTGCTCGTCATTGATCAAAGTCTTGATCTCAGAGCATTTCACGCTGACGGCGGACCCCGTCTTACGGTGAGAGTCGCTAGTGGCCGTGTTTATCGTCCGGCAGCGCTAGCTTGGACTCACGCCGGCGCTGCATGAAATATGATCTGCCTGCCATCCCAAAGCATAGTCAGCCGCATTAGCTCGATGCGCCGATCTACTTCGTTGTTCATCGCGTCGACCCTGGATCCTGGGTCAAGAGCCTCACACGTGCACACACGTGCAGACACGAATGCATATTGAATGTAGATCTGTAAATCCTTGTTTTTTCTTTTCTTTTTTTGGTGTGGCCGCCATTGCTTTTCTATCGTGGTATGATAAGAGTAGACAAGACAAGACCATCCTTAGCTTGGAAGAAATAGGCGAGCGAGCTTTAGCTCTTGCTCTTCTTCAGCTGCTGCTAAGTAATCTTCGAACTTTCGGGATGTGGGCGGGTCGGCGATAGCTGAGAGCCACTCAAAAAGATGGTGTGCTGTCAGCATCCCAGGTGGGATTTCAGCAAAGCTGACCAGTAAGTCAAACTTCAGACGGCTAGTCTTTTAAGGCTGAAGCTTGGCCAACCTCTGCTATCGTCATCTTGCATTGTTTTTCTAAAGCGCACCAATGTAGTGTAAGTAGGCTTTCAGCCCAGTTACCTATCACGCGGGTTTTCAAATCAATCGCTCGAGTATGTAGAACTTGGAGCTGTCGGTGGTTAAGTTCAAAACACACACCTAGAAGAGAGAGAGAGAGGGGAAGAGAGAGACCCTTGCCAAAATATGAGCAGATAAGATACAGGAAGCCCAGAGCCGTAAGCGCTTGGTTTCAACGTGATGTAACTTTGGCCGAAATGCTGCCAGGATGGTTGTACGTGAAACTCAATTGCCTCGATCGGTTCCACGAGATCTTGGATCCAAACCATCAAAATAAGCTTATTTACGATGAAACCTTGCTTGTGCTCGGTACTGCCAACGGTGAAAACGGTTTAGGTTTGCTATGGTGAGACCAGGCTAAATCGCAACCCGACAAAGTGGCGGGATTGTCTCAGGCTGACGATAAGCTTTGGCATTGCAAAAGTGTGCTCATAATCACAAAGATGACTACTAAAATCCTCGTTCCACCGCTTGACTGTATATGTATGCAGCGACTAATGATCCTGAGGTTGGTATTTGGTAAAGCAGCCATGACCATAAATAAGGTGCTTCAATTTTATTGTACGATTCACGGATTGCTTAAATTGATAGTTACAATGCAATGTATGGGCGGATAGATTAAATCACTATAGTCTGCAGCCTTCAAATATGAGGGGCTTCGGCTATTCTTAAGGTGCGTTACGGGCTATCGATGGTGTATCGAGAGTTGTCTTAATAGGGTTTTCTGTATAATCTATAACCTTGTCGGTGGCCTCTAACCTTGTAACCTTAAATTATGATAGTTATAGAGAAAGGGGTGGAGGGGGAAAAATGGGGAAGGGGAGATAGATCGACAAATTCTGCCAGTACAGGTGATGATAGATTCGAATATGTTATTGTGCTCAACTATCTAGCCCTAGAACTTAGTTCTACAGGAACCATCCAGACGATGTCTCAATACTCAACTCAAGGTGACTCTAGTGAATCTTAAACTGCAGCAAGTTGAGCTGGTAAGGAGAGTTGACCTCTCATTCGCTGTTTCCCACCTGGAACTTTGTATATGAAGAATATTAACATTGGGATTTTCACAAAAGAAAACCAACTAATTGGTTAGGATGGTAGTGAGATGAACCTATTGCACAGTCCATGTGGCTAGATGGTGGGGAATAAAATCTCTTTTTCTTTTTTTCCCTGGATGACCGCCGTTATAGAATGGGAGATGATCAAACGCCATCTTGCGTTTTCATTTAGTTTTCCACCTATCGTTTTTTCCAAACAGGCTATGATACTACTGATCGTATATTAAGAATTGATTTGCGCCTTCATAAAGCGCGGACCGTGTCAATATTTGCGTGCGAGGCGATCGCAAAAGCTGACAATATACAAAGGTGCTTGCAATAGCAACAGCTGACCACAGTAATACTGCACCTGGCTTTAGGTACAAACCTTCAATTTGAAAGATCACACAGGTGCAGGTGTAACAACTCCATTTGAACAATGTCAAGCAAATACGACCTTGCTAATACTGAATAGCAAAAGCATGAGACGATTAGATGATACATCTGAACCATCTCATCTGAACGCGTTTGGGAAGGAGTGGATACCAGTGGTGGTCGCCGATTTGAACCATTAACTTTTGACTCTGCTCCTATAATCTGAGGATGATTTACTGATGGGATTCTGATCATGTGAGAAGGCGTAGAAAATTGTAAAGGTGTTGACACCAATTCAGATAGCTGCCTCAGGCCTGTTGGGTCTTTGTCAAGTGGATAACGCTGTCCAGGAATCAAAAACATCATTGTTGAAGTGTGACTATCTTGTTGTTCAGTGATAGTCACAGTGGCCCAAGGACTCCTTTAGAACCACGAAATAAGTTAGCTGATAGTCACGAGTAACTTATATTTATGGTTCTATGGTTGAGCTTTGATAATGTTGACTGTAAAAAAACCTGTCCTTGTCACAAATAGTATGCACACCACTTTGGTAGCATGCTCTGCATATAAAACAACTCGACCACTTCCATGCTCGGTATTTTACGCATCATCCTGATCGATCAGGAGCCACAGACCACTCGTGGGGTTACCCGTTCAAATTTACCACCCATTTGCTGCGAATAGCTTCAACTAAGCCGCAGCTCAGCGTTTTGTACACTTGACATAGCAGCACCTTTCATCTTTCACCCTCTATCCATCTAAACTCGCCAGCCTCGATAAATATTGCAAGGCCACCTCTACTTGGGTTGTGGCAATTTTCTTGCATCCTACATCCTTTGACTCCATACCACACCACACCTAATCGCCATTTCCATTAATTCCGGCGCGGACTGTCCTGGTGAGTCTAGCTTGACATTGCAGTCCATGTCCGTACACGACACTGAATTAGCCAGACTCACTATCATCTCTTCTTGCAAGGTCCTCAAGTCCCTTCATTCGCTACAGTTCTTTGTCGTGGTTGCCCAAAAAAGAATTCGTGCTACTCAAATCGCCAGGCACCATTCGGCTGTTTTCGAGACTCAAATATTCTCATCAAATTTCTTTTTACAAAACACAACCAATATCAAACAAGCTGTAGTAAGCTGCCATACTCGCTATTTTCCTCTTTTCGAACTTAGTTGCTAACCTGAGCAGGTGCACCAATTGAGCTTCTTAGTGACAGGCTCGACGCGTCGTCGCGTGTTTACATTGAGGCTCCATACTCCTAGCAGTGAGTGCACGTCGTTCCCAATCTTCTCGGGGCAATACTAAATTCTGGTAGAGGTTCAAGTTCCAGCACCATGTCTTTGCAAAACATTCGCATCACCGTGCGACCGGCTTCCGCGCAAGTCAACATGCACGATGCTCCTAACGAAAACGGCGATCATGATGCAATATCTGAAATGAGCGGTCCTCCTGACTATGCCACCATCGACCCTAACGACCTCAATCGCTCCATCACACCCTTCCCCCGCCCAAAATCGCCAACTCCGTCCCAGACTGGTAACTGGCCGCTCGCCAGTGCCGATGATGAGCATCCGCCTGACTCATCAACGAGTTACACTTCGGCTGGGCCAAGCACTAGACGTGCCAAGTCGCAGGGCCGCAAGTTCAAACGCAACTCGCCTAAGAACGTCAACAGACCGGAGCCCATCGCGGAGCGCCGAAATAGAAAGCGCGCTCTCAGCACTGGCTCGACTCCCGGCAGCGCCAAGAAGAAAACTACGCTACAGGTTCCTGTCATGGCACGCCTCGCATCTCGTCGCAGCGAAAATGGGCTGCCCCGATTTGGATCATCTGCCAGCATGTCAACGACGCTCACGAACAACAACCCTTTCACTGGCGACCAGAAGAAGCCCGGCCTCGTTTCCTCGCTGTCTCGTGGTGACTGGACTACAATTGGGTCCTTCTTCAGCCAGAGCGTCAACTCAACTTCTCTCCAACGTGGTGTCGGGGGCCGTGAGATCAGCCAGCCCTTCGACTTCCGCCATGAAGGTGGTATAGGGTCGAGCTCATCGGCCTTCCTGACGCAGCCGCATAACACCATGACAACCATTGGGCAAGCCGATCATGAGGCACAGAAGAACGACCAGACCAGGACCTCTAGCGTCCTCATGGACATGCGCACCGAGTCGCGCCTCGGCAACCGCACCTCGCTGCCGGTCAAGATGCCCAACGCCTTCTCGCCTATCGACACCACTGTCTTCGATGTCGACTGCGGACATGACCCCGCCGTCCGCGCTTCGGTCCGTACTACCATCAACCGCTTCCAGTCGCCTCCCACGCCGGAGGAAGACCTGTGGCACGGCCAATCGTCTGCTGACAAGACTCTCCATGGCCATGACACCGTCCTCGGGCAGGCACGCATTGACACCCTCAAGGTCTCGATCAGCAAGCTTGTTTTCGCAGCCGTGGCGATTCTCTGTCAGGTCTTCATCATCATGGCCGCAGCTTCCATCACGATCACGGTCTACACTGCTCAGAACGGCGAGAAGACAGACGGCGGCGCCATCATCGCCCTGATCGTCTCGCTCTTCGGGGTGCTGATATCCGGCACCTTTCTAGCCCTCCTGTATGCCCACCGCCTGGGCGGCCGAATGGTTCGCGAGTACACAGGCGTGCGCGTCGAGACGTTCCTCTTCAAGATGTCACCCGAGCGCGCCGCCTACTGGGGCGTAGCCTCGCTGACCGAGGTGGCGTTCCTGTCGACCGCCGCGGCGCTGACGGTGGTCGTCGTCAGATCTCGCGCCGGTCACGAGGCCAGCAGCGGCGTCGTCGCCTGGCTCGTGGTGTCCCTCGCCGTCTTCGTGATCCTGGGCTCGGCCCTGTCCGTCTTCTTCGCCCGCCGCGTCAGCGACCGAATCGTGCGCAACCACCGCGCCGAGCAGCGGGACGAGGAGTGGGTCGAGATGCACTCCGGCGCCCGACGCGACCTCTCTCACCATCCCGGCGACCAGAGCAGGCTCGCACGCGACATCTTGCAGTCTGCCACCCAGGACATGCAACAGCAGCAGCACCACCGCGGACCTCGTGCGCCCGACAGCGCCTTCTCGACCCAGCTCCAGCTCCACCCCCGTGCGAGCCTGATCGGCATCGCGCGCTCGGACTCCCTCATGCACCACCCGAACCAGACGCCCAGCATGTCCTCGGCGGCCTCGACCTACGAGTCCGAACACACGGAGAAGCCCATCATGCCGAAGCGCGCTTCCCGCTCCTGCTCGCCGGCGGCGGTGCACGTCGGTTCGGACCCCACCACCCCGCTGTCCGCCGAGGACATGTCCATGATCTCCATGGCGAAGCACCCGCAGCCGAGACCCGCTTTCGGCGGTGGCAGCGGTGGCGGCAACATCCCACACTCCCTCGCTGTGGCGGACCTGGCCTCCGAGGCGGCACAGGCGCCCGGGGTCAGCAGGTCCGGGACCAAGTCGACCATCGCCTCGCTGATCTCGTCGTACGCGTCGGCGGAGCCTGGCTGTGGCGGCCTGGTCGTCGTCGAGTCTGTCGAGCGGGCCTTCTCGCCCGAGACTCTCGCCCGACGACAGCCCGCTGTCGATGATGCCCCGCACTCGCGGCTGCCGGCCCTGCTGCGCCCCATCGTCACAGAGGCGGGCACGCCGAACTCGCAGAAGAGCGGGGACCGGGTCGTCGATACCTTCGTCGAGGTCGGCGGCGGCGGCGGTTTGAGGAGGGACTGGAGTTTTCGCGACGGACATGCCGCACGGTTGGTCAGCATGACGCCGATCGAGGAGAGGTCGGAGGCCGGGACGCGGTCGAGCCTGCTGACGACCGGGCGAAGGGCTTCGCTGCTGGCTCATGGGTCTGAGACGTCGGTTTATTGATTGAGCGGTGGCAGTTCTTGCGTTGCGTTGAACGAGGAAGACCTGCAGAAAATGCCATGATTCTGTTAACAGTGGTGTTTTCCTCTCCCACCCCGGATCCCGCTTGACTTGACCGTCGAAAGCCTTGTTATGGCAGCGTGCTCCAGATGCTTCGATGCGGAGCTTCTGTTCCAGCTCGAGACCTACTCTTCTTATTTTTGGGCTCTGCGGGTGTATGTCAGCAGAGAGCTAAAGATCAACGGGGCCTCCTTTTATTTTTCCAGGTGGTCACCTTGCACCAATGACATCAATAGGGTTGCTTGTACACTTCGACCATGAGAATTGCTGGGCAGCGGCATCGGAGAGCAGCTTTTGATTCGACAATTTTGGCCACGTTTCTGAGTCTCCTTGCAGATATATGATCTACATCGGTGGCCTCTCGTCTGCATCTCCCTTCAGGTTTGACAAAACGCTCGGCTGCAGGGCCATCTTTCTGGCGGCTGAGCTGAGGCACGATCCAGACACTGGCTGACCCACCGGGCACGCAGTGGAATGGCGAGCAATATAGTCAGTTGGTCGGGGCCGGAGGAGATTCGATTTGAGGAGGTCCGATTTGAGGAGGTCCGGTCCGCTATTCCAAGATTCTGGGGAATTTATTTTCTGCATTTGTTTCTTCCGGATACATGGAGCGTTTCGTCAGGTTGGCGCCGTGGCAAAGAACGAACACCACTACCTCAAGGCTTTTCATAGTATGCACGACGCTCGCATGGTTATTGGTCAATGCCACAACTTCTCATCGCATGGTAGGGAATGGTAAGGAGTTTTGGGGCTTCTGAGCAGATGAGGCACGGAGACATGAAAGGATTGATGGTTGCTCACAGATGCATCCTGTATAATAGGGACCCCGCTGGACCAGGGGCCAGGACATGCTCAAGGCTTGGGCGACCTGCGATCAGATAGGACGGAAATATGTCCAGGTGACAATAATATGAAGGACTGCTGAACGGTTTATGTGGTGAAGGATAAATCTTACTCCTGAGATCATGACCTATTCGTGACTTGTTCATTTTCCAAAACCAACAATTAAACTAGATAGCCTTCGCAGCTCTGGCGCGGTTCTCCCTGTTCCTCTTCTCCTTGCTGGCGGTCTTCCTGCGCTTCTTCCATGATCGGTTGAGATCGCCTCGATGCTCCCAGAACCAATTCTGGAACTCGCTCTTCGCCTCGGCCTTCTCAGCGGCCTTGATATCAGCGACATTAGCCATGATAGTATCCTCGCCTGTCTCGTCTTGCTCGGCGTCTTCTTCCTCGACGGCATCCACTTCAAAGCCGGGCCATGCGGATTGTGAGCGACTCGGGTGTGCCGTGTCGGGTGTAGGCGCCGCACTGCGGATGTTCCTGAAATCAAAGTCCTGCTTGCTATAGGGTGTCATCGGGTTCTGGCTCCCAGAGGGCGCAGTATAAGCTTCATCCTCGAGGTCATCGGCGTTTCCGAAGAAGCTGAAGCCAGCGTCGGGTGCAGCTTCGGTGCCAGCAGGTCGTTTGTACAGGGCCTCAAGGGGATGCACTTTGTCGGCCGCAGGGGTTACGGGAGGAATCTTGATGGTAAGACTTGTTGTCGAACTGGATGATTTGGGTCGTGCTGAATCAATCTTGGCTGCCGAGACGGGACTTGTCAACGATTGCACGTCGAGTTTCAACTGCTCAGAATCCTTGTGATCGGTGGCCGCGGAATCGTCCTTTCCATCATCACTATCCGAGTCTTCCTCGGAGGACGAGCCGCTGCTACTGGTATCGTCGGCATCTTCTGCGTCAAAGATGGAGCTTTTAGTTTCCTTGGAAGGTTCCGCCTGTACTGCTAGTATAGACTTTGGTGTCGATTTCTCTTCTTCTCCTTCTTTTTCTTCTTCTTCTTTCCCCTCCTCGTCGGACGACGAACCACTACTGCTCGTGGCATCGTCATCTGGCTGCGTGGCGATTGGTTTCTTGGCTTCTTGCTTGGCTGAAGGTCGCACGGCTGTCGACTCTTCCTCAGATTCGCTTTCTGAAGAGGAACCACTGCTGCTGGTGGTATCGTCATCAACCACGGGCTTGGGAGGTTTCTTCTTGTTCTTGGAAGATGTGGATTCGGCAAATGTAGGCCTCTTGCTCTTGGCGGGTTCGACGACGTTACCTTGGGCGTCTATCCATCCCCTTCCCTCTTCGAAAGTCAGAGGTTCCGAAGAGGTCGACACATTGGTCGTCTTCAGGAAGGTGGGGAACTTGTGTGCCTTTTCGAACTCATGGACGAGAACCTGACGGTCCGCCTTTCTCTTCTTGCGCTTGGGCGCATCTTGGCCGTCGTCGTCGTCGTCCTTTTTCGTGGCGGGTGGCTCGTTGGGGACTTGAGGCAGCTTCTGCTTGAACAGACATTCGGGGGCATCGGTGTACTTGGACTTGATCTCCCGCTTCTTGAGCTTCTCCTTCTTGCCGTCCTTGTCCTTGCTCCTGGTCTTCTCCCTGCGCTTTTCGTGGATCTTGTCGCTCTCGGTGACGGTCCAGCCTCGTTTGATCTTGCGGTCCTCGATGACGACGCCGTCTACAATGCTGGTGTCATATTTCCGTTTCTTGGACTCGTCCTTCTTGTCCTGCTTGTGCTGGTCCTTGGTCTTCTTCTCCTTCTTGGGCTTCTTGACCGCGTCGGCCATGGTGGCAGTGGGCTCTGGTCTGGACTCGGGGCGTGCCTGCTCAATGCGGACCTTGGTGCCCCTCAAGGTGGCGCCGTTCAGCTTCTTGCGCAGCTTGTCCGCGTCTGCAGTTGGCAGCTCGACGAAGCCGTAGCGCTTCTCGGGGAAGGTGTCGAGGGTGTGGTAAGAGATGTTGCGGGCTTGCGGCAGGACGGCGGCAGGTATGACAACCTTCAAGAGAAGCGAATCGAGAGGTGTGATGTGCAGACGGGTATATCCCTGGCTGTCGGAGGTCAAGGTCGATGTCTTTGGTGGAGCGTCCGTTGCCATCTTCTATCGATGAGTGAAGAGGACTGTCCAGCTCGTGCGACACGACGCGACACGAGGCTTGAAGTTGTTGGAGAAAGGAATTGCCTGGACGAGGCTTCGGGCGGCTAAATTGCTGCCGTTCAAGAGGTCCCTTTGGATGGGAGGTCGAGTGAGTGAGTCCCGTCGCATTCTTTTTTTCCTTGGGCCCGCTTTTCTTTTCTTCTCTTCTCTTTGTCGTCTTCTATTAGTTCGAGGGCCAGCGTGTCTAGCGCCAAGTCTAGTGCTGGATCCAGCGAACCTTACAGGGGGCTTGAGGCGCCCTTGAGGCGGTCGGGCGCTAAGGCTGGTCAACGAAGCTTAGTCAAAGTGTCCCAAATTGCTCCCATCTTGTATACTGTATCATCTCGAGAGTATGGCAAGGTAATCCGCGGATGTAGCCAAGTGTGAGACCGTGCATAAGTCTGGTAGACCACGACATGAACAGACGTGAATGCGCGATGATTCGGAGCCTCACACCCATCAGATACGGTAGTATGTATGATGTTCTTGTCTGTTTGGCACTCACGGTATTCAGTTTTCTGCCTTCTGCTTTCTGTCATCGTCCAGCTCGGGCTATATACATGCGAGCTTGTGTATAGTCTCTACGGTAGGACTTGATGATCATTTATGTCTTCTTTCGATCCACTTCTCTTCATCCTGTCACTCAAATCAGACCTTATCGCGGACCCGTTGATCATGAGTTCCAACAGGTGCAACTCGGGTCTTAAAAGCCTCTTCGGACAAAGTATGCATTTCGGACACCATCTCACAGCTCAACCTCACCTCCTTTCTAGCGCTTGCCGGGGTTCTCGTGGCGGGTCTTTCCGTACGTCAGTGCTTAAGCAACTCCCGTTCCTGTTCATCAACAATTGTTCCCGAGACTCGATATCAATCGCGTTGCATTTCTTAGTTGAAGGGAGTACACCAATCGTCCAAAATGTCTGCCAAAGCAACCCCTGTCAAGTTCGTCAAAGGCGTAAGTGCATCGAGTACTGCTCTACGGATGCATGACTGACAATCCCGACCAGGTCCTGAAGTCTTTCATGGCCGAGTCTGGCCTGGAACCGAGGTTAGTTGCCATTGGTCAAGACTCAACACTGTCAAGTCGCCCTCATGACCCTTGGGAGCATCCACTGACACGGCCATACCTGAGATAGACTATTTGGACCTCATGTATTGTCACTATGATCCTGTGTCCGCATCTTCATCAAGTGGCTGACATTTACAGCTGAGGGTTGTCAATGCTGTGCCCGGCAAGGTTGACTTTGAGTTGGACATTACAAAGGACCACACCGTTAGCGTTTCCTCTCCCTCTCCCGCTTCACAGTCAGCTGACCCTGGTTCTAGAACCGCCTGAAGATCATACACGGAGGTACTATCGCCAGCATGGTAGACCTTGGAGGCTCACTGGCTGTTGCGTCCATGGGCCTCTATGCGACAGGTGTCTCGACAGATCTCAACGGTAACATCCCGTTGCAAGTCATGTCGCAACAACGCTCTAACCGCTTCAAGTTACCTATCTAAGCAGTGGAGGGAAAGTCGGCGACAAGATTTCCGCAACTGCCACCTGCGATAAGAGTAAGTCGTGAAGACATCCCACAACTACTGCATTAGCTGATATTCTTTAACCCACTTAGTGGGCAAGACGCTTGCATACACATCAATCACGTTCAAGAATAGCAAAGGCGAGCTAGCTGCCCGTGGAAGTCACACTAAGTAAGTTGCTCTTGCGAATTACAATAGACTATGTCTAACGTGTGGCTTAGGTATGTAACACAGGCCTGGAAGTCTCAGATAGCTGAGCCCTATACGCCCCCTGAAGGTGTCAGCCTCGACCAAGTTGACTGATACGGCCGGCTTCCACACCAAAGTCACACTGCAGCCAATGTCATCTGAATATAGTTAGGGTCTTCCTCGAAGATAGAAATTCTTAGGCGTCATGGAGCTTTTGTATCAACTCAGATACAGTTGGCACACTCGCATAACCATGAGATATTTCGACCCGACCTCAACTTTTATTCATGGGCACACATGTCCAAAAGCTCGCTGAAAACAGTGCTCATCATAACTGCTCTTGGTGGCCACATGTACATGATGTTTCTGCCGTCGGCTTCCGTTTTCACAGAAACAACCATGCCAATAATTTGAGGATAGATGTATTGACCCCTTCCTGTAGGTATCGCCGGGTTGTCCTGGTGGTCGAAAGAACGCAACTGCACCCATGCACCCGCAAGAAATGATGGCATGGGTTCCCGCATTACACACCTAACGAGTGGTAGTGGCTTGTGATCCATATGGCTCGGTCCCTTACAGACGGAAATATTAATGTCTGTAACAAGCCCTCGGATGGTGCAGAGATCGTTTTTGACGATGCAGGGCATTGTTGGATCCGGGTCAATGAAAAGTCTTAGCTCGTGTGCGTCAAGGTAAGGAGGGAACTCAACCACGCGTCGCCCCCATCCTACTCTCCAAGTCCCTGCGCTGCTGATATGCAAAGCGTAGTTGTCGATATCCTCTCCATGCTGCGCCAACATAGCAGGGTCGAGTCGCCCGAGGCCAAATCCGAATTGTTCAGCCCTGTAGATTTTAGTCGCGACGCGAGTCAACATGTCGCTTTCTGCATATTGTCCTGGTACTCCTTGTGCTGTACGTAAGCGTGGTGCCTCAGCGCAATCCCGATGGTGCAGTTGGCTTTGGTGGTCGGTTGCCGCACAAAGACGCCAGGTATCGTCGATCATTCGCAGTCCGATGAGGAGATAATAACCATGGCCGTATTTGAGAATGCTGGGGGCTGTGTAGTTGCCACTTACGTTTGCTTGCAAGTATCGTCTGCCGGGTGGCGGGTCATGATTTGTGTAGACCATACGGTTCATGCGCCAATATGGGGACCTTTCAGGGATAATCCAATCGAACTCGAGAATGAAAAAGGACATCTTTGCTTATAATTAAATGTCCCCTGTCGGTTTTTCAGCTCGGAGATTGTTGGTGTTTAGACTTTAAGTAAGAAGTGATCAGTCGCAGGCTTCGAATTTATATAAAATGCCTTCCCTGTTATCAACATGGAAAACCTGACAAGGGAACGTGATTTACAACCGCTTGTTACAAGCCATTGTGGGCGAGACTGATGACTGGGCAAAATGGTTTAATTCCTTCCGCAAGAATCATCAACCCAAGATTCGAGTATACAAATTCTTTGTCCTCAAATCCCAACTTCCACTATCCATCCCGTTTCGAAAAGGGCATCAAGTGGCGCCACTGAACCGAGTCTCGGAACTTGTCGCCTATTCCGCAGCTTCAGCGCAGTGACATAACGTCGAGCAAGTCTTGAAGTTGCTTGGTGAATCATGACAATCGATTACGTGATTCGATTCGCCCTGTTTATTGCGTTGTCTGGTTGCCTCACGTATAATATCAGATCTACTTCACGGTAGATACTGTAGTGTGAGCCTACGGAATAAAGAACTGATACACGAATGTGCTTATTATGTGGGCTGTGGCATTGGTACAGAAGGGGACTCGCTGGAATCTATACAACAATACCACATTGGAACTAGGAGTATATTTTCATGATTCAGGAGCAGATCTTGACGCAGTACTAGGGTAAGAATGACCACGAGTGGGGTAGACGAGTCCTTGTGTCTTCGCTTGAAGTTCTTGGTGATTTGTTGAAACATGTTCCTATCCTCGCATCTGACTCACTGCACATGAGCGAATTGAGTATGCCGCTCCAAAAGTGGCCTCGCTCTGAAGTTAGACGAGAAACATGGCCACCAACGTGTTCGACAGCCAAATAATGTTACGTATAACGATAGACGCCAAGGCAATAGCTCTGACTAAAAGCTGCTTAACATACTCCTCTTCATGTTTCTCTGCAGCACTCTGTTTCAAAAAAAGTTGAATTGGTTTGAAAACAAACTCACATCAAGAAACAGAAATGGTGATAGCCCAGCAAATGTGGTCCCGGGTTGGTCGTTTCACTTCACTCCGGAGATATCTTGAAGGGCCTCGAGCTATAATTAGGAATAATTGTATCTGACGAGGATGAATCTTCTAATCCAGACGATGTACAAATCAAGGATCATACTGATTGGAGGTACAGCTTTTACGACAACTATGGCCTCACATAACCCCGATATTAGAGTAAACTCATCTCAATCAACAAAAGGCTTACTTACTTGCAGAAATTGTATTGAGAGTACTAGTTTTCCCTTGTAGGGTGAATATCTATATAAAAACTTGATGTTATTTATATTAACGTCGGAAGTAAAAATAAATACATGAAAAGCCGGTGTTCTACATGAGGTGAACTATAATACATTCCAACGAAGTACAGAAATAGCGGAGCGCAGTAAGTACGTCCTCGTTATTAGTTCTGTTTATTACGGGAGTTCGCATGGATATGGTCGGTGATAGAGGGTTAGAGTCATATCATTATGGTAGTAATCATCAGTATTGGTTTTGATGTCTTTTGGGATGTCGTTGATCGCTTGAGTATCATGTTAATAAATTATGTCATGCGACATTACTGGCCTCTTGGACACCAACATTGTACAGGAAGGTGCCCTCGTGGATTGCAAGTGCTACCTCACCATCCAACTAACCGTAGGAGGTGCGCCAGGAGTCAGCACCGTTGGAAAACCAGGTGTAACCGTAGTTCGGCCCTCCCCTGGTATCGAAGCAGCCTCCAGCTGGATCGTTATAAAAAGGAGCAGGATGGTTTTGACCAAGTTGATAGCCACCGCCGCCAGCTACAGTTTGCCAGGTACCAGTATATTTCGTGGTGAAGTCAGGGTAAATGGGCTCTAAAAAGATCTACAAGTCATACTGCCAAATTAAATTGTACCCATAGCTCGCCGCAATATTGGCTAGGTCATGAAATCGTTGTTACGGAGGGTGTCTAACGGCTACCTCGCTTGTGGCCATTACTTGAATATATGGCAATTAATCCAAAGAGTAGCGAAATTAAGTGTAATCAATCTCGCCTAAGGGGAAAGTACCTCCCTGGGAGGCATTGGAAGTAGTTTCACAGTCAATTGATCTGCAACAGCGTGGGTTCCAATTATCGAATCTACATTGTACATGAAATATTATAAGTGATGTGATATGATAGAAAGACCAGCAATCTATTGGTTATCCACGGCTCGCAAAGATGTGGAACTAATGAACCCTTACGCATATTACGATGTACATGATTAACTAAGTATCCACTGTTGTAGTGCAGAACGGCACTAGACTAGGCCGATTCTACCATCAACAGAATGACTGATCGTAACATAACCTTTGCTTAAGATATATGTAGCCTTATTACTTTTATATATGCTCGTCAGAGACTGGCTAGCCACGATATAGAACAAAGGCTTACCAAGCGGAATTTGAATAAATAAAGCTATTGTTGCTGTGCGGTCAGTCATCCGGTGGCATATATTAAGACTGATCTGTAACACTCATATAAGAGCTTATCCACTGGGTTATCGATTTATTATCATCACTTACAAGTAATATTCGAAAGCAACTAACATAACTTCTCTTCAGAGATTTCTACTTTGTGAAACGAATAATATGGACTCTACCAGCAATCAATCCAGATCTACAGGAGCTACAGGCCCGATCCGGCGCTTTGTTCATCGATCGCCGTTGCAAGAGGGCAAAACCTTTCATGGTCATACCATTCTAGCCACAACCACTGATCCTGCGTTTAAAGACATCATACGTATAAAAACAAATGGGAACAAGATCATGTATGCTATCAATGTGCGTGGCTCACTTGAAGACGGATTTCAGCGTCAGGTGAACGGTCACCTCCTGGACGACCTACCGCCAGTGGCAAATGAGGATGAAAAGTGCTTTTGGTTGGAACGTCATGATGGAGAAGACTCAGCATTCAAGCCGTGTACGGCCGGTACACCCAAAATCTGTGACCAAGTGCCATATAACAACGTGGGTAACCCCGTCCCGGTTTATGATTACATATCGTTTGAGAAGGTTCCCTCAAGGGTTCCCTCAGCCCAGAGGAACCTCGGTCGTTGGACTGAGAGGGCATGCGTAGTGACGCATCCTTACGTTGAGGGCAAAATGGCTATGCGCATCGTCGAGTTCCCTGAGTGCCTCCACGATCACCCGCTGACCAAGCTTGAAGAGGACCGACTGTCTGGCAACGCCATCACACTCATGTTAAACCCGGAGCCAAGAATAGAACCGACCCAAAGTCAAAGAATTTTTCAAGAAATCGAAATCTATATCTTAATGTCTACATTCTTCATTGCTCCTGAAATGGTTGGGCTCGTGATGGAAGAGGGCCGTGGCATCATTGGGTATGTGGGCATATTCGTAGAGGATTCAATGACGCTAACGTCGGCAAGTCAAAGATGGACTGGAGAGGAAGAAGCGAATGCCGACATTTGTGAGGCTCTTCAATTAGTCGCACGAATGCATGAATCGGGCATAATCCACGGAGATCTTCGCTCTGCAAGTATTGTCAAGCAAACTGATGAGAGTATGTACATTATAGACTTCGAGACCGCGTATTATTTGGGCAAAGGCGACCTCTCTGACGAAGAAGAAGATGTTGTGAAACAGAAAGAATATTCTGAATTTAGTGGAGTGTTAACCCAGTTGCTGACGGCCGCAATGAATCGATGGTAGAAAGAAGCCGACACTAGAAAGAGCAAACTGGAGAGATCATATCGGAGATGTCACCGAGATGTTTCATATTTTAGGTTTCGACAATTAAGAAGGCATGATCTCCGAGAAGGACAAATACGTTGAACGGGCTCTCAAGAACAAAGGGACGGTACCGGGTGGCGTTGTACTAGGATTAACACAGGCCAAAATAGACCGAAAATGGATGTAGAAACATACCAGGAGCTCCTTAAAGTTATGCGCATCGTACCAAGCTATCAAAGTTATATTGCCCGCTGCGACAGCTTTTGACCAAAATCATCTACAGTACAACACTCCTGTCAGATCATATATTGTACTTCTTACACTGTTGGATCATGGCACGTGGCAGTCAGTTGAGGCAAATAAGATGGCAGGTGCCGGAATATAACCTCCCATATCTCCACATGCATTGCACCCCTCTTAAGTTAGTCCAATCACTGCGGGTTCTTGTAAGAACTATACCATCCATTTTTTGGCATAATATCCGCCAGTGAGTCCAGCCAGAAAACCAGATCCCACCAACCACATCTGATCATGGAACCAAGCACCACAACTCTCCGGCCGCTTCAGATCCACATCGTATATATAATAAGCCATAGCTGCCGCGACACCGCCAACGGTGCCGACGAAATAGATGCTACTAAAACCCGCCCATATGCCGACCAACGCAAGTGAAAGAACCTGGGCGACTGACAAGACACTCGCCACGATCTTCGTGCTGTTCTCAAAGCGCAAAGCCATGCTCTTGACGCCCGCCTTCGCGTCGTCCGCGACGTCCTGATGCGCGTAGATGGTATCATACGTGATAGTCCAAAAGATATTGGCGGCGCACAGGGCCAAGGTCGGCCCCCGCACACCCGCCTGGAGAGGATCTATCCCGAGCGCGGCGACGCTGAAGACGATGGCCCACGCGACTGGGAACCCGAGGAACACCTGCGAGTAGAAGGTGACGCGCTTCATCAGCGGGTAGACGAAGAACAGGACCAAGGCGGCCAGCATGTGCGGCGTGCATGCGGCCGGGAACAGCGACATCAGGGGACACATGGCCGCCAGCTGCGCGGCGGTGAAGATGTGCGCGTTGCGCGTAGACACGGCGCCCCGGGCGATGGCGCGATGGCGGCACCGCTCGACCCGCCTGTCGAACTCTTGGTCGAAGTTGTCGTTCCAGGTACAGGAAGCACCTCGGAGTAGGACGTTAAGAAGCAGGAGGATGGCACCGAACTTGAGGACGGCTAGGGGTTTGACGGGCACAGGTGAGATGCATGCGGCGTACATCAAACCAATGAGAAATGGGAAGTAGAAAGCATACAGGCCCGCGGGGCGGTCGAGACGCATCAGTTGTGCGTATGGAATCCACAATGACGGAAGCTTAGATACTATGCCCGTAGTGGGATCTTGATGGGGCGGCAAATGAGGAAAGAAATTGAGGCTTTCGCTGGCTGGGGGCGACTCCCGCTTCGGAGCGTAGACGACATCCTGGAGTGTCTTTGTCTTGGTTGTCGCCATGACTTACTGAACAGTTCAAAATATTAATAACAGTACACGATTTACCACACGCAAATTCGAGGTAGAACGAGTCGTGAAAGCTTTCGAAATAGCATGATATAAGAAAAGAATGAAAATCAATAGAAAAATATGAAAAAGCTGAATCTGCGATAGCTAACTGTCCTTGAACAACGACATCATATCATATTGCTGACGATATATCCCTGACGATAAGTATAGCTTGCATATGCAATGGCACTTTTGATGATATGATCTTGCTGATGAGTAACGATGTGGGTGCAAGCAGCACCTCATACCCATTGTCAGTTGTGAATGGCTGATCTTGAGCCAAGATGTAGTATTAATTTCACTAGTGCTTACAAGACCCACAGCTCAACCGTCCGTTTCGACCGACTATATTGTACGTTATAAACACCACAGAATACGAGATAATCCACGCCCAGTCAACCCCGGTTCTTATGGATGCCACGCGTATGCTACAGTGTAGGGCGTTCTATGTAGGCCAGAAATGGCATCCGAGCATCTTAGGATGCCTATAGGGGGAAGGTTGCACAACCACCAATTCCGCGAAACTGAAGCAATCAGGCCAGGCTTCGAGTTAACCAAAAAGAAACCCCCCCCCCCCAAAAAAAAAAGTTAAGACCACAAAAGAAATATAATTTCTATTGAAGATAACCTACTAATTACTAAAGATATATGAAGAAGCCAAGCTGTCCTGAGTACTTCGATGATAGGTGAAGGTATGCGTATCCGTGGTGCTGGCCGCGTGGACCGCTCGGCATTATCACAGAAAACCAGCGCAAGAGACCCCCTGCCAATATAGTTCCTCTGAAACCGTACCAAAACGATCGGGGGGTGGTAATGGACCCATTATAGTTGGAAGCTTCGATGGAAGATTGGTCAAATCTCTGCAGGCCGCCAATGCAATTCAAGCAATATTCAAAGATATGTAAGAGGCAGAGAAGGCTGGAACAATGTCAAGCATGACCCTTGCGGGTGGTGAGAACGAGTAGTATTGTATTATATTGACGGGGAAGCCTGGTTATTGTCCAGATTGCCACAAGAACCCGGAGTTGCACCACAGGAATTTAGGCTCGATAAGTTCTTTTAATTGCCGAAAAGTCGCTGGTTTTTCTATTGGTGACTATGTAGCGTATTGACCTTTCATGTTGTGGGAGCGCCCACCAAGTCAGCCATCATGACCCCTTTCCGCCAGCGCTTGTTGCCTTCACTCTTAGACGAAATCGCCGCAGCGGACCCAGGCCGCATTCTCTACTCCGTGCCACGTACAAACTACCCCAAGGATGGCTTTGTTGATATTGACGCGAAGACGTTTGCTCGTGCAGTTGACCGCTGCGCCTGGTATATTGAGGATACCATCGGGCGGGGAGAGGGCTTTCCCACCTTGACATACCTGGGACCTCAAGACATTGTTTATGGAATCTTGCTTCTGGCTAGCGTAAAGACGGGCTACAAGCTGCTTCTGAACTCGGCCCGCAATACTCTCGAGGCACACTTGAGACTTCTTGAGCAGACTGAGTGCAACACTTTCTTGCATCCTCCCAGTTATTATCCACTTTCGGTAGTTGAAAAAATTCTATCCGCCAGAAAAATGCGTGTAGTCGACATTCCGGGGCCGGAGCACTGGTTGGAGGATGGCCATGCACTACAGTATACTTGCAACAAATCATTCGCAGAGGCTAGACTTGAACCGTTCACGATCCTGCATACGTCTGGATCTACGGGCATGCCAAAGCCCATCACGCAGACACACGCCACCGTGGCAGCTCAAGATGCTCTGGCAAGCCTGCCATCACTAGGCCTCGAGCCTGGCTTTCCAGCGATGTGCACAGGCACGCGAATGTACATTGCAGTTCCGATCATCCATTGTGCAGGGCTCTTGATGTTTCTCTCTGCAATCTACGCTAAATACACGGTAGTTTTAGGCCCTTTTCCACCATCGGCGGAGGTGATCAACGCGGTTCACGTCCACGGCAATGTGCAACACAGTGTTCTTTCTCCAGCAAGCCTAGTTGATCTGGTCGAGAATTTAGAATACCTGGACAATCTAACTCTGCTGAAACAAGTTACGTACGGCGGGGGACCACTGCCGAAGGAAATCGGGGAGATAGTCAGCACAAGAACACGACTATTTGCTGCTCTAGGGTCGACCGAGTGTGGACCTATCGCGTCCGTATTGAACGAGCCTCAGGATTGGGCTTACCTGCGCAACTCTCCCGTGCTTGGAGACGAGTTTCGTGAGATATCGAAAGGATTGTATGAGCATATAATCGTTCGCGACCCGAAGTACGAGGCTTTTCAGGGTGTCTTCGGGACTTTCCCGGCTTGCAGGAATGGTCGATGAAAGATGTCTACTCTAAACACCTCACCAAAGAAGACCTTTGGCTCCATAGAGGGCAGAGTAGACGACGTTATTGTGTTTTCAACGGGCGAAAAACTGAACCCCATCGATATGGAAAACGACATTAATAAGAACCGTTCTGTCAGCTCAGCACTAGTCACTGGCGTTGGACGGTTCCAGTCAGGCCTACTAATTGAGGCTGTCAAACCGCCAACCAGCGATATTGACAAGAATGAGCTGCTCAGTATAATCTGGCCATCTGTAGAGGCTGCGAACAAGCAAAGCCCCTCGCATGCACGCATACACCGGGACATGGTCATTTTTACAACAACTCAGAAGCCTATGCTTAGAGCTGGTAAAGGTACTGTGCAGCGCCAACTGACGATCGAGATGTACGCAGATGAGCTCAATGCGCTGTATGAAGCGAGCGACGAAACGTCCTCTATTTTCACGGATGCGGCGACCGAAGACTACCTGATCGATGACGCCGAAAGTACTAAAAAGTACGCAGATGCGAAGGAGTTTGTAAGCGACGGCTGTAACGTATCTGTTGCCTTGAAAAATATGATTGCTCAGGCCACGGAAATCGACGTGAATCAAATATCGCCTGATACAAACCTCTTCGAGCTGGGTCTAGATTCCCTACAGGTGATTTTAATTGCCAAGGAAATCAAAAAGCTATTATTCGACCGTGGCGTACGGCAGAAATTCGAAGCTAAGACCTTGTACTCGAACCCCAGCATATCTTCACATGCTTGGTGTGTTGTCCGCCATGATCGAAGGGCGGCCCCTAGCAGGCGAGGGCAAAAGCGACTTGCAAAAGATGCAAAGCATCTTTGATAGATATGCAGCTCATATGCCGATCAGTGCTAGAGAGCCAGCGCCAGTCGCTTTGGAAGGAGCAGTCGTTCTTCTTACGGGATCCACAGGCTCCCTAGGGTCGTATGTCCTTGACTTGCTGCTGAGGAATATAGCGATTAGGCATGTGTACTGCTTAAACCGCGGTCCCGAGAGTGGTCGTCGCCAGAAAGAATCGCAATCTGCGAAGAAACTGCAAGCACTTGCCGATAATGTCGAGTTCTACACTGCAGATCTATCCAGGCCATACTTTGGCCTGGCGATTAAGGAGTATCGGATACTCTTACGGGAAGTCACAATAGTCATCCACAACGCTTGGCAGGTTGATTTCAACCTCAACATCGACTCGTTCGCGGATCATATTGGCGCGGTGAGACGGTTCATTGATTTCTCCACGCAATCCAGATATGGCGCGAAAATCACCTTTGTTTCCAGTGTCAGTACCCTTGGAGGATTATTGCACAACTCGGCGCACGGTGCGCCGAACTTGGAGAGGATGTTTGACGATTGGGATGCACCAGAACCGACAGGTTACGGACAATCCAAGTTCATAGCAGAACGACTGCTTGATACGGCAGCCAGAGAAGCGGAAGTGCCTGCGATACTTCTCCGTGTAGGTCAAGTGGCGAGCCCGACAACAGACGCTGGCATATGGCCAAAGCAGGAATGGCTACCCAGCTTGATTGCCAGTTCGAGGTTTCTGGGTGAACTACCCCCATCGATCGGGAAAGTGAGCGCGATTGACTGGATCCCTGTCAATGACCTCAGTCATAGTATCGTGGAGATTGCTACTAGCCAATCGGCGGCGAAACTGACTGAACAGGGCGCGGTAGTATACCACGTTGTTAACCCACGAAAGACAAGCTGGGAAACATTAGCATCCATCTTCCAGAAGTACTGGGCCAGCGACAAAGCTGTCAAAATGGTGTCTCTGGAGACGTGGGTTGAATCGTTGCGCAAGAGCGCGTCGGCGTTCAGCGTCGAAACCACGTCACAAAATCCGGCAGTCAAACTGCTAGACTTCTTTGAAGGGCTAGTGTCAGACAGTGCGGGTCCTCCTGTGCTGAATACTCGAAACGCTATTGAAGCGTCGCCAACTCTCGCGGGTATGGATGAGATACAGACATGGCACATTGAAAATTGGATGAGACAATGGGGCTTCTGAGGCACTTGGGTTTGGTTGATACTCCATATCAGTGGGAGTTTGCAAGCGCTTCAGCCGCCCCTGATGATGGTGACACGATGGGGAGTGAGCTCCCCGGGGATTCGAATCCTAATGCACGGCCCCGGGATTGTGTAATGTAATGACCAGATCTGGCAAGATACACAGTTGTCGACCAAATTTCCATGTGCCATTCTTCGAAAGCTTTCTCAGGAGCTCGCTCAAATCGAGACCTTGGTTATTCATCATACAAGCCGGAAGGCCGCCCAAATCTGTGCTGTGTCTTGATGATTGTCGAGTCGGATGTTCCTTGCAAGAAAAAGATGGAACATGGGCACATTCAACATGGCAAATCAGCAATTGACGTTCAAATGTCAGTGCAGTTTCGAGACGAAAGTTTGGAAGCGTAGTGGGGGTCACATGAAATAGTATTCTTGGTGAGTGACTATCAAGTGCCTAATAATGCACACCCTCCCTCCACCTAGTCCTCAACAAACCCCCTCCAAAAGCCTTCCAATCTTCCAGTCTAGCTTATGTGTTCCATAACCGCAACCGATTGATTCGCGACAGCGAAGTGGTGTATGATGAGGTGAAGTCAAGACTTCATGAGATGTAGTATAGGAGATGCTTATTTGCCGCAGTTGCAGGTGGTGCCGCAAGAGCCTGGAGAGAGAAGCAATGTCAATACCGTGTACCAAGAGGTCAAGTCGAGGCGGGGTAGCGGGGTAACCGCCGAAGGGAGAAAAGAACTTACAGGTCTGACCGCAGGAGCAACCGTCACCCTTCATTTTGATGGATTTGATAGTCGAAAATTGACTTGTGTATGTGTGTGTAGTTGGTATTGTGTTTGTAGTAGACTGGATTGTGTTGTTTGTTGATTTGCCTGTGGTGAATGGGGGATGTGGCATGGTTGAAGGGGTCCAACAGGGCCCTTATATATCCGAAAGGACCCTGATCTGCGTTGGTCGATTCGCCCCACCGCTCCTGTTCGGGCCAATCAAGTAGTGCGTTTGGACCTGCGCGGTTTGTGCGTAGATGCGTCTTTTCTGCGTAAAACCGCCCCGTCAAAAGGGTCCGACCGCATTCGTGCCTGCAGACCCCAAAGTCATGCGCCTGGGCGCCTTCTCCCTTGAACCAAACCAAAGCAAACCAGCGTTCCGCAAGCTAACAAAGGTTATCTCGTTCTTTGACAGCGGGCTGTCCACGGCTGCCTGACTCAGATTTTAGCGTTATCATACACACTTGGCTGGGTTAGTTGGCTAGGTATTCGGCAATGTAGAGTAGCAAGCCTGACTAAGGTTATGTGGTTCTACACTACTTACTACCTCAGCCTTCAATGAAGAAGCATCAATCAGGACCATTCCAAATTATTGAACCACGTAGCCAGGCTTGCCAGGATAGCCAGGAGTCCCCGTGAAATGCGGGTGAGACACAGTTTATCCCAGTTTTCGTTCTTTGTCAGTCTTGCCATTCTGCGCAGTTTCCGTGCGAACCATCGTCCGTCGATCTTGCCACCAACGGCCAATCCCATCCTCGATTGTGACGACATGGGACGCACCTGCGCCAAGACCTCAAACCGTAGCTCACGCATCATTCCAGAAGCCTGTACCCTAGGCATCGAGACTAAGTCCAGCCCCAGCCCGATCTCAGGTCTGGCAGCTGGGTGGAAAAATTACAGTTACCTACGAGCATCTTCCTTTTGTTGGGCTCTCTTGAGGTGGTTGCTAGCTTCCGGGACACCATGGTCGTCGCAGCATTGGATTCCGCGACGCCCGCGACTAGCAGTAAACTAAAGTATATCTTGTTGTTAACCTGGCTGGGAAGAGTGCATTCCAACATCCTCACTGTTGCGGTATCATATGGTAATGGCTAATTTGCTATACCGACGCGAGCAATTTCGTACGTGGCAACGTCTCGCCAGCACAAACCACGGATCATTCCCAGTGTTCTAGGACAGGATCCAAGAGCGTCACATTGCAGAAGGAGCAAGATTTCATTTGACAGTCGCGTTTCGATCCCCGCGCATGCATGCAAGTCCACACCCACCTCATGTGTAACTCGGGACACTGCGCCAAGACCCTGATCCCACGTCTGCCAAGAAACTGCCGACATCAATTCGCATCGATAGTCGAAGTAGAAGGCAGGAAGGTAAGCTGACGGCCAGTGCCTGGTGGCCACTCCAGACCCGAGGAAGCACACATTTCATCTGATGAACCAAAACTTGCGCGTGCGTAATGCTTATCTGCTGCTTGGACGTTGAAACATCGAGACCCGCTCTGATGTGCATTTCAGTGCCGGCCGGTTTTTCGGGCACAGACGTGGATCCTGACATCCGCCGCTTACGGTATAGAGCGAGCGCCTACCTTCACGTTGACGTGCCGTTCAGCTGGATCGTCTTGTATACCAGGACAGAAGAGCCGGGTCATTTACAACTCCTTATTTTCGTGACATCGTAATGTCAAGCTGTATGTACTAATAATAGCCATGAATAGACTAAACTTACACTATTCATCGTAATGTTCTTTCAGTCAGCGCATCGTTCACAAGCTGGGAGTCGCTATACTATGCCCACCTGTTATACTATGCCAGATTGCTTGTGTTATCGATGTTGGCTGTAATTGGTTGGAGATAGTACGTTGGCTCCCTGAAGACAGCGCTCCTACTGTACACAAGCATCACATTTCATGCCTGTGTTTGGCTGGACTGACAATTGGCCATCTCCCCACTAACCTGTGGAGCTAACATAGGTTAGTATCCACTAAGACTTTGATCATGTAGTCAGATAGAATGTCACCTATCTTTCGCATCAGTCAAATCCGGAATAAATGCCACACCGAGTAGCAAGGCGATGGTAAGCGGTCGATCGACCTCAAATATAGAACGATAAACAATCATGTTACTGGATCTGAACACCAATAACCTACTCGTTTATGACCTAGCGGTTAAGTTTTATGGGACAACTGATAGACAGAGTGCGGTACTTGTCACGACTAAACCGCATCTGCTGACAAAATATGCGAAAGCGCAATTCTATTTTATAGCTTATTGAATTGTAGCGTTGGAAGTACGTGTGATAGTCTCAACTACATATAGTTTAGAACACATGAGTGCTGGGCGGCTGGTCTCAAACCAGGCTAGTGTATACATGTTTGTTCGTTGCCCGATGTGGTAGTATTATTTCAAGGTTCTCGCACGAGATTTTACCGAATTTATGATCAAAAATGTCCTGAAATTCAGAGATTCTCATGCCATGCCCTCCATGTTATGCTGATGTAAGGGATGTAGCAACTAACCAGCTCTAGACAAATACGAGCTATTATATCCACCACCCGCCAACTGACTAGATGAGCTTTCGCCTCTCAGGCTTTGGTTTCGTTTCTGTGCCTATCAAAATGTCCCGGCTTTTGACAGCAGGGCTCGGCCGTTCTAAATTATCTGACGCGCACTCAGATTGACTCTCGGGCACCACGCGACTAAGACTTGATCCTGAGCATGCCGGTTCGAGCACTGGGACATCGAGCAGGATAATCTTCGCTTCGTCACCGCAGAGGTCTACTGCGAACACCAGGCCCCCGAATTCTACAACTTGCTCTTTTTCGATGTCCTTTTCCTCTATGAAGTGCATTGGCGCAACTGGCGCTACCCTTGTCCCACTGGCCTCCATCTCACGTACGCCTTCGGGTCGGCATTGGCAGTAGCGACATTCCACGCTGACACCATTCTCAAAAGGGCACTTCTCATGCGTAAAGGTTCTCTCAAGATTTCCGAGTTTATGCAGGATGTCCTTTCTGGTCCTGGTTGCCTCGCCTTTTGATTTGGTCGTCTCTTGACGATGCTTCTTTTGCTGACGAGCATATAACGTACTCGCCACCTGGGTGATTTCAACCTGCAGCCGGGCGCAGAATTCAGACCAGGAGAGATGCAACTGTCTAACCCTTATGAAGCTTTCGATTCTGGCCCTTGACTGTCGCAATTCCTTCGGTTCTGTCTGCGCAGGGGCTACTTTGCTCGCGGCAGCCTCCTTCGCTCCTCGCCGGGGTTGTACTCTTGTCGGCCTGGGGGCGCTGGCGTTCATGTTACCGTGCGTACGTCCAAAGCCCGCAACCAGCCTGGCCAGTCGCGCCTCCTCCTTCTCGAGCTTCTCTGCCTCCAGGGAATAATAAACCAAACACTCTTGCAGGAAATGCTTCTCGCAGTATGCTTGATACAGCGGAGGAGGCCATGCCCTTTTCTGGGCAAGATCCCATTCCGAGATTGGCGAGACGACGATTCCTTGGGTTTTCGCTATGACCGCTAGACCTCCGTATGGATCCCCCAGATGTCGCGGATTATTCTGTGTAATCGACGGTACAGGATCGTGGCCCGAACTCGACGAATGCGTTGATACTTCAGGCATATTTCGCATGGCATGCTCTAGAATTCTTACGCATGTATTGCGGGTTTATGCCGTACGATGATTCCTATTCATTCCTATATATTGCCGAAGATCGATACTAGTTTCTACTCGGCTTTGTTCATAATTGCTCAACAATAGACTCGTGTATAAGCTGGTTGACAAAGCATTTTACCGAACGTTTCCGGGAAACAATAAACAAGCAACAACAAAGCCATACTAGTGCACTGAGGTCAGCAACTAAAATCAGGTCTTGTATTGACTGCCATCCTGGCCTGGCCGGTTTTGAGCCTTGGCCTCAGTGCCTTAGCTTTGAATCCGCGTGTTGGTTTATATTTGATCAGCCATCTGTTTGGTATATGTAAAGATGATCAAATCGGCTCACAAGATTGTGAGCCAATGCCTCGCCCGATACATACGTGAAATGTGTGAGCATTGGCCCCTTCCGGCGCCGTTAGTGGAGCCCCGGGCCAATTGCCACCACGACTGGGCTCTCGCCATAGATGCGCGTCTGTTTACAAACTTACTGGTTCAGGCAGCCTGGAAGCAAATGCTAATATCAAGCACTACATAGGGCAAAGACAAGATAACTGAGATGTATGATGCGGGGAATTGGATGACGTTCGTTCGTCGTTGTCTCTTCGTTCAAGTTAGTGATCTACTTATTCCCATCTGGAATACAGAATACATAAACCTCCAGGCATTTCTTAGTCTAGACTAGTGCAAAAGAAACGGAACCTGGTGCTTGCAAACGTTAGTGCTTAGTAGAGAGAACATCGAATGGTCATTCGTACTCCCTTAATGATTCAGCAACACGGCTCAAGCTAATACTTGCTGCTCTTAGAGCACATGCGTTGAGGTGTACGAGAATTGGATAGGGAGCACGACATGTTGACTCTAAACGCCCCCAAAAAGAAAATCTTCTGTCTTCTCTCGAGATCACGAGGATGTTTAACCTACACGCGGTAGCGCACTCGATTTTGGCATTGATCGCCAATCGAATGTACAAGTCGTCTGGAAAGCAACTGCGCCACAGTGTTGGCGCGCTAATTCCTGACGGTGCAGGGATTCATTCTCACGAGCTAGACACCTTGAGATAACAATGCGAAGCGGTCGGCCTGGCGTAGAATAATGGACATAATATTTTTTTTTTTTTTTACATCCATCGTTTCGTCCGCTTCGATTCATGTCACCGATCCGTCCTTGTAACTCTCTTCTTTCTGCGAGCCGAATTATGAGTCCGCCGACGACTGTCGCCGTTATTGGCGCTGGTGAGGGGACTCCTCTCTGTAATACCTGAACGCGGCACTCAAGACTGATCGGACTTTAGGAAGCACGGGCTTGTCTATGCTCAAGACGCTTCGCGAGGATGGATTCCAAGTTACTTGCTTTGAACGGAGGACTCAAGTGGGCGGGTTGTGGGCCTATACCACCGACAAGTCCATGACGACCGCGTTGCGCAGTATGTGCTATCTATCGAGGCAGCGCGTCGATTCACTCACTCTCAAACCGGGCTGATGCGTTCACAGCGACGGTCGCAAATATCAGCAAGTATACTTGCGGCATGTCGGACTTCCCTATGCCTGATAGTAAGCACCCACGGTTGATTAGTGATGGTAATATGTTTGCTGACTATAGTCAGAATATCCTCATCACCTGAGTCAGGCAGACTTCCAAGAGTATATGGAGTCTTACGCCAAGCATTTCGACATGCACAAAGATATTGTTTTCGGAGCCTCTCTGAAGCAAGTAGTCCGAACTCTGGATGACACCAAATGGCGCTTGGAACTAGAAAAGGATGGCAAAATCATTTATGAGGAGTTCGATAAAGTAGCCCTTACTCATGGGTACCAGACCCAGGCAATTACGCCAACGTTCGAAGGCCAAGAGAAGTTCGAAGGTACTTTTATTCACGCGCAGCAATACAGATCGTGAGTCGTAAGGCACCATTGGAAACTTGGCTCTTTTTTTGACAGTTTTTACTAGAGCGGAGGACTTCAGAGGCAAGAAGGTAGTGATGGTTGGGCTTGGCACCACGACTGGGGACGTTACTGCTGAGCTCATTCCTGTCGCTTCGAAAGTCTACGCTGCGCACCGGCGGGGCTCTCTCATTGTCAAACGATGGCGGAAAGGCACCCCTACTGATCTCGTTGTCAGTTGGCGAAAGCGGCAGATCAACAACTGGCTTCAGAAGAACTTCCCGGACGCAGCAAGTTGGGTTGCGGATATTGCGCTCCGATTCTTGTTGAGGCAGGTATGGGGAAAGTTTGATCCTGTCTGGCGGCTAGAGCCTTTCCCTTCAGTGTTTCTGTCCCTGCCGTCTTCCTCGGAGACTCTCATACCAGCGCTTCGGGATGGGTCTTTGACATCTCTTTGGGGATTGAAGCGTTTCGTTGGGCCTCGCTCAATCGAGTTCGACGATGGGACCATAATTGAGGATGTCGATGCCGTAATATGCTCTACCGGCTACAAGGGTGACTTCGGCGTGGTTCCATTCCTGGAGAAGAGCCGGCCGGCTAACTATCATGGCGAGGAACTCGCACGACTCTGGATGAATATGTTTCCGACGCAGTATGCTGATTCTTTATGTATGCTCTGCCATTCATCCTACGGAAAGAGTAATGGGTTCTCGTTTTGTGATGTCCAATCCATGGCGGTAAGCAACGTTTGGCGTGGAATTCACCCCCTGCCACTGCGCAGAGAAATGGAGAAGTGGGTCGACGAGCATCAAGAATGGCTTGCGACGCGCTGGAGATTGGACGACAAAATCGACACCTCTATGGTCAGGACATGGGAGTTTCAAAACTGGATTCACGAAGCGGCCGGCACGGGTATGGACAATCTGGGCTGGGGATGGAAGGGATGGAGGTTTTGGTTCAAAGACCCGAAGATGTCCTATCTGATGAACAATGGTATCGACACAGCACACGCATTTCGGTTCTTCGAAACGGGAAAGAGAAAAACATGGTCTGGAGCGAGAGACGCCATCATCCACATGAATGGGCTTGTGAAGCAGTTTCCTCTTCAAGAGAAGAGGAACCAATGACTCTAGACGTAGTTATATTAGGATAATATCATAGATCTTGCTTACCGTTTGCCAAGGGTGAGAGCTTTGCCCTGAGCTATGTCTATCAGCCACGTCTGCAAATCGTTGGTAACACCAATAGCCAAGGTTTGATCAAGAACTTCGTACTGCCACGTACAGCCGAGGGTCAAAGATCCTCCTTTCACGGTTACCGGGCTAATTAAATACGCTGGTCCGATGACCGCGGCGCTTTGCGAAAATACTGCGCTTTTGATCGTCCAGTATTGTCCTTCCTTTGCTGCATCTCCACCAATTTGGCCATCGAGTACTCCGAGGTTACTGACTTCCCACGAATGTGCTCGCGGCTTTTTAAACTCGTCTTTCAGAAATTTTCTCCAGTCGCCAACAAATTTAACCAATCCTAGTGACGTATTCTTCGTCCCGGCTTCAAGCCTCTGGGTTATTCGCTCTCTGAAAACCGTGGCTTCAGACCATAGCCCGCGCTCTAATTCTTCGAGAATATCGGCACTGGTCATTGCCTTCTCGAATTTGTTTCGTAAGGATGCCACAATATCCGCGTCAAATTTGTGTGTGAAGTACGCAACAAGGTTCCCGACTGTCTGATGCGGGTCCAACCCAGCATGGCCAGGAGGCATTGAGGACATGAAGCGGCGCAGATCGAAAGGGGTTCCAGCTTCAAAAGCGCGGGCTTGGTTCGCGTTAAGCCTTGTAGCAAAGGCCAAGAGTGTTACCGCATGTAATAAACCTGTAAGCGTAGTCTTCTCCTGGCGGCATTTCATCAGGAGCCTTTCCAAGTCTTGCTTCGGTATCTCTACCAAGCGAATAACTGTCTTCAAAGGAGTGCGCCTCATTGGCGCCCATGTGGCTGCATACTGTGACTTCGAGCCCAGAAAGGATGGCCGCATGGATTGCCACCCTTCCGTCGCCACGAATGCTGGCGAAATTGGAAACTTTAGCAACTCTTCCAGCGGTGGTGTCAGTTTGGATAGCTTCGGAAGTTTCAAGACATGGTCTACTAGCTCAATGGCCGGATGTTGCGCTGAATATGTATGGTTGAGATTTCTGAGCAAAGTCTGGTGGAAAATCTTTCCACTCATGCCGTCAGCAACGGTGTGATTCCAGGCGAAGACGACCTCGAAGTCAGAAGAGTCATCGGATCTCAGTACGACGACTCTCCAAGCCGGCCGTTGACTGAGTTCTCGAAAGGGACTGTCGTGTTGTGTTTGTAATGTGTCAAGCAAGGTCTCTCTACTGCTCTCGGGATTTAAAACATCTCTCCACTCAACGTTGATCCTGAAATCGACGGAATCGAGCTGAATCCACGCGGGCCGCTTAGAATTCTCGTCAATTAGACCGACTTGGAGCAATGGGTGCTCCAATATTGTCAAGGCCAAGGCGTTTTCAAGGACATTTCGCAACGATATTCCTTTCGGTCTCGTAATTGAGTCGTTCTGAAATGTGTACTGGCTCGTCACTGCGCAAGCGCAGTAGAAACCAAGTAGATGCTGTGCTGATTGATAACCTTCACTGAACCTTGTCAGCACCACTACTCAGTAAATTCGAGTAAATGAAACTAACACAGGGCCAATTCGTCGCAAGACATCCGGCACCGAGCCTTTGGCTGCATCTTTATGCCCAAAACAGGACATTGCCTCTTCATACGATATGAATGAGATAGGGATCTGTGCGACTACACGACTGAGCTGCGCGGGGCTCATGTTAAAGATATATGCTGTGCCACTTCCATCCAGGCAGATACAGGAGAACCGGGCGTGTCGGGTCCCGTAGTTGATCAGATCGGCGGGGCCTTGAAATTAGCCTTGAAAAAGATCGTACGGGCGGCCGCGGAATGCGCTCTTGACAGGGGACACGCCGGCAAGTCTTGAAACATAGACTTGTGTTTTGGTGCTTTCTGTAACCATCTTGCAGATTGTACACCAGTTTGACCCTGATTTTATCAAGCTAGGTCAAGGAAATTTGAAAAATTAACGCCTTGGGAAAGGGCGTATACCCGTCAGGTAGAAGAGACCTGCCATTATTGATCTTGCATTTTGTGTGAATCTGTCAATTATCATGGTATTACTATGATAACGTCCAAATTTGACTCTACGTGCACGTTTTGGAACAAATTGTGAAAGATGCTTAAAGCACAATATTGCTGGTGAGTTGGTCTTGACCTCGCGGTGTGTAAACTTTCTAAACTTTCGCAGAAACAGGCACTTAGCCTATGCATTAATCGTACGATCACGTAGTAGTACATTTCATCTGTTGAGCTTCTAGATCAATTGAGGACTCTTACCGCTATTTACAGTATTGCGCTCTGAATTTGATTACCAGACCTTCTGTGTGATTTGCTCCCCAAATGCCTCTTCCGTCCCAAGAGAATCAAAGCATGCGTTCATTGGCACCAAAGCAAGGATCGGATGCCCTCATGAAGCATTGACTGAAACACCTGCGATCTAATTCGGAAGACTCCTAGATACCTCATTATCACCAAGCCGGTTTACATTTATCAAAGACTTTACTGATTCTGGAGTAGCAAGCTCTTATATCTAATCACAAATGGGCCACTGGTCTTCCGGCATGCTGGCCTGCCGTGGTGTCGGAGCCCGATCACCGGTGTATACATCTACAAAAAGAAAAAAGAAGAAGAAAAAAAAAAGACGAAAAACAGAAGAAAAAAAGCGATTTAGCAATGGCCTGAGTTCTGATACCACTGAGAGACATAGAAGTGATCGAGACTTGCGGCTTGATGGTGCATTAATTACTCGTGGGCATCTTAGCAACCTTGAAGTGCATACAATGGATTTAGACATGTGTTCAATCTTACAATCATTTTCCAGGTATTTACATACCTTGGAGAAAGTCTTTGTCTATCGATTGACCTCGAACTAGAGCTTGGATCTTTTTGGGAAAAAAACCCCCCATCTCTGGTAAGACTCAAAGAACACCTAAGCTGCCACTTTGGGATGCGTATTACTGAGTAAGGAAGTCAGCCATGCATACAATGAGGCTCCCGGTCGTATTCAGGTTACAGAATTTTGATGACGTGGTTATACAAGATTGTACGCCTGTTTGAGCCAATTAATCAGCCAGCCAACAAGAACTCGTAATGAATAGGATACTCGAGTATCCAACATCTCTTAGCCCCGAGAAATATTAGTCACGTTTCGACCCCTCGTGTACCATTCACACCGGCTGATCGGAAGTGACAATTCTGTTGACAGGTGTTATCCTGAACTATGACCACATTGCTGCAAAACATCGTAACCGTTGAAGGGCCATTAGGGCATCAATACCATGATCTGGCCAGATGAGAGACAGACAAACATTCCGTTCAACATGCGCTCCACAGATATACAGATTTAACTTTATACTCCAAATAAACACAAGATGTACCTCTTTCAAGCAGGGTCTGTCACGGTCGAGGTTGTCGGTTTACCGCCACTGATACTTCGGTCAAGATGAACCGGGGCAACAATCTCAATAACAATCATGGGGGTAGCCCGGTTTTACTTTAAAAAGAGAATCAATGGCTAGCGCACCTTTAATCACACGGGCTGATGAGGATAGCTCGTCTGCCGCCGAAAAGACTTCACCTGCTGGTACGACCCCTTGCAGTCAACCCGTCACCTTGGCCAACGGACAAACCTTTAGGTCGTGGGTTTGCAATCCATCGCTCAAGGCTGATATTTACATTTGGAATTGCTTGAGGCTGTTGTTGGGCTGTTCCTCGGCAGGTACGGCCAATAGCCGCGGTCATACGCTGCCCCACCGAAGGAGATAGAAGATTAATAGACAAATGCACTCAATTCGAGGCCACGGCCGCCAATTATGGTGTTGTTCGTACATACATATATCCTTGCTTTTTGCAAGATATCGCCCGCGGTAGTCGTCTTGGAGTGAACGGTAGCCATTGAAGCCACGTCCATTCATTCATAACTCACCAGTTATATTTTCTTCTGTACGTAGACTACGAAATACGAGAAGTACTATATACGCTCTTCTACAGTATATTGATATTTAGTGCCTACATCGACATGTGTTCTGCAGTAGTTTCGGAGGGTAAAAAGGTAAGTCGGGCTGGACCACTTACATATGTCCAAGGTTAGCCGACTTCCGCGCAATCATAATGACATCAAATATACCCATGCCATAGCTCCTTTGGAACCTTGAAACATGAAAGCAAAATTTTCGCTTCGCCACTCGAAGCTATACAAACAAGAAGCACAACCCCGCTGCGGAGTTTAGGCTAAAATTCCATCGATGTCGTCGAAGCCGCACTCTAGCCATGAGGCTCAGAGTGGGTCATTAAGACCAATAACAGGCTCGAGGTAGCCCTTATAGATTTCTGACAAGTTCAATTCTCGCTATTCTTCACTAGTGGTTTGATAGAACAGTCCTGTTTGTCTTACTTAACGCAGTAAGAACCATGAAGACTGGGGATGGTATCTTACAGGTCGCTCTTGAGCCCTGTCCTTGCCCTGCCGTGTTACTTTGCGGATATCGGAGCCCTTGACTGGGATTTGATAGGTATTACTCCACTCGGGACGGCTTGATCAATGTTACATTGCCCAGGCGAGCCCGTGTGCTGGACTGCCCCCAGGTTGCAACCTCCAGCTCACACACACCAAATAGTGCGCTCTAATGTTAGCTATTGTGAGAGGTGGTCAGCTTCGCTCCGCATTTTGCTGCAGAGTGAGATGTCTATCAAAGCGGGGAAGCTGCCAGCATCATCAAATTTCCTATAACACACCCCTTATCGGTGGCGCGTCGCTACGCGGGGTGACCCGAAGTCTGGGGGCGGTCGTACAAACAGTCATGCTTTACTCAAATATCGATTTTCAGGCACACACCTGGCGAATCGGGTGGCGAGTCATGCCGGATCATGAGATGCTCCATACTCTGCCGTTATGATATTCTGCGGACGCTTCTGCGGACAAGGCTCGCTCCGTCCTCGCGCACAAACCTCAGCATAGAAGCCGTGCGCACAGTCATCCTGTTCCGTCCCAAGAGAATGGCATTCATAACGAAGTCTGTCTTTCGCTTGCATCTTATCTGCATTTTTTTCGCCGTCGGGTCATTTGTTTGGGGGTGAGTGATTGTCTCCTAGTCTAGGCATACTTGTGGTTGGGGAACCGATTCAGCGACTAACATAAGTCCGTGAATGCACCTTGAAACTTACTGACATTGTTAATCGGTAGTTATCATGTCGGTGTTCTTTCGTCTGTTCTTGTCCATCCAGGTTTCATTGCTGCTCTTGGTAAACCAACCGCAGCGCAGAAGGGGTTGATTACGGCGATCTATTATCTTGGGACTTGGTTCAGTTACATATTCCTTTCGCATCCAGCAGCCGACTACTTTGGCAGGCGCTATGCTGCACTTATTGGAGCCGGGATAGTGGCCGTTGGTACAGCTTTTGAGGCCGGTGCAACGGCGCCTGGTGCTTATGCTATGATGATTATTGGTCGCATCATAAGCGGGATGGGGGTAGCGATTATATCTACCACGGTTCCGCTCTACCAAAGGTTAATTTACAGTATATCCGAAACACAATCGTTTCTGACAGGATTGTAGTGAAATTGCGCCGGCTGGTCAACGTGGAAAATATGTCGTATTAAACCACATTGGCTTTGTTGCAGGATTAGCCACTGGCTTCTGGTACGTCAAAAACCAAGCACTCTGGCTGTTCAATCACCCGATTAATCCCACCAGGGTTGGTTATGGAGTTACATTTTGGGAAAGTAGCCCGCACGACATCTATGTGTCATGGCGATTCTCAATTGCGGTTGTCCTGATCCCGTGCTTCATTTTCGCTGTCGGGCTTCCATTCGTGCCTGAGACGTGAGTGTCACTCCCTGTACTGTGCTTCAATCTTATACTATAGGCTCACTGATCCCAAAGACCTCGGTGGCTTGTTGAGCACGGGCACTACAACAGAGCCCAGCGATCCCTGTATTGGCTTCGTGAAGGCAGCTGCAGCAATGCCGAAATTGAGATTGAATTGAACGAAATCCGTGATTCAATAGAAGAACACAAGTCCTACGGTAAATCCTGGCTGTCGATTTTCAAAGAGCGCGACCTATTCAATCGGCTATGGCGTGCGTCTCTGCTGCAATTCATGGCGCAAATGTGTGGTGCAACCGCGATGAAATATTATTTACCGACACTACTTGGCAAACTTGGCGTTCCGACACGCATCACCCTCTTGATCGGGGGGATCGAGTCTACAGTCAAAATCGGCATGACCATCGCTGAGATGTTGATAATCGATCGAGTTGGCAGGCGCACTACTCTGGTCGCTGGGTCCGCTGCTATGAGCGCAGGCATGTTGGTAGGTTTGATCTACAAGTGTGGCCCTCCGATCATACTTCTAATCATAATGCCTTAGATCAATGGAGTGCTTGGCGAAGTATATCCCGGAAATCAAAACCGTGCTGCTGATATTGCATGCATCGTCTTCATATTCATTTACGCGATGGGTTACAGTATGGGCTTTGGCCCCGCAGCCTGGGTTTATGGTTCTGAAGTAATTCCATCTCACATTTATCTAGCGTGGAGAGAATTGTATTTCTGATTGTTGCGCAGATATTTCCTACTTCAGTTCGAGCTCGTGGCCTCAATTTCTCAGCCTCCGGCGGCGCCATTGGTTCCATTATTGTTGCTCAAGTCTGGCCTGTCGGTATCGACCGTATAGGCTCTCGTATCTACTTCTTCTTTTTCGCTATCAACGTCGTCTGCGTTCCAGTGAGTAAGCATTGCCCATCTCATGGCAAGCTGCTGACTATGGCTGCAGATTATCTTTCTGTTTTACCCAGAAACTAAACGTCGTACATTAGAGAATATGAACGTCCTCTTCTCAGGGGGTAGAGGCTCGCAAGCCAGCGACGTCAGTGATGAACAGAACGAGGTCATTGTTCCAAAGAACACCGCTAGAGGAAACTAAATTCCATATAGATGAGGCTTTATTGTGCGGTGTTGTACTCAACCTCTAACCTGTCCTCACCAACGACACATCTTACATATGGCCTGTGCGGTCGCGTAGACATAGAGGCTACATTGCTCGATTGAAGATGGTCGAGGATCAAGCGCATAGCCACAACGATAGCTACATGAGAAGGAGCCGATGAAATGGAAACTGCCACCAGGAAATATGCTTATAATTACTGGAATTTATCATCGGCATGAATTTAGCATTATTTCATTGCTCAATGGTCTTACTTGATGCGATATTGTACCTATGTTTGGCACGTTGCTCTGTGAGTCAGCGGCGTGGCACAAGACTCACATGTGTGGCTGATCAAGTCGTCCCATATCGTATGATGCCAACGCACTCCTTCCCGCGGAGTGGCATGTTAATCAAAAGACCAATTAGATGTAGAACACGTTTTGTGAAGTTCTGGTAACATCCCTAAGTCAGTATGTTGTGCCGCACACAATGAATAAGTAGGTGAATGGTGAAGACAAATCGGCATTATCTTCTGACACTCCAAGGTCACCGGCGTTAAGCATGTTCGAAATACATAGCGGAAGCTTGTAGTCAAATTAAACACTCATTTAGTTCTAGTCACGTAATGGTGCTCGATCTATAGTATGGTCTGAAATGAGAGAATGCCTGTTGAAGGCAAGGTCTATTGTGCAGCAGGGGCAATGGTGTTGTTGATAATTGAATAGTAAAGTCTGAGAAGAGCTCACTCAGTTTCTGGCGCGTCCGCCCGGTGGCTTGCTTCGTCTTTCTTTGATGATTCAATCTCACTGCTCTGAATGTTATTAGCCTCTCCACTGTTCGAAATATCGCCATGATTAGGGGGGTGTCCGCGCATCTCGACCCTCGATAACTCTATTTCCAGGACGACGGTTCCCTCGGTGACCTTTGACTTGAGCTTGTTCTGCTGTAAGTCAAAATATAAGGACCAGAATTGCCCTTCTCTGACAGCCATAAACCCTTCCCAACCACCGAACGTCAAGCGTCGATCCTGTTGCGTGCAGTCGAAAGGTCCGGTGTAGTTCGGCTCGGCATAAGCCCGAGCTCCGAATTTGACCTCGAGCGTGTCACGGTCCACGTAAATCCAGTTCATGATGGGTGGCTCATCGCAAATCGTGGTGACCAGGCCGGAGTATTTGGTGTCTGGGAAGCCGAGGAAGTAGCCTGCGAATGGGTGACCAAATGGCATATCGTGCACGGTACCTGTGTCGATATAGAGCTAGAGTGTGTCAGTAATAATGGTATTAAGCAGTGTAGAAATGTATTGCTGCTACTTTGTCTCCTGAAAGCACTATGGCTCTTCCTTCCACGACATGACTATACTCCGATGATTTGGGACAACGGACGGTGAGATTATTCTTCCTGCTTCGGTGTTCTTGTCTTCGAGCGCGAACTTGAGTCTGCCGGATTCCCTCCGCTGCTCCAACGACTGCAGAGAAAGCGATTACGAACGTGGCCATGGTCAACGAGCATACTCCAGAATATTCTCCTCGGGCAAAATTCTTTTCGAGTTAGGGCCAACGTAGTTTTGATGTGATCGAGTCTCTTGAATTGCTTTGGTTGACCTGGGTTGGTCGGATGGTTTTTGCAGCTGGGCTTCGCTAAGTTGGAACAGTACGTGATTAGTTATTCAGACCTGCTGATTGGGTGTACTACGACGAGTATTCCCTATCGGTCCATCGCAGTCGTACGCCAAGAAGTAAAATACTGCGTGTTCACGATAACGAGCTGTCGTTTACCATGGCATTTGCTGTGTAAGTCCGAACTATGGCATTTCGGCCAACGGCCATGAAGGTAGACCCTACAAATAATGCAGTACTCAGCGGGAAAAAAGTAACACGAAGACGGGGTCGCGGCGATTCCTGTGTCTTGTTACCTAGGTACAAGCGATGACCCTGAGTCTACGACATATCATAGATGAATCGAACTGCCACGAGCCACGAAGGCAATGAGGAGAAACCGTCACGATGAAAACGATAGCACAGCACAAAGACGAGTGTTCGTGTTCCAGGTGACCATATATTGGGCCAATGGGTCGATGTCCAACATAAAAGGCATTGTGCGTTCGGCGCAGTCCGATTGTAAGACTCGGTATCTGGCGAAATATACGTGAAGAAGAGTGAGTCATAAAGATCAACAGCTTAGCCTAATTCATTATATAAAGCAGTCTCATTGACCTTGACCTTGAACGCTTCCTTCCATACAGCAAGACGCAGCTACAGTATCCAGGAGAGCCCATTGAGCATCCAACCCACCTACAGAGCAAGATCGTCGCGTCTCATCCACCAGGCGTGACATTGAGTGGAGAGCAGCGAATAATTTCTTCTTCCTCGAGTAATACAGTTTTTACATTGGCATAGGATATATCGCCTGCTCTTCGGCGGCCTCAATCTCTCACCGACCAACATTCACCTAACTCCAAACTCCGGAACTCGTTACGCCGGAAGCCAAAGGACTCGACCCTAAGGCTTCGCTGGCAATACTTCGAAGATCTCTCAGCAACAGATAGCAACTCAGTATCATCTAAACCACGTAAGATGTCTTCCTCGTAAGTTTTTTTCATGACATACACCCCCCAAACGGACATCGTGTGCCAATACTGACTCGAGCACCAGAGGCGATGCCCCGGGTCTCGGTAGAACCGGTCCCGACACAGGGAGAGCTGGACCCAGCGAAACTGACACTGGCAGCAACCCATCTCTTCCGCTGCCCGGGCTGTCTGGGACCGCGAACGGACCTGTCGGTGAGCCTTAACTTTTCGGTGAGGTTTTACCGTGTCGACGCTGACCTGGGAACTTAGGAAACCTCCTCAAGGGGCCGGTGGACGAAAATGGTAACCTGAAGAGTGCAGCGCTTTTGGTTGGGATCAAGCTTGATCTTGAAGCCGAGGTTCACCTCACTGCGAGAGTTCGTGGCGATATCTTGGTCGGACTTTATTGAGCGTCTCAAGGCATGAGTCCAACTTGAGGGGCGGGGCTTATGGAAAGTCAAGATTTGGGGTGTGGAATTGAAACTCAAACGAGAGGCACCTACGTACCTCCAGTATGGTGGCCAAGGAGGTTGGATGACCGAGGGTCAAAAGATATTCCTCCTTATGCGCAGTATGGTTATCTTGAATCACTTTAGTAATCACGCTCGCTCTTATTCCTATGCTCGGTAGAAGTCCAAGTCGCTCGCGATGTCTATTTTGCTTAGCTGAAGTTGTCTGACCTGTCCATAAGGGACATATATTTTGCAACAACATTGTTTGGGGGGGCTTATGGCACAGTTCATATAAGCTATACGGACTGCGGGCTTATGAGCCATTGATATTTTTCTCTGACCTATCTTCAAGCCATCAGGATGTATTACCACCTTAATGAAACCCATTCTTCATGAAACTTTCCAATTTATGGTTCCAGTTGTAGTATTGTCAAAACTTCCAGAGTAAGTCTTTTAATATAGCACCATGTTCAAATGCGCTTCCTCGAATATACGCAGCGGCCTCAGTCAATCCAAACTTGGAGCGCCGACACGTCTGTTCAAGCACCCAATCGACGAACTCGCAAAGATTCTGACCCAGATGATTATTTGTGACTCTTTTACAGTGCTAACAGGCATAATGAAAATCTATGGCGGTTTTGATGAGACACGAAGGCGACATTGTCATAACTCTACTCTCGCTGATTTAGTCATGAACTCGTGTTCATCTATTCTGGGGACTAATCAATTGGCCTTAAGGCTGGCTGTGTGGAGCATCTGGCTCACAGCATAATATGCTTCTTCGGCGTCATTCGGCATTTTACAGTCTCCGTTTTGGAGGTGGTGCCAGAGTAAAATCTTTCTGCAAGTCGGGAGGTGTCAAGCTCGACTTGTTCCATAATATTTGAGTAAGGAGCATGAATAGCTAGCCAAGCCTTTGTGAACTCCTTTGTGCACTACTTGCTCAGTGATCTTATTCTTCACTCGGTAGGCCAAGGCGTAAGTAGAGACATTCAAAATGATTCAACGTCGTTCCCACGGGTCGTAGTGAGTTCGGTAGGTTCTAACGACTACCATATGCATTGTGTATCAGTGCCCCGAGGCATGATCAAGGTAGGAATGATATTGCTATTTCGAAGTAGTGATGTATGACTATGGAAGCTCTCATCCCTAATCAAGCCCCATGGCCACATCATCGCCAATGCCCCAACTATTCTGATCTCTCCTGCTTCCCTGTATCTCCAACTCAAGCGCTGGTGTTAAATTGCCCTCGTTATCCTTCTTGATACTGCCCGTTTCGCTTAGCCTCCTACTCTTCCGCTTCTCATTGCCTCCTGTGACCGACTCGCCCGTTTTCCTCCTAGGGATAGGTGGGGGTTTCGAAGGGGCGCTGTTGCCGCCGCCTGTGCCAGGGAACCTCCACCTACCATTTGATTTGGAGGAGGTCGAGAGGACGGAGACGCTATCTGCATCTTCGTCTTGGAAAGAATCCGAGTTAGTTGACTTTGTGGAGTCTGGGAGTGATGATGAAAGGGAAGCACTGGTTTCTGCGGCGTGTCGAGCTGAAGCATCAGTACGTGGAGGGAGTTTGGGCGCCGAGGTATCGGTACGCGGAGGGAGTTTTGGCGGTGGAGGGGACGTGGATAGGTCGGCCCCACGGTTTGCTCCTTGGCTCTGATCGTGTTGTTCATTCGCATCTACCTCAACCAGCTCGGCATCACGATACCACTTCCGACGTCGGGTCCATTTGCCCCAGCCGTCGGCACCACGACGGCCAGTATTCCACTGTGTTTGATGTTAGCCGATTTCATGTTGACATTCTTGCCAATGACGATAACGAACCTTGTTGTCGTAGTAAATCCACCCGTTCTTCCCGGCCTCGCCGTCATACTCGCTGTCATCCTGGACATCGCCGAGGCCATCAACCCGCCACTTGCTTCCCTTGACCCATCGCCACTTCGCAACTCCATCGTCGACTTCTGGAAGTTCAAACTGATCCTTCGGGGGCACGGCATTATTATGCTCATCCGTCCACGCGTTCCTTTCGTACGCAAACAGACTATTCGTCCAACCCAAGCCGACCCAACGCCTCTGGTTCTCGTAAATAATAAATGTAAATCTGACACCCGTCTCCTTTCCAGAAAAGGAAGACCCGTGTCGCTTCAAAGCCGCCGTGAGTGCAGAATGTGACTGTGATTTCTGCAACTCGGCCTTCTTGTCTGGAGCTGGCGGTGATTTGTCTTTTGCCGTGCCCTTTGTCGCCGGCTTCCTTGGCCCTTCGAATTCAAGTCCTGTAATGAACCGCGCGGCCCTTCTCACAGCAGCGCTCCGCCATAAAAGTGTGCGCGTGACCCGGGATATCCTCGAATGCCATGTCAAAATCAGCGTTCCGAACACCATCACCACCCTTTTTGTAGTGATGATCCTCCAGGGGGGCAGGGTAAGGGCAACCCAAAATGGTGTGATTGCCAAGATCCGCACGAACAGAGTTGTCAGAGCAGGCCTCGTAGTCGCGCTCGTAGCGGTGCGCTGCGTGCTCAGAAAGTCTGTCATCTCCAGCAAGGGCTCCAGCAAGATGTTGCACCTCGTGGTTAGCACTTTCAGTGTTTCTACGATCTCGTCTAGTGTCTTTTGGTGCCTCGTACTCGTAACCTCGCTCGTGTTTCTCTGATGTGATGCCGTGTTCCCTCCCCCGGCATTGCTGTTGGACTCCTTGCCTTTCTTGGAGGTGTTACTCCCAGCAGTCCAACTCGGGTGCTCGGCCCACCCGCTGCTGCTCAAGGGGCTATATCGCCGGCCGTACATGCCGGCTATTATGCCCAGCACGGTGATGATGGGCCCCGCCCATCGAAGGACGACGTCGCCATATTGTACAACGGCCCAGAAGACGGCGAGCAGCAGGAAGCTCTCCCATGGGTCGCCGGAGGTCCAGCTCAGCAGCCCAACCAGCTTGTTCAGTGGCAGCAGGAACGGGTGGCTATAGGCCAGTGCCCTCGTGACCTGCGGAGGCGTCGCAAGCAGGAGCGGCGACTTCTGGTGGACCAAGATGGTGGAGCGCCGCTTCGCCGCATTGGCAGCGGTCGCACTCAGGTTGGAAGATGAGAAAGCGGCATATGTCGGCTGAGGCGTGGCACCGTAAGGGCTGTTTGCATTATCGAACGAGGGCGTGCTGCTGCCCGCGCCGTCAAAATCGCCATTGCTGGCGCCGCGGGGCGCGGATCTCGGGGTCGACATCTGGGTCAGCCAGGGCGTGTCCTGTAGTTTGATGAGTTTAGCGACAGAAGTTCATGATGCGAGATGCCACATTGGAGGAATGGTGAAAACGTCAACGTGAGATCATCGTCATTGGCTGGCGCTGCGACTGGCTGGATTGGAGCTTGCGGCCAACGGACTGGTGTGCCTAGAGCTAGAGCCAGAGCCAGAGCCGCTATACTGTCACATGAGAGCTCCTGAGCCGATCTGGAGTCTGCGCGGGCCCGTAGAAGGAGAGGGGGGAAACGCGATACAGGACGAGATGATAACGGCGATAAGTGACGGAAATTGTGAAAGCATGCTCACCAGCGCAGCCATCAAGAAAGCCCGATAATCATTCAGCTGCCGTACAGCCCACTCAGTGCTCTAACCCTACCGTAATCCCGTGTCGCGACGTCATCGATGGGGCGAGCTGGGCCGAGGGTTTTGTGGGCAGAACAGCTTGATAGATGAGCAAAAGTCGCTGCAGTTGTGAGATCTCTTGCGCTTCTACGAAAACAGCAACAACAATAACAAGAGATATGAGCGAGGAGGAGAACAGGCCTGCGTCATGTGTTCTGCTGGAATGAGAACATCTGTCAGCCGGACGTTGAGGTTATCAGTCTAACCTAGCCTTACAACCAGCTAAGCTTAGCCAGCCAGGCGGGGAGCTTGAAGCGCTGCGTTGCCGACGCTATCGCCGCCGAGCGCGCCTCGGCGCCTTTCACATGCCTCACGAAGCAAGAACAATTCCAAAAGCCAAAACCACATAGGTAACGCGGCTTTTCCTGAACTGTAATCAAAACTATAATCCGTAGAGGCACTGCCCGCAGGAACACATACCGGTAGCCGTTAACATGGGGAATAACGCTCATGGGGAATGACACTGCCATGGTACGAGCTGCTACTCACAGTACAATAGCATTCGAGATTATTCTAGGTTCAGATCACATGTTTGACTAAAAGCACTTTTAAAATGTCGAAAAACGACACCACAATCCTATTGCGGTTCGATTTGAACCGCTGAGCACACGAACACACTAATTTAGGCATTAATAACGGACAACAATGCGCCAAACCCCCCCCCCCCCCAATGTTGCCAACGGTAGGACCATTCCCAAAGTTCCTTGAAAAGCATCCCGTCAACCCAAGGAAGCGTCGAGCGTCAAATTCAACTTCTTCCGCTCGCCCCGTAGCCAGCTTACAAAGTCTCTGGCCTGCTGTCGTCCTCTTTTGACCGTATCATCCCCATCCTTACGATCGAATATCATCTTGATTGATTTAGTGCCATCTGTGCGGGTAATTGTGACTATACAATTTCCGGTTATGGACTTGTTGCTAAGCGCTCCCCATTCGGCCGCATCGATCCTGACATTCACCGGACATCCAGGCGAAGACTGCAGTCCTTTTCCGTCCTCCACTTGAAAAAGTCTGATCCCGTTTTCTGTACAACTTGATCTTTTCCAGTGGTACCCATCACTATCATACTCGCATACCTCGAAGCGGTGCGGGCCTGTGAGTTCATTAGAAGCTACTGGTGGAGTAGTCGCTGCAGTCCGTGGCAGATTGATTGTATGAGTTACGCGTGTGATAATAGGCTGACCCGATTCTTCAGCTGTCGGGTTCTTGTCACTGATCGACGCCTGTGCAGTCGGTTGCTTTAGCAATTCAAGAGGCGAGGGACCCGCAACCGGTGCCAATGGACGCGGCGGTAGCGATGCTATAGACTCAAGTGGCGGAAGAGCGCTAGCCGACTTTATTGGCCGAGGCGGTAGCGATGCCCTAAATTGAGACATTCCTGTCCGTTTTGCAGTGAATTTGCGCGTCGGGCCGATGGCCGTCACTGGCGTGGGGGCTCGAGGTTCGAGCGTCTGCTCGTTTGTTTTAGGCGGCATTGGAGGTATCGTTGGTTCTCGAGGTGACGGGCGAGTAACATGGAGGTCCTCTGGCACCGAGCTTGCCCTATCCTCGCTTTGTGCGCTGTGATTTGAGGGCCACTCTGTTTTCTCAAGGTTCGGCATCACGTCCGCATCAATATCAGCATCAGTATCAGTATCCTCGCCATCCTCGCCAGGGTCATCGTCGTCCAAATCCTTGTAATCGTCGTCTCCAGGTATTTCTACTGCGTTCTCCTTCAGTGCCCGGAGCTCGTCATCAGAACACACTGGCTCCAGCGAGCCTGACTTGTCTTTGTCGGAGCTTCGAGTAGGGTTTGTGGTGTTAGTCCTCGAGTCTGCGCGGGAAGACGGTTGCTCAACACGAGGCGTCCAGCGAGCTGCACAAGACTATTAGCAAAGCAAAGGGGTTCCGAGGTATGGGGTAAACCGAAAGAGGGTTATGGGACGAAATAGGATAGAACCGAGACTAGCATGACCGCAGCAAGAAAAGAATTTCAGAATAAGAGCGGATGGTCTCACCTAAAGTCCCATTCTTCCTTGCTCGCTCTCTTTCGCCCCAGTCGGCAAACCCTTCCCTTTTAGCAACAAACTCCCGTGCTTCATGGAAAGCTATTTCTGAATATCCTCGCCTTTTTGGCGGCCCTCTCCTCTCTAAGCCGAACTTGGACAGCCACGTTGCAGATACCCAGCCAAAGGACCTGAAGTCGTCGAAATACATGACTGGAAACTTTCGATTTCTGAGTTTTATCGCGCTGCTACTATCGTCGTAGCCAGCCGCCCATCCAAGGATTCCTTGATCACCATATTCATAGCATCTGGGAGGCTTGTTCTCGTCTCTGAGCAGGCCGGTTTCGTGCAAGGTATTCCACTGTATGTTTATGTTGGATGTATCATTTGGGATTTTGCCCGGTCTGAGGTCATCCCAGCCTAGAATGATGACCGGCCAGTAGGTGATGATTCTTTCGCCGTCCACGTCTTCCGGAAACTCGGAGTAGTATATGTGGAAAGTCTTTGGATTGGCGACCAAGTGCTGGGTTGGCGCCGGCTCCAATGCAAGGCCAGATGACGAGCCATTGTTTGCCTTTGGTATCAGTCTTGGTTCTGGCCGTGTTGAATCGTGTTGATCAGGGTGATCCCCTTGTCCCTCGAAAGGATACTTGACTTTCTTTCCAGAGTACTTGGTGGCATTGGCTGGCTCGTATCCACATTTATATGCAGTCTCGACATCTCTATTGTATTTTGAGGCTAGTTCAGGCGTACAGTCAGGGATGCGAAACCCAAGTGCCGCTATGGCAGGCAAACTGTTCCGGTTGGGGAAGTTGTGGGCCGACGAGTTGAGATGTTTGGCCGCAGCACGGATGGCAGATTGCTTAAAGTGCACATGGTGATCTTGACAGTAAAGGATGTACCAAGCCTTTCCGCGAGGAGGATATTCCATGATGGAGTCCCAATGTCCATCTTCGGTAGCACGCCGGCGTACTTCAGCATAGGAGATTTCTTGTGCTGTGGACGGGGCTTGTTGCTGGCTGGGTTGTGGTGCTGCAGTGGATGCTGCTGGGTCAGTAACGGCAGTCCCGTGAGTATCTGCCAAACAGTCAGGCCGGGACCGTTTGACGTCCTTTGAAACTTCAAACGATGCTTTTCGCTTCTGGTGGCCGTGAATGCTCTGGATCCTGAGAATTAATTGATGCTGACTACGGGAGATTTCTCGTCGTACCTCTGTGGATGGCCGCGATTGGCTAGCTGGTATGTCCCTGAGACTTGCCTGTTCCTCGGTTTCCTCGTTCCTTGGACCTTGATCTGTGTTATTGTCATGGCTGAATGAGGTGGGTGCAGGTGCCGGCGAACTCGAGACTTGCTGATGATGTAGCGCGGTTAGATCATTAGCTCGTTTATGGCTTTCGGCCAGGTCGGCCTCCAATCCTTTGTATCTGGAGGCCAGTGCCTCTATTCTAGTGACCTTTTCGTCGTTGAGTTTGATGTACTCCGATACGTCTCTTGTGGCTTTGATCAAAGACATGTATCGCCGGCGAATAGCATCCTCTTCGAGCCTGCGTGTCTCGCGAAGGTCTTTCAGCTCCTCGGCCTGCTGCACAGCTGCTTCCATAGTGGGGGTTTGGCAGTAGTTAGTGGGCATTGTTTGATTGTAGTCGGTAAAAGTGACGGGCCAAGACTGAATTCGCGTCACGGCGTGTGCAACTCAACTGACACAGGAGCGTACATGTAATCTCCTCACCGACTGAGCTTGGGCACAGTAGCTATATCATTCCATTAGTGCGCTAACATGAACGTTATATATGTAGTGAGTGAATGTTTTTGAGTTGGGCGTGCAGCTCCGAGAATGACCCCCAACAGTAGTTCTCGGCGATAAGTGTGAACCGAATGTGACGGGGGCTTTCAACTTTTCCTGTGGTACTACTCTGTAGCGCACCTGTCACCACACGTCCCTTGCTCCGACTAGACTAGTCTCGATTAGCGCCATGCAACTTGGAGCACGCTTGCACACATGTATAAACAACTATAACTAGACTCAGTTAGTGGGATATCACGTACCAACTCCAAGATGACCTGACTGAATTCCAGCAGTTTCTTATTCTTATTGCGAATCATGATGGTTTGCAAGTCAGGGCCACGCCAATCTCGTTCTCCACGGGTTCGGCAAGGCAAGGCGAGGCAAGGCAACAGAGCATCGGCGAATCTGTACCATAGCAAGTAGACCTCCTTGCAGGGGGGATGCATTGTTGACCCTGCAGCTCGATAAAAGCAACTTTCTTGTTAACTCCTTTCCTTCTCCCTTTCTTCTTCACAGGCTCACTCTAGTCTGGGTCGCATTGCTTTTGCTACCTACCTGTGATGCCAAGCTCTGACGCCGATAGTCTTGCTGTTAAGCTTACTTCCCGCTTTCCTGGCTGCAAAGCTTAATCACCGCAAGTTGTCGACACCAATACATCCTCACTTTATCATCTGACTACTCGGCGCAGCAGCATCACACGGCGGCTTTGTATGCGGCTGCATATTGCTTACAGCAACTCATTGGCCACGTTCTCTACGCAGTTGAACTTGCAAATCTCATGCAACGAAGATCCCCCTAATGAGCTTACAACAAGAAACGTCACGGCTTAGGGACTATAAGAAATTGCAGGTTCTTTCCGACAGGCTAAACCTCAATTTACCAGCCATAGGACATCCTATCGTCACTGTTGTTGCCGTCGTCGCCGTCGTCATCGTCATAAACAGTTGTTCGACTCGTGTTTTCCGTTTCTTTCTTCTCAAGTGCAGGCTCCTACCCTTAAAATCGTCCATGTCTAGCTCGTTCAACCGACTTTCTGTGGCTTGAGCACAGCCTTGGCATTCCTCGCCGCGAAACTCCTTCTCCTCCTGCCGGCTGCCCGTTGTGCACCGGCCGAAGCCGAGGCCCTTGCGACGCGCCTCGCCACACATCTGACTGCTGGTGCTTTGTGAGAAGCATGTATTGCACGTTGGGCATACAGATTGCAGCTTTACGTTGCGACACATCGTGGCCTATGGTGGTTGAGATTGGTAGGCTGCCAAGGTCAGTTGAGCCGGGCTTAGGGATGCCATGCTGACGTAGGCAATACCTGGTACGAGGTTGCAGCAAGCTCGAAGCTCGGTCTGAAATTCAAACTTAGTTGTGTGTCTTGGGTCACCACGGCATCCGGTCTGGTATTTTCGGGTCTTGGTTGTGTTACTATCCGAACATGTGGGTTTCCGGCTTGGCTAACAGTCGTATGTGCTTCTTTGGCAATATATAAGACGAATTCAGCATACTGCCGTCGTCTTGAATATCTGGCAAGTCCGCACTTCATATATGTCGCCAAACTCTTTGCCTTCTCTCCCTTGATTGCGCCTATCGCACGCATGCATCATCATGGTACACATCAAGACGTTATTTTGCAAATTATTGGTTCAGACATTGGGGTTTTTGAGGTCTGTACGATGCCACCGGGGATTTTGACCTTCCCAGTCCACATCTACGGAGCATAGGCGTTACAAGAAGCTTGCTCTCATTCGGGTTGTCGTGAGTCTGGCAGTACCAGTATAAGACATTTTGGCTACTCAGATGCGACTGCATCGGTCGTCGCCATTTTCTGCCTTTTATTGACGAGATGCAACGTAAATCGTTGTTTTCGAATGTCTCTCTACCAAACTCATTGATGATATATTCAACAGTTGATGCACAGGTATAACGACCATTCACTTGCTGTCGGACGCACAAGTTCGATTTGGGTCCGTTTTTCTTGATAGCGAGATTTTATATTACAATTCGTCACTTCACGCCCCAGTAAGATACGACCGCCAATAGACTGGCCATGCAAGCAATTCGTTTAGAAAAGCATACACAAGTTCTAGTCACAGTCACACAGGGCAGGTATTTTCTGTCCCGGAAAGCCAGAACCAAGAACTACCGTAATCCATTCCAGCAGCTCTCCATGTCATTGACTTGATATCTGTCCGGCATTCGCAGCCATAACTTTCTCAAGCGTTACGCGGCGCAACGTCAAGTTTGGAGAATTGTGTGCTCAAAATGCAAACATGCTGCGTGTAAATCTACTTTTGGCAATCGGATGTCGTTCTGACTATTGTTATGCAGATTTTCGACATTCGAGAAAGTCGAGTCTCAAGTCGCGACGTACTAGTGCATGTGTGATACAGTCAATGGATTATTTGATGTACGTAACCGAGACTTTTAAGGGCTTTTGCGGCTCAATCATGGTCACTCCGAGGTGCCGGCTTTCTCCCAGAAGCTGTATACGATATCGTGTGACCTTCGTCACACCATTTGGCAGTTGGTACCAGATCTGTACACGCTTGCACTGGTGTTCGTATTGCTTCGGCTCGCCCGAAACTCGGCATGAAAGAAGTTTACTCAGTGAGCACATAACACGACCTGCCGAGCTATGGTGCCAATTATTGATGATGAAACACTCACTACTTCTTGGTTAAGGTTGGTGGACTGGAGAGCAGATTACGACCAAATCTCTTCCCCCAATACGTGTTCGTCCGTGAACTTCCTTTGACCTCTCCCCCAAATGTACGAGGTTTCAAGATTCAATACCTTGGCCTACATGTCCAGGTCTGAGGTTTTAGCCTCGCTCAGCATGACCTCGACAATGCTCAACTCATGTCACATCTCCAGTTCGAAATCATTGCGAGTTTTTTTTCCGCATAACCCCTTGTGCGATTTGATTGGCTTAGGAACGAATGCGCTCAGCTCGAGCAACAAAGTTATTGGGTCACCGCGCCACTCCTCTGTTGTTGGGATTGATGTCCAGCCGCGATTCCAAAACTGTTCTTCAAATTGACCTTTACGATATGTGTTGCAATCATCTTGTGTGTCGATGCCAGTTATGGAGTCGAATTGGAGGAAATATAGCGGTTTGGACGTGTCAGACTGCATAGTGCAGAAAAAAGGTCATCTCTACGAAGGCCTTTTGCAATGGCACAGGAACCGGAAAGAAAGCCGTGAAAGGCTTTCATGTAGACGTTGGAATATAGATCGCAAAGGATTGAGCCGAGTCATTTGAATGAGATCTGTTGTCTCGGTCAGCAACACAAAGGTTGAGTCAATGCTGGGACACCCACCGATAGCAGGGCAGTCCGGATGCTGATTGACAACTTGAAACCATGGACAATCCTTCCCCCCCCCCCCCCCGGAGTCATTCAGGTTTCCTTCGGTGTCCAATCCGCTAACCATGGCAAGCATCATAATGAGTTCTTTGGCCCATCCTGCATCGCCCAACTCCCATGCGATGAACAGGAATCGTTCCCAGCACAAGTCATCATCCCCAGCGGTACAGTCCCGAGCTAACGATCGAGCATAATCACGCCTAGCGAGAACCCATTCGACAGCAAAAGGCTACGGAAGCGAAGTCATTCTGTAACATCTTGTCAAAGAAACGACATCGTAGATAATCTTGTGGTGGTAGGCACTGAAACGCTCACCAGACATACAATCAAACATACCATGTGCGATGGCAAGAAGTGCATCCATGGCGGCAGGATCGTGATCGGGCAAGTTGATGATCGTTCTGCCATGGTTATCCCGCTTCTTTTCTGCCAATGGACCTCGGATCATCTGCTTGAACGACTAGGGGGCCCGGCAGAGCGCATCGGAACCTACGTGGAAAGCTTTCGACTGATCTCCGCTGCCCGCGTATACGGCTACGTCGCCCTTCTCCGTATTGATAATCAATTCTGTTGCCATACTGCATTAAGAACTTGGTAACAGTTATAGAGGCTGTTTGATTACCAATTTCAAAAGACAATGGAATGTGTGCTCTAACTCACAGTGAGTGACGCATGGGTGCCACTGCGAAAGGCGTACCTGCCCAGGATGGAAGGTAGAGTTGGTCCAAAGGCAGTTTTCAGACACCCGCTGCTCCTCACTGACTGTAAATACCTCGGATTACTTTTTTTTCCCTAGTAGCTGTGCACTTATTACATATCAAATGGATCAAAATTTACTGACCTTGGTGCAGAATTCGAATAGGAAGCCACCAGTATGATATTAAAAGAGACAGTACACCGCTGTTAAAGTAATAGTGTCCAGGGCTGTATGGCCTCTCTGGACGAACACCCACAGCAGATGGAATATTAGGCCTCATCTCGGATAGCCCGCCAAGTAAGCTCCTGATACAGGTGTACACGGAGGTACAAGCCGCGTCCCAATATTGAATCATTGCAACTAAGCGTGTTTCTGATACTGAGACTGTAAAACGGGTTTGATATGTTTTAAGGTAAACTAGATAGCTTGGTTGATATACAAGATATATCTTCAATAAAAGATTTTGAGGTTAGGAGCCTCATACTAACAGGGCAGTAAAGCAATCTCCTTCTCAATTACTACACGATTTTGAGGTATTACCGTTCCAGTACTAACTACAGATATGGGAGCAAATACTTACATTTCTCCCAGCCATCAAAATTCATATCAGGCTTTATAATGCAGCTTCACTAATTTTCCTATCTAACCCTCGTTTTTCGAATTCTGCCGCCGGTCAGCTCAATCTGCTTTTAGAAACCAGTGACAAGGACATGAGACAGCAAAGCTGACGTGGGCAACTCATCAGAGAGCCAGTGCTTTTAGCCTTCTCCAGCTGTTCAAGGTTATTAAGCTCGTGCCGCCTCTCGCGGCGTGGAAACATTTCACACGTTGAATATGTCCACGATGCACGCTCGCGAACTCAACCAGCACTGGTATTACCACAATGAAAGTTGCTGGTGCTTGAGGACTCCAATTCGAAATGAAAGAGTTGATTCGTGACCCAATGAACCTGTTGGTCGCTCGTCTTTTTCATTCAATATTCATAACTGCTGTATAATCTTCACTGTGATTCGCCCAGTCAAACTTTGCAGCATATTACATCACAGCATGCTATCTAGAGTGATAATACACATATACCTTCCCCCTTCTCAACAACGTATTACTGGCATCGACCACCTAAGCCCTACGCCCCGCGGCGCGTCTTACTATTATGGCAAGTTCTCCGCAAGTGGATACCTGATCAGCATACTAGCTCATATGTTACGTATTGAGATAGGTTATTAATACTACTACCACAGCATACGACCCTCGCGACAACATCACAGGAGCACTCTGACTTAAAAACTAGAGTTCTGCCATCTTCCACATATTCGCATTGAGCTGCAGATCTGAGCGGAAAGATGCCGGCCACCAAGACCGTCGAAGTGCCGTATCTCGGCATCCGTGCCGGATATGCGCTAGCCAACGATGCCTACGACCCCTCAAAGCCAACATGCGTCCTCATGAACTCGATGTGCATGACGTCGGCGCTGTTCCGACCTCAATTTGAGAGCGAACAGCTGACGAAGGCCATGAATCTTCTGGCCATCGAGCCCCTGGGCCACGGCGCGACGACTTGTGCCTCGGAGCACTTCACCTACTGGGACACGGCCAGGATGGCTCTGCTGGTCCTGGACAAGCTGGGCATCGACAAGTTCTTCGCGCTGGGCACCAGCCAAGGCGGGTGGATGGTGGCCCGGCTCGCCTTGCTTGCCCCCGGGAGAGTTCGTGTCGCCCCAGCGAAGATCCACATCACCCTGCTGACCTCTTGACAGATCCAAGGCCTCCTGCTGTTGGGTACGTCCATGGACAACGAGTCGGCCGACTCGCGCACCAAGGGCTGCTGGGATCCTGTCCCGTTCTTCAAGCCGTTCCTGCAAAAGTGGACGAGCAGCGAGCCTACGCCCGACTTCGTGCCTGACCAAGACTGGATCGGCGCATGCACCGGCCTAGGCTTTGGCGCCGCCGGCACCGCGGAGAACACGGATTTCTGGACCCAGACGCTACGCGAGGTGTACAAAGGAGACGAGGGAAGGAAGAAGCTCAAGATGGCCACCATCTGTCTTGCCGAGCGAGATAGTCTGCTATTGCGACTCGAGTATATCACGTGTCCCGTCCACTGGCTGCAGGTATGTTCCTAACTGTTATCTCATCTGACTACTAGCTCAGAATCAACTTGATAGCGCTGCCATTTACATAAACTGACTGATATACAGGGTTCCGATGACGTGGTCTACTCGACTCAGATCGCCAGTGAGCAGATCAAGCTGTTCACAGCATCAAAGAACGCGAAAACTGGCGTCGTCCAGGGAGGAGCTCATTACCTAAGCGCATCGAACCCAACCGAGGCCAATGCGGCCCTTTTAGCTCTAGTCGAAAACAGCTCTTGAACTCTAGAGCAGATTGTAGCTAGCTATAAAGGCGCTGGGTAGTTATAGACAGTTATTGTAGAATTGGTCTATCAATATCATCTCAAAAGCGCTTCCAAGTCAAGCCATCACGGACCAGGCTGTACCTATAGCATTGCCATACCGAAGGCGTCTCTGCGACGTAAACCGCGTCATCTGTAGTCGAAATACGTGCAACTCGCAAGCGAGAACAAAAGAACACCCATCGAACAACCCCCCTCCCCCTTTTCATAGCCCCCACCATTCCAAGCATACAAAAATGCTGCCAAACATACATACAGGCCACCAAAAACAACCGACTAAACCACCCCTCTCGTCCTCCGGCCCACCCCCCTCCTCCGCTGAACCCGAACCCACCCGGCGAGCCCCAAGAGCGCCGCAACCAGCCCCGTGCTCGCCCCCGCCCAGACCAGCCTATACCACCACCTGAGCCCATCCTGCTTCTCCCAGTCGAGGACCAGCTTCAGCCACGCGTTGGCCAGCTGAGCAGACCAGACCAGCACGAACCTCTTCGTAATAACAGGCTCGCGGCGCGTCTCGGACTGTTCCCCGTCGTTGACGCGAGGAGGTGCCGACCGGCCGTCTTTGGGACGACGGCCTGCGCTGATTCACCGCATGACTTCAACTCGCCCAGGGCCGCGGCGATCCGGCCCGACGCCTGTTCGGTCGTGGACAGGACGGCGTGGGTCTGCGCGATCGCCGCTAGGGCTAGGAGGGCGTAGACGCAGGCCCATCCGAAGGTGAGCATCTCGAGTGCTGGAAGGAGAAAGGGGGAAGGGGAAAGAAAAGGCAGTAGGCAGGGCGGGATTGATTCTGGTTGTTCAATCTTCCGACTGGCAAACTTGCCAGATTTAGATACCAACCCAAAGAGTTCAAAGGTCGGAGAGGACTTCTGGAGAGGAGACAATGATTCCCTGGTTGGTAGAGAGGGAATAAGGAGAAAGGAGCGTAGGGCTCCCCCGTCTGGGCTGCCACGCTGGCAACTGGACTTTGATGTCGGAAGATTCAATTATAACAGGTTTTCGAATCAAACGCCTGATCTTCTCGACGTCGGTGTGCAAACGTTGAGATTGAGCGAGGCTGTACAGCGAATGCGAGCGGCACGGTTCGTGCACAGCCTCCTGAGACCCTGGCAGGGAGCGCTCATACACCTACAACTATGCCCATCAGATCAGCGTAAATAGCTTTTTTAGAGTCGTGTCTATACGAACCCCCGATCGGCTGATCAGCCCGTGATGGTAACGAGACCTCCAACCTGAACAACAAACACAAGACAGCGAGACAGTCGGAGGAATGTGCTTAGTCGCAAGTATAATGCATCATTGAGAGTCGCATACTGCTGCGATACTATCTAGAACACGGCAGTACTCAGCTTCCCTCCGAGCAAATGTGAACCGTTATAAGGCGACGTCTCACCTTGCACTAGACTAGTCTAGACTAAACCACGATTGCCCTGGCCACGAACGCCTTGCCTCCGTGAGACACCATGCCATGAATACTCCAACACGCCCATTGGGGAACCAAAACATCCGCCAAAACAGACAACATACCATCGAGCCAATATACAAGTTCAATCCGTTGCTCACCAGAAAGAACACCAACCAATGTAGTGCTGGCACAAGTTCTCCAGCCTGGTTGCCTCCATAATTAGCTTGTTGACTTGGGTGTTGACATCGAGCTCCTCGCCAGGCTTGAAGTCGCGACCATGAAGCTTCTGGGAAACCCTGTCTAGAACCTCCAGGGCCCGAGCATTCTGTGCCTCGGCCTCTATCGGTCCCTCGACGCCATTGGGCATCACACTAGAGTTGGTACGAGCACGTGCTCGAGGAGGACCGCCCGCCGTAACTGAGCTGCCCATCGTCGTTTGCTGGGCGGCGAGGTGCTGAGAAGGAGGGTGCTCAGCGTCGAGAATAGAGGGCCGACGTGCACGAGGGGCATGGCTATTGTCGGTCTCGAAATTGGGCCCAGCTGGCGACGCAGTTTTAGTGAGACGCCATGTCAGGAGTGGATCGTGAATGAACTATTTATGGAATATTAGCAAGTAATCTCGGGTGGAGTACAACTCGGTCGTGAACTTACAGCTTCGAGAACGGCCATAACGCTCTCCTTGTTCTCACGCAGTACACGCATAACATGTTCACAAGTGATCCGGAAGCTGCCTTCAATGTTGCTAACTTCCATGGCGTATGTAAGCATCCGAGTAAGACGGAAAGGAACCTGCTCAGGATACTTGTCACGCTTGCACGCAACTTCGAAGCAATCACCGAAATCAATATGGATGATTTTGCCCGTAATACGGTCAAGCATCAAGTTGCTGGGGTGACGATCTCCAAGACCAAGGATGTAACCCACTATGCTCATGACACCCAAGGATCGGGTGTAGTTGGTACGTCGCTCAAGCCAAGCTTCCGACGATTTGCTCTTGAGCCAGAGAACTCGATACAGATCTTGACCGGTGGTGTTGTCAAGCGCATAACCGAACACCTCAACCTTCTGCATGAGAGTCAGGTTGTCGTAATCTGGTGCCATCTGCAACATGATACGGTGCTCGATGTTTAACAGAATCTTTCTGCTCTCTCGGTATTCCCTGATCAGAACGTGAAGGGTATCGCTGTTAGGCACCCAGCCAAGTAGACCGGAATTCTGGCTCAGAGGGATTGCTGGGTAGCGTTGAATGCCGAGGTGACGCTTGTAACATTCCGAGTCGTTTGCCAAAAGCGTGTTACAGAGACCGAACAACTGCATACATCGCTCGTCCTGGCGGATATCCTCATGGCCCTTGAGGAGGAAAGCGTATGATGTGCCGTCGCTGCCGGTGATGTTCAACTTTCTCGGCCGTTGCTTCGAGTTGATGACACTGAAGGTGGAATCAAAGCCAATGATGCGGACCACTGGTGCGCCACTCTTGTAAGTACCAGGGACCGCCAAGTCAAGATCCTTGGCACCTTGCAGCTTGGGAGAACAATAGGTGAGCTCAAGTGATGTCATCTGGGGAAGCTGGCGGCCGATCCTCCGGAAGACTTGGTAGTACAGGTCCCATGCCTGGTTGAGATCGTTGACATCCTGGCTCTGCTCATATTGGCGACACCAGTCACGGGCCTCTGCCAGATCACGGCCGAACGTCTGGGCGAAACTGACCTCTCTGAGAGTCTCTGGTCCTGCCTCGAGCTGGTCGTGAAGCGGTCCTAGGGTGGCAAACATGCCTTGGATGTTGTGGTCACCGAAGTAAAGACGGGATGCCTCTTCTAGACCCTCGTGCCATTGCTCGTGCCACAGTACGGCAACCCGTATTAGCTCGTGGCTGACAATGTCGGCTTGCTCAACCAACTTGGGACTGTGTGCGCGCATGCTGTCCATGATGAGAGCAGCCGACTGCGATCGGCGGCTACTTTGTGCCGACTTCATGGCCACAGTAAGCGGGTAAACAAGGGCTTGGGGATGGTTACGTCCAACATCAGCAAGTAGGTTATGAATTGATTGCCGCACCCGAGCGTTTCGCTGGTTGATTCTAGCAATCAGCTGTGGGATCACTTCGAGCCACGTATCAACGCTGACTGTGGCGAAACCTTGGACGACGGCGCTATTGACTTCGTTGCTGCCGCCATGAGCGAACCAAAGAGTGAGCAGTCGGAGTGTGTCTTGTAAAGAACTACCTGAAGATAGCGCAATCGACTTGAAGAAACCTTGAACGGCAGGAACAACGTGGTTGATGATGACAGCAGCGTCAGGACGAGGGGTGGCACGGTCGGTTTGTGACGCTGTAAGAGCCTGAACAATCTCGAAGTTGGCCAGAGCCCAGGCATGCCACGCTTTGTACGACTGAGGGCTATACTTAGTGGCTTGTGAGTACGCCGCCAAAATGTCCTGGACATTGTTGTACTGCCATGCGTTCTTGTTTAGGGCAATTTGCCATTCGCCTTGACGCAGGTAGCATTTGGCAAGCAACTCGGTCTGCTCCTTCAGAGCTTCGAGAGCGTGCTGAGGAGCTTTGCGAGAGTTCATGGCGAGGTGCATGTCTAGATTTTGTCCGTGCTGCATGTTAGGCATCTCGGCGGCGATGTTTGTCCTGTTCATCTCGAAAGCCAACGCGGTATCCTCAGTAAACTGGCGGAGGCAGAGAAGAGTCTTCGACAGCAAAGGACCGCTGGTCACGATAGGCTGTTGCTGACCAACTTCCCATTGATACTTCAAGACGGCATAAATGACCTGGGGAGGGATGCCATGATTGGCCTGCATTCTGCCAGGTTGTCTGATCAGTCCATTTTCGGCCTCGTCCCAGTACGGCAGAATAGCCTCGAGCGGCTGCTCAATGCCGATAAGTTGCTTGAGAGATTTCTCGGCCAAGCCCATCCTGTTGGACTTCCTGCAAAGATTCGCGAACTTGATCCACATGTTCATGTTTTCTTGGGGAGTGATGACAAGATTACGCAGTCTAAGCATACGCTGCCATACCTCAACGTTGCGTTGACACCCCTTGAGGCGAGCCTCCCATGTACGGCGTATGGTATCCTTCTTGTCGTTGTCTGCTTGTTTGTATACGATGAGTTCTTCGAGCTCAGCAAGCATTTGAACTCTAACAACGACCTGGTAAGCTCGGTTATAGGATTCGCTAACGAGCGCACTCAATTCAGTATCGAGGCCCTCCCTAGTCTGTTGGATGCAGTCCGCAGCCTTTTGGAACTGATTCCTGTGCAGTGCAAGGATTGCTCCGAAGAAGGTGCGGTCCGGAGAATGGTGTTTCATGGACTGCAGGTACTTATCCATGGAGTCCCATTTGCCTTGTCCCCACGCTGCCGCAGTGGCGAGGCCTGCTATGCGACGCTGTATCTCCGGAGCGGAGTTTGACCAAGCATTTCCTGCGATATTGGCGAGAGAATCCCATTCTCCGAGAGCGTGGAGACATCGCATCTTACCCATGACAATATCGATTGGCACGGCTTGATCGGGCGGTACCTCTTTCTCCCTCTTGGTGTAAAAGGCGAGAGCCTCATCCCATCTCTCCAACTTCTCGAACCAAGTCTCTCGGAGCTGAATGCCATCTTTGTACAGTTGGGCCTTACGCAGGATACCAATAGCAGCATCGTACTGTTGGAGCTGGTTGTTGATGACGATCAGCGCCTCTACCGCGGGTCCGCTTTGGTCCTGCAAGAACTCGAGCTCCTTGTAATGAAGAGCTTTCGCGTAAGCATGGCAACGCGCGGCTTCCCGTCCCAACACCCGAATGTCAATTGGCAAAGCTTTGTCGTCATGCTCCATGAACTCTGCCAGGTTCAGAAGCAAACCCAGCAAATCAGGAGGAACGTTCTCGGACCGGATGGCATTCTCGATGTTTTGTATGAGTTCATCTTGGAACTGTTCGTAAAGCTCGCTCCAGCAAGACACGAAGGCAGAGTTGAAGAGCTCACGAGCCAGGGGAAGATAGACACTCGCAAGTACTGCGCAAGCACGAAGAGCATGGTTGGGTGATTCTGTGAGCAATGTTGTGCTGAATCGCCGGAGCCACTCTTGCCAATCTTCTTTAGTTGATTTACCCTTGGTGTCCCAAGCGCTCTTTAAATGAATAGCGTTCATCTCAAGCTTCTTACCGCCAATCTCGGCGAATGACGGTTCGTCCGCCTGGTCGATGAACCCAGTCTGAGAACTAAGATCCTGCGGCAACACCTCGCCCTTCTGTAGTTTGCTGGTAAGCAGATCGTAGTTTTGGTGCTGGATAGGGTAGACCTGGAGAACTTTGTTGACAGTACCCATAAAATGGAGATAGTCCTTGCCAAGTTGTTGAATAAGAGCACACAGAGTATCCAGAGCAGCCAGGCGTAGGGATGACTCTCCACTAGTCGATAGAATACGGGCAAGTGGGTGTATGATCTTGGCAGCATAGTCATTAAGGTTAACCTGTCTAGAGATCTTGCCAATAGTCTCGATTGCTGACTTTCTTAGGAAAGTAGGTTGTCCAGGCTTCTCAAATGTCTGAACAATGACGGGAACGATCAGGTGCATGTACTCCTCTGCACTGGCACCGAAGACCAAGAAAGCATGCAGGACCTTTTCAGACGGTATCCTCTTGGTCGATGCATCTTTGTCGAGAACACTAAGCATCATTGGTAGAAGCCCTGCCAAGTAAACCTTGAACTCTCCCTCGAGCGATCTGGAGATAGCCTCCACCAGCGACAGTATCGTGGATTGCAAAGAACCAGATGCTCTTCCCCAGTATTCGCGCAAGGTCTCTACAATCTCTGGGAGGAAGTTGCGGATGTGCTGTCTTACTATGCTGACTAGAGTGGCAAGCTGGTTGAAGTACGACTCCAATCTGTTGAGGGGCGATGTCTTGATCACTTGAAGGAAGGCAGGTATAATGCGATCCAAGAAGGAAACACATTCCAGACCCAGAGTTCGGAAGATTGCCATGATTGCCTCGATGACACTAGCGTGATGCGGCTGGAGTGACTGGTCTTTCAGAATGTTCAGGAGCGCATTGATAGAGACGGTAGGATAATATTCCTTGTTGGATGGGGTGAGGCCAGTCATCATCAGTGAGATATCGGTCATGCGCGACGACTCTGTATTCTTGGCGGCGTCGGGTGTCTTCTCCTCAACCTGTTGATGCCTATATGGATCAAGGGCGCCTAGTATACCCATGAGCTTGATGGTCTCTTGGCGTAAAGGCCCTCGTTGTGGCTCAGCACGGATGATATTCTGCAACAGCTCGAGTAACTGAGGGAAATCAAGGTAGGGGTCAATGACGTAACCGCTGTTGCTTGCGAGCTGGCCCAGAGTATGTAGCGCGGCAAGACGTTTTGGTGTTGAACTCTGATCCTGAAGTGCGTCAATGATGATCGGCATCAGTTCGTCCTTGTGCTTGAGCATGGCTTCGCCACCAACCGTGCAGAGCTCGCCAATAGCCTTGAGGATAGTAGCCGCCACCGCTGAGCTCGGGTCTCGCGCTTTAGGCAAAAGGACAGCCATGATCGGCTCGACGTAAGGTTTGATCAATGATTGAGCGTTCTGAACGAGTAGGCTTAGGAGTTTCGCGCTTTCCTCCTTGTTACGTGCCACGTCGGTGTACTCGAGCTCGGTCAACATCTGAATCAAGGTCTTCCTTAGTGATGGAATCACATAAGCGGGATTGTGTCGAGCCAAACGACCAATGATGGAGATGGAGACTTCGCGAATGGAAAAGTCCTCGTCATTCAGAGCGAAGAAGAGAGTTCGAATGTTCTCCGCCTTGGAGAGATGATGGTCGAACCGCTCGTCGAGTGCTGCAAGAACAGTACGTCGAATATCCGCCTCTGGATCAGCCACACCAACAGTAAGAAGTTTCTCTATTACATCGCCGACCACTTGTAATGCATGATAACTAGTCTGATTGACAATGGGGTCGCGGACGTATAGCTGGCAGCAGGTAAGTGCTGCAGCTTCTCGAATTTGGGGGTCGTCGTCTTCGACGTATTTGATAGCGACATCACGGACGAACTCGTTGAGAACATGGCCCGAAAAGTCAAAGCTACCAAGAGTGTTGAGAGCAAGTTTGATTTCGGCCTTGCGATGCTCATAGGCGTGCGGATCCTTGGTGTCCTTGGGGATGATGGGGACTGACGAGAGTGTGTTTGGCGTAGGCGCACCGAGGGGCTTGAAAGGCTCGCCGCAAAGGACTTTGCTAAGCATGTCGAGTAGTCTCTCTTGAATGGTTGCCTTGACTGGAGGAATGTAGAAGGCCATGTCTACCAAAGCTTGTGTGAGCTTGGGCGTGAGCTCGCAAGCGAAGATGGGATCCAGCAGAGCCTCCATGTATTTGCTGAGGGTTTGGCCCACAGCAACTGCCAGCCTGCTGATACAGTCGAAGACCGGGTCTACAGATCCCTGTCGTCTGGATTGGATACTGAGACCTTCTCTAACGTATATCAGGACACCATCCAGATAGGGAGCGATAGCGCTCTTAACGGAATTCGCAATGTTTCCGATAGCCAAGAAAGCATCGTTGCGCTCCTTTGCTTTCTTCAGCATGCCGGATAGATAGAGCATGAACTTGTGTAGATAGGAGTGTGCGAACTCGGCGGGAGCATAGTTGGCCAGGTTGGGGATGAGAAGGACGACAGTCTTTCTGATGATGGGGTCTTTATGGTCCTTGTGTCGAAAGACGATCTCGCAGGCATCCCCGTAGTGCTCCTGCATGAACATGCCGCCCTGCTCCAAGAGCTCCTTGAGCACAAGGAGCGAACCATGAATGGACTCGACCGTGTTGATCCGAAGCCCGACAATGAGCTCGGTGTACATCTTGGTCATCCACGCCTGCTTCATCTCTTGGTCTCGCTCGCGAATGATGCGGAAGCAGGCGCTAACTGTCTCGCCGGACGTGACGCGGATGAGCTGCCTTGAGTCTCGGAGGCCAACCCAGATGAGGTCGAAAATGAGACTGACATAGGAGTACATGAGGGTAGGGGCATTTCGAGCGAGCTCGCGCAGGACAAGAACAGCACTATATCTCTTCTCCTCGACACGTTCTGACTGAAGCCACTCCAACGAAGTCTTAACTTCAGATTCGACCAACTCCGAGATGAGGGAGCCACCTGGTCTACAAAGCTTTCCGAGTGCTACGGCTGCTGGCTGCATGGGTAATATGTCCTGTCCTCGCAGGATACCTTTCAGGTTGTTAGTAAACCGCGTATACTTGAGTGTGACATCTACGCCGTCAAAGTCAGCTAATGCGTCCATGGCATAAACACCACCGAGGCGGTCGGCGGATATGTTGCTGTGGACAAGACTAGTGATCTTGCTGTTGACTTGATTGTAGAAAACTGTGAAGGTATCACTTGGTTGATCTGTGAGAATAACATCAGCACATGGTTTTCATAGTGAAGGGGTCAGTGTTCCGCATGTAGCCAGTAGATCGACTCCTTCCCATTGAAGCCACCAGCGCATACGGCTGTCTATAAGTTCGGTCTCATGGCCGTCTTTGGCGCCTCTCCATCCGCCACAGTCATGCCCTCACGAGTTCAAGAAGCCCATAAACATACCTCGGCAGGTGCTTGCAACGAGCTCGCGTAATCTTTGGGCGGCATGTTTCCTAGTTTCGTCGGTGGCTCTAAGCAAGAGCGGACAAGTGTCAGTATATGCAGATTTGCAAGACGATGATGATGGTGATGATATGGTAGGGACCCAGACTACTGGGGTCCACATGTTCTTCTGGTGGGAGGACAAAAAGGAGTCTGCTGACTTCGCTCTCAGATCTTTGGTGATGTTATCCAGTGCCTCGAGGGCCAGCTGTTGGCTGTATGGTTGCGCCATGGTGAGCAATGGGTGTGTGGTGGCTCGTCGAAGGCGATGAGGAGTGGTTCGAGTTTGTCGTTTGCGGTTTGACGAGGGGGGGTTCAAACTTCAAGTTGCAAATGATGGTATAAGTAAAAGGAGCTGGGAGAAGTTGTGTCAAGGAACTTTTGTCGTCGCCCAAGGGGTGTCAAATTGGGGCAATGATCTCGATGGACTGGCGCAGACGGGTTGGGCCAGCGCGGTCGAGTGACCAAAGGCGCAGCGGAAATTAGTTGAGTGGTGAAGAATGTGAAGGATGGCTGGCGCTCCGTTGCCTTGGATTAGGGTCACCAACTGTGTCGGCGGTGGTCGTGGTTCTGATGCTCCTTTGCCCCCCAGATCTTCTGTGCCCTCAGCCGTGCTACAACAGCTTCAGCAGAGGGCTACAGAGACCACCGGTGCTGCGCGGCTTCATTCGACCCGAGAATGATCTGGCGCTTCGTCCAAAGGTTGATTCGTGGTTGTGTTGGGCGGCAGCAGCAGTTACGGATGTTCGGAGGATGAGGCGTGTGTGATAATTACCAAACCTGGGGATCGATCACGACTTGACTTTCAGGGAGCTCACAAGACTGAAAGCTTGCATGAATGTTGCTGGGGTTCTTTTGGGTGTCGCGCCTAGTCTAGCCACGGCGGCGGCGCCTTCTGACGCAGTGCAGTGTTCCTGTTCCCGGTGGGTGCCCCAGCTGAGCTGACCTAAAAAACCCATGGAACTTTTGGCGAGATAGCGTACCGTTCGAGATTCAGCCCCCGCGTCTTGACGTGCAAGTTAGGCTAGTTGCTTTTGTCGTAGCTCAAGTTCAAGTGGGCGCAAATACGGAGTACTGTACTTAGTATGGATGCCGATGCGTGTGCCCTGAAGATGATGGAGATGAGAGTGGACATGTACAGTGCGCCTGGAGCTCTTATCGTTATCGTTATCGAGTAACCTACCTAACCTTAAGTGACAACAAATGGCAGCAACTCGTGAAACACAAGGATGGGAGCAAGAACAAGATGTATGTGTGGTATGGCCTTGCGCGCAAACTCAGGTCGGCGATTCGGTAAGGAATTAGCATCTTGTGGATTTGGTGTCGGGCGACTGGAAAGGGTGAGGTACAGTAGGTAGGGACATAGCAGCTTCAGTGATGCACGTGAGAAAGCAATCAAAGTTCTTATCGGGGGCTATCCGTCAAGGTTATCCGCTTATCGCCGTCAGATCAGTCCAATTCCCATTCTAATGCCCATTCCCCCATGTCCTCGGCCCTTGACTTTTAACTTGTACAGCCTCCCGCCGCCACTTCTTTGTCTCATGCTTATATTTCTGCGACATTAGCAATTAGTTTGCAGGCAATACTTCCACATATTTGACTGTCAACTGTCGCCAACACTGCTTAGCCTCCTCCTCACTCAACCAATCTTTCACTTCCAACCACTCACAACTCTCTGCATTTCGACGACTGCGACTACACCAATCCCCCCATCTGCGCCAACCCGAACCATCATCAGCATCCTCATCATCCCACCAGCCAGCCAGCCAGCCAGCCGACCAACCAACCCGCGCAATCCGCAATTCCCAAATCATGGGCAACGACGGCGGCTCCATCCCCAAGCGCCGCGAGCTCGTCAAGAATTCCGCACGCGCCAAGACCACCACGGAGCTGAGGGAGACCCTGCTGGAATCCCTGACCCACCTCTGGACCTTCTGCCCGCTGTCGTCCCTGCCCCTCGACCACACCAACACCGTCTCGGACGCCCGCGGCCGCCTCTACAACTACGAGTCCGTGCTCCAGTGCCTGCTGCCCGGCGCCGACGACGACGGCGGCGCTAGCGGCGTGCCCGAGGCAGAGGCCGAGGCCTTCAGGGAGAGCGGGATCAAGGGCCTGAAAGATGTGGTCAAGGTCAGGTTCGCCATCCGGAAAGACGACAAGGGCCGCGAGTTCAGGGCCTGTCCCGTCAGTCTGAAGGAGCTGGGCGCCGCGACCAGGGCCGTCTACCTGGTGCCCTGTGGGCATGTCTTTGCCGAGGCGGCCATGAAGGAGATCTCGGAATCCGAGAGCAAGGAGGGGGATGAGAGGCATTGCCCAGAGTGCAGCGAGGCGTTCGAGGAGGGCAACGTGATACCCATCCTGCCGACGTCGGAGGAGGAGATCAAGAGGCTGAGGGACAGGTCAGAAGATCTGAAGGCGAGAGGCTTGTCGCATAGCCTCAAGAAGGATAAGAGCAAGGATAAGAAGAAGCGCAAGGCCGACGAGGCGGCGAACGGCGATTCTGGGCACGGCGTCAACGGAAAGGGCAAGAAGGAGAAGAAGGACAAGGATGCCAACGGTATCGAGAGCCGGATCAACAACCCCATGACCGCATCTTTGACAGCCAAAGTGCTCGCCGAGCAGGAGCAGAATAACAAGCGCCGGAAGATGGCAGAAGGATTAAGAAGAGAAGCAGTGCGATGAACAGTTGTTCACCACCCTCTCTAGAAAACGACTCCCGGCATGGGGAACAAACAGACCTCATCTGGTCCCACATTTCCGAGGACGATTTCTTTCAGAGGTGATCCCCGTGCCAATTCCAACGCGGCTTTTTCAAGATCCGATACAGAATGACTGCATATGCTGGAAACAGGAAGGTTGTCCCCCCATTCAGGGATGGGATACACACATCCTGAAGTGTCGTGCCATTCCTCGAAGCCGGAAGCCTGAGTCTGTAGGAGTTGGTCAGCGTGAAACCCGATTGATATATGCTGGTCTGTGGGAAAGGTACTTCCCTGGTTCTATGGTTCTGCCATACCTTCATGACAAGAGACTTGCGGCTTGGAACTTAGCCGAGCCGAGTAAGGCACATGCATGTGAGCATTGGGAATCCGATAACGGTTATTATGTCAAGACATCAGGCATGTAGTACATAGCGTTCTATTCGATAGATGCGCCCCTTAATCTACAAGAAGAAGGTCTTGCAACTTCCATGCTGAATAGTTTTTTCTTCTCTAATGTCTATATCTTGCTCATCTCGGCCGGGATCGACCGGCTACAACTCATCTCTACCGTGCGCCGCCGACTCAACAGCTTCCTCGCAGGCAGCTGGGGTGCCGACCTCCATTTTATAGACACACTTCTCCTGCTCGGATATCCTCCAGAGCTCCTCGGTCTCGGCGCATCCCAGCCAGACATCGGTACGTCTGTTGGGGCCGTTCCAGCAATGCTGTCCGTTCTCGTACCTGAGGACCATGCGCTTGCCTCTGCCCAGGCCCTTGCCGTCATGTCGCGCTTCCTCGTCGCTCTCCTCAAAGTCGACACGGTCAAAGTTACCCATGTTAGTGGAACCGCCGCCTTTCTTGGACTTCTGCGACGTCTTGCCCATCCAGCAGAGTTCATAAGTGTACTCTCCGGCGTCGGTGCTGACACACTTGTCCTTGAGTTGACGGAAGATGTCGTCGCGGCCGTAATCCTTCTCGAGGTCCTTCTTCTTGTCGTCAATCTCGCGCTGCTTGTTGTTGATGTCCGATTCGACAGACTGGTATGCCTCACGGGCGGCGGCCACAAGACGCGACTCGCCCTTACCCGCAGGCTGGTCGGCCAGGATGCCGTTCTCAATAAGCCAAATACGCAGCAAGTTCAGCTTGTCGTGGACGAAATCGCGGACAGGAACAGGAAGATAACCCTCCAAGTTGTACACTGGATTGTGTTAGTACGGGACAGCTCTTTCGTAGAAGAAACTGGATTCAAAAACTTACGGACGTCGGTATCAGTGATTTCACCTTCATCATATTCGCCCCAGTTGATACCGTTGCTGTCGCTGTCCTCCTTGAGGATCTCCTTAACGTCGTCTTCGGTGACTTGATCCTTATCCTCCCCTGACTTGGCAGCGTAGTCCTCCCATGCTCGGACAGCCTTCTTGACACCCTCGTCATTGAAGTTGGGATTGTACTCTTCCTTGAAGGCTGCGAGGATGGCCTCAAGCTCCTCGACCCTGCTCTGCAGCTCATCCCGGTGGCTGATAATGAGGCTCAGGGCATCTCGCAATTCGTTGATTCTACCCTTGGCGAGGACGACCAACTGGCCCAGCTTGCCGGTGCCGGGGTCCTTGACGACCTTGCCACGTTCGCTCCGCTCGACCTCGTCGTACTTCTTCTTGAGATCGTCCCTCCTGCTCTCCAAGCCCTTGATCTCGCCATTGAGCTTTTCGATCTTGGCCTCGACCTGGCGGCGGAGCTCCTTGGACTCCTTGGCCATGGTGCGGCGCTTCTTGTTGGCCTTCTCGAGGTTGTCCTTCCTCTCCTGCTCGACCCGGCGCCACTCCTTGCCAATCTCGCCACAGCGGTTCGGGCACTTGACGCCTCCAACCGCCTTATACTCCTCGGTGCCGTCGCAGCACAGGTCGTAGTCGCAGACGCCGTCGTTGACGTAGAGGAAAGGCAGGTAGGCGCCAATGTGGCCCTCGTTGGCACACCAGAAACCGGGCAGGGCGTTCGTGGTGTTGGTGGAGCCCGAGAGGGAGGCGGGCAGGGGCTGTGAGGGTGAGAGGCTGTCGAGGTTGGCGCAGGCGGCGGTGCCGGGCTCATCTGAGCCGTCGGGGCAGTCGCAGGTATTGTCATTGACGCGGGACTTGGATAGTGTGATGGCGGGATGTCCGATGCAGGTGAACTTGTCCAACTCATAAAACCGGGCGACTGCATTGTTTGGTTGATTAGCACCTAGGTCATACTTGCGAGATGGCGGGGCGGTACGACAGTGGTTGAGCCTGGGGTTTGCGGTCGGTGAGTTGACAGCGGCGGGCAGGAGAAGCCATCACCAAGGTCAACGTCATGCAGCACAGAGGCTAGAATCGAATGAGACTCGACTTACACTCGGGACTAACACCCCTCGGGACTGAACCAGCAGACACGAGGCCAGCGTTGGCAACAGTGCCCAGGAGCACCAGAGCTTGCAATTGCCTCATTGTGATATGTGAGTGCAACCTCAAACGCAATCAATGGGTATGAGGTTGTAGGAGTGCTGCTTTGACTATTATATTGAGAGCAAGCAATTGAACACGAAACACAAGGCAAGGACCACGGCGAGGGCAGAGGAAAGCTCCCGAGCGTCGGTCTATCAATCCAGGCTAACCTCGACAAGCTTAGTCTGGTCCCCCGGCCGGACAGGGGCGGGGGAGCTTCAGCCACAGGGACAGCGAGGGCTGATCGAGGGGTTCGTCGAGCTCAGCCACAACCGAATAGGTTACGCCCGCCTTGATTCTTTGTTCGTGGCCGCCCATGCTGCAACACAATACGCCGCACTCTCTTATTACACATCCGCAGGATCGTGAGTTCCACATTCTCCTCGTCCATCACGTCTACGTTTGTAGCGTATGGAGAGCTTGATAAGCGCCCGGCTTAATAAGCAATAAGCAATAGGTTTAGTGGTGTAGTGGTTATCACACCTGTCTCACACACAGGTGGTCCCCGGTTCGAACCCGGGCTGAATCATTTTGCACATCTTGTCTTTTTGGACTCACCCTACCGAGTCACACTTGGTGGGGGAACTTCCGAAGTGAAGGCTCACTCACAATCTCATGGGACAGGTATTATTCACCCGAACGAGAGGGCGAATGCAAATCAGAAATAGAGCCTCATATCTTCAAGTCATGGCTTGGCAGGTCTGATGCGAAATCTCCATATTCTCAAGTCAAACCCGTGGGTAGCCATCTTGGGGTAGGTTTGCCTGCTGCGAATCAACGTCGCGACCAAGATGATCATGACTACTCCGGCATAAGTATGCCACCGGCGAAGCAGCATCGTGGTCCAGCAGAGCCCAGTGTGCTTACACCACCAGAACAATTGACAGCGACAGGCGATCTTATGAAATGGACAGAAGCACATGTACACGTTTTTGCAGAACTTTCCGAAAGACCATGATCTTGTAGAAGGCATACCGGAAATACCCCTGGAAGTAGCCGGGGCACTGCCGATTCTGCCTCAGATGGCACGAACAGTCAAGGCTGGCACCGAAAGCACAAGCCATCGACCGGGACATGCTGACAACATTCATTATCGAGGAACTAAAGGGTCTCGTCAAAGACATTCCAACAGATGGGAGTACGTTGGAATGGCTCAATGTAGCTGATATACTCGCCAAGCTTTGAGCCTCGAAGCTTTGGAAAATGGACCCCGATGAATATCCTGAACGTCGGCCAATGATCCTCTATGACATGGATAGTTCCTGTGGGAGATGGGTTCACGCACGCGGGCCGGTCTACATGAGAAGGACTAACAACTTCATCTATGACGTTCGGAGCATCCCTTACGGAGCGTGGGGTGAAGAGCGAGCAACGGAATCAGAAATGCATGATGATGATCAGTCCTCTTGGTTTTAATTTGTGAAGGTTCTGGGGAAGGACAATGACTTGACGAGGAAAAGTCGATACCCAGCAGCTGAGGTATACATAGCTCACACCCAATATACATGATCACCAGACAAGATAACTCCCACGTCAATGGCGCCATTAGGTGATCGTTGTCTGCGCTTGCGAGGGCCCAAAACAATAAAATCAACCTTGAACAAGGCATTCAAGTACAATGATTTCCAATTCGAGGCGAGGCAGAATAGGCGTACCGGGAGGTTTGCTCTTCCCGAGGAATAAAAACATCGCTCTACAGAAACCACTTGCACAGGGCAAGTTCCGATGATTACTTGTCCATAATTACCATGCTGCAGCACTATTGTGTCAGTGATATTGATTGCCGCCAAGCGTCGTTTGGTTTCTCCTAGGATCGAGATTGAAACACTGAATTTGCACCAGTGGCATGGGATGGTCCGATTTGAATATCGAAATTGCTGTCATGTTCGCTTGCGAGGAACTCGGCAGGTATGGAAGACAAAAGTCGACATCAGAATCACCAATTCGTACGTTTGGCTCCAAGGAAACGTTCAAAACCGAGAGTATTGCGATTTTACGGACATGAGCAATCTTGCAACTGAAGTCTGGAGGATTCAGGAAGGTCTAGAATCTATCGGTTCTGGGGTTTCGAGGCAAATCTTTGATCGCTGCTCAGCGTGGCTGTGATTCGGTCACCCATCCGGCAACCAAGGATTATTGGCAGACTATATGGTTCGACCAGAGCAGCCTAGAAGTGCACAATACAGGACAGACGACCGGTAGAACGGGAAAAGAAAGCAGCAACGGCTGAACTAATACTGCGCGGAAGATGTCAGGGGGGCTAAACTATTGCCACGAAAACGCCATCAGCAGCGGGATCCCCGCCGCTGTGCATGCAGATGCAGCTGCAGATGACTTTGGACTGACGGAAACGCTAATGCGCTGCTCTTGTGATACATGTTGGATGTCTAGCTTCTCTCCAGGCTGGCCTGGGTAGACGTTCCCGATCCTCGGTCTCCAGCCGAGTTGGCTCGATGAACGGTTACATCGCAGAGTTTACTAGCATGGGCAGTGGGCATGTGAAGACGAGTTCACACGACAGCGGCTTGCGGGAAGGAGGAATCCTGGAAAGTGTAACAATAATAACAATGCCATGTATCATACGGGCCAGTAATCTCATGGCTGCATGAAGACAATTTTGACCTCGGTCGTGTTCGCAACCAATAAAACATCATGGTCAGGCCAGCACACGGGAATAATACCTCCTGAGTTTCCACTTATGAGGAACAATCTGGACGATTGTAATTCAGTGGCTCCATCGCCTTGTCATGGCGGACATGTCGTCTCGCGTAGCAATGCGTCCTTTGTTACTGGCATCTGCTTTGACTACGATCGATACGACCATGAGCCTTTCTCATCAGACGATAAGCAGCCGACGTCAAATGTAGAGTGTCATTCCTACTCCTTTGCGTAAGTGGGGAGGCAGATCGTAAAGATCTTCGTGAAGATCAAGCACGTGTGACTCTGTGACCTCGGAATCCTGTCGGCCTATCCTGAGAAAGAGCCACCGAAGTCTAATCCCACTACCATGTACTGGAGGGCGCTCGGCGGTGCATCTTGCTCTGACTTGAACTCTGGCCATGAGACAAGGTTCCATGCTCTGGATGTTTTTATTGCCACAGATTCTAGATCGGGTCCTGCTGCGTCAAGCACATCGTCTAGTGATCGCGATGGGTTCTGATGCCAAGAGCATGGCAGACGAAGCACTCTTAGTCGCGACAGGCGATTCACAGAAAAAGACTCCAATTAAAAAAAAATTCAGTCGCAGCATTCTAATGCGACCGAATACGTCGACCGATGAGAACCGACGGCCTCTGCCCAGACCCAATGGCTTGGTACAGGCATTTGAAGGGCTCCATAGTCGTGTGATTACATGCGGTTGACGCATTCTGTCCAATGTAAGTTACGTGTTAGTATAGAGGCGTCTCCTTCGAGAAACCAGAGGTTCTGACCAATTGGCGACGCAGACTGGGAGAACGCACAAACACGTGCATCGATGGGGTCGTGCGATTGTATGCCGTGCTGCTGGGTGGGTGATGTGGACCTTCTAGTCTTATTCCACAGCTAAGAAACAATACATAAATATGCGATGCGCCAAGACCCAAGACCGCGAACGTGCTTGAACTCTACAACTGACTTTTGACCGGGGCCCCGCAAGGGTCTTGGCGGGAGATCAACCAGATAGACCCTTTCAAGCACCCACGTGGGGTGTTGTTGAGCTCTCATTCGAGATCTGGGGCAATCCTCGTCATGCAGCCAAGGCACGCTAGGAGCCTCATCCGCACCGGCGTTGCTTGCCATGGTCCAGTCTTTACCCAACACCACGGGTATAAACTCCCCTTCTAGACCTGCCAAGATCGATATCTCGGTGGCGCTTCAGCTTAGAAGTTCGAGGCCAAGCACTCGGCTGTCGAGATGAGCAGAGGCGGACTGCCCGTTGTGTTGATTGTGCTGTAACCGACGAATCAAGTCTCGACTTAGCCAAACGGGCAGCCAAGAAAGTGGCATGGAAAGAGCCTGCTAGGGTCAAATCCGTTGCTGGTTTGTGCGGAATGTCTCTGAATACTATACGCCATCCGCCGGGCGTCGGTCACCTAAGAGAGCAAGTGGGGGATGACAGGGCGAAGGGCGGACGCATAGCAATATGAAGAAGCAACATGGATGGCCGGCTGGGCGCGCGCATACGGGCAAACAGATATAAGCTCTTCGCTCCCGCTCTTGTCTTCAACCCCTGGCTGGAAACTCAGCAAACCCCAAACCAACAGACAGACACTCAGTACTGCTGAATATCAATCAGCTCGCCAAGCATTCACAATGCTCGACCAGTACACTTACGTCTTTGTCATCGGCACATTTTTTGCCTTGCTTGACGCATACAACAATGGTGCAAGTGAGTATACCAATCTTCCACCATTTTAGTTAACAAACCTACCGGCTGAGAAAATGGAATGCTGACTGGATTCCGCAGACGATGTTGCAAACGCCTGGGCTACCAGTGTCTCCTCGCGGTCGATTTCGTACCGACAAGCCATGATCTTCGGTACAATCTTCGAAATGCTCGGTGCGATCACTGTCGGTGCCCGTACTGCCGATACTATCAAGAACGGAATCATCCCCACTGCGGCTTTCCGTGGCGATGCTGGTGTTCAGATGCTGGCTTTCACTTGTGCTCTGGCTGCTGCTTCTTCTTGGGTCATGTGGTGCACGCGACACTCTGCTCACGTATCTTCAACATACTCGCTCATTTCTGCCGTTGCTGGTGTCGGTGTCGCGACCGTTGGAGCTAAACAGGTCCAATGGGGCTGGTACGATGGAAAGGGTCTCGGTGCTATCTTCGCTGGTCTCGTCATGGCTCCCGCCATCTCTGCCAGTTTTGCTGCCGTCATCTTCATGCTCATCAAGGTCACCGTCCATATGCGCAAGAACCCTGTGCCATGGTCTGTTTGGGCTTCGCCATTCTTCTTCCTCATTGCCGGTACTATTTGCACGCTGTCCATTGTTTACAAGGGATCTCCCAACCTCGGTTTGAACAAGAAGCCCGCGTGGTACGTCGTTGCCGTTACTCTCGGTGTAGGCGGTGGTCTGTTCGTGCTCTCCGCCATCTTCTTCGTCCCTTACGTCTACGCCAAGGTCATCACCAAAGACCACAGCGTTAAGTGGTGGATGTTCATCTACGGCCCTGCTCTCTTCAAGCGCCAAGCTGTCGAGGGTGCCGAGCAGGCCAAGGTCCCCAACTACGCTGTTGTCCAAGAGGACGAGGAGGAGCACAGCTCTGCTCGCTCTGAGAAGTCTTTGACCGACTCTGCCGAGGGCGTTGTCGATGCCACACGTGCTCACGAGGACAGCGAGAAGAAGCTCGTTCGGTCTGAGGCTAAGCAACTCACCTACAAGGAGCTTTCTGAGGCTGGTGAGCGCCGCCTCAAGGCCAAGCTCATGGAAAAGCGTGGTCCCATGGGCTGGGCTCTGCGAACTCTCCGCGACAACCCGATGGGCCCTGGCGAGATTTACGAGTTCAAGAACATGAAGATTGCCTTGAAGCGCGTTCCTGCCATGATCGTCTGCGGTGCTCTATATGGTCTTCACTATGATATCCACGCTGCCCAGTCTGGCGTCGAGGGAACTCCCGAGGGTGCTCGCATGAAGAGGGTCTACGCTCACGCCGAGAAGTACCCCAACGAGGTTGAGCACTCTTTCTCTTTCATCCAGGTCATCACCGCCTGCACTGCTTCTTTCGCTCACGGTGCCAACGATATCGGTAACTCCGTCGGTCCTTGGGCTGTCATCTACTCTGCCTGGTCAACTGGTGATGCCGCTGCCGCCAAGGCCAACGTCCCTGTTTGGCAACTCGCTGTTCTTTCCGCCACTATCTCGCTTGGTCTCATCACTTACGGCTACAACATCATGAAGGGTAGGAAATATTGCTCGATCTTAAACTTTAAAATACAATGCTAACTCATTCTACAGTTATGGGTAATAAGATTACTTACCACTCTCCTTCGCGTGGTTCGTCCATGGAGATGGGTGCCGCCATCACCGTCCTGGTCTTCTCACAATACTCGCTACCTGTCTCGACATCGATGTGCATTACTGGTGCCACCGTTGGTGTCGGTCTCTGCAACGGTTCCATCAAGGCTGTCAACTGGCAGCGTGTTGGTCTTTTGCTTCTGTCCTGGATCATGACCATCCCCATTGCTGGTACTATTGGTGGTGTCCTCATGGGTCTCTTCCTCAACGCCCCTCACTTTGCTTCTTGAGAGGAGGTTGATTTTTGGGTCACTGCCTATGTCCCTCATTATAATGCATCGATACCCGCATGTCTTTAACATGCTACCCACATAGACTGTAAACATCTATAATGTGAATATAAAAGTTCTATCCTTACCATGACTTATTTCATCACTGAATTCCCTGAGTGCAACTGCGGGTGTAGCTAATTGAGCGAGATTGATTGGACATAGGCTCCGTATTACGCTTCTACATAGCAACATGCACGGCTATTCGCACAACAACGTCGGCATATAAAAGCACCACCCCCATTTGTAGCTGGTACTCCTTCAACAACGATATCGCAAGCAGATACTGCGACGGAGGTAAACTTCGGGATCGAACGCGTGTGCTGTCTCAACTAATTCAACATGGCATGGATCCTGTTACTCAGTAACGATATTGCCATGCCTTTAAGCATGAGATCAGTCAATCTCGCTCTTGGCATGAACTATGGACAGAGAATACATCAGGCGCACCTTTCAGTAACTATCGTATGACTCGGCGATGGCATTTTAACACGCGAAAACTTTATAATTCTCATTCTCCCGGTTGAATTTTCATCAGCACTTGACTCGTGATAGCAGTAATGTTGACACCATACAATCAGTGTTGTCAGGATTAAAACAGCAAGCTGATACCATCGGGCAAGTTCGTCCAGTAGTCAAACAGTCATAGAAGAGAGAGTTTGACCTTAGGCATCAGCGTTCGGCGAAGTGGTATGTGAGGACCTGAGTAAGCCCTTGAATGTTCAAGATACTACCCACTGTTGGGCAAACCAACCATGGACATGTCGTGTCTCATTAGACTGCTATCGGTGGAGGGAAGGCTTAGCCTCATGACACGCTGCACACATTGTTAGGGAAGGTAAGAACCTCTACACCTAATTTTCTCTATTAATTAACAGAACAATCTCAAGCTTGTTTGTGGAATCTGTGGAGCAAGTAAACATTGCTGAGAATGATCTTGTGAATCGTCGTGATATGTCAGCATCTATGAAAACTGCGGCCTACACGAATTCGCATAGCTGCAATATGTTATTTGTTATTGATACGTTCTCTGCATTGAGTTAGCTGGCTATCGGGGAAACGATGGATGTGTAGTTGATAGGTTGGCTTGTGTAATAGCTTCAGCTGCGTCCCTGATATGAACTGATTGTTAATGGCCCATGAGGTTCATTTAGAAATGGCCTATTAATGTTTTAATACACCGATTCATTGACTCGTAAACATGGTGTGTTCGACGATGTTAACGGCAACACGGCGATCATACGTTATATAGCTTTCCATTGTGCTGCCAGCTCGTATCCTGCCCGTGGCCCATACTACTATGCGAGATCATCCAGACGGTATGCTAGACAGCAATGTATATGTCATTATGATATGCAGATGATTAGCTATACAAATCACTAGCCTATAATTCATTCTAGGTCGCCATTGAAGCGCCGGATACTGGTCTATCTGTACCTCTCCATCTAGTTCCAAACACTGAACTGTCGTATCCAGCCCTGCGAACTCGATATATTGACTGGCCAGCACCAAGCTGGGTAATTTCCAAGCCTGTAGATAGTAGAGGACTTGTGTACCGGCGGATCCGTGCGTCCTTGCCGTTAATAACTAGATCACCGGCAGTCTAGCTGTGCAATCGTGCTACGTAGTTCCATGCCTCATCCAGTTCTTTATCAAGGTTGGAGACAGGCATACTCACGGTCTCAAGCGAGGGTAAACGACGGAGAATCAACCACACCACGATGGGCTCGATACAAATTCCCATGTCGCCACAACTAGTTCTGATCTTCATTTGTTCCAGGGAAGCCATATTAAATAGCAGCTTTCACAACAGCTAGGAACCATGACTTGATAACAGGAATGTTGGGTGACCCGCGGAATTAAGATACCTTCTGATCCTCCTCGGCAGAACCACTGGGGTGGCTATCCAAGACATCATCGTCTTCAACCCATGGCTACTCCTCTTCATCTGCGTCACGATGAGAGTCAAGTCACCATTGTCCGGAAGGTGTTGTGGCTGAGAGCTCGAGTTTCAGGGTTTGCAAGTTAGGCTGCCGCGGCCGCTCGTAATAGCCGCGCTTAGTCTTCGGGCCAGAGAGAGCTGCTTTCAGGGATTCAACAATATCTGCAATAATAAGGCGTCTACATACTTTGCGTAGTGCTAAACTATGTGGTTCTTCTCAAGTGGTGCCCCTTCCAGAGTGCTTATAAGAGAAACTGCAAGGTTCCTGGGGTCATCTCGGTCACAACGGGGCAGAGAAGGTGTTGTCAGTGAGATGCTTCATCCTTTGACCTGCGTATTTGCGGCCTGCTGTTTCATTGAGGAGCCATGGGTCGCTTGGTGAATAATCCTACACACGACGCTCTCTCTCTTGGACGCCATTAGGTTCCTGCTAGTTGTGGTTCTCCGGAAGTATTAAAAATACAGCGGTAGTTTGTACGAATCGCTCATTCTTACTTGCCATTCTCAACCAAAGAAGTAACTTCCTCGCTGTAAGTATTGAGAATGATCTCGGCGCCTAGCAGCCATCCAAACGTGGCATTTAGAGACAGAACTTCTCAAATATGAACCTTTACACAATGGTTACCATTGCTTGGAGAACGTGTGATTGGCAATGCAGCCATGCTCTTCTAGGGTTTGGTCTAGACCGTGAGAGGACGCCCACCCATTTGGTACTTGATAGAATATAGGAGACAAAACTACCGAGTATATCTGCCAGGGGGGTATCCATCTAAGTTGTGTTCAAAGGAAGGTAATCGATGAGCGAGCGCCGTGCAGATCTATTACGCTGTGGCACATCGTATCAAGATCTAAAGAAAGACGAGGTGTAGCATGCATCACTGCAGCACAGCCGGCCTAAGCGACACTGTACGGACCGTTACAGTCATTTCGTTAAGGATCTTGCTATCAGTAATAGAGTCTTTCAACATATTAAGTCAGGAGCGATTCATATCCATGAGTTCAGGGCATAGTTGCAGATCGGACTTTGCCATATCCGTCAAGACCTTGATTATACTGCATACTGGCTGATGTCCGACTTTGTTGCTTGCTCAAATGCTTGAATTATAGCGTCAAAAACAGCGAGCATATTTCCTTCCCGCGTATCTGAGCGATTTGGTCTGACATGGCCTCCGTGCAACAAGCCTCACATTCGTTATGGAAAGAGCACAATTGCTGGGTTCAATGCCAAGCCGGAACATGCCGAATTATGCTCAGTTCTTTCCAACGACAAAAAGTTTGCCGTGAGGCGGGGTATTGCCCTAGTCAGAAATTCGCTGAAGGAGGGAGAAATGAGGCGTATGGTGTAGAAGGATAGCCCATCTACAAAAGAAACAGAATAAATCCAGGCACAATCTGTGCGAGATTAACAAAAACATGGCGACACCCGGAATCGAACCGGGGTCTAGTCGGAAACGTCGTACTCTCGAGGAGAAAGCCACAACGACTCGTACTGACCACTATACTATGTCACCAGTGCTGTTTCACACGTATGTGTGATTCGATGGAAAAACGTGCTCCAAAATAAACTATATCCATTAAAATTTGGCTTGAGTCAGAGTATGGAGATACCACAGACCGCGTGCGGAGAAGCTAAGCATTAGATGAGGGGCTTGCAGCTCAGCCCCTCTGATACTAGAACACTTTTGTGGCTGTGGCTGCAGGAATCCACCATTGAGCAGTGCTCGTTTTTACATTTCCATTATGCATATCATGTAAAATATTTCCGAGGGAGTGTATAACAAGATGAACTCGGCATATGTTGAATTTAGCTCAGCTAAAGCATTGGTGCAAGGCCTTGTAAGTTGTGAGGAAGGCACACTGCAAGGCTTTCAGGCAATCAGGGACCTGACCATGTTCAATTATGGAGTCCTGAGGCCACCAAGTGCTCCTAGGTTTTGTTCTTGTCCGGATTCGGACAAGAAATGTGTAGTTATAGTCAAGCCTCCTTCTAAGGAATGCGACTTCAAAGACGTCCACGAATGATATCGCAGGACTTATATAACGGATGGCAAATGGAGTCAGAGGAATGAGTATTTCCATGTATGCGTGGACTGTTCGGTGTTGGTGTGCTTAGCATTCCTTCGCCCTTATTGTTATGACTTTTATCGTATAAGCCCTCAGAAAGCGAACGTGATCTCTCTCCAATGATATGACCAATTATAACTTTGTCAACTTCAATAATCCACTACATGCCTCTCGGCCTTTGAGCTAGTCTCGTGTTGATTTCACGGTTTCGATCTTGACACTTGACTGGCAGATCGCGACCGACCTAATTTAACACTGCCATCAAACTAAGAAAAGAACTACTTACTGCTATCTTTAAGCTAAACATATCAGCCACAGCGAGTAGAAGGACTTTATTGCCGAGGGTGGCGATCTTCAGGACATAAATAATGCATCAGAGCCTTGTCGAATCGTTTCTTTGAGAAACAATACTGACGGGACATGTTAGAGGGCCGCCTAATCAACCAATACTCCTGCCCAATATAAACAACAATCATGGTTCTACATCGGCAAATACGGCCCGAATGGTGGCACAACTTCAACAGCAGGAATAACACTCAGTCCTCATCACAACATAGCACGGCGACATTGGTATGCCAAGAGCCACAAGTATCTATACACCCATTGGCCACACAAGAAGGTGTTCTCATCAAAGTCGAACCTCCGTACCGTCCATCAAACGATGACCTCTCCCATGTACCCTGCGACATTGTCCTTGTAATCGATGTAAGCTGGAGCATGAGTGACGTCGCACCAGTGATTGGCCGCGACGACGAGGGTATGGTGACCAGGGAGCATACTGGGTACTCTGTCTTGGACATCACCAAACATGCGGCTCTTACAGTGCTGGAGACACTGGACGCGGGAGACAGATTAGCGGTGGTTACTTTCAGTACCAGCGCAAAAGTGCGTATCCTTCGTAATTGCAAACTTCGTTTCACGCGTGTGTTGACTTAGTACTTCAGGTTGTGCGAAAACTACAACCTATGGATCCAGTTAATAAAAAGGCGACCGAAAAGTGTATACGGGGTCTAAAAGTGGAGAGCGCAACGAATCTTTGGCAAGGTATCGTGAAAGGAATTGAACAATTCAGGGACTCAAAGAATACGGGTCGAGTGCCTGCAGTCTTGGTCCTCACAGATGGACAGCCTAATCTTCAGTGAGTATTAACACTGGCTGATATCGGAATGTGCTTTGGTCTCATGTGAGATGCATAGAGACCCTCTTCAAGGCTATGTTGCCGCTATTCGGAATATGGCACCTTTGCCCGCCACTGTTCATACATTCGGCTTTGGTAACGACATCAAATCTGGACTCCTAAAATCTATCGCTGAGATCGGGGGTGGAAGTTATTCCTTCATCCCTGATGCAGGAATGGTTGTAAGACATACTCTTTTCCCGACACATCTCATCCGCTCACAGGAATAGGGGACCGTCTTCGTAAATGCAGTGGCTCATCTCCAGTCCACATTCGCTAATCGCTGTACCCTAACGTTGACTTTTCCCGAGAGTCTTCGCTTGAAACAGACTGGCGGGGAGATCGTCGCATGCAAGCAATTTATGCTCATTGATGCTCACGACCCCGGAGTTACCATGAATGTTGGTGAAAAATCCCACGTCTACTCTCGCGGACTCGAGGCCTGTGAAATGACCATTCCGCTCGGCAACTTGCAATATGGCCAATCTCGGGATATATACATTCGCAGCGACGCTCAGAATTGGTCTTCTCAAGACGCTGAAAAGCCGAGCATCGATGCGACGTTGAACTACTCGCTCATGCACAACATTCAATACACTATTTCAGCCAGGCAAGATGCTCTTTCGTTTACTTCCCTTCCAAGTTCCGATCTTGCATATCATCGAAGTCGAGCAATGGTCTGTGAGTACCTCTCCTCTTTCTTTCCTCTACAAGGAAATGGCGAACACAGCATGCCCTTTGTTACACCTGCTTCGACATCCGCCATCAGAACAAAATTCGAAGATCTCCTCGCGAGAATTCCAGCCAAGGACTTTAGCGATTCACGCAACAAGTCTATCATGCAAGATATACTCGGTCAGATTAAGCTGGCTGTTTATGACGACACTTACCTCAAGACTTGGGCGCCACATTACTTCCTCAGCTTGTGGGATGCGCATGCGAAACAAGTTCGCAATACGTTCAAGGACCCAGGCGTGCAGATGTACGACCTCAATAGCCCATTGTTCACAAAGTGCCAGGAGGATTTGACTCGCGCCTTTGACATCGCTGTTGAAGCGCCAGAACCAAGTTTAAGGAGGCAGGCCGATGAGAAGTATAGCAGCGGGCGAGCCAACGTCTCGATGTCGTCTTATAATAATTGCGACCAACCCTGCTTTTCTGCTTCCACATTGGCCACTCTTGCCGATGGCAGTGAAATCCCTGCCAGCCAGTTGCGCAAAGGCATGGCGGTCCAAACACCGTGTGGCAACCGAAATATCGTTGCCGTACTAAAAACCAGAGTGCAAAGAGTTACGCTGTGCAGGACCCAGAATCTGTTGGTCACGCCGTGGCATCCTGTGATGGATGATGATGCGTCATGGACATTTCCTGCTAGGATTGCGAAAACAGCCGTCAGGTACTCAGGGGCGATTTATTCAATTCTGCTCGAGCCAGACTCCAATCCCCAGGCACACGCAATTCGAGTAGGTGGGGTTTGGGCAGTAACTCTAGGTCATGGGATCATCGGCGGTGAAGATGTTAGAGCGCATGCATTTCTGGGTGACTACTCCAAGGTCTCCAAAGCTCTGTCAATCGTCGGTGTTACGCCAGAGGGTATGGCTGTGGCCTCAGGTGTTAGGCGCGAGAGGCGTAGTGGGAGATTAAACGGGTTCAGGGGGCAGACAAGTGATCAGATCGGCGATTGTTGAGTTACGAGCCAACAGCATGGCTGTGCCTAGACTCAAATGCCGGTGGTGGCATTCTGGCAACAGGAAGAAATTGGATTTATCAACAGACAAGCAAATTGAAACAAGATGCCCAGTGTATGTGATTGAGCAACATCGCGGCGTATTCATAGATGAATATCATGCTGCAGTGAAGACCAGACCAGAGACATCGGAGCTTTTATTCCCTGTCCCCAACTTAACTTTAGACACGGCCCTAAACTACGGATCCCTAAGTGGTCTGATCTTCAAGGTGTCGGTCGGGTTTGCGGCAGCGCTTGAAAGTGGAACTGCCTGCTTAGTACTTACTTAACCTATGTTGTAACCCAACACTTGCGGCCTATCCCTGAGTGCCTATTTCTGAAGCAACTGCACGCGGGAGATCGTCAATTGTCTAAGGCTAGAACATCGGAATTTGCAATATCCACCATGGCAGTCTTGACGTGCAGTAATAAGGTAATGAATGATAGGACAATTTCGATTGCCAGTTCCAGGGACACGAAACCCACCATACAGCGGACTCGGTGACTGAGTTTCCGACACAATTTCTAATAGTGACGTTAGAGTTCGTTCTCAGGAGCAATGACTCGACTTGATTGAGGGGGCCGCGGGAGAAGCCCTCCAGCTCAACGATTGGCTCCCAAGCTTGTCTGCTCTCCTGCCAGGTGGCACCTCAGAGCCTGAGAGCTTCTCCTTCAAATCTTCTGGCTCCGTGACTTTCTGGCAGGTGGGTTCTCTTGAAACGCTGTTGAGTAATGCCACATGGGTGTCGCACACACGCTTGTCGGTGCCACTGGAAACACGCTAAGCAATCTCACCAGGCCCAAGATCTAGACCCAAGGTTAGAGCTGTGGGTGGGACATGCGAGAACTTCGAGATCGACGTTGCCTGCATCTTCAATTGCATCACAAAGCTGTGTCGAAATCCCCGGAGAACAGAAGGTGGCTCAAACTTGACGAGTCCTTGGTTATTATTTGCATTGTCTTATGTGGATCCATACCGTTAGATTGGTATTGGCCATCTGGTTTATCCTTAGGATCCTGCACCGGCGAGGCTTTCTGACACCATCTAGGTCGAGTCTTGTACAACAACGTCTACCTATCACTCGCCATCTTTCGGCACTTCTCCGCCCAAGTCTTTGCTTCTCATCACAACAGATAAACTCTCAGGCCAAAAGCCGGGCACCTTTGATGATTCGGTAAATTCTGACGCCTCCGACTCCTGGGTCGAAGTGTCCTGAGTTGCCCAATGCTACCAGAATGTGCCGGCGCCGGGCATCTCAAGGCAAATGATTTTCATACTGAAGCCACAATGGCGGTGGCACAACGAGTTAATCTAGACTGGTTGCGGGATCCGCCACCAACGAATCTAACACCATATCAGAAATACATTCGCGATGTGGACTGGAGCTGCACAACGGCAGGGCCCATAGCAACGTGGTCGCGAGAGCTCAAGCAAATGGTCCGCTTCCTTGTGGCCGATAAGGAACCACGTATATTGTACTGGGGCTTGTCACGCACTGTCATCTACAATGAGGCCTACATACCTCTTGTCGGGGCTAAGCATCCGTATATGCAAGGGAAGAACGCGTCGGACGTATTCCCCGAATTCTGGGCGTTCTTTGAAAATCTTATTACACGGCAGCAGTCTACGGGGGAATGCTTAAGTGGAGATGCCGAAATGTTACTCATGGAACGACATGGATTTCTCGAGGAAACCTACTTTGACTGGAAACTGGTGCCGGTTATTGGCGACGATGGGGAGGTCAAAGGGTCTTTGGGCTGTCCTTCGGACAAAACTTGGGATATTATCGCAGCGCGGAGGAGGGACTGTGTCAAACACGTCGCACGACAGATCGGCAGGACTACCAGCCTCAAACATCTTTGGGCTGCCACTTTGGATGGGCTGAGTATCAACGAAAAGGATACGCCCTTTGCTCTTCTATACACCGTGAAGGAGCAAATGAGTCTTACAGGGCCACCTTCTCGGCCTAACTACACCTGTCGTTTAGAGGGGTCCATAGGTGTTTCTTCCGATCATGCCGTGGCGAAAGAATACCTCGACGCACAATACGACCTTGATGGGTTTGCGCCTAAGGTTCTCGCAGCTATCACGGCCGATGAGATGCTCGTGCTCAAGGCCGACGACCCGCAGGTAAATTCTTTGTTGAACGGTATCAGCTGGAAAGGACATGGACTACCGAGCCACGAACTTGTTATCGTCCCCCTCAAGGCCGATGATGAGATAGCTGCATTCTTCATCATCGGATTAAACCCCTACCGAAGATACAATAAGCTGTATCAAGATTTTCTGCGTTCTTTAGCCGATGTCATGGGGCCTCAAATATCGAAGCTCATTCTTGCCGAGGAGGTCCAGCGCCGGGCTGAAATCGCAAGAAAAGCCGAATCGGATTTTGCTCAGAGTGAATTGAGATTCGCCAGGTTCGCGGAGCGCTCAACATTTGGACTTGCGGTTGCTGGCCGTGATAAACATATCACTTATGCCAACGAGGCTTGGTATAGCTTTGTCGGGATGGACCCTGCCCGTTCGGACTACGGTGGGTGGTTAGAGACTGTCCACGATGAAGATATACCACTTGTGCTTGAATGGTGGGAAAGGGTTTTGGTCGACAAAAAAGGAGGCCAGTTTCAATATCGATCAAAGGTACCTTTTCGCCAAGGAAATATGTACTCAGAGCATCGGACTGCTCTGTGTGCTAGTGAGTTATGTCCCAATTGTAACCTATTCGTTTTCAAGGCGGAGATCCTGTGTGACAGCCAGACTGTGTTATCCACTACCGGCACTGTCAATCTGGCCGTGGCGGAGCTCTAACTCACACACATGCTCAAGGAGCTGCTCGCTAACCTCATCGATTTTATAGTATACCCTGACCTCAATGAGGTTCAGATAGTCGAAAGTGTTATGGCATTTATAATAGATATATCAGAACTGAAGTGGGTAGAGGAGCAGCTAAAAATCCGGACCAAGGCTCTGGAAGAATCAGAGTACAAATGGAAGCACTATGCAGAGCACTGCCCGTTGGGTATTGTACGGACGGATGGTGAAGGTCACGTTCTTTACGGTAAGCCGTCGTTAGGGATCTGAATGCCTTCGAGGCAGCTTCGAGTTCTTGTAGCAGTGTTCAGATTGGTGACTAAACTCATTGAATTAGGCAACGATGCATGGCATGCATACTACGGCTTCACTAGGGGCAAGGTCCCGGGCGCACAACCATGGCTTCCTTACGTCGACGAGGGCTGCCTCGAGGCATGGGCAAAAGTCTTTCGAAGTTTACAAACTGAGCCTGGCGCGAAAACTCACGAGCTCAAGCTGAAAAACCAGGTTTATACTGTCCAGGAAGGAGATCATGTTATCCAAAATGGCGTATACATTTTGATAACCGGCTTTTCGGAATTCAAGGCGGACGGCACATGCGATTACATCGACTTTTGGGTTACTGGTGGTAGGTGAAAATCCTTCCCGGGGCTACGCCTTCAGAGTATCAGTACTAATTATTTAACAGAGTGCTTTACCTCATGTTGACTACCGGCTCCCAAGATTGACTCCGCCCCGATCCCATATCTGCTCCACCTGATTCTAAACATTAAACATGAACGTACTGACTATTCGCAGACATAAGCGCTCAAAAGATGGCAGCCAAAATCCTAGCTGACAAGATGCATGAAGCAATCCGTCTCAAGACACACCAGGAACGGTTCATCGACATGATTAGCCATGAGATTCGAAACCCATTATCAGCGGTCTTACATTGCGGTGAAGAGGTTATTGGCGCCATGAAGACATGCCTGGACAACATCCAGCCACTCGTGCCTCAGAAATGTGATGGGCGCACCATGCTTGTACAACAGATGGAGAATGCCCTCGAAGCTGCTAACACCATCATGTATTGTGTGCAGCATCAAAAGCAAATAGTCGACGATGTCCTTACCCTGTCAAAGCTCGACGCAGACCTTTTGGTGGTGTCCCCGGTGCCAGTTCATGCAATGGTAAGTTGCACTCAGGCATTGTTTCTCATAGCTACGAATGCGTGATGGCTACGCATGCTCTCCGCAACGCTCTAGAAGTATTCTACAAGTCCACGATCGCTGACATTCAAGCAGAGTCTTGTGAAAACTGCTCTTAAGGTGTTCCACCCGGAGCTGAAAATGACCGACATCACCCTCTCTGTCATCGAGGACGATTCATTACTAGAGCAGCGTATAGGGTGGGTGCTACTTGACCCCAATCGCTTCCTGCAGATTGTCATCAATCTCGTCACCAATGCGATCAAATTCACTCGCACAGCCCGGACTAGAAAGATAAATATTGTAGTATCCGCGTCACGAGTACGACCCACAGGTGCTGTACTGGGAGTACATTATGTCCCTCGACGATATGAGCCAGCAACGCCAACAAGTCCTTCCGGCGACTTAGCTGGAGAATTCAGTGTTTCGGAGGAGGTCTTCCTGTCATTCCAAGTCACAGATACCGGCAAGGGTCTTTCCCCAGATGAAGAGGCTCTCTTGTTTAATCGCTTTGCACAAGCCTCTCCAAAAACTCACATCGAGTACGGCGGGTCAGGCCTTGGTCTCTTCATCTCTCGCCAGATCACCGAGATGCTGGACGGTGAGATTGGAATGAGTAGCAGTGGTGTAGGCAGTACCTTTGCGTTTTATGTCAAGACACAGAAGGCCATACCGCCACGGCGGCCTTCCGTGAGTATTGAGCCAATATTAGAGCTCACTAGGACTCTAAGTTTGAACAGCTCGGCCTCGCCAATGGTGGTGCCACCATCGCCTAACGATGAAGCAGCTGGGACCATAGACGTAACCCTTGTGACTCCTCCGGATCCTGACGCCAAGCTCGTAAGCTCGGTTGAGCGGCATGTTTTGGTCGTGGAGGATAATCTAGTGAACCAGAAAGTTCTCTGCAAGATGCTACGAAACAGAAACTTCATTGTCAAAGCCGCCAACCACGGTCAAGAGGCACTCGAAGCAATTCGTAAGTTACAGGAGATAAGTGAAGGCAGAACGTTCGATGTTGTCCTCTGTGACATAGAGATGCCGGTGATGGATGGAATCGATTTTACAAAGGAGGTTCGGTCACAAGAGTCAACGGGTCAGATGCAGGGGCACGTGCCTATTGTTGGTGTCACGGCCAACGTACGAAGCCAGCAGGTCAGCGCAGCCATTGAGGCCGGCATGGTAAGTCCTCCCTAAGATCCCCCCCGGGGGCTGATTCTGTTTTGTGTTCCAAAGTAGCGACTAATGCATGCATAGGACGGTGTGACTACCAAGCCGTACCGCATCGACGAATTGATAGCACATATCAACCGCGTTTGCTCACTATTGGCAGCGGTGACCTGATTGCAAAGCATAGAGCGAAGACTCGGGCTGCAAATACAGATATCCGGGTTCAGTGAGGAGAATGGAACCATTGTCAGAACAGAAGCTTTGTCGTTTTGGACAAGGTCGTATGCGGAACACTGTATATTGTACGGTGACTCTTTCTGGTATTATATAGGACATCAGAGCAATTCCTTCCACAGCAACGACACAATCAAATAGTATGCTTATCGCCCTATCGGATGGATGCGGGTACCCATAAAGCTTTGATTTGTGTCTGCCTTATGGTGCTTCAGAACTCAGCAGAGAACCTATGATCGCACAGGATGGAGAGCAAAGGCCACGACCACGTTCGGTACTCAGTGTCTAGATTTTTGAGATTTAGCACAGTGAATATTCATGTGTGGAGGGAACGGTGTATGGATGTTCACATGTAAATATTTCATTTCAGAAGCATTTTCAAGTCCGTCACTTAGGCACCGTTCCTACCTGAAAAAAAAGTGAAAGGAAAAAAAGGGAGAAATACGTCTGAATGAGCAAGAATCAGGTCATATACTACCACAGATGTACTCATCAGCAACATAATCATCCAAGGTCGATGACACTTATGCGACTGCCGTATCTAGTGTTTCGGCATCTCAAGGCAATTTGATACATGATCATGATCATGTTTAAGAAGTAATCAACTTAGCATGTCGAGGCGAGCTTACACAACAAGGCTGCTTCTTTGTTGGGATCAACAACCTGACTTAGAACGCTGGTCAATCAAGGAACACGACTGCTTTCGCACGGCATGTAGGAATGTCAAACTACGCCTTTCGATGAATCCCCTCGGCAGTTACACATCTCCGAGGAAAGAGCCACGTGAGTCTAACACGGAGCGCTTCGTGATTGTACAAAGCCGCTCTGGACTTGAAAAGCAACGACAGCATCGGATATTTGACGTCGTTGCCTTGTTTTTAGATATGTTGGGTCAAAGCGTCAGTCAGGTTTAACCACAGAACGGGGACCTCGTCTTCGAGGGGTCTTCTAACGGTGATGGAAAAACAAAATCGATTTCAAAACGCCGCTCGAGCGCGTCCAGGGAAGGTTCCGGACAGCAAGGCGCCCCTCATGTGCGGGTTCGGGCCCCCATGAACAATGGCGCCCGGGAAAATATGATCAAGGTTCGGGCCTCTCGAAAATAGGGAGATGGACGACGCCCGAGCCGATATCTTGTTCTTCCCGACGTTGGCGAGAGGTCGCTTGTCATTCACTAGCGGTTTTGTTTTTCTTTTCCTTTTTATGGGTTGATACGCGGGTTCAGCCATCTGCTCCGGACGGAAAATACATAAGGTGGGTTTGATGGGCTGACACGGGCGAGGTTGTCACTTCTTGAATGACTGATTGACAGACGCTTGTTGTGGTTTATTGTTGTTGTCTCGGTACGGCGACGTTTTTTATTTTATTATTAAAAAACTTTTTACCGAACTCTTTTGTCAATGCTGTACCGATGTAAGACATTGTGCCGACCTGTTCACGAGAGTCCGCACAATATAAAAGAAAAAGGTTGAACTCGAAAGGACACTGCAACCACAACCCTTCCGAAGCTCTGAGTTCTGGCCACTTCAGCGGCACTGAACAGTATAATTTCCATATACTTACTCTACGTCATCGCTTCTCCCGTGACCCAACCGCAGCTAAGCATCCTCGGCGTCGCTTTTCCGGGCATGTTAATTTGTTTCGCGGTAAGATTACAGGCTTCAGGGTTAGCTGGCATGCCGGGCCGCATGCCAAATATAATAACAACAATGTGCGGTCAATGTCCCTTCTCAATGATTAATCGCTTCTTTGGTCGCAATACAAAGGCTACATAACCACAGAATACACCCAGGCTCTGGCTCCAACGCAACTTTAACTTTGAGGAACGTTCGTTTACATTAGCAGCACTCGCGCCCGTTGTGCTGCAGTGTGCATGAGACTGTGGCGTTCGACTACTCGATCCAGGGTGTTAATTCGTAGAGCGATTAGACCGCTACCCCGCGATCTGTTGACCGTTGACAATTCTTTCGGCCTACCAAAATGAAGTGAGCAGAAAGGCGACGACGCGTGACGCGACACGATATCAATGCCGGAGTGCGCTCTTATCTCGAAGCGACTTCTGCTTTCAGGTATCCGCGCCGGTTAGACCAATATCCCCGCATCCCTCTTCCTATTCGTGATGCATTTACGAAAATAGTGACCGATGCTCGTTGTTGCCACGTTTGTTCACGTTGTAATTTGTCGCATGAAATGTTATTACAGACAGGTTCACTAAAGATCGGCGACGAACGGACCATCAGGTAATGAGAAATCAAGTCAGACTGCGTGTTGCTTGCTCATCGATGACGATGATAAACCTCCGCCCCTCCGAGAAGATCCATGGGTTTGAATTAAAAACAAATTGTTTGCACAACCTTGGTCGCTGATAGTCCCCGGGAACCAGGGCCAGGTCGCGATCGAGTCATTATCAACTGCGGAGAGGCCCCATTCTGATTGAAACGACGGACCAAACTTGTCGAGGTCGAGGCCGCGGGTCGCTAGGACAGCATGCAGAGCAGTATAACGGCCATGGCATTTTTATCCGCACTAGCCTAGCTGCAAGGCAACCAAGAAAGTTGGCATTTGACACGCGTTGGCGATAACTCTAATATAGAGCTTAATACCGACGGCGAAATTGCGCGGCTGTCATTGTCTTGTCACACAACCGGCACATACATAGTAGTTCATCGGTAATGGAGAAGCGAACGGATCGTCCCAGAAAAGGAAGCTGGACCGCAGGATGGGAACTTGTTAATGAAGAGCTTGCCTCACTCTCACTCATGAAGCATTTTGGTGTGCGAAATGGAAATGCTTCCCTCTAAGCTCATCTCCGTAAGTGACAGGGGGAGGGGTGTGTCAACGGCGAATCAATTCCCAACTCTCTGGGCTTTGAATCGATCTGACGATTCCAGGCTAATCGGCAAGGTTCAGGGAACGCGAAGGAAGCACCACCCCACGGGCACTCGCTATCGGTTCCACCATCCCTTGATCATCTTTTATGCAGACACTTCTGCCAACAGAAGAGCCCAGAAGCATCGCTTAGGGAGAGAGGGTGTGCTGAAGATATGCAGAATCCTTGGAAAGTTGGCTGTGATAATGCGGCGAGCCGCGAGGACGCTCGCATCTTCCCGCATATGCAGGTTTAAGGTGCAAACGGTGAAATAATCCATGCGCTTGCTATGAGAGGGCCACTGGAATGTGGTGCCGAGCGCTGTTCGACTTTGAAGCCGTTGGCCTCGTCCGATCATCTGTGACATCTCATGTTTTTTGACCAACATAAACAGAGCATGTGCTTGGTGGGATTTTTAGAAAAGCACTAGCCAGCCGCGATGCAATGTACTTTGCGGAAGCGGTAGCAGAAGCCATTTAGTAAGAACTAATTTCCTACTGCGCTGCCGGTAGAGTATTCAAGGTTTCAGTAGTCAGGAAAGATGAGAGCTGCATGCGGATCGCGTGATGTGGCTCACACAAAGGTTGGGCCATGTGCTGTTGAAATTAGAGATTGCTGAGCCACCACGCTTGGAAAGCTTCATTGCGGAAACAAGACGCGCATCGGAACAAGAAGACGTGATGCTGGACTAATACTGTATAGGCCATAACGCGCAGTAAGGTTTCCAGCACGAGTGAACTAGATTGAGGAATAACCGTAAGATGACGAGTTCCGGCGGTCGTGATGAGTTTGTTTACTTTCAGCATGATGAAGCTGTCGTGCACCAAATTGCTCGATAGAGCACTGTCTGAAATCAGTGGCTCCTGTCGAGAAGCCTGGATAGCGGGTCTATGAACTAAGTCAACGTGGACGGACCTGCACTAGAACAGACTTGGGATGAACGAATTCTGACTATGCAAGGCGCCGGTGCTGCGCGGGTTGTTTTGCTTAGACGCGACGAATGTTTTATAAATGCAGCCTTACAAACTCAAGCTTGCGAGCTGTGTAATTATGATTGCAGCGATAGCTTTCAATGGTTGAATAACTCTCAGAGGGTACAGGGCTGTCGTCGACGATCTCAGTGAGGAGTTTCCCGGTAGTGCAAGTTGCCAGGGACCTGGGTAACTACCTATGTATGTGGAAATCTGTACTGTTTGCTGTTTGTGCCCAGTCGTTTCAAGCCCTCCGCAACATTTCTTCGCAAGTCTGTCGTCATTCTTAATGAGGCGGTATCAACCTGAGACTGCAGTGGCACATCGCAAAATCCTCTCCATCTATTATAAGAAGATAGATGATGTTCCTCATCCAACGGGCACGGAGGACAATTTAACAAAATTTAGCATACGAGAATCAATTGCCGCGTCATTATGCGCCCGCCTGTTAGAAGATAGATAGAGTCTACCCAGGTCGGCACGAGAAGCAGCGACATGTGCTCGTGATCGAATTGACTTGCTATGCTGGGCACATTGGCTTTGATTAAGACCTGATCAGTTTCATCCGAGGAATTTTAATTTTTAATTTTTAATCTTTTCCTTTTTTTTCCCACTGAGCGGGGTCCCTGTTTCCGCCATTCAGGGGCAAGGGTAGGAACTGGCCGAATTAATTGGACGAGTATGGTCAAGCGTCAGGAACAGTGATCCCATTCGTTCGCGGAAGCACAGAAAGACCCCTGAAGAGCGAAGAAGCACAACGTGCATGGATCATCCTGCAGGCGCCTCGCGTGGTGGGCAACGGGGAGGGGTTGCGAGTCCCGTCAAGGTAGCTTGTCCGTCTGTCTCGCGAAGACGGCACTGTGCTGCACCCGTACAGTAGACAGTTGATAAGTTACGTTGTCGAACCTTTCACTCTCATATGTTACAAGCTGAGTTTGCAAACACGGATTTGCGATTGCTTTGGTCAGCTATGCAGTGGAATCGTGATTGATAAACAACCAGAAGATGCTGCCCGGGTTGTTTATGGTTATTGTTGTGTTTCAAACAGGTGAGACATTCACTTAGTCCCTGACATTGGGCTTGGGCCCAATGTTTAAGCCAACGCCAGAAACTTGGTTGGCAATGACACGCCGCATGCTTCCAAGACATCCTCTTTCCCGTGTGTTTCGCCCACGAAATAGATATATGAGCTCATGTAAACATGGCGCGCGAAGTGTTTGTTTGCACATGACCGTGCTGATTGTGAGTCGTGGTCTTTTGGCTCAAGATGGATCAATGTGGGGATTGGGACGGCTGAGTGCAGTGGTGGCTTTGTCGCTAAAGCCGGGGACTAGACTAAGCACACACCAGCCCGCTGATCGGTTGCAGTTCGAGAGGTTTACCGTCAATGTGGTATACTGTAGTAGCAGTATCGTCCAGAACCCCGAGATTTGACGGATCTGATGGGTTTGATGGCGGGATCTATTGTTTCGTAGAAAGGCGAAAGAGAAATTGACCGGTGAAACTCAAAAAGGCCATTGGTTATAGCGGTTCTGCTGTAAGTTGTTAGCCCAGCTTGCCAAACCCAGGCGAGGAACCAGGGTAGACAGGCCGAGAAAGGCCAAATGTATTATCGTGAGCCTGTGATCGTCGCGTCTATTCTGTATTGGGAATTCCGAAGAGAAAAGGCCTGCAAATGCCGTAGACGGTTACGGCAGAGTAATTAGCCCTACCGTCGTCGAATATTCTATTTCGCAGATCTTCCATCTCAGCTGGGCCAGCTAGTCATGAGTGTGCAATTACTGTGTGGATGCGAGAGATTGTTCGGTATCTGCACAACCATAGTCACCCGTAGGCAGAGCCCATAGTGGTTCGTTGCGAATGTCATTGGCACGGCTTGTATCACCACTCAAGTCGTGTTTCCTTTTTTCGTCGCATGGGTGTAAGTCTGCCTCAGACCGCGTGGCGACGGCTTTCTTGGGGGGTCTGGAGCTTTAGCTGGAAGCAGCACAAAGGGCACGAGGGCACCACCGGTAAAGGAAACGTTAGATGGATAGGGGAGCCCCGCTGGCGGGTTCCCCCCAAAGTTTTCGTCCAATGTTCACGAACACCAGAAGTGCAGGAAAGGTCCAAGCATCTATCGTGGGTCAATAGTTCTCGAATCGGTGAATGCTCAAGGTGCATGGACATGCTTGAAATGTGGGCTCTGTTGTCGACACGCCCTCACAAGCTTGCTGGATCTGGCAAGAACCAAAAGAACAACTCCCGGCATAGAGAGAGTTGTGTCAGGGTAGTAACCTAGTATTGTATTGTGTCGACCGCACTGCACCTGCTGCCAGACCACTGTGTCTCGACTATTCCTGCGTTCCTGCGTGCGTTCCTGCATAGTCCTGTAATTCGCCAGGAGATGGAATTGCTTACGCGACTCTAAATGGGGGGCGCTCAAGCTGTGGGCGCCGCCCCGCATTAGAGCAACAACGCCTGGCTCAGAAAATAAATTGGAATAAGAATGAAAAATATAAACAAAGATGAACAAGAAAATAAAAAGCAAAAAGCCTATGGAGAAGGAGGCTGACGTCTCAGGTTGCTCGGCTCATATGACTGTAACATGTATGCACGTAGTTTATGAGCTTATTACGATGCTTCCAAACGGTTGCGCCACAAAACTGTCAAGCCTTCACAAGTCCATTTCAAATCTACGCTCCTGCATGCAAGTCTGACATGGTAGACTAATTGACAGCGTTGGTCAGCACACTCACGGCACTTTGTTTCGTAGGGCGTACACGTACAAGAAAGACAACCAAATTTCGGAGCGTGTGCTGTGCAACCAGGAAATCCAAGTCCCCGTCCCTGATACTCCGTACTCATCCGTGACACTGGCACTGGCTACTTCTCTCGGTGCAAGTACGGATTGTGTGTGGATTGCGGATTGCGGATTACGGATTACTAGGCAGGGTTGCAGATTGCTTCGGACACGCCCCTCACCCCAACCCGCTCCCAAGCCTACCAGGATCTCATTTCCACACGCACGGTTTGCCCGTTTCTTCGTCGAACCAAAAGCGTCAGTCAGCACTCCAGTCTCTCCTGATAGCTTACAGTAGCTTTGGACGAGCATCTCTCCTCTTTTTTTTCTCCCTCTCCCTCTTCATCCGATTGCGAACTCACCACAGTCACTCCTTACAGCAAAATTGTTTTGGTATTGCGACCGCCCGCCGGGACGACAAGCCAAGCTTCGACACGTCTCTTCCACACTACTCGGCACCCAAAGTATCAACAAACAAAACCACCCGAGCAATACAAGTCCAAGTCCAAGTCACATCAGGTGGGCCGTCGGGAATAGGGAAGGCAGCCCAAGTTGGGAACAGGTACAGAAAGGCTCCCTCAGCTCTGGCATTCGGCCACACCAGACATCCATTCATTCACACAACAAACACCGCATGATCATCTTCATTCCAAAGGCCAACCCCGGACCTCTGGAGCCAAGCGGGTCTCGATCCAGCAATAGAGCTTGTGCTGTCAGCAGCCTGTTCTGCAGCAAACCCCCATTGATTGATGCTTGTATAACCGTGAGAGCTGCATCTCGTACCCGAAACCTTGCCTTCGGTGTGACACCTGCTCTTCAGCACCCGAGACGTTCATTACGAGTTGAATTTTTTCGTTTCCGACAGCATTGAACTGTTGTTTCCCCGCCTGCTCACTGTCATCTCACTCTCGCTTTCACTTTCACTCCGCCTGAAGTGTGTGATCGTCCGCAGCCCCCGTTACCAACCCGGTGCCTTTTCTTGCTCCAAACCCGGTGTTCTTATTTGGTGAAACACACCCGACACAATCTGCTTCTAGTCAGGTACGTTTGTCCAATGGCAATCCTGCATTGATTCTTTATTTTCCCAATACTACGCTCTGCTATGCCTGCAATTTGTTTCCCATCGATGCTGAGATCCCCCCAACTTGAATACCGATCCATCCCACTGTATTTGGAGCTAGCGATACAATGCATAGTCTTAAGCACTTATACTTGCACTCACACATACACAACCATATCATTGGTAACGCCGCTGACATTTTCTTTGTAGAGACAGAGAGCCCCGACCATTCGTTTGTTGCTCGTTGGTCACGGTGAATCCGTCGAAATTCCAACGCCAGTCGCCCTGGACTACTATAATCTTTCGGGAAAACGTGTACTGATTCGGCATTGCCATTCTTACGACTCGAGCGGTCGCAGTGGCTTTTGAATGGCCTCCGTCCGCCAGACTTGAACAGCCCGAATACTCACAAGTGCACTATCTATCTGCGGATCAGATCTGTGGCAGTAGTCCTCACGCATCAGTCAGCACGTTCCGCGCCCCACTCGTCAACTACAAAATGAATCGCTTCAAGACCAAGAAGAAGGCCAAGGACGATACGCCCGTCGGTCGTCCTTCCCAGGAATCGGAGTCGTTCGGTTTCTTCAGGAGAGGAAAGAAGAGCCAGGAGGAGCAGAAGCCTGAAATTGACCTGGCAACCGCCCTTCCGTCGACTGACGACTTCCGAACCAGCTTGCTCATGAACGGCCTATCAGCACGATTTTCCATGCTGCGAGAACAGGATGATCCTAACACGAAAATTGGTAAAGCCAGCGATGACAGCGTCTTGTTTCCCACCAAACGACAATCCCGCCTTGGAGAGTTTAGCGGGTTTGGCTTGACTGATATTTCCGAGGTTGAGTCCATCAAGGCCCCTTTCGCACGAAATGACTCGTATGCTTCTGATGCGGATTCCATCAACGGAAGTGTTATGAGCAGATCCAAGCCAATTGAGGGTAACAACCTGTTTGGTGGAAGACAGAAGGTATATAAACTTGCTGCTGGCTCAGCGTCGACGAAAAGTGTCGGCGGTGGAATGAGTGGTCGAGTGCTTTACGACGATGACGTTGCCCTCTCAGCCTTCCAGAAATGGCGCAAGGAAGAAAAGGACCGTAACACGGTAGAGGGAGAGCTTGATGATAACTCGAGGCGACCGTCACTGGAAGAGCCCGAGGCTCGACCAGAGTCACCATTTTCGAGCGGTTATAACCGAAAGCGTGAAACTTCGTCAACCACATCGTCAATAACACGCAACTCGACGGCAGCCACATCCGTCACTTCTCAGCAGCCCGCTTCGTCATCCAAGGACTGGCCCATCAGCTCTACAACTCCATCTTCGAACAGCTCGACACCTGCCCCTGAGAGAAATTTCACGAGGACCAGGCGTCTGTACGAAACAGGCCTGAACAACGACTTGCAAGAGCAACAGACATCGGCGCTCACAAGGATCGACACACTGACGAAACGGCGAGAACTTGGCTCGCGTACCCCTGATTTATCACAAAACTCCCCATCTCCGACGACTGCTGGCTCCGAGCGCTTTGGAGACCGACGCATTCTGGCGAAGGCTAGTGCCCCGAACCTGCGATCGATGAGCCCAGCTTCTCGTGCGTCCTCAGCCACTCCTGATCTCGGAATCCGCGTCCCGAGTATCACTGAAGCCAAGCCGAACTACCTTGGATCGCCACCGCTGAGCCCGCCGATCAGTGAGACGGAGGAACTCTCTGGTCTCTCCATCGGGCCCAACGATCATGGCAAGGCAACTGCTTTAGGTGTCTTCCAGAAGCCTTCGCACGGTTACGACGAGAGCAGATTCGCAGAACGACAACTGCAACTCCAACAAGGACGGGAGACACCCACGCAGCGATTCCGTAATGACTCGAATGCTTCTTTCACGGTTGGTCGATCGCGGTCATCTTCTTCGGCCCACCGTCAGACCTTTGAACCCAAGCTGGAGCCTTTTAAGGCACAGCCACCTTTGACAGAAGAAATTAGCTCCCCAACATTCTTTACCGAGGAGGATGAAGAGTCGCCTGTCATTCCTTCACAATCAACTCTTGGACCTCATCCACCTAGGGCCCATCGCCCCGCAGATAGTGAACATCCTGCCTTCCGCGGACCCGCGATACCGACCCCCCTGTCTATTGCATCAAAGGTCAGTGGCGAGCCATCCCCAATAGTCGAAATGGAGTCAACCTTTTCGCCCGAGACGAAGCCATCACCGCCAGATTCTCCGACTCTTGGCCCGGCCGTGACAGTGTCGAATGGCCTCAGCGGTATGGTTCGACAGCACCTCAGAGCTGACAGCGGGGCTTCTTCCATTTATGGCGGTGCTGCACCAACCACATCTGGTCTGGAGGCAAGATTTCCGTCTGATCCCTACGTTTTCTCGCCCACATCAGATACATGGTCTCCGCGCGAGCCCACAAATGAGTGGACCACGTCATACTATGGTGTCGACTCTGAGTCGAGGACGCGCTCAACTACATTGACCAGCCCTGAGCCCCGCATGCCAGCCGTGCCTCACTCGGAAGATCCAAAGGCAAACGACGAGTTTGCTAGCCAACTTGCAGATGGTGCTCGCAGAATCAGAGAAAGACTCACCACCTATGTGGAGTCTGATAGTCGTCCAAGCTCACCAAATCCTGTTGCAGAGCCCAGAGAATCTTCAGTCGGTCCGGCCCCGGCAAAATCAAACACCCTTGGTCTGCTCAAGTCGAAGTCTAGTAGAACTTCGTTGGCGGAGCGCAACCGTGATCCTGTTGCTCAACTGAAGGCAAAGAAAATGCTGGGAATTTCGGACTCTAGTCCTTCTGTGCTCCAGAGGAAGGCGTCTTTTGAGAACTCTGAAAAACTGAAGCCTGTGCATCGGGAGGACGTCGGAATGGCCAGATCTACAGTTGAGGATTCCGGAGCAGATACGGGTGACGTTCCTGAAGAGCAACACGCTGGAATCCGTGCTTTCAGACAAGCAAGACGTGAGCTGCAGAGAATGAAGGAGGTGGAACTTCAGCAGAGGCACCATACACAGCCACCCCAGACAGCGCTGCCAGAACCGCCAAGCACTCACATGTCACCATCCAGAGATGTCGAGCAAGGTCAGCGACTTCAGGGGCGGGATCAACGGGGTCCACCCATCGCATATCGCCAGCGCCAACTTAGCGAAGATTCATATGCCACAAACTCCCGCTCTGGCTCGCAAGAACCTTCACGAGGTGACCGTGATCGAAGTGGCTCGAACTCTAGTGGCGAACGATCCCAAAGTAGGCCACAAAGCCGCCCACCAATGCGCTTGAGGGATGGCCCTTCTCCCTTAGAGGAGCGCAGCCTTACCCCTAATGCAAGCAATGGCCCAATGGCTCGTTCTCCGGGCCTGCCTGGCACCAACATTCGCCGCTCTCCACACATGCCTCAAGGGTATCCTGGTGCTCCCCCAGTCAGGATGAACCAGTCTAACTTTGTTGCCAACGGGAGCCTTAACGTGCAATACCCTCGTGGATATGAATCAGGCCAGCCGTCTCCGATTTCGCCCATTCCATCTCCGTTTGCAGGTTCGGCTCCTACAACCCCCGGTGGCTTGGCTTCTCCTCAACGGCCGCCAATGGCACCCACTCCGCAGATGAATTCCGACGGCTCCGAAGTTCCCGGTCTAAATGAGGCAATGAAACGGCCAGTCAAGAAGAGGGACATCTCTGAGCCCACCTTCGTCATGTCGACATCGCGAGTGCCGACAATGGAGCTCCCTCCTGAGGCTGCTACCAATAGGTCACGCAGCAACAGCAGATCTCGGTCGAATAGCAAGGCGGAACCATACAATGCTCCGCCGCTGCCGCCGATCAACCCAAGACGTCGTCAAGATAGCTCCAAAACACGAACTATGTTTGGAAGCATGGTTGGCCGCAATGGGGATATGAATGAGTCTGCCAATGCTAGCGCACCAAACCTACCTCTGGGTCATCGCAGTCCTATGCCCAGCCCCGACGAAGGCCGCAGTGGATATCCACTTGGTGGAGAGGAATTCAGGCCAGAACGTCGACCACTCCGGCAAACGTCCGACGATGTTATCAAGCCCGTCGGTCCCATGATGCGCATTCCCACTCACAATGCTTCAGCTTATGGCCCTCCTACATCCAGGATTGTCACGCAGAACAATGGTGACCTTGGCATGGAACTTCCTGGTGGCATGATCTGATACCAATCGCGATCCCACACAGCCTGACTACCAAACTTACAGTTTACCCTACATGAGCGCCATACGGCCTTAACGATACATGAACACATAATCCTTTCGCGTTTGCCATACTGTATACTTTTCTTATATCTTAGTGTCTTCTAATTAACACATCATGGGGTAGCCCTTGCTATGCATGGAGTCTGGAAGGGTCGTGATTCGGGCTGGACTCGGAGTTGTTGGGCATCGGCTTAATACGAGGTGGTTCGCTGGGCGCATTGAAAAAAACATAGGCGAGAGCGCCGGGGATGGTCAAGGAGTTCAATGTCATGGGGTGGTCTTTTCAAGGTCATTTCTGGCGTCATGTTTGATTGGCAAAAAGATACCTACAATGCGGATCATCACATGGTTAGCGGTCTCCTAATTTGGAGAATAAATCTAAAATATAGTGTCGACTATATAGTCAAGAAAATACCTCATATCACTACCTATCAGATCCCGCATCTTCCCGTCCTCCCACTGAAAAATGTACCGATAATTAGCATTTGCTCATTCACTGTATCTGTATACTAACTTGCACCTTCTGCCTTGGTGATGTCTCTCACCATGTTGAATCCACCTCCCCCTTCGCTGGCAGGCCTCTCAACGATTCGAAACCCCACCTTCTCGTAGAACTTGATCACCTTTCCATTCTCTCCACTAATTCCAATCCAGATTCCTTGCCCGTAGTCCTGCCCACTTCCATTGACGCTCTCCACAAACTTGTCGATCAGCTTTCGGCCGAATCCTTTCCCCTGCCACTCGTCCAGCAGATCGATATGCATCGTCGCCCTCCACTTGTCCGTCAGGTCCTCATTACCCTCAAACAGGAGCCACTGCGGGTTGTAGGCCGTTTGCGCCATGGCCACCACATTGACCTTCTGCTGGGTGCCCCTCGGGTCCCCTGGCGCCGTCAGGCCCAGCAGGGAGTCGTCCATGATGGTCCAGGGCTCGCGGGTCTCCAGGTCCGGCGGCGCCGCGACCGTGGGGCTCAGCACGCTGGAGACGTACCGGTCGTACGAAGATGCCAGCGCGAATACGTCGGGACACCCGATGCAGTAGCCCACGGCGGCGCCGTGGCCGTCGTCCAGGATCCAGCAGGTGTCGGGGGAGAGGAAGGTGTACTGGTGGGTCCACAGGTAAGGGGATAGTTTGGCCGCTATGGGCGATGTGGAGAGGGAAGGGGGGAGGGTCGCGCGGCACTGGTGTGTGTATGTGTGTCAGTTCTTGGGAGGGGGGCCCAGGTATGTCAGACATGACAGCAAGGTCGGACGTACAATATGAGCGCACGCATCAAAGTCGGACTCCCTATAGGGGCGGATGAAAGCCATGGCGACTTTCGGGTGTAGGGAGTGTGCACTAGGTGACAAGTTTGCGCTGGATCAGACGTAGCTACAAGAAGTAATATGCGAAGAGTTCAAAATTACACACGCGAAGTATATCTCTGTTGAACTTGAGCCTCACGTGTGCTCGATGCCCGGCGGGATTCCTGCCGATCGATGTGATAGGCAATCGGGGTAGGTAAGCAACCCCCCCACCTTCCCCATTCCGAGCAACGTTACGGGGGCGTGCGCTCCATGTGCGATCGCGGCGCCACGGCGATCTGTGGAGAACGTCAAAAAGGAAAGAAAAGAAAAGGAAATTGGGAAAGACGCAGGGTTGGACTTTCAACCTCATCCATATATCGATGCTTGGCGGATAAAGCTCGTACTGTTGAAACTATTTACGGCATTCTGGTTGACAGCTGAGCGTCCTCAACATTTCCTCCGCCCACCCTGTTTTATGTAGCAGAGGGGATACACAATACCTTATTGAATTAGATATGGTATTGCGTAATCTGGCTTTCTAACATTATGCTGATAATTGGGAGCCGAATCTCCTTCATAAGATCTAAATTGGGCATATTAATGATAGAGTGTGATAGCGTGTCGCGAAGCATGAAGATGGGATATAAATCCACAGATCCGTTGCGCAACCTTCAGTGGGGAATTGGATACTGAGGGGCCGGACAATGTTTGCTCCAGTCCTAGGGGTAGGTATACTCCGGAATGACGGGGGCGCAACTGATCTGACCAATAGCCGAAGAGTAAAGACCCTAAGCCGTTCTTCGACCGTTGATGTCTTTGTCCTAGATTCGATTTAGGTGTCTTAATGAACCATCGAGAGTCAAAATCCTTGTATTTGAAACCCGGGCTTTCCTGTTTGGACAAAGTAATAAGTATCCGCTTGAGAGATCAACCTTTCCGGACCACAAAGGCCCGCCGATGGCTTGGATGAGGAACGCTCGTACCGATATTCGTAACAGCAATCCTGGGGCGCTGACTGCTCCCCACGATCATTCCCCAGATGGTCCCTCCGCAAACATTCCCCGTCCGGAGAAAAGAGGAAGAGTATTGTGGGGGGGGGACGAGATCACTATATGATTAACTATAAACTCGCCATCTTTTAGAGTAAATTTCTTTCTCCGCGATACTCTCCCTTCTTATTATCCAAGTCTACTCATCCATGATGCCCTCGAAGAGTTCGTTTCTCGGCATGAGAGGCCACGCCCTCAGGGCAGCCCAGATAATGTTTGTTGTTGCCCCTAGCTTTACGCTTTTCGGCTATAACCAAGCAGGCGTCGGACCTCTGGCCACTCTACAGAGTTGGGTTCGGGAGTTTCCCATGGTCGATACAGTCAACACAGAAGGGGCACAGGAATCACTAAACTCGACAAAGAAAGGGGCTGTGATCGCTTCGTTTCAGATAGGAGCCCTGATGGGTGCTTTATCTTGTTTGTTTCTTGGCGATTGGCTTGGTAGACGGAAAACAATCTTCATCGCGGCCATCTTGACGGTCATCGGCGAAGTACTACAAGTCGCATCATATAACATCATTCAGTTCGTCGTTGGCCGTGTCGTCCTCGGCATTGGCGTCGGTGAAATCAGTGTTGCTGTCCCTGTGTGGCAAGCAGAATGCTCCTCTGCTGCTCACCGTGGCAGAGATGTTATCACAGCAGGTATTTTCATGTGTCTTGGGTATGCCTTGTGCAACTGGATCGATTTCGGATTCAGCTACATCCCGAATTCGACACTCGAATGGAGACTTCCACTCGCAGTATCTTTAATCCTCTCACTTATGGTTGCGACCTCTGTCTTCTTTCTACCGGAGTCTCCCAGGTGGCTATGCAGGGTTAACCGCGTGAGCAAAGCCACTACCAACCTAGCGGCGTTGAAGGATTTGCCGGAGGATGACGAAGCAATCAAGACCGAGATTGCGCAGATCGAGTCCTCACTTGAAGTCGCCTCGCAACGCAACAATTCACTTATGGAGATGTTCTCAAAACACGACGATGAGCGACTCTTCTACCGTTTCTGTCTCTGTTTCGCCCTGCAGTTCTTCCAGCAGATGTGCGGTGGGAATCTGATATCTGTCTATGCCTCCACGATCTTCCAGGAGAACCTAAAGCTGGGAACCACGCTGTCAAAGATCCTGGCAGCTTGCGCCTTGACCTGGAAGTTCCTCTGCTGCTTTCTCGCCTTCTACGCGATTGATCGTCTCGGTCGCCGAACCGTGTTCATGATCAGCGGTGCTGGCATGTCGCTCTGCATGGCATGCCTTGCCGTCTGCACCAGCTTCCCGTCGGATAACCATTCCGCCTCAATTGCGTCTGCATTCTTCATCTTCCTCTTCAACGCTTTCTATCCATTCGGATTCCTGGGGGGCAACTTTCTGTACTGTACCGAGGTGGCCCCAGTTCGCCTTCGCGTGGCGATGAACTCGGTTTCGACGGCAAACCACTGGCTGTGGAATTTTGTCGTGACTATGGTCACTCCGGTCGCCATCTCCACGATCGGCTTTCGATATTACATCATGTATGCAATAATTTCGGCTTGCATCCCCATCGTGGTGTTCTTCTTCTACCCGGAGACGATGAACAGGAACCTGGAGCTGCTCAACAATGTTTTCAAGGATGCATCGTCTCCATGGCAAATCGTCTCCATGGCTCGGCAGTTGCCCCAGGGTGAGGTCGTCGAGGGGTGTAGCGACTTGAGCGGAAAGCAGAATTTTGAGCAGAAGGAACATGTTGAGAAGGCATGAAATGGGAGTAGGTAGTTATAGCCCTGCTCATAGGCATAATAACAGTTCGGACTGCTACAGAGAATCATGATTTCTTCGACTTAAGCCTTGGGAACAGGAATATTGTTCTATTGACTGCGGATTCCCGTTGCCATAGTCGTTCGTCCATCCTATACGCGATCAGTACGTTTAGCCGACCATTCACCAAGTACTTTATCAACACACTGGTGATTGCTACCCATGTCAACGGATCAATAGATCCTCTAGAACGAGGTGAGAGTTTCCAGATAAGCGACGACGCAAAATCCATCATTAATGAAAGACATTACACAGGTACACGAGAGAGAGCAAAAGGGACAAAACTACACAGGTGTAAGCATGCTTGACGTTGAGGTCTTTCATGCTTCCCCATTCTGCGGATCCTAGTGATGATCCCAACCGGGCAGACATTGAAATCTCCAGTTATACGGTCTGCAATTACCTTACTTGCAACCTCAAACCCGCTTTGTCGTAGGATGATCAGAGGGCACATGGGCCCGAATTGTTATGCCGAAAGGACAATGACGAATGCAAGGACTTGCTGCGATGGCCGACGTTCCAGCCAGTGGGGATGGACGGCATTGAATCGAACGGTAAACTTGGACAACGTGCCAGTCGCATCATGCGCATATAATTTCACATCCACAATAGTATCCCGGCTGTGACTGTCAACCATATTTGCACCACAATGAATTACTAAGTCTATATTGGTCAGAATATATGGGGCTGTGGACCACTCCACACACACTTATACTCTCGTGTTATATAGATCTCTATATTCCTATGGAAAAATAGATAGACGAGCAACCTAATCCATATCATGCTTACCTTATTCTTTTCACAATAGCATCCGTCATGCACGTTTCTTTAGGCGATGATGTAGACACCATGTATGCGCTAGAGATGCCTCGCTAAATATCTCGTAAATCTGCAGAAACGTGCGAGATTCTGTAGTTGGACCCGGCGGGTGTGACCATTGACAAGTGAAGACATTTTATCGCGATGATAACAGGGGCGCTCAAGGTTGTCTTAGCAGTAATCCTGGAGTTAGGTGACGCATTCAGGGGGTATTCGCGTGCAAATACTCACGGGAAATGGTAGTTCTCCGTAACTAATCGATTAACCAATATACCGGCGACGAACTCACATGGGCTTGGCGTCCATGTGGTTGCCCGTATAGTTGAGGCGGGGGATGTCAGATTCTGCAAACGACGCCGCAGGTGACTGGATGGATAGTGTGCTGAACGTTGGCGGAGCGGAGCTGGTCAGGAACTGGTAGTTACGTATAATACTATCGTGGACAGCACAGCTTACGTGGAACTCATTTAGACGCAAGCCGAACATATCGCTAATCGCTCCATTGGGCCAAGCGCGCCCTGTGATTAAAGGGCATTATCGTGTATGCTCATGGGCATAGGAATTTAGTACATGACGAATCGAGCGCTATACCTAAGCACTGTGATGTCTTCCTTCCATTTGACCCATCCGCGCGCGTGACGTGGTCAGCCCCCAAGCTGCGGGGTCAGGCACGTGCTGACGAAAGAATCAGTCGATGGCTTGTCGCTAGCTCTCCTTCTTCGTCAAAGAACTGTGATAACTCTAGCCGTCATCTTGGTTGTCAATATATTGGTCAAAGTCGACATCTTCTTCCTCTGGCTGCACCAATCCAGAGTTGGCAGCGTGGATCGTCGCCAAGGCCGTGCCGCCACTGAGAGGTAGCGCATCCGAACCCAGCATCCATCTTTGTATGTCGATGGAGGATGGCAACGGCACAGGGTCTGGTTCTTGTTGTCCCAGAAGAGAAGGAGTTACATATAGCCCGGACCTGACGCCAGCACCCGAACCTGCATCCTCAAGAGCTGACCGCTGCGCTTGAGCGTACGCGCGATATTGCTCCAGGATACTATCAAAGATATCGAGCACTACGTCGACTCCGTCCTGCACATAGTCGGCAAGGGGGAGACCTCGAAGCCCATGCTCAACAATGGCTCGTCGCTCGTCTGATTGGTAGTATTTGTGAAGATCCCATGTCACCTCTGTCGTGAGATCGGTGCGATAGGGCGAAGTAGGCCTGTCCACACCTGGAAACAGCACGTCCCACACCAAAAACCAACGAAGTTCATCACTTCCACGGGATTTCATGATGCTTGAAATCCGCTGCGCTTGTTCCAAGGTCACACCCTGAAAATTGAAAACGCGGCGTTGGCAGGTCCGCTCAGTAATGTGTGCATCTGAAGTGGCATGCGTCTGGAATGTGTCACCGCAGACTGGACAGTAGAATCTCGGTGCCTGATGCTCTCGTGTGAGGTGCTGGTTTTCGTCTTTTAGCTTCTTGCAGTGGAACCCCAGACACGCGATATGCATAGCAGGATTGTGCTTGTAGAAGTGGCAGGCAAAACCCTGCGACGAGAGAGCACCCCGGGTCCGTCGCTTCTTTATTGAGGGAGCACCAGACCCTGGCTCCACGCCAGAGTCAATGTCTCCGAATGACGGGTGGGCTCTTTTGCCTCCGATCTGAGCTGAGTTGGCGATAGTGGACCCTGCAAGATTGGTTGATGTTTTACTCGAGACCTGGTCGAAACCAGCTTGTAGCGGCTCTATCTTGGCCCGTAGGGAGTGTTCGCCTTCGCAGATTCTTTGAAACAAACCATGCATTGATTGCGCAATGTCTATAGCGAATTGTTTGTTTTCAATCCAAAACTTGTGGCGGCCATCCTCTTTTGACTCGGCATCTATCAGCAAGTCCTTGACTAGTCCCTGGAGCTGTTTTTGGAAACTATGGTGTTCCACTGGTAACACAAGCCGAGGATCGCTTGACGAACATTCCAATACTCGGCCAGTGCTCAGCAAGTGGGCACCGGTCGCACCGCGGCAGCCGAGATGGGGATGAGTATAGAGCTTTGAAAGACACGCCATTTTGGAGCTTGTACCCCTGTTCTGTACTCTCAAAGACCTAAAACGTCACTTTGGTTAGGCTGGTGAATGTCAAATTGGTGCGACAACGTACAGTGAATTGTATAGACATATAACTCTGTTACACTAGTCTTTCGTTTCTCCTTGGTGACAATAACTCTATTCGACTAAACGAATACCATTTGACTCGCACAGGAAAGTCCAAGCTAAGTGGGGCTGGATGAAGTCTAATTGGGATGTACTGTACTGTAATTATAACGAACTTACAAAGGATCCATAAATTGGAAAGGCACAGGTATGCAACCTCTGAGGCACGCCAATTGATGAAACAGATAAATCAATATGAAGAAATGTGTCAAAGGAATCAGTGGGATTGTTGGCCAGCGGGAAAAGATGAGTCCACACCCATCTCTGCTCATGTGCGGCTCCCAGCACAATTGTTCTGGGGCGCAAGAGTGCAGAGCGCAAGCCGCGAATGACCTCTATCTCGGCAGCGCAGGCGTTGCTACCACAAATACAAGCTGCAGATTGTCGAGTTGAGCAAAGTGGAAAAACACCCACCGCTCTGAGCTCGAACTGAGATAAAACTGGAATCAACCAATCACACCATCAGGGCTTACAGCTAATGAGAGTTGTCCTTGAACGGTAATCGTCTTTATAGCACAACTGCTCTGAGAACTACAGCTGTTAGCGATGCAGTGCATCACCAGCACAAATGTTCTCGAATGGTAAAATACATACAACACATCGTATAAAAATGTAGTTAGGAGCCATGGCAAACTAGTGGCTGTTGAGAAAAATAGATCTCATCAAGTCATCTTTCAAAGAATCACCAAATTGTATTTCAAAAAAATCACAATGTCATTACCGCGATCGCTCTCTTCTGTTGTCAGTGGACAGGGGATCAACGACCATACGTGCGTTCAACCATGCCGTGGCTGATAACTCATTGACCATATTTTAGGCAAGCTCGGCGAGATTCAAAATCTTTCAAGCCTAAAGTCATGGGCTGGTCGGATGGTGTTAGTGGGTTCGCTAGGAGACAAGTGGACAGCTCTTGCATAAATTCTGGGGATATGCTGAATGAAGAGGCACGCTTGAAAGCGAACAAAGCTATCAAAGACTTTGATCAAAAGTGGTTCAAGCACTAGCATCGAAAGAGCATCCTCTTGTGAGGGGCTCCAGTGTGGAAGCAAACTAGGAGATCCAAACGACAGTATGGTCATGCAGCTTCGCCATATATCGATGAATTTATTCATATGTACACAACATCAAATTAAATAAAATGGCTGTCTACAAGTTCAAATGTCCCGAAACCTTGGCTTCTTGATTTCAAGCCCTCCTTAAATGGTTCATAATGATTGCAGTTTCTAGGATACACAAAACAAGCAGAATGATCCCGAAAGTTCGGTACATGCAATGTCACGAGGCCCGAGGAGAGTAGTACAATTCACCAGACCTTTCTTTGTGATACAACTTCACGCAAGAGAACATAAGTAATAAATTGAAAGTAGATGCAAAATCCTGTAAAAAGGCAAACAATCAGTGACTTGAGAAGAAACTGCTTTCATACTTTGTAAATCTCATATTGAGAACAAGTGTACTCCATTGGGAAACTCGGATATGAAAACCATAATGGCAATAACGAAACGCAACACTCCACGAGTTTATTCGCGAAACCAAAATCTCCCAACTTGTTACATATTGTTCAAACAAATCATGCAGAGCAGAATCCCACATTAAATGCTGATTTGGTTCACAGCCCGAAATGACGTAACTATCAGAGAGAGCGCCTGTGGTACTTTCCACATAGTGTATATTATGGGGAATCCGCGGACTCGGCCGCAGCCTTAACATGTATGGGCAATCCGGCAATGCACAGAACGCTTCCTGTGACTGGATATCACCGCAGGAGCCCGAGACGAACGACTTTTCTTCATCGAATCTCTGGGGAAGCTAGACGAGCGTCGTGAAGTTGACAGTATGGTCCTTCTAGCATCTTCGCGGCGAGTACAGGCAGAATTGACGCGTCCAGGCTGTACAGCAGGACAAATTTGGTCATGACGAGCATTTGTTCGCAAATTGTCAAGAAGGACCACGTTTGAAGCATGTGATAGTTGTTGGTCAATAAGATCTGAGAGAATCATCGAGAACATCGTGTTGAGATCTTGTTCTTCATTCGCCAAATCCCATTCGAGCAGTTGTCTTTCGCTTAGGAACGTCCCAATGATCTCACGACCATTTTCTTGCCAGTATTTTTGCAGTGTACCGATGAGCCGCTCCAGGTCGTTGTCGTTATAGATTGAGACTGGAAGGCTATCGTTTGCAAAAATACAATTCCAGATTTGATACCATTGGCGTTCCTTGGACGCAGTTGTGGCTAGCAAAGTACATATCTGCTGAACCTGTTCGGCTGAGACACCCTCAACAAGAACAGTATCTTTTGCACTGCAGTTTCTGGATATTATATGCTCGTTGCGTTCAACCATATGCGTGAAGGTCATGAAGCACACCGGGCAATATGGCAGCTGTTTGTGTGAGGTCCAAATATGCTGGATGACGTCGCTGATGGTTGTGAGGTTCGCATTTTTAAGACAATCAGAGTGTCTAATTTTGTCCTTCTTGTAAAAAGGACAAGACAAGTTGCAACATGTGGTGTACATGGGCGATAGCCCAGTCATGTTACTATCGATGATTTTGGCGCCCCTGTGTAAGTGCGGGGGCCACTCCGGCATCACTTGCTCTTCAATTGCTTGGAAGTGGTGTCCGATGTTCCTTGGCGACCCCACGAGATTGTGGTCATTCATCACCCAGGCGTGGAAGCGTGCCATAGCAACTTCGAGAAGCTCAGCTCGAACTTGACAGAAGGGATGATCGGGAGAAAGCACAGTATTATCGGCGCCAGAATCCATATCAGACAACATGTCCATATCAGCTTGCCAAGCACCGATTTCGAGAGTCTCGCAGTCCAGGCTGGGATTTGCATCAGATAGAGTAAATGCCCCATTATCTGAAAGGCTATACAGCTGCCCTAAGCTGCCGTTAGAGAGATATTTTTCGGCATGGTCAACGACCTCACTCTCAAAATCACGCCTCATCCACGGGTTTTGCAGATAAAATTCATCAAGGCGAAGGTCGACGTCAGTCGCATTGTCCCAATCACTCTCAAGAAGCCCATCGTATCTCTTGGTAGACCACCTGGCCCAGCCAGAGAGACGTTCCGAGCAATTTGATCGATCTGATCCCGACCACTGTGATTGACTTTTAGTAGTCGTTCGGATTGAGTTTGAAGCCATCGCAGAAATGTTGGCATAAAATGCTGCTGTCTTCCTAGGGACGGCCCCCAGTGGTGCCGTCGTATGCGGCCGAATTCTGACGAAGACTCCATCATTATCTCTGACCCAAATGCCAATTTCTTGTCCTGGGAGTGCTGTAGAGACAGTCGTTAAAGGTATAATGATTTCTGAATCATAATGCAGTAGCGGGCATCTGTCAATGCGAACTCTACGGTTCGTGATGGACATATCATAGTCGCAAGTGAACGGTCTTGTTGTGACCCGGTAATCACGAAACCCTAGAAACTCGTTGACCGACTCTGCTAACAAACCTCGAGGCTCTGCATGGCCATCTGCTGTCCAGGCAAATATAGAAGTATCCGTGGTGTTTTTCAATATTTCCTCCTGTAGTCGAAAAAAAGCCCTGGGACCTTCGCCGTACAGTATTGGTATCCCAACATCGAAAATCCCAAGAAGACAATACGCCATATCTTCGGGCTTTGTGGTCTTTCTTCCTGCTGCCCAGGACATTCTTTGGGCGACCGCGATATCTTGAAGCTTTTCGTCGTTTGTAAGGACAAGTTCGGGTATACCGGTAACGGTCGACAAGGCGGTGCGGAATGGTATCGAGCATTTCTCTCCTATGACCTCCCATGAGTAGTCATAAAACAGTACCGTTTTGGGAGCAATGAGTTCTTGCAAGGTCCAGCCTCTGGAAAACCATCGGCTCGATGATAACGATTTTGCTTGTCGACCCTGTCCGCCAGCCTCAGTGACGGAAAGGTCACTCAGGTAAACAAAGCAAATCTCGGCGTTTTGATACCACTTGAACATGGAGTTGATAGCCTCTGACAGCTCCGCGCTGGAAGTTTTGTCGATACAGCAAGTATCAACCCAACACCAGTCGAGGGCTCGTTCTTTTGCCATGCGACATACTCCTTGAATTTTCTGATACCCCTTCTTGTTGCGCACTGATGCTTGTTCGTTCTCACTCAGATCCCGGAATTGGATCTCTCCATCATCCCACGTATGCGACAAGACAGCATAGCGCGGGGGTTCCGCCGGGAATTCTTCCAGCAACAAATTATGGACGTTGAGAAGCCTCATCATTTACAGCGCAAGAGGTTTGCTTGCATATGGTGCAGATTTATATCGTGTTCTATGTGCATTCACAGTTTCATTGTAGCAGAATAGCCTGCATTGTGTAGTGACAAGACACCAGATGCATCAACTGGCACAATTGTGCTGCAACCTACACGCCGATTGGTCGAGGCTGACCTTGGCCTTACGTGGCACAGGGAGCTATACAAGCCTTGCCGCTGAAAACCCCATTTTTCAGAATAGCCTTACTAGGTTGACACTAGGGTATTTGAAAGAAGTGAGCTTGGATAAAAATATGGAGATTACTAACCTGATCGGGCTAGTGTAATATCTTATTGCCAGCTGCGCGCTTTTCTTATTGCATCTGGTATCTTCGCCAAGCCCACTATCCTGCCGATATTTGGCACCTTATCGCTAAACGCCAGCTGTCAGCTGTACGGATCCGTGCGCTATCGCGACTGAGTGTTTCATTTTATTTTCAAAAGGGCGTGAATGTATATACAAGGGTTGGGGTTTTTCCAGCAGTAAGGCTTGTAAGCCTCCATAGTGGCAATACGTGCGGGACATTCCATCAACAAACTAAGAATAACTTACACCCATACACAAATAGTATGGATCCTGGCCGTTGTAATTTTCAGAAAACAAAATCACTAATCTACCGAAAAATGTCCTTTACTTGACTAAGCTCTCCAAAGCCGAGCGAAAACCGCACAAGACTAATTCGTAGTTGAGAATGAGGGAGTCCCAAAAGCGAAGACCCACCAACCTCAGTCCCATGGTATCTTCGCTTGTTTTATTTTGATATGCTTTCATGATGATGAATACACTTGGCTATGTGCGTCAAGCGTGGCTGAGGATTGAGCCGCCCGTCGAGACTTGGTGATATTGGGAATCACTGATAGTCTTGTTGATGCTGAACATTAAGATCCATATCCGTGGCGGCCCGCTGATTGCGCTATCATATTAAGTTTCAGCCTTTTTCTTAGAGTCGCTCTTGTGCTCCGGTGCTCCCTTTTTCGGCTCGTTCTTTGATCCTGGCTCGTTCTCATAGTCCCCGCCTTGCTTTTCATACTCTTTGGCAAGCTTGGACGCCTGCACTCCATGTTAACTTGAGTCCACATCATTATCTCCTGTAAAACTTCAGGCCCAACAGGTCCTACCTTCCATGCAGCCCATTGACCTTCACCACCGCCGGATTTGTTTGGCTCTTGCTTGATCTCTGATGTGATGTTAGTTATTTCGACCGCGCACAGAAGTCATGATAGTATGCACCCTCCTTGAGCTGCTCTCTGAGCTCAGGGTCGGTTGGCTTTCCTGGAGAACAAGCTGTCAGTGATCATTTCAAAGATTCCATGAATAGTCTGCTCTAACCTTTACTCGAGACCATCTTGTGATTGGGAGTTGTTGTGATTTGTGCGGTGAATATTCTGTTTTAGCTGGTAGTGTCGCATTGGCTGAGTGTGCGATGAACCGATACCATTGACAGACTTATATAGCTTGATATGGAGAAAGACGCAATGAAGGATAGCTCTAGTAAACATTGAATCTATGACGACTACGACATTCTCCAGATGGTGATCACTCAGGAACAAAGCACCTTAACACATTTAGCGTCGGGAGTAGCCGTTGCCTATTACATCATTATTCCAAAAACTGAGATTGGCCTTGTAGGTATCTACTGAGCATGAACACTATCTCACTTAGCTGACAGATTGAATTCGACTATGCACAATGGCGATATGAACGACGCATTATTCGATGTTTCTGTGGTCAAACGAAAAAAATGCATTTCTGGGATATGACTATCTGACTCTGTGGTTCGTTGACGCTAGTCTATGAAGGACTTGAATTGACCTCTCCTAGCTGATCTTACAGCCGTTTGTCTCATCGCCCAGCGGATTCTTGAGTAAAGGACTCGAAATGGTTTCGATCAGAAAAGACTGCCAATCGGGTTTCATATTGGCAGGATACCCCGAGAGCCCGGTCGCAATTGTTGCATCTAATTCCTGGCTCCAAAGACACTGTAAACGGATAAAAAGGGCGGTCGTAAGGCCTGTAGGGGATCATTTACGAGGCGTGCATAGTCGTGTCAGCAGGTACGCGACTTTCGGATAAGGGGGTTCGAATACGTCTCGAATTATGCAGAAGGGGCTAAGATTTAATCTAAAATTCTGTCCGTGTGGAGCGGCGAATCATCTTGGTCGATCGAGTCACACAAAAAAATGAAGAAGAAAAAATATATGTCTTACGCTCTGGCTCACGGTGATGATACAGAAGTCTTTTCTGAAGGGGACACGCAGAAGGAGATCTTCCACAGTCCTCCAGAGTCAGTTGGAGTATCCTGACGTGATCTTTTTAAACCGACCCAATCATAGTACAGGGCACAGCCCAGAAGCTACGGCAGAGAAAAAGAACCTGCGGCTTTACATGACTAAAGTTAATCCTACTTCTATGGCTGGTATTGTTGTAATCACTGCGTCTGTAAACAGAGCCGTAAGAGGAATTTCGGCTATACAGTGAGTTGATCATCCTGGATTGAATAATAGATACGACAATGTAGGCTTATACATGGATGATTTATCAAATATACTAGGAGTACATAGGACACCAACATCTGCCGGCCAATTGACCGTAACAACTGTCCATGTGACGTTGGCGTCCGACTACAATCGAGAATCGGGCAGGAACATCTGCGTTGCCGTAGCATTTAATTCTCGTACGTTTGAGTTCTTAAAAATCAAGTCTCTTGTGGCAGTTGACTAATTTATTCCCAGAATTATCATCATCAGTAGCTAGGGATAACGGAAACTTTCTGAGTCAAGAACTTTACAGGAAACGAAGTGGCGGGACGCAATTGGCAGATGGCTGCTATATTGGTGAGCTGATGGATACATATATGAACAAGGATTTCGGTGATAACCGCAAGGACGCTGTTGCTGTTTTGAAAATATAAACTAATCCCACTGAAATGATCACTTGTACGGATTATTGATATCGTATGTTTCACGTATGTGCGAAACGGTGACAGCTAGATTGTATCTGACTGATGATGGAGCCATGTAGCAGCGAAGAAGAAATTCTAATATATATGAGGATAAGCTTATGTTTGTAGTACCCAGCGATGAAGTTGGCTGGTTAGCAGTGAGCTGTAGGACACTTCTCAGGCATCATGTTGTGACAAGATTATCTGTTCACCGCAGTTCCCTGTTCGCGCCAGCAAACACCTAGGGTTAGTGCAAATCAATGAAGCGACGGGGGTGACTGCGAATGAGCGTGCGAACCCCATTACCCCGTGAACTTAACCATCACGGAGTTTGGCATTGTGGAGAAGAATGCCCGCATGCGCCTGTGTTGATCTACCGTCTTGGCTACAACCTAGACTAGCTTCTAGGCAACTAACTAGATCAATAAAGCGATGTTCGGTGACTCCTCGCCTTGGCTGACGGCAGTCTTCGAGACGCCCCAATGGGATGCATGTTGAAATCCGCTCCGGTTGCGCTAGGGTCTGAGACTTGCAGTTGGGAGGATGAGCTGAGACAAACGAATGGCTTCTCAGACTATTAGAAATTCGCATCCTCTAATGAAATGACGTCGGCCAGTAACGTGGGATCGTAGGGCGGCGCTAAGCCCCACGATGTTCGTCCAAGATGGGTGGCAGGGTGGGTTCCAGGGAGCCCCCGTGCTGTGCGTGTCTGTAGTCTGCCACTAAAATCGAATATGCAACGCTCATTCGACAGAGGGCAGCCGACGGTGCGGGGTAAGGTTGACAGTGATTCGCCCACAAGGTGTCGCGGAACCTTGTTGTACGAAGTATGTATGCTGCGCAATGCAAGAAGGGACCAGAGGGAACTGGGGTATGTTAGCGACTGTATTTTCTCAGCGACGATCCGGCGAAGAGTGGGTTGGGACATGTTGTGCAGTGCATGGAGGGAACATGCGACCGTGCCCGGAGGAGACGCTTATATAAAGAACAGACTTCGCCTTCACCTGTTCCAGAGACCAGTTTCTACACAGCTATCAACCATACACAGCGAGTATAAAATTACCCAACACGGAAAACCCGAAAACGCATAACAACCTATCTCATCGAGCCACTACCTACCAAAACCCTTCTTAACAATGGCTCCATACTCAAAGTACTGCTGCAAATGCGGCTCCATGCTGGTTATCAGCAACAAGTGCACCGGCTGCCAGCATCAAGAATGTCCTACTTGCCTGTAGTAGTCATGAAGTAGGTTCAATATCATTGGACTGGCCACACTGTGTTTTGAGCTAATGAACAAAGTTTAGCATTGCTTGGATACCTCTGTCGTTCTTCATTATATACGGCATGGATGATACCCTTTCTCGGTTATGGAGTTAGCACGCAATATGGGTCACTGGGAACTTTTGGAGCGGGAAAGCGAGTTTGTCACGCATTGGCTTGCTGAATGACACTTTCTAGGCATGGTGCAATGGAGTATGGGAGTTCGATCGCCGCTTGTCCAAGGACTGATCTTTGAGGACGGTTCTAAAAGAAATTTATAAATTTGCTTTCGAAAATGCATCCCACCATTGTCTTTCGGTGTGACATGATCCAGATTGAGCCAGTGTATGAGTCGATGAGTAAACTATCATATTTGATGATTCTCGTAGCCACTGTACAAGTTGAGCTTGAAAGCAGATGCCACCCTGATACTATGGCAACATCACGTGGCATGGTTACGGATTTGATGCCAAAGCTTCTTGAGCTACTCCCCTTGCAAACTCACCCAAGACTAGTGGGATTGTGCCTGCCACGAAAAGTTACACACGCCTATCTCGATTTAGATCTTCTCCAGCAGGTGAACATGACCATATGAGACATCCCATGAAGTTCGTCTGCCATGGGTCACCTCGAGCCACGCGGGATGAGTTTTCACTATGCGCTGAGCATAATCTAGAACGGTATCTGGTACTAGGGCTTCGCGGCCACTCTCCACAAGTCGAGCGACGAACGGAATGACATGACCATCAAGCACTGTTGGTCCAACTATATCGCCAAAAAGCCACTCTCTGCCGTCCGACTCGAACTTACACTCCTTGATAATGTTTTCAAAGAACACACGAGCTTGATCTTCGGCCCGATCAATGTTCTCATGGTATAAGGCCTTCAGCATATGGCCTCGGTCGCTATGACGAATGTTAGGGGCGCATAATAAGCCAGGTACAAATACATACACTTCTTTCTTGTATTCCAATGCCCTGCGATACTCGTCGCTGATGCCTGTCCTCGCTAGTAAGTTGTCACACGCAGGGTCGACGTTGTCCTCTTGGGGGTCTTCTGGGCGAGGGGCTGAAAGGGACAGTCCCTCGATGGAGTGTAGCTGACCCAACAAAACTTCAATCACTTCTCGATGCGCTTTAGGCAATAGTTTCGGATATAACTCGCAGAACCAGTACGAGATCGCCTGACTGTTAGTGAGAGCTTCAGGTCGCCCCTGAACGCTCATGGAAGGAACCTTTGCTGGAGTATCAGCAATAGGCACGATGGTTGATGTCGACGCAAGGCCGCTCGAAGACTTGCCTGGCCTTTTGGATTCAGCATCAAGTAAGCTTCAGAAAGATTCTCGCCACGATGGAGGTTTACAAGCCGGTATTCCACCGAGAGGGGCAAGGTCTCCTCCTTGGTAAATGGGCCAAGCGCCGCCGTGAATTTCGCCATAATTGAGTATAGAGAGAACGGAAATATGTACATGGTACAATGCGAGGCCCGGGATTGTTCGTCCATCTTCAGGTTGTGCGTTTGACTAATAGGCGAGATGCATACAACAGATGTAATCGGAGTTGAGAATAAATGACGCCTACCACTTTGCCATTCGCCATGGTCGACAGCGTTTTGTTGCTGCCTGCATGCGGACCCCCACTATTCTGCTCGATGCGGCTGGCACAGCACCAGATCATGGCCTACACTAACCTTAGGGCCTAATGCAATTCTATACCGACGTACGTGAGCTGGTCTCCATTTATAGGAAGTATATTGCCGCGCATCTTAGTCTGCTATTTAAATTGGCATTTAGAATTATAATGATCGCTTCCGTTGCATGGTGCCGGATAATACACAGCAGCTTGGGTGATACTGGGTTAAAGCTTCTGGCTGATGGAAATAGTCTACCCTGACCCAAAGTAAGGTGCTGAGGAAATGGTCCATGACAGCCCTCGCCTTTTCAATTCATGCAATGAAACCGCTGCACTCATCGACGGTTTGGAGGTACTAATAATTGCGGACGCATTGGCCCATAATATTCTTTGTACACTATTAAGTAAATATACGCAGCAACTTGAAAATAAGGCAATATCCATTTCGCGTCATTGATCCGATCGGAGATTTCACAAAACGCCGCCGAGCGGTCGAGTCAGCGCGAGCACCGAGCCGAATGATGCATCGAGACAACCCACACAGTCCTTTCCAGCGCGCGGGTGCTGAGTGATTCGACTAGTCTAACCTAGGCTGAATGAACCAGAGTCTGCAGCAGCGCCTAAGTTACATATAAGTTCGTTTCTTATGCCCCGCTTGGGAGCCGCGCGAGGGCTTTCGTCACACTTTCCGCAAACTCCGCCTGGCAGGAGCGCGCGCGCAATGGCCGGCTTGTCTTTTTCGAGGGTTAAGTCAAATATAAAAGGATTCGTGCGACCCAAGACCAGAAGAAAAACAATACCTGTCCCAGCTACATCTGTCACCCTCTTCTCCTCTACTGTAGAGCTCTGAACAGAACGTCCACCATCATGCAGATCGCCGAAGTAACTTCATGGTCCGAAGGACCCCGCTACACCACCGCTGCCAAGCCGCCGGCTGCGACCCCCGACGAGATCCGACTTCGCGTGCTTGCCGCCGGCGCCCATCAAGTCGTGCGATCTCGCGCGTCGGGCAAGCACTACTCCGCCAAAACCCTTCCTCATTACCCCGGAATCGATGGCGTGGGCCGCGATGAATCGACAGGCACGCTTTATTACTTCATGTACTTTGGCGACAGGTTCGGCAGCTTCGCCGAGTACGTCAATGTGCCAAAAGACGCCACTCTGATCCAGCTGCCTGACGGTACGGATCCAGTTGCCTTTGCGGCGAGTGTCAATCCAGCCATGTCGAGCTGGATGGCAATCACACAGCGCACGAATGATCTCCCCAAAGATTGGACCGCGCTCGTCATCGGTGCCACGAGTGCCAGTGGGCGATTGGCTGTCTATGCCGCGAAGGCGCTGGGTGCGGCCAAGGTCATTGGTGCTGCCAGAGGTGAGGAGACCTTGAAGGCCGTCGAGGGATTGGACGGGCACGTCATACTGAAGGACAACGTGAGGGAGACGGATTTCTCAAGCTTGGAGCCAGACGTTATCCTAGATTATGTCTACGGCGACGTCACACACCACTTGCTTACTAGTCTAAAGACGAAGAGACCAGTGCAATATGTGCAGATAGGCACCCTTTCGAAACAACCGGAGATATCCCTCGCAGGCCCCCTGCTGCGCTCGACCAACTTGACGATTAGAGGCGCAGGCCCCGGAAGCTGGAGGCTCTCTGCACTGGAGGTGGAGTTGAAGACACTGGTGCCTACAATGGCCAAGTGGCCCGCTCTCAGTGCTGCAGCAGTGCCTCTAAAGGATATTGAGACAGCCTGGACAGACAGCTCAATCAAGGGCAGAGTTGTTTTTGTGCCCTAGCCGTAAAAAATGATACCAAGGCACCGAAACGGGCAGCTAAGCTGAAGGAATCGGCGTCCCAACATCAAAGTCTTGTTGATTCAACCCAAATCATGCGAAGTAACTAATTATTCAATGTATCACAATGTTTTATCAAATTGCTTCAAAGCCCTTATTATATTCACGCTTTCATCGCCGTACAGACAAAATCTTGTCAAGTATGCTCAAACTTTCATGATTCTTATTTGCAAACTTAACCGTTGCAACATGCCCAAAACTACTCTATTCGATGTTACACTGTGTCTGCATGTCGCCATCTCACGGCCGCAAACATGCTCTGCAGTGAATATATGCCACTCGTAAAAGACAGGAAGTGATGATATTCCAAAGAAGGCCTTTATTGAAGAGTTTGCGATCGTAAACTACATAAAACTACACAAGCTAGAATCTAAGTAATCTTCATGATTGTTTGCTTATATTTGACGGAGCGACAGTGTTGCGACTCATCTCGCATCATGCTCCTATTCACTGCATCTGCTTCGCATCTTTTGGACTGGGCAGTACTTCTATCTGGCCAGAAGCCGAGAATGCCATGTTTCTACCTCACCCACAAATATTATCCGACACTCATTGACCATGTGCTTCGAACAAGTAGATCAAGACTGGTGCATACTTGGCAGCCACTATTTCGGCCGCCGCCGCTTAAAGGAGATCATTACCTGCCAATTAATGGTCCGCGGATCAGAATATAGAAAAACTTCGCCAAGCGACTGTCTTCATGGCATTCAAAGGCTTGAAACACCTCGCAGATACCCTCTTCAACAGTGCGTCGAGTGCTACATCAAGAAGCGGCGCCAGGAAGCGCCTCGCGAGTTTAACTATAATGGCGGATACAACTTCCATAGTTCGGACTCGAAGAGAAAAGCCAAGCGTAAACGCAAGAAGAAACGCCGAACTGCTTATAACTTCTCCGACTCTGACTCCGAGAAATGTGCTCGGAGAGATCCCGCCACACGTCTCAGTGGCTATAGCTTCAGTGACCCCGACTCAGAGAAAGGATGCGAGAAATGATACAAGATAATTCAGCGTAATTGATCAATTATCTATCCTAGCCATGTAGCCGGCATGATGTCTGCGTGGGTCCCTACTTGAGAACGCTGTCAACCGACTTAATTCACGCCGATCGCGAGCCCGTATCTCCAGTGTTTCCCAGCAGACTGCTCTCTTCATCTACAACCGCGGGCTTGGCTTCCACTGCCGGTTTCTTCTGCTTTTGCAAACTAACCCAGATGGCGGCTCCGATGATGAGAACAGCACCAACAAAACTCCAGCCAGCTGGCGTGGTGCCCCAAACGATCTTCTCCAAGATCAGGGCAAATACTAACTGGGTATACTGGAACGTGTAAGCAGATGCCCGTCGATAGTTTTTGGGCGAACGCATCGAGGAGACTTACAATCAAGTTAGTAGCGCGCCCAGCCTTTTCCCGCTGCAGTCCCTCGGTCAGAAGGAATTGCAGCAGGAAGCCAGCGATGCCGATGGCGGTAAGCATGCCCCTAAAGCAACATTAGTCGAACCGTCCCCCAAAACAAAACTTCTATCGTAATGCTGACCATTGTGCGGCACTCTGGGGAACCTTGAACTCCAGGTCCGGGTGCACCAGAATGATGAGGAAGGAGCCGATCGTTGCCACCAGTGCGAAGTAGTTAACGCTGACTAGGGAGTGTGCACGCTTCCCAATGACTCGGATGGTGGAATATGCGGTAGCGGCGCCCAAGGAGCCGACCACTCCGATGACAACTGCGAGAGACCGCTGAGCTGGCGTCACGGGAACGTCGGGGACCAGACCTGCAGGAGCGTCCGCAGCGGCTGATATCTGAAGATGCCCTGCGTTGGCCTCATCATCGGGGGCCGGGAAAATGAACGTAGGGCGCGCGATGAAGAGGACGCCGACGAAGGCGATAACACCAGCAAGTGCCTCTTGCGGTGTGAAGGGTTCCTCGGATAGGTCAGCCAGGCAGGAACTTGTGCCGTTCGTGTGACGACCATGCAACTTACTTTGAGAGCGACAAAGCAGATGAACGCTGTAAGAGTCGGGACGATGAAGCTGATGACCGTGGAATCGGATATGTTCAGAAACGAGAGCGAGTCTGTGGGCGTGGTCTCAGCATCGCACTGATGACCAATGGCCGTGTCCTCCACTCAGCACTTACAGTAAGAGCAGAAGAGCCCGAGAAACCCCGCGAAGCCTCGCAGCACCAATAACCCCCTGATCTTTCGATCGCCGAACGGCATGTCAGGGACTTTCTTGATCCACATGTACAAGAAACCAAGAATAGCAGTAGCCAACATGCGGACGAAGATGATTTGTAGAGCATGGAACTTGGTCTCGAAACCTGTTTCAAGCAGTCGAGTAGTCATTGTCATCTAGTTTGGTCAGTTTTGTGCCTTGAACCCGAAGAAGCTGCGGCGCTGGGACATACCAACGAGCCAAAAACCTGAGCCATGAACACGAGGAAGAGACCTATATTTCTCTCGTAGAAGCTTCTTGCTTTCTCCCATGTTGTTTGTGGCTCACTAATCCCATCGTGCTCGGAGGCAGTATTGTCGCCAGGCGGCACGGCGTCGTTGCTTGTCGCAACAGAACTGGGATTGTTGTATGCATGTCCTCGGCCTGAGCCGGTTGATTGATTGCCTGTGCCGTAAGACATATCAAAAATAAAATATGTGCAGGCAAATATCAAGACTCCCCTATATTACATCGAACTTGGAGACGACACCAAATCTTATTGCACCACGAAAAGTCGCATTACACCAATTTTTTAGCACTCTTTTTGGGGAGCGGGGCCGGCGTCGGCTATCAAGGTTAGCGCGCTCACCGGTAAGAAGAACCCATCAGGCGCGTTTGCCGATCCGCAGAAGAGGGGTCAGGTGCTGAGAAAGGCTCCCACAACCTGCAGGCAAGGCTGTTAATTCCGGCCTCTACTCCGTATATAACGAAAGGACCCACTACTAATATCTCAAGGACTATATTATATGGTTCCGCACTTTCTGTTGAACATCTTGTACTTGAATGTGAACCTGTGCATCCCTGCCACGATGGTCCCAAATCTGGAAAACGAATCATTGACGAAAGTGAATTGTTATGCCTATGAGAAAGGATCTATTCTTAAGCTATTACTTCAGCTAGGTACTTTGTACTTGTACAGCGTCTAGGTTTGTTCCCCTAACTTCTAAATGCATATCGATGAAACGGAAAGACATGACATGCGACACTCGCTACATCAGCGAGGACAGGGTATTCCCAGAAAATCGTGGGGTTCAGAACGCGCGATTAAAGGATATGAGAATGAGTTGGGATGAAGTGCTCTATGAGTGAGCAGTGGACGAGCCAGCAGAAACGGCGGCAGTCTTCTCTGACGCTGACGTCGTGGGTGCGGCCGTGATCTGTTTTGACTTTTTGGGGTTCTCCGTCTTGGCCTTCTTGGGCACACGGGCAAGCCAGTACATGCCGAGAGCACCGAAGATGTTGAAGATGATGTAGGCCCACATGATACCGAAATTGCGCCACCTGTCGTCGTACGAGGATTGAATACTGGTCAGGAACACGTTGGTGTCGGCCACCTTGCAGAAACTGCAAGAGTCCGTGGCGTTCGGGTCCTGGAGGTATCCACCTGCCGCTGCAATGTAGTCGGCCATGTAGTCACCACAGGATGTACCCGACGGAGGCTGGAAGCTGACATATTCATTCGCGGCGCATATGACTTCAGTGTTTGCGACAGCGGTAGATAACATGGCCGAGATCAGATATGAAAATGGACTGAGCCGGTACATGAAAATCCAGAAACGGGGGAAGGTGTCGGGGCTGGCGAGGACACCACAGAAGATCAAGCAAAGCATGAAGAGCAAGTTGGCGATGTTGCCACCAGCCTCAGCGGTCTCAAATGCGGCGATGATCATGTCAGTGAATGTAGATGTGAAAAGAAGGAAAACCCAAAGAAGGAGGAACATTAGAGCACCGCGTTCGTGCTCTTGTCCGGCGGCGATGGCGTTGTTGTTCAATCCGACAGGATAGTACCAGCACACAAACATCAGAACAGCCATGAGAGTATTCCAAGGCAGTTCGACGATGATCTGCGAAAGCATGAAAACCTTCCACCCGTAAACCTTGGACGGTCGCTCGCGAACCTCGTACAGAGATCTCTGGACGACAAAGTGAGGCATGGTCTGTTGAACAAGTTGGCCGAAGACAGTCAGCAAGTTGAAGATGGCAAACATTTGGTTCTGGAGGCCTTGGATAGAGTTTGGTGCATCAAAGAAGACGAAACCAATGAAGAGGGCAACGAGGATGCAGAGGGCGGCCTTGGAGTAAATATACGAGGGTGTTCGCCAATATTGCTGGAAGACACGATGCGTGACCTCGCCAAGCTGCGAAAAGAAGCTTGCTGCGAACTCGCGGTAGGAACCCTGATCCTCAGTCGGGGGCGGGCCCTCAGGAGCGTCATCCTTGAGCCGTTGGAGTTCAGCCTGAACCTCTGCATAGTTGGAGCTGTCACGCCATGTTTGGAACCAGTCGACGTCAGTGTGGCTACCAGGAGCGGCACCAATGGCATCCAACATCCATTCGGCTGGGTTGGCATCGGCAGGACAAGGCGGGGCACCGTGACGCTCGAAGTAGTGAATCATCTGTTTTGAGCTCTCACCGATATCACCGAAGTAGACAGTTCTGCCACCCTTGGCAAGAAACAAGAGACGGTCAAAACGTTGAAAGAGCATGGCAGAAGGTTGGTGGATGGTGCAGAGAATGGCCTGACCAGCCTTGGTCAGCTTTTCAAGCAAATCCAGAATGGCCCAAGAAGTTTGAGAGTCGAGACCGGAAGTAGGTTCATCGACGAAGAGCAACAATGGAGGCTTAGCTGCAAGTTCAACACCAATGGTAAGACGCTTGCGCTGTTCGACGTTAAGACCTTCACCGAGGACACCGACGACGGCATCGGCATACTCTTGCATATCCAACAACTTGATGACTTCGTCGACATAAGCAAGCTTTTCAGCTCTGGGAGTATCGGCAGGCTGACGCAGCAGGGCGGAGAAGTTCAGAGCTTCGCGTACTGTCGTCGTGGCCAAGTGGAGATCCTGCTGCTGAACATAACCTGTCTTGCGCTGGAATGAGTTATCACGAAGACGCCCGTCTACAAGCATCTCACCAGTGATGACACCCATGGTGATACGGCTGGCGAGAGCATCGAGCAAGGTTGTCTTTCCGGCACCTGACACGCCCATCAAGGCCGTAAGTGTACCAGGCTTGACCCAACCATCGACGTTATCCAGAATACGGCGATGCTCAGACTTGATCTTGATGTCATAGCAAACATTGTTCCAGTGGAAGACGCTTGTTGAGGCTTGCAGAGCGCCAGTTTCTTTTCCGTCACTGCCGGCAGTAGCCCTTTCATTGGTAGCAGTGGGACCGACACGCATCATGCCTTCTTCATCGTCGCCCTTTCTTTCCTTGAACTGTGCAGGCTTGTAGCCACGGCGGAAAACCAAGACCTCGCCCTTCGACTTCTTCTCGGACACGAGCTCAGCTGAGACCATGTATGTGAAAAGGAAGAAGAGGATGAAGCAGATGGTGATGCCCCAGTTGCGCCATCGGTTCTCATTGTAGTACTGGAATGCGCTGTTGATGTAGGCATCACCGTCGACATAGTTGCTACCAGCAACAGCGGCGACAGCACTACAGACGTGCTGCAGATCGCTAAGATTCTCATATCCAGGTATAGCTGCGTTAGGGATATAGTCGGTGCAGATGAACTGTCGCCCATGGAATTCGTTGGCCATCAGCGATTCGAAAGCGTAAGCCAATGGATCAAGATAATTCATCCATCGACACCAGGGCAGCATATAACTGATTGGAATGACGAAACCAGTGAAGATGACCAGAGCGAGAATCAGGATGGCAGCGGGTACCATGGCCTGTGACAGCGTTCGCGATGCAGAGGCAATAGTACGGAAGATCATACTCATAGCCAAAACAACAGTAAACGAGATCAGCAAGAAGAAAAAGAAAGGTCCAACCTCGCGTCTCAGATTGGTCATGAAGTAGAGCGTCAGGTTATAGACGATCGTGTTCATGATCTTGTAGGGCAAATCAGTCAGCATGGACGCCACGGCTTCCGCAGACGGATGATACATGGCATATCGACTTTGCTTCTCGACGATTGGTCGTTGAGCGTACAGAGTGAGAATTTCTAGAGCGGATGCGAAGGCGTTCGTAAGACAGGCGAAGAAGAGCAAAGCTCCTCGTTGGAAGAAGCTGCCAGTAGTAGGTTGAAGGTTGTAGAAGACGCTACCAATGATGAGGGCCATGACAAAGTTTCCGATCAAGGACCCAACAGTCAAGCTGGGATCGCCGCTGAGTCTGCGGAATCCACGCCACAGGCACAGCTTAACTTGCTGCACGTAGGAGAGTGTGTAGGGCGACTTGAGTCTCTGTGCTTTAGCTTGAGCTGCGCGCTTGCTGGCGCGGAAGGTATCTGCGTCTGGGCCATTGAGTGGGTGCTCCTGCTTGTACTCCTCAATTTCAGCTTGTAGTTTGCGATACTCTGCGCTGTCCCTCCACGCTTCAGCAAACTCGTCCGGGGTTCGAGGGGCTCTGCCTTCAAAGCCGGATCGAACATGTCGCTCGAGGGGACTGGTCATCGAGGTCAAGAAATCTGGAGTGGTCTGGCGATCGGGGCAGTCGAATCCTAGGTTGATGAAATATTGACGGGCCTCATCGGCACGGCCAAAGAAGATCTGACGACCCTCGTATAGGACCAGCGCCTTATCAAAGAGGTCGTATGCGCTTTGGGGTGCTTGGTAGATAGAGACGCAGGCAGTTGCACCGAAGAGCTCAGTCTGCAAGCGCAAAGTCTTGCAGAACTCTACGGCATTGGCACTGTCGAGACCTCGGGTACTGTTGTCCCAACATTGGAGCGGCGCACGACTAAGAGCCGCCTCCGAGATGGTGACACGCTTGCGCTCTCCTCCGGAGACACCACGGACGTACTCGTTACCGACACGGGTATTGATTGTGTGGGAAATACCGAACATGGCCATGATGACATCTCTAAGATGGTTGGAGTAGGTTTGCTTGTCGACTCCTTCGGGCAGCTCGCGCGGGGCACGAGCCTGTGCTGCGAAAGTCAAGGTGTCGCCGACAGTCAACATGGGGAAATGCACATCTACCTCTGCAGTGTAGATAGCCTCACCCCTGTGATGGGTGTGCATCTCCTTGGCGGTGACACCTTGGTAGTTGAAGTACGATTTGTCGTCAATGAAGATACCGTTAGTTTCGCCAGCGATTGTCTTCAAGAAGGTAGAACATCCTGATCCAGGAGGACCCAGCACAACCAACATCTCGCCCTTGCGCACCAAACCGTCGAAGTTGCGCAGGATATCGATCTTCCGCGGCTTGCTCAGGCCAAAAGCCTTGCGCACCAGACCAGCAGCATCCAGCCAAACGTTGCCAACATCCTTCTGATAATCTGTGGCGTTGCCGAAACCGTGCACGTTGACGTTCTGGTAACAAATACCAGCTGAACGGAATCCAGCAGTATCCATGTCCACAATAGCCTTTGCCCAAGCGCGTGAACTGAAATTCTCTGAAGCTGGGTTCAGGGGCGAGTTCTCGTCGGCGTGAAAGGGGTTGCCGCCATGAGCGCCGGCATTTGATTGTGTTGTGTAGCGGCGAGCCAGCGAGTGTACGATGGACTCGCGTCTCGACCTCTCGACCTCAGATTCGTCCCCTGCTTGTGTTGTATCCGAGTCGGGGGTGCCATGTTTGTCCACGCCGGTCTTTGACCTATGCGATGTAGTCTTGGCCAGTGAATGCGCATCGCCCACGTCCTCGTGCACTGGCGAGGTGAGTGGCGGAATGCCAGTGGCCTGGGCGGTCCGGTCGTAATTCATGAAGCCGGTGCCTCCCACGATGGACATGGTGCGGGCGGCTTGTGTTGGGTGTTGTTGTTGTTGTTGATGTCGGTAGTAAATTATTTACTATAGTCGATTGGTTGATCTGCTTGCCTTTTTTTTCTTGATGCGTGTAAGTGGTGAGAGCACGAGCGCTTGTTTCTAGAAAGCCCCACTCAAGGTGTTTTGTGTCGTGATGGAATCTAGTGTCATTAAAGGTTGTAGGATGCAGTTGCCGACGGTAGTCTAGAGAATGATTCTACCGTGTAAGAGAAATCCAACAAAGGACTCTTGACCTCTAGAAATGCGCAGTAGAGGGGCAACGAAACGAAAGGGAAGGGTTGAGAGCGTCCCAAATAGGGTCAAAGGGCGCCAACGATGGGGGCGCGCCCGTTTTATTGAAAATATTCAATGCCTCGTTTTCGTATTTTGGGCGGGACCCGAAGACGTCTGGACTCGGACAGAACGAAGACCCCTAGTGCCGTCAGAGCAACATAACACCCACAGCTTGCTAAGCTACGCTACTAGACTGACCTTAGGTTAACCTACAGTACGGAGTAGCAGTCCGGGGAATTGGGAACGCTGCTTGCTTGTACTTGCAGCCTCGATGTCGTCTAACCTTACCTTCTTTCTGGGTTACAGCAGAGACTCTACCGCGTGCATTCCATCAATTCCAGGCGGTGGCCATCCCGCTTGCCTCGTCTCTACAGAACCTCCATTCCATCACCCATTGCACGCAGCCACAAAATACTATTCTTATAAAATGGCGCCGTGAGCATTGCGCGTTTCTTTTCGTCCTCTGCAAGTGTGCTGCACAATAGTGGTTGCGTGAGCGTGCCATCGAAGTTGACAGGTACCTCACGGAGTGCTGTTAGTTCCCGTGCCCGGGTAGAACGCCGCCCAAATTTTGGGCACCATGTACTCACTAGCCTAGCCGCCACATGGCCTCGTAGATGTATCCACAACCTCGCAGCAGCGCACCATATCTGATCGCTTGAATCATAGCTCATCAGTATCTCATCACTTTATAGTTACTATGTATCACACAGTTACCTAGCGCATTTGAGGCTCGGTCTCTGGGGAAAAGTCCAGTCCAGTCGGGAGAACGACCTATTCCTCATACACCTAATACCGTACAATTTACTTGGCACTGCATGGGCTGATCCGAGTTTGAAAGACTGAACAGGCGTGTTGGTCTTGTTGCCCGCACATTGCGTTGAGGTGCGTTTATGCGACATCCCCTGCTAGCGAGCTGGTGCCACTAGGTTAGGCTAATGACAAGATTAAACACTGAAACCTTGGCGGGTTCCAACCATCTGCTCCTTTCACCTTTGCACGCAGTGAGTTTGTTGATTAGCATGAGACAGTATACATACTCAAACATCCAAATATCCAAATAAGCGTAAGGCTTGCTACGGCTTTATACTTGAAGCAAGTCGCGCCCATGTATATCCAACGAGATTTGGGGACAGGACCTCCTTGCTGTCGTGATTACGCCATTGTTCGCGCAAGAACCGCATGGAACAGTAAGATCGGTGCAATTCTTCGATTTGCGCTTCTGACTGCATATTGGTTGCGGTGTTCAACGAATGGGAAAACGAGGCAGCACAGGACCTGGGCAGCGAAGCATTCGGAAAGATCTGACAGCAAAATTGCGACAGGATTGGCCGAGCAGCTTGCAGGAGGAGGAGCCGCAAACGATGAACACCTCCAAGATTATCTTAACCTTAGTCTCCATTCAGCGCTAGGGTCATTCGGGGTCTTGCAACAACCCGACAGCCCGCCACAAAGGTCATGGACCAAGAGATTGGTACTGCAAAGTTGCCCATCAAGCAAGCGAATGGACCCATAAGTTTGGATCAACGCTTGATTGGTGTTTCGTTTCATCTGAACCACGAAACTACAGAGCACTATGAATAATTAAGGCTTCCAGCCTTAGGGGCCGTAACAAGAACATAGGCGTTGTGTTTGCGAAATTCCCCGAAACAGTAATTGACGGCTCGGTTTTGCGCGACTAACTATGTAGCACAGATACACATACTAAGCCCTGTCATACGGCCGTGGACAAATGTTACACACGAAGAGCCCATAGGTTTCTTGGCACTGATTTTTGGATGTCTTTATAGTTATCTTGCAGGAAATTCATTTCATTAGAGAAGGCGGTTGCCATCTGATCATTCTAAACAATCCTCTCATCATAATTTCCGTTTCGGAGATATAGACACGTTCGGACACAAACCTACTAACCATACTTCGTTCCACGATGTATGCGTGTGTACATGCTTGACTGGGCTCGATGGCCAGCACTGAAAAATGTCGATCGTTCGAAAACGTATCCACATTGGAACCAACGATGCTCTCCCGTATCTGCAATGCCAATTCACGGACGCTATACTCGCGGCGTCCGCTTGGGGACCGAAAGCCCGGTGATTATAAATACTTGTATACTCAACCCCTGCTGATGGGCCGTTTTGTTGTGGGTTTCTTGGCCAAGTCATCCAAGGAATTTGCAAATTGGCTTACGGGCTCAGTCCCCGTTGGGGTTTCGTCTGCTGATAAAGCAACATAAGTGACATATGGATAGAGATTGCACTGTGTGTAGCATCATGCCTCATCTAGTCGTCATCCCTGCTGAAACAGACTTATAGTACTTGAAGAAAAATACAAGCCGAGTCTCTTTCACACGATAGACTCGATACACATGCTGAACGTTTACCGCCGTCTTTGGAACTACCTTCTCGGTTCGTGGCCAAGGAAGATGAAATGACAGCATACTGTTAAGATTGGTGCTTTCGAAGTGTCATCAAGACAATCCAGGCAAACTAAGCCATCTGAAAGAGCTGGGTTAATCGAGTCCTGTCACTTTATTTTGACTAGCGAGCTGGTATCGTCAGTGTCCTTCCAGCCTAATGTTGTTTGGAGAACATCAGATCGAGCCAATCTCATAGTTGTACACAGTAGCCTGTACATCACTTCATCTTGGTCATTCAACCCTAGATTTACTTGATTCAGAACAGAGAATCATTGATTGAGGCAACGACTGACGACGTTTCGTATCTTGGCGGTATGTGGGGATGAAGTCGCAGAAGTCTGTGACAGTAAAGTAGTGAAGCAGCAGAAACAACTTGCAACGATGATGGTGTGGACTAGAGGCTCGTTTGAATGGTTATCCACACGCCATTCCGCCATCCAATAACACAAAAAAAATTTAGAGCGGCGAAGATCCGCACACAGCATATCTTCTTATAACTTGCCCAAAACGCTACCGATAAGGCTCCTGCCTGATTGGGTTCCGAGTTTTCTCCCCGGTAAACCTTTCAAGGGGGATCTTGGTAGTTCGTTGTGATATCCTGAACCAAGGGAAGAGTATGGCCACCATCGAGCAGTAAAGAAGCTTTTATATGTCCACAGGTAATATGGTATAATGTCAGGGGATCTGTGTTACGTTATATCGAGGTTGTTTTGACTGGATGGCTCGTGACTCTGTATTATAATTCGTGCGCAAGCCTCTGCAATATGCAAAAAGCAAGACGAAAATACCCCTAGCTTCCTCATCACGAAAAGCGGTGAGTGTGGCAATATTAGTACGGTTAACAATTTAGGCCCTGGAGCAGCACTTCGATACTCGATACATTTCGAAACTCAGGACGCAGAATACTACAAGACATTGAAAATAAGCATATAGCAGTCAGCATGTCCACAACCATTGGTAGAAACTACTTCCAATCAGCAGGTCCGTCACATTTTGCCTAGTACCAGTCGTATCAAGACACCATCGAGCTAGAATGGTATGCGCTTTGACTCTTGGCGGTGCCTGAAGATTCGAGTGTTCCGTCTTGTACTAACGTGTGCCCTCTCCCCAACCGCAAATATGAATGTTTCATACCAGTATGTATGGTATGATATGATGTCGCGGTCAGCAATCAAGAGCAATGGTGGAAGCTGTCACCAGCCATGTCACACCGGTTCATCCAGGGGGTGTTGTATCTCAGGACACACGGACCTCGTCGGTCAACAGCTTGCTTGCGTAGCGTTTGCTCCATTAGGATAAAATTAGGATAACTTATCGTGGGCACCTATGAAGAACCCAGCGCTAGCTAATTGTTTTCCTAAAGTTTTCGAAGTCTACCAAAGTTTGAGATTAAGTATAGTATCCTGGGAGATTTACACACGAAGCTAGAACTGGCTTTTTAGTAGGTTAGGTTAGTCTAGCTTGATTTCGCGACACTATAATAGCTGTTTTTAACTAACTACAATGTGCGGGCCCCAAATTTCGCAAAATCCAGTGGGTCAATGGTTTCGTTTTAGTACGAGTCGTCCCCTGCTCATTGAGATTAGTACTTTTTAGCGGCCATGCGCTCGATGTCAATTGACTTCTATCCCTTAATTTCTTATCTAATCCCCAAAAAGTGAAGTAACATAGAAGGCACAAGTCTTACCACGCACATGTGTTAGGAGCGCAAATGATCTCGAATTTGCTCTCATTCGTAACGGCCGACCGGAAACTCAGTTAACCTCATGTACTGCTACGCCGATCCATGACAGTGGCGGTCGTAAATCTACTGTCTACTTGCTGTACGCTCAGCGCCTCCAATTACAGCCCGTCTGCATACAAGTTTGTCGGGGGCTTGATCCGAAGCTTTCGTGCCAAAAACTAATACCCTGTTTTTCATTGGCAACCTGCAAGAAACAAGTTTAAAAAGTTTAGATCCCAACGAACCGCATACCCTCCAAGCGGGGGAACACACTACGTGACGGAAGGTTGTTCATCATCCCTACATATCAGTGGACATGCAAGCCTAAGCAGCACCTCGGGATCTATCCACCAATCGGAGCGCTTACCTTAGTATTCGTCTGAACTATTGCTTAGCATCATACTATATCCGGCATGCAGCTTTTCAGGCACGGACATCTGGGGTACATCGTCGCACACGATCATGGCAATATTATACGGTAAAGTATCACATGATTGGTCGTACTGGGTAGGGAATATACGGCTTGCCAATTATGACGAAAACGCATAGACCTATTCACCCACCGCCGAATGGACTCGAGCATCCGCTACCATGAATTCATTCCACCTGGTTACAACACAACGTCAGCTCTTGGTCAGAGCGTTCACGTGAGCCCAGGCCGAACGTAATAGTCCCCGACATGCATCGAGACACACATGTTCGCCATCAAGCCCTTGTTGCCACCATGGCAAAGAAACGGCGGTAAGCGACCAGTCGGCCATTTGCGCATAAGCAGGCAGGGTCTGTGTCGCGCAGGCTGGTCTTGTGGCGTCCCAAGATCATAGATTCGGGATATGATGTGACACACATGCATGAGCATAGATCATCGCTTGCAAAACGCAGGATGGTATTCTGTCGACCCTAGCATATGGTGTGCAACCGAGCCCATCAAGGAACATCGAATGTAAAGGCCTCCAGTTATAAGTCAATGAAACGCCGCACTACATGATAGCAAATTCGTTCAGCTTTGAAGTATCTGTGTGTAATTCCATTAATAACCACCTTCGTCACAATGGATACCAATCAGATCAGCAACCCAGAATTTTTCACGCCGGAGTCGCGGGCGCCTATAGTCATTGGCGTTGCTACTTTCCTCATGATGGGCGCAACATCTGCAGTAGGACTGCGTTTCTATACCCGAAAAGTTATATTGAACCAACTGGGCATTGACGACTGGCTGTCGTTGGGTGCCTTGGTATAGTTTGACTGTTATGTTCGTGCTGATCGTCTTCGCTGACAGGAAATTTAGTTCTTCGCGCTGGCCACTGGAATTAGTCAATGTTACCGTAAGTTATCTCTTCCTTCAAGCGGCATTACAATACTAGCTGACGTGGTTAGTGACACAGCAAGGCCTTGGCCGACACATAGGCACCTTGCCGCAACCAGACGGTTTCATGAATTACATGAAGGCTAGCCTCTGAGATCATCATCCTGTAAATCCATACTGACATGTCGTAGACTTTCTATGTCGTACTTGTCTGGTACAACATCGCAATTGGACTGGTCAAGATGACTTTTTTGACACAATATTATCGAGTCCTTGCCACGTCGCGAATGAGAAGGATATGCATCATAGCAATGGTAGTGATCGGCAGTTGGAGCTTGTCGCAGTTCCTCTTGACCGTTTTCCTCTGTGTTCCAGTGGCAGGATTTTGGGATGCGTCAATACAGGCAAAGTGTATCCCGACATTGCCAGAATGGTAGGCAACTGCCAAGTTTCACGACACCAATCTGGGTGACTTCTGCTAAGTCTACAGAATATCTAAACGTCATCTTTCACCTTTTACAAGCAGCAACAGACTAACTATTATTGTGGTATAGGTATCAGAATGCAGCCGGAAATATATTTACAGATATAGTCATATTCTGTTTGCCTTTACCGATGCTAGGACGTCTCAACTTGCCAAGAACACAGGTAAGCATAACGAGCCTCCTTCACTACTTATGTTCCACCTCAGTGTACTAGTTGTGCCACACTACGATGATGCCGGTCACCGTTTTAGAACCATGCTACTATATCATTCAAAGAACGTGACTTACAATTCTTGGTAGAAATGGATTCTGCTGGGAATTTTCTCTCTAGGGTTTTTGTGAGCTTTCACCAGTATTTCTTAACTACTATTCTCTGACATGCAATAGCACCTGCACAATCTCAATAATTCGAATCAAATACCTCCATCTAGAGATTGATGCCACCTGGCAGAACGTGGAATCGTCGCTCTGGTCGTTGTGCGAGTTGTGTTCGGGGACCACTTGCTCATGCTTGCCATGCCTTCGTCCTCTGGCATCGCGATGGCTGCCGGTTCTCTCGAGCAGATATGGGAACGGCTACAACCAACAGCCTGAATCTCATATACACATGAGCGAAGGGCATGTGGATCTTGAGTCCGGGCGCAAAAGGCACCTTCCAGGCTCGTCTGTAGAGTCTGACAGCGATATGATATTTGGTCTAGAGGACTATCGATTAAACGCGTCATCGAGCGGCGATGACCCTGGCGCGCTGACTGGTAGTGGGCAGAAGGCCATAAAAATGTTCTATATGGCCAAGGGGCCCAGCCTCAGGATACCTAAGCCACTCAAAACAGCATCTGGCAGAGTGTGGGTACAGCCAGTTATGGCTACTCGAGAAGGTCAAAGTGGCACGCCTGTCGACACGAGGGATAGGTATTGGTCTGTTGCCCCAGTTATTCGAGTGAAACGTGAAATATATGTATATCAATCAAGACTATAAATGACCCTGGTGTGCCGTAAAAATTCATTCTCTGAAAAGAGATATTTATATGTAAACAAAATTAGTGGGAAAGCAATGCGAGATCAATGAGCGGATTCCGGGCGCAACTTCACAAATACAAATGTGAAAACGCAAATAGGTCTAGTCGTTCTCAAGAGTTTAAGGTGACATGCCACTAAGAGCTATTTGGTTTTGGGAAACTGAATAGTGAAGCCTAGAATATTGATTTAAGAAACTGCCACAGTTGTCGAACATTCTCATATTACTCCAGCTTCTAGTATAGTGAACCGATCAGTCTCCGAGTCCAATTCAGCTAGCACGTCGAACGGCAAAGTGACCATTGGGGTGGTATGACCTATGTCCACATTAAACAGAATTGGGAATTGGTTCTTAGACGCAGCCAGGCCGCCCTTACATAATAGCTCCTTGAAAGCGTTGGTATATTCATCTCTGCGCTCCTGAGAGTCATACCCATATGGCCTCCCAATCACCAGGCCGGCCGCTTCTTCAAAGACACCCTGAGCGATCAAGTCGGCGATCCCCATCTGCACCAAACCCAGGTCTCTGCTTTCACCTGCGGATGTCTCGAGAAAGATAATGCGACCGCGCCAGTCAGGGGCAATTGCATGAATTCCATTGAGCCGTACCACAACAGTCAAACAGCCTCCGAAGAGGCGGCCTTGGGCTTTTCCACGGCGGAGCCATTCCCATCTTGCCGCGGGGGCTACTTCTTGTCTGTCCACGGAGTCGCGCTTACGAAAGAACGAGGGCGCCTGGGGCGCATAAACCGGTGAGCGCGGGATGTCGCCAATCGGCTCCGACTTTGTGATTGCGCCGAAAAGGGATCGCACGCAGAAAGCGAGCGGAGATGCCTCATCATCGATGGGGTCAGCGGTGCCGAGCTCCGGGATAGCGCTCGGTCCGTAAAAGGTGCGCAGTCCAGTAAGTCCGTGCAAGAACCAATGCAATCCAGTCATATCAGAGGCCCCAACCACTATCTTAGGATTGGTGTGGATGTGCGTTTGTAGTTCTCCATCAGCGATCAGGGCTGGCAAGAGCTGAGTGAATGATTCACCACCAATAGTGCAGATAACGGCTGTAATAGTAGGGTCTAGAAATGCGGCACGGATCTCGGTGAGCCTGTTGGTAATGGACGATTGGGTGCCTGAATCTTGCGTGAAAAAAATTCGGACCTGATACCCTTGGCCCGATAGTACTGCTGTTGCGCGAGACACAGCAGCAGGAAATCTGTCATTGAGTCGTGCTGAGGGTGAGATGAAAGCAATGGTTGCCCCCGGTTTCAGCGATGGGGGAGTCACAGGAGAAGGCATTTCCAATGCAGAGAATAGATATTGAGATAGTTTGTTCGAGGACCGTAGCATGTCACAAAATGCAATGTGCCTGATGGCACACTAAGTACACGATACTGTGCCATGAGCGGGCATTAGAGGAACCTGCCCCGAGATTATCTAGTTTCTATTCGTCAATATGCAATAATTGTAGTGTAGCACTATTTCCATAGCAACACCTTCGATCGACAATAATAATGCAGGAAAATATCGAGTCATGTACTTTGCTTCCGCATAATCCCTTGCGGAGTGATAGGCAGCAAGTGGTCTCGCACGCCGCGTTTTCAAATTGCATACCCGTGGCCTCCTAGGTGAGGTGCCTAGCTTAGCCGCGGTCGCTTAGCAGATCGTATTTGGCAAACGAGACAACCGAAATTGCTGCCCCTGCAGCATCCAACTTACCGATCCGTCAAAGGTATCATCGCGATTGTACCGTACGAACACAACCGCTATATACTCATAACATCTCGGATTACCAGCGGCTTGCGACAATCTAAATGGTGAAGAGGGTTAACTAGGTGCCTAGCTTAGCCGGGGTCGCTTAGCAAGCTTTGCAACGTGCATGAATCCTTGCTTGCTCCACGGGCCATGAGAGGAATTCCTGGGAGAATTGCTAAGGGCAGTGCGCTGCAAAGGCAAACCCACACAGATCAAAAGGGTCAGATGTAAGTTTACGGTGCTGAAGCAAGGTTGTTTACTACCTGGTATGTACCAGCAGCCTATCATTGGAAAGAGAAAACTTGGAAGAAGGCAAGATGACCAGGGTCAGAACTCAGTGCCTTAGCAAGAGCTTACATACATTTGGCGAGAACGTCAGCCCAAAGAAGGTGTTCCTCTGACCTGCCTATAGTAGGAGGGGGGCACCAGAGTAGGGAGTGTTCAAGACGAAGCAGTCTTCTCGATTTATTCCATCATAAAGGTATAAACTTAATACTCTACTTTCCTTTAGTCTTGCTTAACATGGTTATCGTTGTCTTAGTATCTGAAGTCCTTGGCGCGCAGTTTGTATTTGGGTTCTACCTGTAAACTGTCTCACCACCAACACCACTAACCAACCCCCACGCTTAAATATCGTTTATATATAAGAGTGGAAGCCACTACAATTTTATAGCTTGCTGCGCCGTTGGTTGGAAACTACAAGTACTCGTGTTAGTTACATTGGTTTCACCAGTACTCATCTTTGTAAAAAGAAAAAAAGAAAAAAAGAAGAAAAAAACAGGAACGCTTACGATATGGGCTGTGTAGGTAATTTATGGCGACCGCCACTGCTGTTGGGACAAGCACGCCTGTCTCGATATTTGTCTTCCAGATCCACAGCTCGGTGACTTCAGGTTCGGCCCTGATGGATCCGAGCGTGAAATTCCCGTGCTAAAGCCCGCAAGTGATGGGTATGAACTGTTAGCTTGATACTGATAAGCCTACGAGAGGTACAATACAAAGCCTTATAGATACTATTCGGCTCTACCGGGGTCTCGAGGGTTAAAGAAATACAGAAACGTAAGCTTGTAAACGAATACTAGGAAGTGTTTACGGGATATAAAATATCATTTCTTTACATTGTGTATCACATCATACTTCTTGTTTACGGGCCTTCAAGTTAGTTGATGTAAGGACGAGATTTTGAATAACTGCTTTTCTCTTGGAAGTCGATGAGAAAGTCTGCCAAAGTAGCTTATTGACAATTGTGGTTGGTTGGATCCAGGGCTATGGCTACAACGGAATTCTCTTACTGACAATTTATACCCCTGCGAAGTGTATACATCAGAACTTTCCGAGAGTTAGGAATCATGCCAAAATTATATCATGTTGCCGTCTTTGTCCTTTAATTATCTTGCACAAAGCAACTGAGGTGAGCAAATGACTGATGGCCACCCTCATTGAGACTGGAACCTAAGCAAGCTGCTGCAAATTCCACCTTGTCCTTGTCTCCATCAAATACGAACGTGTTCATATAGATAATTCGCCTCGTCAAACACACTAAAGGCGACCGCTTTGGTCTGCACACTGACCGTTACCACAAATCCAGTCAGCCGGGTGCATAAGACGCCCAATACAGGCTCGACTATGGCAGGCATCCACACAACCAGCTTTGGAGCTCCATGATCTGTCTGGAAGATGACTGTACAGGCGGACACATATACTTTCAAGACGTTGCTGGCGTCGGACATGCCGCTGATAGTTCCAGGTTCTCTCGTGAGGTCTATTGATAAAGCCAAGACGAGGCAGTGGTGTATTCTGGAATAATTTCCATGCACAGGGCACGGGAGATCATATGTTATACCATATAAGTCCACCCGTGAAGTCTGGGGCTAAGGTGAGTACTAATCCATGAAGCTGGTCAAACCCATTGTGAGCTGTTGACTGACTCCGACTGTCGCCAGGTTGGATTGAATATGCTAAGCGTGTATTTTCCACACTTACATATGATAGGCTATTGATTGAATAATATCTAAGGTGCTAGAAACTAGCTAGGTCTCATTGTATTTGGCGGCATGTAGGTATTTAGAGCCAGCGTAAGTGCTGTGGATTTGCGAATAACGGAAACTCCTGGAACTGGGAGATTAAATATACCTAATGGCTTATCATAAAGCTTTAGACGCATTCGTAAAGGTTAGACAGACAGATTTTCACTTAGCACGACCTCCATGTTGTCAGATAACGATAGTCGTAGAGTAGCCCGGTGGCTATCGTCATTAACCGAAGGTTCATCGAGTCTATAATTACACGTTTCATGCCCTTTGAACAGGCTTGAATCGTACCCAAAATGGCGGTCTTTCCCAAAATGTGAGCCACGTGAAGTCTTTATCAAAAGACAAACCGTCCTGACCAGGCGCAGGATCTATATCAAACTGCCATAAGACCTTTGCAATAAACAATCGGACCACAGCCAAGGCTATAGCCCCACCGGGGCATCCTCTCGGACCCTGGCTGAAAGGTTTGGAAGCCATTAGAGTGTCGTCTTTGTATCGCGGATCGAATCTTGGATCGTTTGGTGGTAACCACCGGTTGGGACGAAACTTGAGCGGGTCAGAGAAGTAGCGTGGGCTTCGTGCTGCGGCAAAATAACTGATCTGACAGATGACCTAGTTTAATCTACTGTTAACATACAGATGTACTTGCCTCGGTGGCGGGGGTATTGGCGTTGTAACAATAATAATTGAACTTACCCCTTGAGGAATATAGATCCCGTCCACAAAAGCGCCCGGACTCACGCGCGGCAAACCGTCAACCGTTTCTTGGTGGAGCCGGAGACTCTCACGTTCACAAGCCTGCAGGTACTTCAGATTCGCCGTAGTCTCCGAATTGATTGCATTATAGTCAGGAAACGCTGCCCTCACTTCTTCCACCAAAGTTGCGTAAGCAACTGGCTCCTTGAGAAGAAAGAATATCATAGAGTAGAACTGATTCGCCAAGGGCTGCCAGCTAGCCAGAAGTAGTTGACCCGCTACATTTTCCAGATGATAGATTGTTTTCCTGTCTGTAGGGACGGGGTTGTCAGCAGGTAGGAGCTGCTCGAAATAATCCAAGTGCTCTATCTTGCCCCGACGCTCGATGCGCGTCTTCACATCTTGAGTGTTCATCTTTATGAGTCTCGGCATTGCGAACCAGACGGATGGCGGGATGGTAAGATACATCAAGGGGCTAAGGAAACGGAATTTCCTTGTAATCTCACTCATCGTTAGGAATAGGTTTAGCCTCAGAGTGGAGCTTAGGAGTATAGAGTCCTCCACTGATCCGTATTAGTGAGGTCAAATGGGAATCGCGTTTTTCATTTACTCACTGTCTCGCACCTGGCCCATCTCGCGGCCATATGTCATATCTGCAGAAAGGTCCAATGCCAACCAGTCCGTCCAACGTTGTAACTCTGCCCCTTGGTCTCCCGCCTCAAGATCCTTCATTTTCTTGACGAAGAGATCGATATATGCTTGGACGGTCGACTCTTTCGATTTGAAGTTCCTCGTACTGAAGGCAGGTGCGAGCTTCTTCGCAATCTCACGGTGCTTAACGGGATTGACCTCCCCCGATATCCCACCATCGCCTGTATCCAAGGCGTCATAGCCGACCTGGACGAATAGCTCAAGGTTCTTTTCCTGAGAAAGGTATATGTCTGTTTCGGTAAATATCTCGGACGGTTTATAGTGGGCTAACCACAGCAGAACTGACCTTTCGCCGCATTCGGCGTTAAAAATACGAGTTCATTAGGAGCAATACGAACAACATCGCCTATAGAATTGTCAGCTATTTGGAATTGGGCAGGTGTGACAAGAGTGTCAAGACTACCATATTTTTTGAGGACATCCTCGACTACCCACGGGTATCTTCCCGTCGCCCTGATAATTGCAGCATGTTAATTTGGAATTTAGGGGTGATGGATTCCTCTGACATTGATCCACAGGCATCGCTGGAATAATCAATTCAGCCTGCTTAGGGAAGTCATATGTACCTAACGTAGGCCCACCAAATATCGGTAATGGCAGCAAGCTTCGGCCCTGGGTATTTCGAGAGTGGATGAAATTTGAGATTGTAGATTACTCGGCCTATGCAACAGACGATGATCTGTATGGAGGTGAGTAAGACTCGCATCATTGCAGACAACTCTCAATATAGAGCTGCACTCACCAATGTAGCAATATGGGAAAGAAGTTGGCTTATAGACATGCTGTTACTTATATAGCCCCAAAGGTAGCCTGGGAGTACCATATTGTGGTCACCCAGCACTGCCATTGGAGTCAAGATCAATTCTGCTGTCCAGAATGATGTCCAGATTTGATCACCTCGGCCCAAACAAAGTATGGAGTATAGAAAAGAGGTAGGTTCGGCACAGGAGAGTATGGTAAGCTAGAGTTAAGTACCGTGGTAGAATGAAATCAATGTATAACTTCGTTCTACGAATTCCGAACGGCCACAAGATACAAGCGTTTTTGCCTGTAATGCTCCAAGTTGTCACATAGGACTCAGCAAAGTGATCTGATCTGAGGTGCGCATTGCGGCACAGCAATGCTAAGATCAGTGCTGTGCCCCCCACGCTGTTTGGCCGAAACTCCCGACCACAATTCGTCAACAAGCAAGCTGTGTTGATCATGATTAACACAACCGATGAGTTGCAACGCATAAGCCACATATAATTAACTGCTTCAAGAACATCTGTGTTTGGTACGTTTCTCTAGTTGAGTTCATGTAAAAGCCTATAAGCTTGAACTGATCTGTTAAGTCTCTTGCGCGATGAGTAAGGCATTAACACAGGTTGAATTGAAGCTCCTAAGTTGTGCAGGATATATGTACATCGTGCCATGATTTGAACCTCACATGCGCAGCATAAGACGATAACGTGCCAATTTCTCTGTTTAGAGCTGATTTAGCAAGAACAGAGATTTCCGAGCAAACTTATTCATGAAACTTTGCAACCATGACCATTTCTCAGATCAGTCTCAGTGTCTATTTTTCTACTGACTTCTTGAATTCATCATGCTGGAAACAGAAATCAAGAATTGGTACCGCGAGCACTATCTCATATCAACAGAACCTGGACTCATCCAGATTGATCAGGTCAGCGCGGCATTTAATTCGGATGTAGCATGTTGGGCGAATAGTCTGCCAATAGACGCTTTGAAGAAGACATTGCGCAACTCGCTCTGTCTCGGTCTATACGCCCTTCCTGAGTCTACGTCTGAAAGTGCGAGTAAATCCTTGAGGCAGGTTGGCCTCGTCAGGATTATAACAGATGATGTGACTTTTGCTTATATGACGGACGTCTATGTCTTGCCAGAGCACCAGAGCAAAGGTCTGGGACGGTGGCTACTTGGATGCGTGGACGAGCTCATCAAGAACTGGCCGCACTTGAGACGGCTCATGTTCTTGACAGACGAGCAAATGCCTTTCTATCGAAAAACCATTGGGGCTAAAGAGTGGTCTGAACTTGGTATGTCTGACATCAAGATTGGCGTGGTCCGGGGCGTTGGATCATCGAAACATGGCTAGTTTGCGGGCATTCGGTGCTAGAAAGACATCTTCATTCCTTCGAGGTGGTCTTGCCATAAGCACCTCCTTTGACCCTTCTCAGCTCGAGTGCTCGTTTATATGGAGGAGCCGTAGGAGGTTGAACTGGGTCTAGGGATACATGACCTGGAGGTAGTTTGTATGAAGCGTCAGAATCGAAAGCGGATAGATCACCGCATGCAATGAAAGGTGCTATCCATCGGATGTTGTCGCCCTCTGGTACGCTGACGTCTTCGATCTCGATCTCGGTGACCCTGTCGCTATCCTTGACTTTGGGTTGTTGTGGTAAGGCATCCCAAGCGCCAGTCAACTGGTTTTGTAAGATTGAAGTTGCAACAACAGGTAATATGCTTGTACGTTCTGTAATCATTTCTGAGAGACGATGGCCAACCCCCAGGGGTTCTTCAAGACTAGCGGAGAAACCCTTCGGTGGTTGGAAGTTTAAGCAGACGATGAATGCTTCCACGCTGCTTGCACGCGAGGACCTAGGCTTGGCCACATAGACACGCTCGAAAAACAGCTTCAACTGCGCATAAAGCACATCTACGTTCTTACCCCTGAAGATCTTGGCGACAAACTTGCCACCCGGCTTCAGAACGCAGAGTGCTAGGTTCAGAGCTGCGAACAACAGTTGCGACTGTACGTATATGTCCAAGTCGTGCAGGCCGGTAACATCTGGTGCACCATCACTAATGACGAGATCGACTGGCTGGGCGGCTTGCTGACTATGGGAGTTGGGATCATACTCTTGATCCAGTGCCTTGAGAAGAAGCGGGACAGTGGCAGGATGAGTAATGTCTGCACGAAGAGTGATGATTCCCGGCAGAGGACTAATAGGTTGCAAATCAATTGCCACAATCTTGACATCTTTCCTCGGCTTCAGCTCATCCCCATCAGTCGCGGCCTCTTTAGCCAGGGCATCATCATGCTTGACGGGACTGAAGACATTGAACATCTGCTGGCGGAACTTGGCTTCCCTGTCCTGCCACGCGGCACGGCCGAATTTCTCGCCCTTGATCAGCACTCGCGAAAGAACTTGTGACCAACTTCCAGGAGCAGCACATAAGTCGACAACCCGCGTAACATTGGCGAACAAGTCAAATTCTAAGTGGGAATCAGTACATGACGGCTGAAATGTTGTTGCGTAATGCTCTCTCCTTTCACTCACCTTCATCTAGCTGGAGAAGCTTGAAAGCGCTTCGTGCCCGCCATCCCTGCTCCTTGGCAAGACGATAGTAAGCGTCGCGCTTATCTTTGGAGGATTTTCCCATTTTCACGAGTGCTGATTCTCAAGTGAGAAACTGCTTAACGTCCCTTCTCTGGCCTGGCTGCTGGATTCATGACAATTTTTGTCGGTCATTGTGCGGAGGGCCGTTTAGGTACTTGGGTACCTAAGCAGAGCTAAAAGAGGTCGCTAGGCTCAAAAACACGCAGCGCCGGGCAACGGTGTAACTAATGATGGTAGCGATAAGGATAAGGATGATGATAAGGATAACGGTGGGGGGAGTCTAGACTAAACATAGACTACGCTTAGAACTTTTGGCAGTCGCTATCCAAAAATTTTGGGACCCTCGTAAAGTGGCAGGTGGAAAGACTGGCAAGGACAATTGCTCAATTCCAATTCTCCCCAAGCACAACAACGAAAGAAATGGATGGACACAAGAAGAGAAAGCTTGCTGCTGCGGGTGGCTCATCTGCAGTCACCAAAAAGCAAAAAACTCGGCCTCAACCAAAGAAGCCGACCACAAAAACCCGACGAACAGTAGGCTTCGACTCGCTGCGATGGACCTCTGCAAAACTTCCGGATATGACCAACGATGCCGAAGGGTTCTATGGACTGGAGGAAGTCGACGACGTGGAGATTGTCAAGGACCAAGACAACAACATACGCTTTCGAGTCTTCGACGCCAAATCGGACTCGAATAGCGAGGCTGGAGACGGAGACGCAGACGCCGATGAGGCTGGCCATGAGAGCGACGACTCATTCGAAGGCTTTGGTGATGACCCAGTAGCACAAGCCAAACCTTCACCAAAATCGTTTGAGCCGTCGACAGTCGCGTCAACCAAAGAGCCCAAGCAAAAGAAGGGAGACAGTAAAGCCGAGAAGAAAGAGACGAAGGCTGAGAAGAAGGAGACGAAGGCTGAGAAGAAGGTAAAGAAGAGCAAGGTCATGGAAGACAGCCAACTAGAAAGCAACGTTTTTGCCTCTCTTGAGAATGTCGATGACGCGCAAGACGATGTTGATGTGTCAGAGTGGTTACCCCTCGACCTCTCGCCGTCATTGGTTTCGTCTATTGCCAAGCTCAAGTTCTCGAAACCGACCGCCATCCAGGCCTCATCTATTCCTCATGTCTTGGCTGGGCACGATGTCATTGGCAAGGCCTCTACTGGTTCTGGAAAGACCCTGGCTTTTGCCATTCCCATTGTCGAGAAGTGGCTAGAGCGTCGCGAGGACGACAGCGAGGCCACTGAATATGGTCCCATCGCTTTGATTTTGTCTCCCACCAGAGAGCTGGCACATCAGCTCACCGATCACATCACCGCTCTTTGTCAAGGGCTACCCACATCGCCGTTTGTCTGCTCCGTGACAGGAGGATTGTCTGTTCAGAAGCAACAGCGCCAATTGCTCAAGGCTGATATAGTTATTGGAACACCTGGCAGATTGTGGGAAGTCTTGAGCTCTAGTTCTGATCTCATGGCCAAATTCAAGGATATCAGCTTCCTCGTCGTTGACGAGGCCGATCGGCTACTCAGTGAAGGGCATTTCAAGGAAGCTGAGCAGCTATTTGATGCGCTGGACAGATACGCAGCGGACGAGAACGATAATACTGAACAGGAGCTGTCACTCCGACAGACCTTGGTCTTCTCTGCGACATTTCAGAAGGGCCTGCAGCGAAAGCTTGCTGGAAAGGGAAAGAGTGGACTGAAGAATAAGGACGACTCTATGGAGTACCTCCTGAAGAAGCTCAATTTCCGCGAGGAACGCCCAAGGTTTGTCGATGTCAACCCGGTTTCACAAATGGCCGAGGGGCTCAAAGAGGGCCTCGTTGAGTGTGGTGCCATGGAGAAGGTGAGACAGCCCAACTGCTGTTTTAAGTTTTAAGTGCTAACTTGATCCAGGATTTGTACCTTTATACAGTGCTTCTACTGTATCCGACCGCACGAACTATGATCTTCACAAACTCAATTGGTGCCGCACGTCGAATCACGCCAATGCTGCAGAATCTGAACTTGGCGACTCTCCCGCTACATTCTCAGATGGCACAAAAGGCCCGCTTACGATCCATCGAGAAATTCACTGACGCTCCAAATGGCAAAACATCCATCTTGGTTGCTACCGATGTTGCTGCACGTGGTTTGGACATTCCTAATGTGGATCTTGTCATTCATTACCACGTTCCTCGAGCTGCAGATGCCTACGTCCATAGGTCGGGAAGAACAGCTCGAGCCCAAAAGACTGGCGTTAGTATTCTGCTGTGCTCCCCCGAGGAAGTTGTTTCTACACGGCGTCTCATTGCCAAAGTACACTCAGAACGCAAGGTTGCGAGCAAGAATTATTTTGTTCAGACTGTTGATGTGGATCGAAAGCTTGCCGGTCGCTTGAAGCCGCGTGTCAACTTGGCAAAAAAGATTGCCGATGCCGGCTTAGCAAAAGAAAAAGGCAGCAAAGAAGACGACTGGATGCGCAACGCCGCGGAAGAATTAGGTGTTGAGTATGACAGCGAAGAGCTTGAGAAGGCTGGAAAATGGGGAGGTCGTGGTGGTGGTAGGAGACTGAAGCAAGATGAGGCTAGGGCTATAACTAAAGCTGAGCTGGGAGCTATGAGAGCCGAGCTCAAGGCCCTCTTGGCGCAGCGCATCAATGCTGGTGTCAGCACCAAGTATATTGCAACTGGCCAGCTCGATGTGGATGAATTGCTCAGGGGAGCGACGGGCGACTTCTTAGGAAAAGTCGACGGTCTTGATATCGGGAGCCTATAAGGCCTCTAATATGGTGGCGTAGATACCCAGGAATTCAACAGAGCCATGTGGCAAACATACCAAAGTCTTCGAATCCAGCGAAGAGCTATCCTTCAACACGTATCGAAGTGCGGTTTCCTGGGGCACTGGGCGTTGCTTCACGCTATGATATTCTTTTTACCGTCCGGCAACATCGTGACGAGACTTGTTTTGGTTGCCTCACTGACACATGGGGTGTCAAAACAAGCGATGTTGATCTTGAGTGTTCCGAGCTCGGCCGGGTCTACGAGGTCATTGCTGGGCGGATGTTATCGGAAAGACTGCATAGTGGTCCGGTGGGATGATGCTATCCGGGCCAGGTAAAAGGTATCAACGAAGATCGCGTAAATTGATACCGAAGTCAAGATGTCGAATTGTCATAATGTGCTTCGTAGCTGCGTCCGCAATTTTCGGAATTCTCAGGGTTCGAGGACATCCAAGATGTGGATGGCTCGACAAAAGAAAATTCAGGGCTTCACTGCTGCAATCTATCAAGATGAGCATGGCAGGTGAAAACCCGATCCTCCATCTGCATGCCAAGCTCTACCCCTGACCCTGAACGGTCGTTGGTGGAGCTTCCTTTCGGCAGCTCCCGATAACAGCGATGCTACCCAATCATTGTCATGTTCTCGCCGCGTAATAAACGACCCGCAGCCGTCGGGACGATTTTATTGCTAATCGAAGAAGGTAAAACGAACGTTGAAAAAAAAAATTGATGGGCTGCATATCGTCTATGTGCGCCACAATATTTTTATGTACTCTGGGCCCAACAATCGCCATTCTGAGACCCTTCTCCCGGTAGCTCAGGATGACATCCCGGTGGTGGCTGCTGCCAGCCTCGTCATCCAACTGGCCGGAATGGTCGGTGAGCATGGTGAGAACAGGCTCACATCCCAACCGATGAGACTTGGCAAGCGGTGGTACGGCCATGAACTTTGGCATCTGATAATAACGGCTCTGTTCATAGCTTACTCAGGATCTGACCGGCTAGGAGACCTCATGCACCTCGGGGTACCACAGACCGACCATAGCAGACTATTGCACCAAGGGGGCCTGCAGCGCAAATGCATGCGAGCTGTATCTTTTCGTGGTGCGCATATCAGCCCATCATATGCTTGAACCCTTCCGCAAACCTTGATTGCACATTCCCAACCATTGGCGAACTGCATACACGTGGGTTCTGGTGACAATTGAGCAGTGGTTCTCAGAGTCGGCTACCTGCTGGATCAACGTACACTTTCTAGACGTCATGGCATCCTCTAGTGACGAGGGAAAACCTAATAGGGTACCTTTGAGCGAACCTCTTCGAAGCTGGAATATCATCTATACCGCTGGGTTCTAGACTTAACTAAATATAGGATCCGCAGGGGCCCACGACTAATGCCCGATCTTGTCCGTTATCCTTGCTTGCAGATAACATTAGAAACGTAACCGTTACCGGCCATCCGGGAGGCCTGGTCAGCCTCAAATCCTTGGCATGCATCCGTAGTAGGGATGAAGCGAGGTTGTTCTCGTAAGATTCGATGCAATCGAAACTGTAGCATTTCGCTTACAGTCAGCGTGAGGGTCATCAGAGTCGTCCAGACCACGGCTAAGCGGTTCGCCATCCCGATGGATAATGATTGGCATTGCCAGAAAAAGTCTATATAAACTTGGTGGCGTCCTGAAGGCCGGTTTATACTATTTCTGTATCATCACCTTCTCCATTCAGACAACTCATCCGAACGCCCACTCTACGCCGTGAGTACATATAGTCCCGGGCAAACCGCATCAAGCTGTAGACGAAAAGAAACGCCTATCGTCTTTATCAGATCCTACTCAATCTTAACTACCAACATGCAACTTTCATCAATCCTCCTCGGCGTTTTCGCCCTTACGGCCTCGGCCCTGCCCCAGGTGCCCGCCGAGCGCCGTGCCTACACCTATACCGCGACTGTCTCGGACCCGGGCTTCTACGTCTATGCTACCGGTGACTACTACGAGAACCAGATCCTCCAGTACTTCAACCCCACCACAACGGGCAAAGCGGCTCTCGTCGCCAGGTTCCCCGTCGGCTTCGAGGTGGGCCAGCTAAAAGGCTCACCCAAGATCGATGTCTACACCCGCACTTCGGCAGGCATCGGCTCCAAGATCGGAAGTGTCGGTCCCTTGTCAATAAGCAACAACAAGGTGACGAAAGCCGTCGACGTCGTCGTGGCTAGCTTGGCTTACGCATCGAGCTATACCTTTGAGTTCAAGCTGGACAACAGTGCAAACGCCACCAGCGTCACCAGCATCCAGTTCTCCAATGACGGCTTCTTCCTGAGAACTGGTAGTGCTTAGAGCTGTTTTCACTGTGTGCAACCGCACTCACACTGAACCGCAAAAACGATTTGGCTTACATTACCACGCAAGGGGTCTAATACTATAATGCTGCTAGGAGCGGAGGGGAGGTGGGACTTGGATTTGGATTTGCGGCGCCCGAAAATCTAGACACGAAGGATTACGTATAGAAAAATACTCTTCAGGGGTACATGGCTTAATGATATGATTTATGACTTAGCACGCTATCTTTCTGATGATGATACCACATTTGCCTCCTCCACAATTCTTCTCACACAGGCTTACTGCCGCAATTATTTCCAGGGTCTTGATCCGTTATCTTCAACTTTTGTTGAAACTCATCTGACAACTTCGAAACCGTGCTCATGTGATCCGTAGACTGAGCAATCAACCGCTGCTGCTCCTCGAGCAGTCGCGACTCCCGGTCCGGTGGGTATGCTCGACCAATATGGCTCCGCTTGAACTGTTTCGAGACATTACGACCCACCAATGGGCTGTGGTCGAGCGCTGAGACGGCAACCCACATGTCTTGGTCTTTGGTTGAAGAAGTGCAGTCCTTCGGTTGGGAGGCCATTTTTGCCAGTGCGCGACTGACAGCTACTAATTGACGCTCACTTACATCCATGGACTCGCCATCGATTTAGCACGTACGTACGGACCAGAGAGTATGACTGCCAGACGATTTTGAAGTTGAGAGATTTGGAGATGATTTACTCGGGGATCTAAACGTGCTTAGTTGATCGGGCGAAAATATGTGTTCGATGAATACACATCAAGCTCATTATAAACTTCTTGGTATCGGCTTCTAACTCGTTTCTCTGAGGTTGTTGCCGGGAAGCGTTTGAGATGGAAGCTTTGGATTCTTTGTTACGCTCCCTTCTGATGAAATTCCGTTCTTTATCAAAGCAGAACATGCGAACCATGACGAATAACTCTAATGAGAGCAAACACCAGGGCCATGCGGGTGTCCTGTTGGCCAGTTCGTATCCAATGCATATGGCTTCGTCTCAGTGCTCACAGTGACGTTCAGATTGCAAGATCCCCAACGGGCTGCCCTGAAGCTACAAATAAGGGTTAACAACGAGGAGCCTATCTTTTCACGGCATAAGGTTGGGATGTCTCGTAGTCGATGTTATTTATGAGGCTAAATATGTGGTATCTTATTATAACTCTCAAAATGCGCATACCAATTCGTTGAACTAATAAAGCTGCGGGTTTACGCCTGACAGTTCAAGCTCAGACCAACGATATACGCAAATACTGGAGCCGCAGAGATTCATGAATGTCTCATGTTCCGGTTGGCATAATTCCTAAGAGCGATCTTTTTTCGTTGCCTAAGTGGTGCATACAAATATGCGTGGAGGCGTCCTACAAAAGTTCATCGCTAGGTTAGTCTAGTGGTTTTCCGATGTTGTCATATGGAATGACCTCAAAAATCGGTCAAATCTAGTGATGGCTCAAAATGAGTAACAAGGGTATGGCATGGACGAGGATAGGCTTTCACAGCTAGACAAAAAAAAAGTTCGAGTGTGTATGGCCTATACGGCTTGGTGGATACTGTTATAGACAGATAGCTTGTCGGTATAAACATGATCGCTTGAAAGGAGACATGCCAGATGCATCCCTCATGAGTGATACTCCTTGAAAGGCGGCCAACAAAGACGTCTTACATGGCCCCCAAGCCAACTACCTCCGATCTGGACAATGCCTCATTTGACGATGCTGGGCATCATATTGTTCAATGTAAGAGACACATCCCCCCAAAACATCACCTCCACGCGACTGTATTGCCCTATGCTCCACATTTCCGGTCTACTCCGCATGGCGGAAGCTTCCATCCCAAAATCTTGACCGACAAACCTTTTTTGGACCACACAAACCCCAGCACCGCAACAGTCCCCAGGAAAAAAGAAGAAGAAAAAACAGTATATACTCACTAGTCGACATGTCTGAGCCAACGCCTCAAGAACCCCAATCCAGCCCCCGGCCCGAGGTCGACTCAGACGTCATGGCGTACCTCCGCCTCTGGCACGAGCGCCTGGCACACGCGAACCTAAAAGCCGTCGTGGTGCTCACCCACAACGGGGACGCGGGGGAGATGCCCAAGGGCTTCCCAAAGGGGCAGAAGGATAAATTCGAGGGCCTCCAGCCGTACATGGACCAGCTCAACTGTGATGCTTGCAGGGAAACTTATGGAAACCCGTCGGGACCCTCTTCCTGGTGAGAGAGGCGATCGTTTCCTGCTTGGAGCAACGAAGAGCTGCAGAGGTTAGAAAGACCGGCCATTGTCATCCAATTGTTCTTGCACCTTGATGACCAGTGGTCTAGGGCACTCTGTCGAGTCTGGCGAGCTGGACTGTACGCGGTGCTATGGACAGAGAGTAGCCGTCCCGTTGTTGTTTCTGCTCCAAAGCCTCATGAGAAATGTTTTCGGTCATTTGTAATGAGCAAGAAGTGGCAACTCGTCACGTACCAGAATGAGACAATATTGCCGGGCATGAGAAAACTAGCAGTGCCAAACCCTTTATGTATTCAAGCCTTAGCAGTTCGTGTCATCGGAGATAGGATACGCTATCAATAATTCACACGCTTGCTTTGACAGAGCCAAGCGAACCCGACAACTCACTATTCCACTGACGTCCCCAACGCCAAACAAGATTAAAGACCCAACAGATAAATCGCTAGTGGTAGCAACCGCCATCATATAAGATAGGTGGCGACAACTGAAAGTGTTACTTGATGCATTGAGTAATGCAATTATTCGCGCAATGCGTGCCCAGCTTCACCCAACAAACTCAAATCGTCTCTTTATTCTCCGCGTAGAATACCCGTCCAGGGCCTGACAGTAATGTCCCGACGACGCGTTGACTCATGACAATGTTGTAACCCCTACTTAGTCGTGGTAGCAGGAGTAGCAGCCTTGGGCTTGGTGGCCTTCTTCGCCTTGGTTTCTTCGCCTTTGGCTTTGGCGGTAACCTTGTTTACGGCAGCTTTCACCTGGAACATCATGTCAGCAGAATTGCTATTACACAGTCAAAGTTGATCTCAAAGGTAGCGGCGCTTTGTCGTGCATTGGAACCGCATTAAACGCTGACGTAAAGGACCCGAGAAACGACAGCCCAGTGAGTTTGAAGCGTGGCTAAATAATATGTACGTATAGCCGGTCACGGTAGATGACTAAAGGGCAGCCAGGACATTGCAACGGAACAAGTTCTCGTACCTTGGCACCAACGCCTTCCTTCTTCGTAGCAGGAGCCTTCGTGACGCCTACAGGCTTTGCGCCCTTCACCTTGGCAGCAGTAGTGTCCTTGGTGGTTGTGGGCTTTGGCTTGGTGGTGCGCTTGATGGCAGGCGCGGTATCGACAGTCTCGAAGAGGCGAGGTTTCGAATGGCCTGTGGCAGACCGTGTACCCTCGCGAGCCATCTTGTTGGATGTAGTAATGGCGAATATTAAAATGACTGTTGGAAATCGTTAGTGGCCAGTATGATATGAACGAAGCTGTGCCCAACTATGTAATGCGACCGTTGATGTTGTTGTGAGAAGAAATGCGACAGAACAGAAGGGTGCCCGACCTGAAATGGAGGTTGTGGGCTGCGCAGGATGAGCGATGCGCGAGGGACTACGGCAGAGTAAATGGGGCGTAAAAGTAGGCCTTGGAAGCTATTGACAAGCAAATGACGCCAAACAAAATTGACAGAACTCAAGATGACTACTTACCACAGCTTTAGACAACAATTTTGAGGTGAATTAGGTTGGTGGAGGAAGGGGGAAGCGAAAGGACGTGGACCAAGATGAGGAGGTGTTGCTCTCGGTCGCGCATCCAGCCCATTGACGAGACGTCGCAGCTCCTCCATCCCATCACACCAGACCCAGCAGACCAGTTCGCTATGGACTCGGCCTTGACCTATGCCTGTACGGAACGAAGTACGGAGCAGACAACAAGGCGCAATACAAAAAACCAAGAGGCTGGGGACAGTAGTAACGATACATCCTATCCATAGATGATCTGTTGGCAAACAGAGCAAACCAACACTGGTTGGCTGGTATGTGTGTCTTTGTTCATAATCAAAAATGTCCTCACCCACCATTTCCTAACCTTAGTCGTCGGCGACACTTCCAACGCCATCATTACTACCCACCATCTCGCGCAATTTCATTCGATATGACGCCCCTGGTTGAGATGTACCGGTGCCGCATCGCGGTAATTGCGACTGGTTCACTGACCGCTGCCGCGCGCCTCCATTTCATCTGCCATGGAGCATTTGACAAGACGGTCACGTCAATCAGCGCATGCACCATTATGGGCACGATCTACTCCGTGTGTCGCCCGGGTTTGGTATTTTGTGGACATCGGTAGCATGAGATTGTCAAATCCCATGGTGTCCTTTCGTCCTGGTCGATTCCTTTTTTTTATTTTATTTTTTTACCCTTATTCTTTTTTTCTTGTTTTTCTTTTTTACTGATTCTGGGAAATCATAGATCAGAGAAAGTGTGATGATGTGAGTGAGCCTTGGGTTCATCCATCCAATATGGATTGGTCTTAGTTATTTAACCTAGGTCAGCGAAACTTTAGGGGCCTTCATAGCTGTTAGGCATGCCTAAGCCTATCATTGGCAATGCCTTACCCGACCCCGCACTTTCATCGCATTCGATCCTGTTTACAAATTTGAAGGAAGCCATTCGCATCCAATGCTAATAGTGGCCTTTGTTCGAATTAACAATCGCGCTCAGAGGTCACGTTCTAACATGGCACTGTCATCCTGCCGGTAGCCCAGCTTCGCAAACGGTCCGCAGTACGAGAGTCTCTTGAAGCAGCTAATACATGACAGCAAAATCCAGCGTTCCTCCTGTCGTCTTGATACCCCAATCCTCATGCCCTACCAATAAGGCATTTGTAAAGTCGGCATCGTACCTCCGTGCGTCATCAGCCCACGCGACCTTTGCTGTTCTCCAGGAAACCCAGTTTCCCGCTGTGACGCCTTCAGGTGCCCGCAGTACGCCCATTGCAACGTTTAGTATCGCTTGCCTTTCAGTCGGCATTCGATCAGTAGTGGCCAGGAAAACTGTTGCACCACAGACCCCGCAGAATCCTCGCGTAGTAGGCTCAGAGGACTTGTAGGTTTTGATTGACCCGAGCGTTAGATCTGGCGGCACTTCAGGCTCGAGGGCTGTACGTGGCACCAGCAGCCATGGTACAACGCTCGTACCCGAAAGACGACCACAGTCGCGACAGAGGTCCAGGAACGCCTTCCACTTGTTCGGGTCCGTCGGCGAGACATACTTGCGCATATAATCGTCGTCCATGATCTTTTGAGTAGGCCGCGAGATGGTAAACGATACGCCGCCGCAGCAGCATCTGGCTCGCAGCCTTTCCTCACCATCAGAGCCGATTTCTTGCTGGCACTCCTCTGGCAAGTCTTGCGTGCCAGAACTCAGGTGCAAGACCTCCTTGCCAGCGACCTCAGACAGGCAATGCACTATACCGCCCCCGGGAGCTGATTTGGGGAATGTGTGGAAGCTCAGCTGCCAGAACTTGTCGTCAAAGATCCCCCAAGCCACTGACCACTGACTGTAGCTGGGGCCAAAGTGTCCGACATGACTCCCGCACGTGGGGCAGAACCATCGCTCTCCTCTCCCGCCCAGCTTTTCGTAGCCCTTTAGATCACCTCTGGATGAACCGTTGATCCATTGCGGCTCGACACCCGGAGGCAAGATGACGTTAGAACTCGCGAAGGTGCCGTGCGTGTACCGACAAGCACTGCAGTGGCACAGCAGGCTGCGTAGTGGGAAAGATGCCGTAGGTAGAGTAATGTTGAACTGGATACGATTGCAATGGCAGTGACCATTGAAAGTTCTCTTTTCATGAACTCCAGACGGACGAGCCTTATCTTGGTTGCAGAATTGGGCGAAAAGGTCTTCGAACCCAGCCATAATAAAACAACTTCGAAAAGTGCACGAGTGTCGATTGGACAGAATTGAGGTTTAACCATCAACCACACTAAAACAGGTAACGTTTTAGAAGCATGGCTGTTACAATAAAAACAAGCTTTCATCCTTATCATGACAAATTGTGCGTATTTATAAGCAGTATTTTCGCGTTCACATATGGACTTTCTGCTTACTTAGCGTACCCAAGGATGGCGCCAGCATTGCCCATCGCCACCGTTGGCGCCGGCTTTCCAGTTGGGCAGTTGTGCATATGTCGGTACTGTCTCCGTTTTCTTTGAATGCATTGCATAGGATTAAATGGAGAAGTTGATCGTACGTATAGATCCGTATATGCTACAAGTAGCCGAAACAAAGTGTCGCACTCCAAGCGAAAATCAACGATTCCTCCATGGAACTGGATCAGCTTTGGGTACTTCAGTTGAGAGATTATTGAACAGCGAAACTAGACACATAAGTGTCTCTTCTGGCGTTTGACACTGTCAAGCTTACTGCGTAGAGTTCTTTGTTCACTGCTTGCCAGAATCAAGCCTGGACTAGTATAAAAAGCTCTTCTTGGACGCGCAGTCTTGCCCCTATTCCGTGTAATCTTTTCTCAAACTCAAAATATCAGGTGAACCATGTAACACGACTTTCTGCCGCCTTTAGATCCACTACATATCCCGTATCTGCCTCGTGTAGATAAGGTGCAACGAGACGAGAAACCATCCAGCACGCCGAGCCGACTCTAACACCAATCGCCGACGTACCACACCGCTCACGCTGGATTATTCCAGAGAAAGAAAACGTTCCGTTCAAGGCCTTGGTGGCCATTCATGATGATGCGAGCGCCATATGTTTCCAACGAGCTGCTTTGGTTTCATCTCATGTCACCGTCATAACCGTGTTCTTTTTGCTGACTGTTTTTGACGCATCAGCCTTTGCCTTTTCAGCTTCTTCTCTGATCCTCCAGCTTGTGAGAAGGGACCATTCCTCGCCAGACCGCTGCACCTCGCCCCATCAAGTGGGGAATTTGAGAAACTGGCCGGCTGGCATTCTGGTATTCTCCCAGTTGATGTCTTCGCTTCGGTCACTCTGTAGGACGAGCTGCATCTCCCGCACGCCGCAAAACATTCCGTTGCGCCCAGTGCGCTCAACGAGCTGCCAGTGGCCTGGACTCTGACCATTGTCCTCCTTGCCTGGACCAGGTCCAACCCACACTTCCTCCATGAACTTTTGGCCTTGCTGGACGGTCCGGTGCGGATTATGCGTCGGGAGTCCCACGAGTTTCGTGATCGCCCATTGTGGAACGATGAGAAGCCGCTCCCATCGCCGGACCCACGAGAGCCATTTGAAAACGCCTTCTGTGTATGCGGTCCGGATGTACGGGTTGACATACGTGCCCAGCTCATCGGCTCCCTGACTTTTCGCGACTTGAGTCACGTCAGCGAGGAATAAGCAGCATTCACAGGCGTCAAAAAAGACTTCGGGTTCATATCTGAACCGCACAGGGCTGGTGACGTTAGTAGGCGCATCCGGATCAATAACATGGCTCCCACTGTCCTGAAAGTGTGGGCGAGACAGCGCCGGGCTCGTGTTCTGGACATATTTTGCCTGCATTGCCACCATGCCTCCCCAACACGACTTGACGGGAACGGCGTCACTTTGCCCAAGGACGGCAGCACGTGAGACACCCTGCCCCTCTGTACTGAAGAATGGGTATATCGGCAGGCCGCCACTGAAACCCTCAGCGTCACGCTGTGCGTACAAATCGTAAAACTGGAGAGGCTGGATGAAGTCCAGGGCGCAAACCGAAAGATAATGTGCGCGTCCATCTGCTCCAATATTGGTACTAAATAACAGGTTTGCGGCGTCCGTCGGATTGAAAATCACGTCGTTCAAGAATAGGATCTTGTCAAACCGGGCTGTTCCCAGCTCTACCTTGTTAAGCCTGTCGAGGAGACGGAGTGCTCGGTTCCGCATTTCGGAGAGATATGAGATACGTTTGACACGATTGGTCCCGTCTGGCATCCTTATTGTTGGGAAATCTTGGATTGGTACATGTGCATCGTTGACGATCTTGTGTCGACAGCTTAACTTCGTCTGGAGGTGCTCCAAAGCACTGGCACCACCGGGCCCACTGTCATTTTCGTATATGCTCAAGAAGACATTCTCTGCGCCGATCATGTGGATGAGTCGGAGGAGAAGCTCACCCCATTTGCCATCAGCCAGATGTCCATTCTTGTCGTATAAGCTGACGCTGATAAAGACCTTCTCATTGAAGGGGTTGGCACAGCCGCCCTGGTCAAATCCTGGCCCGCTGCATCTCGAGACAAGGCCACGGTAATGCGGTGGTAAGTGTGTATATGATGGTGCGAACACTGGCGTTGCTATAAGGACAGAAAACAATGCGATGAGGACGTATTTGACCAGAGTGAAGACGACGGGGTTGCGCCGAGTTATACGTCGTAGCTTCCGGCGTGTGCAGCAATGCTTGGGGGAAAGCTGTGCAATCCATGGGGAATGCTGTTGTCGTTGTTTCGATAACGAGTACGCGGCTTTCTCTTGAGCTTCGATGTCGCTCAAAAAGTCACCGAGAGTCGAAGACGTGGATGGAGTTGGGGATTGTTCTCGAAGCAAATCGATATGCTCTTCTCCGGTGTGGGACATCCTTCTGGCTGCCGGGACTTGCAGGGGTGCACGTCGCTTAGCGGATGCTACACTACGGTTCTGGCATATACAGGGGTCATGCACCCATCGTTGAAGGCAAGAAGATACTGCCAGTTACTCTCGACTGTATAGGCCGATGGAGTTTTCTTGTAGTGCAAGGATATGTTTTGGTTCAGAAACTCATGTGAAGAGGATGGCAGAAACCGACAATTATGGTAAACCGGCGCAGTTTCAATGCGCCTTGGCCAAACAACGTACGCATGCCAATACTGTGAAAAAGCAACGGGCTTGGATTGCAGCTAACGGCGGACAGCAACGCAAACGAGCAAGATAGCGGCGGAATAGACGCTTAAGATGGATCAATAAAGAACGGTACCTGACACCAGATGGACAAAGTTTCAGCGCTTCTCCAGGCCAGACAAACAAAGGACCGGAAACGTACAGTACGTGGCTGACTTGGCTAGCTACCTTTTGCTTTCTGCTTCCATGTTAGAATCAGATATTGCAGGGACCCTCAGGGTCTCAGTTGACGTGTCATCTCGTACATCTATCTACAAGGCAGCAAGGCTCCTCTGCCCGTATATCTATATCTTGTCCGCGACCACTACTCTACCCTACTATGTAATGCAGTCCGGTCCCGGAGTTCGGCACAAGCCCCCCGTCGGTTCTGTCAGGCCGCATGGCGTTGGCGTTGACATCGCCCTGGAAAAGGAGAGCCAAACCCACATTTAGTGCTGCTGCCCCTGTCACTTACGAGTTACCCCATCGCCCTCCCGCATTTTAGCTCAACCTTAAACCTGCAGGGCCATCTAACGTTAGGCTCTAACGAGACCGGACTAACTTAAGACTCTCTCTACAAACCTCTACAAACATCTCCCGTGGCCAGTCCGAGGTTTAAACCTGTGTCCCTCGGTCCATGAATTTGTGCGATCAGTTACACTGGCCACTAGACTACGGCTCTCCTATTGAGTTGAGCTTGCCAAACGCAAGATCCAAAAGCCAGACTCTTAACATTCGCGATGCGTGAAGCAGATCTGCAGTTCTCAGCAAGCCAAAATTTGGTCGATATCGATTTAATGAGGCGCGGTGGCATATCTTAGCTGACCAAGAATAATTTAAAAATTTGATAGATGTCTCAGACACCAAGCAGGTAGGTAACCACACATGACGTTTAGCATCTCTGCTCATCGCTGTACACCAATCACTACACAGAGATCCATTCTGCACAGCTTTGCTCATTTAAAGAAAATTGCGACGAACAAGATATAAAACCCTCCCGCATTGGGCTCGGCAATGTTGACGGGGGCGACGGATGCCCACATGGAAACCTTTCGTATCATACCATTTCGAATATTATCAAACAGGTTACCCACATAGTTCAAGAGATTTGGCCATGCTTTTGACTGACCCGGGCTACAGAACTAGTCTCGACCAAACTTGCTTCTCCCTCCTTGTCACCACTAGCTTCCCAGAACATGCTCCCTGCCATGCCTCTCCCTTTCACATCCTCAACCTTCCTCTCCACCAAGACTGGCGAATCGTAGCCGATCACTTCTCTTGTTTCCCTACCGTATCAGTACACCGTGCATACGATGTAATCATAAACTTCTACGGTTGCTTCTCCAGGCTGTGCGTAGCGCCTTGAACAAGTAGGTTGCGTGACATGCGCCGGGATATCACTTTCTGCTTACAGCCGCGACGTCCGCCGACGCGGAGGTCTACAGTACTCAACCATTGTCTGAAATCGCGGCTGTCGTGGATTACTTCAATTTGATGGTGTATGACTTTTCTGGAGCCCGGGATGAAACGACGGGACACCAGGCCAATATTCAGACAGTTTCTAATTCTGATCAAGCTTTCTTTTTGCTAGCACCGCCATCCACCGTGATGTCCTGGCCAGAGATGAATCCAGCATTCACCAGGAACTCTGCCGCGTCAGCTATATCCTTGGGCCTCCCAGCGCGATTCGTCAAATGGTCTTCCACATCCGCATTATCGTTCTGCTCCGCCCACTGCATTCCCTTTTCGTCGCCGTCTTTACTCTCATGCGCAACCTTGATGCGACCGGGTGCGATCAGGTTGACACGAATACCCCAATGCTGGAGACTGACAGCCATGCTGTGCATCAAGCCTAGTTGACCAGCCTTGCTGCTCGCGTATCCTTCCTGGTTGGCATCGCTGTGTTGGGCGCGGAAGCTGCCGATATGAATGATGCAGGGACCGGCCTCGCTGTCGTCGTCGTGGCGAGCCTCTTTGCCACCTGCTTCCTGCTTCATGTACTCCAGACAAGCCTGTGAGACAGCAAAGGGTGCAGTAAGATTGGTATCAATATAACTACAGTATAAATATTAGTATCAAGCCTTACCCAAACAATTAAGTGGGTCTGGTGAGTCCGCTTACGCTCGCCACTGCTCCAATGTCTCCATGCTGGCCATGGTCTTGCCATCCTTCCACTTCGGCGAGGCGATTCCACCATTGTTGATCAGAACATGGATCCGTCCACCCAAGAAATTGGCAGCTTCGTTGACCTTCTTCCGTATATCCGCCACATCGCTGAGATCGCAGATACTTGCGGCCAATTGGCCAGCATCCGAATACTTCTTCAGGTGGCTCTTGACCGTGTGCTTTAGCTCCTCCTCATCGATGTCGAGAACGTAAACTTTGTAACCTAGCTCGCAGAAACGACGCACAAGACACCTTCCAATCCCTCTCGCTCCTCCGCTGATGATAGCTGTCTTTGTCATCTTTGGGCTCGATGGTGCGTGGCTGATTAGTGGTATCAAGGGGCGGTGCGGTGATCAGATGTAAAGATTTGATAGGGTCATCTCAAATAGAATATTTCCAGTTTTGCCGTGGAGAATGAAGAGACATAGAGCTTGAGGGGTGAATCTCCATTTGTTGCAGATGCATGCGTGGGTAGAGCCACTTGAGATGACGTAATATATACGGCGTACGCTAAGGTAGGTGGTCGAAACCGAAAATATGACCGCCGATTGACGATTATAACATGGCATGTATCTAATCCGATATGAGTTATGCGAATCACAGTTTCGGCTATTGTGGTCCAGGATTGCGAGGCTGATGTTGTCGAATCGGTCGATACCTAGCTTAGCTCTACGCTACAAAGGTACTGCCTTTTACTCATATTGCATAAGCGATGCTATGGGGTTTGTCATAACGCAAGCGATTCGACATTATCGAACAGCTTTTCTCATTCTACATGAGCAGTACACAAGTCAAGCAAGATTAGGTACGAACACTAAGCAATTTTATTTTTTTTCCCCTACAAACGTGGGCTTGTCTAATCATCAACCCCTGCAAGCCGGGCAACCTCAGGACAATATGAACTTCCCATAATACTAACATGCACGACGCTTCAAGTACAGGGTGATTCTTTTCGGTCTTATGACAGGGTGCAGCTAAGTCATGATCTGCAAAGTCTCTGGTCGCAAGCGACTTCCGTGGAGCCTCAAAGCGCCCTTCATCCGCTGAAGACCTCTCGGTCGAGTCTGACGTCTTGGCTCGTGAGGTTGGCGATCAGTGAGCTCATGGTGATCTATTACATTTTAGATTTTATCGAAATATGATACAAGTAACTATTCATGCAGGGAATAGTGACTCACTTCGACATCCTAGGCAGTAGTAAGCCCAACGCACAGCACCCATGACCCAGCCAATGCCGTCGACATACTGAGCATATGATGGAGCGTTGGGTCGTTTGTCCAAGCAGGAACAACAGTACTTCGGATTATTGGTCATCGAACAGTCCCGTGCCTGCCAGTGATCACATGCCTTTTCAGAGGTTATGAGATTTGCGCGGCCTCGATTTGTAGAGCTGGTTGGGATTGTTTTGTGGTTACTATCATGGTTATGATTGTGAGTCTGGGCTATATGAACTCGGTTTGCCTGTTCGCTGGACTGTAACCAGCGCCGTGTCCGCTGACGTATTCGTTTCTCCATGGAAAAGCGACGAAGTACAGTAGCAAAATTGTTGAATGCTAGTTGACAATTCGGGCAATAGCCAGCCCATCTTGTTGCTTGCTCAACCCAGCCTCTTCCATCAATATATGTTGCATAAAAGCCGGATTGCGTACGGGGACGTTGATCTGCACATGCACAGCAGTTACCGTCGGTTGCAGTCATGGAACATGCTCGTGGCTCCAAGTGGGTGCATTGCCGCTGATGACGTGCGAGGTCGCGGTCATGAAGGCGCACGTTTAGATGCATATCAGTCGGCAAAACTGCACTAGGTTTGTTATACTCGAATCTACTAGTTCTCTGATTGGTCTCCTCGTAATGGCAACAGCCTGGACTATCGTTATAAATGTAAGTTCAGAATTCTGTATTCGGCAATTGCTTAACGAATGGTGACCCGTAAGGGTGGCACGTAGTTTTAAAGAAGCTGAGATATAGCGGATTGGCTTACCAGTAGTGTGCCCATCTCGAAACGTCAGCTACCCAACCCTTACCGTCTACATAGGCCGGGTAGAGCTGAGAACTTGTGCCTGGGCGAAGATCAGAGCAAGCGCAGCACTTGCCGGTATTTGTGATGGAGCATTCTCTTTCCAGCCAGTGCTCGCACTGAGAAATTGCAAACTGCTGTTGTGCTTCTTCGTGCTGCGCTGCACGCCTCTGTAATCTTTCCATAACCTGGTTGAGTACAGCGGTCTCATGGTAGTCCTTGCAACCAGGGCAGTAATACGCCCAGCGAGTTGCCTTCTCAACCCAACCTCGGCCGTCAACATACGTAGAGTACAGACCGGATTCAGTTCGTGAGCGCTTGTCAGAGCATTCGCAGCATTGGCCAGAGACGTTGATCGCGCATCTCCTTTCCGCTAAATGACTACAGTGCTGGGGCTGATGTAAAGCGAGGGAACGAGAGGAGGCTTGCATAGGTGGGTGCATACGGTGTAGCTTGATGGCGATCCAGGAATCATCAGAGTCGTACTCATTTGTGGTCAAATTGTTGTCGAGGTTGAACAATTGTTCCTCGTCAGAGCTCGACTCGACATCCTCCCAGGGAGACAGGTCAGGAGAGCGTTCAGCCATGTTAAGCGAAATGCTTCCTAACAGAAGTGACTGTCTCAGGAGAGCTGGATAAGAAGGCAACTATGAAATACAATGTTGATCTAGATGTAATAGCTTGGTACAAGAGACGATTCAAATTTTCGGGTCGAGTACAATATATATACGGACAAGCTGTGTGGCAATTTGCTTTGTACTGTTGGTTATAGGGACGTTGTATCCAGGTAGTGGGTGGACTGAGGAACGAGACAATGATCGATTGCCGAGTGACAACAGCGGTGTCTGTCTACGGCGAGATACATTTGGAAGTTGCATGGACTACGGTTGCCTGAGGCAGGAGGTATGTATGAATGGAATGGGCCGGCTGACTTTGGATTAGCGTCCTCTGACTACGGATTACCTCTGTTGTGGCCCAAGACAACAGTCGAAACGGTGATTCGTACAGCCAATAAAACATTCATCATTTGCAAAGCTTGATTGAATTAGATCGACAATCTGTAAGAAGACGACTGATTTGTTTTATACTATTGCAACGGTGTACAGTTTGAGATTGAATCTCCTATGTAAAAGGCACTAGGTTACATGGGTTGACTCACTAAGGTTAAGTATCAAGGGTTTGCTATAATTGCAGCCCGTACTTGCCCGACTGCTGATTCAGCCCGAGTCCACTGAATCTAGGATGCTTTTGGCGCATCGTGCACCCACCTGAATATTAGGATTGAGAAGGTTCCAACTGCTAGATATCACTAAATCATACTGCTAATGACTAGTCAGCTGTGAGAGTATGCGCAATGAAATTTGAGAATGCGTCAGTCAAAATGGCACGCGCGTTTGTTTTACTTAATTTGTTGATATTCTGGGTGAGAGAGTGCTGAAAACACCCGCAATTCGTCGATTTTCGTATCCCAAGCCCCAAGACTAGAAGTAGGGATTTCGAGCCCTTACTTATCCCTCTAACTTTACTGAGTACCACACGTAAGATGACGATTAATAATGAAGACATGTTCCAGATTATCATTAGTTAAAATAGGCCGGTTGACACTGATCGATCCAACATGTCAGTGGTTTCGATTTTTGTTTTGTCCACAACTAAACCATGGTTCAACCATCCTAGAAGATCTACCAGACGAGCCATTTAGAGGAGGGCTTCGTCACAATAATGGCCATGCTGATATTCAAGGCATCAGAACTCTACCAACTGAGGAAGAAATGAAGTCTCTCCGTGCTCTGTACCTACCAATAACGGAGACGTCTCTCTTCCATAAACCAGGTATTAGCGGACACATTGGCCGAGAGTTCCGACTAGTCTCGTACGTGATGGTACGATCGGACAGCTTCAAGATGCTGTTGCTGCACAAACTCATATTTTGCATGACGATAAAATGGCTGTAGTTTGTCCTGATAAGAGTAGCCTTGAAGCATATACATATCAAAACGCTGTGGTTCAAGACATGACTTTCGAGAAGATCGTGGTCTCGATCTACTTGTGAAATTCCGTCAACCGTACTTTTCAGAAACGCCAGGTACTACGTACTAAATGGTGGGCTCAGTCTAAGCGTGCAAGTGGGCAGTCTTGTCTGCACAATCTCTGAGGGCCGAGTTCTCTTCTTCGTAGTAACGCGATGCCACAGCCATTCTACCAGATTTGAACTCCAGACCTGAAGATCAGGACAATAATGAACAAGACCAATATGGGGCACTAGGAAAGCCGCTATTCGCAGGGAGTGACGAACTCGCTTTCATGCATTTGCGCTTCAGAGAGGTCACTGATAGTAATCCAATATAGGGCTTTAAATGGTTTCATGAGACACACGATCGCAGTTATCGTCTGCTGGTGATATTTCCTAGAGTTCTGCTAACTTCGTTCCAACACATCATGAAGTCACTTCAACGAACGTCGTAAACTCCGAGTCTGCCTTGAACACAACTGATTGATCCCAGCCACTGATCAAGTTCGTCCTCCCCAGTATTCGATGCGTCCTTGCTCATGAATATGAGAAGATACCTTGATTCGTAGCCATCAACGTAAGTAGACTCTCCAGCCGGTGCGAGTCTTATTCAACACGACTTGTTTAGGTCCCTAGTTGTGTGGCGCAATCTGCCCTGCTCCAGAGTACTATCAACTGTTCTGTGTAAAGGCACTCAAGGAGATGACCGTCGATTTCATTCTAGCTTTGCAATACGATGAGGTCAATGTCAACAACGACCCTCGTATTTTCTCTAATTATGGTCATATTGTGAGGAAGTCTAGCATGGATGGAGCAATGGATATGAAGACGTATTATATGCTGACTGAGGAGGATAATTCGAGCGCAGAGTCGGGCCATTCGTTGCCTTTGTCCATGGACGAGGTTAAGGTATGTCCCACTTGCCGTGGCGTATTGTCCGCAGAGCGATGTTGTATAGAGCATCCAAGAATTCATTTTCTAGTCTACTACCGAATACTTCAAGCTAGCAGAGCGCCTTGCAACTGTTCAGCGAGAGCTGACGGATCTTCAAACACCAAAGATACCGCCACTGCAGCGGCCCACAAGCTCGCAGATCGAATAGCCAAATCGATGCGGTTAAACTTGATGCCCTATTGCGTTGGCGAGGACCGGTTCAAGACGGAATTGTATCTATGGCGATACATAATCATTTACCTCGACAGGGCTCGTGAGAAGGAGCAGCAATTCAAGCGCGTTGCTAGCTTCATACTCAATTTACCCGGCGGCACATCGAGATCTGCACGGATCTTCAGAAAATCGGCGAAGATAGCAATGTCGCATCTCAACGCGAGAGCTTCGCATTGATGTTTACCCTTGACCTGGATAGGCGTATCGTTGTAGGTAAAATTTAGACTAGTTTGTTGATGTAGCACGGCATGCTGAACGGAGTTTTCAGAGCATTCGTGCGATTTAGTCCCCTTTCGACAATGCATAGTCTTTGAAATCCACGGCAAGAAATAGAGTCTCGCACCATATTATTTACTCACTTATGGGCTCTCGACCGGGCTGCTTCGCGCCCTGACCGGCCAGAGCTCAACAGAATAAAGAAGCTAAGGATGAAGAGCTCAAACAAGAAGTAGAACATCACATCGGGGCTGCACGTGAGCTTCTGGACTTTTCCCCTGGGATTCAAGTCCTCAAAACAGAAGTCAATACAGCCGAGACCTTCTTGCGCGACGGTGTCTTCTATGAGCCAGTGCCGCCGGAGGAATCGAAAGCCGTCATCATGTCGATGGAAAAAGAGTTCCTGGGCACCGGTCGCTGGTACAGACGTGTGCAACGGCCATCCCGTCACGGTAGGTGAGTGTGGAATTCCCATAGAGCAAGCACATTGTCCGGAATGTGAAAAGCCCCGTTGATAGTCGAAATCATGAGCCCGCAGATGGAGTGGCGGTCGCATTAGATCCACAAGAAGTAGCTAGTGGTGTCCAGGATATGGCACTTTGATCACGAAGTACTTGGTGTTTGGATTGTCGGGTTGTTCCTTTAAGTGGAAATAGCAGGTTACAAGCAGAAAATGCTATGGTTTTGACATCAAAGAAACGATCAAGCTTTAAGGGACATGGCTTGTGATAGGTTTCCATAGCACAAGTTTTATTTCACGGACTGAAAATACAGATACACAAATATCCAAAGACTATTTTCGCTTCTTTCACGATAAGAACAGCGTACGCGTGAATACGGCACCGCTTTGCGGATTTATACGCCATACTCCTTGACTTTGATATGTAAAAAAGGGTACTTGGTGTGCTTTGTTGTCTATATGATATCTGCAAGGCGGGCAAGGTTCCTTTGGATTGATGATTCTCGTTTCTCTATGAACAGTAGTTAAATTTCAGACATTACAAAATTACTTGATATCCATCCTCGTTAAATTGCCGCGACTATGAGCCTGTCTTTTCCTGGCCTGAGTATCTTGCGTAGACTGAGAAAGACCTAGATCCGACGCCGGTCAGGTGAACCAACATCTCCAACCGCTGTGCTAATAATACACGTATGGTCGAGCACCAAGCTAGACATATGTTTTGGTGGCTTAAATTAGCTCATAGTGCTTGGACTAACTTTAGAAATAACAATCACTACTTGCATACGGCGCACGTCCCTCGTCACGGAATTTCCTCCGGCACTGATAGTACGGTCCTGTCTGTGTGTTGTTCTAAATGGAGAGTGATAGCAGCACATGGAAATTACCTGTATTGCTGTCATCAATGGTTGCACATAAGCGTAGTGACTAATTAAAGACCTTTTCCCGTGCCAGGGGAGACCAAGATATTGACGCAGCCACAGGGGCTTTTCCAATCATTGACGTACTCAGTATACGGCACCGTCGCTCTCCTCGGGAGCATTGCACCGCCGAGATGCTCCGTATAACCACATATCATTAACCAAAATTTGCGGCTTCTTGGGCGTTTATATATGATGGTGGACGTCAACTGAATCCAATCCCAGTGCGCGCGCCATTCTATCAGGTTACAAGGCCAGATAGAGTTAGTTCCCAAATAAGCAGGCTATTCCTGACAGGTACCCGTCTATTTAACAGCAACTGCCGCTTTACTACTGGACAACAATGAAGAGCATGGCAGTCATTGGGTACTATTGGTAGCACTACCATATTAGTGCCCCTTAAATGGTGGGAATAACTGGGCACTATCTTAGACTTAGTGGCAGCATGGGCCCGGTAAGAGCAGAGCAATCGAACAGTTGAAATTGCCATTTCGTTTCGTACCACTGAAAACTTGAAGGCGTGGTAGTCATGGAAATCCCATAATGCTTTGCCTCTGATAGGTAAGGGCACATCCATCAACTTTACTACGGCAAATGTATCGGCGCCGAATTGAGACGTGACACTGAGGCACCTCGAGATCCCTGGGCGTGCCGAGGCGGCCGCTGTCGATCACTATCTGCTTCCGACAACAGCCCAAGGAGGAGTCAAGTTATTGCATCCACTGGCCACGTCCGTCAACGCCTAAGCCTTTCGGATCCCCGGCTGTGCATATAGTATGGTCTTCTCCCATGTCCACGATGAACGCGCAACAATAATTATCCCCATACACAATAACCATCAGCCAGGTCTAGATGAACTGAACAGTTGGCCGTTTTTGAAAAGAATTTTTTTTTTCCAATATTATCGTGCTTTTGTCCATCTCCCGAATTAAATGGATCCACCTGTGGGAGGGCAACGACTGTCGTTGCTGCATCAAATTTTCAAGACCGCGACGTCATGTCGTAGGAAAGTGCAGGCCCATAATGGGCATGTGCTAGCCCAGTCTGCGGAACGGAGTAGAATATTTGGCAAATCGAACAATTTGAGGTACATGCATCGTTCTGTAAGCTGCGAGGTTGTTGATATTGCATAGCACGAACTGTAAGTTTGCAGGTCGCGGGATTCCTTCCCGTGCGTCGACTAATTTCAGAATGCACCCCTGATCATCCGTTCCTGGCTTACCCCACAGAATAAGCCCCTGCAGTATCCATGAACTGCTGTCAACGATTGCCTATTCGGGATGAGTGTTGCCTGTCAAGACGATCTAATGATCTAACTTGTCAACGATCAGTCTGCTCCCGGCTCGTATGCTGGGTCCGTCCGCCCTGGTACGGGCGATCAGAATTAGAGCCCACCAGCTCCCACAACGTCGTAAGCAGCACACCGGTTCTCAGGTGTAGTGATGGTGGATAGGAGTATCATGATCGCTCAGCGAGAGATTCCTCAGGGGATCATGCCCGTCTCGTTGTGCGACTTTAAAGATGGGCGGTTCCCTCTCTGCATCCAGTCTCCTTTCCCTTACTTCTGCATCATTCAACTAGCCTGTTGTTTAATCGTGCGTCTAGCACAGTCACTCTTTATCGGCAGTTTTATACGCCAATCCATTCATTAATAACAATCACTCTTTCACACTTATACGATGCTCTTTTCGTCTCGCGGCCCCTTGGCCGTGGCATTGGCAGCCTGTTCGGTAGCCTCTGCTACACCTCATGCCCTCGCCCCACGAACGGGCCTCAACCTCGACCTGGGTCTTCTCAGCGAGCCCACCAGTGTCGATATCAGCCTAGACACTGACCTGACTGGTCTGACGTTGGTCGAGGGTATTCTTGTCGGTGCTGTTGTCCCTCCCGTCGCTGCCGTTGGTGCCGAGGTCGACCTCATCGTCAAGTGCAACAAGGGATATACAAAGGGAGATATCACTGCATCCGTCTCCGTTCAAGACCTTATTCCTTCTCTAAGTCTCAGTCTGAAGGACATCGAAGCATACTTGGATCTCGACCTTTATGTCGGTATTGCCACCACCGTTGCCGTCAATCTCTTCACACCTGTTGCTCCAATTCAGCTCCCTATCATCGCTGGTGGCCTCGAACTCAATGCTCTTGTCTCCGTTGACCTTGTCCTCAGCCTCGATGCCGCCATCGATGTCAGTGCTGGTGTATACATCAAGCTTACTGAGGACGCCCTCCTCGAGATTGACATCCTGAAGGGTGAGATTCTGAAGGCCGACTTCACTGGGCTGGCTGTGAAGACTCTGCCTATTGAAGTTCGCATTGGATGCGCCAGGGTACAGGCAGATCTCCGTGTACGTATCCAGGCTGGTGTTGTGGCCGCAGTCGATATCGACGACCTGATCAACGACCTGATTCCTCTGGGCATTGACCTTCCCGATATTGGTGTTGGTCTCGAACTCGGTGTCTACGCCAACCTCGTCGAGTACGTTGGTCTTTTCTGCGATACTCCTAGCTGCCCCTTGGCCAAGGAGTCCTATGGCCTCAACGTTGGTGTTGTCGCCGGACTTGATGTCGAGGTTGAGGACCTTCTTGACCTCACCCTTGCTCCCACAGTTTCCGTTGCTCTCCTTACTCTGCCTACTACCACCCACTGTAGCCAGTCAGGTGGCACCGCCGTCGCCACGCTGCCGCCTAAGATCGGTGTCCCATTGGTATCAGGCACCGCTTCCGTCCCCGCTACTTCTACTAGCAACTCCGGTCATGAGTCTGGCTTAGCTGGCCCCTCCAAGGCTGGTTCCAAGTCCGGTACAGTCACTGTCAGCGCCAACGGACCGACTGGAACTGCTACTACGACATACGGCTCTGAGCTTGTCACATCTACCGTGAAGAGTACGGCCTACTACACTATCACAAGCTGCGCTGCCTCCGTCGCCAACTGTCCCGCAAGCTACCAATCCGAGCAGACCGTGGTTAAGACCATCGATGTTTACACCACCGTCTGCCCCATCACTGCTTCCCTTACTGCTCCTGCCAGCTACAGCTCGTCGGCTGCTGCTCAGAGCTCTTCGGCCGACTTTACCATCGTCACAGATGTGACCACCCTGGTTCCTTGTTCTTCTACTGCCACATTCACCCCTCCCGCTGGCGTCACTTCATACCCAGGCTCCAGCACCCCTGCTGCCTCTTCCCCGACCAAGCCTGCCGGTAGTGCTTCCACCAAGCCGGCTACTGTTGTTTCTTCCACCAAACCGGCTACTGGTGCTTCTTCCACCAAGCCCGGTACCAGTGTTTCGACCAAGCCCACTACTGGCGCTTCTTCCACTAAGCCTGTCGAGTACATTATCAGCACGGTCTACAGCACCCACTCTTATACCATTACATCGTGCGCTGCTAGCATCACCAACTGCCCTGTTGGGAAGACTACCACGGAGGTTGTAGCCGTTTCGACCACTGTATGCCCTGTGACCGAGACTGAGACTGGAAAGACCTCAGCTACCAAGGCTACTGAGACCTACTCCGCAGGGAGCTCTTCCACCAAGCCTGCTCAGTCTACTCATTCTGCTGAAACGTCGACCAAGCCTGCTCAGTCGACCAACTCCGTCGGAACCTCGACCAAGCCTACTCAATCTACCTACCCAGTTGAGAACGCTTCCACGAAGCCTGCCGACTCGACTTACCCAGTTCAGAGTAACACCAAGCCCATTGAGTCCACCACCAAGCCTGCTCAGTCCATTACCGTGCCTGTCGAGAGCACCACCAAGCCTGCTCAATCCACTACCGTACCCGTCGAGAGCGCCACCAAGCCTGCTCAGTCTACATATCCCGTCGAGAGCGCCACCAAGCCTGCTCAGTCCCTTACCGTGCCTGTCGAGAGCACCAAGCCTGCTCAGTCTATTACCGTGCCTGTCGAGAGCACCACCAAGCCTGCTCAGTCCACTACCGTACCCGTCGAGAGCGCCACCAAGCCTGCTCAGTCTACATATCCCGTCGAGAGCGCCACCAAGCCTGCTCAGTCCACTACTAAGCCAGTCGAGAGCACCACCAAGCCTGCTCAGTCCACTACCGTACCCGTCGAGAGCGCCACCAAGCCTGCTCAGTCTACATATCCCGTCGAGAGCGCCACCAAGCCTGCTCAGTCCACTACTAAGCCAGTCGAAAGCGCCACCAAGCCCGGCCTCTCTACTTACCCGGTAGAGAGCGCCACTAAGCCCGGCCAGTCCACTTACCCGGTCGAGAGCGCCACTAAGCCCGGCCAGTCCACTTACCCGGTCGAGAGCGCTACCAAGCCCGGCCAGTCCACTTATCCCGTCGAGAGCGCTACCAAGCCTGCTGGGTCCACTTATCCTGTTGGAGGCGCCTCCTCGACCAAGCCTGTCGGCGGTGCTCCTACAATTTCTACATACCCAGCCGTTGGTGCTTCTTCCACAAAGCCCGTCGGCAGTGTATCTACCCAGCCTGCCAGTGGCTACCCTGGCTCATCGGAGGCACCATACCCCACATACCCGGCAGGCGGAAACCCAAGCAGCGGCAGCGGAAACGGCTATGGTAACTCGACCATCGCTTATCCTACCACTATCAGCAGCTCAGTGTCCAAGCTGAGCACTGCTTCGGGCTACCCAACAACCAAGACGTCCGCATCTTCATACCCTACAGCTACCGTGGTGACTGCTGGTGCTAGCAAGATGGTGCCGAGCCTCGCCCTGTTCGTAGTTGCTGCCGTGGCTTTGCTCTAAGAACTTATGGAAGTCGGAGGTACATATGACACGCCCGGTCTAGAGGCTGATTGGCTGTAATCTTAATGTAATCAATAGTGCATGTGTATAAATTGCTGCTTGTGCACGTGTGTGGCTATTCTGTATGTTCAATACAATATCGATTCAAATACACCTCGAGATGAATGACGTGCGCAACCGTGGTTCTCTATGCTGTCACACGAATGCTAAAACATCAATACTGCCAATGTCCCAGGTGGACAGCTTTACGGAGTCGTCGGGTGTGCTTTCAGCGAGTTTGACATTAGCATTCTATCGCTCCGACGATATCAGAGCATTTGTGACGTATGTCAGAGCACCGGCTCCAAGAAATGGCGGAACTGTTACAGTATCCGCAGATTGATTGGTGTTATGTACGTAAAGATGATCCATCAGGTATGTTAGTCAGGACTCCTTACTATATCGGGCAGGCGAGTACGTTAGCGCCTAGCACCCATTTAATCTGGGGTAGTCCCTTCAGCCGCTGGAAACGCGGATCCAGTCATTGGTTCAAGAATGTTAATAAGCCGTTCGGATTATGTACGTAATGTCATCAGCTCGCCCAGATACAAGATAATTGAGCCATTTCAAAACTCGTAGGTTTACATGGTTTGCACGATCAAGCAACGCAACCACCGAGAGCTCTTTATATGAACAGCCACAACGTGGCTCACATGTGACAAAATCCTCCCGGCGGAAAACGGCGGGGCTAGCAGCCAATGAAAGCCGCTTATGTGGGTCTTCAAGTACTCTCTTTAAACTGCCCATATCCTATGGTTCTCCAGCGTTCTCCGCCGGCTACCTCGTTCGAAGTTCATCCCATCGTACGACCAGGTAATTCCGAGAGACAGTCACAGTGACAGTATGGCAGGAGAAGAGCAGCCGCCCGGGTCTGAGAGACCCACAGAAGAGGCCCAACCTGTGGCCAGTGCTGAAGGCCCACGGTCGTCGAAGCGCAAGGCCACTAAAGCCGAGAAGGATGAAGCCGGCGACAAGAATAACGGTAGTCAGAAACGCCGCAGACGTGTCTTCTCGTGCCAATCTTGTCAAAGACTCAAGTGCCGATGTGAATATGACCCTGGATCCCAGGCATGTCACCGTTGCGTAACTCTAAGGTCCGTTCAAGCAGGGTGGCAAAGAGATCACAAGTCATGGTTGTGTGAAGGCTCTAAAACTTGACTTACAGGATCGAGTGTTCGCTCAAGGGTGAGATCCTTGATATCCCTGCGCATCCCAAAACTGTGGAAAATGCGACGAGTATTGAAGAACGGTGAGTTGCCAGCTTACCCTGCAGTGACCGCTCAATCACTGCCGCATAATTCTAAACCAATCTGATTGATCTGTAAACAGACTTGGTCGTCACGAAAAGTCCCTGGCCGAAATCAAGGGCATGATCGAGTTTGTGTCCCGTCAGTTTGGACTTGCCGGAGCCGGCGAACTTCAGAAGATTAGAGCGCCAGATGGAGAAGCTGGCACTGATTCACCGAGTTCCGTTCAAGACGATGACAGCCCGGAGAATATAGCAGATCCCGTTGATCTCGGCATCAAGTCTGCACCAACCGTGGTGCTCAGAGAGATCGGGGAGCACGTCACTCAAGGGTACAGAAGACTTGAGCACGTGAAGCTTGACCTGGTACAATTGCAACTCTTAAACGAGCAAACAGCCAACGAACTGTGCCGGCTGTAGGTCGCTATTTTGCCCAACATGAATTCGGTTATGTTGCTAACGGACCATGCCAGCTTCCTGAGACACCACGGGCACTTGCTGTCAGTCTATGATACTACAGACTCGCCCAGCCGGGATATTAGAGAGCTCTCTGCATTCCTTCACAGCGTTTGCTGTCTCTGTGCGGTTCTCTATCGTGAAGATCTTTGTGGTACACCCATGCATAGACAGGTGTATGAGCAGGTTCGGATCACTCTGGGCCAAGCCCTCCTATCAAGTCCTCTCAACCTCGAAGAGATAAATGCTATCTTGGTCATGAGTGACCATGCGGTAAGTTCTCTGAATGAGTCAATAGTTTGCTGCGTGCTGAATAGTTTAGGATGGGCCAGAATACATTGATAGCTGGCTATTGACCGGCTACTGTGTCAAACAGGCCATGCTCAGCATTAGCTTTTCCAAGATCGTAGGCAACATCAAGCGCGGAACATCGACTATCCAAGATCGTCAGGCGATCCATCTTTGGTCCACTATTTGTTTACATCACCTCCAGTAAGTTTTCCAGGCTTTTTAGAAAGATTTATCAGCACTGATAATTGATAATTAAATAGCTGGTCGGCCACGACTGGGAGACCTTCCGTGCTGCATGTACCCTATATCAATCAATGTAACATTCTATTGAGCTTCTACCAAGCAAGCATGCAAGATGGCATGCTTGTTGCAGAGATACTGTTATATTCAGTATTACATCAGAAATTATCGCGGCGGTCTTATTTGGATACGAACGGCGAGTGCGATGACTTTAAAGTCTGGAAGCAGAAGTGGAATCATCTCATGTGTAAGTATCACACCCAATGGAGTTGGGCGGAGTTCTAATTTTCTTGACTTTTCTAGCTCTTTCGACGGCGTCAATGCTGCGTATTGGCTACTATGCTGCATATTTGATACTGGCGGTGCGAGCTTTAGAAGAGCGCGGTGATGCCATGAGTCTGAAAACGTTTCTCTCTAACCCGCCGTTTGGTTCACCTGCGAACAGCACCTCCAACGTCTCGGATGCCAAAGGTGCAAAAAATACTACCCAGATGTTGCAATTCCATACCGCCAGATACGCCCAATCCGTTCTCGAAACCTTTGTGGAGATGCCCCCTTTCCTCATGGACACAATTCCGACGTACTTATGCCTCGTCATTGGATACTCTGCCCTCATCTTGGCGCACTACGATGAGAACCAGTCAAAAGTTTCAGCAGAAGTTAGTATCAGGTTGATATCGCGACTGGAGGAATGGTGTATGCGGACACCGAGCAAGTCATGGGCTATCAAATTCGCAACATTGGCCAGGCAGAAGGTTGAGTCCAGAACAGGCGCAACGAGACCGCACCACGAGATCAGAAAGCAGGCTTCTACTGAACACGACCGTCGACATCCTGCTGCTTGGAGTGCTTCGGATATATCGATGCCAGCGTTTCCGGTTGGAGGAGAACACGGCGCGACACCTTCATCCTTGTCAGATCATCGTACTTATGATGGCGAGGAGTTTGTAGGCGGAACGGACAATTTCCAAATGGCCTCTGATCCTCTTCATCTTGGATATGAAATCTCGCAGCCGGTCATTCCCAGTATGGAAGATTTCTTTGGTGGAGGCTTTCTTGATTTCATGCGGCAAACTCGAGGTTAAGGATTGCACAAAACACGGTGGAACCTGCACAGTCCAGCATTAGTCACTATGATCTGAAGCTATAGTAGGATGCTATCATGTGCGGCAAGGACATGTGAGCCTGTTTGGTTCATTATATCTGTGGATCAATTATCCACTCTTCCAAAGCCGGCCCAGAATTATATAGCTATCTTGACAATCACTGATTTGTAAGCAGTGCTGACAATTCGATGTCGCTGCACGGCCATGGTTCATCCGGTCCATTACTATAAGTAGGACTTCTACTGGCTGGCATCTACGGACGACGCGGTCGAATCATCAGCATAGGAGCACAGGCACTGTTTTCAGACTTTAACGAGATGAAGCAGAAGAGCGTTCTTGTGATCGGTGCGAACGGCTATATTGGTTCCGCAGTATGCCGTGCTTTCACTCGAGCAGGATGGCGGGTCTTCGGGCTCATTCGTCGCAAGGAAGCCGCTGGAGTTCTGGCACTTGACGAGACAATACCAGTCGTGGGATCTTTGTCTGACCCTACCGCTTTGGGCGACGTAGTCCTCAGTCACAGTAAGACATTCGACGTTATTGTTGGATGTACAGAGCCTCCAGAATATGTTTCGCATATCCGCGAGGCATTGGCATTTATTCGCCATATCTCCGAGGCCAGTAATCTTCACCAGGTGCGACCGCTTGTTCTCTGGAGCTCGGGCTGCAAAGACTATGGGACCACAGCTGTCGATGGAGCACCAGATCTCAGTGCTCATACAGAAGCTTCTGCGATCGATCCTCCTAGCGTTTTGGTCTCACGGGCCACGCACTCCCTCTTGATGCTTGAACAAACCGATCTGTTTGATGCCGCCGTCCTGCGACCAACAAATGTCTTTGGGCACAGCAGTAGTTATTATGGAAATATGTTCGCGTGGGCGGCCAGCAATGCTGCTCGCGGTGCAGGAAGATTGACTCTGAGAGGGATCGACCGTAAAAGCATCATGCATGCAAGTTAGTCTCCACCGAATCCTGCCATCTAAACAGTTCCGAGCCTTGGCCTCGTGGTGGCAGAAAGCTAATCATATCAGTGCACGTGGATGACTGTGGTGAAGCGTATGTCGCGCTTGCCGAGCATCAAGATCGCGCTGCAGTCGCTGGACAGTGTTTCAATATCTCTGCCCGTAGCTACGAAACGGCAGAGACAGTCCTCAATGCATTGGCCAAGGAATATGGGTTTCCAGATGGCGCGAGTTTTGCCCCCACAGTTGATGGTGCTGAAGTAGACTTCAGCTTGGCGGTCTTGTTCGGTTTTAGTCAGTGGGTAGGGAGCGACAAGATTAGAACGTTGACCTCTTGGAGCGACCGGCGAATGCTGTTCTCCGACAACCTGGGTGTGTACCGCAGATCATATGAAGCTGCAGTCGCCGCAGAGCATCAAGATCTTGCAAGGGTGCAGGCACGTCAAAAGATATGGCAGGAAAAGGGTCCGCTAGCCGACTAATTGATTTCATCATAGTGGTGTGTCTAAATTGCACTTGAAGATATCTCACCCAAGGTAGACTCTTTTGATGTATAAAGAAAATCATCCAACTACAATGCTTCCTTGTCCGTTGTCGAGCGTCGTACGACAGCACTTTAGTAGCACATTCTTTGTCAGGGGCATCACATGCATACTCAAGGTAATAAGGGCCCTCTTTGAACATTTCCGTGGGCAAACTTCTTTGGCATGTTTGCAATTGACCAGCGCCCTCCCTGACAGACCACAGCCTCAACCCCCGGAAAGAAAAACAAAACCCTCCTAGTCTGCACAATCAAACTTCAATAATCTAAACAATCAGAAAAGCTACCACGGACATCCCAAGACACAAGTCAAACTACAAATATCTTATTCTACCAGCAACCAAAAAAAAAAAAAAAAAAATCCCCCCACCCCCAAAATGCTCGTGCTACAATTCGCCGCCATCGGTCTTCTGACCTCGGGCGCGAAGGCAGGCCAGGCCCGAGGGACCTGGCTGAGCGGAAGCCAGTACACCAATAAATGCGGCGACACGACCTGGGATATGGGCACCAGCGCCACGTCGCCGCTGGCGAGCGACTGCGATGCCCTGGTCAAGTGGATGGAGGGCGGCACGGGCGGCGTCATGCTGTCGGGCTTGAAGACCGACGGGCCCAACCTCGTCCACCGCGAGGGCAGCTGCTCGTTCATGGTGACGCCCGAGAGCGCCGGCCCGTTCTACGTCGGCCGCGACGACATGGCGGACCTGGTGCGCGACTCCGTCGCCCGGTGGGCGAGGGACGGGAGGGTCGGGGGCGGCGGTGCCACGCGGTGTGGGGACATGTCGATTACGTGGTCGGTCGGCTAGGCGTACATTGTGTGAACAGCGGTGGTTGTTAGATAGAGGGGTGACCCGTATGTTTATCTGGAGGATTTTCAGCGGGAATCGCGATTTGGAGTTTGATGATCCCATGGCGGCCGGTCTTCCAAGACGTCGGTGTGGATCGTCTTCTGGGCCCCAGACGTTGGACGTCTGTGCAGATTGACTTGTTACCTTCCGGTTCTCCCGGAGTTCTCTAATTATTTCGATTCCGATGCATGGAGGATGTGGTAGTTTCTTCTTTGAATGTTGCCAACTGCCCCTCGATGGTCATTATAGACTCGAAAATCCATCACGATTGCATCTCTGTGATGAATATTAGCGAGCGAGAGATAGAGTTTAGAATCGGAAAGCAAACTAGACACGATCGTGTTAACTGATTTTCCATCTTCAATGGCCGGTCAGGGACGAGATACAGATATTAATGATCGAAGGCTGTTCTGTTCTCGTTTAGCAGCGGCTCTCATGCAGCTACGAATAGGCCTAAAGACAATGATTGAACAGATAAGAGTAGAGTGGAGAGAAAGCTTGCTCAGATTCGCAGGCTAGCAGTATCTCACGTAATAACAAGCATACCGAATTAAACCTTGAGCATATTTATTCCAAGGTAGTACAACATTGAAGACTGGGATGTGTAGTTTCCATTACATAGCATTGGTAATGCCTGCTGATTCAACAACGCCGCATGACTCCACGCTGCCGAGTCCCTAAGACCCCAGACTCTACAAGTCAAACTGACAACAAAAATTCCAGTCCCGCATCAAAGTGGTATCGTTAATGGTGCCTTCACCAAGATCTATCAACGCCAACTAAAAATAAATGGAGACAAGAGTAACACTGACACCTCAAATACTCAAGCGGCCGTGGTAGAGGATAAGAATACCCAACCATCACTAAATCATGCCAGGCGTCCCGTTTTCTGTTCCAGCAAGAAATGTCTGAGCTCACTCAAAATCGCCATCGTCATCATCAACATTCCCGGATTTTGCTCTCCATTCAGCCATTTCCGCCACAGGTACACGTCCTCGGAGCCATCTAAGCGTAGCCTCAGTACCACGTTCGAGTACATTCCATCTAGGAACCCTGAAGCGATTGCCGCTGACTTCAAGGCGCTCGAAGGGCTGCAGGCCCAGCCGCGGGTTGAGATGTGCGATATCGTTATTTTCTGCCGCGACAATCTTTAATCCTGTAACCCAATCTGGGTCCAGGTCTTCCAGATGGTTATTGGAGACAAGTAACACCTCGAGGCTCGGGAACGCATCGCGTAATGCTGGAAGCGAAACGATACGGTTGAAAGAGATATCGAGCTTCTGCAAGTTGGGTGCTCGGAGGTGAGTGACCAGAGGAGCTAAGCTAGTGATGTGGTTGTAAGACAAATTGAGTTCCTTGAGTGCTGTCAAGTCAAGCTCCTCACACAAATAACCTTCGCCAACGAATTGGTTGTGGGATATATTCAAAGATGAAAGGGTATCGGCAAAGAAGGACAGCGAGTTTGGAAAATTGGTGAAGACGTTATGCTGAAGGCGAACCTCGCGAATAGTTTGGTCAACCACAAGCTTTGAGCAAACGACTGGGTGAAGTGATGAGGATTTGGTGTTGGCGCGGTCAAGTATTCCACCAGGCTTGATGGGCCATGTCTGACTACCTAGGGGATTTGACCTCTCTCTGACGGGCGATTGTGGGGCGGATGTTGGAGGCGTTGCAAAGTCGTCATTCTCCGAGCGGCTGTCCTCGTTGTCGTCATTGTCAGCAAGTGGTGCTTGCAGACTGTTCAGTGATTCATATGTGGACAGTGATCGTGAACCCGAAGGGTCGAAGCCGTTGCCAAACTGTTCAACCCCACCTTGAAACTCAGCCAATGGCTCAAGTCTCGCTGCCAAGCTGTCCTTGAGCTCGTCGGTTGTCATGGAGGTGAATTTCTTGTCCTTTAAGGGGTTGCCCACTATGCGCAACAGTGTCAAAGCATTCATGCGCGCAATCTCCGGGGGCACGACACGAATGTCATTGCTGGTGAAATCAGCCGATTTCAAATTTTCCAAACTAGCAAAGCCATCTGGAATGGCGGTTATACTGTTCTCGGCGGCATTGAGTGTATGAAGGTTTCCCCAGGAGCTGATGTCGGGCAAAGACTGCAGACGGTTCGATGAGATGGTAACTTGAAGCAACGAAGGCATTGAGATTGGGCCTAATGCAATCAAGCTCAGTTGGTTGCTAGACACATCAAGAGTTTGCAAGTTGGGTAGAACCTCAACCTCTACATCCAGTAATGTGCCAGCCAACCTGTTTTTGTGAGCAAAAAGTTCGATGAGGGGCAGTTTGGCAAGTGTTCCGAATGGTAAAGATTCGAGAGCGTTCTCATTGAGGTTTAGCACGCGAAGCCGGGTCAGTTTGTCAAAACTATCGGGCAAAGCAGTTATCTCATTGCCCTTCAAATCCAAGATCTCCAAGTTCTCCAAGGATGAAAGGCTGGAGTCTAGCTTGCCGTACAGGAGATTGCCACCTAGCTTCAAGTCGCGCAATGACCGGACTTGAGAAATAACCTCGAGACATCCATTGGCAAGTTTGTTTTGTGCCTAAAACGAGTTAACGAGGCACGAGCGGGCCCTGGTCAAGAACTGCGACTCACCAAGTTCAAAGAGGTGAGTTGTTGGAGCCGCCTCAAACCTAGAGGCACAGCTATTAGTGTATTGCCGTGTAAATCTAGAGCCTCCAGGCCCCCAAACTGGTGTCCTCTACTGTCCTCATCGTCGGCGAAATCCATAGGGTCAGTATCAGGGAATATTGAATCATCAAGCATTTCGAGCTCATTGTCGGCCGCGACGAACCGAGTGAGGTCCATGCTTTCTGCCCAGCTTGCGCCATGGCCTACAGACTCAAGATCATACATCTTGACGACCTCATCAGGTATCTGCTTCAGTCCCATGGCAGCAATGTTCAGTCTGCCGGTAGTTCGGCCCATGTCAATTCGAGACTGCATGACCCTCCGATTCGAGGTTTCAAAATGTGCCTGGTTGAAAGGATCATCTGAAAGACCAAAATCAAATGTGTTGTCAGTGGGAATTAGGGGCGACTTCAAAGGAGCAACTCCTACACCGCCAGAAACCTGTCGTAAAGCAGTTCGCTTAGCGGCTTTCGCTTTAGCAATCTGGTCGCGCAGCGCGGCAGAAGATTTGCGTGCGGTCGTGGTATTCTGGGCGTCTTCTGCAGAGTCAAACGTGAGTGCTGTAGAAGCGGTCGACGCACTGGAAAGATTGCGGTCCTCGGTCGATACATTTGTGTTGGTCGTCGCTGCAGAACGAACTGAAGCCAATGAGACTTTACGAGATTGTCGCGCTGGAAGGTCATGTGCCTTGGTGTCCGGTTGGCTCAACGCTGTGATTGATGGTTTCTTTACCAACCCATTGATCGAAGCTCTTGATCTGAGTGGGCGTGCAGTCGAGGGCTTTGCTCCAGATTTGGAGGGGGCAGCTTCTTCTACTTTCTTCTCAGGACTTGATGTGCGAGATGCTAATGCGGAGAGTGGCGGGTTTGAAGGGATTCTACTTGCTGCCGAGGCTGGCTTAAAGTTGGGGGGTTTGGCAATACCAGACACTCTTCTGGACGGCGTTCCTTGCACAGTAGATAATGGTGGCTTGTAAGAACTTGACGAGGCTCTGAAGTTTGTGTATGAGGCGTCTAATGGTTCCGAGCTGGAACCCGGCCGGCTCAGAGACTTGCCGTTGGAGCCATCGGACTGGTAGCTTGAGCCAGGTCTGGATCCAACGCTGGTAGCCCGGGAAGCTCTCGAAGATGGTCTCCTCGACGATGGGTCATGGTCAAAGAAGTTGGTGTTGCGCTTGGCTACAGGAGACGAGGGCAAATGGGAAAGTGTTTCCATGGTTCTCTCGGCGAGTGATGGCCTCGCTTTCCTAGCTGCAAGACGTATGCTCAGAGCGTCGAGTGTAAGGCCATCTTCGGTGGAACTGGCCAAGGGAGGCAAGACATCTTGTGCGTCTTCCTCATCAATGGCAGACTCGGCCTGAAAAGCGGACACGAATTGCCCGGATGGTCGTCTCCTAGGAACAAGGGGTTTCCTAAACTGTCCATCCTGGGCGTCCAAGGCGGCGCGCTCGCGGCTAGGCTCCCGAGATAAACTTGTATCCCTGGCACGACGAGAAGCAACAGGAGGGAGGTTTGTCCTCCCGGGTGTCCGAAGTGTGGACGGGGTTGTGGGATTGGATCCCCTAAGCTGTTCCCTGGAAGTAGGTGTCCTCAGCCGGGAGGTGTTGGCAGTAATGGGAGACCGCGGTTCGGCGGCTGGCTTTGATTGGGCGAAGCGACCTCGAAGACCTTCCGTGGAGGCGGCGGGGCGGAGGGTCGGTGCAGCAGCAGCAGCAGCAGCAGGAGCACGAGTAAGAGCAAGAGCTGGGATAGTTGAGGCTCGTGGCTGTGGCAGACGCGATGTAGGCCTAGGAAGAGCGCTGGACCTGTTTGGAGCGGCCGACGTGCTCAGACGTCTCTGATCCATGCCTGTGGTCTGCTTGGTATATACGTCTCGTCGTGTCGTCCCTTGACCACGGCTCATGCGTCGCGTTGCGGTTCGGTTCGGTTCGTGTCGTTCCGTTTCGTCAGTGGATGGCAACCAAGAGAAAGGGCCCGGCCTCACAGCTGCCCAAGAGGTTCCACAATGCCAATGCAGAAGCCCAAGGCCAAGCAGAAGCAGAAGCAGAAGCAAGTGCAGATGCAGATGATGCAGCAGCTACCTACAGCGCAGTCACAGAAGATGCACCACAATCGGTGATAATCAACTGGACCACGAAGCCCTTGGTAACATGAGTGCGATGATACGTGGCGCGAACGAGAGGGGGTACTGTATGGTAAGAACGACCTCGAGGTCTTTCTACTAGTATTACACTCTTACTTTTTATTTATTTACCAATCATAAGCACAGCAAGTTAAGGGGCGGACTGTTGGGTTGGGTTGGGTTTTGGATCTGGGCTGTAGCCACGCGAAAAAGAGCACCTTGCACTGTCCAGACGAGAGACCAACCGTAGACTAGATGCGGGCCGCTGCACGGATGCCCGGCGCACTACAGTGTGTGTGTATGTACCTACTGCGATCCGTATTTAGAGTAGAATTTAATTACCATGTAATCGGATTTCCCTTGAATTTAGTGCACTCGGCTGTCTTCTATGCCTGTCATGGTCCTGAAATTCCCTAGCCTGCCCAGATTTTGGGGCCACTCGCCAGTGCTGACCGTGCCCTAACCTACCTAGCCTTGGGTACGAATCTGTACGGATCCGTAGGCATGTCCTACTATGTGAGGTTAGTGGTGCCCCCACTGCAGAAGTTTCCTAGGTTAGGTACGGATCCGTAACCTAAACCAGAACAATAAACTGGAGTGGGTTCATCTAATAATGTGCAGCGGGTTTCGTCTGATCTCGAGCGCAATTTCGTTTTCATTTCCAGCCAGTCCTGAGTGAACTTTGTTCCAGTCGTGCGGTGGAACTTTATGTGACGAGCGGGACGAATGAGACAACCCGTTGTTGTTGAAGGCGAGCAATACACTCGGATTGTTAAACTTTACATGCATACGTATATATATACACACAAAATATCTCTGTATAGATATGTCTGAGCTTACAGCTTCGTGTGTACGGATCCGTACCTCGACGCAAGGTTGAAGCTATGCGTGATCGCCAAGATAAACTGTATCGAATATATTCCTTATCAGCAGGGTTGTACTTGTAACCATTAAAAACAGCAGCCATGTAACTTACACTCAACGGGTGGATCACCATCATCTGCGCACCATGTAATACTCACCACGAGCCCAACATGTTAGATAACTTATAAGCTGCGATGGCATGGCCTGCGGCGGTTCTTGTCTAGTTTCCTCCCAGCATCATACTTTGTACGCGCTTGAGCCAGGGTCTGGGGGACAAAAAGAAACATGCGCTACGCCACGACAAGTAAAGGCTGGCGACGGAAGCTGCCAACCTGCCAACCACAGGATTTAGCAACAGTTCTGCAGTCTGTGCGAAGTGCGACTGAAAGTGGACTCCCTGGGATGGGGATTTGGACTCCAGCCTTTTGTCCAGTTGGGTGCTGTGTCCATCGCTGAGTCGGAATCCACTCACCGCAAGGGTTTGTTGGATGACGGGGCAACCACCACATGACAAACAACCCACTTCACCTGTCCTCCCGTCGTCCCAACCTCATACTTGGTTTTGACCGTCGGAATCCCAAGTCACTGCTCAATTGACCGCAACAACTGCCCCGGCCCAGGTCAGCAACATCAGCTTTTCTCGTTCTCTCGAGTCTGGTCGTTGCCTTCACCCCCCACAAGCAAGTCTGACTGTCTGAGGTCATCGTGAGAGGGATTCGCACCTGGACTACTGCCGAGATACCCCACGATCCACGTTGCTTATCCGTTATCGACCACATTGGACCCATGAACCCATGAACCCATGAAGCCCACCCCAAGACCCCCAGCCTACTGATTTCCTGGGATTCCCAAAGGTCATGCGCTTCTGCTTTTATACCTTCTAAAAAGCCCAAACTGCAGATGCTGTCGACGTCAGCCAGGCGCCTTTCACGCTGAACTTTGTTTCTTCGGGTCTGGCCTTTTTCTCTTTCTTTGCAGCACAACTAGCTGCACACCAATCCCACGCCTACCGATGCGCATACGGCACGGATACCTAGTCTAAACCCAACTCACATACTCAAGGGCGTCTTCTTGCACCTCCCGCTTGACCTGGTTACATCACAGTACCGGCAGATTACTCCGTCAGCTTGTCGCAGCTGCCCACCTGCCACCCATCAGCCAGATCCTGCATCATGTCGGGCGGAACAGAGAGCAGTAACCTTAGGCCCAACGGTCTTGTTCACGACACACCGTCGACCCCACCAGAGCCAGAAGCTGGACGAGGACCCGAGGCTATGGCTATGCCTATGGCCGCAACTCTCTCGCAACAGTCCATACCCTCGACCGAGGCCCCTCCCTCGCCGCTTGATCCTGCCTCTTCCTTCAAGACAGAGCTCAACGATGATCGCCCTGTCTCTCCTCGCGTCATTCCCTCTTCTCTCACCCCACCGCCCTCCTCGCAGCCCTCGCAACCCAACGGTGCTGCAGGTCACCCTCTAGGCTACCTCGCTTCGCAACATAGGTCCTCGGCCAGTATGTTCTCTCCCCCAGCCACCACTGCTGCTCGCGTCTCCCGCCATGGACAGCAAGCCCCGGCCGAATATGCCCCACCTACCGGCGATCAGATCGCCGACGCATCTGCTGACGACCTGCGCCGCATGCTGCACGCTTCCTTGGGCGAGAATGCCCGTTTGAAGATGGAGACGGCCCACCATAAGCTTCAGTACAACTTGCTGAGCATGCAGGCCGATGAGGAGGCCAAAAGGGCTGTCGTCGAACACGACATGACCCGCCGCGAGGTAGAGGTCCTCCGTGTCGCTGAGAGCGCGCGCCAGGTCCGCAGAGAAGTCAGTGCAGCCGCCGAGAACACCCAAGTCAAGTATATTCAGCTCAAGGCTACCTACGATCTGGCCATGAACGACATGGATGGCTTGAGGAAGCGTGAGAAGAACTTCAAAAAGGTACTTCAACAGAAGGAGGACGAGATCATTGCCCTGACCGACGAGCGCTATCTGCTCCTAAGGCGAATCCGAGAAAACCGCGAGCATTTTCACATGCTTTGCAGCCCTGGCGGAGCCTTTCATGGCGCCCTGACACCCAAGCTGGCCCCTGCCGTGGCTACCCCCCAGCAACATCGCACCACGCCGAGACAGACCCCCAGGTCTCATCGCCGCGAGCATGACCACCACCAGATCGGCTTCCAAGTCCTTCTAGAGGCGCTCAGTCAAGACAACAACAGCGCCCCCTCCACACCCACGAGCGCTCACCGACCAGCCCCTCGCATGCTGCCCAAGCACACCCGCGGGGCCCAGTCCATGTCCTCTCTGCCAACAACCCCAATGGCAAAATCCCGAGGCGACCACGCCGCTTTGCTGCCTTCCATAGACCTCATACCTCGAACCGAGCCGCCTCATCGTTTTACTACGAATCGCTTCGTCCCCGATGCACAGCACACCCAACGAAAGAGCAGGGAGAGCACCATCTCGGCCGATGACAACAACGAGGAACTCGCTCGTGCTGCCCTGAACATGGCTGCCGTCAACCGCTCCATCATCTCGAACCCCTCCCAGAAATCTCTTTCTCACTCCCATCACCGGCAAGCCGAGGAGGATGTATATGAAAGCCAGGCGAGTCAAGCAGCTTCGGAAATGCTGCGCCGTGATCCTCGAGGGGGCTTCGACGAGGTGGCAAGCTCGGTTGACTCGCGAGATGCCACCCCAGCACCAGCCGAGAAGAGTGCCAAGCTCCAAGCCAAAATCTTTGCTCCGATCAACAAGGCAGCCCCGGCCGCGGAGAAGCGCAAGTACAACGGACAGGCAGAATATGCAGATAGCAGTCGCGAGCCTCTCCCAAGCCCAGCGAAGAAGATGAGGTTCGCACCAGGAAGTGCTGATGCTCACAGGGTCGGTCTAGGCATCCAGTACAGCTGATCAAGCTGTTTCTCCCGCGACGAATCGCACCGAGCAACACAAGTAAACGGGGCAACAGGCCTGCCAGAACAACGACAGCAATGCATGGGATCTTTGCATTCATAGTGCACAGAAGGAACGACGCTTTGTGACCAGGCGCTATTAACCACCATAACCAAGTTTGTATGCCCATCTGCTTGGAGCTTTGCTCATTTTCTCAAGTCCTCTCTGTCCAGAGATTTCTCGGTCTCAGTGAGATCTTTGGCAACCTCCCCAGAACATATCTCCCCTGGATGAGTTGACACAGGACGTGTAGTATAGGGAGGCAAGACGCAGGACGCGTCGGTTACGTAGCGAAAATAATGATTATGATTTGACTCTCACAGATGCAGGTTGGCCCAATGTCTCATGCACAATTTTTGTTTTCCACTTCTTGAGATGATATCACCACAGGATGTACGAAAGAGTAAAGCAGGCTGGCATGGGTTTCGATGCGAGACAATCGCCCATCCGTCCCAGCGTACTTGTTGTCTATTAACAATTGCCAACTATGAGAACCTTGAAGCGCTATGATGTTCTTGATCCAGACCCTCACCTCCTAACCAGAACACTTTATAGTATCCGTAAGTTGATTTGATACGCCTAGGTTGGGCACATCATTGAAGCTGTCTTCTTTATCTTGAGGGTCAAAGTCGGGTTGCACCAATTCTTTTGCCGGACCCCGTTGCCGATGTCGCGGAATTGGCATGTTCTATTGGACCGGAGCGGACCGGGAATGCGTTTATCCCCCACTTCCGGATGGCAATTGAGTCGGGAGGCTTGGGGATACTTCATCCCCATGGGGTATTCATTGCTCCGGTGTCTGAGGCTGGTCTTCTCTGTTTTCTTGACTTCTTTGTTGTTCCAGTCTTCGATTCGTCACAGGTGGTTCTTATTTTTTTGCTGGTCTCGCCGTACATCTGGTTGTGCTTCCCCCTTCAGTCCAGCGCCGCTGAACACACTCGAGCTTTGTGTAGTTGCCGACAGACCCTAGACGAAAAGCGCAGTACGCCACGAACCCGGCTTCCACGATGGCGCTCCCCAAAGGCCTCAGCAATGTTCTCGCCAAGGCACCCTCAGACATCGTCATACTTTCCGCCTTGCGGACGCCCGTCTGCCGTTCCTATCGGGGACAGCTGAAGGACGCCTACCCCGAAGAGCTCCTGTCCGTCGTCCTCCGAGCCACACTCGACGCGAACCCGAATCTCCCTCCCGAGGCCGTCTCCGATGTAGCCGTAGGCGTCGTCCTCTCCGAGCTCGGCGGCTCCAAGGCCGCGCGCATGGCCATGAACCACGTCGGGTTCCCCAACTCGACCTCGCTGTACACGGTCAACCGGGCCTGCTCGTCGTCGCTGCAGAGCGTCGCCCTGGTCGCCTCGCAGCTGCGGACGGGCATGATCGAGGGCGCGGGCATCGCCGCCGGCATGGAGAGCATGACGCGCAACTACGGCAGCCGCGCCATCCCCGTCGACCTGTGGCCCGAGCTCCGCGACAGCCCCAGCCAGCACGCCAGGGACTGCATCATGCCCATGGGCCTCACCTCCGAGAACGTCGCCGAGCGCTACGGCGTCGGCCGCAAGGAGCAGGACGAGTTCGCCGTCGAGTCCCACCGCCGCGCCGCCAGGGCCCAGCAGGACGGCGCCTTCGACCGGGAGATCGTCAGCGTCAGGACCCGCTTCCAGGAGGTCGACAAGCAGGGGAACAAGGTCGGCGAGGAGAAGACCATCGAGGTCACAAAGGACGACGGCATCCGGGCCAACGCGACCTACGAGGGCCTCGCCAAGCTCAAGCCCGCCTTCAAGCCCGACGGCGCCAGCACGGCCGGCAACTCGTCGCAGGTGAGCGACGGCGCGGCCGCGACGCTGCTGATGAAGCGAAGCACCGCCACGGAGCTGGGGTTGACCTCGAGCATCATCGGCAAGTTTGTCGGCGCCACGACCGTCGGCTGCAAGCCCGACGAGATGGGTATCGGCCCCGCGTTGGCGATTCCGAAGCTGCTGGGTCAGTTCGGCATCGAGAACAAGGACGTCGACCGCTGGGAGCTCAATGAGGCCTTCGCCAGCCAGGCCATCTACTCTGTCAGGGAACTGGGGCTCGAGAAGGATTGGGAGCAGGGCAAGGTCAACCCTGACGGCGGTGCCATCGCGCTGGGCCACCCTCTGGGTGCGACCGGCGCTAGGATGACGAGCACGTTGCTACACGGACTGGGCCGCACTGGTGGCGAGGTCGGTGTGGTCAGCATGTGTGTTGGCACTGGTATGGGCATGGCTGGTCTGTTCGTGCGAGAATAGAGGATTTCGCCAAGGGACAACTTGAGCGTATTGTACATAATGAGGAATCGGTAGATGTGCAACATATCGGTTACATAAAACTTGTATATTTGGGCATGAATTCGACAGTTCGCGGACCATGCTGTCTTGGAAACAGCTGCAATGTCTTTGGCGGTGCTTGGCGTGGTTTGAACAAAGAAACATGGTCATTTCGGCAGTTGCCGGATGCGGCCAATGTCTCACCGGTCCATCAATGAGACGATTCTGCTCCAGCGCTTCGACACTCCAGCGGACCAGGGCTACAGGCATTCTCCCGTTCTGATATGATGGCTCATGTTGTATTCGTGTCTGTCTCACCTGACAATTACGAGCGGCTGTTGCGGTGAGCGGCACACTGGCCTAAATGCACAGTCGAGACACAACTTACAGACGAAGCCACTACTTGTCCAGGACCCCTCAACTGGGGGTTTGACCATAAACCCTAGCTCTTCTTCAGTCGAAGGACATGTACCTGCTCATCCTCGCCGTCCCCCTGGCCTGGACTTTAGTGCTCACGATCCACCTCCTCAAGAACCTACGCACGCTTCTAGGTCTGCTACGATGGACACTGTGGACGTACCTATTCGTCTTCGCCATGCTCATGTCCGAGGTCGTGCGCGAGGGCCTCACGACCAACGGTGACCACGAGATCGTCCAGGACATGGGATTCTGGTGGTTCCTGTGGACCCTGCTCGTCGTCTTCGGTGCCCTGGTCCCCTGGGCGCTCTTGCCCGCGACGTTGCTGCCATTGGCTCTGTTCAGCCATCCCCCATTCCGTATGTTGATCAACTTTGGGCTGGCGAGACTAGGGTGGACCGGTATGATGTACAGTCCGGTCATCTGGGCAGCGAGCAAGCTGGGGAGTGCGGTATTGGGAGGCTGGAGGTCAAGCCTGGGTGTACTGAAGATGGGTGGATGGGTGGTAGCATTGCTGGAAAGGTTGAACTCTCCAGGCATGCCGATGCCGTTTGGTGAATATGGGTGGATTCATGCATGATTGGGGTGTAGTAGACGACAAATGGATGCTGAAGCCTCATTTATTGGGAACGTGGGATGAATGCAAGGTTACGACAGCAAGGAGGTGCTGATTCTAGTTTTCAAGATGGCCTTTAGTTGAGGATTCGAAGTCGTTTATCACAAATTGGAACATAGTAAAAACCTTGCTCGTCCCGATAGCATTCACTGGGGGTTGGTTCTATCCAACCCTTTCCCAATCCTCGATTTCTAGATTCTCTGTCTGTTTCACGTTGACAATCACTCCCTTTCCATACCACTCACCACCGGGTACAGGAAAGTTTCTGGAATTATGATCCATAACTTGACACAGTTAACAGTCTGTATGATTCCTGATACGGCTGAAGCACTCAGTGGATGCACTATTTGGGTAAACTCCAGGGTGCTCCTCATGGGCATTTCAAGAAGCTTGTTAGATGATATTGCACGAAGCTAATGGTACGCCTACCCTCATCTTGGATGGAATCACCGATCAAGCGGATCTAATCAAAATCTATGACAAATGACCTACAAAAGCTCGATAAAGTCAACAATCTCGCTTGATATCAGGGTGCCGCTCGACGTGCATGGCCGGTGAAGCTTTTACTCACATCATATCAAGATCGCATTGTAAAAATATTGCCTCATATGCCAGCGACCCCTTGTGAGACACATACTTGAGGTAGGATTCACTCAGGTATTCCATTGATTGCCACATCGTATCCTAATGATCTGATCTACACTAGGATAATCCATGGCTGCTTTCTAGCGCCGTGATGAAGTGCCTCTAGAAGACGCGTATGCATCGATACAAGCACCATCGATCCCGCGCATCATTCGCAAATTACTTCTTTCAGGTCAGGACGGAATGCGAACTAGCGATCTTCTTCTCAGCATCGCAATCCTTCTTCTGTTCTCCACCCGCTCCCCTGCCACGTAAAATCAGGTCTGCCACAGATTGCGCACTTCAAATTCATGGGCTCACGACATGAACATTTGCTCCTTTAGCGCTTCTACCGAGATCACCTACTATTGATGTATTAGCGTCAAGCAGGGAGTAAAGACGCGTACTATTCGAGAACTCCTATCGGTCTGTCTCGCCAAGACATTTATATATAAAGTTTCGGTTCACCTGTCTCTCGACGTGTATATGCATGCCACATATTATATGACTTTGCTGACCAGTTGTAGCCATTGAAACATTGTCACGTTATCAAGCTTCGAGAGTATTATATTCAAGGACCTGTTTGCCCCCACTAGGGGTGGAAGGGGGTGAATGAGGTGGTGGGGAGAGGTCGCTTCCAACTCCGTTGTGGTCTCTGTGTTAAGGCTAAGGAACTTCGAGCAAGTCGGCACATCCGCCGTTCACGATAGCGTCTGTCGGTGAAGTTCCCTGCATATGGCCATGAAGCGGGATGTTGGCAGGAGTTTGCGAGGCCCACTCCTGAGACATCCAGGCTAACCAGTTCTGAGCTTCGCTTGGTCACCCTTACATGCCATTTTTTGTATGTACATGAGGTTTCTGCACATTGAACGAAGCAAGGCTAATCAGAGCTGTTGAAGACTCCCTGGCCTGTGAATGCAGAGTGAATGCAACAGCATGGGGTGGTGATTCACTGGCATCTAATGGAATCCGGTGAGTTTTTGGGGGGCCACTAGGGGGGCAGGCACATTTCGTATAAATGTACCTGTTGTTCGAATCCACGAAGGAAAAATAAAGTACATGTCAGCACTTGACATGCACCCCATGGCAAGTCCACGAGTAACTGACTGTGCCGTTGACTTTGAGTGCTTACTGCAGCTTACCGATATGTTCTCAGAACTTAAATGTAGTGGCAAGATGACCATCTCCGAAAATCGACCATCAAAGTGGAGGCCCAGAGTCATACACATCGCCGTACTCGAATGCGAGCAAATGCCGGAGAGCATCGCCCAGTCTCAGGGTGACTTCACGGACATCTTCGATCGATGGCTCCAGTCAGGCGTGGCGCGACTGAACGCAAAGAAACCCGCTCGAAGACGAATAGCAATGAAAATGAGTAGATGGAAACCGTTGGAAGGGAAATATCCCAGCGAAACATCTGGAATTGATGCTTTCATCATTACCGGCTCTGTATGCAGTGTATATGACGACTTCCCCTGGATCAGGACACTGATGCAGTACATCAGATGTATGTATTATTCAAAAGAAACGAAAGACAAGCTGCTATAGAATATGAACGAAGCTGACGAAATTTTAAGACATCTATGATACCCAACCGCACATCAAGTTCTTTGGTAGCTGCTTCGGTCATCAAATACTCGCTCAAAGCTTGCTCGCCGAGCATGGAGTAAGGGTTGAGAAATCCAAGTACGGATGGGAGAACGGGGTTCACGATGTCACACATTCCGCACAATTCACAGCCTACTTCCCTTTGCTACGAGAAGAGGCGATGCGATATCAATTCGTGCATCAAGACGAGGTTGTTGCCGATTATCTGCCCTACGGTTGGCTATCAATTGGGTACTCCGATATGTGCGCAATCCAGGGACTATTCCAGCCTGGGCGAGTATTGACTTATCAGGGTCACCCAGAGTTTGATCGCGATATCTTGTACTACTTCATGGACATGCTAGACAGGAGTGGAGCGATTGATGACGTTGAATACGCAACGTCATTAAAGCTCATTGATCAGGACACGACGAGTGGATTGGCAGCCGAAGTGGTTTTAAAGTTTCTGGAAATGTGATACCGAATGGTAATAGGAACAAAGGTGCAGTCGTTTGCGTTTAACGACTGGTCTCTAAGACATCCCAATTCGGTTTCGGGTGGTCTCGGTGGTGAGACAAAGAAGTATACATTCCGCAATGAATCACAAGAGCTTATAAAATCTGATAGCCTGTTTCGCAGCCATTAATCATCACACTAAAGCACAATTGAAGCCTAAAGTCATCTTCTCCTTCAATATATTGATTCATCTCGATACATCGTAGGCTATCACTGATTAAAATCGTTCGTACCTCTCACTATCGATACCATGTCGACACTAGCTCGGAACAGCCGCCCAGCACAACAGCCCACTACGCCTCCGGGCCGTCGGAGATTTGTTAGAAATGGAAGTACTGGTAGTAATGGGAGCAATATAAAGCAAAGGCATGATACAGATACAAGAGTCACCGTCAACACACCGGCGTCACCACCACCACTACCAACGGCAATGGGCGAGGCTTGGCATTGGATACAAAAGTCGATCGTAGGTCCTGGTACAGACTTGGGCAGATTGGAGTTAGCCCATCAGTTACATGTACTCAAGAGAGTATATGATAGACAGCCCCGTCACTTTGGGCATTTTGTCCTGAAGCTCATCAGCACCGTTGAGTGGATACCCAGATACCTCTTCGATGCGTGTTGTGAATTGCTCAAAGTTTCCACCACGTTTGTTATTCAGTTGCTCGACTTGCTCCTATCGTCGCTTTTCTGCGGTCTGTTTGGGTTCCCCTGGGCTTCGACCCTATTCTACGGGCTTCTTGTCACGTTCCCTAGAGTTCCATACACTTTTTGGCAAACAGGGAACTTCAAAGGCGCTGCAGTTTGTACCTTGCTTTACACTACATGGGCAGCTTGGATGATTCATGTATATATAAACAAGCCAGAAAGGTGGTTAGGCTACGCTCGCAGCTGGCTCATAACCCCTGGAGAGATTTTGGTCGGGCCCTACTTATGGCTGTTTCTTGCAGCTGGGACTATGTTGTGGTTTGAGTATCAACCAATCACTGACCCTCTGTTTCTGTCGCCTCACTTGGTGACGGCCGTCCAGTGGTGATATTCGAAAATGGCATAAAGGATCCACGAGAGTCTATAATTAGTGTGCCGGTCGACTAGTGGTTCTGTTGGAAGCAATATCCTTAGTTTAGTAAAAGTTTCTCTATTGGAATATCACACTGCATACCATCATTGAAAGTGTTCTCGTGATCAAATGACGAGCTTTGCAGACCACATTGTCTGTAATATCTTCAATGCATCTTCGTCATCGCGCCTTTGATTCCCATGGTCGGCAGCGGCCAGTTCAAAAGCGCCAATCTCCCGCAAGTCGTGCCATTGATTGATGAATCCAGCGATTGACATTGAGGGCTCAGGCCTCGGAGGCCGAATTCGCCGATCAAGAAAATGCCAGGATAGTTGCACAATCCTATTCTCATCCATGGGCAGGTGGCTATCTTGGTCGTAGATTTCTTTAAGATAGTTTGTCCATTCCAGAAGACTACGGTTGTTGTTCATGTCCTTGACGGTGTACCAGCAAGTTTCGTCTCCCCTCTGCGCATTTCTGTCAATTTCCTGAGCAATCCACTTCTTGACGAAGCTCTCCCCGTTTAGCTGAAAGGAGGTGGATTGCCCGTCGGCATCCCTGTTCTCCCGACCCAGTCTTCGGAACTCTCGATCAAGGTGATGCAAGCGACCCCAAACATCACTACTTAGGCACTCTATATCCCTGATGAGCTGATGGTTACATGAGCCTGCATCTTCCCTTGAGTACTGCGCATTCTCTATTGTTGCGTCTAATGTCTTTCTGACGTGAATCTTGGAAACTTTGTTGGTGCGTACCTCTAGCTTGAGTAGGTACTGACTTATCTGGGTGAGATTTTGGTGTGTCGATACCAGGTCGTGCCTAGCGGAGTTGTCCTTTGTTTTGGGTGTCGGTTGCTGCGGTCGCTGCGCCGGGTTGTAGATGGCGTTACGTTCAGAAGCCGAGCTTGCGGCATCCTCGATGTCTATGCGCTCTTCGTTGTTGCAATGATGAACAGCCTCTATGCGATCCACAACCGCCTCCACGTGATCAACCTCACGCTTAAATTTCGTGGCCAATTTTTCTATGTAATGCATCGGATATGGCATATTTTCTCGTCATGAAAACCGTTGGTATCAAAGGAATTGGCCCGATTTTATTGATTCAACGTCAGTCTGACAGTCACCACAAGACATATGAAATGTAGTCAGAACAAAGGAAATGCCAATTCTTGTTGCAACAACGATCTGTCACTTGCGCGTTGGTCATAATGCCATCCATGACTCTCAGTGGAATGCATGCCTTTGTCTGCCTGTTACAACAACTCATGTCGCCCACATTCCAGTTAAATTCGTCACCATGATCGAGGATACTCGCGGGCATTGCGCTGCAGCACCGATAATATACCATGGCCGTCCCAAAGGCACCACATGTAGGTCTAAATGGAACTGGCTTCCACAATGACACCTTCTAGATTAGCCAGGAGCTACAAGTTGACATAGTACATAGACTTATTCGAACGTTGCCTGCGTGCAGATGCGGCCCGTGGAAGAGGGGACTTGTCATGAAAAGGAACCGTTTTCAGAGCAACGATAACAAGTCGACTACCTTTCGTGAATCAATATTCTCAATGGCGTTGAGAATCGCATTTTGCGTCTCTCCGTCATAGCATGGTTCCGTCATGCCCACAAACTTGCCATGAATGCGATCCTTGGAAAACGGATGCTCGTCCTCGCCTAATGGATGCACTATTGTTTTTTCGCGCGTGGTGCCATCTTGGAAGCTGAATTTGATTCGAGCTTCGAGGTCGAAGACTTCCTTGTTGATTACCACCTTGACCTTTTTACACCAGCCCAGTACTTCGGGGTCCTCCAGTTTCTCGTACATTCTCCAGCCAATATCCATTCCATAAAGCCAAGCAATAGCAACCTGGTAGTACATACTAAATTGTGCATCAACAATGGTCTTGGGCTGTAGCTTGTTTGGGTCCTCGGTGCCGACAATTGGAAAGCAGCCAGGAGATATCTCTACCAGGATGTTGTTGACAGATTTACGGTTCGAATCGGTGGCTACCCCAGCGACAATCTCAATGGCCGAATGGGTCATGCGACAGGCTGGGAATGGTTTCATAGCTGTAGAGGCAAATATCCACTCCGTCCCGAGGCCCTCGATTAAACGTTCGAGGGTCGAGGTAGTCGAATAAGAGTGCAGAACACCATATCTTCCTTCGATTGGCCTTGTGGCGCCAAGCACATCAGCCTCGGCCAGTGCAACCACGAGAAATGCGTCATGAACAGCAAATCCGGGATGAAGGCGCTTATTCCAGGAGCCATTGTCAAGAAACTGCATTGAACCGGCTGCTTTGGAAAGCGCCAGACCGAAAGCGTTCTCGATCTGTGGTGCTGAGAGCCCCTTGATCTTCGAGATGGCAGCCACAGCTCCGAAGATGCCAGCAATCGCTGTATTGTGGAATCCTCGGGTATAGCCGCCGTAATTCAGAGCACGCCCAATTCGTGTGGTGATTTCGTAGCCCACTGCTGTACCAAGTAAAAACGTCTTCCCATCACACTGAGACGCTTCAGCCTGCGCCAATGCGGCGGGGATCGAGGTTGCCCCCGGGTGCAGAATAGAAGCAGCGTGCGTGTCGTCGAAGTCAAAACTGTGGGAGAAAGCTGCGTTCAGGAAAGCGGCATATTGCGGGGAGAAACGTTTCCCTTTGGTATAAACAGTGCACTGGCCAGAGTCTCCGTGCAGGGCAAAGACAGCCTTTAGGAACGGCTCAGTGGACTCGGCAATGGCAGCGGCGCCAGCGGATATTCCGACATGATCGATAATAAGATCTTTCAACTTGATTATGTGCTTTTCGTGAAGCATCTCATATTTCGCATTTGCCACGAAGCTACAAAGCTCCTTGGTGATGCCATCGGCTGCTTGAGTGGCGTTTGTCCCACTGGCTATACCATCACCAGTTGCTGCCTCCATTTTGGGAGTAAGAATTATCACAGGTTTCTCACCCGACCCAGGAGCTGTTTCTCAATGGTTGAACAGTGTCCCATAATTGGAAGACCCAATGTATAAATATAATTTGCTGGATATAATACCCGGTATGTATACCCCTCTCCACAAGCTCGGATAGACGTTAACCCCACGTTCTCCGCATCTGTCCACATGCAGAAGAAGACTAAATAACAATGCCTAGGCAACCTATTCTGATGGACGATAATCAGTCTAGATTTGGAAAGGCCATTGCCAGATCCCGGTGGTGCAGAAAGGATCGCCCATTGTGTTGACCGGTTTGACCTCATAGGACAATCACACCAAGAATTTGCAGGAAGAGCGAAGAGGCGAGGATTACAAGCTGTCGGAAAGTACCTACTATAACGAATCCAACGTTGAGGAGATTTGAGTAACTTGTTAAGTGGCTACCGCATTAGTTATGTACTAACCTTGGACTAACCTAAGGTTACTGTCTGGCTGTATGAACGGAGTACAGACCACGATTATAGTGCATTAGCGCGCCTTTTTACCCCAGATTGGTGGCCTACCAAGCACTTCCTCCCCTATCAAATAAGTGCGGTCGCTGGTGAAGCTGTCCATGCTGAGCAAGACCACCGCTCTCTATCATGTTATTCATGAGAAATTCGGATGGAGGAAGAAGCAATAGAGCGAAAGACTGCGTCCGAGGATCACTGACTCAGCCGCCGTGAGAATCAGTGAATGGATGTGGGGCCTGCGTCATTGGCATGACGAAGAGCTCCTACGTCATAGGCTTCATGTTGTTCTTAACAGACAACATCAACATCGCAGCTGAAGCTTAAAAGTTACCTACACCTTACAACCAGAGTCAAATCACCACATTACCGAACCCCAAGTCAAGACACGTTCAAGCATATAAATAAGTCATAAGCACAATGGCCGAGGTCGCAGCAGGCGCAATAGCGGCTGAACAAGTCTTATCAACTACAATTGAAGCCGGCGCCGCAAGTTACGCTGTCGGAAAGCCTTCCAATGGTCTGAAAGTTACGCTGAATCAGCTCGCGACTGCTGCTGCGGATGGCACAAGGTAGGTTCTCAGTGACAGCTGCAAGAATGAGGATCTGAATTGATTATCATCAGTAATTCACTAGTGAGGTCGAACCACACCCTCACAGTTGTAGGCGACAGAGCCTACATATTTGGTGGCCAGACGGATTCGGGGAAGATCGCGACCAACGACATCCACTCATTCGCTCTGCCTACAGCAGATGAACCTCAGTCTGACTATCACCTTACTCCCGCTATCTCGTTCGAAACGGGCACCCAGGTTCCAGCCCCTCGGACTGGCCACTCGGCTTGCGCACTGGGTGGTCGGCTTGTCGTGTTTGGTGGCCTGGACGAGTCCGGAAAGGTCCTGCAGGAAGAGACCATCTGGCTTTACGACCCTCAGAAATCTGCTTGGAAAGCTGCTTCGCCTGCGTCTTCAACGACGACACCCTCACGCCGAAGCAAGGCCAAGATCTTCCCTCACGGTGAGAACCTCTTGCTCTATGGAGGCAACGACGAGGTTGGCACCTCTCTTACAGATGTGTGGGAGTTTGACTTTTCAAGTCAAACCTGGGCCAGACTGCCCAATGCACCAGTCTCAACTACTAGCGCAGCGTTCGCTGAGGGCTCCCTGTATCTGATCGCTGCTACTGATGGGCTGAGCAGCGTTCTTTACCACCTCGACATCGCCAGCCAGAGCTCAGAACAGAGCGATGAGCCGCCCACCTGGGTTACAACTCAGTTTCCCACGAACCCGCTAGTTCCAGGGCCTAGACCTCGCGAGAACGGTGGTTTACTTCATGTTACAACTGGCTTTGGACGTAGCTACCTGCTGTACTTTCTTGGCGACCGCCAACCCGGCAGCTTATCTGAAACATCAACAGGGCCACCACTGCAATGGAGCGACATCTGGTCTCTTCAACTCCCCGCAAGTCAGCTCAGCGTTCAACGCACCACCACGATTTCCGAAGCAATCAAACCCGCCAAGATCAAGGACGCCATCCGATCCAGACTTGGTTATGATACTGGCACATTTAGCTGGGCCGAAGCTGAGGTGGCGCCTCCGGGAGACTTGCCGGAGCCTGAAGGCAAAGTCCATCCGGGGCCACGAAGTTCCTTTGGTTGCGATGTCCTCGCCAACAAACGTGACGTGGTACTCTGGGGCGGGATCAATGCGAAGGGGGAGCGCGAAGGTGATGGCTGGATTATTCACCTCCAGTGAGCTAACCAGACATAAGAAGATAGGCTTGGCGTTGGCGGAGATGTAGAGAAAAGTACAGTGATATGGCATAATCATTTTATTAGAGTGAATCGTGAAGATAGCTGAATTTTAATCTCATTCATGGCCACAATTTGTCTCCTGCTCAAGTATTTGCTACATATGTACAGCGAGGCTTCTGGATACAGTGTTGAACTCATCCTGAAGTGGTCAGTAGTTCTTTTTCTTTTTCTTTTCTCTTCTCCTTTTCTTAATTGTCTGTTGCTTCGTCATTCCGTTTCCTTTACTCCCGTCATTGGATATATCACGGCTCTGTTACCGCATAATGCTGATTTAAGGCTCACCCCAGATCTCGTCGGCAACCTGCCTCACAAGTGCCAACTTCTTCTTTTCGTCATCGAAGCTCAGAGGGTATCCGCTTTCGTGTGTCGAGAAACCGCATTGAGGGCTGAGACAGATTCGCTTCAATGCCTCCTCCTTTGTCTCGCCGCTGCCCTCGGCCACGAACTCAGCAGCCTTGTAGATGCGCTGCTTCGTGGCCTCCTTGTCTTCCAGCTCGCGCAACTTCGTGCTGATGACACCAACAACGACATTCTTGTTCTTAGGTAGATACTTGAGCGGCTCGAAACCACCGGCACGCTCAGTATCGTACTCCAAGTAGAAGGTGTTGACATTTAGATTCTCGAAGAGCTTCTTTGCGATGATGTCGTAAGCCCCCTCGGCGAAGTGGCGACCGCCAATGAAGTTTCCGCGGCACAGATGTATGCCAGTGTGGAAGTCCTCTGGCAGCTTGCTGATAGAGTCGTTGTACAGCTTGATGTAAGCATCCAGGAGATCCTCAACAGAGGTGGTGTTGTCCTTGTCTTCTTCCCATCCTTGACGGAACTTTTGAGAGCAGAAGTCTGTGATTCAAGTCAGCTAGGAAGGTTCAAAGAAAAACAATCAACCGAGGTGTTTACTTACAAGCCATGCCGGGGTCGTCGAACTGGACGTTACGTAGGCCAGCCTCGTAGAGCATTTCAAGCTCAGCCTGGTAGACCTTGGCGACATCTGCAAAGTACTCGGTGTCATTTGCATAAGCCTCAGGGGTGTAGGCCTTGCCCTGCTTGTATCTCATGTGAAACCATGCCGGGGTAATCATGGTGAGCTTGATGTCCTTCCATTCACTCTCCGGCAGCGCAGCCTGGACGAGTTTCAACTCATGTAGGTTGGACTTGGACTTTTGAGGGCTGTGGGAGAGCTTCTTTCCCGCAATGACGGAGTCACCTGGCATAACCTTTCTGTCTTTCTCGATCAGACTCACGACATCGGGGTGATACAGTCTGAACATAGAAGCTTCAGCTTCTTGGAGTACCTCGGTACCCTCGAACTCATCCCACTTATTTAGAGTTAGCCCAAGTCCCATGCGCGTTTTCGACATCGTTTCAAGAAACACTACTGCAGATACAAAAAGACAAGCAGTCAACTCAAATGACATACCATTAAACCCCAAAATCGGGTACGGTTATACTCGCCACTATTAACAGCCTTGAAACCCAAGTCGCGCTGCAACTTGACAACATCACTGACAGCGGCCTTCTCGACTGGCGGCAAACCGGCCTCTTCCTCAGAAATGCCCTTGTCGCGGATTGTAGCCCGCACTTCCAAGAGGTTTTCGGGACGCAGCAGCGAGCCCATGTGCTCCGCACGGAACGGCGGGGCACTGTGCAGCTTCGAGGCCATCTTTAGTGCTGTATACGGACCAATGGGTCTTAGTGCTTGTGTATAGTGTACAGGTAGCAAAAAGGGCAATGCAAGAAAAACCTTGATGGTCACCCTACGGTCTATACAGCGATTCTTTGTGTTCGAGGAGAAATTCCTTACACCCCCGCGCGATGCGCTCGCAGCAGATCCCTTGAGTTTTGTCAAGTTTGTGAAGCGGGGAATATTGCCTAGTTCTTAAAGGTCCCGCTGACTATGAACGTATTAACCGCCATTAATATCCGATGACGGTGGGGTTAGCGTGTGTAGTGGACTGGACATTTCTCTACTCTACAATTGCCGGCTGGCTCCGAACTTGTCAGCTTAATATTGATTTGTTGTTTGTTCTTTCTAACAGATCCTGTGTGACGAGTTGAGAGCGGACTGGTGGGTGTATTGGCGGACAATCGGCAGGATTGGTGGCTAATATAATGTGGAACATGATAGCCGCGACCTTGTCATTAGTGATGTAGTCTCGAGTTCAGCGTCCGTACTGTGATCATCTATCGAGAAGGCATTATGCTGTGGTCGATGACAGCTACTGGTAAGACTCTCCTGATGAGACTCAAATGCTTTAAGAACACGATACCAGCCAAAATTCCGCAACCTAATGGGGTCCCACAAACCTGGATACATGGTTCCAGCATGGCTAAGTAGAAGATAATTTGATGTTTGGAAACTGAAGGAATCAGCTGTCTTTGCAACGACTTGAATAATCCAAACGCGATTTTGAAGCATCCACCAGATCATGTCAGCCTGACTTTCTGCGCCTGTTCATGCTATATGTGTTTAACCGGAGCTTGGCACTTCGAGTGTGCAAGGGCTTACTTTGTAGTTACATTAGAAGTTCTGCGTGTAAGAATGAACCATGCACACCTCCGAATACCCCACCCAGTCCTATAGATGTCGACAATTTTCGCCTACTCCGCGAAAGTGGCCTTTATCCAAACGGCGCCATACGGACTATGATTATAGCATTTGGGGGGGGGGGGGGGGGGGGGGGGGGGGGGGGGGGCACTGTTTCCTTGGCGAGAGCCGCTTCCGGATCTAGATCCTTTCGCTCAAGGCCGTACCAGCCCGCAAGTTGTGGCCAAAAGGCTTCGCGTGTGACTTTACTGTTTCGTAATTGTTGAATTGTTCATAGTGTACAAAAATTCAAGAGAACCCGCTCCTCCGTGGGGGTTGTCTTGCATGAGCATACGGCACTTGTTTGGGAAGAAACTATCTTTTGACAAGGAAAAGCTTTCGTCAGTGCTTTGAACTGCTTACATTTGAAATTTTGTTTCATAACCAGACGCGTGTCTAGCGGGTAAGTTGCGTCATGCCTTCTACTTATGTCATTAGGCCGCATTATATTCATTAAGAATAATTGCAGGGACTTTTGGCTGTGCACATCTAACTACACATGATCACCAGAAAGCCACGTGGGTTTATAGACTATATCACGCTGAACCTTGTCTATTCATATGATATGCCGTTGTCCGGCTGGTTGCTCTATATATTATGGTTATAATGTTACAGAGTTACTTGTCATGAAATAGTAGTGCTGAGGTTTGGTAAAGCGCCGATTGGAAAAGCATAGTCGCAATAAACTCATATGCAGTGTAATAATAATCACTGTATGCCATAATTTCTTTGATTTGTACAGAACCTAGGTAAGTGAGGTGAGGTCCCCTGCGATCATAAGTTTCCTGTGGTTCACCAAGACATGCAGTTAATAATGGTCCTTCTGTAAGACGTAGTGCCTGTACGACGTAGTGCCTGTAAGACGGACCAATTCAGCGCCTAGCACCATAGCAAGCCCTCAAAAGCCCCAGCCCAGAATTTCTCTTTCTGGAAAGCATTCCACCATTACAACTCATATTTACAAACTTGGTGCCTTGATCCCCTATCCCCAACGCGCCTTAACAGGAAATGTATGCAGGAAATGAAGCGCTTGTTGCGAATGGTGCTGCCACGATGAAGAGCGGATCTCCGCAAGCATCATCCAAGGCTACAACTGCTCTTCTTTGGGCGGTGTTGCCAGGCTTGGGTCTCACTTTCTTGTTCACTTCATCGTTGAAAGCTGCGTTTTTGCCTGTCCTTCTGGCACCTACGTTCTGCCTCTTTTGGGTGAATCAGTCTTTTCCTGTAACGAAGCGGGCAGATCTTAAAACACTCATTTGGACTTATGTCTTGACTGGAACTATCGGCACAACTCTTGTCGTTGTATTTCAGTCTTTGCTTTCCTATGGCTTCGCCGTCGTCATTTTTGGCTCCGACTTGGATACATATTTCAAAGAGTTCGGAAAAAGTGAGAAAATTTTAATGGAGGCAGATGAAGAAACTTTGTCCAGGAGGCGAGAAATGGCCGGCCGGTGGGGATATTGGCTTTACTTGGTCTTTCTGGCTTTCATCACGGCAGGGCTTATCGAGGAGTACATGAAGTATTGTGCGTTGAACTTGGCACGCCGCTATGGTCGAGTCACGAAGCAACGAGACTTCCTCACAGTGGCAGTAGCGGCTGCTTTGGGTTTCAGCACGATTGAAAACATTGGCTTTGTGTATGCTGCCGTCCGAGAGAAGCAGCCTACAAATGAGCTTTTCTTAACAGTTGCTGAACGTGTGGTTGTTGGTTCTACCGGTCACTCTCTGCCAGCCCTGCTGGTCGGTATCAATGCCGTTCAGGAAAACTATCACAATCAGCCGACGAGTTTGTTTGTTGTAATTCGAGATGCCGTGTTATTTCATGGCTCAGCGGATTTTATGTTATTCGCAATCAGTGCCATCGACGGGAACGTTGGATGGGTTCACCCTCGAGGGTCTTTAATGTACCTGATGTTCGCGCTGGTCATCATAATGCAGTCAACATTTGGGTGTTATGTACGACAGAAGCTAAAGCGGTCTTCATGACTTGTCTCTGGGTTGTATGGACAATGGCTGGTGGCATTGAAGGCCGAGCATAGTTAGCGGCCACCACGTTGAATCTTGTAATAGAGCGGCTCCACTGTACTCTTTACGCATATGGACAATGCGTTCTCAAGACAATTTCGACTGGACCGAGAGCAAAAGGCGGCAGTGCGAGTTTTGGACGTTGTGAAAATAGAATTGGTGGTTTGGAAAATGGACGAGTGCTCATGAGAAGGCGTGGTTGTTGGTTTAGAAGACGACCAGTTCATCGTAGCAAGGCGGACATGATGAATATCGACGACAACAAGAGTATTTCTCAAAAGGCTGAGGTTTGTCCAAACTATATTACATATGGATCCATTTGTGGGGGCACGCTAGGTTTGCCTCAGGCGGGAGAAGGACGTTGGGAATGCTGCTCTGGTAGCCAGGCAGGTAAATGCGTTTGATCTGTCTATAGCACTGGCATTCCAACTCTCATGGTATCGCTGCATATAATATATTCGGTACTAAGTTTATGTAAGTGCAGACGTAGCGCCTGGATGAATACCTCAAAGAAAAAAGCACCTTGATGGCCGAATACCACATTTCTGGCCGCTTGGCGAAACTGGGCCAATCAGTGTGCATTCAATTAAATGACACTGCTTCTCCCCACGCTTGGCATTTCCCACGGGATATGCAACCACTTGATAATCGAATTTGACGGAGTGTTATCATGTCTCACACCTTTTGGCTTACCAAGATCTCAAGGGTTACTTGCAAGCCCTTCGATCTCACTGCGACGCCAGTAGCGCCCTCGCGGTCGACTTGAAGATGGACACCGACTGTCGCTCCAAGAGTACGACAATAGTGCAGCGCGTCAGAGTGTTCATGCTTGGGGATGAAGCCCAAAGCAAAGAAGAACGATGGCTTGTTCAGAAGCTCGGTTGGTGAAAATCTGGATTCAACTTCAGTAGACTGTCGCTGATGCCCACAGATTTCTTCATCTTGGTATATTGCTGTTTGAGCTACTTCTTCAACTACCTTGACAGAGCTGCTTTTGCAAATGCTTACGTTGCGGGGTTAAAGGAAGACATCCATCTAGAAGGCAGCAACTACAATGTGGTGCTGGCGATGTTCACGGCTGGCTCCGTGATTGGACAAATACCACACGGGGTTATTATCCAAAAGATCGCGCCCCGAATATGGCTGCCATCTATGGTGCTGGTCTGGGCCGGGTTGACCATGTGTACTGCGGCATGCACAACCTACGCCCAGTTATGTGTTGTACGTTTCCTGCAGGGGCTTGCTGAAGCTAGCACATATAGTGGAACAATTTACATTATTGGGTCTTGGTATAAGCCCCGGGAGATAGCCAAGCGTACTGCCATCTTCACAGCATCTGGTCAGGCCGGCTCCATGTTCGCAGGCATCATGATGACAGCCATCTATAATGGGATGGGGGGATATTCCCTGAAAGGTTGGCAGTGGGTGTTCCTCATCAATGGGATCATCACGTGTCCCATCGCGGTCATGGGCTTTTTCTACTTCCCAGATACCCCAGAGCTTACTCGAGCGCCGTGGCTGAACAAATCGGAGCGCCAACTTGCTCTACTACGACTCCCACCCAAGAAGGCCGATGGACACGACATCAGCCCCTGGTCTTTGGCAGCGCGAACGCTCTCCTCGCCAGCGCTGTACATCCTGTGTCTCTTCGCGGTCGTCACAGGAGCTTTGGAAGCATTCGTTGTGCAGAACCTGTTCCTTCTCTGGCTGAAGTATCATCAGGATCATTTCAGCCAAACTCAGATCAACACGAATCCTCTCGGAATACAAGCAGTAGGTATCGTGTCGAATTTCCTGGCTGCGGTCCATATCGATGCGACAGGACGGAGAGTTCCCATGGGGATTGTTGTTTGTGTTTTTCAACTGACATCGGCTGTCATACTCTTGATACCCAGTGCCCCCTTCGCAGCAACCTTTTTCGCCTACTACTTATCCGGAACTTCCTATATGGTAAACCCAGTTTCTTTCGGCTGGGCAAACATCATCTGCCAGCGCGGGGGAGACGACGCAGTCCGGGCAATCATCCTTTACTGCATGAATGCGGCCTCCACATGCTTGTACACCTTTTGGGGAATTGCTCTTTATCCAGCTTCGGACGCACCATACTGGAAAAGAGGCTCGATCGCCATGATCGTTGTGGTATTTGCCATGCTGGTAATGGTTTGGGTTGTACACAGACTGGACGAGAAGACTCTCGCTCAGTACCCGGATACAGCTGTTCGTGACCTCCCCGAGGATTCGATCGGAGACGACACAATACTTGAGACAAGGTCAGACGATGAACTCGATGATCCCATAGGACCACACCAAAGATTACTGATGGATTTTCCGGATTATAGGCACACCGAGGATCCGACACGAAAGAGGCGACATGCGTCCCAGGCGGATTTATGAGAAAGCTCCATTGATGGATGGAAGTCATACATGACACACGACAGGACCTCTGATGCAGGCCTATATAGTTGAAAGCGCATAACTATGTAATATGAGAAAGAAAGCAGCGTCTACATCTCGCGATAGTTGGATGCATAGTTCAAGGATCAACATTCCTAGCAGGAGTATCTCCACTCTCACAACGCAGATGCTCGAGATCGAGAGTTTGTACGTGGTGTTGATTTGGTATATGCAGTCAATCTTAGGGCTCTTTAGAACCGGCTGCGCGACATCTCTGTCGACGACGCACTGATATGCGTGTATCGACGGGATGATGTGCATACATGGACCAAAGTAAATACCGGCGACACTTAGTCGAAAGTGGGCTCGAGACTAAAATTGTTAGTATTGCGTTATCTTGCTGGCTAGATTTGAAAGGGCACCAGCTGATAGTAGTGTTGGAAAAACCCACATAGGATATGTCAGTAGATGACTGTGTGGTCGACCCTGACATCAATTGGGTAACTGACTTCGGCGGCTGGCCTTGACGCGTGGCAAGATGGTGGAAGGGTCTATAGATCGAAAGTCGAAATCAAACTCTTTGTTTTTTCGAGTATTCGATTTCGTCGGCCCCTATATTTTGTGGACAAGGATGATTCAACAATCGGGATTTGTTCGTATAAGCAAGGAGGTTTTGGGGATATACTCCAGTATGGGGAGCAACTTACGACTAGCCCAGTCGTTTACCTTATCATCTTCGCGAATCACTAACCCGCCGCTTTGGAGACGACCGGCATCTGATACTTCCTGTCGTCGCAATTTTTTACAGTGGTTAGAACAGCTATAGTATCAGTTAAGAAATGTATGCGGTCAATATAAGGCGTCAGAAGGCGGTGTCGCTTACAATATTGCCAGGCAAGACTATGCATGCCACCACAACTTTGTTCCTCCTGTGAAGGTTGAGACCTCGTAAGCTATGGTTTCAAGTATGATTAAGCATTCAAGGCCGTAGGCGTCGGGGAGGAAGATCTTTTTGTAGACTAATCTGTAGTGACCATGCAGCAGGACACAGCAACCAGGATAGATGAGATTCAGTTGTACTCACGCGTCCTGTCTTCATCTCTATACTAGAACAATTACTCTGCTACCGAAGACAATGTGGCCTTCTTACCAAGACCCTGCTTGATTGGGCATTGACTTGTTCCACAGGTTTCGAAGCTAGTCAGGAAGCCTGGATCACTACTGTACATAGACAGACATCTAGAAGATTGCATTGCGACGCCAGCAGATTGTAAAGGATCACGTTATACGACTCCTGACTTTGGTTATCTTATGTTCTTCAGGTCACGAAACAATTCAGCAACTGTTTGGCAACTTTCAGGTCAGGCTTTCTCGAAAGTGGCTGCAGCACGTGAAAAGTTGATGAGTAACAAATATATAATCAGTCCGATTAGTAGGCTAGATTTGAGGATGCTGAGGACCTGTGCTGACACAATCAACAATCAGGTGTCGCGTTAGCAACCAGATATCGGCCGAAGAGGAGGTAGCATAATATCTAGTCATCAAGAAGACTGCGGAGTTTTCGTTTGAAACCAGCCACGAAGTCCACCGCCTTTTTTTCCATGTACTGCTGAATATATCGCTCAATGTACTTGTCCAGTGAATCACCCAAATTCTCATCAACCCAGCGCTCTACGTCATCACCTGCCGTGACCTGGTAGTCCTCAAACTCCTGACGAATGTCGGACACCTGCCCTTTGAGTATCTCATGATCCTGCTCTAATTCACGAGTATGGATGCCTGTAAGCTCAACTGTCTCTACTGTTTTCTCTTGGTCACTCTCGGCAATATCAAGACGTTCTTGTAGATCGTTATTTTGACTCTGAAGCGCCGCTAGGTTTGCGCGAACTTGTTTCAGTTCTTCTTCTTGGCTTCTCATTCGAGTCTCTAGGGCTTTTAGTCTACAGACAAAATCTGTGGATGGGTCGTGGGACTGCGACGATGCCCTGGATACCCGTAACTTCGGTTTTCTGGCATTGTCATGTCGGAGCTGACTGGCCGTGTCATCATCATCATCACTGCTGATATTACGCTTCTTGGCACGGCCAGCGTAAGCCGGTGGTTTATCGTCATCGTATCCTGGCGGAGTGGCGACAGCGACGGTATCATCCGACTCGGACACCGTCGATTGTTGGGATGCTGGTAACAAAGACCCCTGCCCCTCGATATCATCGCACTTTGGCAGTGAGCGGTAGTCTGGTGGAGAGCTAGCGGCAACTGTAGCAGCGGCTGCCTCGAGTACCAAACTCGAACACCTTTCAGAACTGCAAAGTGCACCGCCTCTGCCGTTATAAAACTTTCGAAGATCTGACGCTCGCGCGACTGATTCATCCCAGTTTGCTTTGTTGGACTGATAACACTGATAGGACTGGTAAAAGCCCTGATATATCTTATTTGTCATAATATTGCGTGGCATGTATAGGGACAATGTCGAGGCGGTGGCCAAAGCGGCAATTGATAGGAACTTTTGTCGCGACAAGATGTCATAGCCGTCGAGAATGAACCCAGCCGGCGTGACAAGACCGTCGCCACGTAGCAAGTCGAACTGGAGACGCGTGAAGGATCCATGACCTAGATGACAGCGTACCTGGTCAAAGCACGATGGGCGCGTGGTGCCGCTTTTGTGGCAAGTAGTCTTTCTAAGTGACGAGATGTGGTCGGGCGGGAGCTGCAGGTAGAGGGTTGTCTTGTCGTTGAGGGCGATGCTCAGCCTGAATAGAACCGCACCTGGTGGTGTGTATATTGCGTGAAATTCGAATGACTGGCCCACATCGAGGGAATTGATAGCGCCTGTTGTCCTTGCATCGTCACAGACAGCGACAACTGAACACTTGAATCGTTGCGCCCCAACAACAGCGCCATGGGGGTTGGCGGGCATGTCTCACGTATCTGTATATATATGCAAAAGAGGCACCCTTAGGAGGTACCGTGGAGGGGGATACGTACCGTACGATGTCTGCAAGCCTCCGACGATAAGTTTCCAACCGCACACGCACACGAGGCGAAGGGTTACGTACTGTACCAGTGTCGCAGGCACAAGAGCTGTAAGCCACCAGGGGTAGTAGAATGACCGGGTACGTGGGTGACTGTTGCATGTATTTACGCCGGGTGACACACAGGACGAGTTCCAACGTGATCCCGATCCTACGCCGACAACATTACAGAGCTTCTCGAGAGGATTTCGAAGCGATTTCGAAGTCCCTGACAAGAGCTGTAAGCTGCCAGGGGTAGTAGAATGAGCGGGTACGTGGGTGACTGTTCCATGTATGTATGCCTGGTGAAACACAGGACGAGTTCCGACGTGATTCCAATCCTACGCCGACGGCATTACAGAGCTCTCATACAAGTACAAGTAGAATGATAGACAAGAGACAAAGGGTAGCAAAATACGCGTAAAGCTAAAGTGGGGTGCAGGTGAAGCGATGAGAAGGGGAAGGTTAAGGGAGATGTTGATGAAGCGGGAAATTGGAGACCGTGAGGCTAACGGAGATGGGATAATGGGATGATTGGATGATGGATAACGGATAATAGATAATGCGAGTGGCTGGGGTGGTGCTAGTGCGCTTTTGAACCAATCATTCATCAAATTCTGTACAGGAACACCCGGTGTTGTTGACAGCCTGGATTCCAACTGATATTTCGGGTTTTTTGTGCAAGACCCTCACCTTTGGAACTTCCTTTTCCGAAGTTGAGACTTGGTTGCGCTCTGAGGGTGCGTTGTTGCCCAAATTTTTCAAATATTTACAGTGAAGGGCGGAAGTAGAATTACTACACAATCCTTACGTTTGTTTTGTTCGTACGGAGGCAGCCGTCAAAAGTCATCGACCGCCCCCACTTATTATTATGTTTTGGCTTTTGGTAGCAACTACGTATATACACAGTACAAAGTATAGATAGCGGTCCTACAAAGTATGCCAGCTTAAAGCCGGACCGTACTGGAGTAGCGCTAGCTGCCGTTAGAAGCACTCTTGTAATAGAGGTGTGTTGCTCCTTTTTGGACAAAAACAGGGCGTACATTCTTGTGGAGAGGATCCAAGGCGAGGAACTGCCAAAAGTCTGGAAAAGCATGTCCGAAGAATCACTTGAGGTTGTCTTTGTGTAGTTAAGAGCCGTTCTTACATGAGCCACGCTCCTCGACGCCTCCTCTGGGTATGGGTGTAAAAAGCTATATTAGAAGACTCATTATACGACTTTCGCCTATCTCGTGGAAATCCACGTTTCGGTCCGTTTAAGATAACCTAGGGTTTTAAGTTTTGATTTAGTCTAGACGAGATTTGGAGTTCCAAGACTTTGGAGATCGGGAAAAGACCACGGTTAATATAACCTTGCGGAGATGACGAGACAATAGGATGGGCTTTGGTCTCTGCTAAATTTTGCTCACAGCTATTTCAATCCGTTGAATATTCTCGTTCATAGCAGTAAAGTGGTTGGAATTATTAATTAGGAGTTCTCGAAATATTACCCACATTGTTAGGAATACACGTCGGCCTGGTTCGGCAATCTCACAAGGACGGAATGGTAAGGCATGCTTGATAAGATTCTCAATCGACCACGCCATGGGGAATTCAGAATGAAAAAGGTTTGCAACAAATGGTGGGGTGAATCAACCCTTCTCAAATGGTGCTTCATGCACAAATACCTCCAGGGGATCTTCGTGCCTCTCGTAGTACCATTGCTAAGAGATAAAACAGCTGCAACCTAACGCCCTAGGATACTAAAAGTAAACGATTGTCCTCTTCCGACGTTTCGCGATTACTAACTTCCAAGGCTACACTTTTCCTTGTTTTCAAGCATATCCCAGGTTGGCTTTGGTTTCAATAAATCTGTCATAGACTGATAGCGATCACTGGTAGTCTTGTCTCTTATATACTGTTTTGCAAACGCCTTGATCTTATGTCACACCAGCTCGGCCATGTCAAGACACTTTCTATCCTTCGCAAGCTCGGCCAACGTCTCCAATTTGGATCGCGCTGGATGACCGAAAGTCGGCGAAGGAGGGTTATAAGACATTGCTCATCTTCGATTTTCGTAATAAGGGTGCGGGTGGTTCGGACATTCTCTAAGGGAGTCTCTTCGTATTTCCATCCCAAAGGGAAATTATTTTTAACGTGGGAACGCGCACCTGGTACTAGTTTGCAGCCTTCCCGCCAGAGCTTCGAGTACCTAGTCTGGGCAGCAGCGATCGCCGACCCAGGGCAGAGGGTGAGCAAATTGAAAAGTAGGACCAGAGGGTTTTCTCCACCCTCGATTTCCGCCGGCGGACATCTCCTACTTGTATTCTCTCCTCACCTCACTTAGTAGGGATCATTGATGAGAATTCTTTTGCCCAAGTTCATGTTCTTCGAATACCTCATCGCCCCCTAGAACGAGCTACTATGGCCGTGTTAGAAGTTGGAAGCATGATCTGTGATGAGAGGCAGCCCAGAGCATTGTTGAACTTCATCCTGTGTTGTGTTGCTTGGGCATCATGATAAGGACGGAGCGAAATGTCTGAAGGCCCAAGCCTGAGATCGAGCTATTTTACATCAACAAATCTTGTAGCCCGGTTCAATACACCAGTTTCAAAAGTCGTCCTGCTCTCCAGTCTACATATCTTTCGTAGATCTATCCGCGTACATGTCTCAACACCCAAACTAGAAGCCTAGTTCCTTCTCGGCCTCTCGTCCCCTCATCCCATAACCCCTAACAGCTGTGCGTCCTTATAACCCCGATATATTATTGCCACGTTATTAGTGCAGCATAAGCGAGAGTTATCGCCTTCTCCAACCTGCCTGATTGATTCATCCTTGTCCGAGTTGTATGGGCCAGTTCAGTGGATACTAGTGCTCCGCGATGGCTTTTCGGAGAGCAGGTATGAGAGATACAAGCTGCCAGTTACTTGGGTTAGTTACAGGCACAGAAATGAGCACAAGGTGCTTACTCAGAATGGCACAACAAGGCGGCTCGAAATCTTCGTGTTTCAAGTCTTTCATTGACCAGACCAAGATAGAAATTAGAGGCATGCTGGCTGATGTCAACGATCACTGTACAGCGTTGTCTGGCGTGGCAAGATTGTAGCACATCGTCGTGATGAATCAACGTTGAATAAGTCTCTAGGAGAAGAGAGTTCCAAATTCGAAGTTGGCTATACGGTTGAATGTGAGCGGCGGTCGGTTATTGAGCAAAGCGAACTTGACTATGATCGATGACGAGTTTTAAGACTTCGTGGCCTCAAGAAGAGTATTGCATTACTACCCACGTAAATTTCATGGCGCGGATGGTGACTGTCGTGCCGACGGAGGACAAGAGGTACCTAGAGTGGCATATCAGGGGGTCAGCCCGCGTTCGGAACACCTGGTAGCCCAGTGAGGGTCTAAGTAGGGACCATTTTGAGATTATAATCATTGCGAGAGCTCTTATGGTCAAGTTCCTCACCGCCACCGCCTTTCTGATTTTTCAGAAATGCATCGCTACTCAGCTTCAATGCCGCTCTGGTAGTGGTTCGTTGAGCCGTTGTTAGCCAACTGATGGGTGAATTTTACTGCTTGTGATGCCATGATATTCGAGGGAAAGTGGAACACCGGAGCCGAGAAGAGAGCAGCCTTATGTCAAGATAGTGTGTGGTTTTACAAAGCAGCGAGATGAACGAGCTGGTGTGTTTAATAGAGTAATAGAGGTTGAGGATGGCATTATACCAACAAATCGGCAGATGATCCGAGCCGGAATGCCGAAAAGGGGGGGGGAGGACCTTTGAGATGCAGATCTGGATAGGGAGAAGGGAAGGAAACGGGGGTTGAAAGAAGAGGTGCAGAGTGAAGAATGCTGGAAGGATATTTAACATCCGGACGGAGAGTGATATTAAATCACTAGCAAGCTAAGCAGTCACGACACTGAACAGAACATCAGAACGTAGCAATAAAGAAAGAAGGCACGACACTCTTGAAACACTTAGATTAAAGTGAATGAGCAACGGGAGTTGTTCGCAATAGTTTAAACGCCTTCTGAGAAGACCAGATCCTCGACAACTTATCTTGAATTCATATCTTCACCTGTAACTGGAATCTGATCCCATGAATCGGTCCTAGACTCCAACGACAGGGAGACCGACATTCTCGCTTTTGACGGTGCGTTGGCTTGCTTTGATGGATATGGTCTGCAATACAAGTGCCGTTGAAGCCTGGATTAGCTGACGATTCCTACCTTGGAGTGTTCGCCGACTCTGGGTTTCGGTTCCTTGGAATTACAATCACGACTTCCGTGACCGCAGCTCAGAACGGGAATCTGTCGGTAAAAACTCGCAACGGCTCCAGTTTATGGGTTACGGTTTCTCGTCGGGTTAGTACTCAGGTGGGTGACCACTGGGGAATCTCCGGTGTTGTATTTTTATTTCTATTTTTTATTTTGAATCGCTCCGCAGGTTCCGTGAAGCTAGCCATATTAAAGGTGCGGGTTGAAGTTCAACAAGAATGCTTCGATGGTATATTCAGGAGGGTCCAGTACTGCAGACATGCCTTCAAGCTGAGAACTATGAACAAAACACTGGACTGTGATACAGCCAGAAGTCAGCCACCTCATTTGGCGATAAACGCCATCATGAGAAATGGTATTTGTATTTGCATCAAGCAGCCTGCGTGACACAAAACATTGAACTTGCGGCTAACGTTCAGGTTAGGCAATTCAGCCCTGCTACAGTAGTACACGTGACATCAGCAGACTTCGACTTTGGCGGATTAGCAACCCCCAACAGTGCTGGTTTCGCAGTACACTAACCTAGACTAGACTAAGGTTAGATGGAATGTTGGATATTTATTCAGCTCAACGTGCAAATACTATCTATTGAGTTTCGATTATCGAGAGACATTTGAAGCGACAGTGCTCGTCCAAAATAGAATAAAAATAAAAAGAGAAAGAAGGTAACATAAGAGAAGAAAAAGGCAGACCAAGCGGGAAACTCACTGCGCCAGGCTGGGATCGGCGCTGCTGTCTTCTAGGTATGTATGTACCTAAATTGCTTCTAAAAGTGGCTACTTGATCTCCACTCGTCGTGTAACTTTAGAACTTTGTCAATGAAGAGCTAGGATACCGACCTGACTATAGACTTCGACTGCCATAAAGGTTCGCCATGGCCGACTCTTCAGAAAACCCTGATGTTGCGAAAGGCTGCGACATGGCTGCCGTTACCGATGCTGCTGCTGAAGTAAACCAGCCGATTATGACGCCAGAAGATGTTCAGAAGCTGTTTGAAAGAAGCACACAGCCCGTGCAGCCTTTGCGCGCTGGCTCCACTACAGACGACGAAGATGACGAAGTATCTCTTTCTGATGGAGAGCGTTCGCGGCGAGTAGAGCAGCTCAAACAAGTCCTTTCTACGCTGGGGATGCTTGTTGATTCCGAAAGCGTACAGCTAGATGCTCTTGCCCAAAAAGTCGGGGATGGCAGTAGAGATGGTAAGCCCCTATTCAGACAGCCGAGCCCGGTTACATATGATTGTTCTTACTACAGCCATCCAATGGCGATCACTCTGTTTTGAGTTCCAAACAGGCTTCCTTCGCCAAGAGTTTCCACCCGCCTTACCCAAACCCGCAACTACCTGCAGTAATACACTGACATGACGAACAGCTTCATGGAGATTACCTCTTGGACAATCAGGTGTGCTTGACTTCTTCCTCGAGCTCGTCGGAAGGACTGGTCTTCGACAAGCTACTACGATACATGCACTACGGGTTATCGGCAACTCTTGTGCAGATACAGGTTAGAGATATCGGATAAGACGCTCAAGTAACTTTAGGTGTGCTGACCCTGCGAACAGACGAGAATCGGGCGCGAGTAGTGGCTTCCAACTGCATGCCCAAGATAGTCAATCTCCTGAACGACGACTCGATACTTGGCTTTGTGATACCGGTTCTGTTCAATATTTGCGTAGACTATGGTAAGCAGTATCAATATCAACCATCTAGTAAATGTACTGATAGACTCCAAGAACCAGCTCAGGCGGCCGCTTATAAGGCGGGTATCAACCCAGAGCTTGTCACTCTTATCTCCGGCCCAAGAAAACCCACGGCAGATGCATTGATGAACATTATATGCAAACTTCTTGCCCTGGTCGCCAACCAGGAATCGGAGGCTAACCTCGTGCACCCTGCAACACCCTTTATCCTACTCAAACTTGCCATAAACCCGCAATCCTTGGCCGACTTGGAAGACTTCCTTGGGCAGGTCTCGGTCGCATTGACCTATCTTTCGAACGCAGCTTTTCAAGAAACGTTCCTCCAGACGCCCAACGCCATACCACTGTTCCTCGAAGCTTTCTCTAAATCGTGTACCAATTTCGATATCAATGCAGCAGATTCAGAAGATGCTTCCCGACTGAAGAAAGTCAACTCAATTTTCACTCAAGCATTAGCGGACATCTCGTCAAGTCCCCAGTTTGCTACGGCGTGTCAGATCGGTGGTGCGGAAATGCAGACGCTGGAGCGATGGATAGGAAGTCCCTACTCTGAGCTCCAGAGTGCCGCCTGCCTTACAATTGGCAACATTGCTCGTTCCGATGATATATGTATCGCTCTTGTTCAGCAGTCCGCGATCCACCGTTCTCTGATGGCCATTCTTTCAGATCGGTCAAAAGCGGATGCACAACTCCTGCATTCGACGCTGAGCTTCCTCAAAAACCTCGCCATACCTGCTTCTAACAAGGCTATATTGGGCGATGCTGGTTTGTTTGAGTCGCATGTGCTCCCGAGACTATGGGCGCTCGACGCACAAGTTCAAGTGCAGTTTACAGCCGTATCACTCACAAGGCTACTACTAGTATCGAGTCCGGAAAACGTGAAGCGGATCACCGCCACCTTGAGTGCCGACCCGTCCTCGCCTGCGGCGGACCGGACACACCTGAAGACCCTCATCGACCTTTTCCTTCGATCCGACCAGGAACCAACGAAGACCGAGGCCGCGCGCGCCGTGGCAGCAGTCTTGAGAGTTCTTCACTCTTCTCCGGACGCTTCCACATTGTTACCAAACCTAACTGGGGATTTGTCCAAAGTCTCTTCGCCGTCTTCGCACAGACAGTCACCAGGCTCCTCGCCAGGGCCGAATGCCACAACAAGCTCACAAGATGGCCCGGGAATATCGCCTTCACCAGCTCTTGAGGCCTTCTATGCAAGCCATGACACTCTTACCGACACGCTTGTCTATCTCGGCACTCAGCAAAAGTTCCCCGTTCTCCGCTCCGACCTCTGGTTCGTGATGGCTCTCATGTCCCGTTCCGCGGTAGGCGCCGATGTCGTGGCCCGATGCCTACAGAATGTCGAGCTGCTCCGGGCTCTCCTGCAAACCATAACCGGACACGACATGATTGCCGGTCGAGAGCTGGAAACAACAGCTTCAGGCACACCGCAGAACCAAGGTCTCATCGCCGGCGCGGTGCAGGAAGAGACCGCCATAGTCTCCGGCATTCCCGGCGGCCTGGAACCACAGCAAGTCGACCCGGCCCGGAAGGCAGGCATGGCGCGCGTAGATCGCGAGAACGGCCTCGTGCTCGTCGCGGAGCTGCTGCAGCGGTGTCCTGATCGGCTCACGTTGCTGCCACAAGAGACGTACAGAGAGATTCTCCAGACAGGCGGTGAGCAGGTCCTGAGCGACCGCGACGGGAACAGGGTTGATACAACTACTTGAGCGGCGGAAACCGACCGCAGTAAAGGATCGCCATAACTTGACTTGAGTCCCGAAGTGCTGATCACGCCAGTATACGTAGAAGACAAGACAGAAGTAGACTATTTAGACGATCACAGAAAGCATCAGTCCATGTGTAAGACGTTTTCGAAAATCCTTGAAGTTGGTCAGAGTCCCCTTGAAAGGTGTTAGGCGTCCGGTAGAAACTGCGAGCTTGCAGAACCTGCGGCTAACTGAAGCTAAGGAGAGAGCATTGTCGTACTTGACCCGTTGTTTGGTATGGCTTGGCAAACGGCTTGGCTGGTCGAGGCAATGACGCAACTGTAATATACATCAACTCCCCAGGTCGATTTTGACTATTCGAGCGTCGTGCTGTCATCTAGCTGCAGATCCCGGTCATTTCGAACTTGAGGACTACGTCTACCCCAGTGGTTGATACGGCTGTGTAGTCGTGCGGGCGAGAGCTCAAGGAACCCGGCCGGCTGATGTTTCATGATTATGGATAGTTCTTTGTTAGAAGACATCCAAGCCACCTGCAAAGGTTAGCTAGCAAGACACATTCACTATCTCGGAAAAGGCTGGCTGCCAGTATGATTCGTTTCAATTCGTTCAGATTCTCGTCCCCATTTGTCCAGAGATGATGAATTATCTTTTTCATTCGTCTTCTCTAGATGACATACGGCATGAGACCAACCCATTCCCTGGTTGATGTGACCATGACCGACCGCCTGCCTTTGACCCTCTGACTTGGAGGGCGAGAATAAGGCATACAACGCACGAGAAGAAAAAGCAGAGCCCAAATTGCGATGATGATAGATGCCTTAATCCGTACTCCCGTGCATTCACTCAACTCTCGTCTCAGAACAAACCCGTTTTCCTTTCTCCGTTTATTTCTTGTTGGCCTCGGCCTCGGCCTTGTCCTTGGCGCGCTTCTCCCGGATACCTGCGTGTCTTTGGACACTTCGGGCGTTGCGGAGCTTGGCGTAGGCACCACCCTCGATGGCCTTGGGCATGTCGCTCTTCTTGATCTCGACGACACCCTTGGCCTGGGTGATGGGCAGACCAGCGGACAGAGAGGAGACGGCCTTGCTGACTTCGGTCTCCTTGCTGTCACCAGCCTTGGGCTTACCGGCCTTGCGGGGGAAGACGACGAGGCGCTCCTTGTACTCCTTGAGGCGGGCGACGTTGGCGGCGAGCGACTCCTCGCTGAGGTTCTTGCGGCGGGAGTCGACGGAGATACCGATGGTGGGGGCGTACAGCTTGGGGATACCAGCAGCCTAATCAAAGAAATTCGTGTCAGCAACCATGACCATGACCATTCATCTCTCGGGTCTTTTCAGTCCCATCGACGCCTCTCAGTCTCGCTTGCAGAGTGGTTCTCCGTTGGTCTCTGACGGGCCGTCGACTTCCAATCTCTCTTTCTCTCCGGATGGGGGGTTACGGGAGTTCGTACCTTCAGCTCAGCCAGGGTGAAACCACGGCCGGCACGGACGCGGCGGTTGTACTTGATGGTAGGGCATCGCACAACAGGGCGGAGCTTGTCGACGGGGCGGGGGGCCAGAGCGGCAGCCTTGGTCTGACGGGCAGCTCTGCGGCGGATCTTCTGGGGAGCCTATTTCCACAAGCAAAGTCAGATCTCATGTGCTCCTTGTTCTTGCTTTCCGTGTCCCCAAGGGAATCGTACCTGGTCGAAGTGGGTTCGGACCCGGCGTTGCCAATCCTTGCGGAAGTCTGATGAGAAAAGTCAGTCGTGCTGTTCCGTGGCTTGCTGTGCGAGCATCTCGCCGGCTTCCCCGATCAGAATCGGACGGAACTGGGAGTCGAGTGGGCAGATTGAGCGGGTGTGATGAGGGTGGATTAATTCGGTGACGTACGGTTCTTCTGGATCTGGTTGTTGTGCTTGATCGCCTGGAGAATTCGAGCAAAAGATTAGCGATCCGAAATGCCAATGCAACTTTGCGATCTCTGGAGGCTCCAGGGAGGAGCAGTTGCTCTCGACGCAGCTGCTCCCCCTGTCACCGGGTCCAGGTGCAACATAGCGACGTACCATTGTGATTGAATTATGCGATCAATGTGGGAGATGGTCGAAGGGAAAGTTGGTGGGCTGTTGGGTTAGTAACTCTCGCAATGCCTTCTCTCAAGATCGTCTTCGATCACTCCACGCAAATGAAAATTCCGGGTTTGGGCGGTCGCTGCAGGCAAACCACAAAAGCACGTCCCACCCCACAATGGTCCGAAATTTCCTCTGAAGGGCACAAAAACCCTAGGTAGGCTCGTGTGGCTGTGTTGCTCAACTGTGGCGTCTCCGTCGTTTTAAGTGGGTACCAAGCTTGGTCGGCACAAGTTTATGCCACCCACGTATGCGTTCGTTTATGCATTCATTTATGCAGACCACGACTCCGCAGCGTGCTTGGATCTTCGTCATACATAGTACCCACACGTCACTCATGTCTCTCGTTGCAGCTCTGCAATCAAGAATCTCCCTCTGGTCAGCCGACGCGCTTCTCAGTTCGCGACGACGGGCCGGCCTCGGGTAGGCGTGTGACGGCAGAGATGATTGCTGCATGCTTGGCGGAGCATACGAGTCCGTAATATTAATACATCACGTGTTGCCGGGTTGGCTGCGGTATCCTCAAAGCCGACTTGAACGACACTGAATGGAAAAGCAGCATAGTAGCCAAGGAGCGTTGCGCATGTTGAGCAATAACCTTCTGATCACTTGGTCGTTATCACTGAGCATGGACAGCTGAGAAACAGAAGCGACATTGTGACGGTCACAGCAAAGAGACGACCCAAAAACAAAATGACTGAGGCTTGCTACTGCTATCTTTTGCTCTTACTCTTGAGGACCAACAATAAGCCCCGACCGAAAAGCCATCGCGAAGGATGATCGAACTGTATTGGAATAAGCCCCAGCGGTTACAAGGAACCATATGCGTTGTTCTTGGCCCGCACTGCTCGATGGCAGCGTATACCACCAAATCCTTGTCTTCTTCTTTTTTACCTTTCTCTTGTGGGGGGGTTTGCTCCACCGAAGCACCAATGATGCAGACGTGATGCTTCACCTTGATCGAATATCGACTAGATGAACCTTTCCCACGTTTCTACTAAACGTGTGAAGTGAGCGATGTCTCAAGTTTAGTATTTGCTCTTGACATTTGTAAACCACATAGTGACTTGGAGTACCCCAAAAAATTTTGGTCCCCATTAAAATAAATCTTTTTTTCTATTATATATTCATCCCGCCCAACAACGTTTGAGGCTCGTCTTCGTCCGAGACTGGTGGATTGGACGCCCGCCGCGAGCAGCGCTCGAATGACGCCAGGATAGACGAAGTCATGGGAGGCCGCCACGAAACAATGGTAGCCTATCTCTGGAAAGTTCGAAAGAGATTCATATATCTTGTCTAACGCAAATATAATGCCGCGGCGTGCTTTCTCGGTTCGAGCACTTTCAATAGCAAAAACGAGGGGGTGATAGCCTGGGCTCAGCCACTTTGGCATTTTAAAACCCCCCTCATCAACTGTTGGAGGATCGAGTCTCAAACGAGCGCCATGCTTGCAGAAAAGTCGCAGCAAGTTCCAGTGATAACCAGAGTAAGATTGAAGGTCATATCCCGATAGAGTAAGTTGCACAAGAGATTGCTCGCACGGATCCGCACCCATCTCAATAAAACGCCGCGCATAATAGACAGATACATCGTAGTGGCTTTTGAGAAGCATGTGCAAACCTCAATTTATCGTCAGTCAAAACTCCGTTAATAATCAATTGAACGGACAGCACTTACAACTTTCACCATGCTCTTTCCAAGACGTGTCACAAGCGCCCAGTTGGAGCAGCATCTCGGTCCATGGAATCTCGGGGCAACTAGCGGCCAGCCAGAGGCTACAGGTGATGCAGTACTGAACTTGGCCGAAAGGCCTGAGTCTGATGTTCTTCGCTGAAACACGCGTATTTTGGCTTTACGTTTGCTGACACTGGCACCTTTCTTTATCAATAGGGAGATGAGCTCGAGTCGGTCTTGTTCTGACATTGAACCCATGTACTGAAGCAGATCCATTGGCGTAAGTGTAGAACGAGAAAATGGCTCGCGTTTGAGTCTACAGGCCGAAATATATAGTCCATTTAATCGGGTGCAGCATAGGTCTAAAGGCCTAACACTGCTAAGAATCTCAATAATGTCATCAGAAGGATGGTGCCAAACAAGGTCGGGCATAGCGCCGGCTTTGAGATAAGCAATAGCTAGGCGAGACCAACCAAACATACATGCCGCATGAAGAACAGCCAATTCAGAAGCACTGAGCTTTGTATCAGGATCAGCTCCGTTTTCGACCAACTATTGCATCACTGCTGTGTTACGTTTGCCATAGTGCGCGAGTTGGAGCGGTGTTTTGCCCTGGTAGTCCTGATCATCGAAACCAATTAGGGCATAACACACGAGACATTGCTTCAAGGCCGTAACTGACCCAAAAGTAGCCACTGTATGGACAATGGTGGTTGTATGATTGGCATCAAGATATTGCGAGGAGCCCTTTGCCATCAAAAAGAGAGCGATGTGTTCATTACCAGAACACAAGGCAGTGTGGAGGGGCGTCCATCTTTGCGTCGTTTTATAGGTGAGTTCCTCGTCCCAGCTTTGGCAAACACAAAACCGGTGGGACGGCGGGTCCAGCAGTGCACCGTAGCTGATGAGTAATTTCACAATCTTGTGTGATCCGGCTTTCGCAGCGGCATGTAATGGGAACCAGAAGTACGGTGTTCGGATACGATGCCAATGTTCAGGGTTTCTCGGTTCAACCCCAACATCGTCCGGTTCACTGTTTGCGCCATCTTGTGAGGAGTCCGGGCTTTTGCTGCCACTGTTAGGGTTAAATAAGCCATAATTGAATGCCCCGTAGGCTTCCGGGGGCGATGTCACACTGGCCAGATCCTCCTCCAGCGCTTCGCCAATAGGACTGATATGATCCGCCGAGGATACGGACTGTGATTCCGAATATGACTTACTGGGACGTTCTTCGTGGATGGCAGAAACCAAACTGATTCGGTCCTGTAAGGCAAGACCCGGCTGCCGCTCCGGTTCCTCGATGGTGACGTCGTCCAGTGAAGCCGGAATGGCTTCAGTCCTGTTGCCGGCAAATCGTTTGTGAGTGTAAAGATAGTCCAGCAGAAGGTAAGCCTGTTCGAAGTTTACGTCATCTCGCGAGCCGGCTAAGCGGCTCTACTCCGTATCTTTCCCAATAATTTCTCTGATAACCTCGTTCTCCCAAAGGCGCGAACGGAACGTTGGGGTTGACGCCTGCGTTTAGCAGTTTAGCGACAACAGCAACCTGGCCGGCCTCGCAGGCCCATGTCAGGAGGTAGGGATGCCTTTTCGCAGCAAGTTGATAAAGCAGTAAGTCGAGGATGCTGTGCAACTTGCGACTTGTGAGCGAGAGAGTATGCAGATGATAGATGTGATCGCAGAAATGGCCAATGTGGAGCAGGAGCTCATCCGGAAGACGAGATAGTTATGCCATAAGGCAGTCTTTCTCGAAATGCCTCTGCGGGATTCTGTATCGTTATGTGCCTGACGTGTGATAGTGTAAATTGACAGCTCGACTTGTCTTTGATGCCGGGTCTAACGTTAACTCGTTGAGCGACGCGTTGAGTGCCGGCCGATGGATACACCAGACCCCACAATCAGGCTTGGTTCAATGTTGACGCAGGCAACTTCCCCTGCCTCCTAAAAGAAAGTAAAGAAAGAGAAGAAGGATTGAACACAAACTTGAGCACCAAAGTAGTTGTTAGCTCAAGCTGGCCAGTTTGAGCATTCCTTGCCGTTCTAGATCTTTTCTGAAACGCAAATAGAAAAAGACTGGTATATCATCGCTTCCGTCGTAGGAACTAATACTTCGAATTACCGTCGTGCATTATCAATTGGTTCAGCGCAGCAAGCATTTGTCGCCAGAACAAGATCAGCAACATGTGTCAATGAACATCAGTCAGTCTTTCAAAAGCTCAAGTGTGCAACCTTAATTCGACATATTCCACATAGCTTGTCTACAGTATGTAGAATCTCCTCCAAGGCACTACTGCCTTAAACCGGTCATAGTCGACCATGGATTTCGAAGGAGGAGCTGGGCTGCATCAGAGGCGGTAATACGAGAAACAACATCTGCCTTACATCGCGGTGATCGAGCGGGGTGGTTTGTCCCCTTGGATGATGAAGCAATTCTGAAACCCACCGCCAGAACTGTCTTGGACACTAAGTTATCATTACATAGTCTAGGTGGGATGCATGGTACGCAGATGCAGCACGGGTTATGGGGCACAGACCCACTGCTGCTTTGTGAAGAACTGCTGGGAGACGCGAATGGTAATCATTGAGACATTGATCCGAAGTCCAGGGGGCACTGATCAACGCGATGTGCAGACAGATGTCAGGTCAGATCAGGGTAGAGAATGTTGCTAGCAGGTAAACACCGGTTAGTTTGTTATTTTGACCTCATAGACGGGATCGACATGCCGCAACGTCTTATCTTCGCTGGGCAGTTTTTGTTGCCGGCTGTTGGCTTGCGCCGTTCGATGCTGAATGCTAGGTAAAGTTGAGTTGTCAGAGTTTCGGCCCCGTACTCCGTACCTCGGGAGTAGTTCCCCCCTGGTGCTATCCAGGCCAGGATAGGTCATCCAGGTGCCGCAATCCGGCACAGTGGTGTTGCGTGCCACTGCTCCTGCTCCCCTCCAAAAATGTGGGACATCGAATCTTTTGATGTTGTTTTTGCTTTTTAGAGCGAGTCCGGACAAGGGTGAACTGCCACTGCCTTTGTCGCAAATTTTTGGTTTGCTTTACATACGAAATACTCGTGCAGAGGTGCAGATGAAAGCTTGCGACTGACACAACACACGACGTGGAACTCTGCACGCATAGAACCACTGGCGGACAGTGCGTTGCTTCCAGAAGGATTCTGGTCATGGGTTATTGCTGGCTAGAACAAGCTAGAGATACGGTATTTCCGGCTGTCAGTGGACTACGCTGGGGTTGCTACTTTGTACATCCAGTGGTACAGCTTTGGGAAAATCGTGACCTCCACGCAGGCATTGACCCCCCATCTTCGAAGAGCAGAAAAATCTTTCAGGAGCCGTAGCATGAGTTGACGCTTTTTATTTTTATTTTCCTAACGCACTATGCTCGCCTAAAGACAATGTAAAAGAGGCTTGATGAGAAGGTTGGCACAACCTTGTGCCTGGAAGTTTAACGTAACATGCCGAACATGCAGTAGTCAAAACATTCGAGGGCAATAAGCAAACCTTTTGCCGTTTCTCCACGTTGTCCGTACATGGCGTAGCACTCGGAGCCTAAAAGCTACAGTGCATGTATCCTTTTTTACGTCAATGTCTATAACTAACCTTAGCGGGTCCGCAGCACCCTCGCCAGGGCTTCTAGCGTTCACCTTGGCTCTGGATCCCTAGCCGTTTTTGGGTTCCAGTGGTGCCTAGGGCATTGGACGACAGGCTACATACAGACTACGGCAGGCGGGCACAACAAAAGTCGACGCACTCACAGTGTCCATTGGGTCCTCTCGGTGGGTGCTGTCCATGTACACAACTACAGTATGCTAACCTACACACATGCCTTACCTAGCCCACTAATAAACGTGGACAGAATCCATGACCACGGCCTAGAAACCAACCCCTTACCGCAGGGTGGCAGGTTAGTGTGCTGTAGTGATTCTGCTGTCTGCACCTTGCCCGCGCGACTCCAACCGAGTCTGTTATCCTTTTTTTTCTTTCTTTTCCATTTGCTTCAATCACTACTGCCTATATCTTACACCTTGCCGTAAACTGTCATAATTTTCCTCTGTTCGTTCTGTCATTTCGCCCTTCATTTTGTGACCTATCATTGCTCTTTCACACAAACCCAACCCTCCGATAGCACCTGTGCCCGGAGTGTGTTTATTGCCCTTTTTTGTTTTGTTTTTGCCCTACTCCGTCCGGAGCATTCTAATCAAATCCAAGTTTGAAATCGATAATCGCGAGCGACTGGAAGTAGCCCAACCAAGCCATTGGGTAGTCAAGCAGTCAGGGTAGCGAAGGCAGGAAGGAAGGAGCTGGACCCCGACCAACCTCTCAGCCACGCAGCGCAAGGAGCGGCAGCGTATCGCATCGTATCGTATTGTACCGTGCCGTATCTCTCCCCCACTTCTGATCTAAGAGAGACAGAATAGAGGACACCATCGTTGGTCAATCGGCTTCAGTCACGATACACGTCAAGAGCTACAGCTACGTCTTCGGCTACGGCTTCTCTTTAATGGATAGAGCTTGCATTAGCAACACAACATAATTCTGCGTACACCCTAGACTGCCCACCAAGCTATTGCGAAGCAGAGCAGAGCAGAGCAGAGCGGGTATAGTACCGTTACGTATTTGCATACCGGTAACATACCTTGCCTCTGAACAAGTGCCCACGTCACCCGCCCCGTGCCAACTGAACAAACATTGTCCGCCGACATGTACGACAACCTGCAATGGTCCGCCGATTCCACTCGAAAGAGGACCAGGGAGGATGACGAGGGCCTGAATGGCATTGCCAGCTCTGGCTTTACCGAACACCGAAACAAACGTCTTCATTCCCTACCAGTCCGCTCTTCTCCCAACCATAAGCGATGGTCTGGTCCTCCGAGCTTCCCCGTCTCCCACCCATCCCATGGCATGTCAACCATCACACCGAGCGATTCCGACTCTGAGGATGCACAACAACAACAACAACAACAACAACAACATCAACAACAACAACAACAACACCACCAACAACAGCATCACCACCACCGACACCACGCAGTCTCTCATTTTCCACCATGGTCGTCCTCACCCGCCACCTCGCATCACCAACACTCCCCGAACCCTCCCATGGATGTCGATCGGGATACCGACATGGTGGCCTTTGAGGAACCCCAGCACCTGCAGTCAGGCCCCCTGCCTTCAAGTATAACCGGTCGAATGCCGACTCCCATACATGCCACCTTCGCCGCCCAGGTTCGAGGCAACAGCTGGGCCTCCGCGAACGGGGATAGCATGCAGGCCGCTGCTGGTAACAGCTTTGCCCGCCCCTTCCCTCCATCGCACGACCCGACAGTTCCTCGGTCCGTACAAGGCGCAACAGAATGGTCCATGGTCCAAAACAGGCGACTACCGTCTCCTATTAGTGAAAGCGGCGGAGAGGAAGCCCCCCTTAGTCCTGGTATGGTGTTGGACTCTTCGCCAACTCTGCAAAGGCCTCACTTACCACACATGCCTCATTCCACTAGCCCAGCCATGGCCCACCCCAACGTGGCAATCGTCACACCCTGCGCATCCGCCGACGATGTAGGCATGATGGACACGGAAGAGGGAGAAGAGCACTCGCCTGCATCGGCTCCAGCCACGCCCTCCCCAAGATCCAAGTTTGGTCATTCGCGGAGCAAGCATACTCTGAACTCGTGGACTTTGCAACCTGGAATGAAGAAGTCGTTCAGTATAGGATACCGCGCAGACTGCGAGAAATGCCGCCTGAAGATTCCAGGCCATTTCAACCACATCATCGTCTCTTAGCAGGAGCAAGGTCGTACTGCAATCTGGCACCAAGATCTTGACGAACACGTCAGTCAGGCTATCGTTGAGACGACGAAGCAATATGACGGCCTCGAGGAGGGACACGTCTAACCTCGGCGAATCCACCGCTCTCCAGGTTGAACCTCGTTGGAAGCCACGTTGAGTTGAATTGATTTGAGACACCAAAATTGGAATTACACAGCAATAGGAAAGGCGACATCTACATGGATGAGAATCATCAAACTCATAGCGACTTTTGTTCTTTTATTATTGCATCATTAGGAAACGGGTTTCGTTTGTTTGTTTTACTCTTTAGGCCAATACCCCCTCCACACTCACTACTGCATCTGGGTTTGTCTTTATGGAGTCTTTCGGCCGGTCGCCTGCATCGACATTGCATACGGTGACACTGGGGACTATGGGCTAAAGTTGTGTCATCAGAGCCTGTAGAGCTCTACTTAATATTCTGTACTTGCTGTAGCTTGTAGCGTTGTAGCATGAATATTCAGTCATGTTGACGCAACCATAATTGAAACAACCACTGATGTGACTACAGCCACCCGTTTATCCCATGTTACTGGGAATTCAGCGACACGCCTGTGAGTGGATGATCGGTGAGCCCCTGTGGCGGATAGACGCAGGTTTGCTACATCTCCATGCAAGTTGAGAACTATCAGAATTCATGAAAACTGCACTTCATTCTATCAAATTTCCTTTCATGGCGGTCTCTAAGCCATGCCAACAAGCGTGCACCCTGGAATGTAAGTATTTGCGATAGCCTTTCTGCAGTTGAAACAGTCCGGAACTTTCTCTTGTACTGTTCCCATAAATCTTGCCTGCGGATATGCCTCTCTTTCTAATGGCGTTTTCATCACGTTTGAGCCAATGCAGCCACTTCGTAGCTCTAGTTCTTAGTAAGCCTATATTTTACGCATGCACAATTCACCGGGTGCTTCTTCCACCGCGTTTATATCCAGCGAGTACAAGGAAAAAGAATCACCCCCTGTCCCCACCCAGTTCATGCTCAATCATGGCAGCCTTGCCATATTGAACACGAAAGCCGTCTTGAATAACACCCGCTGCGTATTCTTCTTCGTCCGGACGGCGTGTAGCTCTAACATGGATTGCCTCGATGAAAGGGTCTTATGGTCCAAGCCAGAGGATTCGAACATGGCGCTCGTTCGAATCTTCCAAGTAAAGACTACTTTCTACGTACCTTCAATTTATACTACTAGTACTTTATCTGGGGTCTTGAACCGTGGTGGTTCAACAGATCGGCTGGCTGCTGCTAGTTGTCTGTTTGGGAGTTACCTTGTCCTCATCTGATGTCGTAGTGCTGCAATTGTTATGTCTTCTGGTTGTCCCACCGCTATTCATCCGTGATAGAAGCAGCTTCCTCTGCACTAGAGACAATTCAATGAATAATAGCTACGAGCTTTTCAATGTCTTCAATATAGTTGGTGGGTTGTTAGTCCTCCTCTGTAGTCGATGTCTTTTTTCTTTTTGAAGGAATTCAGATACATCCTCTCCTCCCTTGTGGTCCAGCAAACAAGGGACGCGACATCTGGTCGGATATTATCAGAGGGCATTTTGAAAGGTTGGCTCGCAGTAGTTATTTTTTATTGATATGACTAGTGATAAAAAAATGGAAAGAGCTCTAGAATCCCAGAAAAGTTTACAGGGACATGTGCTGTGTTTCTGCCCGGTCTTTGTGTGCGGAACGGCGGTCGCATCTCACTGTCCCAGGAAGTGTTAAAATATTTCCATTTGGATCGAGCTAATTTGAAAAGGCAAGATTCGGTGATCTGAGAATCAGACAGATTTCCATTAATTGAACAATAATAACTCATAGACTCTTCTCGTTGGATCTCTTCTTCGCAACTTCCCCGCCCACAGCTGTCTCCTCGTCGCCAATGGAATGGCCCCTGACCACACCTACACCGCGGTCCGCCAGCTCCGACTTAAGGATCGGCGGTCCAGAGAAATGCTTGCGACCCCAGACAACGTACCACACCATACTAATGGCTGCAAAGCCTGCAAACACGACGCTGGCATAGTTCATGGTGGAGGGGCCGAGTCCAGTCAGGTTGGTGGGCATACAAAACAAGAAGATGGCTAGCACGATCCATAACAGCGTGGTGACGTTGACAACGAATCCAATCTTTCCGAGTGAGAAGGAAGCATGCTCTACATGCTTCCGGCCCCGCATAACCAATACCAGGATCGGAAGGCCATAAGAGGTACAGAGGCAGATGGTAGCCACACCAGTGAAACTACTGAACGCAGCAGAGGAGCCAAAGTAGATCAGTCCTAAAAGGCAGTCGACAACCGCCGAGAGTGTGAGAGCCCACAGCGGAATGTTGAATCGCTTGTCGACCTTGCTCCATATAGCAGATCCGGGGATAGCACCATCGCGAGCGAAGGCATATGTGCAACGGCTTGAAGCGGTCAGCGCACCAACACCTGCGAAGAGCCAGATACCCAAGATCAAAAAGAGCAGTCCGAAGCCACCGCCAGCACTGCCGGTGGCAGTCTTGAAGATCAGCCCGATTGGCTGGCCATTGGCAACGCCCAGCAGCAATTGGACATCCGGTAACACGAACAAGACCGGGATCAAGAAGATCAATCCAGTGATGCCAGCTGCCACGACGGACAGAACAATAGCCTTGGGAACCTCACGCTCTGGGGTCTGGACCTCCTCGCACATCGAGGCAACCATGCCATATCCAGTCAACACGTAAGCAGGCTGCAGCAGGCCCACAAAGAATGACCATCCGGACGGCCATCCGGACGCAGATGCGTCGTAATGTGCGAAGACAAATTCCCCGCTGCGTTTCGAAGGAGACATGACTAGAAGAACAATCAAAATGATGACGATCGATGCTCCGGTCCAGTAAATGCAGAGCGTATTGATCTGGTCCAAGTATTTCGCGCCGAAGATGTTGATAAGATAGCACACCAGCGTGACACACCAGAACATCAGAACAGTCTGCCATGCATTGGCCACGAAATCTTCGTTCCAGAGCGAGATGGCGCTGAGAATCAATTGTGCTCCACCGAAGTTGATAGACAAGGTCACCGTCCAGTTACCGACCAAGGTAAGCCACCCGGTAATCCAGCTGGCAATCGGGGCATATTTTGGCGTTGAGAGCAAAGCGGCCCAGTAATAAACACCACCAGCAGTCGGATAGACGGAGCAAATTTCAGCCAAGGAGGCAGCGATGGCGGTTGAGATGATGGAGAGGAGTACCCAGCCCCAGATGATGGTGACGGATTGGCCATTGGACAGCGTGATGTAGAATGTTGTACTCAGACCATAAGGCACGGCCATGATGGCGAACGAAAGACCCAAAACGGACAGCATGCTCAAACTTCGCGGAAGCTCCGACTTGTATCCCATTTTGGCGAGCGCATCGTCAGCAGCTCCCATCTCGTGGGACCTGCGTCCGGCACTCGTTGACGTCGCCATGATTGAGGGGTTAGTTCTGACTCGGACAACAATTATTGAATCGCTTGTGAGGACTTCATACAGGACGGGCTGTAATCCGGTCGAAAGTGAAAGAGAAGGCCAGGTATTATGCTTGGCTGAGGTGCTCACGGCGCAAAGATCATAAGTAAGACTCACGGCAGCAATCCCAGTTAGATAGTGGTCATTGTAGCAATTGTTATTACTGTTCGTCAGACCTGGTCAATGGCTGATTGTCGCGTGCCATCTCCACCTAGGCTAGAATGGTCGTTAGAGAAAACGGCGCCTCGGCGGGTCGCGGTATCTATCTAGTGTATCTATCTGTGTCAGCACGAGTCAGAGGCGATTGGAACTCTTAGCAGCCGACGATAAGATAGCCGGCAGGTGAAGGTCGGAATGCAATTGAGTTTCCAAGTTACCATTACGAAATAACCATGCTCATGGCGCTTGAGTGATGTCACACGCATGTGCGGGTCCGTACTCCGTGCATAGAGTGGTCTTGATGAGATTGTGCCTCTGCGCTACCGCCCTTTGGGTAACGCGTGCCGAGACTCTGGGGTCTCCGGCAAGAGGGGATACTCCACCACGTCTTATCACGGCACTCGGTGTGCTGCTGTTGTGATAAGCCTTTGCACTGATGCAGGAACAGTCAACGAGATCGTCCGGTACCATATTAGATCTGACATAATTTATATTTGTTGAAATTGGTGGTGTGTAAACTGTGAATGAAGATTAGCAGGCTACACCAGGTGAAGAGTATCGCTATGCATCCGTCTACTAACCCCAGCGACCTTGCTATCCCGGATCTTAATCACAGTGGTTTCATCTGCCCTTTCTTTGTCCAAATAGAACCATTTCTGTGTGTTAGCAGGGCTAAATTTTACCGTCTGGGCGCGCTCTTCGCGGTCGTCTTTAAGCAGATCGTATGCATGCATATCACGTACGTCGGCGGTCTGATAATCCATAGTAGCTCATGGCCAATCCTTGACTGGTTCATTCAGTGGTCGCCACACACCACAGCACATTTAGTTGATTGTCCAGAGTGTCTAGCGTTTCAATTGTACTTGACCATTTGGACTCACGATTCCAAAATTCTGCCTATACCCTCATGATTACGGATGTTCGTCTTTAGTCACCTCGAAGCACCTTTCTCGGACTGGTCACAGTGCACCTAGAGAGCGAGTTAAGCTTGGGAAGGGATCACGACCAAAGGTGTGGAAACTCACCATTGTGGCCGGCTGCCCTTTTGCGTAACTTTCTGGGCCCTGCTCATTTCAGGCCTCCTCCTTCGAAGTGTGTGGTCGAAAATAATGATCCTCCGGGCGCCCGTCATTCCCTTCACGAAGCTCTCGACGTGATGGTAGTATGAACTTTTCACCATGTCTTGATCTTTGACCACCTTAAACGTCGATGGTGCCTTGGGGTAATAGATTGTTGTAGTAGCCACGGTAAGATCTCTCTGGCAGTATAGGTTCTAGGTCGCAATGGTGCTTTCCTCTGTTGACATGCGGACAACAGCAGCCAGGCTTTCGAAGTGCATATAGAATGTATGATCTCCCCGGTCGCAATTGATGGCGATAATGAAAGTGTACTAAGAATCATCGGAACCTTAAGAACTGTGACATATTACCTTCTAAGCATGAAAGAGCTCGTTTTCCTGTCTCCGATGCCAACATATGAAATGAGTCTCTCATATATAAGTTATTATTAGCCGTACGAACATGAATCATCTCTCGTCCACGCCCACACCACCGGGCTTCACAACTATTCATCTCAAATTCAATCCTGAACCCTACACGCCTTTGAAATAACGAGGCTCTGTCATTTCGAATCTTTCGTTAGTAGTATTGTATGGCCAGGTCCAAAAATCACAAGCCTAAATCAGCTGCATATTGCTCTGCAAGAATACCTCTAAAAACCATCTCAGCTTTGAAATCTGGACGCGATAATAGGCTATAAGATCAAAATCATTCTTTACGATCTTCGAAAAACCTCTGAGGACAAGTCGTCCGAGCAATAAAAAATAAAAATAAAACACTCGCCACTGTCGACGAACTATACATTACCAGTCCGTGATTTACCGCCGAAGAGGCCGCGGGGTCAAGGCTGCCACAATTGATCACGGCATGTTGTCAGTAGAGGACGAAGGCGAGTCTCAGGACGTTTCGAGATATGAGGGAGCACTGAAATTAGAGACCGTTGCCCATACCAAGCTAACTCGGTTTCTTGTCAAGCGAAGAGCAGGCGGAGATGCACGGCCATACGGCCCGCACGACATGGCACCCCTGTATGCGAAACTGTCTTTGGGATTTCACATGAGGGGATGGAAAATGAGAAGTTCTTGAGCCGGCTGCATAGGCAAGGAATCCCCGGCGCTTGAGGAAGCCAAAGTCCAAGATGACAAGATCATGACAAAATCATAAAAATGGCAAGAAACAATATAAACAGTTTGCTCCCGTCGACCTGTCAACGGCTTACTTCCTTGCATCTCGATCAATCATGGGCAAACTCAAGAGTACGAGGGTCCATACGGTGCAGATCGAATGTCCAGGCTTTCATCTTATATATTAGAATGTTCAATCTTACTCGATTAATATTGCGGCGTTCATTTCCCTTCGGCTTGTGATACATCAACGGGTACGTCTTCCCGGTCCAGATTGTGCCAGAGGTTCCACCACAAACCTTCAACCTCAATTTCTGCTTTCCCATCCTTGATGATGACCAACTCTTCAGCCTTGACCACACGACACCCGGCTGCTAATTCTTTCCATACGTCAACTTCTAACGCCGGGACGTCGAAGCTCCAATTTCCATCCTTAGGGGCTACTGCTGTAGCCCCCGACTCTGTATGCAGAAACCTTCTCTCGTCGGCCGCAATCACATCCTTGAAGTACGGATGCGACGATCCATCCATGAGGTCTCGCGTCTTTCCCGGGGAAATGCTCACGGGTCTGTAGCGGACTATAGCTATACCGTCTGCCTGTGCCATAATCTTCTGGGCCTGCGCCGAGGCTTCTGGCGAGATGTGGCTCGGAGAAGAAGACAACATGGTGCTGAAAGGAGTATGGAGAGAGCGGTTGGGTGGAAGGTGAATTTGTATGTACTCTGTGACTCCAAATTGCAGGAACCATGGTGTCACGATCTGAGCGTGTCGACGCCAGGAGGTGCTGAACTCTTGGTATGATGTGCCTGGATGGCGGAAGAGGGGACCACCGAGGCTAACGACGGGGTCAGACATGGCTGTATCAAAGAACCACAGAACCACGGGCCTTGATGTGTGCGTGTTGCGAGGAAGAAGGATACGCAATAGTTGAGTGAAGATACTGTGTCGATGTACGTGACACCAAAGGACGCCAATGACGTAGTGGTTGGAGTGCCTTCATTTGCTGACGCCAGCTTGTAGGAAATGCCACGCCTCAAGGATATGATGATCGTTAGTTGCCATGGGTTCATATACGCAACAGCTAAGAATATAAGTAAGCGTTGGCTAAAAACATCATATTACTTTTCTTTTACAGTAATGGTATCATAAAGTCATTGGCATTGCCAGATTTTACCCCGCTCCCTTCTCTCTCTTTCTCTCTCTTCTTTGATAAGAAAGGCCATGATCAGTGCCTGTTTTTTCAGTCGACCAAGTTTACAGCAATGTGAAACATCTGCGAAACCCTCTTCTCTTAGAACTGCCCTGGACCTTTTCCGAAATGAGAACCACTAGGAACGGTCAAATATGGCACTGAATTCGAGTCATCGGTATTAGATCCAACATTATTCCCCCACCAGCTCAGTTTGATGTTGTTATAGCTCAGAGCGAAGAAGATGATCACGGTAGCGAGAGCAGTGCCGGTATCCATTGCAGCCTGGAGAAGATCTAAAAGAATGTCGGTCAGTCGCGAAGACGATGCAAAGGGAGCAGGCGACGTGAACTTACAGTTGTAGCGCTTCCACCACGCAAAGGCACGCTTACGGATGAGGTAGTTGAATAGAAAACCGAAGATGAACCACAAGGAGTATTGTGTCGTGTTGGCTGGAGGGATGTTGCCGGCAGCGTTGAAGAAGATCGGCACGTTGATGTATCGTACCCAGCTGTTCGGGTACTTGCGGTAGAAGCCGTAGACGATGACCGTCACCACAGGACCAATCAGGAAAAAGTACATGATGCTGTTGTACACCTGTCCAGCTTGGAACATGCGCTGGGGCCCGATGCTGCCCCAGATAAGTGAAGCGTTGTACACCACCTTGGCACCGGCACATGTGAATCGCTGCGTGTTCTTCGAACTACAGAGATTTGGAATATGGCCGATCATCCATCGAAGCACGCCGGTTTGCGTGGCAGTGGCTAGAACGGATGCGTAGATTTGACCCGCAAAGAGGACTCGAGGAGGAATCTTCATGTACTGACCGAGCTTCAAGTCCTGCGCAAAGTCCATGCCGTGCTTGACCGAGTTGTATCCGTAACATTTCACCATCATGTTGGCGATCGGCTTGCCGGGCCACGCGTATCCGGCGATCAGTTCAGTAATGATGTTGAGGAAAATTCGCTGATTTGTGGTTCCTTCCAGAATTCCCTCGGGCACGATCAGGAGGACTCCCATACCGAAGCAGACGACAATGAAACCCCATACTGGTAGGCCCGATTCCCAGTAGCGGACAGTGAAGATACCGAGGCCAAGAACAACGACTGTGAGAACCCCATACCACCAGTCTGGTACTTCTTTATAGTGGTTCATTAGCCGCTTATGAATATCCTCGCCTCCGGAACGTGAATTTTTGAACTTTGCCCATATCTCCTTTCCGTTGTATAGGTAGGTGTGAAAAACCATGGCAGTGACCGCAGCGAATGACAGAGCATACGAGAGAGAGTATGACATGGATATGTACATGGGGGAGTACTCTTCATATTTGCTTAGGACGAAGTTGAGATTCTTGTCGACGACACGGGAAATGTTGTAAGATGAGCCGGTGTTGTCGAATGTGCCTGAAGACAGAAGTGGCAAGCTATTGACTGTTAGCAGAGGTGTCCAACATTAAGGGAAGGGCTTACTGACTAAGCGCTGTACCAGACATTGTTATAATACAGGATCGGCGACAGGAACAAATAGAATATCAGAACAACGGCAAAGGCGTTGCAGGTAATATAAAAAGGCGTTGTCAGAGGCGTGCCCGCATAGACGATTTGAGTCCAGTCGAAACTAATGGGCAGTAGGCCGAGCCCTGAGTTCATACCAAAGATGGTGTTGACTTTTTGGTTATGTGGCACGATCCAGGTGATGAATGCAAAAGTGCTGAGACTAGTCCAGAGATAGTCGGGGAACCAGAATATGACAAACGCGAAGATGGTGAAGTATGAGAAGAAGCGGTATCGCGATATGGTCCAGCCATTGGATGAGACGTGTTCCTGAGGTTCGTGCAAAGCGCGAAAGAGTACCGTCGATGCCAATGTCGACGGCCAAATCAAGGCAGCAGGGTAGACCAACCATCGACGAGCAAGGCCTGCGAGACCAAAGCCAAGCATTTGCGTCGTCAAAAGGAACAAGAAGGAGAATCCCGCGCCATTGTCTTGATTCCAATATATAGGACTGATGATGGCTACGAGAGCGCCTGAGGCGTAAGCAATACTTGAACTAATGTTGACGCACTTTGACAAGTCAGCCGTTTGTAACAGTACTTTCATGGCCACGGTAGCTATGACTCACAATGACGATCAACGCATGCTCCTTGATCGAAAATGGTCCTGGGTTGAAGTCGAAGGACAACGGACCCAGGGGTAGGCGCCATCGAGGGAGTTTCTCCCAAGCTCTTCCAATAGGGAAAACCAGCAGTTGCGCGACGACGTATCCTATGGTCAAAGATGGCTGCATATAGTTAGTGCCAGGGCGATGGTTTCAAGATAAGCGCAACTCACGTATCGCAAACCAAAGAACTGGTTGGCACCAGCGAAGATAATGACAAAGACCGTGGTAAGTACCCAGGCTCGGAATGCTGCTCTCAGTCAGGCCATATTGAACAACCCGTGCGTGCGAACGCGAATATTGGAACTTACTGTTGCAAGGGATGCTGGGATCATCCGTGTTGGGCACACAGGCAGCTACTTCGGGGACTTGTGACCGTTAGATCCAACTTCTAACCACGATTTATTCTGACCAACTTACAAGGTGACTGGTCACCATCAACGTTCCAATTGAAAGCTTCATTGGGTATGAGTTCGACAGCCTCGGCCTTCTCGACGAGTTTCTGCTTCTCGGCCTCGTATCCTTCGCCTTCCAAATCGGCTACATAGGGTTCAATGGTGTCCTTCCCATCCTTTGTCTCATTGTCGCGAGTAGACTGTGGGATCCGGTCGTCACTCGAGTTGTCGGGGGAGGCTTGCTCTATCTCAGCAGCCATGGTGATGTCTGTGGCAGCTCAGTCGGCTTGTGTCTAACAAACTCGCCTACCTGAGTTCGGAAGAAGAGATGGATCACAAGGGATCGCCCTTTTGCATGGAGCATACAGTCAAGTATATAGATTTTAAGGTCGAGCAAGACCCACAGGTCGCACATTGATATTCGGCGGCCGACATTCGCCTCTGTATTGCCATAGTACGTATTTTCCCTGGCTATAGACAAGGTTGATGTAGGAGACCCACGATGTTACGACGCTCGCAAGCACGACATTTGGTCTTTTCTCTTTTGATACTGGGCCAGATCATTGGATGGAGCCAGTAGTGGCCCGACACTAGGAAGGGGGGAGTCTCAATATCCAGCCAAACAAGGTGACACGGAAAATTGCGCACCCCCACCATAGCACACTATACCACAGTCTATTCCTCTACGTACAACAAACGGCCAGGTGCGCAATTTTCCGTGTCACCAGCCTTGTGCCAGCCAATGCGCGGTGTCAAATATTGCATGACCCATGGAGTCGATGGTTGACTATGTCCCTATGCAGCTATATCTACCGAGGTTGCTGTCTGGCTTCTGGCCACGGGGAGGGAAATGCATGACGCGAGGACACAGCGGATTCTCTGTAACCTGGTCGCCAATCCATCCACTGCGACGAGAAAGGAGAAATGGATTTCATATTGGAGCGGAGCTGTCCGGTGGGCAAACTTGCAGTGATGGCATGCTGGAAGTGGCAGAGATATCGGCTCGGGAGTTCCGCTACGATCCCTGCAAAGATTGTCCGAAGAAGGGGCGCAAGCACGAAGGGTGATGTGGAGGTTTGCCGGTGCTGTGAACCGAAGCGTCGGGATTGCGTTATAAAGAATGGATAATATTATCAATTCAAAGGCCGGTGGTGGTGGAAAAGAGAGAACTCGATCTCGTACAAGTAGTCGGCTAGACTGTGTTTGGCGAATTTTCGATCACGTATCTGGCCCTGGCCATGGCGTATAGGAAGCGGATCAGTTGCCGAAGGCATATATATCCGTGCGCCCACATTAGCTCAGTATAGCAGAAAGACGGCGACGTAGGATTTGGCCGCGTGGCTGCATTTCGGGCGATTCCACAAAAAGCTTAAAGTCAATCAAGCATTCACTTGATCACGAAATGTCAATAAGGGCCGTGGGCCGTGGGGGGAACATCTGAACGAAACACATGATTTACATGTTGTGTGGTTTTATTGGGGAAAAAGTCATAATGAAGCGAGGGGCAAAGGGATGGCCGCCACAGCCAGCAAGCTGGCGCCTCTACACAGTAGAAACAGGTGAGAGGTGACAGGTCATTGCTGGGCGTAAAATGATAATGCACGAGTGCACAAGACGAAGTATCTGAGATGATAAGCCTAGGTTGGTCAGGCTCGTCGCGTTGGCCTCTTCGCTGAAAGGGATGTTGTGTATATGTGCGAACGACTGCGATGGTCATAGTTTGATGTTGGGCTGCAGAGATCCTACAGCCCACTGATAGTCAAGACGATCGATCTGATATGGTGCTTCATGTGTACGTACCTGCGAATAACTAGTGTAACTAAATTAGTTAGGTTAGCAAGCTACACAGTCACTGTACTAAGGTTAGGTTATATGACAGCAACGGCCTTCGGGCCTGGTTAATTCCGAACGGCCCCCAATGCCAATGCTGCATCTCACTGAAACTTGCGTACTCGAAAGCCACTAGGTTAGGTTAACACTGGGTCAATAGCTTTGCTTGTGGTTGCTTGCCTCCCCTGCCCTCCGCTTCCCCTGCCTGCAGTTCCCGCGTCGCGACTTTCTAATTTAGCGCAGGCGCGTTCATTGCCTTGTCGCTGCGCTCGCTGCCTTTAAGTTAGTCTAGGCTAGTTCAGTTCATTTTCCAACCTTACCTCACCTTGGACTCCATCGATCATCGTGAAGCCGATATGCGACAAGCTCGGCCGATCCTCAATCAACCATGCATCTCGTCAAGCCATCATGGCTAAGCCATAAAGGTAGGTCCCGGTCCAGATGCACAGACATTGAACCACCCACACACCATGCAGTGCGCGATGGACCCAGCTTGGCTAACTTGCATGCGACAGGCGAGCAGAAGGACTTCGAGGTTTACAGCTGCCACGTCTCACCCGACGGAAAGAGGTTGGCCACCGCTGGGGGGGATGGGCATGTCCGCATATGGTCTACAGAGGCCGTCTACAATGCCCACGACAGAAGCTATGCGAAGCCGAGGCAGCTATGCCACATGAGCCATCACCTCGGCACCATACACTCGGTACGCTTCTCCCCCAACGGCCGCTACCTCGCATCCGGCGCAGACGACAAGATCATCTGTATATACCAGCTCGAGAGCGGTCCCCCGACCGTGCCCGCCTTCGGCACCAACGAGCCCCCTCCCGTCGAGAACTGGAAGACCTCGAAGCGTCTGGTAGGCCACGAGAACGATGTGCAGGACTTGGCCTGGTCTTACGATGGTTCCATCCTCGTCTCCGTCGGCCTCGACTCCAAGATCGTCATCTGGTCCGGCCACACCTTCGAGAAGCTCAAGGTCCTCTCTGGCCATCAGAGCCACGTCAAGGGCATAACGTTCGACCCCGCCAACAAGTTCTTCGCCACCGCCAGCGACGACAGGACCATCAAGATCTTCCGCTTCACCTCCCCCGCCCCCAACGCCACCCAACACGACATGGTCAACAACTTCCAGCTCGAGACTACCATCAGCGCCCCCTTCAAGTCCTCCCCCCTCACCACCTACTTCCGGAGGTGCTCCTGGTCCCCCGATGGTAACCACATCGCCGCTGCCAATGCCGTCAACGGCCCCGTCAGTTCCGTTGCCATAATCGAGCGCTCAAGGTGGGACAGTGAGATCAACCTGATTGGGCATGAAGGCCCCACCGAGGTCTGCATGTTTTCTCCCCGTCTCTTCCACACCGAGAAGCCCGTCGAGAACGGCCTCGGCGCTACCAACGGCCATGGCTCCGGCTCGCTCGTCACCGTCATCGCCTCGGCTGGCCAGGACAAGACCCTGAGCATATGGAACACCAATTCGTCTAGGCCCGTGGTTATATTGCAAGACTTGGCCGCCAAATCCATATCGGACTTGGCCTGGACCCCCGATGGCCAGACCCTCTTTGCCGCCAGTCTGGACGGTAGTATCATCTGTGCGAGGTTCGAGACTGGCGAGCTGGGCTGGGTGGCTAATCTGGAGGAGACGGACAAGGCCCTGTCCAAATATGGTGCCTCGAGGAAAGCCATGGGCATCGCAGAAGACGTCGACGGGCTCTTGCTGGAGAACCACGCCAAGGAAGGAGAGAGGCGAGGCGCAGAATCCAGAATGGGCGCTCTGATGGGCGACCACCATCCTCTGGCGAAAGACCTTGCCCAGACGTCGACCACAAATGGCACCAAGCCCGGTACTGGTACAGCAACGCCGAATACCGCCCCTACACCCAATGCCCAACTCGAGGCAGAGGCCACAAAGGAGTCGGAAAAGGACAAGGAGGCTGCACCTGCCAACGAGTCGACCGACAAGACGGCCCAGCGGGTGAATGAGCTGAAGTCGCGTGTTACAATCGGCAAGGACGGCAAGAAAAGGGTGGCCCCCATGCTTATATCTTCATCTGGCACTGGCCAGTCCTCGTTGCCTCAGACCCAGCTGGTGGGTTCCAGTGCCACCAAAGCTGCTCAGAATGACGCCCCGCAAACAATCCTTGACCTCTCCAAGCCTTACGACGGTCTGCCCGAAGGTGGCTTGGCATCCATGCTGCTTGGCAACAAGCGCAAAGCCATTCCACTTGATGATGACGAGGAGGAGGTTTTGGGGAAGCGCCCTGCGACTGGGCCTCGACCCATCATGAGAAACGGCGTCGACGGTCTTGAACCTGCAACCCTGGAGCCGCCCCGTAATGGTCTTGTATCGACGCCCGAATACCTTCGACCCGCCGTCCTCAACCCATCTATTGCCATATCGCAGGTACGACTCGCTGTGCCAAAAGTGCGCTCACACGTTCTCCGACCTCTCGAAAAGGGGATTCTACTTGACGACACTAGCTCCGAGGAAGCATCAAAGGTGCCCGAGAATGTGATACTCGAAGCGAAGAACCCGGCATCGATCAGGGACCCCTCTCATATCACAGCATCAAAGCGTGGAGTTGTCCTTTGGCAAGACTTCCTTCCGCGAGCTATCATCCTGGTGACTGGTAACAAGAACTTTTGGGCAGCGGCCTGCGAGGATGGAAGTATCTACACCTGGACTCCAGCTGGTCGCAGGCTGGTCAACGCCATGGTTCTCGAGTCCCAGCCAGTCATTCTTGAATGCCGGGACTGGTGGCTCTTGTGCATCACCGCTGTCGGGCAATGTTATGTATGGAACATGAAATCCCTTTCATCGCCACATCCGCCCATTTCGCTCGCCCCAGTGCTCGAAACTGCTATCCATTCGCTTCAGCCGCACGCAGCCATGCCCGCCCCTGGCGTCACTTCTGCTCATCTCAACTCGAATGGCCACATTGTCGTCACTCTGACCAACGGCGATGGCTACTATTACTCCCCGGATATGTACTCATGGCAAAGATTGTCCGAAGCTTGGTGGGCTGTTGGCAGTCAGTACTGGAACAGCAACGATTCTTCTGTTGGTGCACTTCAATCGACGGCCGTTGGCCCAACACAAAGCAAAACCGACAAGAACGACGTATCCTTGGTTTCGGCCGGCATCATACCCTTCTTGGAACGCCATACAACCAACGAGTTCCTGCTCAAGGGCAGGGCCTATACGCTACAGCGAATGATCAAAGCTCTGCTGTCGAAAGATGGGTTCGAGTCGTTCGAATCCACCGTCAGCATTGCTCACCTCGAGAATCGCATTGCTGGTGCTTTGCAGCTAGCAGCCAAGGACGAGTTCAGATTGTACCTCTTCATGTATGCTAAACGAATTGGCGCTGAAGGACTGCGCGGTAAGGTCGAAGAGCTGCTCAACAGCCTTCTCGGTGGTATTTTGCAGGACAGGAAGTTCGAGGCTACCGAGCAAGCCAAGGGCTGGTTCAGCAAAGACGGTCAGATCTGTGGATGGGACCGACAGGAATTGCTCAGAGGTGTTGTCATGATTCTCGGTAAGTTATCTGGTTTTGATGCGCGCGACATGAGATAGAATGACCACTAACGGCAACACAGGCAAATTCAGGGAGTTACAGCGCCTCACTGTACAGTATGCTCGTGTTCTTGATCTTACTTTGGAGGACGACGAGAATGGTGATGCTATGGTCGTGGAGACCTGATAACGTGCAGCTCGATATGCAGTATGGCGTTCCGGAGTTGGTGGCTTACTGGAAAAATGGATTGGTGATACCAATGTTGTTGCTTTATTGGCCTGATGTCATTGTACTGAGTGTCTATATCCCTTTAGATAGTGTTGTCCCTGGTCAAGCTTGGGTCACCTTGCAAATCTATGATGAAACCCATCACTATCCATGGCATATGATAATGATTGTAGTGGCTGCTTTGATAAGTGCAAGGTCACTCAGCCGATGAACCACTCATATATATTAGTGAGTAGAAGTCTATTCTGTACACTGGAAGTATGGGTGTGTAGCCACGTGTTAGCTAGATGGAGGCTACAAGCTAGAGGGTATCCGGGGTTCTTTCGACAATCTTCCCATATCTGACTGGGTCCCCTGGGTTGCCACCGCGATTGCAACTCGCTAGCCAAATCCGTAGGACAATAACACCTCAGATGTCGGGCTTCATGAATCAGAGCGAAAATAATCTTCTCAGCAATGCCTTGCTGCGGCAGCTGCTATCAGTGGGCAGTCATATCAACCCACCAAGATTCACCCAATTGTCAGCTCAGTATTAGTGAGACTGAATTTCACCATTTCGCTGCTTCCGGTGATGCTTGGCGGCGGCAGTCTCCCAGATCTCCCATACACTGCAAGTCACTGCCCAACCAGTGAGTGTTGTGTCACTGGCTATCAGAGTTGCAGGCCATTACGGGATGGCGTAATATTCAAGTCAGTGATGGTGATGCCTCGGGGACGAGCAGAACAGAATTCAATGTTAGGAGGGCATGGCGTGGTCGCAATGTCACAAGGCAATCACCTCATAGCGCTTCTAGCTGGGTGTGAAAGGTACTCACGTGGTCTGTGATTCAACAATATGGTTTTCCATATTAGCGTTAAGTGGTGTTGTTTGTTGTGGTAATAGTGCCATCACAACTGGCAGAAGCTACCAAAGAAGTGGTTGTGGCTGCCGTTCTTTGCCAGCAGTGCTATACTCCAAGCAAGCTTTGCCTTCCCGAAGCGGGCAACGAAGCTGTTGTCATGTTTTATGGTCATTGTGCAGTAAACAAGCCGATATTAAGACAGCTTTAGTTCAACGATAGCGTTGCGTTTACCCTCTGCCCCTTGCCTCTTTGCAGCTGTTCTGATGTTCATTATCACAATTGATGTTTGGACTATGCAAAGACAGCACCTAAGCAACGGCTGTTAGGGAACAAAGAAAACATGTTCATGGCCGAGCCATCCGTACTCATTTCACCTGAGAACAACACAAGTGATTAAACTGTGGGATGACCACAATAGATGGCCGCTGTCGGCGACCAAGACTAAACAAAAATATCAGCCATAACGTAGAATGATACGGCACAGCCACTTACGTGTGACAATAAGGACATTCGCATAATACAAAATAACAGATGGTTACCCGGTACCTATCGCCGAGTTTTAGAATCCACCCCATGGCTCACATCAACTTCACTCAAAAACAACAACCGCCAAAATGCATCGTGCAGCGCTTCAAGTCACTGCCGTCCTGGCCATTCTTTACCTAGTCTTCGTATACACCAAGGTCCAAGAGCACACTTCGATGCAGGAGTATGAGCCTCCCGTCGCTGCTTCCATTCACCAAGCTCGCACCCCGCTCGAGTGGCTGAGTAGCAACAACTACAACCATAGACCTGTCAACAGCATTCCCATGTCCGTCCTCGATCAATTCATAGCAGACAAACCCAAGGCTGCACTCATCGCGCTGGTACGCAACTCGGAAGAGGCGGGCATGGTCCATTCCATCCTGCAAGTCGAGGCAAGATTTAACAATCGCAAGACCCACCGCTACGACTGGGTCCTGTTCAACAACGAGCCTTTCACGGCCTCTTTCATGGCAGCTGTGGGCAACGCCACCACGTCTCGGATTTTCTTCGAGCAAATCGGACAAGAACACTGGCAGGTCCCTAGCTGGGTTAACCCCTCACGTTATGAGGTTGGCCGTGAGTTCCAAGGCGGCATTGGCGTTGGCAAAGCCTGGCTCAAGAGCTACCATTTGATGTGCCGCTGGTACTCTGGTCTGTTTGCACTTGAAAGCCGTCTGAAGAGCTATGACTGGTACTGGCGTGTTGAGCCTGATGTATGCCCAGAACGCCTTATCCCACTGTATTTCGTTTCATTCTGACGTGCTAACACCGGCCTCACAGGTCCAGTACACCTGCAATATCAATTACGACGTCTTCCGATTCATGCGTGACAACAACATAGCCTATGGCTTCAACATGGCCATCCTAGATGACGCGAGGTCCTTCCCCTCCCTGTGGGAGCGGACGCAGACATTCAAGAGGCAAAATCCTCACATGGTGAATCAGGAAGCCGATATGCGATGGCTCCTGCACAACACACATGAGCCTGGCAGCATCGTCCGCTCTGGCCCCGGTTACCAGCCCGTCATCGACGGCGAGTACAACAACTGCCAGTTTTATTCCAACTTTGAGATTGGGTCACTCAACTTCTTCCGCAGCAAGGAGCACCAATCCTACTTTCAACATCTCGATCGATCTGGGAGCTTCTTCTATGAGCGATACGGCGATGCTCCAGTCCATACCCTTAGCGTCGGCATGTTCCTGCCCAAGCGGCGTGTCTGGTTCTTCCGTGACATCGGCTACTCCCATGGCCTATGCGAGAATTGCCCGCCTCACGTATCCAAGCTTCCCATGGGACCTGAGCCTGATCCACGCCGCATCAGAGCTTCAGAACTGCGTGCAGACATGAATCAAGGCGATCAACACATCGACCACGTCACCAAGGACTTTGAGCGCCAGAAGGCTATGCCTGGCTTGGCATGCGGTTGCACCACCACCAACCTGGACAACGGCTTTTCCAAACTTGTCCCGTACGAGTCGAAGCAGGTCAAGCCGCTGCACAGCTGTATCCGACTGTGGCTGGATGGCGACTACTTGAGGAAGGGGGGTGATGACTACCTCATTGATGTGTAGTTAGCCGACTAGATGGCCTATAGCTTAGTCTCACACACAAAACGCGAATCAGTTTTGATACTCTCTATGTTGCCCCATCGCTACCAGTAGACCACAGTATTGTAGGTAAGATCGTCAGTAACGAGAGAAAGACCTCTGGAAATGGCAAAGATCAATTGAAACTATCAAATACACACCCACCCATAGCTGGCCGTCGAGTCCACGGTATTATTTGCCCAGGATGAATAACGATCGTAGCGACTCACTGGCAGCCTTCTCTCGTTTAAAGCAAAAAGAAGGAAGGAAGAAGATAGAAAAGAAGAAAAGAGAAAAGAAGACAAGAAGACAAGAAGACAAGAAGAGAAAAAGGTGCATGTATCGTGCCCAAGTGCTTGATATGTCATTGGCTGTTCATCTCCAAGCAAAGAGCATTGGTGGCGGCTACACATATCAAGCACCTAGATCTGTAGGAAGGCTGGAAGGGTATCCCTAGGATCTACAGGGCCAGGTAAAATACAAGCAAGTCGCTGACTTCACCACGTAAGTGACAGATCCTCGCATTAAAGCAATAAGATTGCATGTTACCAAATTCGTGTACATCGAATCGAGTCAAGCACGACCTGGTCGTACGATGCAAGTAGGACTACTTCAAGTCCTGTTTGGGAGAACGGTCTTTTTGTCGTTAATATGGCTGGTTTCAACGACACGTAATATAGGAACTATTTTACTTGATAGTCTCGAGACCGAAACACTTGCAGGCAAAGGTTTTCAAATTTGCTGGTGGTCCTCCAATGTCCGAAGCCAGCTTAGCAGCTTAGGTGAAAACTGGCAGGAGAATAGTGAAGGAGACCGCTGGTTTGCTAATGAGTCTGAGCAGCAATGAGGAAGTGATCGACCAGAACTTGTACGGGCTAGAAGTTCTAGAAAAGTTCTAACCTGTGTAGTGACATGAAATATTTGTGCTCGTCTCCACCCTATTATCCCCGCCGGCTGCCCCCCAGCCCTCCAGCTTCCAAGCTCTTGACCCGAGAGCCTACGCAGAGACAAAGACGTCATCGCTTTTGAACGACAGGATCCGGAGCTCTTGACGTTAGTCGCTGAAAACAAAAGTCGCACGATAATAAGACGGGGTACCGCATTTCTGCTCCCCGTTTTCCTGGTGTGAAGCGAGGCGACCCGATACAATGCGGGCGTTAGTCCCGGTCGTTTCTCGGCGCGTCAGTGGGCCGTGGTGGGCCAACAGCAGATGGCCTTTTTCGCGACTGGTAGACTGGCAACGTTTTGATGCGGACCTGCCATTACTATTACGAGTCATTGGGCGCGTGATGGGCAAGAACGGTCTGACCATCATCCCTAGGTAAGGATTAGGATTTATCATCGACACAACGGTGCGCAGACGAGAAATCGGCTCGATCGTGCTTGGCTGCATCCAATTCTTAAATAAGCAGAACCCAATATGAGGCGCCGGCTCTTGGGTGGCATGGGCAAGCTTTTCCCGGGCGCCTCTCCCGTTACCAAGCTTTTGAGGCTCTTCTCCTTGACAATTGGTTTGATCCATCATTAGCACACATCAGCATGTAATTCCCGGTATCTCGATCTGCTATCGAATTGCCATTTCTTGAAACAAGGTTTTTGCAAATGCAAGCAGATGGGCGAGCTACAGTACTGCTGATGATCTCTGCAAGTGTTGCGGAGGTGCGCAATCGGTCCTTTCCCCATTTATTGCCAGACGCCCATCTCCAGGTGGGATGTTGAGCATTTCTGGAGACTGGAGCACCCAGACTCCAGACAACCCAAAAGAAAACAGTGGTGCATCTGCCCAAGCTGGAGACTGGAGTCGACCGGAGAACTTGCTGGGGCCCCAGTAGAAGCACCGCCCCTACCTCGGCGTATTTGCTCTTGTCGAACTCCACTATCGCGAGTTGAGTGCTGACTATCGTCGGTTGTCTCGAGTCAAGTGACCAAAATACAGCAACCCACAATGACATAGACTTGTTGATGTCTTTGTGAAAATTCCTGGCAGGTTGCCCAGGGGTACCCTTTTGGTGTTGATCTACAAAAGGCATTCCCATCTCCTTTTGTCCAAATCTGCGTTTCCCTCTCAGTATCTTCTCCTTATATTGTACACACAATTCCGCTGGGCGAAAAAAGCCTACACACTGATACACAACTATAAGAAAGATGGCGGAATCAGTGACCAAAGCCCCTACGGGCAAGAAGGCCGTCGACCAAGTCGAGTACCCTTCAAGCACTCTCCCTGGATTGAAAGAGAAGGATGCCATCGCTGTCTCTCAGGCCAACAACCGTGTTGTTGATTCGGTCATATTCGAAATGGAACAAGAGCTTGCCGCTGCCGGCGGCTTGTCCAAGGGGTTTTTCGATTTACAGTTCAAGGACCCCAGACACTTCACCTGGATCATAGTCTTATTTGCCTCCATGGGTGGTCTTCTCTCTGGTCTCGATCAATCGCTTATCTCTGGTGCCAATCTGTTCCTTCCCGACGACCTTGGCCTGGATACTCGGCAAAACAGCTTGGTGAACTCGGGTATGCCTCTAGGTGCCGTCGGCGGTGCCATCCTCCTCGGTCCTCTCAACGAGTGGTTCGGAAGACGTTGGTCTATCATCATCTCGACAATCCTGTACACAATTGGCGCCGCGCTTGAGGCTGGTGCCATGAATTTTGGTAAGAGTTACCTGGCCAACGAGAATCATGTCATTTTCTAACCGACCTCAGGCATGATTGTTGCTGCCCGTGTCATCCTTGGTATCGGTGTCGGCCTTGAAGGTGGTACTGTTCCCGTCTACGTCGCCGAGACCGTCGAGCGCAGGGTTCGTGGTAACCTCGTCTCCCTCTACCAGTTCAATATTGCCCTAGGAGAGGTTCTAGGCTACGCCATTGCTGCCATGTTTCTGAACGTCCCTGGTAACTGGCGATACATTTTGGGCTCGTCCCTGGTTTTCTCCACCATCATGTTTGTGGGTATGCTTTTCTTGCCCGAGTCCCCCAGATACCTAATGCACAAGGGCCGGAAACTTGATGCTTACAAGGTCTGGAAACGTATTCGTGGTGTCGAGACAGAGGACGCCAAGGAGGAGTTCTTTGTCATGCAGGTCTCGGTGCTTGACGAGCATCAAGTCGTGTCTGAAGGAGCTAAGAACAAGCGCTACCCCTGGATGGACTTCATCTCCGTCCCCAGAGCACGCCGTGCCCTTGTTTACGCCAACATCATGATTCTTCTTGGACAGCTTACTGGTGTCAATGCCATCATGTACTACATGTCCACCCTGATGACACAGATTGGTTTCGATAAAACCAAAGCCACCTACATGTCTCTCGTCGGTGGTGGGTCCCTCCTGGTCGGCACTATTCCTGCATGTTTCTATATGGAGAAATTCGGTCGCCGATTCTGGGCCAACGCCATGTTGCCTGGATTCTTTGTTGGTCTTCTCATCATTGGTTGCAGCTACCAAATCGACCCTGCGACGAACCCCAATGGTGCCATTGCCTGTTACCTTACCGGCCTCATCCTGTACATGGGCTTTTTCGGTTGTTACGCCTGTCTGACTTGGGTCGTCCCATCCGAGGTATACCCAACATACTTGCGTCACTGGGGTATGACAACCTCCGATGCCCTCCTTTTCCTGGCATCTTTCGTCGTCACCTACAACTTCTCCGCCATGCAAGAAGTCATGAAGCCTGAAGGTCTGATGCTTGGCTTCTATGGTGGTATCGCGGTCATCGGCTGGTTTTACCAGATTCTCTTCATGCCAGAGACAAAAGATAAGACGCTCGAAGAGATCGACCTTCTTTTTGAGAAACCTACGAGGGAGATTGTTGCCTTGAACCTGAAGAACACCTCGCAGTTCATGTCTAATTTGTTCCACGGACGATGGACTGCCAAGAGCCAGGCGGCTACAGGCACCGCGGCCTCGCCACCTGCTGGACTAACGGAGAAGGAGAAGGAGCTTGATGCTGATGTCTAAATATCATGTCACGGTCGTGAGGATTGTGAATCTGGCCGGATTTTTGTAATTAGTTTCTTTTACGCTGGTGATACCCATGATGGAAAATAGACGCCGGGGGAGAGCGCTATGATTTAATGAATAATGAACAATGTTCGACAACACTCCCTAATGGACAAGTAACACGGATGGGATCACTAATAGGTCCATTGATGGTGTTTGTAAACCGGACGAGGAATACAGTAAAGCTATCCTCTTTTCCTGGCGAAGGTTCGTCAACCAACCGAGCAAGGTCATTCAATTTGCCAACTCCATGTAAGACTCCATCTATCATGCTTCCATCGACTCCTATGTAGAATCCACGATGCTGATTCGGCTTGAAGCAATCTACTCCTGGATATGAGTGAGCTGAGCTGACACGAACAACCCCCAGTCCGCAGCATTCAGGTACGCTATGCCGGATCTGGTAACTAGGAACTTCTGCCATGCAGGGACCTTGATAGCCGACCAATGATGGACATTCATAAGATTAGCGTCACGAGAACGTCCCACCATCACGATTCCGTAGCCCCTCATGTGAGATGGTGATAATAAACGTTCCGATTAGACGATTAGGACATTGCTTATGTTTCCGACTCCTTGAAGCAATTACGGACTTCAAAAAAATAAACTAGTTCTTTTTCTTTCACAATTTCTTGGTTTGCGATTGTTGCAGCTGTTGCAAACGTGAAACCGTTATAACCATGGTAACCTCTTGATCGCTGAACTGGAAAGATGGATCAGTCAAGTCCGACACCAACGGATAGCGATTCGGAAATTCTACCGTCATCATGTTCGCCAGATTCCCTCGCGACGTCATTTTGGATGAGTCCCTACACCGACTCATTCACGAACGTCGCGTATGACCCGAGTTGGATACAGCAACAGCAGCGGCAGCAACAACAACAACAACGTGGCTTTAGCTATGACGATATGATGCTCGATGTGTTCAGCACCGACATCAGCTCGATGGAGATGGATTGGCTGTCAACGCGCTCAGAACCAGCCCCATGCACGGAAGTCGTAGAGCAGCTTCGCCCCAAGATGGAGAAACGGACCCCGGCATTTTCAGAAATGCAGATCAAATTCTCTACCGGGCGCAGGTCTTATGTCGCATCTCAGTCGGGGGAAGCTTGGGAGTCGCGGAAAACCGAGTTACACCGGTTGTACATCCACGAGGATAGAACACTAAAGGATGTCATGAATACACTGGAACTCAAAGGCTTCAAAGCTAGGTAAGATATGGGTTTTGCACCCTCGACACAATCGTCCTGTCCCGTCTGACGTTTTCCTCACAGCGCAAAGATGTACAAGACTAGGTTCAAGCAATGGGGTTTCGTCAAAAATAACACCAGGGACGATGTCACCAAGATGATGCAGGTCCGGCGCCATCGTGCTGCCATCGGGAAACCAACAACGTTCGAAAGAAACGGCAAGGTCGTCATGATTGACAAGTATCTCAGAAAGAACGGCATTGTCTTGTGCGACATGAGAACTTCTGCGTCTGAAAGTGAGCTCCCGAGGACGGTAAGATGCCATACGCCACCACCGGAAGCCATGCCTACCTCTGGACCACTTCTACTCAAAGAGCTCTTGATGAAATGCCTGAGGGGCCTGACGCCATCGTTTTCCTGCATCAAGCGTTCCTTGGACGAAAAATACTCTGCAACCACGGCGTTGTGGGACGCACCTCGGTATTTGAAACTCGCCTGTGACTTGTTTTCCGAGAAACGGAACAAGCAGGCTGGATCTATATGCAATTCAGCATTTAGCTCAGTGCACACCCTGGTCCACCCGCCGCGACTTGACACTCTCTTCAACTTCCTATTTAGCCAGCTATGGTGGGCCAACCGAGATATTACCCTTGAGCTATGGCGATACCTCGCTGCATATATGTCGAATGTTCTAAGAATACAAAATGAGGTGTACTACCTTCTCCGAAGTCTAATCGAGCATATCGACACATACGGTTACAATTCCTACCTTGACTTCATAACCGAGTGCATCGACGACATTCTGGTATTGGCCAACCACGATGACCGTAGGACGATATTTCGGAGCTCTCAGAGTCAGTTGATTGGCTGGTGTCAACTCATCGTCATGGACTGTTACTTCATAAACGGATACAATGTACGGGCCGATCGAGTTCAGGCACGATGCGCGCGTGCTCTTCCACGGAGTTGCTTTTTCCCACACGACAGGAAGATCAACGAACAGCTCTGGCGAGAGGACTTCTCGCGGCATACCGCATCGTCTGAAATCGCTCCAAAACGCAATAGCTCAAGACACGAAAAGTTCCTGCGGCTAGCATTCGAAAGTTACGCCAAATTGTTGGGACGGTCCAAGTTTGGGACACCTGCTATGCACCCAAGCCTGACGCGTATAGAGAACGTCGTTGGTGGGTTGACCAGGAAGCATCTCGATCCATCGGCCATATCAAGACAACAGCAGAGTTTCAACCTGGAAAGTCGAATCCTAGCATTCATGACGCGAGATCTGTCCCAGGGTGCGGTAAACATGCCTTCCGAGTACGGATCATACCCAGTCTGAAGACATCCATCTCTGACTGTGACACGTGGAAGCGCTTCTGCGTAGTGCTGTGCTGGAGCCCTGTTTCCTTGAGCTATAGGGAGCTTCATTTTTAGACAAAATTTCAGACCGGATACCGGATGCGGGGCCCGGTACACTGTTCATCATTACCACAATGCATAGAAGTCTGCGACTGCATTCCCCCAAGGGTAGATGCAGGTGAATCCCCGACCGTGGCTCAGATCGAACCTATCAAACTCCATGGGGGTGTATGCATTTGAAGCAGTTGTTTGAACCTTTTGGAAATTCAAAGGGGTACAGTTTGGTCAATGTCTACTACGGCCTGATGCTTGCATTAGAAGGGGTCTGCAAAGAATGTGGGGGTCAATAGTCTGCAGCTGCAGGAGCATGATGTCAAACTTCAAGCTGCAGATAGGCAGTTTCTCTAGCTGTATCTGAAAACTGCATAATTCTGCTCGTTGTCATTACACCACGAGACTTGCAAATGTTCCACGGGAGCGCGTCGGCGGTGAGAGAACGACTTCATACTGAACGCTGTGTGGGACTCAAAGAAAGCTCGAGCATGAAGAAGATAAACAATGAAGGCTACCAACTTGTAGCAACGACACCTGACTGTTATATTTCTGGGGCCGTAGGTTTCAAATTGTTCCAGTCACAGATCTGCCAGCCAGAAAATATTGCACAGTACACCAGTCTAGCTGCAAGCCACGATGCAATCTTAATCAGAATCAACGCAGGCTCTGCGTATCCGAACAGAGACCGAGACGGTACGACCAATCAGCAAGAAACTCGCTCAAAATCCGGCATCGTCTGATATCAACTTTAAATATATCCAACCAATCGTCACTAAGGGGGTTTTTCAAGAAAGTTAGAGGCCGACAGGGTTCTTCTTGAACTTGATCTCCTGGTGCTTCACTGAAAGCAAGTTGGCAGAAGTCTGAGATCCTGGCCTCTCGGCCGTATTTAATAGTTGCGGACAGCGACGTCACCCATCTTTTACACGTAGTTCACCAATTGCCGAACATGTCGACCATAATCAACTTTCAGCTTAGGGCTCACATGAGCCTCGTGGCTCAAGTTCAGACCGATGCACCACAGCCACAACCAATCCAACAGCAAGCGTCAATCAAGGCATTACCAACCAACCAGAAGGATACGTCCAGCCAAGATGCAGAGCACAAGAGCTTTTGGAGCTCGCCTAATTCACCACCACCCATCAATCACGATAACTTCGAAAATCCCACCCGAGTTGCCACAGACATCCGCATCTCACTCAGGGGGCCCAGCCCGGAGGTCGAACAAGACTCCGAGGAGTTTAGGCGGCAATCCAGAGAGATCAAGAAAGACATCCAAAGGATGTCGAAATACAAGACGAAATCCGCTCAAACGAAGATCAAGAGCCAGGCACGCCAGGAAGAAGACGAAAGGCACACGAGGGAAGGTTTGATGTACGAACACGAATTTCGACGTCGTATGTCGGCCAACGAAGGCAGGGAATTTCTGCTCGACTTTATACAAGACCATTTCCCAGAGCATGTGCAGAACATCACCATCAGGGGCACCAAAACTCTCGAGGAAATCAAGATGATCGGCAATGAGGATGAGCCATCTGTCGGTGTGAGGCAGTGCCGTCGTCTCTTCAACGCGCCGGTCATGAGCGATCAGGTTGGCTTACTATTGTGGCAGGAGCTGAGGCAAGGCGATGCACTTGACCACAGCCACGAGACGCTCACAGGCGACGAAGCCGAAAGAGACGGCGTCGTACTACAGGCGGTGCGAAGGAGGCGATCCAAGGAGCTGGACAGGCTCTTGACCGAGTACATTGCGGAGCGACGGGTGGAACGAGAGGCGTCGACGGTCGCGGACGCTTCCTTGCCGGTCAATGCTCAGCAGAACCGTGAAGTCGCGGTCAAGCCTTACCTTGGCAGGACCAATTGTAACCAAGGCCCCGGGGGCAGATCGGCGATGAGAATGCCAGAAGCAATGAGTAGGGTGGCTGAGCAGGCCGCAGCATGCATATCCATGGAGAAGAAAGCACCGGATGGGTTCCTGGGCGGAGTTAAGAAATCCGCGGCCAAAGGTGTGGCACAGTTCGCAGCTGCGCTGGCGAGTGGCTATACTTGAGCGTTCGGACGACTGGAAAATACGTATGATACGTTTTGCGAGGAAACTTGGAACACGATTGATGAGGGTATGACTTGTTTTTGTTCCTGAAATGTGTGGTTTCTACTCTGTACGTACTGCAGGTCAGATGAGCTGTTTGGTTTGAGGTATTGAGGTGGCGCACGAAGCATACTAAGGTCAGAGAGGTTTTCTGCTCTGAAATTGACACATGATCCCGAATTGTTGAAAATGTTGCCGCTTCCCGCCTGCAGCGAGCTTAGCTCGAGGGCGAGATACGTGACATCGGAAGCAGCGGGATAGGCCTTCTAAACGTCGAGGACATTTACAGAGCTTATCCGCTGTCCCGTGCAGGTTCATAACGCCTAGACTAGTTTAGATTCGTATCTGACTTGTTACGCGTTGGGTATTACTATGGGATTTCCAAGTATTGTGTGTTCCTGCTTTGAAAGTTACCCTGCTTGTTTGCCCCTGTCGATCTAAATGCCTGCGCAGACGGGGCATGCGCTCTACAACTATACTATACTGCGCAATGCAACCGTGCTTGTCTGCCAAGCAAGGGCACCTGACCTCTCCCCCGGATTGTTTCTCCAGAGTACTACGAAATGACAAATGATCCAGGATAGATAATGGAGACAATTTCGGTTGCTCCCGAATCGCGCGGAGTACCACGTTCCATGATGGCCGATGGGGTCTAGACTGTGCGGCTCGCGAGCGACGTCAATCCGGAACAGGGGTCTGCCATTCGCGGAGAAATCCCAGCTCACGATCAATATGGCGCCATGTATCCTTTCATCTCCTGGACTTCCTCAGACTCACGAGTCCTGGTATGTGAGTTTCCACGAAACCATGCAGAGATGCGTAGCGAGATGCGCGAGTTCCTGGAAACGGATAACGTGGCCGCAGGGCAAATGCCAAGCCATCCTATTGGAGGCATATTCAGAGGGCTTCACGAGGCGAGACCAATATAAGAGCTGTGAGGATGTCGCACCGGGTTGGTTAAAGGTGAGGAAGGCTAGGAACAATTGCCACTTGAAGAACTCTCTCTTGTTGACCTTCTGGCATCCAACACCATGAGGGGTCTGTCTTGCCTTTCTCTGCTGCTTGCAGCGACGGCTGGGCCAATCCGTGCCGCTTTCACTTGGCAGAACGTCAAGATCGGTGGCGGCGGTGGATTTACGCCCGGCATCGTGTTCCACCCCAAGACAGAAGGCGTGGCATATGCCCGAACCGACATTGGCGGCATCTATCGTCTGAACTCGGACGACTCGTGGACCGCCATCACCGATAGCATCACCGATAATGCCAACTGGCATAACTGGGGCATTGATGCCATTGCGCTTGATCCTCAGGACGACCAGAAGGTGTACGCCGCGGTGGGCATGTACACTAACAGCTGGGATCCTAGCAACGGTGCCATCATCCGCTCATCTGATCGGGGAGCCACATGGTCGTCCACCAGTCTGAGCTTCAAGGTTGGCGGCAACATGCCTGGCCGTGGAAACGGCGAGCGTTTAGCTGTAGACCCGGCCAACTCCAAGATCATCTACTTCGGAGCCCGATCGGGCAACGGGCTGTGGAAGTCCACCGATGGTGGTGTCACTTTCGCCAAGGTGTCCTCGTTCACGGCGGTTGGAACATTCGCACCAAATCCCAGCGACACCACCGGTTACAACAACGATATCCAAGGCCTGAATTGGGTCACCTTCGACTCTACCTCGGGGACGACCAGTGGTGCTACATCGCGCATCTTTGTCGGTGTTGCTGACAACACGACCGCGAGTGTCTATGTCAGCAACGATGCTGGAAGTACATGGTCCGCTGCCGCTGGACAACCCGTCAAGTATTTTCCACACAAGGGGAAACTCCAGCCCGGCGAGAAGGCGTTATATATCACATACACGGACGGAACTGGCCCGTACGATGGTACCTCTGGTGCCATCTACCGATATGACATTACAAACGGTACTTGGAAGGACATTACCCCCGTCTCCGGCTCTGATCTTTACTTTGGTTTCGGAGGTATCGGTTTGGACATGCAGAACCCTGGTACGCTCGTGGTATCGAGCCTGAACTCATGGTATCCCGATCAGCAGATATTTCGCTCCACTGATTCGGGAGCAACCTGGAGTACGCTCTGGGCATGGACTAGCTACCCCAATATGGCCTATTATTATGGACTCACTGTAAGTTTGTTCACTCACTCACTCACTCACTCGCCCGATGGCACGAATCAGAAAGGTACTAACAGCAACAAGACACCGCTTGCTCCCTGGATTAAGACGGGTTTTGTGGACGTCGACACCAAGAAGCTTGGCTGGATGGTGGAGGCTCTAGAAATCGACCCCCACGACAGCGACCACTGGCTGTACGGTACTGGACTGACGATCTACGGTGGGCACGACCTGACCAAATGGGACACGGTCCACAACATATCCATCCAGGCACTTGCCGACGGCATCGAAGAGTTTGCTGTCCAAGGCCTCGCTTCGGCCCCTGGGGGCAGCGAACTTCTGGCAGCCATCTACGATGAGAACGGCTTTACTTTCAAAACCAAGAGTGATCTTGGCACCTCGCCGAAAACCAACTGGGTGAACCCCGAGTGGTCATCGTCCACTGGTGTCGATTATGCGGGAAACTCGGTGGCCAATGTCGTCCGAGTCGGCAACGTAGCAGGTACTCAGCAGGTGGCCGTTTCTACCGACGGCGGATCGACTTGGAACATCAACTACGGCGCAGACACGGCTACATACGGCGGAACGGTCGCGTACTCTGCCAATGCTGATACCATCCTGTGGTCGTCATCCTCCAACGGTGTGCTGCGCTCCCAGTATCAGAGCACCTTCGCGGCGGTCTCTAGCGTACCGTCTGGCGCCGTGATTGCGTCGGACAAGAAAAACAACACGTACTTTTACGCCGGGTCTTCAGCAAAATTTTACGTAAGCAAAGACACGGGTTCGACTTTTGCGGCGGGTGGTGGGCTTGGAAGTGCCACCGCTATCCGCGACATCGTTGTGAGCGCTGCCACCGCTGGTGACGTCTGGGTGTCGACAGACATCGGTATCTTCCACTCGACCAATTTCGGCGCATCGTTCACCCAGACCTCGACGGCGCTGACAAACACATACCAGATCGCGCTTGGTGTTGGTTCCGGCAGCACCTGGAATGTGTATGCGTTTGGTACGGGGTCTGCAGGTGCTCGACTTTATGCGAGTGCCGACAGCGGCGCCACGTGGACCGACATCCAAGGAAGCAGCCAGGGGTTTGGTGCCATCGACAGCTGCAAGCTCGCGGGAAGCGGCAGCACCGCCGGGCAAGTGTATGTCGGCACCAACGGCCGCGGTGTGTTCTGGGCGCAAGGAGCCGTCAGCGGTAGTGGGGGGTCGTCAACGTCGACCACGTTGAAGACCACCACGTCTTCGTCGGTTGCCACGTCGACTACGATCAAAACGACGACGACCACGTCGGCCTCGAGCACCGTGCGGTCGACATCAACGACAGCCTCGACGACGGTGCGAACAAGCACGTCCACAAGCACTGCGGCATCGTCGACATCGACTGCTGTAGCACAGCACTATGTGAGTAGTTGACACTTGCCCAGATTTGTTCCATCTGCTCTTGAATGTACGGGGAGCTGACTCTGTCACGTAGGCGCAATGTGGAGGAAGCGGCTGGACAGGAGCGACGACTTGTGTTTCGCCATATGTATGTACGAAACAGAACGACTTTTACAGCCAGTGCCTGTAGCGTGGGGGGCAGAGTCGGTATCGCTTACCAAAAGGAGGGTTTTCATGTTCTATTTTCTAATTTCTTTTGGTCAACTGCGCACCATGTTCGTTTGAACGATTCTAGTATATACTTAATCTTGCACATAAGTTACCCGGCAACTACTATTATTAACCGTTTTGTGTTTAGAGCGTATGTGAAACGGGAATTTGAGGTATGGCTATACTGCCAAGCCCCTTATCAGCGGAGCTTGAGTGATTATTGCCTGCCCGTGTATGTTTCGTAGTAGTCTTGCATGGAGTGTACATGCTTTCTTTCTACTGCAGCGAAAGATGGGGGGTGCTATAGAGCTTTGGCATTTTACATACACAGACAGTATGCAGGACTTGGGGCCCCTAGAACAATGCGGAATATCTTGGGGGTTGTGAAAAAGAATGGACGGCGGGCCGGATCAACCCCCACCCCCCCTAGCGCTCTCGCCCCCCGCTACCACAATACTTTGTAACTAGGTGACGTTAGTACAGTACCGAGTGCTACGACTTTTAGCACAGCACGGCGCTGTAGCACTGCACTGCACTGCACTGACCTGCATAACATTGACCTAGGAATCGAACTCGACTTTAGTTTAGACTAAGGCTAGTTTACTTTCAAGTATCGAGTAGTTCCAGTATCAATTATAACTATGGGTCGCGCTCCCCCCCCCTCCTTGGTGTGTTCGTTCTCACCTTTGGCCAAGGTTGGTTTAGCTCATTGGCCAAAAATTATCCATTGATCTCCTGATTTCCCGTTTGGCTGAGGCTTTGGAGCTCAAATCCCCAAACGACACGATATTTGTTGTTTGACCCTCCAGTAGCCCAGTCACCCAGCTCCGGCGAATGCCTGCGCAATCACCATTCTGATCCAACGTCCACCTCCACTCCGACTCTGGCTGTGACTCTGGACCGTCCCAATGGCCGCAGACAGTAGCCCTCGCAGCGTCGCCGACGCCACGCGCTTCACCTCCAACACACCACATGCCAATTCAAAGGCCCGGAAAGTTGTCGGCGGCACACAGTCTACAGCAACCACAACAACATCTACTACTACCGCCCCGTCTTCCTCATCGCTGCCGAAAGCACAACCGAGGACAGCCTCCGCCTCCGCCTCTGCTCCGCAGCCGCCGAGGAGGCCCGCCCCTGCCTCAGCTTCGGCTTCAGCCTCTGCAGCTGCGCTCGCCGGAGCTCATGGACAAGGACATGGCCACAAGCCCGAGTCGCTGGACGAGAGAGTACGGAGATTAAGGGCTGCGCATCTGGCAGCACGGAACCATGAGGTCTCGCGGATGGACAAGGTCATCAGCAACTCCAGGAGGTACATGGACGCAGCGCATAGATATACCGTCATGGGATTAATAGGCTTCAGTGGTATGTCGCCTCACCCCCCCGGCCGTCGCTGCACTCTAACCCCCCCATCCTCCTTCCAGGGCTCGCTCTCCTCGTCACAGTATATGCTACCGTAGACATGATGGTCTATAACCGAAACCGCCGCAACGAGTTCTTCGCCCTGCAGCAGCAATTGCAGACGGGCAGTCTCGAAGCCGCCCGTCTAGCTTACATGACTGGTTCCGCTACCGAGGAACAGATTGCCCTCGTAGAAGATGCTACCGACAAGGCAAAGAAGGCCGGCCTTGAGCTGCCAAACTTACTGCACGCTCCCAAGACCCTGTCATCCATGGCCGCCGCCGCCACCACCACCACCACATCCGAGGCCGAGAGGACAGTGTGGCCGGGCGAATCCCTGCAAGACACCTCGCTCAGCCCCGCCGATCATGTAGAGGCCCCCCGGAAGAAGGGTCTCACCGGCTGGCTATTCGGCGGTTTGAAGGACGAGGATACCGCAGCTGCTCCCGCCCATCTGGGCTTCGAGAGGGAACACGATGCGGCCTCGCCAGACCAGGGCCGCACCAGCGCTGCTGCACATGCCTTGGGCGAGAAGGGAGACGCGTTGAAGGACAAGGCAAAGGCCGCCTTCGAGGCCGAAAAGCAGCACCAAAGGCAGGGTGGCCCCCTGGACCAGCTCGGTCTCGACGCAGCCGAGAAGAAGAAGGGTTGGTTCTGGTAAGACTCCACCAGGCAACAGGCACAGGGCACAGGCACAAGCATAGACGTGTCTCTTCATGTCGCCTCGGATGCCGGGATAGCTTTTTGGAATCTGCCGGCTGTGGCGAAATTGTATACCGTGTACGTCTCGTTATCCCTCGGTTACTGGGAAGGACTGTATCATATGTGTAGTAGAAGGATGGTGCCCAAGACCCGGGCGTCCTGGCTTATCATTGCCCCTATCCAGAAGTATATAAAACTCTTGCATCTTGACCAATCCTACCGCCTGTAGCTTGAGCCTGTCGACCTGAATTACACATGTCGGTGAGTTGATGTGCAAGGAGGAACCCGAAGGAACCCGCCGAGTGCCAAGTGTACGCATAGTATTGCCCCGTGCTTAGACCTCGTCCATCGCCAACACAGACGCTTGGGTAGCCCGTAATTTGTACATCCCTACAGTACCCCGAGGCCACCCTCACACAGCACAGCCGTCGTGCCCTCCGACAATCACGCTCCAACCCTCGATATCGAACTCCTGTCCTTGCGTATCCGACGCCGCTGTCAGCGGGGAGTTGTCGCACCGGTCCTTGATATCCTGCGCATAGTCGGCCACCGTCTCGCAGTCAATCTGCAATTCGTGGTCCAGGTCGTTACACTGCGGCCAGATTTTTTCCCAAGTCAGTACAGGCTTTTTTCTTTTCACTTTTTCTTCTTCCACCTATTTTGAGCATTTCGGTAGCAGTTTGGAACCAGAAATTGCTTACTAGGAAGACGGCCACTCCCGGGTCCTCACAGACGAGCTGCGTGCACACCCGCGGTCCTGAACTGGCCTGGCAGCTCCGGCCACGTGATCGCAGTTGCGCAATCACGCTATCCACGAGTTCGTCGGCGCCCCAGTCGTAGTCGGGGATATTACAGATTGGCGGGTAAACCTGCGGCCGAGGGGGCATGTCAGTGAATGCACGAGAAATCGCTAGGTAAGAGCCGGATGATATGAACAGAACTTCGATGTATGCCGGGGCAAGCAGAAGTCGTTGTCCGGTTCGTCAGGGCCTGCTACTCGCCTTGGTGGGATGCTAGCCATGACCGCCCGGTATGGTGCCTAGTCTGTGAGGTGTCACGACACTGCTCATGCCAGCAACGAGTACGAGGACAGAGGCCGTGCTGCTGTTGAGCTGCATACCAAAACTCTCACGTGTTCAAGTTCTACGGGAATATAGCGTCGGCGAGAAGAGATATTTTGACCAGAGGTCGTCTAGGTATAGCCGTCTAGGTATTCGTGAGGGAACTTGTTTGGTGCAAGAAGACAAAAGAACATGGACAAATTCGGACCTTGGGTTCCAAATAAATTAAAAGCGGCGGGAAGCGACCACATTCTGCTCCCCCCCCCCCCCCCCATGAGGAAGCAACGTGCCGCCGTAGCTGACGACGAAATTAGCCATGTATATATTCGTCATCGAGTGATCGCATCCACCGGCGCCTGGTGCGCTTGATATGGCACTGAGACAACGTGTAACTCCTTCCGCCAATATATCAAATACATGAGAAAAAGTAACGACTGCGCGCATTCTTGGCATCCCATGGTAGCATTACAAATGATTTTCCATGTCTCTTAGGAACTACTATGCAGTAGCTTTGTAGGCCTTCTTTCGTACGTTTGAGCCGTGGTCGAACAACTTCGCCATCCATCTGCTGGCTGAAGTCTTGAGTGCTTGATCCAGAAAGCGCTCAAAGGTGTTCATGATCGACACCCATGGGTGCCATGCGCCCAACACACCTCTGTCGAGATCACTCTCCAATGGCATCTCGCCGAGCTTGTGCCGTTGAATCTTGCCGCTCGGAAGTCTGGGGATCTTGGCGATGAAAACGACCCCACCAGTCAAGGCCTTGTAGCTCACCAGCTGCCTCCGCGAGAACTCAATGACCTCGGCTGCCGAAACAGTCCGCATACGTCGCACCACGTACGCCCGCGGCATCTCTGCTCTGTCGCGCACGACCTTGGTTACAGCACAGTCGCTGATATCCGGATGCCGGAGGAGGGTCGCTTCTATCTCGGTTGGCGACACTTGGAACCTGCTTGCGTCTAAGGTTACCGTACACATGGACCGCGCTCGGCGGACAGTGGAACAACTTACCCATTCACCTTCATAATCTCCTTAGCTCTCCCGGATATATAAAGCTTCCCATCTCTCATGTAGCCTAAATCACCCGTACGATACCACTCTACGTCGGTATGAGGGCTTTCCGCACTGTTTTTGTAACCCATCATGTGCGATGCCGCTGAGACGACGACCTCTCCCTCGGCAATGGGACGCTCGACAAGTGTCCTAGGACACCCGTCGTCCGGTACAACACGGCGTATGTCCACCTTTACGCCGGGAAGGGGGCGGCCCACGGCACCGGACTCGTCGTTCTCCCCATATCGGAACATGCAGGCTGTTCCTAGCTCTGTCGCACCGTATACACCACTCAGGGTGGCATCGTCATGTAACATTGATTTAAACTCGTGCATGTGTCCGGCGGTGATAGGTGCACCACCCACGCCTACAAATCGCAGGGAAGCTAGGCGGCTGCGCGTCAAGGATGAGTCGAGCTGTTTGATGCGTGCTACAACTGGGGGTGCCAAGAAACTTTCCGTGATGTTGTATTCGCTGACATATTCCAAGTATTTTCCCATGTCAAACTTGGGCATGACATACAAGGGCTCGCCATGGCGAATGGTCAAGGCTAGAGCCCAAGCACTGCCAAATATATGGAACAGCGGCAGGCAAGCCAGCCTCACGACATCGTAAGGCACTTCTTGGTGTATCTGGCTGAAATGCGCAACCATAGAATAGTGCGATAACAGGGCCAGCTTCGGACAGCCAGTTGTGCCGGACGTTAAGAAGTACGATGCTGGTGTCTTCTTCGCCTGCTCCTCGTCTCGTATCCTCTTCCAATCTCTTTCGCCGTGGCACAGCAGCGAGCAGATCGGCTTCAATGAACCTATCTCGGCCCTTGTAGCTCTGCCACGCAATTCTCCCGGTTGCTGCGAATCGAAAAGGATGATGCGGTCGAGTTCGATATTTGGTATCCAGTTCTGCAGGCTCGCCAACAAATCCGACGTGGTTATGATGAATCGAGGCTGCGCGAGGTGGACGATATTTGTCATTTCGCTCCTCAAACTGGGGTTGGTTGCACAGAATACTCCTCCGGCTCCAACAATAGCCAAAAACAAAGGTGCGTATTTGTACTGTGGACTTGTGTCAACATTTCGTCATTTCCTCTCGGTTCTACGTTCTAACCCAGCATGGACTATGACTTACGTTGTTGAACAGGTGTACGAGAATCGTGTCGCCGTCTCGGAGCCCAATAGCCTTTAATCCTGCCACCATCTGCCGCACATACCGCCGTGTTAGGTTGTAGCTGAGGAACTGATGGGGATCATCCGCATTTATATATAGCGGCTGCTCGTTGTCGTATATCTTCTCCGTCTCGAAGGCAAAGGAGACAACATCTTGAAAGGGAGCACGGAGCTCTTCGATGCTGAAAGCCTCATCCATGATACACGGGAGAAACTTCGCTTTCCAAGTGTTGAGCAGTGCGTTCGAATTCGTGGCAGAACGACGATCAAGTCTACTGGCTGGTAATTATGAGTGGCATTATGTCCAACAAAAAAAGGAACCACCACAAACTGCTGCTCTTGCTTTCTCATTTCCTGGCATTACTGAATCCTAGAATACGAGGGATCTCAAGACATTGTCTACACACGATTCCTTTTCCACGTTACTTAGAGAGCCGCACACCTAAATCTAATAACTGGATGTGCGTCATCCATGAATGTCGTTTTCTCCAAAAACGCTTCAATGGTGTGAATGCTTAGGTTTGGTTGGCTCCAGGACCTGAAAGCTTGCAAAATTGTGACACCATGAGTAAAGTTCAGGGGCGTGATTTGCGGTGCTTCGGCTGCCTTTCCCCGAGTTGCTGCATGCAATCCCGCAGTCATACGCAAGGCGATTGAAATAGCAAGTGGCAAAAGCACTGCCGGTGCAAGGGAGGCCGGCTAGTCTCAAGCTGAAGTCCGCGCGCCACGACGGTGGTTTTTAGCAATGTATGCATTGCTTTGCGAGGGGCTCGGCATCGATGAAAATTCTCACCTCTCCGATAGATCTAAGATTGTCGGCGTTGTGGCGCTTTAAGGTTGCATATCCCACTCAGCCGGAACTATATCCTGCATTGTCAGGCACCGGGTGATGTGCAGTACCATAGTAATGCATATTATGGTGGCGCAGAGCTAAGCAACACGCTACTATCCAGCCTGCTGGGACCACGATCCCAAAGCACACTCATGAAGCAATCTTGTCCAATATCACAGCAGTAATAACATTTGAACGTGTTTGTTTTCTCACGCCAAAAGGACTGGTTGCAATCAGGATCATCCGCCGAATAACTTTAGCAGTGTGGAAGTCTTGCTTCTGCACGTGTATTGGCCAGTCGGGCTTGTGCCGTTTCAGGAGAAGTCTCGGAAATTTTTGTAGAGATGCCTGACAAGTGCAGAAAAACCAAGAAAAGTTAAATCACGGAGTGGCTTGGTTAATTTTTGATTATTTGGTTTTGTTCTAGAATCTCGGTCATCTACCACCAGGTCCGATATGTGCGCAGACAGTCACGAAGCATATTTCTCGCCGGACTTATATAACCACGTCATGGTTCTCTCGGGTGGTGCGATAGGTTGAGTAGCTTAATACCAAAAACCAAAGTATGCCCAACAGGAGTCGACGAAATCTCAATTGTCATTGAGTGGCCTCCGCTGTCGATATACCGCTCCGTCTAGCACATCTTTCACATCTCCCCCAGCCTAGTGTGGAATCTTCCACGTTCTCGGCGTCCGATACCACCATTATTGGTGCTTGTGCTGTTTATGCTTTAGTCTGTGGTTCGGAGTCACCAGTGGACCAGAACGCAAAACTTCGGTGATAAGTTCAAAAGCACTCTACTAGGCTGCAGTTGTACTGCATTGGGCAAGCCATATTCGAACAACAATCTATTCAAGCTTTCTGCTAAACCGTCCAGCGTCGAAAATCAGGCGGAAGTCTCTGCTGTCTCAGCTTACGACACCTGGAATCTGAAATTGTTCATAACACGAAGTCAGAACATAAGATTTCCACGTCTCTACTGCGATCAAATATACTGGAACCAATCACCCCACAAATTATTCAGCACATCCTGACAGTCTTTACTTATGGACAACAATCAACTCGCTGGCCATGGCGCGTCGGCCAACAGCTCAGTCACGGTGTTTGACGTCGAGGCACACGGTTCGATAGAGACCAAGGGTGCTGAACGTGTTGATGTCACATTGGCGCCCAGAACAGAGCCTCACCTTGACCCCTCAAGCCGGGGAGAGAGATGGCTGTCGAGAACACGCTTTGGACTCTGCGATGTACACTGTCGGCTTCTTTGCATAGTGATTGCCATGAACACAATCCCTCTCGTTTCTGTTCTGGTGGCACGTTTTCTTGATGGTGCGAATATGCAGAGTACTGTACACGATCTTGGCACCTTATGCATCAACATGGCGGCTGGAAATGCCATGGTGTGCACGGCAATACGATCACCGCTAATCATCAACGGATTATTTATGGTATTTGGAGCCATTCCTCGGTCCGCACCACTGTGGATACGACGACGAGCAGCCAAGATTTATCACTTTGGTGGCGTCCACAAAGGCACCGGTATTGCCAGCTGCGTCTGGATGGTGGTATTCGTTATCCTGTTCTCCTTCGTACTCTTGTCGCCCACGGGACCACGAAATAGGGTGCTACCAGCAGCCATCTTTACCACCTCGATATCAATCACATTTGTTCTGATAGTGGTCGCCACTGTAGCCCACCCATACATTCGCCGCAGATACCATGATATCTTCGAACTCACTCACAGGTTTGGTGGTTGGGTCGCGCTGGTACTCCTCTGGGTTGCGCTCCTTCTCCAGGCACAGAATGAGGTTGTCCAGGGATCTGCTTCGTCAATGTGCATCTATCTCCTAACCTTTCCGACCTTTTGGTTCTTGCTTGTCGCCACAGTCGCGGCCATTTGGCCTTGGACGATGCTGCGCCACGTCGAGGTCAAATCAGAAAAACTCTCAAGTCATGCAACACGACTCCATTTTCGACACTGTGAAACAGCCTGGGGAAGAGGGTTATCTCTTGCGAGGCACCCTCTCAGGGACTGGCACAGCTTTGCGAGTTTTACCGATCGATTTGACGAGCCCGGGTACAACTTCTCTTGCCTCGTCTCAAATGCAGGCGATTGGACAAAATCAGTAATCCATGATGAGCCGACGAGGCTGTGGGTCCGAGCCGTACCTGTACATGGAGTTGCATACGCGATGAAGCTCTTCAAGAGAATACTGGTCGTCACCACTGGCTCCGGAATAGGCCCTTGCTTATCTTTCATTGGCTATGATCAAATGCCTGCAATGCGTGTCGTTTGGCAAACCCGCAGCCCTCTTCAGACCTATGGAAAACGCACACTCGATCTTGTCCGGCGGTTGGATGCGAATCCTATCATACTGGACACAAATGTATACGGAAGGGTGGACATGCTAGCTATGGTTCGTGAAATGGCTGGGGAGTTCCAAGCAGAGGCTGTGATCGTTATTAGCAACCCCGGGGTAACAAAGAGGCTTGTATATAATTTAGAGCTAATAGGAATTCCTGCTTTTGGACCCATATTCGATAGTTAAAATAATAAACAAAGATAATTATTACGGTTATAATTAAGAACAAGGACTAAGCTTATTACATATTTTATATATGTTAAAAACCTTTTAAAGAATAATAACATTATAATAAAATTTTCGTGACGATTATACTATCGGGTTGCACAACCACAAATAATATAATGCAAGGGGGTTTATGCTAACAAGATATACTAGCCACGAATAGAAGGCTATAGAGATAGACCTTCGGAATATACTGAGCAAAGAGATTCACAAGTGTAGTCGTCAAAGCGTGAGCTTCACCTATGGGTAAGATAGATGCTTAGATTGATCACTGAAGTAATGACTGTCTATGTAGAGTAGGAATCCCGATCATTATTATATCCATTCATTCCTTCACTGATGTCCTGGCTCACTGTCCTTGGCAGTGAGGCTCACGGTCGGCTCACCGTGATCCCAAGTGATCCTTATAGTAGGGCTCACTTCTCTTGGCAGTGATCCAACGTTCGTCACGTGACCTGGGTCCTTTGTCTCATGCCCGTTTGAGGCTCCAGCTGTCTCCACATGGCGTGCCCGCAGCTGTGCCACTTAAGGTTGCATGCATGGCCTGCATTCGTAACAATTTAAAATTTAAAATTTAAAATTATATAGTTTTCCTCGTTTATTATTTTTTATTATTTTTACTTAGTAATATAACTATAAGTATTTTATATAAATACTTATAAAATTATAATAAATTATAACAACTATTTTATTAATAACTTTACTTAAATAATACCCTTTACTATTTTTATTAAGTCGTATTAAGTATTTAATTTATATAAGGTTATAACGCGTTATAAGCGCTTTTAAATCTCTTTTTAGTTTATAATATAAGAATATTTTTTTTAATGTTTTTAAAATATCATTATAAATATATAAGTATATATTAAAATAATAAATTCTAGTTATACTTTTAATAAAAAAGTTAAGTAAACTATATAATTATTTATTAATATAAGGCTTATATAATAAACTTTTTTAAATAGTATTTTTCTTTATAGTTTTTAATAATTTATTATAATAAGTTATTAATTTATAACGGTATGTAAAATTATAAGAATAACTCGTCGTTACTAGTTAATAATATTTAAGTTATTAAACTTATACTTATACTTTTTATTTATTTATAAGTTTACGAAAAAAGCTTATAAGCTTATTATAAGGCTTATAATTAAGAGATAAATAATAACTTTAATTTAACATATATTTTAAAGGTTTTAATTTTAAATAAGAATATATTAAGTTTAATGTTTTTAATTTAAGTTTTAAAATATTATCGTAACTATTTATTTCGTTATTTATTATATATAACTTATATATAATCTTTTAATCTTTTCTTTACGAACGGATTTTCTTTCATAAACGTTTTATAAATCGTTAATATTATATTATAATAACTTTAATACTTTATAATAACGATCTTTAAGTTAAAGTTATTAAGTTAATTTTATATTTATTTAAATCTCTTTATTAAATATATTATACGTTGTAAATTAAGTATTAATAATAATATTTTCTTTTTTATAACTTTAATATTTATAATATATATATATATATATTAAGATTAAGAATTAATTGAATTAAAGATAATTAAATTAAAACTAAGACTAAGATTAATTTAATCTTAGTCTTAATGAAACTAATTTATTTTTAAAAAAAAAGTCCGTGACTAAGACTAAATTATTTAAATACCTTTATAATTTAGTCTTAGTCTTAGTTATAATTAAATTAATAAGTAATAATAAAAATGTATATTTAATTTAATTTTAATTATTAAATAATAGCGTTATCTAAAGCAATTAATTTAAAAGTTTAAATAAGGAAAAAAAAAAGAAAAAAAAACTAAAAATAAGGAAAATATGAAAATAATTTAGCGTATTATTAAGTTAACGAGCCAAAAGTATATATTATAAAAGTTATTTACAATAACGTAATTACACTATATATAACCGAGGGGCGTTATACTTATATTATAACGGATTTAATTAATTTCTCATTTTAGAAATAATTAACTCGGAAATTCTAGTTAAGTTATCTTTTATTAAACGTGTTATTTTTATTTTTAAATATCGACGAGTTATAATTAATAAAATTAAGTATTTAATAAAGTATTATTTATAAAAGATTAACGGATTTATATTAAAAAATTAATAAGTTACTTTTTTATTATTTTATTATTTTGTACCTTTTAAAAAAAAAAAAAAAAGTAAGTATAAATCGTTTTATTAAAGATAATTATTAATATAAGCTTTATTATATAAATTAAATAATATCGATATTAATATTAAACTTATAAATATATTTAAACGTAAGTTTAAGTTTTCTTAATAAATAATAATTATTAATATAATAATTATTAATATAATATTTATTAAATATTATTAATATTTATATTAAACTAATTTAATAATACTTAATTAATTATGATTAATATTAATTATTTAATGCCTTAAATAATAATTATATTAGTCACGAAACTCGTAATTAAAATTAAATAATATTAGTCTTAGTTTTTAATCTTAGTTATAAATAATAAAAAGAGTAATAATTAATTCATAAACCTTACTAAAGAGGCATTATAATAATAAAACGGTATATATATATATTAATAACATATACATTGTAATGCTTAAAGTATATCGACGAAGTTAGTATTTTACTAAACTTAATTAAATAAAATTTATTAATGAGTTATTATTATAA